TTATTAAGTAATACTTAGTTATTTCTTCCTAAGGATCTTATATATCTTATATAAATATACTCGGTAATCTTATTACTAATATTCCCTTAGATTAATAGAACGAAGGCTCGACTAAGTAGTATACTAGATAAGTACGATTAGTATACTAGGTTAACTTTAACTATCCTAGGAAAAAATAGAAACTTATATAGAAATTCTAGATAGAGATAAAAAGATAAGTAGCTAGTATACTATTAGTAGGGAAAAAGTAGAGGACTAACTATAGAACTTATTAAGGAGGGTCTTAAGGAATAAGAAATATAAAAAAAAAAAAAAAAGAAGAAGAAGAAAGATAGAGTAGAAGGAGATTAATATACTCTTTACCTAGGAACTAATCGCTAAGACCTTAACGAAGATTAAATAGCGAGGACTAAATAATTAAAAAGTTTAGCCTTATAGGTATAGCTTACTATATATACTATACTAGAGTACGAAAAGTATATAAAGTTTCGCTAGAATTAGGTAAACTAAAGTAAATACGAAATAATTTCTAAGAGTAGAATAAATTAGGATTAGGAGCGACCTTAAGATTAGAAAAACGTATTACGTTTTTTCTAATATTAATATAGAACGTATATAGCGCTATACTAGAACGCTACTTCTTACCTACTACTCCTATACTCGAGAACGAGTATACTTCGAGGGAGGAGAGTAATTATTATAGAATAGGACTATAGTGGACCCTAGAAGTATCTATTCTATACTAAGACTAGTCCTAAAATACTAAGGGGCCTAGTATATAAGACCTTAGGGGCTATATGGATTGTATGCGAGGTTTTTAGACTCCTTAAGTTCTTATAGTCGATGTTCTAAGGACTATATAGTAATCGATCGATTATCTTAGTGTTCTCGTTAAGTTACTTATACTCTTATACCTAGGGCCTTATTCTTTAGGAGGCCCTAGATTACCGCGTCGACCTTATTTTCTATTACTTCTAGGAGTATATTAACTATACGAGTAGAATACGTATCGTCTATTATTACTATATATAGCGCTTATAGAAAGAACTTTTCCGCTAGAATTCGTATATATTCGTTATTATCGACTATTACTTTATTTTCTTTCTATCTATATAACGCGAGTATATAGAGATCTATATACGCCTTATCTACGACGCTCCTACTCTACCTAGAGAGCCTCTATAGGCCTTAGGAGTTATTTATAATTTTCTAGACCTTATACTTCTAGTTATTTCGCGTGTTCTTGCGAAGCTCCTATTTTAGCTAGTTCGAGAGGTAGTAGAACTACTAGAGGTCGATTTCGTCTCTAGTTACGTTATACGTACGTCTCGCGCGCCTCGCGTCTACTAGGAGCTTCGCTACTCGTAGCGACTAGTCTAGGCGCGCTCTTAGGAAGGATCTTACCTTAAGTTAGTACCTCGGTAGGAGGGCCTTAATTATTTATTATATTTCTTCGAGGGTTTTTAGCTCGCCCTCTACTCGAATAGCCTCCTATAGAGCCTAGGAGTTAAGCTTCTTAAGCGCGTACCGTGCGCGAGGTAGTTACGTAGCGCCTACGAGTTCGATATCGATAACTATCTTTATAGGTATATAGTCCTACGTTAGCGCTCTTATAGAATATAGAATAAGCGCTGAGTAGCCCTGGGCTCCCTAGGCTCCCATAGTAATATAAATATTATTACGAGATACCCTTCACCGCTAATTACTAAAATAGAGTTAATAGTTAAGGATAGCTACTAGGTTAAGTTCTATTATTTCTTAACTAGTTTAGATATTAAAGAGGAGGCGAAAATAGTCGAACTATAGACTATCGCTTAGAGCATTCTAGTCTCTCGATGTAAGACTATTTTATCGTACGAAGAGGTGAATTGGTGGAGCGATTAGGTATAGACGAGAAGGAGTTGCATTTAAGACGCGTAAAATAGAGTGTCTCGTTATACGGTTGGCTCATTATGTGGTGCCTAGACCGATAAAACCAGGCCTTCCCCAGGACAATAAGTCCAATAATTGTTTGGAGGAGATTCTTGCTGTCGCTCGCTCTCTCTATCTCTCTCTCCCCCAATCGCTCGCAACTTTCATAGAGCTGTATCATCAATCCGGGTGTGGTTGCAAATATGGCCTTTCCCCCTTCCTACGGATTCATCACGAGTACGCTGCATGGCAAGGCTGAAGGTCCGACACTGCCGGAGATCAATAAGGTGTCGGGAAAGTTTGTGGTAGTTGTCGCTAGTTCAGGGAAAGGGTTGATATGTATACGGCACTTGCATACGCTCGTGCCGGGGCCACGGGGGTTGCGATCTCTTGCCTAACACGCCCAGACTTGGGAGCTTTGGAGAAGGGCCTTTTCAGGGTCGATCCGGAACTCGAGGTCTTGTCGCAAGTTGTAGATCACTGTAAACCAGAGGATGTTAAAGATGTAGCGAAGCAAGTGCAGCGGAAATTCCACGGACGGCTCGACGTTGCGGTTTCCAATGCTGGCACGTCTGGCAAGCTCGTGTATGATGTCGATGAGAAGACCGGGGAGCATACCAGGGACCGCTACCCCGAGGAGATCATCCAGGACGGAAACGCTGCCAATATTATCAACACCAACTTCCTTGGCAGCTACTATGTGGCGAAGTAGCTAACGCCGATCCTAATTGCGGCATCTAACCCGAGTTCAGCGAAGGCGTACAGTACCATCAGCAGCGTGTGCAGCCATCTGACGGACAGCTTCTTCTCCACCACAACGTACAACGTGAGCAAGGCCGCGCTGAATCGCTTGGTCGAGCACAGTCAGAATGACCACGGTAATGATGAGGCCCTGACTTTCGCGGTGAATCCAGGTGGTGTGCTCACGTCAAAGACAAAGGGTTTAAGTGAGGCGCGGCCCGCAGAGAGGAGCCAACGTGAGTAGCCTCGGCCCTTGCCCGAGAGTAGAAAGTGGTGGATGGAATGGATACCTGGACATTTGGCTAACAAAATCTGTTGTAGACATGACTGACGATGTTGGACTGTGTGGAGGATACCCTACCTGGCTGACCGAGGAGAGGAGAGAATGGCTGGGTGGTAGATATCTCAGCATGACTTGGGGCGTGAATGAGCCCGGAGAAAAAGGGATGAGATTTTGTCGGAGGATAAGTTGAAGCTTAGAATGGTGGTTTGAATGGAGCGAGGTACCTGTGTTGGGCAAGGCTGGCGATGGCAAGGCTGAAGGCAGCCGCCGCCAAGGAAAGTTGCACACCGATAAAGGTCAATCCTTGTCACGCCCCCGCGTTTGTCGCGTAGAGTGGACACTGGGCACGCGCTTTAAATCACTTGCACCCTTCACTTTTGTGCGACACTGGCAGTTGGCTACTGTCACATTTCTCGGATGAATCTGCAGGCATATTAGTTCTTGAGGATGAAGTCCAGTTGGAGATCATGAAGAGCCTTCGCATCCATGGATACTGATAGCGCGAGCATCGACATTACAGACATCAAGAGGGACCTTCTCGAACGGCGCGAGGTGTGTTTCTATGCCCTGATCATCACGGTTCCTGGTTACTGACTGCAGGTTCCCGTCCCAGATTTCAATCCTTGAACAGCCTGATTCAGAACGCAGCACCTTTGAAAACCCAAATCTACAGGCCATCAAGGCGTACTACTACCAACTATCACAAACATCACCCCACCGACCCGTTCCCTTGCAGAACATATGGCCAACTTTGCCCAGCACCGTTTCTGACTCCCAACTTCTTCATAGCTCTATAGATATCGACAGCCAATTCTGCTTCATCCCACCGGCTCCTCCCTCCACCACGAACGGTGTGGTCACAGCCAAGGCTCCCGTCAGAATGAGCCAAGTGGACGACACACACACTCAAGAGCTGTCTCCTTCCCATTTCGACTCATACATTCATAAAAGTCGGAGTGCGAGGCACTTGGAGGGAGGTGCTGGCCCCAACGACAACTCCGACAACGACAATGGCCTGCAGCGGCATGAGACACAGTTCACACTTCACGAGGGCGATGAAGGCCACATAGATCTGATTTCGAGCTTTGAGCAGAGATTGGAAGGCGCCCAAGATCTTGAGTCCGAGCCAGCCGCTGGCGACTTCTCTCCGACCCAGTCTGGGTGTGCCATTTCCCAGTTCCCTGAATCGCAACGCTTCAAGACTCCTGCTACTGCTGGGAAGAAGAGACGGTACAATGGAGATATGGTACATACCCCCTATCTGCCTCATAATCCCCTCCGTCAAGTGACTGCACAGAGCAATGGCAATGTCATGAGGCTCAGCCAGGCTTTTGCTGCCACTCAAGCAGATACCTCGCCCCTCTTGCACAATGGCCTAGTTGACCTGCAATCTGACCGCCCTTCGCCCAATATCGAACTGCAACCACGACCTGTTACTGCAGCCACTTCTTCTCCTCTGCGCATGCTCCCGGAGTTTACACGTGCTTCCACAGAGCCAGCTTCCCGTTACATCTCCGTAAAGCAATCCCAGGCAGAACGCGAAAAGCAGGCCGAGATCCAAAGGCAACAAGAGCTCGCCGAGTATAATGACGATTCAGATAATGGCTTGGCCGACGAGCAGACCCAAATTATAAGATCGAGGAGGCGCGGCGGCATCGAACAAAGAGTACGCTCGACTTTGAGACAATTGTCTTCACCTTCCAGACGAGCGAATCAAGGGCCGCCAGCCACCAAATCATCCCCAGTACGTCCTTCCATTCAGCACTCGCCCATACAGACTCTACTGGCAACTCGTGTTGGATACACCATTGTATCTAGTCCTCCTAGCAATGATGTTGTCGAGCTTGATAATGATACCGAAGTCGAAACGGAGCAAGAGGACAACGCCGATATTGCTGTAACAAGGTCCAGTCAAGGAGCAGTTGCACTGGACGTCGAAGACAAAGAAAACTTCTCCGAAACTGGAAGTGAAGTCCCCGAGACTACAGCAAGGCTTCACCAGATTCTCAACTGTTTCTCGACCCACGTGCAAAACAGCCCTTCCTTAAGGCGATCGAACAGGTGTACTAACACTTCCCGTAATGCGTTGGATAGCTCGGAACCCATTGCGGTGGCCAACTCTCAACCTTCGCAACTTCAAAGACAACGCCAAATATGGTCAACTTCACCAAAGCGGGCCGCTAGCGATGGGATTGATTTTGTCCCACAATCGCCAACGGCTTCTCCACAACCGACACTCGAAGCAAGGCCGTTGATGTCTCTACACCATACAGAGAGAGAGGATGACGCGTTAGCAACAGCGGACGAAGGCCCAACATTGGTAGATCAACTTCCCACCGCTATTGAGCCTCTTTCTGAAGATATCAACAACGAAATCTCGTGCAATCCACACAGCACTATTCCGGAGACGAGCTCAAATGGGCAATATGTTCAGAACAATTCCAGTCAACCCTGGGAGCGTCGAAACCCGAGCGAAGGTAGTACACACAACCAATTCGAAACTGCAGAGTCTCATCTTCCACCCTCTACCAACCATAAACAACCGTCGAACGTAGTAGATCTGAGTAGTCCTCCTGTCAATACCACTGCACCCGGACAAAAGAGAAAACGGTTGACCGACATCGCGGCTGAGCCTTCGCCCCAGAAGTCCCAGTCTCAGCTTAGCTTCAATGCCAGCGAGGCTCTTCAAGTAGATATCGACCTCCAAGTTGGGCCAGAGGTTAGCACAGGTGAGCTCCTGCCAGATAACCCTTCACTACAACGCAGACGTGCTGTCATGTCCCCTTCTGGAGAGAGTCCAAAGAAGAACGAGGTTTCTCCCTCTAGAGCTGATGAGCTATCTCAAACACCTCTATCTCGTAAGCATGCTGGATCTACAAACACAGAATCGGATGGTCCCGAATCCACCAAGAAGTTTACAAAACGGCGCAAAAGTTACCTTCGCAGAGATAGGAAGCTCTCGTCCGAATCATTGAGTGCTTTGAAAGCAAATCTTGGGGTCAAACCGCGTACTCCGCGATCAAGTGTGTGGGATATCATAGCCTCTCCTCCCCAGAAAACTGGCCCTGCGACGGAATCCCTGAAATCTTTCTCTGCTCTCATCGAAGAGCCTCAGACTTCAAGCAGAAGCAAACAAAAAGGCCGCAGACTTGCCAAACATACGAAAAAGGATATGGTATCAGAACCACCAGCTACCACCTCCACCGAGACGGAGCAACCTAGTCAATCTCTGGAGTCCACCGCGCTGAATGATGGCCAATGCGGACCGATGACCCCAGTAATTACTGACCCTATTCTCGCCCCGAACATGGTATTTGCTTGCTTCATTGGCAAAACTCGAGCTTATTTTCCCGCGTTGTGTCGCGGCCTCTCAGGTGGAGAGAGTAAACGATTCTTGATTCAGTGGGAAGGGTATGATCTAGATGAGATTGATGAACACGGTGTCCGAAGTCTTGACTTGAGGGTCGGAGACCTTGTCAAAGTTGATTTGGAAGGCTTCCCAAAAGTATCGTACGTTGTCAGAGGCTTTCGACACAAGATCGGGCCTGAAACGCCAAAAGCTGGTCTCCCTTTTATCACTGACATTCGAGGGTACAAGACCGCCATGGTAGCACCAAAGCAACGCAAGAGCCTTCCAGCAGAAATGTCGACAGAGGCCGTGAAAGAAGTACCCCTCTCGGCGATCTATCTGGACAGCATCATGTGGGGACAAATGAAAGGTCGAATGTTCGAATTCAAGCTCCCTCCAGAAAACTCTTACTTTCCACACTTCAGTCCTCCAGCTGAACGGACAACAAACCCCAGCACTCCGATCTCACGACTCCGTCGAGCACAGGCAACTGGGGCTGCTCTTGTTCCTCCGAGTGGACTATTTGCCAACATGACGTTCGCAATGTCATATGATGACAAGTCTCGAAAGAGCTCCCTCGTAGACCTTGTCAAAACAAATGGTGGGCACATCGTGAATGAATCGTTTCAGGAATTACTAGAACCTGAGAGTCTCCATTTGAAAGCTCATTTTGCCAGCTACACATTTGCAGCATTACTCACCGACAGTCATTCCACAAAGAAAGCAAAATACCTGCAAGCTTTAGCCCTAGGGATACCTTGTTTAAGTGGTAAATGGATCGATGCGTGCGTCGGGGCGGGCGACGTTGTGGACTGGACACATTACCTCCTTCCTGCTGGTGTATGTTTTGAACTCGATGGAGCAATCAAGTCCCGAGTATTGCCTTATGTGTCAAGCTCTGCTGCCATTACAGTTCGTGGAATGATCGATTCACGACCAAATCTGTTGACAGGCGCTCGAGTCATTGTCGTCGGCACCGGGGACATGCGAAAGGGATATCGCTTTCTCATTCAAGCCCTGGGAGCCGAAAGCGTTGAGGGGGCATCGAATCTTAACGCGGCACGACGTCTTCTGCAGTCCAACAAAGAAGGCGACCACGGCAAGAATCAGATTGGCTACATTGTAGTCAATAACAAGACTGATGGGTTGGAGGACACGACATCATCCGACAAGCCAACGAAGAGCGAGAAAAGAAGCACACCCCTGCCGGGACCTGGTCGGAGCAAGGACGGGCATTTCAAGATCATTAGCAGAATGGAAATCAAGCAGAGCTTGATTCTGGGGAAGCTGTGGATTCAATAATCGTGGAGATGATCCCCCAAGCCCCTGGCCCATGCCTGAATTGCGGCTGTTGTATGAGTACCTCTACGGGGTGTTGGAGCTTGCTCGTGCTGTTTAAAATTCATGTACATGAAGCCAGCAGCCCTGGCTGAGCTGGCCGGAATCACTGTACAAACTGAAAGCTCGGTTTCCGCCGACTCTCGTACCCCTATGCATAAACGACTAGTAGCTTCTGTGTCTCTATTGCGGCGCCTTGTACGGGACCATGGGGATTACGCTGACGAGGCAGGAAAACAAGCAACTAGGAGAATGTCTAAGTTGGGGAGACAAGAGACGCCGTGTGGAAAGGGACTCCAGAAGCATTGGCTTCGATAGAGTTTCTTGGCTTGTCCATCTCACTTACGAATGGGACGTGTACGGAGTGCTATCTAGTAGTTTCGACTAATCAAATTCTGGGGTGGCTCATACAATAACATAAAATATGCCCGGGTACCTATCGCTCATTACGTAGCGGAGCGTTGCGGACCGGTGGATGGTTACAGGTGGAATCATGTGATATTCGTCGTTTTCTGTCGTCGGCATCGCCATCTTTGGTTTCCTCTTCTCAGGCTAGTCTCTACTCCGGTTGGGAGTCCAGCGTCGGACATTGATGTCTCTAACCTTGTATCGGGAAAGTAGCAGTCCAATATCGACGTCTTTTCGCTTTTCATCCTCCTTCAGCGGTGGGGGGATGTCCACGTAGCACAGGACGAGCTGTTTTCGGACCTGGGCCTGGACCCGGTTGACGCCGTGCAGCCACCACCAGTCCTTCGATTGTTGCTTTTTGTCGTCGCCTGTCCAGTATGGGTCGCTGTATGATGGGACAATGACGACCGCGAAGTCGGCGTGTGAGAATGCCGGCCCACGGTTGTAGAGCAGATAATCGGTGGAGAATTTGATGCCGGAGCGGACAACCCACCCGAGTGAGCGGTAGTGATGGTAGACTGCGTAGGATACTATAAAGGGATCGTCGGGAGCCGCGGGCATTGATATTGACCGCGGAGGATGGTAGGAATGACGGCGGAACAACGAAAGAAGTGAACTTGAAGGTAGGACCGTTTCACTATCGTCGCAGTACACGTCTAATACTCCAAGGCCGTACGAGAGAAAGAACGCTTCTTCTGTGGATAAAGTCAGATGCTCCTGGGCCTCTTGAACCGGGGCGGCCTCAATGGGAGTTGCGGGTTCGAGCGGCGAAGACCCTGGACTTTTGATGGGTGATATCACCGGTGAACTCAGATCGAATTCCCTGGCCTCAATGGTGGGGGAGAAACGCACGGTTTTCGTTCTTTGTAACCGTTGTGTGGGACGACCTTCAATGTGGCTTGCCTCGGACGACGTCGATGTCGGTGGAGGGGTCAGGATCCCGTTCGCCTCGATAGATCTCTTCCACTCGTCAAACCCCTGTATGGGCCCATTCTCCTTCTCCTCTTCTACTACATCAGATGTCACGGGTCCGCTGGCCGAATCCAAGACACTCCCTATGTCGCTTATGTCCGTGGCATTCGTCTTCAGGATGTTTTCTTGGTGAGCGCCGTTGACATGGCCGTTCGCCCTGCCATTTGGTTGAGACTCATCCGACAGTTTCTGATCGACTTCCTCTTGCTCTTTCCGGGCTCGCTCTAATTTCTGTCGTCTCCTTTCTTGCCTTCTCTGTGCTGTATTTTCCTCGGCGGTCACACCCTTTTTCTTTCGATTTTCCAGCCATGTAGGTTCGCTGCGACTGAGATTCCCTCGGCCGAAGAAGCCCATCTCCCAGAGTTTACGAATGGTGTCGGCATCTGTGACATGGATGGAAGATGTTGCGGATGAAAAATAACCCTTGTACGTTGGTCGAGGAGGAGTTGCAAGGACTTGTACAAGATATGAGAGCGCGATGGCCACCAAAGATAACGGATTATGAGGGATCAGTGGAGGGAGGGGATAGACCGGTACGGGGAGAAGGTTTCGATGTATGTGATTGTAGTCGGGTTTTCGGGGACGCCTTGGAGGACCAGAGTTTGCAGACGAGGGTCGCATGGACTCAGAGACAAAGGTCGACGCGGCCATGATAGAATCATGAACTCATGGCACAGAGACCTGAATTGAAGGGGTGGGTTAGCCTTGGGAAAGACCTGATAATCAAGCACACGAGATAAGAAGGACAATAAAAAGTTATTTAGTCAGATACCGTTGTAGTCTAATACAAGGCCCACATTGGAGGATGCTGAAATCAAAGTGCAACCTCCTAGGCAAATAAAAAGGTCATCACCGGAAAAATGGGGGAAAGTGGTATGATTCAGCAGAATTGGGCACTTACTTCAGCTGCCGATAGGCGGTAGAACCGGATGAAATTGGAAGAATGTTGGAAGTTCCTTCTTTTGGCTCACCAAGGTAAGCAGTCGATCGGAAGGGCGGGTTGCTGAGTGCAGGAGAACTTCGGGAGACATGGATGAGCAACAAGTAGACGTCCCAAGGGAGAACGAGAATGACGATTGTTGTGGGATTGTTGTGGGATCGCTGTCGATATCAAAGTCGATGTTGGGCTTGGTGGGTCTTGGATAATGAGGTGAGTCGTTGGAGGTTGAAATTCGCGCGGGGGAAAATTTGGGAGCGAATGCATCTTTGAGCTTGAAATGGATTTGCTGGTGAGTCGCGAGCCGTGACCAACTGAAGGACTCCTTTCAGGGCAGCCCAGGGCGACTGGAAGTTTAAGAATGTCTTGCCGAGTCGGTCTTCTCCAACCATAGTCTTCCCATTTCATCCCATCACGATGGCTCTCAGCAACAGCACTGAGGAGGCGGGAGCATACAAGGTATTGAGTGTGATAGTAACAATCAAACGTATTGATACACTACTACTCTTCACGAGTTTTGACACACGCACATTCTAATTACAAAATTCTCTTGACACTTTCTGCATTTTGTGCTGCCGCCTTACGCCTACAAGTCGGCGCCAAGCCATTGACAAAAGCAGCCATGGCTTCTCTCCGTATTCACTTCTAGCATCCTCTTGGAATTTATGCTGCACCCGTTCTATTCAAGTACCACTGTACAAATTTCCCGCTACATTCTTTCGCAAACCTTTGATATCCCTCAAGCGCAACCAACCTACCACTAGCAATACCGCAAGCGTCATGCATCTCATGTACACTGAAGACCATGCCACTGGCAAGAGAGTATATACCTTGAAAAAAGTCCTCGATGGCGTTGTCACCAAATCCGCACATCCTGCAAGATTTTCACCCGATGATAAGTACTCGAGGTCCGTCTCTGCCTCTTGTCGCGCGTTCCTTTCCCGGTCGCTAATCTTCTCTCAGGCACCGGGTCACGCTGAAAAAGCGCTACGGTCTTCTCCTCACTCAACAAAGTATGTGCAGCGAAATCCATTTTATGGCCTTTTAAATACTGACTGGCTTGAAAAGAGGAGGATCCTAAAAAATGAACAAGAACGATACGGTGTTTCAGGCGTCATGTGGATTTTAAGGAGTACAGCAAAAAGCTTGGGACGGAAGGGCATACCCGGTACTTTCTAATAGGCATACACTTGAATGATAAGATATTCTCCCAAGCCGTCGTGTCTATCGTTTTCTCGAGTTCACAGTCCTGCCGGCTCCCACCCGAACCTTTCCCGATCCATGGTCTCTATGACCAGAAAGGATACTAGGAAGCGTATCTTCGTCCATGGGGTCTCGCTCTTTGCTGCGTTTCATGGCTGACAAGGCTCGAATATACTCCTTCTGGTCCTCGGCCAGGATCAGATCATTGCCCCAACCTCCTTGCCCTCCGCCTTGCCTCGGCCCCTTCCACTTTTGATTCGACGTTCCACTTGTAGCTTTGGGTACAGAGAACACATTACCTTTATTGTTCCACTGCATGTTGGCCTTGAGATGTAATTTGACTTCGCCTTTGTCATTGGTTGAACAACTGACCCTGGTTAATGTGGGTTGACCACATCGAGGACAGAACTGTTTCGTCATGTCCTTGGTTGTAGAGAAACAGCCATGACATCGCAGAACGAACTGCTTGATCTGCGAGATGCGCTGGCACGTTTTAGCCGACAAGAGGTTGAGATTCATTTGAAGAAGGACATTCTGCATGGCGAAATCTCCTGTCATGGTAGCAACTTGCAATTGTTTAATCTCGTTCGTAGATTTGCTGCTTGCTGAGTCGTCTTTGGCTTTCTTCTTTTTAATATTCGCTGGTGTTATCCAGCCTGAGTCAGAATCAGACTCCTCCCGGCTCGCCGAAGGGCCCACTGGGAGGTCCTGCGGCACTTCGTCGCTTGGTAATGGCTGACTGGATGCTTCTTGGGATCCTCTATCCATAGTCTCCACGAATCCTGGCTCTATGAGTTCAGTGTCATCCTGAAGACCCACGTCTGCTATCTTTTCTTCGATATCGTTCACGTCTTCCGCACCGGTGCTCAGCGGCCGATCGACTGGTTCGTCCGTTGTTCCCTTGTAGGTTGTTCCTGTGTTTTGGGACGGTGGACTGCCATTCAACCTCTTCTGCCCAGGCGTAGATCTTAATCTCCAGTGGCCCCCATTCCGCTCACACTCTATGTCGTAGGCTAGTGCAAGTATCTCAAAATCCGTGGCACTGAGAACGGCGCCATCTCCAGTTTTTCGCGCGAAATCTTTGATCAACTTAATACTCTCTGACCTTGGGGCCCGAATAGTAAGAAAGGGCTTGTACAGGGTGTCTATTCTTGATCTTGCTTCCTCGCCTCTTATTTCAGCAATCACCGTAGGAGTGGTGACAAGATCGTGTCCATGCGCTAGGAGAGTCGAGATACCTGGAGTGTTGAGCAGGAGGGGCGATGAATCGAGAATGATGGTGTGGATGGGTTTGTCAACTACCGTGGCAGGAGGTGAGGCTTGAGCCATCTTGTCGACGTTGGTGGAAATGATGATGTGGATGAGTTCAGCCCCTCATGTTCGACGACGACTGTGCTGTGAAAGTCGAAATATTTTTTGAACGCGGATCTTATCTTATCGGAACCACCCACTGTCCACGTGAAGGCCTTTGAGAGTAGCCACTTAACGCGTCCCATGGCGAGTCGCGTCGTGGTCGACAACTTTCCGCAGGTATTGTCCTGAGTGCATCTCTTGCAATATTTCCACAAAACCAGAGATTCTCTTTGACCATCCACTTCCTAGCGAACCAGGATGTCGGACTATGAAGACGAAATGGATGTGGACATTGTCCCGTCCAAAGACAAGGCAATACACTTCAGCTCAGACAACACCGCAGGAAAGCAGAAGAGGATAGTCGCAGATCTTCCGATCGAAGCGGAAGATAACCTGCCATGGTGAGCATGATGACAAGAAAATCTTACTCCAGACTGACAACCTAGGAAGGGTTGAGAAGTACCGTCCAAATACACTCGACGATGTTTCTGGCCACCAAGATATTCTCGCGACCATCAATCGCTTTGTCGAGCGCAACCGACTTCCACATCTTCTCCTCTATGGACCACCAGGTACTGGTAAGACTTCAACAATCTTGGCTCTTGCCAGGCAGATTTACGGCCCCAAGAACATGCGACAGATGGCTCTTGAATTGAACGCATCGGATGATCGAGGAATTGACGTGGTTCGCGAACAAATCAAGACTTTTGCTTCGACGAAACAAATCTTCAGTACATCAACGCAGCAAACATCCTCAACGGCTAAATTTGGGATCGGCGCATTTAAATTGATCATTCTGGATGAAGCAGATGCCATGACGAGTGCAGCACAAATGGCACTCCGGCGAATCATGGAAAAATATACCGCAAATACTCGATTCTGTATCATTGCCAACTACACACACAAGCTCTCCCCGGCGCTACTGTCCAGATGTACGAGGTTCCGATTTTCCCCTCTCAAAGAGGCAGATATCCGACGGCTTGTTGACCATGTCATTCTACAAGAGCACGTCAATATCGTCCCCGAAGCAATCGACTCACTTGTCAAGTTATCCAAGGGAGACATGCGCCGGGCACTCAACGTTCTTCAAGCATGTCATGCTGGATCGAGACCATTACCTATGCGAGGACAACCGCCAATTAAGGAGGCCGACATCAAATACGATCTCATCACTAATGACACGATTTACAATTGTATTGCTGCACCCCATCCAGAGGATATTCGATTGATCATGACAACGATGTTGAGCACACCGGACGTGACCAGTTGCCTCACAACCATTAACGCTCTAAAGAGCAGTCGTGGCCTGGCTCTGGCAGATATTTTGACTGCATTAGCTGAAGAATTGCAAACGCTTGAGGCCAGCACGGCGACACGTGTGACGTGGCTGGAAGGACTGGCCGAGATTGAGTATAGACTTGCGGGAGGCGGCAGCGAAGGCGTGCAAACTGGAGGAATGGTAGGGGTGGTGAGATCTGGGTGTGAGCTTGTAGGGGCAAAAGGAATAGGGGAAATGATGAGTGTTGATGGTTGAATCAGACGAGGGACATTCTTGTGCTACAGGCCAGCTGGAATCACGAACGAAGAACAGCCAGGGAGACAAGGAGAGTCAGCATGAGCTAGCTCATAGGCACTCTTGACGAAATCTGATTAAGAGGATACTCATGCCAACAGAAAAAGAAGTATAGGATTTTGGCGACCCAGGATTGAATGTTTATGGAACCCATCAATCCTGAGGAAGTTGACCGATATGCCCTCCAGCACGGTAGGGTAAAATTCAGAGGCAAGCCGAGCATTTCAGCCAGGGGATCTGGAGCCTGACCAGCCCATGGATTGCTTTGAAGATACTAGCCACGGATGATGTTTTGCAGGGGCACTGGTGGTGGGCTCATGCAGCAACAGCTCCAGGCCACACATGAAGCAAAATAAATTCATGGAAAGGCCTGACACAGGTCAACGCTTCTAGCCCTGAGACTGCTTCGATTACATGAGGATGAGGATGAGCCTAGGTATGAATTCAATATCATGAGGAGGCGTAAGATGCATACTATTGAATTGTGACTGTCACCTATGATCTGCATAATCTCGTACAACCGCTCTCGGCGGACGAGCTAGAGCGGCTCTTGGCAGGTCTAACGTGGCCCTTCCGTTGGCAGGCTGCCGACTTCAAACACCGTCCTTCTTTCCATAAGTAATTCACCATGGCGGACTTAGGATCTCTCTAATCTGAATTCTTGCTTGCTGCTCATTGTACACAAGACACACGCCACTTTCGAACCCTCAAATACAGCACGTCCACAGCCTGGAACTGCCTGATTCCTTACCTCAACCTTGGCGGTCAGCCCGCCTGCTTTGGCAGCAACAACATTGGACCATTGACTTTCATGTGCTTGGCCTTTCCCAACAGCAGTTCGGCTCGTACTGTCCATCTCCAGGATAGCACCATCCACATGATCTATGTAGTCTCCTTTGTTTGGATGAGTATAGCCCTTCTGGTTCATTTGTCGGATTTGAGCGATGACGAGATTTGCCAACTAAACGGACTTATTCGCACCACAATTTGCTTCAGGAAACAGAATCCCACCCCAAGCTTAGTCGCTTGGGCAGCTTCGAGGGTGATCCTGAAGACTCTACGCAATGCCCTTGTTACTCATATCGGCGCCGAGTATTTGGTCGCAGTAACCAAGGCTCCCTTGATGAGACGGGCCTCAAATCTGCGGATTACGCAATGTGATAACAATCATTACCATTTCCATTTCACTAACAGAATACTCACTTTCGCAGGAACTGGATACATCTTGCCTGGTGATAAGACATTGCAGAGCACTGTTGCAATGTCTTGTCCACAAGAGGCAAACAAAGTCGCGGTTGATATGAGTCTTGGCAGAGTTGACTTGCAGACAGTGGTGGGAAAGCGGCAGCAAAGTCGAACTGTGAAATGTGACGTGCGAATTTCTCACAGATCAGACTTTGTGTCAAATTGGGTTACTACGTAGATAGATTGCCTTCTCATGAGGGCCTTTTGCCGTCACCGTTGTCTTTGTTGACACAAAGGCAGCGCTGCGCTTGATCATCTTGCTGGGCATCCTGCACTGCGCTGCACCACACGATCACATCACGTGAGGGCCCAGTCAAGCCTCACCTGGCAGACACACTTCGACGATTGTAGAACCTCTGACTGTACATCCAGTCTCTGCCGACCACCGCCAACTATCATCATTGAAGTCATCGACCATGCGAGCAGCAGAGTCAAGTCGAGGATGGAAGTGGAGGGAACGGCATTCAGTATGCCCAACAACAGGTGAGTCCGAAACCCCCCAATAGCCTGGTCTCTCCAGTGCCCACACACTGGAGTCTGCAGGGCGGCAGGCTTAGCCGTCCAAGCTCCGGCATCTCTGAGCCGGCTATTTCTCGCAAGTCAAATCACCGCAGCTGCCAAGGCGCTCATCAGCCCATCGGCCATACCCTACTGATTCTCAGGCCTGCGTAGGTGTCAACCGTACCAACGAGTACGAGCATCACCATCGAGACTTCCATCCACAATCCCCATTGCTGCCTATCCCAGATGCATCCCAGGCGTACATGGCCGGGCCTCGAGCGAGTCCATCAATGAAGCATCGTCGGAGAGCTGAAGGAGATCTGCGTGAGAGAAACCCACATCGACCGTGGGACAGAGGCAGAGATCCAAGTCCTGGTCGGCGGCTACATTCACCAGACCCAACGTTCAGACAGGACCACGCTACTTTCACCAGAGACCGAGATCAGGGCAATTGGGATAAGCGTCCTCCACATAAGAAGGGCCACCCACACAGGAGTTCTAAGAAGTCGTATCCTGCAAGGCCTTCGTATTCGCCGTCGCGTTCTTCCAACCCAAAATACAGTCATTATCCAAGACCGAGACAAGCCGATCATCCGTTCGATAGACCTCGCGAATACTCGCCAGACCGCCAAACTAAACGAAGGCGTACCAGGAGCCCCTCTGTTGCACACATCGAGCGCGGTCGCTTCGGATACGATCAACGTCAACGTGATCGCCCCAGTACTGAAGATATCAGGCGGAGTAGCGTTTCGCCTCATAGAGAGGACAATCACCATCCTTCTCGCCCGAGATCGAGTTCGCGCACGTCGAATACCGAGCCTTTTGTACACCCTGACCGGAGAAGAGATTTCACCCCTCCTGTTCGCAGACGCGGTAGACACTCGAAATCGCCAAACCGCTCTTCCCAAGCATCGCCCGATCCGCGCGTCGACTCACATCCTTCGTCTATACATACTCGAGAATCTTCGATTGTTTCAAACCGACCACCGCACCGCCCAGAAACAGGTGGCAAGACACGTTTTGCCGCTGAGAAGCCTACACGGCGAAGCAGACCTGCCTCTAAAACCCCTTCTCTCCCTGGCGACACAGAGACTCGATCCATGGATGGCCAATATCCGCCGCGTGGAGGTTATGGGCACCGAGGACAACAAAGACCATATGTAGATACACGACACCACCAGCAGCCTGCTGGCTCACCTCCGTTTCCATCAACTCCAAACAGCTCCTATCATGGTTCACCCCAAGCGAACTCTCCTTACCACAACCAAAGAGGCGGCTGGGGCCGAGGCAGGGGCCATTATGGGTACGTCTCGATCGAACCATCATCTCTTGATTGCTGCTAACAACTACTAGCCAAAATGCCTCTCCTCCTTATCGACAGCACAGTTATACCGGCCCAACTAATGCCAGCAACCCGAATCCCTTTCCTCCAAATCAGCAACAACAGTACGGCGGCCAGAATCATCAGGGCTACCATCACTCCAATCGGGGTGGTCGAGGGCGTGGGGGCCATTTCAATCAGCAAGGTCCACCTGACCGAAGATTCAGTGGTCCTCATCGAGGCAGAGGTGGTCAATACCAGAATCTGCAATGGACCCCATCAGGTCCTCAACAAAGCGGGCCTCAAGGCCAGAACTTTCAGATGAGCTCTGCGAATTCAACTCAGATATCAAGTACGACCGCTCAGAACTCACAAGATGAGCGTGATCAATCAGAAGAACAAAACCAATCTCGTCCATCAAAAGATCTACAAGTGGAGGATCAACGAGATCCTCGTTTCAATACAGCTTCAACACAGCAGAGCAAAGAACAGACGGAAACTTCGGCGTCCAAATTCAGTTTCGCATTCAAATCCAAAGCCCCTCCACTTGGTCCAGCTAAGTCAACTGCAGATTTCGCTAACAGACCCAAAGCGGCATTTCAACCTCCTGACAACTGGGCTGCACAACATCCTAAGAATAAATTCAATGATCGCCGAGAGGATAGACCAATCCCAAGAGGCCCAGCAGATCGAAAGTTCCAAATGAACGACCGATCAAGACATTTCCAAGACCGCTCACAACCTACAAACGACCGAAGGCCAGAGAGATCACGTTCTCCGCCTTCGAAGAAACCGAAGAGAGAGATGAAGTCAAGACCTGTCTTACCTCCCGAGCTTGCACAATCCGAGTCGATATACTATCGCAAACCTGGAAATGAATCAGTAGTTGGTGCAGGCACTTATGGGAAAGTTTTCAAAGCAATTCACATTTATACCCAGGACAAAGTCGCGTTGAAAAAGATCCGTATGGAAGGTGAACGAGATGGTTTCCCAATCACGGCCGTACGAGAAATCAGACTATTGCAACATCTCCGACATAAGCATGTTGTGGCGCTACAAGAAGTCATGGTGGAGAAGAATGAATGTTTTATGGTGTTTGAGTATCTATCTCATGATTTGACGGGCCTGATAAACCACCCAACATTCAAGCTCACTGCCGCACACAAAAAGGATCTCGCTCGACAGATGTTCGACGGGCTAGATTACCTCCACCGGCGCGGAGTTCTTCATCGAGATATCAAAGCCGCAAATATCCTCATCTCCAATACCGGTCAACTTAAATACGCCGACTTTGGCCTCGCACGCTTCTACACGAAATCACGTCAACTAGACTACACCAATCGAGTCATTACCATTTGGTATCGACCACCAGAATTATTGCTCGGAGAAACTCAATACGGACCCGAAGTGGACATATGGTCAGCTGCATGCGTGTTTGTCGAGATGTTCACTAAGAAAGCAGTCTTCCCTGGGGAAGGAGGAGAGCTGAGTCAACTCGACAAAGTCTACAACGTCCTCGGCACTCCTACGCGCACGGAGTGGCCTGGCATCATTGATTTACCCTGGTTTGAGCTCATGCAGCCGTCAGACAGGCGGAAAAGGGTCTTTGAAGCCATGTTCAAGGACATATTCAGTCTCGCAGGCCTCGAATTAGTTCAGTGGATGTTCAAGTACGATCCATTGAAGAGACCCAGTGCAGAAGAAGTTCTCGCACATGCCTATTTTGCAACTGAGGAACCAAAACCTCAACAAGCCGTTGAGCTTGCGAATGTCCCTGGAGACTGGCACGAGTTCGAGAGCAAGGCGCACAGACGAGAGAACGACAAGCGCGAGAAAGAGCGAAAGAAGGAAGAATACCTTCGTGAGCGTGAAAAGCGTAAGGCCAAGGAAGCTGGGCTGCCCGAGTCTGGGTCAGCCGTGCCACCGGAGAAGAGAGCGAAGCAAGGCACCAAAGAGTCGGGAAACGCGGTCGTTGAAACCGATGCCCAGAAGAAAGAAAATGACCGCGCCCGAGATGCAGAGCATGGTCCCGAAGACGATTCGGAGGGCGAAGGCAGCGCCAGAATGAGTATGTCGTAAGCGATAGTCAGAGGAATCCACAAAGGGTCCCTCTGTCTCGCGCGCATTATGCTTGGGCAAATCCGCTGATGCAATTGGGGCGTCCGCTGCCTGGCCTAGAGGCATCACGCCAGCGCCATCGCAGCTTGCATCTGGAAAGTGCCGGGCTACAACCGCATAGTCCACCTACCTCACGCACGAACACTATATGTATGTGACAAGTATCTAGCTATCCCCATCACTTAATCCAGTGCTGTGTCTTAAGTTCCGGTTTGTTAGCGTTGGAATTGGACAGAACTACCACGTGGATGGATGACCTGGCAGGCTAGCTGACCGGCACACCGATAGATAACTCAGTTCAATACGAGTACACACTACTATCTGTCAACCGAAAGGCTTTCCGTCCTTCATTGCCGTCATCGTCATTTCTGCGTTCCGTGAGTAGAGAGCAGAGCTTGAGAACTTGTTGCATACCACGGAAAATCATAAGTTTTCAAGTCAACGATGCCGATGAGGATGGATAAGCGGAACAAGCTCAAGGATCAAAATAGACATTACGGCCCATCGTATTGTACTTGGGCAAGTACCTAGCTCAATGGCCTCTCTGTTGCTGGTGAACTATGCCACGTCTGAAGATCGTAGCCGCATCTGTTTTCGTCATTCGTCAATGTAAGTGAGCCCATCTCTCAGTTCGTGGACCACGCTGCTGCCACGTCGATCGGGTTCATCCACATATTTAGTGCCATCTCGAAGCTCATGAACAACGCTGGGCGACCTTGCCTCCCTGCCGCTTCTGCGTGGAGTCGTTTCCCTGTCTTGGTTCTGTGTGGCTGTGGAAGGTGCTGTGGAAACAGTTGAGTCACGCCGCGTGCTGATTCGATCTGCCCGAGGTGAAGGAGTGTCGTCCCTGTCACTATCCTCCAAAGCTTGTCCGCCATCTCCCTCGTTGGAGAAGTTGTCCGTCAGGTTGGCTCGTCGTCGTCTGGCCGCAGGGAGCGATTTACTGGATTGTCGTGGTGACGTGGTAGATCCAAGTACCTGCCTGGCTACCTGATTTTGATCATCATCGCTCATCGGCCTCTGATTATCTGAAAATTCAGGATTGTCCATCACAGTGTGTCTTCGTCGTCCTTTGCTGCCTGAGGAGGCTTTGCTGGATTGGATGGGTGAACTCTTAACTCGAAGCCTAGTTCTCGTTGCAGGACCATCGGAAGATTCGCGAGCTCCATGGCCTTCGTCCGGTTTATAATCCATCTGATTCGAGGTGATGTTGTCATTCCACCAGCGAAAGAGTGACCAGGCATAGTCTGCCTCTGAAGAACCTTGCTCTAGCGGAGGACCAGACGAGACAACTTTCGGCTTAGATGAGTTGGAGCTGAAGGAGATGACCGCCCATGAAGAGGTATCACTACTTAGGAGCGCAAAATTCCTCTTAACTGTGTGAACTTTGAAATTGTGTAAGATGACTACATCGCCGGCTTGAGCTGTGGGAAGTGCTTTCTTCATTGGACGGAAGACTTGTGCAAGTACATGAGGATTCTGGTACAGTTCGCATGACAGATCAATAAGATGCAGGCTTGTGTGATAGTCTTTCGGTCCAGCTTTTGCACGTTCAGCCTTGGAAGATGATCTAGTACAGACAGCGATGACATCTATGAGCTGGCCAAAGTGCTCATTGAGGGAAGAGAGACGGGGGTAGTAGGCCAGTGGAGTGGTCAGGCCGCTGTCGCCAGTTGCCAAAGGCTCGAAGGATGGAAGAACGGGAGAGGGGAGTTGGTGAACCATCATGTCTGTAGACCTTTCTTGGTGCTCTAGGGTTTGATTCGGCGAGGAAGGGTATGTGTGACTCAGAGGGCTCGAGGGAGGGATAGTTTCTTCACGTGAAGGAGAAGTTGAAAATCTTGCTGACCTTCGAGGCGTAAAGAAAGGGCTAGAAATGCTTTTTGACAGGGCTGTATTTCTAGACGACAATCGTTGTGATGATCGTAGAGGTGCAACTACTCTCGGCCCAGAGGGAGTCGCAACTTGAAAGGCTTGCGTGGCTGATTGCGATGCCGGCTCATTGTCCGGGTCCTTCTCTGAGATATCAGTTTTGTACTTTTCTTGTGATGGCTGGGGAGAGGGAAGGGTGATTTGGTTCTCAGCTGGGACAACCTCCGGTCTGTAATCCAGAGAATTGTTCTCTTTCTGAGTCTGGTCTGGTGTAGGTAAATGAGTGTAATCGACACTTGCGCTGGACTGGTGTACAAAGAGCGGAATGGCGGGCGCTGCATGCTGCTCATGTGCTGGGGATTTGATGTCAAGATCCTGATTGGCGAGATCAGTATTTGATTCTGTTGGTAGTTCGGTATGCTCAGCGCGTACTGAGGCGCTTTGTTGTTGGTCATCAATATGAATTTCACTTCTTTGATCTGGAAGTATAGTCCCTGGTTGATTTCCGGTGCTCGCGGCGTCCTCATGAAAGCGTTCCCGCGATTCAACATTGCCATCGAGCGACTCAATCCAGCCGGCGCCCTCAACTTGATCATGTACTGGAAATGAGCTGAAGTCCGAGGCAGTGACAGCCGCGTCCAGTCTTAGAGCATCTGTCGCCCAATGTGCATGAACGGATGGCTCTACCACGTCAACAGCAGTTATGTCTACCATGTGATTGGAGGTAAAAAATGTAGAAGCACTGATCTCTGATTGCGAAAGTTGAAATGGCGCATGTAGATCACCATGTTCAGTTTGCGAGATCTGAGGTTGCGGCTCTGGAGTTTCTGTGAGGTCGCCTTCAGGCGCGCCGTATAGGTCTCCAGTCTCCACCCCCATTACACCGGTGGTGTGTATATTGTGTAACCTTTCGGCTGGTACGTTGGGATGAGAGTGAGTTTCGGCGACGAAAACTGTGGGTTCCGACTCAACATTTACGGGTGAAGGCTGATCATTGTTTGAGAGCTCCTGTGCGATACTGGCTTCGAGAGTAGATAGCCATTGATCAGGCAGTAGAGAAGGCTGCGTTTGCTCTGGAGTTGGGTAATCATTTGGTTGGATGGCATGGTTATAAGATGCGAAAATCTGGGTATCCGAGGGTGAGTCGCTCTTTCGCCTCTCCTGTAGCTCCCACGACTCAGAGACACGCTCTTCAACGATGACGGGAGACTCGTCTGAGGCTGCAGTCTTATTGTCGGAAATTTCCAGCATCGGATCAATGGCTGAATGGTCGGACCTGCCCCCACCAGAAGCATCCAATTGAGACAAGCCTTCCTGAAAAATTGGGAAATAGCCAACTTCAACTCCGCTCTGTTGAACTAATGGAGAGACCAAAGGTAATCCAGGCGAGGCTAGAGGGAGAATACGAGGGGTTGTTGCTCGATCGACATCACGCTCACCGGTACGAGGCAATAGTATATCCGGATTTTGTGAAAGATGAAGCTGCTTCAACGGTGTTGATGGAGGTCCCATAACGGTTGCACCTTGCGGTGGAACACTGGGATGAGGGTCTGTTGTCGAGATAACGGACGATTTCTGTTGCATATGCTTGTCGAGTGCAGCCTCTATCAGCACATCTTCGAACATTTCCTGCTGTAGGTCTGAAGATACAGGGGCCGTTCTGGGCGGACTTTCATTCTCAGTATCGCTATCCATCCTCGGTGCCTCATTGTTACCGACTTTTTGTTGTACAACTTTCAGCCTCGCTTCTACTGGCAGTCCGACTGCCCCATCGAATTCCGATTTGTTCCCATCGACTTCAGCGCCTCGGGGAGAGTTAGTGTCCGGTGCGACTCGTTCATCGTCAACCAAATCCCAGTCGCCACTGTGTCTGGCAAATTTGGTGCGCTTTCGACCTCGCCCGACAATGTAGCCATCATCATTGGCTAGGGTTGCGAAAGAGCTGGCGAAGAAATTGCCCCGAGTGGGTTGTCGAGTGGGTTTGGAGGGTGTCAAGTAGGGGACCTGGATGGCGCTCGGCTTCTGAAGCGCCAAGCCATTCAACGAAGCCTTGATGGCGGAATTTCTGGCTCGCAGAATATTTTCAGTGTCAGATATGGGAACGGTGGACTGGGAGTCAGGAGCCGTATAGTCTAGCAAGATAGCGCTCCGATCTTGTGAATGGATTTGTAGGACTAGGCGGGAGTGGAATTGTAAATCCCATTCTAGTCTCTTTCCCGGAGTAGATAATATATCGACAGTTTCCTTCCATTCACAGCCAACGAGGGCCAGCTTTATTTTGTCACCTATGCCCACCTTGGTGTTTGCGACCTGTTTGGCACAGCCGCCTCGAAAGACTACCTTGACCTGGCCACGAGACGTATGATCGACTAGTAAAAGACTGAAAGTAGCGGTTGAATTTGAATATGGCCATACTAGAGCAACGTTGGCCTCGATATGTGACCGAAGGGCTGTCGGCGTACTCGTAGGAGAAAGGCCAGTAACAGGGACGGCCAGGGATGCATCGAAGGTTGTGTCTATGCGTTGAGGCGTTGTTGGCGCATGCACAAGAGGGGCCACTGTGGGCATGATGATGGCGACCGAAAACTCAAGGAAGTGGGATAGGCGTCTTGCTCCATAGCTATCCAAACTTGATGTCCATAAATAGGAATGAGGATGGATGGGATGGGCTAGTGGGAGGAATGTTTTGGTAACCAAAGAAATGGGGTGCGGAGACACGCGATCAGACGGAGAATGAAGGAGAATTACTTGACAGTAATATTTATTACTCGTAGTCACAGGCCAGACACGGGACGCGGGGCCGGAAAATCTTAAGGGCGCTTCCGAGTCCAAGTGCGCAGGGAGGAGCTCCCAACACCAAGCAGAGTACGAGGAAGGCACAGTGGACTTCCTACACGGGTTTCACATCTTTCATTGTGCTGTGTTTCAGTGTGGACCAGGATTCTCGGGAATGAATGGATCAACATACACCTCCATCATTAAGTAGATCATTCTGCCCAACACCTGTTTCTTCTTGACCATGGCGGGGCTTTGGAAACAGACGTTTTGAGACGGCTGCGCCTGGATGCAGACGCTCTTCACAATAACAGAGCAGTTGGCAGAAACCTCCGCTTCCAAACCTCAGAATGAACAACGAAGAACCAAGTGAATGAGCCTCGCTTGAGGTTTGTCCATGGTAGACCTTTCCCTTCCATCCACTTCACTTCACTTCATTTGACTGAGTGACTTCGGCAATGCCCAACAACCTGCTCATCCATTTCCTGTCTCGATTGTCTACTTTCGCTTCCCGCCCCGGTCGGTCGATTGTTCTTAAAGCCACGTTCTTTCTCTTTTTCTTTATCTTTCGCGTGACTCTTGTCAAACACAGACTTCTTTGGCCGTTCAGATACGACTGCAATGCTGAACCGTCTATCCTTTCTGCTGCTGGTCAGCACGTTCGTTTGTTACTCCTCAGCAACCTACCGGCTAGTTCAGGACTACTCTGGTGACGCGTTTTGGGAAGGGTTTGACTTTTTCACCGACCGCGATCCCACTGACGGCCTTGTCCAGTATCAGTCCCTCGAGTCTGCCAATGCCACAGGCCTTGCAGGCTTCATCGACGGAGACAACTCGACATATGCCATCTTCATGGGCGTGGATACTCAAGAGGTGGCCCCTGAGGGACGAGCCAGCGTCAGAGTCTCCTCGACGCGGACATTTCAACACGCCCTCGTCATTGCAGATATTGTCCACATGCCAGGTGGCGTCTGTGGCACTTGGCCTGCATTTTGGATGTTGGGAGCAGATTGGCCAAACAATGGAGAGATTGACATTGTTGAAGGTGTCAACGACCAATCGGCAAACAGTATGACCCTTCATACCGCTGCCGGGCCCATCATCAACAATGCACCAGACTTCTCTGGCAAATTGGTGACCCCGGACTGCGACGTCAATGCTGTGAACCAACCAAAGAATGCGGGATGCTCAATTGGGGACACCTCGAACTTGACCTTCGGCTCTGACTTCAACAATGCAGGAGGTGGTGTATTTGCAACAGAATGGACCTCAGAATTCATTAAGATCTGGTTCTTTCAACGAGGTACCTTTCCCAACGACATTGTCAGCAATGCTCCCGACCCGGCCAGCAACTGGGGCACCCCGAACTCGGTTTTTCAAGGTCAATTCAATATCGATGACCATTTCAAGGATTTACAACTTGTTTTCGATACCACATTCTGCGGACAGGTAAGCCTGATCAAGTCATGTGTCGTTAAACCTAGTGTATTGTCCCGATTACTAACACAGCTGTGCGAATTAGTGGGCAGGGGAAGTGTGGAACTCGTCAAGTTGCGCATCACTTGCTCCAACCTGTGAAGAATATGTAGCCAATAACCCAGGCGACTTTGCCGACGCTTACTGGGCGATCAATACTCTTCAGGTATTCCAAGATTCAGGCCAAGACGGGAGCTCTGCGACGGCTAATGGTACGCCACCAAATGGCGCACCTCCCGGGCCTGGGGATGCACCTCCACAGCCAGTTCAACGACGACCTAGGGATTCCAGGGGGCGAGTTATGCCTATTTATTTCTAATGACTGATATCCCTCATGTTTATTGATACCCTCTGTTTTCAGCGAGGCGTTGGTGGTTATGTACATTTACACAAGCTGAGATGGGGCCATGCGCCCGATGGAGATGGGAGAGTACGGCGCACAGAATATTGAAGTGCAGTCGAAGATGTGCGGCAGCCGTCAGGATAAGAAACGCCCAGATGTTGGCTTTCCGAATCAAGAATTTGGTGGTGAGCTTGTTTATGATGTCGATCGCGCGGCATATGACGATCGTAGCCGAGTAGTTCTTCGTTGAACAACAGAATAGGTGGTTCCAAGGCGAGCCTAAAGCTTACCAGTTGATCGTTGCCGGGGGTGCCATGGGAATTCGGCAAGCCTGACTGCTCCACAATCTCCTCATAACTCATCATTTATTCAGTCTGGTTCGCTGGCGCAAGGTATCCTAGTCGGCGAGCAAGGATCTGAGTTGTAGCTCGTAAGACACAAACCTTCATCTGCCGCACACATTTTGACCATCTAACTAACTAGTACCTATGTAGTAGTAGTATGTACAGTTTGATCGGTTCCGCCTCCACCCAAGTTCTTCGCCCTTCAACAAGCAGGGCACGTCGAGCTAGCATCCCTCCAGTCAACAAGATCTCTTGAGCTGGTTCATTCGGGTTTCCTGCAATCAAAAGAAGGACGCTGGTCAAACGTCCTATTTTGAGAGATTTTTACAGGTAGCGGACAGCCTGTCGCGTATCGGTCTGTACAAGTAGCGGGAGCGGACTATTCAGACCTTTGAAAAACGTCATGGTGGGTCGTCAGGCGGGTCGTGGCGGGTATGTTGTTACATGTAGTTTGGAGTAAGTCGGCATTCAGCTGTGCCATTGAGTGGTTACGAGTAGACCAGCATCCGCCCCTCCTCGCTGGATAACATCTCAGCCTCTCGTCGCAAGCAAAGTCCCACAGAGGCTCTCTGCTCTAGCCGCACTCAGGACTTTACTAGATCAAACGCAGACATAGGCAATTCCCCAGACTGACAATACTCGGGACGCCTTTTTGAATTTTCCCATCAGCTGGAAAGCCCATGCGGCCAGGACTGACGTCAATTCTCCCAGGATGTCCGTGAAGCTAGTCATTTGGAACATGCCCGCCCAATGGCTCTTCGCAATCTGGTGCTTTCCACTATTGCCTCCTTCGACTGCGATCTTCATAGGACTGGTATGTAGAGTAGTAGCGACCGAGTTCTGATCCACTTCAAACGTCGAAGTTTCATGCTTATTGATATCATTGTACATAAAACTCCAACCTGAATTCTCGTTGTCGAGCGCCGTTGGTAGGTTCCTAGACTGGAGTCTATTCCGTAGACTTTGTGGACATCCTGCATTTTCGAACTCATATATCAGTCTGGCGCCCGTCCATCTTACAGACTCTGAGGGTCCTATACTTTTTGGACCTGCCACCTTATCTTTCCCATCATGGCTGCCACGGATAAGCACCCTACCTTCAAAACCCCTACCTTCGATCTACCGGCACCAAGCAGTGCTGGGGAAAGCTCAACACTAAATGATTCCAATGGCGACTGGGAAAAGGCATCCACAGTCCACCCAGAAGACGAAGCGCAACAACGAGTCCGCCATTTGGATCACGAGAAGACTGAACAAAATGCCAAACACGACTCACACGGCTCCGAACCGCAAACTTTTGACAAAATCGAAATTACGGAAGCCGATTGTGAAAAGGATCTTGGTTTTGCCTTCCCGGAGTGGAAAAAATGGACCATTCTCACCGTGATTTTCCTTGTTCAGCTATCCATGAACTTCAACACTAGTCTATATTCCAATGGCTTGACTGGTATCTCGGAGGAATTCGGTGTCAGCGCACAGGGAGCAAGATGTGGTGCCATGATCTTCTTGGTTCTTTATGCTTTCGGTTGTGAACTGTGGGCTCCCTGGAGCGAAGAGCTTGGTCGATGGCCAATACTCCAGCTCTCCTTGACGCTCGTCAACATTTGGCAGCTTCCTGTGGCCCTGGCCCCTAATTTTGCGTCAATCATGGTTGGTAGAGCATTGGGCGGTCTCAGTTCTGCGGGCGGCTCTGTGACCTTGGGAATGATCGGTAAGCTGACCCTGACATTCTATAACCCGGGTTTGCTAACTATTTTGTCCAGCCGATATGTGGGATGCAGATACTCAACAGTACGCCGTCGCATATGTTGTATTCTCCTCAGTATTCGGCAGTGTCCTTGGTCCTATCGTTGGCGGCTTCGTTGAACAGTATGTCCCAAGCTGGAGATGGACGATCTGGATTCAACTCATCTTTGGCGGTGCCGTCCAGGCCGCACACTTCTTCTTTGTCCCCGAGACCCGGGCTACCATTATTATGGACAAAGTCGCGAAGAAAAGACGCAAGGCCACTGGTGAAAACATCTGGGGCCCCAACGAACTTGAGCCACTTCGTGATCGCTTCAATATGAGAGAGGTTCTAATTACCTGGATTCGTCCATTCAAGATGTTCCTCACAGAACCAATTGTGTTGACATTGTCGCTCCTCAGTGGTTTCAGCGACGCTCTGATCTTTATGTTCATCCAGTCCTTCGCTTTGGTATATGAACAATGGGATTTCCAAATCTATCAAGTCGGCTTGGCTTTTCTTCCCCTTGGTATTGGATACTTGCTGGCCTGGCTCGCGTTCATCCCCGCTATCAAACGCAACGTCAAGGAGAGAAGGGCAAAACCTGGCGACGAAAAGGCTCAGTATGAATCACGACTATGGCTTCTTCTGTACGCAGCGCCTTGTCTCCCCATCGGCCTGATCGGCTTCGCCTGGACGATTCAGGGGCCCCCGCTGCACTGGATAGGGAGCATGATTTTTGCAGGATTGGTTGGGATAGCGAATTATTCGATTTATATGGCCACCATAGACTATATGATCTGCGCATACGGGCCATATTCTGCCTCTGCAACCGGCGGCAATGGCTGGTCCCGAGATTTCCTTGCTGGTGTCTTAACAATTCCAGCCACTCCTTTCTTTGAGAGTAAGTTGTCTTTTTCCAGGATAAAACCGGGAGCTGACAACAGATAGATATTGGCGGTCGCTACCACCTCAACTACGCCGCGACAATTCTGGCGTGTATCTCTTTCGTTCTCGTCATTGCGGTTTATGTCATCTATTGGTATGGACCAGCGCTTCGCAAGCGTTCTCCATTCGCACAGCACCTTGCAAATGCAATGGCAGATAGTGACAAACGTCGTCTGTCATATCTTCCATCTGCGTCTGGCACTTCGGCATCTCGGAGATTATCTCGCATCAATACAAATGCCTCCCGCGAGGTCGATTCGCGCCGACAAAGTCAAGCAGAATTCGTTCGCAGACAAAGCATGCCTAGGATGGGGATCAATGATGGTAAGATGAGGACATGCGATTGTGATTAATAGTGGGTTTTGCAATTTCGTTCTGGTTGTGTGCTTTATGCTGTTCTCATGTGGTGGTGGAGGAGACCAGACTCACCAGGAAAGTCATTCTGGAGGGCTTCTTGATATGTGTGAGAAACTGTACAATAGATCCATGTTAGCTAACGACCTAGTTAATTCTGTATCCGGCACAAGCCCGGTTTATTGTGATCCGGAAAGGATCAGAAGGTTCCATCATTCCATATTCCGTGCTGCCAGCTTTACCTGAATTGCCACAGAGCCTTTGCTGTCATGCAAACATCCGGTGATCAAGAACGTCGCCCACGAAGGCATCATCCTCAATGAAGTATCCTCCTGTAAGCCTTGGTCTTACAAATGGCTAAACCAGCTTTGTGGGGTTTCTAGTAGGGTTGAAAGATCGCCTGTTATGTATGTCTTTGAGTCAGGACAGACCAGTATCCAGGAATGAAGAGTCATCTAGGTCCCAACCGAGCACATCGAAATGCAGTCCAAGATTTAGACCCGTCATCGGATCAGTGCCGAACGCATCATTGGAATTATTGAAGGCGACGCTTGACATAGACTCTAAAGGTGATTGAAGTGAAGCGGCCGCTGTTGATGCAGATGGCGTTAGTAAGGAGGAACTCGGATTTTGGTTTCGCGCTGCGGCCTTTTCAGTGTTTCTAGAGCGAGGAACGCTGCTGCTCTCAAGATATTTCTTCGTCGACGACGGGCCTCCCATCACTGTGTAGATTTCGGGCACTAGGCTATGGAGAGTCTCAACACCGTCTGTCGGTGCTTCGCCCATGTTGACTCTGTTTCTAGCATCTCGGGAGTAGCCCTGGTATGCGTCGAGGATTTTAATCAGACTTCTTCTCCCATGTATAGCAATGGGTATTGAATTCTTGTCTTCGGCCAGCTCCTTCAGATCGTGCATCACCAGTTCAATATCACTTAGAATTTTTGATGGAAGTATCGGGCGCTCCACAACTAAAAAGACTGCAATCGAGATCGCTGCGCAGAATATTTGATAGCTCTGAACGATTTTCTTGGACGACCTGCGAAATCTCTCGGGATCGGACGAACGGATGTCATGATAAACGGCAAAAGCATCCTCAGTCGCAGCAACACACTTTGACCAGCAAGACTCGAAATGCGTGCGCAGAAAAGGCCGATACATTCTGATTCGTTGGATGCAGATTGACGTATGCACGACATGCTGTTGCCATTGAAGGTAATCAAAGGACGGAGGAAGGGAGGTGCTAATGAAAGGCGATGATCCAGAGTCCGCCTGTCTGAGAAGATACCAGGGATATTGGTTTACGATAGTAGTGACTTCTTGGTCGACAGCTGAGACAGCGTCATAGTCTGTTATATCGCTTCCGTTATTCGCGTATAGCCTGTTGAGAACTTTGAATACTTTTGCTCGGAACACGTGCTGTGACATGACGGTGGGCTGTTCAATGGGTCTCACAAGTATAGAGGTAGCTGTAAGATCGCAATCGTCGCAGTTTTGGGGGAATGGCACTTCTGATAGATGAGACTGGACCAAAGGCTGCCGATCTAGGCATAGAGATTGGAAAGTATCATTCGAACAAAGGTCCCACCAGATACGATGTCGCAGCTCTGATTCAAGGTCCGAAGATGGCGCTCGATCCTTATCTAGGCCTAGTGCTTGAGCACATCTGATGGCTTGGCCAAGACACGAGTTGAGTGTTTCGATAGCTTTAGTAGCATACCAGTACAGTTGTGATTCTTGGAAAACCATCAGCTGCGTGAGGCATGGTCGCGCCTCGTACTCTCCCGCATGAAGGGCTAGCCGTGATAGCTTAAACCAATATGGTGCGCTCTCCCTGAGTTCTGCGACGTCAATCGCGTTAAAGGTCTCTGGTTCAATGAACATGGTGCTTAGGCTTATCATAACATAAAGAAGTGACAGCCAAACCAAGTCGGCAGATGCGACTGGCGTCGTCCAGAAAGAGGAGTATTGTTGTCGAAAGGATGAACTGTGAATCGTCTGGTAAAGGTAGTTAATGTGTTCCAAGAACCAAGATACATAGAGATCGCACTGTGATCGCAGTGGAAGTGAGCCGACTAGGTATATTTGCCATTCGATCCTCTCGTTTGGGGCCAGTCGACTCCCAGCTCCAAACAAAGATGACACAGAGGGGGCCGTTATAATGTGGCGACCTGTTTTCAGCTCTTCAAGAATGCGGTGCATATGCAGAGCTTCAGGGCTACTTAGTGAATGATCGGGCCATCTTATCTGTGCGTGAGTCACAGGTTGAAGGTGAGGTGACGGATTGACACTAGTGCAATAGTCGTCTTCATTTCTAGCATCTGCAGTACAGACCAGAGAAGGATTCGTCTGTGAGGTATTAGGATATCCAACCAGCCGCAGTTCATCCCTGGGTGAACGCCTGTCTTGTCTTGGGAGAGGTAACTTGTTGGTGGCTGAGACCTGAGGTTTCTGGTAAGTCTGACACTGATCAACGCAATTGTGTCTGACACAGCTTCTGCAGGGGCTGGACCGATCGCACCTGACTTTTCGTTCGCGACAAGGTCGACAGCTAAGGATCTTGAAATTCTGGCCCATGGCTTCAGGAGATACAATGTGAACAGGCCGCGAGGAGGATGATAACTAACGCTCCATCATAGCCAGGTTTTGGGTACTGCAAGTCCGTCATTCTTCAAATTGTGCCTCTGGCGACGAAGAGCCATGCTTGACGTCGACAGATGAGCTGCCTGAGCTGTGCTGTATCTCTGTGAATCTGAGAATCGATAAGCAACAAAGAGCCCCCAGAACTTGGGTAAATGAAGCCGAGGTCAATTAAAGGTTCCGGGGCTAACTTGGCGTGGTTAGCTAGACACCACCGACCATGAAAGGAAGGAGCGCTTGACCAAGAAATTGGTTAAGACCTGCCTCAGTTCCCCAAATTCAAGACTTAGCTATCACGGTGGCATTCCGCAGTGGCGGCTGGACTTGTTCCGTCGAACCCTCAAATTGGCCTTCATGCAAGCCACAGTATCGACGCCAGCGCTATCATAATCTGGTCTGGGTCACTTGTGACCTGATAACAGTGGCAAGTGAGGGTCTCGCCAGTCCGAGGCGGGATAGTTTGCCGAGATAGCGTCATCTCCCTCCGAGCGGGTCAATACGATAGCCTAGACCCCGAGCTCGTCATCCGATTCGACGAAACGCGAGAAAGGGAGGAAATCCTGATAAAGGAGGGTAGTGTTGGGGCGCCTTGACTCATTCGCATGGACCGGAAATCATTCGAACGCTAGATAGACATCTCTTCTTACCAGGATACTCTTAGGTTGACAACTTTAGAGAATGACTGGCCTCTTGTTCAGAGGAACGGCCCAATCACAGGCCATTCCTCACGATCATGCTCCCGCCCATGTATCGGAAGTTCGACCACACTTCAGGCATCACTCACTACCTAATAAACATGGCCTATTGTTGAGTCTCAATCACTTGCAAACCTGAGTGAACTCTGAAAAGCCAGTCTTCACCTGCTTCATTCTCCTCTTACGCATCACTCTGACTGAATCAAGTCGGTATGTCGTAATGGAAGTCGCTGCAGTATCATGTGGAATTCCCCAGTGGATTGATATGAATGGAGTACGAACTCGAACTTCGATCATCCACACTATTTCAGACTGCATTACCCTTGAAAGCGGAGGTGGTATCAATGGAAATAATACCGCGGTGCACGATGCTCCAGTCTATGCGTTCTTCACACATCACTACGAGTATTGGAGACAGAAACTTGGTGTGACCAAAGAGATCTGGAATTGGGGCCATTGGGGGGAGAACATTACGTTCAGAACCGATCAATACATGGACGAATACAATTTCAACTTGGGCGATGTATGGAAAGTCGGCACCGAAGTCCTGCTTCAAGTTTGTGGTGCTCGTGTTCCGTGCTTTAAGCTGGCGTGGAGATGTGGTCAAAATGATAAATGGTTGAAAGAGTTGGCGGACACGGGCTTCTCTGGAGTATATCTGCGAATAATAAAAGGAGGGAGCATTCATCCGGGTGACCGAGCAGAGCTCATCCGAAAATTTAACAACACTGCAACCATTGCTCAAATCAGTCAGCTGGCTTTTGATACTAGCCTCGAGACAAAGGATACCCTGAACTTGCTTGTCAAAGAACCAGATCTCTTGCCTATGAATAGGGGCGGTTTCTTACGCAGGCTTTCTAAGATCCATGACGACGAGCTCGTTGGCAAGAATCACTGGACAGGTTGGAGAACATTCAGGGTTGCGAAAATTGTGCAACACTGCGATGATATCAAATCTTTCTATCTCCGGCCTCTAGACAAGAAACCCTTGGGAGCTTATCTACCGGGACAGTTTCTGACAGTTCGCTTACCGAACGGACTGCTAAGAAACTGGTCAGTATCCGATTGGCCGGACCACGACGACCCAGACCATTATCGTTTGTCCATCAAAAATGTTGGTGAGGCGTCAAGGTGGATGCACACAAGATGTACACTGCAAACAAACCTTTTCGTTCGAGTACCTGCTGGCAGCTTCATTTTGGATTGGTCCCCAATGCTTCCCCTTCGACAAGTTTACCTTTCCGCAGGAATTGGAATTACGCCAATCGTCTCCATGTTAAAAGCCCACCTAAAGCATTACACTATGCGCAGAGCGCCTGCTATCTGGGTGCATGTGGCACGGGATGAGTGCAGTTTTCCTTGGGAGTTCCTCGAAGAAGTACTCGAATCATATGATGAAGAGTTGCGGAAGAAGCATATTCTAGATATCTTTCTCGTCTACACCAAACCGCCAGGATCAAAAGTTGATCAAGTAACTGAAATTCCCTTCAAGCATGGGTCGGAAAGTCCGGAACGGCAAGCAGTGAATGGAGATGCAATAATGAAAATGCTCCCGGCAAGTGACATTTCTGCACCAGTTGATAAAGCCGAAGCCAGGGCTAGCATCGCTCCATTTGATCCAATACCAAATGGTAGCGACCTAACGGGAACTCCAATATCAAGCACTGCATCATCGACAGAAGGCGGCTCGGAGGAGAGTCCTGCGACTTCATCGAGCGATGACTCCTCAACCTCCAAGCATAATGATTTCAATAAAACAGGGTTTCAGGCTAAGGCAATTCCACCAAATGAATATCTAAGAACTATTAACGGTCACCGGATTGATCGGGACTTTCTCTCCAACATCCTCTCCTCACCCTACTATTTTGACCCTTTACAAATTACCCCGATAGAAGTACCTGGGCCTTCGACTTCAACTGTTTACATCTGTGGACCTTCTTCCTTCGAACAGGACATGAAGACCCACCTCCTAGACATTGGTGTTCCTGATTCACTTCTACGCTCGGAGTCCTTCTCGGCATCCGGAAACGTCGAAAATACCATATCGAGCATCAAAAAATCAAGCGTCACATTCAAGCGGTCTGGTATCACCGCAGATTGGAGTACCCCCGAGACAGATGGTCGATCCACTAAGCCCTTGACGCTCTTAGAATTTGCAGAAAGCTTAGGTTTAGAGCCAGACTTTGGTTGCAGGGCAGGCCAGTGTGGTTCCTGCAGAGTTACCCTGGCGAATGGGACAGTAACTGGCGGGCTACAGCCAGATGGGAGCGTGCTAATGTGCCAAGCAAGACCAGCCAGTGAGCTTTTAGCATTGGAGTTATAGAATTGCCAACCAGGTCGATCGAAACTAAGGGGGAGTTATGTACTATGATCGAGAGATTGGGCTAGAGACCACGATTTAAATTTAGCTGAACTATTCATGGATGTCTAGCATCCAACAAGATGCGTCAGCTTAAAGTCCCTGACTATTTCACCTATTCTACCTCTGACGGGCAAGATTACATCTTCTCAGAATCTTTCTCGATTTCTGAAATACGAGAGCTCTTCTCTCCTGGCAAAGGCACTTCAACCCCACGCATGATATCGGAGCTGTTGATGAAATCCTCCTTCAGCTGGATTGCTTCCTGGCGACTAACCGAATTGACAAATTCCTGCTGCGACCGAACGGGAAACATGTACCCGAGAATTACTGTCATAGTGAAACCTGCGCAACACAGTTAATTGGTACAATCTGGGATTCTGTCTAACGAGACTTACTAATTGCGAAACTGCTGATTGCCGTCAAGAGATACATATGCTCTGCTCCGGTACCAACTTTAATGGTGGGGTTGACCGTGTGCAAAAAACCTGGGAGATGCGGAGCAACGCCGACAGCCCACTGACTTTGTTCAGCATTTTATTTCAAGGCAGATCCGGTGGGAATGCACTCACGGAAACAATAGCTCTCCAGTTGACGCCATGATTGTACCAGTAGATATTGCCACTGAGCTTGTACAAATCCGAAACTTTGATGCGCTGTTTGTACAGGACGAAATAGCTGGCAGCCACCGTTCCCAGGAAGGGCTGTAAGAACACAGTGTATGCCGACATCACCGACAGAAAAACCAGGGCCCCAGATACTAAGTACCATGGGTTGATAACAAGTCCTAGTATTGCCGTCAAGTACTGTCCACGTCGAATGTTGATGTACTTTGGTAGTAGGGACGCCATGTCTGTACCTCCAGAGAACGAGTTTCCTATAATATTGAGGGCGAGTTGATTTATGAGGAATGAGAAGCCGGCAAACCAGACAGCACAGCGCGTGGCTGTTGTTGGATTCTGGTCTTGAATGGCCATCAGTAACTGAACAACACTCCACAGCTCCGCTCCGAATCTCTTCTGAGTACCGGCAACCGTCAAGATGCCGAAGACATTGGAGAGCCATGCCGGCAAAAATCCAGCAAACTGAGGCAGGATCCCGGATCGAGGTCTTTTCGCAAATCGAGTGTAATCGCAAACCGAAAGAGTCCCGCTGGTAATACTTGACATGGTGACCGTTATGCCGAACACAAAAGACCAGCCAAGCTGGCCCCCACCAACGTTGTGTGTGTTGTTCAGTATGTCACCAAAAGCCTCCATGGTTGAGCAAGCCCAGATGACGAGAACAAGCTGAACAATCAATCCCACGACGGTGCTGACATATGCTAGATATCGGAGGTGGGCCGGGCTCACCAAGAGGAACGGCAGCTGTAGGACGAAAAAAACAATGAATCCTACAAACTGAGCGAGGTTCATACCAGTAGACGGCGAAAATGTTGGGGGTAGGTTGTCGATACTAGGAAACCATGATCTGAGACAGACGTATGTCATCAAACCTCCTTGCCAACTTTGGACGCCGAACCAGATTACAGACAGCAGGATTCGATTCATCACGACGAAAATTGCACCATTGAAGCCTATCAGTGTTAGCTTGTCCTCTTTGCATGTGGGAGGTCGTGGTTCTCACCCCATGTCATTCTTTGGGATAATGGGAAAGAGATGTGGTAGTATAATCCTGGGAAGGATACAATGATAATAAGCACGGCAGCGAATATATGGCCGAGGAGCGTTGCCACGACGCTCTGCCACCAATTCAGTCCAACTGATAAGAGGGAAGACCCAAGTTGAAAGTTGCTCATATTGAATGCTACAACCGACCAAAGTGAAATAAAGGCCAACGACCCTATCGTAGCGTTAGGAGGCTGTTCAAGGCCGCTCGAGGCCTCTAGTGCTTGTCCAGGGACGATCACGTACCCCATTTCCTTCGTTCAGGCTCAATAGGCTTGATGTCATGATTGATCATGTAGGTGGGAGGTAGTTCATGTTCAGGGTAAGGGACCTCCAGGTTTCTCGGTATGCGAAGACGAACCATGATTTGTGCGACCTTCTTGCTTATTAGATCTCAAAGGAAGATTAAGAGCAGCTCTTGTTCAATCTGTTCGTAGCTGTCATTCAAAGTGCTAGCAGAGGGAGTCCTGACTGAATTTATCTGCCGTATACCGATTTCCTTATCATGAATTCATCTTGCGCCACCACAATCTCTCATTCGAATCTTGAAGCATATCTTTGGTCTCGTAATCTGTTGGACCCTGATTGGATCGTTCATCCTCCGAGGCGAACAGAGGAGCAGCGGGAAGTGTACGAGTATTTGGTGTATTTGCGCTCGGATGAGGCTAGTCATCCGATCCTCCTAGTCCGTTGACTTTTCGCCTTATCTGAGAACAACGAGCAAGGCACTGCAACAGATGTCCTCCGAGACATCGAAATCCGGGCCTGTGACAAGATCCGGCCAATCCGAGACAATGGCCTCTGTTTGTAGATGGCTGGGCGGGTTGTGCCGTGGTACACTAGAGTTCAAATGAGCACATTGAAATTGGCAAGGTGTTATCCATACTATCATTGATAAACGAACTGCTATGTATTAATCAAGAGCTTTTCTTTCTGTGCAACAACTTTGAAGATAATCAAAGCTAGTCCTCTAAGCTAGATGCGATTAGCTAACATTTTATCATCCATACACGGTCTCTCTATCAGGCCACTGTGTTTCGACGTTGACAGCGAACCATGGGATCAATAGCAGACTACTCGCCTCGCTATCGTATTGGTGTTGATGTCGGTAAGTAGTGCGAGCCTGCTGTTTGGTTCTTTCGCTGACAGTTGAAAGGTGGTACCAACACAGATGCAGCACTAGCGGAGGCGAGATCTGACAAAGGCTCTGCACCACCAACAGTAAGGATAATTGATAGCAGCAAGAGCCCAACTACATCTGATGTGACGAGTGGTATCTGCAACGTCATCACAGATCTTCTGACCAAGAGTCGAATTGCCATTTCGGACATTCTGTCGATTAATATCGGTACCACTCACTTTGTCAATGCAATAGTGCAAGCAGACAGGAACAAGCTTCGCCCTGTGGGTGTCCTGCGATTATGTGGTCCATTTTGTCGCGAAGTCCCTCCTTTTGGTGACTTCCCTGAAGAACTCCGGAGCGTTCTCGCAGGCCCTGTTGGCTATATTAGTGGAGGGCTGGAGAGTGAGACGATTTCATTGATTTTTGTTGGGTTCTTGGCTTACAGAGTGAACAGTCGACGGACGTGTAATTGCTGAGATCGATGAAGCCGAAGTCCGGAGTTTTGCAGATACGCTCTCGGAAGCTGAAGTCAAAACCGTCGTTGTCAACGGCGTCTTCGCTCCTCTTGACACTTCCACTGTCACACAGGAGGAGGAAGTTAAAACGATGCTCCTGAAAGCCATCCCTGGCATTGACATTGTCTGCTCAAGAGATATTGGACGCATCGGCTACCTCGAACGAGAAAATGCGTCGATACTCAACGCTGCCATCCTTGCTTTTGGTCGTGTCACTATTTCACGCTTCCAAAAGGCCGTCGAAGCCCTTGGTGTTAGTTGTCCACTATACCTGACCCAGAACGATGGGACTGTCTTGGATGCATATTCGGCCTCTCGAACTCCTATTAGGACCTTTTCATCCGGCGCAACGGTAAGTACTTCAATGATGAAGCGTCCTCCTGCTAATTCTGACTAGAATTCGCTTATTGGGGCCCTCTTTTTGTCAGGGATTCATGATCCAGGCAGCGATATCGATCTCAAGAAGTCTCAGGTCATCATGGTATGTACCCTTAGCTCTCTACAGGATACGCAGCTGACAATACATAGTGTGATATTGGAGGTACTACATCTGATTTTGCTGCCTTGTCACCTTCTGGCCTCCCCAGACAATCTCCAGCTACTGTCAAGGTCGGTGGAGTTCGGACCGCGTTTAGTATGCCTGAAGTCCTCAGCATTGGGCTCGGTGGTGGTTCCAAAGTTTCCAGGGATGAAAATCGCAACGTTAAAGTTGGCCCACTATCTGTTGGCCATCTACTGACCAGCGAAAGTCAATGCTTTGGGGGCCCTGTGCTCACGGCTACTGATATTGTTGTATCTTCTGGGCTTGGCCACCAAGTCAAGGGACACGGTTTCAAGCTCCAAGATCTGGATGAAAATTTAGTCAAGCTTGCACGTCAAAATATCAGGAACCAGATTGAAAATGGCATTGATATTATGAAGACATCAGATCTACCAGTCGTCCTCCTTCTAGTCGGAGGAGGATCAATCATCCTTCTGGATCAAATCCAAAACGTGGCGCACTGTCTGCAGCCCGCTTTTTCGGACGTGGCGAACGCGGTTGGAGCTGCAATCGCAAAGATTTCTGGCGATGTCGACACAATCATAGTACCCGGGCAGACGCCGTACGAAGAAATCAAACGAAACATCTCTCAGCAGGCTATTGAAATAGCAGTTCAAAATGGAGCTCAAAGAAACACGGTCCAAGTCATGGAAGTGGATCTCATTCCTCTTCAGTATATGACGAATGGGTCATTGAGAGCTGTTGCTAAAGCGGTAAGAATCCGTGAATCTGGTATGTGTCTGATAACTAAACAATGCAGGTTGGCCAACTTCGGTGGGATAGTGAATTTGAACCAATCAAGTCATCACTGGTTGACGGTGCTGAGGACGACTGCTCACAAAGTGCTACTAAGCTGCAGTCATCCACAAGGAGCCTTCTTCCAGTCCTCGATAGAGCAAGCATCTCCACTTATCGACCCAACGTTTCAAAGGCCACCGGAGAGTGGTATGTATCACCGACAGATCTACTATTCATTGCGGAAGGAAACGGTATTCTTGGAACAGGTAAGGGGAACGGACACGTGATGAACTGGATCTAATACAAAGTGCAACCAGGCGGAGGAGGGTCAGCTTACACTGCCTATCTCGATTCTCTACGGGTACTTGCAGGCTCAAGTCATGGCAAGATGCGAATTGTTGATCCTAAGTCCTTAAAAGCTGGTTCCGAGGCAGTAAGTCGCTCATCGACGAGAAGGGAAATGTACTAACTTGCTTGTAGGCCGCTGTCGCATTTGTTGGGTGAGCGAGCACAACATATCTTCTCAGATATCACTTTTCATAGCTAACTAGCATTTAGAGCACCCTCCGTTTCAAACGAACGCCTCACAGGCGACCATGAGCTCCAGCTTGCCGCTGAAGCCCTGGCCAGATACAAAGGTTTGGATAAGTTCGCGGGAGTTATGGCCGCAGAAATCGGAGGCTCAAATGGGATGAGAGCATTTGCAGTAGCCACTGCTTTAGATATCCCAGTCATCGACGCAGATGAGATCGGCCGAGCATTTCCAAGAGTTGATATGTCTTTGCCTTTCGTTTATAAAGCAGCAAGTCCCTGTCCTGCAGTTCTATCCGACGCTCGAGCGAATACTCAAGTTGTCGTTAGCACCGAGAATGCAACAAAGTTCGAGAACATGGTGAGCAATTATCACTGATCCATGGGTGAGCAAACACTGATTCCAATCACAGGCCCGTTGTGTTGCAGTGGAACTTGGTCTCTTCGTTGGTCTAGCCATGGCGATCAACTCTGATGTCATCTCAAAGTACTGTGTTCATCGCAGCTTGTCTATGTCTTGGTTTCTAGGAAAAGCAATCTGTACAGCACGCATAATGAAAGCGGACATCGTCGATGCTTTAGTAAGGATGCTCGAATTGAAGAATGTGCTGGCCTTCTAACTCAGGCAGATATCTTCTATTCCCGGAGGACGCCGGCTGTACTCTGGGAAGATTACCGATGTGTCGCGAGAAGTGAAGGGCGGCTGGACTGTCGGGTTTGTGACTCTCGCTCTCGATGACGAGCTGAAAGCCACACATTCAGAGAATGGCCAATGTACAGTAGACGAACGCCCATTGCAACTCCAATATCAGGTAAAGACCAGCATGACCGTCATGTCTCACACAGTCAGTACTAATCATGAATGAACAGAACGAGTTCCTTTACGCAGCACTCAAAAACCCTGACTCTTCACTCCAAGTCCTCTGTACAACACCGGATCTAATTAGTGTTCTCGATCAAGATGGCATAGCAGTCGGGACTCACGAACTCCGCTATGGTCTACGCGTCAGCGTCATATCCATGCCAGCAGACCCTTTATGGAAGACAGCTGAAGGCATGGCAGCAGGCGGACCGAAAGCTTTTGGGTATGGTGAACGTCGCTAAATTCCTACTTGGGTACTAACAGCAGCACAGACTCGATATAGATTATAACGATTACGGTGTAGATTGGCAGCAACCGATGTCTGTCATTGAAACCTTTGGGGTGTAAAAACCGTGCTGTCCTAGAGTTCAACGCGCTCAGCAGACCAAAAACTATTTCACGTCAAGAATAGGTCTTAATAGGTCTTGCCGAAAATAAAAGCGCACTTAATGTAAGATTGACATTTGGTGTGAGTGTTCTGAGGAGAGTTCCATTCACTAGGTGAAAATCATCTCTTTCAAGCAGTCTGCCATATGCTTTTAGTTAGCCTGTGGGGTTCGACAAGGCTGCACGCCACTAGGGGTAAATTTGGCATGTCACCTCTCGCCCGCTAATTCCGATGATGCATATATCACACACCACCAGCCTTTTGATCACCGAGCACGGTGGCGCGAATAAATTCAGCTCGCCAGGCTGGCAGCCATGGATCATTGTAGGGCAGGAGTTTTTCAACTAGTCCCCTTTGTTCTTGCGGAAGTCCCCACTTTCGTGCATTTACAGTCGCCACCAGTCCACGGTAACATCGCTTCTCTTCGTCCATCGTAATTGAGGAGTAGCTGCTCATCGTCCTAATAACTTATGGTCAATTCCTCGTCCGCTTCAATATCCCTTTTGGCGACTAGCTGCAACAGGCTTGATCCCGTCCTGTCAAGGAGGGTGACCTTAGTATTTGGTGTGCAGCTATGATTGAGGAAGCTGTAGAGTGGATTGATGGCAATGATGTAATCTTCAAAAGCCTCAAACTCACGAACATTCACATCCATGCGTGCAATGGTGGTCTGAAGTACCCAGCTTTCGTAACGATTATCCGCAAAGACGTCAATGCCTAATTCCTCGAGGATTTTGATGGGTTGGATGATATGGGTGTAAAGGGAGAAATGGCTTTTCTTCGAATAATTTGCTGTCAGTCGATTAATCAAGGGTGACATCAGTGGATCCCTTCGAGAGTTTGATTCTGTGGATGCCACAACCACCGCGAAGACTCGAGACAATAATTTGAGCCATGCCGTTCTCCCTGCTGTCTGAGGGACGTTCGTTTCAAAGCCGAGAGCAATTAGTGATGGTGCGTGCTTGCCATGTACATGGAATGCACATGCCTGAAAGATATCATCAGCACACGCTTCACTGCAGAACAGCTCTCCTTTGTGTTCAAATGGTCGAAGGGCATATTGCGCTGCAATTTACATGTCTTGAAACTCCTCGTTGTGCCGCTGATGGGCGATGTCCAAGTCGAGCAATTCCCCTGCGAGTCGCAATAGATGATGGACTTCCTGATCATAGGGGCAGGTTAACAAAATGTCCAGACACTCAGAGAAGCAGTTCGCAAAGAAAAGGGCCTGCACAAGCACAAGCTTCGCCTCTGACACCAATTTTGAAAAGCGCGACATCCCCAGCTCGCCTAGGTAGTCATCCCTTTTCCTTTCGGTGAGACGGTGCATATGCTTTGTACGCGTCGGAGGCCTCTAATTAAGGGTACCATCGTTTCAGTGGAACTCGTGCTCTATTCACCCAGAGGAACGCGCCGTAAGGAGTTTGATTGAGCTGATGAGTTTCGGATCTTAATTCATCATTAAGACCGATTAGACGCTTAAGTTCAAAGTTAGATCGTTTCGTAGTCCATGATATCAGGACAAAATCTAGACTTGCTGTATCAGACGGACGACGAAACTGATTATGGTGTCTGATGTAGCTGTCAAGTAGATCTTGGCTCGCTTTGTCGCCGTAGTTGGTTAGCGGGGGTTCCCAATCTCGTACCCATGGGGAGTTCATGCTGGTGTGAAACAAGTAGTGATGCAAGGTTTCAAAATATCCTAGAAGGGTAGAGCATACAATGATTAGCCGATAGCAGAGCAGGAAGATTAATAATTAAAGATTCACAGAAATATCAGAAAGCGAGTTCAAGATTGAAGAGGAAGTGGCCTAGAACTCAAGTCTTTGAAAGTGAAGTAATCTAAAGTTGAGGGGGTTTAAAGGTAAATTGACGAGACCAGGTGAGTAGAGGTTTGTACTAGGACCGAGACGAGAGTAAAAGTATATCATTAGATCACATTGGAATGTGTACGAGATATAGCCACGAATGCCATCAAGTGGATGAGAAATGAATTTCAAGATACCTTGACCGATATGCTATATCGGGAAGAATGTAGTCGTCCTCTGAATTCCACTGCATCTGTATGTTTGAGCAACTTCCGTGCAAAGACATGCTGCGATTGTTCACCTGGTATATGCATTGCAGCATTGCCAAAATGAGTGGAAACAGACCACAGCCCCCATCCTCAGCCAAACTCAGCTATCTCTCTCTTCAAGCATTATAAATCAGCGGCGCCCTCCGGACAAACCTCTCCTGCTTCAAATCCAACAAAACTCACTCCGAAAGCCCCTTCCTTTCCATGTTCCAGTTGACCAAGTACCTGCCCTTGAGCGTGGTGATGGTTGATCCCGCTGGACCTGACCTGAGGTTTTGAACGCGAGATAACGTTGGCGATGTATTTGCTGGAGTGAAAAACCTGACGGTGCCCCCAATCCAGGGTCAGCCTGAGCGAGGTGATGAAGAAGTACCAGCCAGGGCTTCAGACATCGTCAGGTGAGCTGTATGAGGGCGTTGAGAAAAAGCGACCACGTATCGAGTTGTGATTGATCAGCTTGGGATCAACATTTCGCATCCTGCGGATAGACTACGAGCGATATTTAGATTGATTGAGGAACCGAATCTCTGTGCCTTTGCCTTGAACCTACCGATACAGCCCTTGGACCGCCTATGATTGGGCCTATGAAGGACACCACCATTGCGCTCCACAAGAAGCGGCCTTCACTAGCCCAGCCTTATCATTCAATTCGCCCTCGATAATACTCACAAGAGCATTGTCTTTGGTCTCAGCTGGCAGTTTTGCCGCGTTTCGGAGATACAGCGTCAGAGTGTAGCCTTCACGAAGAGCAGCATACACGACGTCAAGACTTGAGGGGCCTGAAGCGTGGTGTCAGTGGAGCAGGACAGGACAAAAAGTTTTAAAGTATAGTACCAGTGCTCCCCCAGGAGAAGAGCATGACTTGTCATTATCTGTCTTCCACCTCACTGTGTTTGACGTCAATGGGAATTGAAGAAACCGAAGTTCGAAACACAATATCTCGGCAGCCATATTCTGGACATATATTATTTTATCTGTCTGTCGAAGATGAATTCGTTGTCCTGCCTAGACGCCCTAGTAGCCTGACTTAACTGGCCAGCCAAGTCGGAAAATGGAGGTCCAAGAGAGCGGCTTGACAAATTAGGCACTCGTCAGTCTGCATAAGACATAGATCAGTTGCGTTCCTCCAAGATCAGTGCTCGGCATCAATGTGAGGGGATGGTTATGCCCCTTTCAGGGTGGCCTTGCCATGTATCATCTGCTCTTATCGAAGCCTGCCGAATGGAAGTGGCCTTGGTGAGTATGGAATGCGTTGTCGATGGTATGCTTGGTGTTGATGTAGCCTTAACAGGGGTATCCTAGTGACATTAGCTGGAAGAACCAAAGACTGGAAGATTGATTGACCATGATCATGACTTCATTCTAGCACGTATTTATGACACGTTTTTATGTATGTGTACAAGTGCCCCTTGTTTCTCTGAAACCACGGTTCTTACCCTCCAAGTCCTGAGCAGGTCCGCGAGCTGATCCCGTCAGCACAGCAGCAACACACTGCTCGCTCCCGATAGTTGGATCCAAGAAAGCCTTCAAACACCAGAGCTCACACCTTAACGTTTTTGTTCCTTTGTTGGGACCAAAGCAAGGCGCCTTCAGTGGGCCCACTCATCAGTCCAGATGGTACAGAGTCTGTAAATAGGAACAGCATTATGGCAAGCCGTCTGCATGCTATACGGCGCAAGCAAACATGGTGGATCGCTTCCGGACTAATTCACCAATGATCGATACCGTTGTTTCCGTAGAACTACCGGATGAACATCCCCTCAGCTCGCCCCCAGAAATTCCTTGCCTTGTTGACGTGATCCAAGCCGAGCATCTCATCCCCGTCCTGAATCAAGTCGACAATCACATCCTCATCGTCAAGGTATCTTGGTTTTGCATAAACCGCTCTCGAAAGAAGAGCAAATTTGATCTGCTGCAGAAGTTTACCCTTGATTCCGGTTCTTTTGCTTATTCTTTCCCTGGTGTCTTTCAGCGGCTCTCCGGGTTTGAGCATAAATTTGAAGGGAACGCCGTGTGGCTTATTGGCCTCTTTGTCAAAGTGGTAGCAATAGATGAATCTGTCGTCATCTGAAGCCCTCAGTTCATCATCAGGAATCTTCTCTGCGTATAGAGTGGTAAACTCATTGACTCCACCAACGTTGAAATCTTCTATCAACTCTTTGTGAATCTTGCCGCCGTGAACTTCAAGCACTCGAATATTGGCTGCAGTCTGTTCATCCATGTTTAGCTTCTTGGCGATGCCATTAACCAGATCCCCAATGATGCCGTTCTTAGCGACCAGGATTTCCAATTGCTCCTAATCAAAGTTAGTGGCAGCTTGCCTCCATCATATTATCCTACTCACCTCTTTACTGATGCCCTCAGTCAGCCAAACTACCTTCATGATCTTCTTGGTCTCGTAGTCGGCGAGACTCGTTTCTAGGATTTCATAGTACAGAGCGTCGTTACGATGTGTTGCATATCCACCGTATGATGAGAATTGTGATTGGAGGATTTGCTGGAGATTGTGGTTCATCCCACGCTTGATCCAAATTTTGATTTTGTTGTTTGTCACACTGATCGTCGCGAAGCGGATGTGGGTCGGATCGACTTGTAGGTGCTCGCCTACCTTGGCTGAAAATTGCTCATAGGTCATTTTCTTACTGAGACCGAGAGTGAATGCATCCCCCTCGCTGCCAGGTTTGGGAAAGAAGCTGACAGGAATTTTGTTCAGCAAGTAGTCGTAGTATTGACGTGCGTCGGTATAGGTGATGGCTGAGGAATCTAAATCCGTAAAATTCTGCTGGAAACAGATGATGTCTCCGTCTTGAATTTCTGATTGCTGAAATGTTTGCTTCGGCTTCATGGATTCAATCATGGAAAACTTGATCTCTTCGAAGAGAAGAATCTGCGTAGTTGAGTCCCATCCCATGATCTTGTTGATTTGTAGTGCAATCTCCTGGACCTTGTCCAATTTCTTGACATAGACGTGACCAACACCCGTAAGTCTTTGCGCTTTGACATCAAAGTATTTGAGAAAAACCAAGATCGGAAGGTTTCCACCAGCAGCTTGAGCGGTATCCGGGAAGTCGATTTTTCCATCTTCTCCCGGCGATGCGGTTTCTGCCCATAAATAGAAGGGCCGTCCCCTCGACCCATATTTATTCAGAGCCTCTTCCATCGTGATGTCGACATCCCTAATTGGCTGGTCTGGGCGATTTGTTTTGTTTTGTCTGCCCACCATGACCCAAAGTCTGACTTGATCGGATTCGAGTCCCAGCTCTCCTGCAACTTGAGCCGCAAGCTCGCTAACTTTCATGGTGCGTAACAGGCGATAGATTTGTGCTGAGGCCGGATCACTTTGTTCGAGATCATAACTCGTTAGATCAAAACCATGGTGTTCCTGGAAAGTCTTTTCCGTGATAAGACCCACATTCATGTAGAGGTGGGCTTCTTCACGTTCCTTTTTCTTTCGAGCAAGCTCAGCTTGTTCTTCGGTGATTCGCGTCTCAATATGGGATGGCATGTCAGTCTCATTAACTTCAAGCAAGACCTGGTCGAGCCTGCTTTTCCGTATATAAACCAACATGTATGCGTTCATGGATCTCTTGGTCGAGTAGCCTCTCATATATGGTTGACGTTGTCCTGGTCCGCCATTGGCTACGTTGGCATACTCTCCTCCATAGTTTTCTTCAAGGACTTCTTTCATGGTAGACCGAGTGACCCTGTCATCGTCAAATTTGAAGAAGTAGCCATCCTTTGTGGGTTTGAGGAACGCGTAATAATGACCGGCATTGAAGTCGCCGCTGTGGACGAGAACGCCGTGCAATTGATAAAGCCATGGCTCAGTGGAAGCAGCTCTAGCATCGTCGGACAGGTAGAGGGATGCATCAAATTCTTCAGGAAACTCGTGCCTGTCATTCACCTTCATCATGGCATCCCGATTGATATCGTACTCGAATCTCTTCAGCTGCAAGTGCAGCACAGGAGGGAAACTTTCAAAGATGACACCTTTCTTGGCATCCTGAAGCTTATACGGTTCGCCAGCATCATACTTGTTTTCACCTTCAAGAGTTTCGACCTGGATGTAGTCCATAAAACTCTCGTGAAGATTTTTGTTTCCGCGAACATTGAGTTGAATGTCCCAGAATTCTTCAATCCTCGAGGACTCGAAATTGACATTGATGCAAGAGATATATGTTTTGGTTTTACCAACGAATAACTCTGGCAAAGTTCTTTCGGCGGGAGTATCCTTCATTTTCTTTTCTAGGACTTCCATCAAGATGCGGGACAGCTCCTGCACGTCTTGCTGTTCGAAGATCTGCCGAGTATCCCAGCCAAAAGAAGCGGTGAGTTCGTTGGTGGAGACGGCGAATTTGTCCTTCTGCAATTTGTAAAATAGGCGTTGGAGAGTCCAGGCGCTATTCCCGCGGTTGGCTTCCTCTTCAGTTGGGATTTGATAGACAGCTTTCCGGAAAGCATTTGTGAAGTATAGAGACTGCAATAAGGAATTGAGATAACAAGTTGCGCCTTGGTTCTTCAGGCCGACCATTCCGGTCTCCTTCTTGGAATCATATCCTTCAAAATTATGCCACAGGACACCGGTGGGGTCTTTGATTATCCGGATGTATGCTGTCAACTTTGCTTCGTCGTTCTCAACTAGGTGTCTAGTCCCGTCCTCCCAGGGTTGATGGAAGGCCTTCCTCAACTCCACGAATCTAGTAAAACCCCAGTCACCCTCCTTCGCATTAAAACGGTGGGTGGCGGTATGTGAGCGAAATAAAGTTGGATCATTCGGATTCCACAAAACCAGAGCGAATTGAACGCAGGCGTACCAGTCGGTAGGGGGTTCACCCTCAAAGCCATGTTCGAGGTAGAAAGAAGCACAGTCAACTTGGTTGCCATAGGGAAAGAAGAGGACACGCCATGGGTGACCTCCACATTCAAAGACAGGACCATGCTCTCTCCTTGGCATGTTCCTCCATTTTTCAATATGCCAGGTGTGATATATTTCTGCTTCAGCTTCGGTATCGGGAAGGTCGACAAGGACATGACGTTTCATTGCCTCAACTGCAGACAGTTAGCGGGGATTGTTGGGTGCAGGTTAGAGGAGGAGGAGAGCAGCTAACAATCATCAGCCCGTGGGAGGGCCTCGGAAGGCTCTTCGGAGGCATCATCTGGAGAAATGTTGACAACCTCATTGTCATGGTTGGCATATTGATCATAGCCATCAAGTAACATGTCAGGGCCGGCCAACTGTAGTCGTTGCAACGAGGTGACGACGTCAGCATCCATGATTGAGTAGTAGTAACCAAGCGAGAGAGAAAAGAGAAGAAATCAAGCATACATTTTCCATGCTGGGTCAGTTAAGCCACGGTGAACGAGATGAGGAAGGCAAGCCAGCTCTTTGCACCGTATTCCGCAACAAGCAGATGTCTGCAGGAAGCCGCGGGTGCGAAAGGCCAAACCCACTTCACTGGCCGGCTTGTTCTGTAAGGAAGGCAGCCAAGACGAGGAGAGGATGTGGGAGAGGCGAGAGAGAATGAAGGAGATGGTAGTGGAAAATGGTCTCGCAGTCGACAAAAAGACCTTGATGCAAGACACTGTCCGCGCGATGAGGATGGGAAAAGGACAGGAAAATAATCGTAAGTAGTGTGAGGCTCGTTTGGGTGGAGGCGTGGTGGCGGCTGTTTGAATAGAAGCAGATGTCAGTCAAGACTCAAGTGTAATTGTTGGTCAATTTGGGGTGCGCAGGCTTCAGAAATTGGGGCTGTGTGTCTGGCTGTAGTGCAGCCTACAGGCCACGCCAGCCACGACAGGCAGTCAAACGCTGCAAGGCTTGCCACCTATCTAGCTTCTACGTGCTAAGCCATTACCGATAAATAACGACTGTTCACTTCAGTCTCCAAGGACTGTCAGCACCTAATTATGACGATACCCCCCCAACCATCAATCCGTCCAGGGCCGTCCTAAGGGCACACATCTACGTGATTAACCTATTTGGACCGACTCACACTAGAACACTACGGTGGATTAGCGGGCCACTACCGACAGATCCCACCCACCGTCCGACTAATTGTTGATTCAACTGCCCTCTTCGTTCGCTACCAGACTAAGCTAGCAGGCGCTACCACTATCTTATCAACCCCAACTCTCGTCCCTCCGCAAACCCTCTCTTCGCAAGTTGCTCCAGCTGTATGACTCCTCACCCCCTCCAATCACTTTTTGTGCCACATCCATATGGGCTAACTCAGACCGCAGGAGGATCATGATCTTTTCTGTCCTGACAGTCACCCCCATGATTCCACTGCCTTGTCCGTGCAGTTGATATGAGATGCTGCAAGCCGCCCGTTCCTCCAAGCTGTCCAGCTTGAATTTGAATCCACTTGCTCGTACCATCTTCGTGTTGAAGAGACACATCTCTTCCCCTGCTGGAAGAAGCCCGCCCATATGGCGACCAGCTTCGGCTTTGGACGAGTACATCCCCCTCTCGGTTCTCTTTTGTCGCGAGTCCATATTAATGGAGAGGGAGCAGTTGGGTTGACCGACCGAATCGTCCCATCAGCCTTCGACAGCTGTTTTTCTTTGGGCGCACCCTCACCGAGAGTCGTCTCCTCAGCTCCGCCAACTACGTCCGCATGGAACTACCGACACGGTGAGAATCGCCCAGCCCGTTCCCCCATGTCAATAGTTAACCCATTTTCAGACTGGCCCACCGGTTACGAGAAATACAACGGTTGCCCTATGTTGTGGTCACGAATCCACACCTTTCCATGGTCTATGAGTTATACTACAAGTCTTTTGAGAGTTTTCGCCGCTTCCCCGTCATACGGACCGTCGCGGACAACGATGCCTTTTGCAAGGTCATCAGCGAGAACCTGAAAGAGCACTTGTCGATCATACCTAGTCTTGTCGTCGGGGTTCTCGAGTGTCAAGAGTTGGTTTCTCCAGATACTATGGACAATTTTGTTCAGGCCATGTTGCGAGCTCGAATCTCAAGGAGAGTCATTGCCGAACAGCATCTTGCGCTCACCGAGACATATAATTCGCCATGGCACGTGCCTCAACCAAGCTCTGAGAACGAATTCGTCGGTGAGGTGTTACTACGCTGCAATGCCAAAGAAGTTATTGAGCGGTGCGGTCGTTTCACCAGAGAAATGTGCAGGTCATCGGCAACTTCGGATACAAGTATTCCCGAAATTAGAATTCAGGGTCATACCAATGCTACCTTTCCTTACGTGCTTAGCCATCTCGAGTACATCATTGGGGAACTACTACGGAACTCAGTTCAAGCGGTCATGCAACGGTTTCGAACGACGAAAAAGCCACCACCACCAATCGATGTCTTGATTTGCGAAGCACCTCAGAATGTGGTTATTCGTATTTCGGACCAAGGCGGAGGTATTCCTCGTGAAATCATGCCATTTCTCTGGTCATTCAACAAAGGGCCCCGCAGTGCTTCCCGACTGGAGAATTTCAGGGATGTACCTACACTTGCCGGCACAATGCAAGAAGTGCGAACATCAGGAAATCCTGCGTCCAAGGGAAGAAGTCGGGATTCTTCCCTCAGTACGCTTGCATCACGACCACCGGACTTCAGGCTAGGAATGGGCCTACCCATGAGTCGAGTGTATGCCGAGTATTGGGCTGGTGGTCTCGAGCTGCACAGTCTTGAGGGATATGGTGTCGATGCATTTCTGCAGATTTCCAAGCTGGGCAACCAGAACGAGCAACTGACTTCTCGTGCGAGCATGGATGCTGTGTAAGCGACTTCACAGAGGGTTTGGGAACGAAAATCTGGATTTGGGGTTGGCCTTGATTCCCTACTACTTGCCGGGGTGGTTGAAAGATTCAGACCTGTTCCCCGGATGAGCAAAGACAACCATCTTGGATGTGTTAAATTCAGGATCAGCGACTAGTCGGTGGAATCTGAACACATTCGAAGTCAGTACCAAAAGTATTGAACATTGTCGATCCAGGAAGAGGGGTCAGGTAAGGAAACTCGATCAGACTTTGCCATCAGACCTCATGCCCTGCCAGCGCCGTTGTGGAGATATCCACAGGCGGCTGAGCTATCGGCTTACCAGAGGAGAGAATTCCATCACGAAGCAGGGCGGGAGAGGTTCGGACAGCTTTTACACACATTGTAGGAATCAGATGCGAGAAACACGATGCTTTTCTAAGCTTGTTCCGTCAATCAGGTCATCAACGCATCATGGCAGCCACAGGGCCCTCGTGATGATGGTTTTAGATGCGGACTGCCATGCAGACAGATACTCTCGACACACACATCGGAATCGCCAGCTTCATGGTGACGAGAGCCTAGCTGACGATGATTTGAGTTGGTGGTCTGAAGATTTTTGACAGGAAAGCAAGAACGGAGAAGTGAAAGAGATTTGTCTTTGGAGCAAACTCTCGGAGTTCCAGAATGGTTTAGCTGGACTTGGCACGCGTTTAGCGGCCCTGCGTAACAAGCGGCCCTGGCATTCTACCGACGCCATGTACTAACCACATTCGTAGGGCTCTTGGTCCTCAACCGCGTACGTGATGGTCCTTGAACAGGGAAAACTGGGGCAAGCCTCCTGGGGGGCAAGGCAGTCGATTGGCGGTGTCAAGGCGACGAGTTCTGCATCTGCAAGGGCAAAGCGTAGAGGCATCTCACCTCGACTTATTGAGTTAAACAACCACACCGGGACTCCATATCTCACAACACCTCTTCATCTTTCCCTTCCCATACTCTTGCATACCACTTCCACCGCTGTAAACCGCTCGCGAATACTACCATCAATACTGTTTTCCTTCGTTTCGATTCCCCATTCGACGTCTGTACCAACATTTGAAATTCCTTTTACCTTTTTGGCTGCCATTTGCTCTTTGCCCTTTTCACAACCCAACCGCATCTCCCCACTGGTGTTGCCTCTCCTACGTCCTGCCCGGCCACTGATTTAGCCTATTCATTGTTCACCCTCGAGCCTTGGGTCGCCGATTGACCTGGAGTCGGCGTTCACCGCGACCTTGGCTTGGTTCTCCCGGGCAGCATCCTGTAGTGTCTGCGCTTTTTCCTCTTTCTCATGGAAAACGCCAATCTATGGACGAGGCGCTCAAAGTGAGTCTCTCTCATTGTTTTCGGCCTTTACCCTGACTATAGGCTAATCCATACGCAGTACTGGCAAGCTCTCGTTGTCCATGAGGGATCAGGATGTCAAGGATGGTAGCAAAACAGACTCCCCCCGATCTTACAACAGCAGACGGTTCGGCGACTCCTCCTCACACGGAAAGAACAATCCATTCAACGCATTATCCCCGTCGGGGACCAAGTCTCCCTCGGTCGGCGCATCCTCTGCATTTGGCTTAGGAAGTGGCGCCTTCGCGTCCTTTGGGTCTGCCAAAACTCCCAAGACTCCTGGAACTGGCTCTGGCTTTGACTTTTCTTCCAGAGATAAGAAAGAGAAGGAGGCGGACGGTCCAGCAGAAGCAGCCCCGGTGGAGCCCGCTGTACGGTCCCCAGCAACATCTAGCTCTTCCACGGAACATCAGCTCCGAAATACCTGGAACCTCTTCTACCGCCCACCAGCGAACAAATTCTCCGACTATGAAAAATCAACTCTGAAGCTGGCTGCGATTGGCACGGTGGAAGAATTCTGGAAGATATATTGCCATCTCAAGCGGCCGTCACTGCTGCCGACAGTGTCAGACTACCACATTTTCAAAGACGGGATTCGACCAGTCTGGGAAGACGAAGCAAATAAGAAAGGCGGAAAATGGATTGTGCGACTGAAGAAGGGTGTCGCAGATCGCTACTGGGAAGATCTCCTACTGGCAATCATCGGTGATCAATTCATGGAAGCCGGTGAAGAGGTTTGTGGAGCAGTGCTAAGTGTTCGAAGCGGAGAAGATGTGCTCAGTGTGTGGACGAAGAACGACGGTGGGCGCAACGTCAAGATCAGGTAGGGCTCGTGTCCATGTCTTGACACTAGGTTTACTAACTGGACTCTAGAGAGACGATCAAGAGGATATTGGCCTTTCCTCCCGATACGAACATGGTGTGGAAGAGTCACGATGACAGCATCGCACAGCGATCAGCTCTGGACGAGGCCCGTCAACAAAAAGTGACCGGAACGCCCGGCGGCACTGAAAGACGCCGCCTCACGTTGCATGATGAGTCGGAAAAAAGCAAGAAACCGACGACTTCTTAGGTAGATAGCAGTAAATTGCTAGGTCCGACCAGGAGTTGGCCTTGTATTATGGATCGGAAAGCTGTGCCTGGTATTCCAGCAAGAGCAGGGAAATGGATGTATTCATCAGTCTAGTACTGGAGCCTACCAGTGATACCACTGTAGCTCTGTTAACTGTTGACATTGCCAGTGCCAGTCGTCGTTTCCTGGACAGCGGCTGGAAGGCTGCCCACCCGTACACTATTTGCCCACCCTTAGCTCAAGGCTTGACTGGCCTGTCCCAAGGCGAATTCTTTGCGGCGGTAGCACCTCTATCAAGAGACGTAAAGGTAGAAAATTCAGATGGCTAAAATGCAGATGCGCTCATGCCTGTGCGACGTACCTACCGTTCACCGAGTGGCAGGAGGGCCTGTCGGTGACTACTTAATCCGCCCCGATTCCAAATTGTGGGGAATGCAGCCACTACCGTTGGCCGCTGCAATTGTGCGACTGCCCAGTAGTAGTGCCAACCGCAGACATCCCAACTGGCAACATGAATCTTTCCACCGCGGCGATACTCTATATCCCCATTCTATTGCCGTAGGACCCCCTTCCTATATCCTAGGACATGTATTCTCGAGCAGCAAATGCGGCCCAAATGGACAGAGGCTCTAATTGATGGCTTCCAGAGTGTGATTTCCACCTGGAACGCAGCCAATTCCGACCCCCCCTCCAGATCTGGATCTAAATCTAGATCTGGTCCGGCTGGTCAACAACAAAACAACCACAAGCCTCCTTTGGCCGTTTCTCATGCCTCCAGCTCAACCGGATCCCGGGCTCAAATGCCCTCTAATCGTTCTGCCAGACAAGGCAAACACACCCCGATAAAAGACTTCCTGAGCCTGCATGACAATGCTGAATGTGATCCCATTGCAGTAAGTTCTTCAACAACTACGACTGCCTATTGTGGCTTTGATGGAAGACAACACAACTGACCCTGTCCTTCTGCCAGATTGACAGTGATGAAGAAGACAGTCACTCCCACCACACCTCCCGCAAACCCTCCCCACAACTGTGCGCTCAACACATCCCACTCTTTGCCCAAGATCATGGCTGATTACTTTACTTTCAGACCTTATCAAGCACGCCCGAGAACCTGCCGGACAAGATCGGAATCAAGAGAAGAGTCGAAGTTGCTTCGGACATTGTCGTATGACATATCGGCTTCAGAACAACACAAACCTACTGAGACTTTCCATAGGCACCGCGAACCCGACGCAACGGCCATTCAAGATCCCATGAAGAACCCTGCTTTCTTGGTATGTATTCTGCTATTAATAGATTACTCTTCTAACCATTGTTCAAGGGTGGGCATAGGCCAGTCAATACTTTGAACAGACCACCAACGAGTTCTAGATCAGCCTTTTTCCAGGACAAAACAACTCCTCGTCGCGGAACACGGCAACACCAACCCTTAAATGGCTCTAAGCTCAACGATGAGCCACGTGCAAATGACCACACCATTCCAAACAAGAAATTCAAATCTGCTCATCCAACCTGGCCAGGCACCGCCTCGGCCTCGGCCTTCAACTCAAATAATGGCCATTATATTGATGATTCGGCTGACGAATTAGGGTTAAGTCCACCATCAAATGATGGGACGAGAACGATCGCCCAATCACAAAGACATCAAGTCCAAGGCCCTCGAAACGGGGCCGTGACGGGGAGGCAACGGGTGGTTTCCCTCGAAGTCCCCAATTATGTGTCCCCTTCGCCAGAACATGAAGATGACTTCACCAAAAATTCCGCGAGGCAAAGAAAAGCTGAGAAAGATGACATACTCGGCAATTCGTCTCCAAATTCGAGAGAGGAGCATTCAACGCAAACAGTTTCCCCTTACTTCGCTAGGTCTGAGGCAATATCATCTCTTCGACGCAAGATTCAGAAGCAGGACGAGCAACGGATACTGGTGGACGAGAGTGTGGATAACTTGAAACCAAATTACCATACATCAGTAAACACGCCTAAGAAGGAGTTGGAGGGACATGAAATACTCGACAAACTCATTCATGGTAATACGAAGAGCACAAATATCTCAAAACCTGCAAAGCGCCGACATAACAAGAACCGATCTTCACAATATTCTTTCTGCCTCAAAGAGGTGGTGTTTTCTAGTCTCGACAATTCCGGTGCCTATATCGTCCAGGTGGACTTCGAGTCAGAAAAATTCTGTATCAACCTAGAGGATTGCCTACTGTCCGAAGAACCAGTTTTGACGCCTTTCTCAATAAACAAAATCGTTCAGCTGCGATACGACAACGAGAGTCTCGTCAACATCCGATTCTCGCGGAGTGACGATCTTCAGAAATCGTTGTATCTCAGATTTTCATCGAAAGATTCAGCCACCGCTTTCATAAATCTTCTGCGAGAAATCACATCCGCCTTCAACTTACAAATACGGCATCAGTAAGTTTCGTCTCAAGCCCAATCCGGGTATTCTAACCTTCCTTAGGCAATGGATGGAGACAGCACTCGCACGAGCGAAAGATGCTCTAGCCAATTCCTACGTGCACTTGGAGAAAGAGGGCACGAAATCTGACAGCGTTGCCCCTAGTCAGTTGCCTTCGCCAAAGATGAGCACAACAGGAAAGAGACAGCGCTTGGTTGACCGGCTTGATGCACCCACTGCAAACTTTCGAACACAGACTATTGTCTCCGGAGTAGAACGCGGTTCTGGAGCGCAGCCAGATATCACAGTTGAGATAGCACGAACCCGAGATGGAGTGAGCTTACCGCATGCCGTTCCTCATAAGCCCCTAGAGAGCGTTCAGCAGAGTGACCCGCAACAAAGGACAAGACGTTCCCAAAATCATGAACAGAAAGAGAAACTCAAGGTACTGGAAGCTGAAGAAACAACCAAAATTCCCCTATCTGCGACTGGTGCATTGGGGCCCCCTTGGTCTCGCGATCTCGTCTACCCTAAACCCGGGAAACGATCTGCTACAGTGCCTTTCGAAGATCTGAGTCGTCTTGATGATGACGAGTTTCTCAACGATAACCTTATATCGTTCTTCATGCAATACCTTGAAACTTACATGGAAACAACAAGACCAGAGCTCTATAAACGAACCTATTTCTTCAACTCATATTTTTTCGAACGTTTGACAAAGAATGTGAAAGGAAGAGGGATCAACTTTGAAGCTGTTGAGCGGTGGACCAAGTCGATCAACATTTTCAATCGCGATTTCGTGGTCGTTCCTGTCAATGAAAACTTGCATTGGTATCTGGCCATCGTTTGCAATCTTCAAAATCTTGTTCCACCTCAAGATGAAGACGGAGATCCCACCGAGGTCAGGCCCAACCCAAAGCCAGAAATGCAGAGTTGTGATGAAGCTACCGGGCATCTACCACACGTCCGCTCAGATTTGGGCATGGAGCTCGAATATCATCCCAAGGCACCTGCAGAAGAGACCCAACATTCACTAGCTGGTCTCACCATCAGTGACAATGAATTCAGCGTGACTGAGATGGCGCCATCATATCCCAAAAAAGGGTCCACTAAACGGAAACAAATCCGTAGATCTTTGCCTAAAATTCCACTCGACAAGCCTGTGATTATTACCCTAGACTCACTTGGCGCTTCACGCTCTAGCACATGCTCCATCCTCAAAAGCTACATCTTAGCTGAAGGAAAGGCCAAAAGAAATCTTGATATTGAAATGTCTGCTATACAGGGAATGACAGCCAAAGGCATCCCGACACAGAGGAATTTCAGCGACTGTGGCCTGTACCTATGCATGTATCTCGAGCAATTTGTGGCAAATCCCAACGAATTCGTGGCCAGGATACTGCAGCGCGAAGAAAGTGCTCAGTCGTGGCCAAGCGAGATTCGAAGCGAAGATCTCAGATCCAGGCTTCGAGACCTGATTCTCGAGGTTCACCGACGGCAAGAGAAGCAACAGTCCGACTACGAACTGCCGGAAGTTGGTAGCATCATGATTCCAAGACGAGATCACTTGCCTGAATCGGAGGCGGACCGCCGTCAAATAATGAAACAAGATGTTGAGCAGGCGAGACAAAGATTTGTTGGACTGAGACAAGCTCACCAACGGACGTCTGAAGTTCTTACTTGTGAAGATCTTCCAGATCGGCAAAGCAGGAGCAAAGATCAATCGGCAAAACAAGACTTCGTCCAAAATGATAACACCGACCTTGGTCGCAGACGGCCCCACTCACCTACTCTCATTCAACGATCACAGGGACAACACATGGTGAATGACCGCGATGATGAATACGAAGTTAATAATGCTTATCTGGAGATTCCAGATTTGACTCCCTCGATCAATGAATCTACCACGGCTGGGCCTCTACACAATACGCCTGGAGAACTCGTTGCTGCCCTGCACCATCAAGACGAGGAGCTTGAGAGCAACAAGCGACGAGGTCTCAGCGAAAATAGTACGCACAAACGATCAGATAGCGCGTCCACAGACTTCTTGAGCGGGATAGATAGTTGGGCCCACCACGCCTCACCCAGTGCATCACCACGAGATGCAAAATCGAAAAAGCCACGTAACCAAGAAGCAGACGTGGTTGAAATCGAGGCAATTCCGGAGCCACAACTGCCTCCGGATGGAGGCTTGACCCTGCCGAAGAAGCGGATTGCCAGAAAAAGGAAACGACATGAATCCCAAAAAATATCTGACCTGGAACCTCTCGGCCATCTGGGACCTTCTAAGCCACAGGAGTCAGAACATGTTCAGCGTGAAGTGCATGGCGACATGGAATTTCGACAAAGCCTAAAACATCAAGGAGAGATGCAACGATTACTCGAGCTGGGAGCAATGCAGGAGCATGTTCGAATTCCCAGCCAGCATCAAGCGCCCAGAGAGGTTTATAACGGCCCGAGAGAAATCGAGAAAGACACAGGAGGTGAGGATTCCGATGATTCAATGCTTCTGCAATGAGCTTTTCGGAGTTGGTTAGGTTCAATTTACTTGTTACAAGAGCATTTTATGGATGAAGACCATGGGTCTGCTTGTTAGCGCTGGCGTTGGGATGGATCAAACACTGGGACAGGCATTAGACTCGGTGGCAATCGTGCAGGAATAGGGGTGGTGGCACGTCTTGTTCATGCAACAATCACAAATCCATGAATGTATCACACTAAGGAAGAGATATTAGGCTGACCATGTTCACTCATTCATTCATACCACGATAATTCTAGCCCTGCGTGAGGCTCTTGAGCTTTACTTGCCTTCTCAAGAACATCTGACTTTATAAACATGCTTTGGTCACGCCTTTCGCAGTACCAGCACCAGCACCGTCTGGGTCAACATAGTCAACCGCGAAACTGTACACAGGATCGTAATGCAAGGCCCAATATCCATGCCAGATCTTGATGGTAACGGGGCCTACCTTGCCGTCTTTGACAGGCTGGCCGTCGAGCGAAGTGATGGGCATGATGCCGCCCGCGGTCGTGCACATGAAGATTTCATCGCAGGAGTACGCCAGCTCAACAGGCACGACTTGCAGATGGACTTGGATGCCGTTGGCCTTGGCGACGTCCATGACGCTCTTGCGCGTCACGCCCTCCAGCACGCCGCGGTCGGGCGTGTAGATTACGCCGTCCTTGACGAGCACGATGTTGTAGCCGGCGCCTTCGGTGATGTGGGCGTCGCCGTCGGTCAAGATTGGGTAGGTCGAGTTGCGGTCGGCCGCCTCGAATATCCCCCGGGTCAGGTCCCCCCACTGCAGGTTCTTGATGGTCGGGTCCATGGAGCCCGGAGGCGTGCGGCGGACGGTGCGGGTGATGACAGCGGCGCCGCCCTTGGCGTGCTCCTCCGGCTCCATGACCCAGACGTAAGGCATGACGAACATGTAGAGGTTATTCTGGCTCGTGTCGCCCAGTCGAGCCTCCCGTACGCTCGTGAACCCGCGCGACACAATGATCTCCACGTAGGCATCGCGGATTCCGCTCTGAGCCACCATGTCGATCAGAATGCGCCGGATCTCCTCACGAGGGAGCGGAAAGCGAAGGCGGAGCTTTCCACAACTCGTCTCCAGACGAGATAGGTGGTCGTCGAGTCGGAAATACCTCCCGTCCCATACGGCGGGCACGTCGTACGTCAAGTCGCTGTGCAGGAACCCTTGGTCCAGGAGCGGAATGCGTGCTTCGTGCAACGGCACCAGCGAGCCTTCCACCCATGCCACGCCCTTGGCGAAGGCGTTGTCGGCGCCCTTTTCCAGCTCCGCCTTCCGTTGGCGGTATGCTGCGATCATGTCTTCCATAGTCCTGGCTGCCATCCTGGTCTTGGCTGGTTGTCACGGGATATGTAGCAAACCACGAGGGAAGCAAAGGCGAGTGCCAGAGTGTTCAGTTTCGAGTAGTGAGTTGATCTGTCTGTCTCCTTCATCCGCCTCTCTCTCTCTCTCTCTCTCTCTCTCCCCGTTGTCACATTCCCCAGGATAGGATGGCTTTGCTTAAGTAGCTGCCTGACCAGCTTTCAGCCCATGTCTGATCCGCGCCTAATCGAATTTTCTTACCTCCATGTTTGATACCCCAATTATGGAAATTTCCATCTTGGTCCCAAGGCACTAGCTTCCACCGCGCCTATTCGGTCAATGTTCGTATTTCGTTTGCACCGTCCTTCGGAACATGTCTGCATGAGGAAACTGAGAATCGGACCGAAAAGGAATACGTGTGGGGTTCACAAAAGAGGCTACAGCCTTCTTTGTTGGTAGCGGATATGGAGACCGGGTTATAGAGTCTTCAGTCGTGGACTTCGTTTTAGGCGAAGCGGCGTTTTTAGAATGCTGCGTTGCAGGCGCGGAGAGGCTCGCCGAAGATGGCGTGGAGGTCGACAGCATGCATGTTACGTGGTCAGACTCACAATTACTGTAGCTTCCCGTGCGGAGTTGAGCGAGGGAGCCACCAGGTTGACAATTTTCTACCTTTTTCACAAGCAGCTAGGAGACTCAATTTGTTACAGTCGTTACAGTCAGTCACGTTTTGGAGTAACAATGTGGATAGTCCAGAAACTGAAAATCTCATCTTCAAAGCGACTTTGAGCAAGGCATTCTCGCAAGCAGGACACTTTTCGATTTTCACCAGCCTCGCGCTCCACCAGCGGTAATCACCATGTCACAAAAGAATGTTGTTGTTGTCGGGTGAGTCAGTACATCCAGCCCTGGCGCCGGCCTGATACTGTGATCTCGATAATTACTATCTGACATTGGTCATCAACGCATTTTAGAGCTGGTGTTGCCGGGTTGACAACTGCAATGATCTTGTCCCAAAGTCCAGAGTACAAGATTGTAGTTGCTGCCAAACACATGCCGGGTGATTACGACATTGAATATGCCTCACCGTGGGCAGGAGCCAACTATATGCCGTAGGTACCACTGGTATATTGAGAGTGTTACGTGGCGCTGAATCATGGGCTTCAGTGTCTCGGTTCGTGGGACGCAGGCGGCAGAGTGGGATAAGAACACATGGGGTCCGCTAGAAGAGCTTGCTCGGAACCATCCGGAAGCTGGTGTTCATTTCCAAGGTATGGGGAGGGGTGGCTGGCTAGGAAACAGCTGACGAGATCATAGAATGCGAAATACAGAACCGTTCGAAAGATGTCGGTTCTGCAACGGCTACCTGGTTCGCCGAGTTATTGTCGCCAAACCCATGGTTTAAAGGCGTGGTTCCAAATGTGAGCATTCAGATCATAAGAAGCAACTCGATTGACTTACGGCAATCTTGACAGTTTCGTCCAGTTCCCAAAGAAGAACTCGGAGCTGGTGTTGATTCCGCAACACGGTTCACGTCCGTTTGTATCAACACAGCTATATACCTGCCGTGGCTCGTCTCGCAATGTTTGAAGAATGGAGTCATCTTCAAACGTGCAGTGTTCAAGCATATCTCAGAAGCCAGTCTGGCTCAGATTCATCCCGGGGAAAAGGTCGACTTGGTAGTGAACTGCACCGGCCTCTTGGCATCGAGACTCGGTGGCGTTGAGGATCATTCTGTCGTGCCCGCGCGGGGACAGATCGTACTCGTTCGAAACGAGGCTGGAAAGATGTTGGATATTTCAGGGACTGATGACGGGGATAGTGAAGCTTGCTATATCATGACCAGAGCAGCTGGCGGTGGTACTATCTTGGGCGGCTCATACCAAAAGGGCAATTGGGAATCTCAGGTTGACCCCAGCCTTGCAGTGCGTATTATGAAGAGGGCTGTGGAGTTATGCCCAGCCCTCACTGGCGGCAAGGGAATTGAGCACTTGGATATCATCAGGCATGGAGTTGGACTGAGACCGGTACGCGAAGGCGGCGCAAGAATCGAGAAGCAGCGCATCAACAATGTGTGGGTGGTGCACAACTACGGCCACGGCGGCGCCGGATACCAATCGTCGTATGGCTGCGCAGAGGCCGCTGTCAAACTCGTCCAAGAGGCATTGAGCCCGAAAGCCAACTTGTAGGTATGAACGATTGAGATGCTCAAGTCAGGTTGGGGAGAGGAGAGGGATGCATCTGATAGTACTTGAAATACCACTTGGTCATCGGCCGGGCCTGAAGAGGCTGGTATGTACCAAAGTGCGAAATAGGTTAACACAGTATCCTCGGTGGAGGGGATTCTCAAATTGGGCAGGAATAGTATGGAACGTTGGAGGCCTGAAGCCGGTCAGTCGCATAAAGGAGTAGAAACGACACGGCACGCCCTACGAGAATATTCCCCATGACAAGCTGACGGTTGAAGGTAACCGGCTAGTTTCGACTCTTCCAGCCAGGTGTGCGAGGCCGGCCAGTCTATTTTCTTACCCGTTTGAACAAGTCTGCGCAAGCACACTCTCATTTGTGTACTTCGTACTCGGTGCAGTATTCCATACAATACAATCGCATTTGGGGTGTTCAGCCGGCTATGATAGGTAAAGCTGGGGGTGTCCAATGGATCCCAACCTGCCGCACCTGAAAGCCAGCCCTATATAGATGTTCAGCCTGCCCAAATTCAAAGAGAGTTTCGTCTCTATCTCTGGAAACGGAGGGACCGGTCAATCCTAAACAGCGAGGAGAATGTAACATATGAAAAGATGTCTTAGAGTCCCTACACGCCGTCAAAGATGTCTCTATCGACCGTGCAAAACAACTGCTGGTCATCATGGCCATCATGTCCGAAGAAGCTAGCCCTATGTGTGGTGTGATGTTGCACCTTCGGGACAACTCTCAGCGTCGCCAGAATCCGGTATGAAGGTTGAACTTACGAAGACGATTGCCGAGGTAATGGCTGTACAGAGACTTGTCGATGTGCAGTTGAACTACAGAGCAACTTGGGCCTCCAACATGCACCAGACACCAGCTGGGCAGCTTACAGAGTGTTTATTGCCATCGTATTCTCGGAGGCTCTTCTCTTTGGTTGGTGCTCAGTTGTGGGGCTCTGCGTCGGCACGTTTACTGACGGCTTTCAGGTATATCTCTATCCTTTGGAGTTTTCCAAGATTACTATTCCAATCAAGCTGTGTTGGAGGATTTGGACTGTACTACTGTACGGGCCAATCGATACAGGCAAGTCAGCGTCGTTGAGATTTCTGTTTTCTATTCTATGGTCACTGTTCTGGTTTATATAGATAATTACTAGGCAAGATGACCTCCTGGAGCCCGTTTTCCATGATTCCAAAGCATTCCAGAGGCTGTAGCACCAACTCATTGATCGTCATCACGAGGTTGTCTGCTTGTTCCGTCGATAGTCATTTTGGCGCCAACAAGCTGTCTTCCCAAATCACCTACTAGCCTCTTGGATAGGTGTGCTGAGCGCCGGGATCCCCTTCCTTGGAACGTCGTTTCTGACTTATCTCTGCGAAAATTCACCCATACGGCCTCATTACTACATTGTTCTTGGTTGGGCTCTGACTGTCATTGGTTTGCTCATCAGCGCCTTCTGCCATGATGTCAAGTCTCTGATTGCAACACAAGGTCTGTTGTACGGCATCGGAGTACTTTTCGTTGGGATGCCATCTTTGATCACAATCAACACCTGGTCCATCAAGAGAAGGGGCCTGTTTTGTGGGCTGTTATGCGGCCTGCTTGACTTGTTCGGTGTTGGTTGGAGTTTTCTTGCCAGTGCAATGCTGAGGCTGAGCAAGTACGGCTAAAGGACTACCTGCCTGGCGATCGCCGCCATCGCCCTTGTCATTCCAGGTCTTTGTCTCTCCTTCATACGCGAACGACCCATCGATCAATCGCCATTGGAGATACCAAACCACGAGGATGTGACACCAAGCCCCCAGTCAGATGCTTCATCAACTTCACAACGTCCACGGCGATACCACAAGCGCCCCATTTTCTACCTATTTCTGACTGCGCACCTAGTTCAGGCTCTTGCATTCTACCTGCCTTTCATATACTTGCCATCGTATACCACGCTTTTAGGATATTCAACCTCGAAAGGCGCCATTGCGCTTGCTGGAGCAAACATGGCTCAGGTCTTTGGTGAGATAACCTTCGGCAGGCTTTCGGACAAGTGCAGTGTTCACATGCTGGGGACCCTCTCGGCTGCTGTTGCCTGCGCCGCGGCTTTCCTTCTCTGGGGCCTAGCTACTTCACTGGCGTACGTGATAGCTTTTGCGTTTGTTTTCGGAGCGTTCGCGAGCGGGTTCATCGCTCTCTGGCCACGAATGAGGACAATGTTTGCCGAGAAAGACGCAAATATGATCTACAGCTTTCTGTCTTTTGGCCGGGGTTTGGGCGTCCTGGTCTCAGGACCCATCAGTTCTTCGCTATTGAACGTTGGCGCAAGCCATAGCGATGATGCTTCAGCTGGTCGAAAGTTCAATGCGTTGATCTTGTTTGTTGGCTCGTGCATGGCTGCAAGTGCCCTCATCGGGTGCATTGGGTGGTCATCGGCAATTTTCAGAACTTTGACCAGGGCTCAACACAAAGTCGAAGACGCATGAGTACAATTCACTCATTGTATATTAATTTGTTACTCGTTTTAATGAAAAAGGCATGTGAACTGACACATACAGCGCTCTTCATCGCTTGTGACGAAGACATGTGTAAATGAAAGACATGTCCCTGCAGCATCAGCGAAACTATGGGCCAGCCGACACACCTTCAGTTGAACTTGACATCTACCCTGGGCACAGGTGGGATCATGTTGAGCTTGGCCAGTTCGTCAAATACCTCGAGGATGGCTTCTGATGAATCAACAAATCCATGCCAGCCCAATTTTCGGGCCTTGTCTGTGCTGAGAATCAAAGGTGCAGGGCGGCACACAGTGCCATCGAGAAAGCCGAATACGCGATCAACATCTTTCAACTCTTTCTGATGGAGATCATGCGACTCGGCAATCTCCTTCCACGCCTTCTTTGTCTCCTCCCGCTTGGCCCACTCCACAAAGGTGAATTTCCTCCTTGATATCCCCTTCTCGCCATATCCACGGGGGTTGAATCGGGTCTTCCTTTCGATCCAATTTGCGTTCGGATCAGGTCCACTCCAGTCTACGCCGTACCAGCCGGCAATCTTTGGCCAGCAGCCTTCCCAGGTAAAGGCACTATTGTCGCAGGCATTGAATTTCTGATTCCGTGCGGTGGGTGTCAAGACCGACCATTCCTCCAGATACGCATTCATCATGCTCGAACTCATACTCTGATACATCTGCCACGAGGCAATATCAGCGGGAAACTCGAGCGCAACATTTCTATGTTTGGCTACAGCCGCGTAGACTGCCAAAGGAAATGCAGCGTTCATGGCAGCGTCTGGCACAGCACCCAAGATTGGACCAGGCATTCCGATGGTCCATTTCACGCCTTGCTCCTTCGCATACTTCCACAGCGCATCTTCTTGCGGGTAGTAGAAGTTTGGTTCAAGGGTGACGCGTGGATCTGACTCTTCTTGCGGCAGCTTCGTGGGTCCGAGATGGCCGCCGTAGTTCTTTGCGCCGGTCTGCAACATGAAGCATTCCGGCTTGATGTCGGCCTTGATCAGCCCCGCTAAGAAGTTATCTAGCAAGAGCGAGTTCACCCGGCACATCTCCTCAGCGTCCGACCAGAGGCCAGCACCAGGTTTGGGCTCGGCCTGGATATATGAGAAAAAGAAGACATGGTCTGCCCTGATGTTCTTCTCCTTCAATACCTGCGCGATCTCCTCGGGCTGTCGGAGAAAATCTAGGGCGATGTGTTCAGCGTTCGCTGGCAGCCCGCCGGGCACCAGCGGTGGCCGTCGTGAGAGACAGTAAATCTTTGTCCAGCGCTCGGGGGCTTGTGCGAGGACCCGGAGCATATAATAGCCCGAAATTCCATTTGCGCCTGTAATAATAGCTGTCAAGCCTTTGGTGTTGTCAGGGTACACGGGCAAGGCGTGGTATATTCCACGAGACTGGATTTGTTGAATAGCCATGGTTCCCTCGACAGCTGAGTTCTTTTCAAGTTTGGGAAGGGGAGTGGGGGGGGGGGGGGGGGTTCCTCTTCAGAATGAGCGAGGGCTATTCACAGTTCTGAGTGCATTTGATCAACTGGGAGAGGTGTCGTTATCTTGCTCCTCCGATTTCTCCATGACACTTTTGGACTTTCTCCTCGGTTACTTTCCGCACAGGCACATTATGTCACCATCTCTCGTTGTCTTGGAATGCTCCAAATCACCACCCCGCATTCATACTGTACATAGCCGTGGTAGAACGCCCGAGGTGCCTCCTCTAGGAGCGCCAAGTGCGGGGAGTGGAGAATGTTTCAGCCTTGCCAACCTACATAAATCCTGTAGATCTTGAAACTACTCGTAGCTACCTACCTAGGGTAGGTAGCGAACTTACAAAAGGCCCTTCGGCTGCCCTCAATATCGTCAGACCAACAAACTCCACTGATGGCTGGCCCTCAACTGCACTGCTGGACGCCTCGTATGGAGAATCAGACGATAATCCCAGAACAAGAAAACGACAGTGATGGAGTTTAGAAGCTGAAAAGCGAAATGCCAAGCCAGCGGTGGAGCACCTCGCCCGGCCATAGGTTGCTATCGCCGCTAATGGCCGATGTATATCAAGGTGAGGCTGTCGTGCGATGATATCGTGACATGGTATGAACCTGGACGAATCCAGTGTATATTTCTAGAGTTTCGTCTGCGGTGTAAGATCGAGAGTTTACTACAGGAGGGATATTTATTCCAAACATTCCAACCTCCAGGATGAGTACCCCGCAAGCACCACTGCCAAAGTCGGTGTTAGGTCGACACCGGCTGTTGGCGCCAACGGCGGGTGTGCATGTCAGTCCATTATGCCTCGGCGGGATGAACTTCGGCACGGCATGGAACAGCTTCATGGGCGAATGTAGCAAGGAAACAGCGTTTGAGATTCTCGACTACTTCTACGAGATGGGAGGCAATTTCATCGACACGTAAGTCTTCATCCGTCCCGCTCGGTCGAAGGAACTCCAGGTTGCCGTGGCTTTCCCCCCCTCTGGCTGACTTTTGTCCTTCCCCCAGAGCCAACAACTACCAAGCCGAGCAGTCAGAAATATGGATCGGAGAATGGATGGCCGCTCGAGGACCCTATCGAAGGGATGAAATGGTCATAGCCACAAAGTTCACCAGTGGCTATAAGGTCTTCTCGGAGCCCCAGCTGCAGCAGTCGAACTTTGGATCGAACAGCTCTAAGTCTCTTGCTTTGAGCGTCGAAGCTTCGCTGAAGAAGCTGCAGACCTCCTACATCGACCTGTTGTACGTCCATTACTGGGACATGACAACTGGAGTAGAGGAGTTGATGCAAAGCCTCAATCAACTTGTCGCCTTAGGCAAAGTTCTGTATCTAGGAATTAGTGACTGCCCTGCATGGGTTGTTGTCAAAGCGAATGACTATGCCCGGCACCACGGATTGCGGCCGTTTTCCGTTTATCAGGGCCGGTGGTCAGCTGCTGAGCGTGACTTCGAGCGCGATATTATTCCCATGTGCATCGACCAGGGCATGGGAATTGCGCCGTGGGGTGCCTTGGGAAGCGGGTATTTCAAGCCGACAGAACCAACGCAGGCAGCCGACCAAGGCCGCAACATGCCGCCCATCATCACGGGTAAGGAAAAGGAAGTGAGCCGAGTGCTTGAGAAGATCGCCACTTCTAGGCCAATTCCAGTGCCATTGACCTCCATCGCTCTGGCATATGTCCTGCACAAAGCACCAAATGTGTTTCCCATCATCGGCGGGCGCAAATTGAGTCACTTGAAATCCAACATCGATGCGTTGGCAATCCGACTCTCACAAGAAGAAATTGATGAGATCGAGACAGCCTATCCATTTGATATTGGATTTCCCCTCAAATTCCTCTCTGGGACCAAGAAAGCTCCCCAAGGACCCGAGGATATTCCTTTCACGAGAAGAATGGGCCATTTTGACTTTGTCAAGGCTGCTTCACCAGTCCTGCCTCCAACGGGTGCGGAGGGGTTGGAAGGGGCTGAAAGGGCCAAGGTCTTGGGATATAGGCATCAATGAAAGAGCAGAATCTGCACGGTTGAAGAAATTCCACGATGGTTAGCGGGAACAAGTTCATTTGCTTCACCCCTCCGAGCCAGTGGGAGAGAAAGGAATGCATTGATTCAATACCAATTAACACCATCTCCCATGCCAAGTTTCACCGGAAAGACTCATGAGTGCAAGCAGCTAGACGTACCTAGCGGGCTTCACCATATTCAATTTCAAGTGCCAGCCTTTTCAGCGTCCATTCTGTCCTTCTTTCGCTTCTTTGCAGCCAGCTCTCTGCGTCTGGCCTCCTTTCTGAACCATTCGCTTTCGGGTTGCAGGCTTTTCTTGCTTCGCCGCTCTTGCTCTCGGTACATGGGCGCCATAATGCCACCCCCACTGGCATCCGATAGTAGTACAGCTTGTCTGCGCGCAACTAATTTCTTCGCCTTCGCTTTGGCAGCTGCAGCAGATCTACCTCCTCCGCTCAGATGGCTCCACATATTGTCGTCGATTTTCTCGACCTCAGCAGCGGTCTCTTGTTGCAACATGACATGAGCGAGCAAATCGTGACGTTCACTCGCATCCTTGTACCGCAAATTCGGCATATCTGTCATACCTGCGAGATGCGTGATGGTCTTAAAGGAATAACCCTGATCCACCAAAAAGGCTTGACGCTTCGCACTGTAGGCCATTTCCGTTGTATCTTTCGAGACCAAGGAGTAGAAGAATGCATTAAAACCCTCATCATTACGACGCTTAGCTCGAAGAATCCGCCCTAGCCGTTGCGCCTCTTGACGTCGAGATCCGTAGTGTGATGATATCTGAATGAGACATGTTGCTTCGGGTAAATCAAGAGAAGTGTCACCAATTTTGGAAAGAAAGATTGTGTTGATCAATTCGTTGTGCTGGAAGTTCTCGAGAATGTTAATCCGTTCCTGGTTACTGGTGTCACCATAAATGAATGGCTTCCCCATCGACGTTGCGTAGTGCTTCAGTGCGAACAGGTTGTCGCTGAACACAATGATCTTGTCACCTCTCTTCTCATGATAGTCGATAAGGTACTGGCAAACTTGGTACTTGACGGGGTTCATAATGTAGTACAGGGCCTGCTTGCGAGTCGTCTCCTTCTGATATTCTTGGTAGAATTCCATGGCCATTGGACACCAGACTTCAGCACACTGTACCTTGGCGATATGGCCTTGAGCGGCAAGTTCCATCCAATTAGCTTCATAGAGTTTGGGTCCAATGATAAAATTGAGATCCGTGATCTTGTCATCCTCTCGCAACAGGGTGGCGGTAAGACCTAACTTGCAATGAGCGCGGATGTTTTCGCCGACTTTTCGGAACATCTTGGCTGGGACAACATGGACTTCATCCAGGATCATCAAGCCCCATTCCTTGCCATAGACCCAGTCCATCATCTGTTGAGTATCATGGGCGCGTTTGCCTCCAGCAGTGATCATGGAGTAAGTGGTGACCAGCACCCCAGATTCCCCAGTAAATCGCCTCTTTTCGGAGGCCGAGAAAACGGCGATATCTTCTTCTTTAACATCAGACCACTTTTTGAATTCATTTGCCCACTGATAACTAGACATGGCGCTTGTGCAAAGGACCACGATACTCTTTTTGATATGACAACCCGCCGTGATTCCAACAAGGGTTTTGCCAGCTCCACAAGGCAACACAATGATACCACTTTTGCCGCGACCATTACCAAACATTTTGCTAAGGGCTTTTTCTTGATATGGCCGGATTTGCGTCGCTGGTCGTAGATCGATAGGAAGCGAAGGATTAACTTGATCGCCAGCAAAGTCGTACTCCGAAATTGCTGGATAGCCAATGTCAAGACACTGCTTTGCAACCGTGTCACGTTTGCTGGGTGCAATCTCGAAGCTTGATGCCTCTTTGAAGTTGTCCTCCTCATCTTCTTCATCCCTCAATGTGGCAATCATGGCTTCATCATCTTTGGTGGGGTCATCTCGAGCGACTTCGAGCTCCGACTGACCAGCCTGTCTCATGCCCTTGGCGTTGTTGGTGCCCTGGATGATAGTGGCCTTGGTTTGAATTCGGCCGGTCTCGACATTTGTCCCCTGTGCTTTACAAGGCCCAATGACGGAGTCTTGCAACAACATGTCAATAATCTCGCGTTCGTCCGATTCGACGTAGAAATTGTTATTCCGCAAGACAAGTCGCACCTTGCCATAAGTCTTTGTGTGTCGGTTGATAAAATCGACCACAGTTTTGGGTACGGGTGTCTTGGATAGTTTTTCTAGAGCACGAATTATGTCTTCACCACGGAGACCTACCGATAGAGCCGCATACAAGCTGTGTTCCGTGAATCTGTACTCGTGAAGGAAGGAGGGTCTTGATTGTGGTTCTGCGATTGTGGTGAGCAGATCCGTCGCCTGGGCGGACAACGGAGAAAAGCTCTCAAGTGTGATTTTGGGGCCTTTCTTCGACCCCAGGGAGACATTTGGGTCGATCCATAGAGGTCGATTTTCATGATCAGTTTTTAGGGACATCCATGAGAAATCCTTCTCGCCAAATATGGACGTTGTTTGTTTGTGTTTGGCACCTTGAAAGGAACTGAAGTCCAAACGAGCTCTGGCCCTGCGAATGTGCTCTTTCTCACTATCACTAGCCTCTTGCGATCTCGCATCGGAGCCCGAGTAGTCATCATCGCTGTCTAGGCTGATGGGAGTGGAGGGAGCAGGCGTAGATCGTTTCGAGGATCGAGCACTTGCATCTTCAAGCGCTTTCCGCTTGAGTGACATTCTCAGAGGGTTGCCTTACAACTCACGAAAATGAAGGGAAAGAACGGAGGGTCATAACTTGCGCAAAGAGAAGAAATAAACGCTGGAGAGATGAATGAATGAGTAAATCAACGAATGAAACCTGGCTTGCAGACGATTTGAGTCCGGCAAGCAGAACTGGAGTAATGCAGTACGAATATCGTACATACGTAGCAGGTGCAGCTTGCCTCCACCTCAGTGACTCAGACGTTTCCGCTAACGTAGCGCCTTGGCGCTATTACGATTCCGTACTGTAGTGATCAGGGACTAATAATGCCTCTAGTTACGGAGTACTCCTAAAGACGAAGGTGACCGACCACTGGGTGGGATGATTAGCCTACTGTATCATCTTCTCACCTCCGAAACTGTCTTGCTGCTTGGGCATCTTCTCGTCATCTAGAATCACGTAGGCACGGAACCGGGAGTTGCACAGATATGGCATCAATGACTTTCGGCTATGGGCGAAAATGGTCCTAATGGCAACTTATGACCACGACACTCAGGCGAATCGATAGCTGCAATGCTCAGAACAAATATTCCGCTCAGGAATATCCGATTGCGCCACTTCGACTTAGCCGGCGGTACATTTGGAGCGATACTCTCCCCTCTTGCCTGAAGGTGAGAGTTGCTCGTGAGAATGTAATAGCTAGGTGACAAACAGTATCAACATTGGGCGACGAACTTAAGGGCAGAGCCTACATGATCACCCGCTGTAGCCTCGACGTTTTACGTGGAAACCATTTGATTGCCTGGGAGCCATGGTAACAGTGGGCCTCCAACAAAATCCCATCCGATACGAGTTAAATGTAACAGAGAGGCGTTGTGGGGTTGCCACTTGCCTACAAGTTCTCAGGGTCATTTCTAGAGACTGATAGAAACCCTGCAAGTTCGGCATGTAAGTTGACTCGTTCGATTTGGTGTGTTCACGGTGTAATTCTTGGTGTCAAGTCTTCGCGATTGAGAAAGAGTCGACTGCGAAGAGGGCCAGGGAAGAGAAGTCGGACACGAGGTATCGCTGGTGGTTGAGGCAATCTAATTTGCTAGGAGTAGATGGTAATATCTCCCAAGTAGCACCAACACTGATCCGCACTATTATGGTAGAGCCGCCTTTGCATTAAAGATAGCCACGTGATGTCGAAATAATTCCAGCATCCAATCAGCCAGCTTTCCCGATCTACTCCTCGAAACCTCTAAATAACTGTCCTCAGATAGTCCAGATTACCAATTTAAAGGCCGTGCCGTTGGCCTGCGGTCTACGGGAGCTCAAACACGATTTCAACAGTGTCAATGCTCACGGCCGCCTGATTACCGCTTTAGTCCTGACTTCCTTCCAACCAACGACTCGCGAAACAGAGCGAAACTTGCAGGAAAAGAAGCAATGCCCTGCACAGGAGCCCAACCCTCGCTCCAGCGGCTTTTCCTTGAGGCAAGTCGGACGCGTGAGATCCCATCGTTTCTCCTTCCGTCTGTCTCCTCCCTGCGATCTTTCTCCACGAGCCATGCACGACGGTCACGCATCGGACGCGAAGCAATCACAATACCCCCAGAAGTCACTCTACGATTCTTCGACCTACCAAAGGGAACTGGGAGGAGCAGGAATCCAGATACACCGAAGTCCGCGCTTGAGGTGACTGGACCGTTAGGTATGTAACACTGGGAGCATGATTCAGTAGGAGCGGGCTTTGCTAACCACACAACGCCATTCCTAGGTCAAATGACGGTCCCTTTACCACCCTATCTGGCCACATCACAGGAAGATGACGGGAAAAAGCTGTTGCTGAATGTGGGAGATGTAAATGAAAAACACCAAAGGTCTATGTGGGGTGCGTCTGCTCAAATCCTCGACCTGAACATGGACTAATTTTGAAACCACCAGGGACAATGCGCACCCTCGTTCAAAACAGCGTTTCCGGCGTATCTGAAGGCCATGTCTGCATCCTCCGGCTGGTCGGCGTCGGCTACCGAGCAACAATCGAAGAATCCGCGATCACCAAGAAGCCCGAGTACCCAGGCCAGAAATTTGTGAATCTGAAGCTGGGATTCGCACATCCGGTAGAAATGCCCATTCCACAGGGTGTTAAGGCTAGTGTGCCTCAGCCAACACGGATCCTGTTAGAGGGCTGTGACAAGCAGGTGGTGACGCAGTTCGCCGCAGAGATCCGTGATTGGCGCAAACCGGAACCCTATAAAGGGAAGGGCATCTTTGTGAACGATGAGACTATCAAGCTTAAGGGCAAGAAAGCTAAGTAGTGAGAGATCAAGACACTACCTGGGCGTCGAGTTTAAGCCGGCGCCGGCAAGCTGCCGGCCGTGCGCAAGGTAGATTCTATGTATAGATTGTATCCATATACACTTTTGATGTACGGAAACCTTCTACATACTTTGTAGCTCCATGGTGCCTTGTATGGTCAGAACACTTGGGTAGACTCAAGACTTCGCAGCAAGCACCTCCTGAACGGCCTTCAAGGTCTGAGGGTGCACGTTAGCTGGAGCAGCCACGACCCCTTTGTTCTCGGTGAGGGTTCTTCCTCTTCCGAAGTCCAGCCTCTTTCCTGTGATGTCAGTGACCTGGCCGCCAGCCTCTCTGACAATCAAGTCCCCAGCAGCGTGATCCCATATCTTCTCGACGTAAGATTTCTTGACGGGCAGACGGAGATAGAGGTCTCCTGCACCTCTTGCGACGCTGCCATATTTCGCCTGACTATCCATCTGCACTGGCTTTCCGGAGATGCCGAGCTTCTCGGCGATGAGTGCGTTGTCGCCCTTGGACGAGTGTCCTGCCTCAACTGACTCGCACATGACTGCCTGGCTGACGTCAGAGATCTTGCTGACATGGATTGGCTGACCCTGTGTGACGGCGCCGCGCGTGAGAGGCTGTGACGTTGCACCCTGACCTTGAATGGCAGAAAAGAGAACGCCTTTGCCTTCTGCATCCGTGGCTTCAGCGCCGATGTCCTCTGTCAACAGGGCGGAGTCGTCTACCGGAAGGTTAGGGCACCCCAACACGCCAACCTTGACGTCGCCATTGACAAGTAGTGCAAGGCAAACGGCATACTGCCCGCCACGGAGGAAGCCTTTTGTGCCATCAATGGGGTCGAGGGCCCAGATGCGACCTTTGTCACCACCAGCACTGTTGCCTTGGTCGATGGCATCGAGCATCGCATCTTCCGTCTTGATGGGTCCGCCAAGGACAGCATCAGAGTCGGGGTCGGTGAGCTTGGCATCCTTGACCAGGTCCCAAATTTTGGAAGAGAGATCCTTCTGCTCGCGCAACGAAGAGGCTTCTTCTTCCCCGACGACTTCATCGTCAGGGAAATTGTGCTTGATGGCAGCAATGATCAAAGCTTGTGCCCCGAAATCTCCGATGGTCACAGGCGACTTGTCATCCTTGGAGACCGTGCCTTTGGCTTTCTCGTGAAAAACTGCCTTTGTCAAGATGGCCGCTCTTGCAACGGCCAACTGAGCGACCTTGAGTTCCTTCTCGTAGGCCATGATTGGTTTTGATCCGCCTTCGCTGAGGTTCGACTGGGAGGCGGTCAAGGTTGATTTGATGCCAAGACCTGATATGAAGTGTGTGAGGTGTAGCTTCACCTGGAACTGGGAAACCAAGCTGCTGAGACGGGTCAAGGCCGATGTTGATGGTCGAGTGGTAGATGCCAGGATGAGAGAAACGACGAGAAAAATGCTGGCACTGATGAGAATAGCTATTGTCCGGTCGCACAATGCTGAACGGAGTTTCATAAAAAGAAATCACTTGTCCGTGGTGTCCTCAGCTGCACCATAAGCCAAACGTTTTGACTCCAGGGATACGGAGTAGTAGGGCGACGGACAAGGATTGGAGGCAACCGGTGGGCTATGGGATCTGGCTTACCGGATCCCGCAGCCACGACGATATGGTCTTGGCAGGCACCCGCAGGGTCTCACCTTCTGGAGGGCAAAGGAATTCCGACCCATGTATGTATGTCTCCGCAAATTCAAGCAGCACTACTAGAATTGACTTGATAATAGGAAAGAAAAGTATCAGTTGTTGTCGGCGTGACGAAATGCAATAGTCCCAAAAAATCATCTTTCAAAGCTATGCCTAGTCTGCTGGTGGTGCGGAGGATTGGGGATACAGTCAAGTAACAGGTAAAGTTTTACGCATCCAACCTTTGGCAAAGTCGCTGATGTTCGAGGGGGCAAGCCTCAGCAAGGAAACCTCGATCGGAACCCATAAAAAGGCCCAGGAACTTTTCAGGGGACCCAGTCGCCCAGGGTTCGGATCGATCTCCCTTCCCACATGGTCCAAGCTTCAGTCTTAGTTCTTCAGTGGCTTGAGCAACCAGGCACATCAACGCCCCAACGCCAACAAAACACAAAGCTTTGACAGCAATACCGTTGTGCTCGTATGAGACTTATGATTCCTCCGCGATCCAACGCGATCCGTTCGGAGGGTGGATTCCAAAAATACGAGTACGCAATACTAATAATGATAAGCCCATGTTATCGTCGCCGAACAGACCAACAGGTTGACGAGGTACTTTGTTGACGATGACGAAACCCATCCGAGACTTGCAGTGGCCAAGTTTGCACTGTTCATGAGAAGGGCCCCCCAATTTCATTTTTTGATGCATCACGAAAACAAGGCTTCCTGTTGCTGACCACCTTTGGGCCTCTCAAGTTGCCCCCAGAACGAGCGCTCCTCTTGTTCCATACTTCCATGGACTCGTACGAGATCCCTACTGACGCGTAGCCCACCTACGCGAAGAGCACTCGGGACACAAAGCAGCCCAACCGCCGGCGCTTGTCGAAGATTCATGCCGTTGGCATCAACACGTTAGCATCAACACGTTAGCAGTGAAGACGGACGAGGAGAAGCAAGTACATACGGATTGCCGGCCTCTTTACTCCGACCTTGCATGTACTATTGCTCTCCTCTGCCGGCTGCATATAGTTTTCGGTTAGTAAAGAGGACTAAGATGGTCGGCTTTCATTAGGCGGTCCCAAAACGAATTAGGAACCCCTGGCGGTGAGAGCCGCCAAAAGACGAATCGGACGCTGAGACCTTGCAGTGTGGGCAACCAGTTAATTCCAACTCAGCTAGCCTCGTTGCCAAACCCATGTTTACCGCACTTAGTTTGGACAGGTTGCTTGCCCGATCGTTTTGCTTGCACTACAGTACAATTGTGTGCTCCGTACTACGGAGCACGAGTCCTCCGTACGGCTGCCTCGTGGCACTTGCGTTGACGCTTGGACCAGGGCCCCTTCACATCGTCTGGTGCACGAGGTTATGCCGAACTTCAAGGAGCGTTTTGCGCAGGGCACAGTAGCATCAATAATGCTGGCCAACGTTGTGAAGCATGTCAGATTGAAAGCTGCATTTCGACTAGGGCAATGGCACTTGCCACTGAAAACAATTCCGACCTGCCTGTGGGGTATGTTGCTTTTTTGAAGACGAGTCAAGAAGAACTGTCAGATGGGTTATTGTTGGATTCAAAATACGAAGGCAAGAGGCGTGGGGAGAGAATGACAAACCTTTCATCACGAGCCCGAAACTCAGCCTCCTTCGGTCACCCCAGTGCCAGGCATTCAGACATTTGGACTTGTGAACCCAGACTCAGTTGAAAACAAATAATATCCGCAACTAACGCTCGATGTACAGCGAGCAATTGGTGCTTTGATGAGAAGGTGTTAAAATGTCCTAGCCCAAAGGAGACGTGCAATTTGCCTTTCCAGACGAATGATGGTCATAGGTCGACCCCCAGGGTCGGTAGGACTCCAGGCTTCATAGGCACTCTAATGCCCCTTTTCGCGGTAAACAATAAGTGGTGTGGGCGGCGTTCCAGGCGGCTGACTTGCCTGAGGGTGCTTAGCAGAAGACCCGCTCGTGCTCCACAGTGGCACCCCGCCGGCGCCGATTTTGGTTTGGGTGTTCTTCGGTCACTTGGGCTGCTTGGGTCTGTGGGCAGGTGGGTGCGCTGGGCGCACTGGGCGGGCTGGTGGGCTGAGGGAAGCAAAAGTAAAGTTGCGAAGTCACCTGCAGGCTGCATTTGCTGCCGCTTGCTTTCCCATGTCAGTCCCGTGCTTTGGTCAACTTGTGCACAAACTCCAACCTTGGCCTGCCCTGTTTGGTCCTGTCCTGTTCTGTCCTGCTAATGCTCTTCCTACCACACCTTGTCCCAATCTGCGAGAACGGCTCCGTACTGCCTCTGACTACATAGTCCCTTGAATAGTAGCCATGTTTGCCTCCTCGGTGAGTCTTCTCTCCCTCCTGTCTATGCTTTCCATGCCTGCTCCTACCATGTCGTGAATCATCTCGTCCATCCCAATCCATATCTCAACAACCCCGCCATCCCAACCGACATGCCTCCCAGCCTGTCTCTATTCCTCATCCACGCCCCGGCATGTACACCAGATGCTGGGCTCGTGGATCTCGTCCAGCATGACGACAATGAGAAGGCAGACTTGAATGAGCTGGAACACCTCCTCGATGCAGAAGACACACCTGCAGAGTGCCACTGTTGTGGCCGAAGAAAGAAACGCAGATCCTTCAATGCATATCCAGAACAGTCATACGGGCCTCAGGTCATTCCTCGGCGCCGACCCCCTCCAGAGATTCGAGGCTGCAAGCGTCTGCTTATTTCGTTGTTACACATTGCCTGCTGCTACCGGTCACGCCGCAAGTTTCAGTTAATAACCCGTTATCAATATCACAAACAGAAGAAGCCCTTTTCTGCCGTCTCCGTCCATGTCGAGCAATTGACCTCGGAAACCTACGAAGAAGATGACCTCGCGGGAGTTCCAGAGCTGCTAGAAGTCATCAAGCTTCAAGCCACGGGCTCGCAAGAGGTGGCTCGGGCATTAAGAAAGAAGTTGAAATACGGCAATGCTCATCGCCAGCTCCGATCACTCAGCATTCTTGATGGTTTGTTACAGAACGGTGGCCCCAGAGTTCAGCGAGCGCTCCTCTCCGACGGCCCTCTTCTCGAACGCCTCCGTATAGCCGCCGTCGACCCATTATCCGACCAAGATGTACGAACCAAGTGTAAAGACCTTTTTGGTCAATGGGTTAGTGCTAAGGATAAATCTCATAGCGCTTCATGATGCCATGAGCCATCTTGCTAATGCCTCCCAACATTTCTAACGCACACATCCTAGGTCGCCAGTTCCAAAGACAATCCAGGCTTGGAAGGTGCCAAGTCTTTGTACAATCAATTGCCAAAGACACAGAAACCTGCCCACCAAAGGCGAGAACAGAGTAGAGTCCTCCGGGAAACAGAGGAGGATGTACAACGGGAGCGGGAGCTGGAAATGTCAAGAGACAGATCTGACAGTGGCCCAAAGATGGGAGAACCATCAAGCCCACCGACCTCCCGCAAACTACAATCGCCTGTAACATTGGGATCGTCATCTACCTTCAGCCCGAAGAAGGTCAAGAAGGACAAGAAGAACAAAGTCAAGGGGTTCAACCTGGAGCGAGAAAAGCCACAAATTTTGCAATCCATTGCGGCGTCCTCTGTAGCCTCGACAGGTCTGAACAACGCCTTGAGATTGGTGAATCGGGAAAGGGAGCAAGTTTCCAACAACCCAGAAGTGATGAAACGCTTCGAGACATGCAAGCAGCTACGTCGCCAGATTCTGCGCTACATCCAATTCGTCGAAACAGAGGAATTTCTTGGTGGGCTTATCCACGCAAACGAGGAACTTGTCACTGCCCTCATGGCCTTTGAAGTTATGGACAAGTCGGTCGATGATGACTCTGACAGCGAAATGGAAGAAGCTCAACATTTGTCGAGACAGGCAGCTAGAAGTGAACAAGCAGCTACCAGGGAGGCCGAGAAGTTAGTCGCTGGTTTAAGCATCTCAGCGCCACCGAAGCCTCCCCGGCCTTCTCCACCATCGCACATCGCAATGCCCCCCCCTCGGCCTGCAGCTGCGAGTCCTAGGAACTTCAAGGGGAGGCAAGCTGAAAGTGAAAGCGAGACCGAAAGCGAAGAGGATGATGATCCTGATGATCCCTTCGGGGATAAAAATGCCATGAAGACGCCGGACCCAGACTCACTGGGAAGAAAGGGGTACACATGGAAGGAGGTTTAGAGCCCGAGGGAGCTCGGTATTTTGCCAACGGACCACCGAGGTCGCATGTGAAACAACGGATGAAAGGAGAGAAGTGCTCTTTCTTGCAGTGTATGAAGCTACGACAGTGATGAATTGGGAACAAACATGAATTCTATCGAAACTTTCCACATATTTCCTGGGTTTGCCACCAACGTTGACCTCCCTGACTGAATCTGCAAACACTCCGTGAGTGCGGAACCAGACCTCTAGGCTGGTTTTACTGGCACTTTATAAACTTAGGCGCAGTACTCTGATGTCGATGATGTGCTTGGCCCATCAGCTTGGCTCATCAGATATTAGAGGTGCACCTCCACGTCTAGTAAGCGAGATGACCAAAACTCCCTCGACCATCCCACTCAGCTGATGTGAGCCTGGTCATTCCTGTGGCCATCAGTCCTACATACCTACATACGTGCGCGTGGCGTCGTGTTGCCTTTTGTAGAGCCATGTGTGGCTTTGTGTCAAATGCTCTCGGACGCCCCGGTCAGTTTCAAGAGTTGTCTCTTTGCGAATTTGGATCGTGTCCGGATAGAAAAGTGTTCGCTTTGGTCGAGATCACGTGCAATATTTGATGCTTGATCACTAGGACACGCAGCGCTGTGGGGAGAAAGAGAAGCCTCCTAGAACGGCTCAATGATGTCGGTGCATTCTAATGGGTAGCTTTGGTACGCAGTCGAATAAATGGAATGTATGTACTAACTACCTAGTTACGGAGTACTACTTTTGGGTCCCTGAACTGCATGCTGCATTCCAGAGACGAGGCTGAAGCCAAGAGTGGCTAAGGCTGCACTTTTCCTTGAATGACGCACTTTTGAATGTTCTGTTCTGCCCCGCTGAGAACGTCCCCTCCACTCCACTGTATGACTTCTACACATTCCTTCATTCTTACTTTCTGAAGAAATTTAGAGCAGTACCACGGTATCTCCTATTTCATCATGCACACTCAATTGCTACTCTGGTCCTCGCCTGAAATCCTCACATACGCTAACTCCACTCGCCACAAGTACATGCAAGAAGCACAGGTAAACCAGACGTGATCGATCAACGCGGAGTCTAGAGAGCGCCAGTTTTCCCGAGCCAGTGTTATGGATACTTTGAGTTCGGACATTGAGGTTGGGGCTCTTCAAGTGCGTGGCAGGCTAGGGCTCACATCTGACAGGCGCTCCGAGCAACCTACTGTCCTCCATTGGATGAAGCACTTTTCTATGCAATCACCTCCGAATATGAACTTCCCCAAGATCGAGACACCATGATAAGTGTGCTCAATAGTCTGAAAACTAGTGCAATAGAGCAGGATGCGGCAGATTTCGATCCCTCGGGAACTGGGGGACCTAGCCATCAGAAGGACCACACAGACACTTCAAGATCAAATCACGAAGACGCAGCTTCGACCGGAGTCACAAGCATAACTACAGGGTTGTCGGAGCTGTTATGGACCGGCTCAGACAATCTCGGACATGACTTGAATGATGCGCCGTTGGAATCTAAGACTGCATGGCTGAGCAATGTCTTTCCCGATATACCTAGACGAGAGTTAGGTGTCATACTTGAAAGCCACGCAGGATCTTTGGACAAGGCGACTGATGAGCTCTTGAACCTATCTTTTCTGTATCAGGGCACGGGAGACGCATTTCCAGAGGTTACGCCAGTCCCGAAGGGCGTCGAGGCCTTTGCAGAAGACGCGATGCGGCCGAGGAAGGGTAGGAAGAAGAGAAGGAACAGAACGACAGACTCTTCAAGAACAAGTTCTGCCTCTTCATATTTACCTGACGATGAGATATCCAACTACAATGTTTGGTCTACAATGTCTGATGATGTACAATTCATTTGTTCTAGGACTGATCTCCCGGCCCAAACCGTTAGATCCATTTATCACTCCAACGGAGCTCGCCTTGGACGAACAATCCGAGCGCTTGCCATAAAAGAAGCTGCCACGAAGAAGTCCAGCACGGATGATCCCATAATGGAGCTCCAAATCGCTGAATTCACCACCGACTTTGAGAGCGTCCCAAAAGCGGAGCTGTACGGTCTATTGACTTTGGCCCGAAACATTCCTTCTGCGGCTCGGGAGCTGCTGGAGGTCATGATGGATGTCAACCGAAAGGATGGGACTGCCAATATCGCTCTGGATGCTCAATATGCACCCATCAAACTGGAAGATGACCAACCCCTTGACTCACCTTCATCAAGTTCGTCGTGGACGACAATGAAGCCTGCTGCACGAGACTCGGCTGCAATTCACAGAGCCGCCGCTTCCCACAGCTTCAATCAAGCAAGTGCCGCGTTCAAGAAGAGTAAATCTGATCGCCTTATGGGCGGTGCAGCAGCGTACTACTCGCAAGTCGGCCACGATCGAATGAGAGTGGCTAAAGAAATGCATGCGGCAGAAGCAGATGCGCTTGTCGCGAGACAATCATCCACAACCGTTCTTGACCTTCACGGCGTAAGCGTGGCAGATGCGGTCCGAATCGCCAGCGACAGAACGCAAAGTTGGTGGGACGGACTGGGCGACGCGAAATACGCCTCAGGAGGTGGTGGACCGATGAGGGCAGGCTTCAAGATCGTGACCGGGGTCGGCACTCACAGTAAAAACCATGCACCAAGGATAGGGCCTGCGGTCAGCAAAATGCTGATCAGGGACGGGTGGAGGGTCGAGATTGGCCATGGAGAGGTCGTCGTGACGGGAAAGACTCGACGCTCTTGATCTGCTAGTGGTTCCCTGGCATCGAAAAGACAATAAGATATCAGGAAGTGCTCATTTTGGACCGGCAGCGCAGAGGCTGCAAATGCGTCGTCAAATCCATTCCCCGTGCCTCTCACCTGGCGTAACCATGATCGAACCCCAAATTTGAGAGAATATCGCACGGCTCCCTCTATCTAACATACGTATTCCAGCCAAACAATCCGAACGTCCCTTCCCAGCTATATCTTCCCGATTTCCTCTCTCCCCTCACCAGTCCCATCCGCTTGAAACGCAATACTCGCACTATTAACACAATGTCTCTCATCCGTCGGCGTTGGGAACCCTTCCCCGAAGAACAGATGGCCCAAATGGCCCCCGCAGTTCGAGCAGACGATCTCCCGCGCCGACGATGACGGGAACCGCGGGTCTGCCAGCCTCGTCACCGCGCCGGGGAGGCAGTCAAAATACGCGGGCCAGCCGCACGATGACTTGAATTTCCGTGAGGCGTGGTAGAGCGGTGTGTTGCATCCCGCGCAGACGTAGACTCCTGACGATGCGTAGTGCTTGTCGTACAGGCCGGCGAACGGCTTCTCGGTGCCTTTTTGGCGCAGGATGCGGAATTGCTCTGTGAAGTGCGATGTGAGTCTCTTTGAAAAGGAGGGGGATCTGGAGTGATTGAGCGAGGACGGATATGGTTAGGGTTTCATAGGGTGCAGGGGAGTTGGGTCTGCATAAGTAGGAGTGGTGGGGGTGGAAGGTAAGTGGTCGCATGAAGAATGGGTTCCGTTCAATATCTCTCTGTTCTCATTCCGGGGCAGGGGCTGGGTTACCTTCGCTGAGAACCGCCCGCCACTCTTCTTCCGAGCGCTTATCTGGGTATGTTGGAGGCGGCGACGACGACGACGACGACGACATCGCTAGAATCCCCAGCAATGCCTCGCAGGCGATGGCGTCCTGTATTAGACGTTTAGAAGACCAACTTTGTTGAATGGTACCCAAGGACCGCAATTCGACCTGTTTCCCTCCCCGCTATGCGGTTGGGCATTTAGGTTCACGAATATAGCAAAGTGCTTAGCATCAGATGATACTGAAAGTAAACACTTCCCCCTGTTTTCCAGCTGGAGGGCCGACAAACTCGTCAGTTAAGGTAGTCAACGACGAACTCGTGAAAATGACTGCCGGTCTTCGCCTAATGAGAATACCTCTGCTGGAGGAATGCTGAACAAAGGCCGAATACTTCTTCTGCTGGGAAAAGCTCTTTCAAGAAATTCTCGGTAATGGCAATGGCAAGGAGATGATGAATCAGCTGTGCCAGCGATCATGAAGCGGTCAAAACACTTGGCTTGGTCAGGTGCGTGGTAAGGCTGTGGGTGGGGCGTGGGTGGGGCATCCCGTTTCCTTCAAGCACTCCATCCGGTCTTCCGCCCCGCCCCCCCCTGTTCCCCTCCCTCTCCAAGGAGCTGGGTAATCAACGGTCAAGACGTTCCCTTTAATAGTCTCCTTCTAATTGGCTCTATAGGTATGTGATGGTACTAGCACCAGCCTTTCGAAAATTAGGGCTAAGGAAAGTTGTCTGAAAGAAACGGATGGATGGATTATCAGCTGATGGAATGTGTGGTTTTGGCGCACTTTCCGATCGGTTTATCAGAGCTCCACCCATCTATCCTCTCACTCCATCTTCGCTCATTTCAACAACCTATATTGGAAGATTACACACGGATCTCGAACCTTGTGCCTTTCCATTTGCTCTCTTGGGTTCACTAGCCTCCCTCCGACGACGTAATCCGCCAGGTCTTCGGGAGCGACTCAGTAAAGGCTTCGACAGTGCTTTTGGCAGATGTGTTTTCAAAGCCGGATACGTTGACGCATATCTCAGACTGGAACAACGAACAAACCGGCGCCGACGATTGTGGCGAGGGTGCCGATGACCTTCAGAGCGCCGTTCAAGTCGAGAGTAGAAGCACCGCCGGTCAATGAACCACTCGCTGCAGAGCCCGTGGAAGCACCAGAAGCAAAGCTAGAGGCAGATGCAGAGGCGTTGGAAGGCGCCTCTCTATCATTCTCCTTGACCACGGCACCGGCAAGAGTCGCATTGGCGATCTCCGGGAAGGGAACGAATCCATCGTCCGGGTATGCAGAACAGGTAGCGTTGAGGTCCAGTGGACAGCTCTCTGAGACGCAGATGGCCTGTAGTTGAGGCCCCGCAGATGCTGGGATGACGGGCGCAGCTGGCGAGCAGCGTCTTCCAAAGGTGGCCGCGAGCGCCTTGGACGTGAAGTCACAATCAGCTTCCTCAAACCCGAGAGATTTGGCGGCCAACACGATCTGCTCGTTGAAGTATCCGCTCTCCCAGGGGTCAGATTTCATGAACCTTAAAAGAACGTTAGGTGGAACAACTCAGGTGTGGAAGATGATTACATACTTATGCACCTCATACATGCTGGCGACGCCCTTGTACTTGGGAAATTCTGCTGATCCTTGCTCACTGCAGCCGTAGAACTCTCCAAAGTATTGATAGACATGAATCAAGAGAGCACTGTACAGCGGAGGCCTGTTAGCAATACTTTGCAGCATCCGGGGCAGTGTTTGGAGTTTCGTACTATTGATTAGATGTCTTCGTGTTTGCAGGCTTGTCAGCTAATAGGCAACGGCACCACCATCATCCAGAAAGTTTTTGGCGATACCAGTGCTTGCGTTGTTGTAGCCCTTGGTCGAATAGTAGGCACCGATGAAATAGTTCAGAATGTTGACTTCGTGGCCGGAATAATCTGCTGGGGTAGCAACTCCAGCAACTGCAATGCCAACGTTGGGAGTTGTGTAGTTGCCGAGAATAAAAGTGTGAGTGAGCGTCTGCACGAGCTTCAATTGACTCGTTGCCGAGTTCTCTACTCCCAAGAGGAGAGGTGTATAGTAGTCACAGATGGTCACATTTTTCGGACGGTCAGCGTTGACAACCACGCCCAGGGCGGCCACTGTAATCAAAGTCTCGAAAAGCATGATAGTAGTATCGAGATGGTTAAAAGCAAAAACAATGAGTGTCTTCCACGTTCAAAAAAAAGGTTGAGAAAACGCGTCTTTTCGTGGTTCAGTCGCCGTTTAAATTCGATCACACTGTGGATCAGTATTTCGAATATATCAACATAGGGGGTCATTTGACGTGAGGGATAACGGCAGAGTGACACAGCATTGTAAACTAGACCATAGATAGAGAAACCCGTTATTAATCCGTGCATATTCCCCGACCTTGCAAAGGAGTTTTGAATTGTAAGTCGAGAAAGGGTTGCTGTAGGTAATCTCAGCTCGTCGAACGCTTCCTTACTTAGAAAGTGAAAGATGTTAATTATCACAAGGTTCCTGATGCGGGCTGGTGGTCAGGTACGCGAAATAAAAATTGCTCAGCAATCGTTCCCGAACAATAAGATGTCGACAAAACGACAGGGCGGACTTGCTGTGCAATCGAGGTGATATGAGAGGTCCCTTTTTCAGCCTCATAATTGCAACTCGCGGAATGTCATCTAGAGAGGAATGCGCCAATTTGCCAGGGCTGGAGGTCTACCGTAGTAGATCCACATCTAGTGGCAGAGATCGCCTACGGGTAAGACGTGTATGTTCATTATTGGAGTAACATCGATCAGTAACGCGTGAGATTCAGGTATCTCGATACTCTGGAGCCCACGGATCACAGACAACATTGCAGGATAACCTGTGCCGAGGGTTGCCAGCATCTATGAGTTCACACAGGTCCAGGAGCAACAGAAGTCAAGAAACCTCCTTGACTTGTGCAAGTTCTCACCGGAGCTATGACTTGGGTGAGGCGGTGCTGCATACATTGTCTAAAAGATGAGAGGACGGCTGAAAATATTTCGTTTGATCAACAAGACCGAGTTCTTATTACCTAATTAGGTACTCAGTAATTAACTAATTACGGAGTATTACTCAATGGTACTCGTCTTCTCGACTGTTCGGTCCTGCATTAACCTTCTCCTCCCCCCAACAATGCTGCTGTATCTTCCACCAGAGATCTTTGACATATCAATCTCTACCAAAATCTGGAGACAAGTGCTACACCAGTGCATGCGATCTTTGAGGATTGCCACGCCATGGATCGCATTTCTGGGCAAGAAGGAATTCGCAAACAGCGTTCTAATTTCAGCTTCCGCGATATCACACTTTTGTCCTCTCCTCGTGGATGTGGAAAAGGACGTCGGTTTAACTGTTTAATATCTCCATTTTAAGAAAAGGAGGGTTCCTGGGACTTCGGGAAGACCGAGGCAGCGCATGAGGATTCGACAGCGACATACATTGTTTGCGCATCCTCTGATATGGAAGACCAAATACACTCAGACTTAACGGCCGCATATATTGCTAACATAATTTTAAACCTAGTCAACTGAGTATCCAGCCTAGATTGCAATTATATCTGATATCAGATGAGTTTGTCAGTCCAATGAGACAAGTTAGGTTCGTGAATCTAACTCGGCTTTCATTCAAATGGGCGCAGAGTGTATGGCCAAAGAACCAGGAACTTGAAGAAATGCGGGCTTGGACACTTATTCATGACCCTTGATGGTCTGGACGTATTTGTAGTTCGATCTGTCCAATACCTTGGGATCAACCCCGAGGATTGTCCCAGTTAGCCTCGCACAGGCCAAATCGGAAATCCAAAATCGGAACCTCCATACACATTTAGTCGTGTTCGTGTGAATAATCTGTCGGGTCAAGAAGGCGATACTGACCTTTCTACCGGTTTTGGGTATCTAGGCCCGGCAGCCTCGAGGACTCTGCATTTAGGAGTGAGCCAGTCATCCGTTGAAAAGGCTGAGTCTGTGATCCCATGCACCTGATATCTATCTCTCTGTTAGGCAACTTTCCCGGTCATGACCACATTTACACGAAGGTGACAGACGATTGTTATACGGGTGTAGTGTCCAAGTCAGCTACGAGATGGGATGAGGATGCGGGCAAATGAAAGGATTCATGGGGAAACTCTGCGATTCTGCTGCCATGTACAGACGAAGCCGCTGCAAGTGTTTCAAGACCGACAATCTTAATTTTGGAATCCTTGAGCTTGATCCATTGTTAGAATCGATTGTTCTGCTGTGATACTTGAGCGTAGACGAGGTGAGAGACCATCTCGATTCTCAATGTACATAGGAGGTTCGGATGAGCAGCCGCAATGCCAAGACTACGGTGGAGCGTTAACGCGTTTCCCTCGGCACCCATAGGCGGGCCCAATACGCACCGCGATCATCTGGCTAGGCGTTAGTACGGAGTCCATACCGAGTATTGTTGAACACCGCAGCCCAAAGTGACGGGTCGATTATTATTCGCCTGAAGACACGATTCATCCTCCTGTTCTTGAGCTTTCATCCTTAAACCCAACCACTCCTCGATCCCACGTCTCTACTTGGTGAGACGTATCCTTCTTGAAAGTCTCAGTCTCTCTGTGATCCTTGTCGTCCATCCCGCTCCTTCGGACTGGTCTTCCGCCATTTCTTCGACCAGCGAGCCATATCTACCATGTCCCGGCGGCCTGCTGCAGGCGCTGACAGAGCCACTCAAAATGCACAAACCTTGAAGGCTCTTGTCAAACTCGAGGGTAACAAAGTCTGCGCAGACTGCAAGCGGAACAAGCATCCACGATGGGCGAGTTGGAATCTAGGCGTATTTGTCTGCATCCGCTGCTCTGGCATTCATCGTGGAATGGGTACTCATATCAGCAGAGTCAAATCTGTTGACCTCGACGCGTGGACCGATGAACAGCTTCAGAGTATATTACGGTGGGGTAATACAAGAGCCAACAAATACTGGGAAGCCAAACTGGCACCGGGCCATCAACCCTCTGAGGCTAAGATTGAGAACTTTATTCGAACCAAATACGAGTCCAAGAGATGGGTCATGGATGGGCCGATGCCTGATCCAGCAACACTGGATGCTGACGGAGATGACAACGTCCCTCTTAGCATTGTCCAAGAAAAGGCCAAAATTGAAAGGTCAGCGTCTCAGCGTCATGCAGCAACCCAGCAAATGAGGCCACAGCCATCACCAGCGCCTACGGCGAACGTAAACTTGTTCGACGATTTTGGTCCAACTCCTCCACCAGTGAGGCCAAGCACTGCAGACATCCCCAACGCCCGACCAACCCAGACAGCACCACCCGCTCCAAAGCCAGCTCCAAAGCCGCAGGACTCTCTCCTCGGATTGGATTTCTTTGGAAGCGCACCACCCGCTGGTGTTGCTAGACCTTCCAGTGCTGCTGCCACTGCAGGCGCAGCAGCGAACTCGAGAGGTGATTTGAAAAGTTCCATTCTCTCGCTGTATGCGAGCGCGCCAAAGCCTCAGCCGGCAGCTCAGCCCCAGCATGCAAGCGAGCCATCTTTGGGTGGGACGACATCAACCGCACCACCTCGAAAGCAAGACGCGTTTGGAGGTCTCGCGGACGCGTTCAGTGGTTTAAGTTTCCCCAGTAGCAATGCATCACAAGCCTCGTCTGCGTTCTCTGGGTTCAATAACTTTACGAGTCAGGTTCCGGCAAAGGCGACTCCTTCTGCACCACAAGTCACTTCCCCTCCTCCTTTGAGTGGTGGAAGCTTTTTCGACAGTCTGGCCTCGAAGGCGCCAGCTCCCAAAGCCAACGTCACCTCGCCTTCAAGCTCGAATGGGTTGGACTTCTCCTTTGCATCGAATATCAAACCTGCTTCACCTCCGCCACCAAAACCTGCACCAAAGCCTGTGGCGGCATCTATACCACAGGATTTGTTTGCGAATGACGATTTTGGTGGATTTGCCAGCTCTACACCAGTCTCTCCTCCCAAGCCAATCCCAACAAAAGTGACATCACCAATTACCAGCAGTAGCAGCAATACCTTCAACTCGGCGTTTAACCTATCTTCACAACCAGCACCATCAACTGCCCCGACTAAAGCACCCGCCGCCGTTCCGACCAACTCAGCTCTATTTGATCCGTGGGGTTCGTCAGGCAATGATACCAGTCCCTGGGGTGCACCAGAGCCCACGCCGGCGCCCGCGCAAACACAAGCGGCGCTGTCAAGGGTGGAACTGGGAAGGCCACCAGCACATATCACTCCTAATGACATCTCAGGAGGATGGGGAGAACCAATATCGGCAAGGAGCAACAAGCCGGCACAGCAACCTACCGTAGCAGCGGATGAAGACTTTGGTGGATGGACATCGGCTTCGACATCACAAACACCAGTGACCGGCCCTCCCAAGGCAAGTGGTGGATTTGGTGGGGGAAGTGATCCGTTCGACAATCCTTGGGGTTAAAGGAGGGCTGGGAGATAGAGAGAATAACTTGAGCCGAGATAACGAGGAAATCCAGCTATGAAATGAAATGAAATGAAATGAAATGTAGGTTCAGCAGCAACGAGGCCAACTACACCTGCAAGTGAGCTCGAGGGCAGGCAAGAAAGGGGAATATTAAGGCCTGGAACATAGTGCCTTTCGCCTGGTACAGAATAGGGATTAAGATAAGATAAAGTAGGCCTTGGCAATCCAATTCAGGAGGGTGTTGGGTATTGACCTGCTCCAATCGCTGGGGCTTCTACATTTGCTCCTAGGTGGCACTGGGGCGGCCTTCAGGTGTGGCTAAGGTCGTACGGAGAACTGGTAGGCGGCGAATCGAAGGGAGATATGCGGAGCTGGGCCGCCACCACAGCCAGGCCGTGCCTAATTAAACAGCAACAAGCATCTCCGTCGCCTGTTCCAATTGGCCCATCTGGCGCCGCTTCTCGTCTTGCTGCTTTGCTACTTGCCCGTGCCCTTGGCCGCCCATCTCGCTCCTGCACCGCCAACCTAACTAAGGTGCTAACTAAGCCAACTTGGTTGCTGCCCTCGCTGCCCTCCTGGCACATCACCACAAGCCTGATTTAGCAGACACTGGCACGACTGACTCCCTTGACCTCATCTCAATCCTTACGAGCATGGCACACGTCCTTGTCCCGGTCCACATATATTCATACGTCGATCTCAGTCTCCAAACACGATAACCATCTCAGCCCCAATCCTGATCCTGTCCCCGACCATTCCACTCCCAATCGCCAGAGATTCCTCTCCGCCCTGGTCTCTCCTCCTTTCCACCCCTCGATGCCTATCTGCTACCGAGTCCGATGATTACAGGAGAACCACCAGAAGCAGTGACCTGTCGGCGTTTGTGCGCGGGAGGCCTGCCGGGACCAAGGCGGGTACCTGATACTACATCCGTTGCATCTTAGAAATATACGCCCATTCTGGCTGCTTGGGGACTGTCAGTCATCTGTCCGCTCGATGCAGGTTAGTACCCAGATTCCATCTAATCGAAGAGACGAGAGACATGCCAGAAGGATTGGCATCCATCGGTGGATCATTATCCTGCACTTCCTGCATGACCACGAGTCACCACACGTTGAAAAGCCTTGACTAACATCTCCCTGCCTGCAGACTTCTACACGAAGCCGAGACAATGGCGCGAGCTTCGCTGCTCGGAGGGGCCACCTTCCTCAGCTGTCGATAAGTGACGAGAGCCACCATGTCACTGAGGCCATTGGCTACATGTACGGCGACGAACCCGAACCCGACTCTGGTAATCAATTCCCCTATTCACACCATAATACCACGTCCCAACATCACGTCGCACTCAATAGCGACCCGGTCAATCATGAGCATGATATAGCGCACAGAAGGAGGTCTATACCCCGGAAACAATTGCCACCCTCGCACTCGAGAGACTCATCCAGCGACATGTCTGCTGCACAGTCAAACGGTGTCACTCGGCCGTCGCCTACCCAGGCCCATTCGTGGGAACATCCAAACCACTCGCCCTCACCCCCTTCCGCATCCAGAGAACGTTCACCCTCCGAGACCGCGACATCACACTTCCCTCTCAATGACATCGACTATGAATCCAGTCCGGCTGCGGTCGCGCAAGAGCTGAGCAATCTACAAGCCCTGAGGCGGATGTCAATGAGTGTAGGTGCAACAGACGATCCAGATCTACCACAACTTAGCCCTGCTGGCATGCCCAATGCCCCTTCATCACACTCCAGCGAAGATGATGCCTCACGTCTATTCTGGGTCCCAGCTCGCCTACATCCGGAGTTGGCGCCAAAGGAATTTAAATCGTTTTTGGACAGCAAGGCTGAACAGATAAGAAGAAGATCTGGAGAGCTCTCTGCATTTGCATCACCCTCATCATCAAGGTCGAGTTCGCTGAGTATTGAGAGCGCAAGCACCGCCAGTAGCCTCCGACGCAAGAAGTCGATGTTATCACGCCAAATTGACAATTCAGTTGGTTATGAAGATGGAGCGGACAGACTTGAAAGAAAGAAGTCTCAATCTCGTCGAGGCGCGCCGCTTGATCCAAACTTGCAGGAGCTTGAATCTCTGGTTGCAAACAATTCTGCCCTTCCGCCGACCACTCTTGTTGACAGTCCTACCATCGATGAAACCGCAGATATCATACTACCTTCAGTACCGGGGTCAAGTTTGAAGAGATCTACGCGGACCACGTATAGACGGGGAGGGAGTGTGAAGGGGAAAAGCGCAGATCGGAGCACTTATGCTCAAAGAGCTGCCAGGAGAGCTGCAACATCAAGCCCGAGTGGAAGCCGGCCTGAGACGCCCGAATCGACCATGCCACCTATGCCTGCTATTCCTAGCTTTGCGACGATGGACCTTTCTAATCTTGCCGAGACATTGAAAGACCCATCTGGTTCATCTAAGACGGGTCCTACAAATTTCTCTCGACCTGCTGGTCGAGCGTCGTCGCCGTCCTCGTCAGAAATTGGATCGTCCGTGCCTTCAACCTTCGAGTCAATCCTTAGCGATGATAATCCCACAAGAAGAACGAGTACATCAACCATGCCGGAGCTGCGCAAGGTGCCAGTAGGCAGCAAGTCCCCACCACCCACCAGCTCCGCGTGGGATAGAAAGCCAGTCCCACAGATAGTCGAGGTACCGCCTCCAGAGGAAACAACACTCCAAGTTCAGCCGCCGCGGACCTCTTCCATACAACCTACAATACCACCTGTGCAGCCGCCCATACGGCATCCAGAAAGAGTATCTTCTCGAGAAGACAGAATTAAAACCCCCTCTCCGCAGCGCCCCCCTCTACCGTCTAAGCAGGCGATGCCAAGTGTCACAGCCATGCCACCAAGAGGAAGCAACATGCCTCCTCAAACACGTCCTTCACAAAGCCTTGACCAGCCATCACCATTACCAGGCAATGATACCAACACCAGCAACTTGTCCTACATCCCTACCCTTACTGTTGACAAACGTGCGGATCACAAAAAGAAAGAGGAACCGAAGAAATCCGGTTGGAGCTGGGGCTCATTGGTGGGCAAGCAAGATGGGGACAAGGAGAAAGCAGAAAAACCCAAGGCAAAGATTTCCAAGCCTCCACAACAACACGACAACACAAGACTTGACGTACTGCAAACATCAATCGAGAGCAGTGGTAAGGGTCGCGAAAGCATAGTTCTGGATCGAGACAACTTGAAACTCGAAGAAGAACGCAAGAAGGAAAGTCAACGTAAATCGTCAAGTGGCGAATCCAAGAAAGAAAAAGAAAGTCTATTTTCATCGATATTTGGAGGAAAGAAGTCGAAAGCCGAAAAAGAGGACAAGGGCAAGAAATACCGCGACCGAGGGTTATCTCCGGAACCACCTTATCGGGAATTACGGCCGGATATCGACTACAATTGGACGAGGTTTTCAATTTTGGAAGAGAGAGCGATCTATCGCATGGCGCATATCAAACTGGCTAATCCACGTCGGGCTCTTTACTCGCAAGTATTGCTGAGCAACTTCATGTACAGCTACTTGGCGAAAGTTCAACAAATGCACCCTCAGATGAATTTACCCACGAGCGCAAAGCAGCAACGGAAGCAAGAGGCGAAGAGCCAACAGCCGGACGAGTTTACTCAGTACCAGCGGTATCAACAGGTAAGGCGAAGCGTGTTACACGATCCGGCAACATCACTGACGCACACTAGCAGCAGCAAGAAGAACAGCAGCAACCCGTTGAGCAGCATCCTGAGGAGGGTGCCAGCGATGACTACGATGCTAGCGAGCAACGACCGAGTTCGAGGGGCAGTAAACAGTCCGCGCAAAGTAATGGATCCTCTTCATATGGTGGTGGTTACAACAATCAGTATTCCTCCAACAACCAACAGCAGGGACAGTCGTCTCGGTCCCAGTTAGACGATGATGATGACGATATGTGGTAATCTAATCATTCACAATGGTCAAAGCGAATTTTAATTTCTGCAGAGGTCTTGATGTCTCTTTTGTCTTTTATTTGAACAAACTTCTTCAAGTTCCCGCTCAGTACAAGAGCGAGGTCAATCTTACCACAAACTCTTCTAGCATAGCGGGCAATACATGGGTTTTATGGGTGTGGAAGTAGGACCTAGCGAGCGCTGTGGTCAGAATTCGGGCATGATAATTATCAAAAGATGAGAGTTCGTGATGTGGGCATTTGGCGAATACTCTTTCGAATCGAGAGTGTGTGTATGAGCGACAGTGTCGAGAGTGATTTGTGAGATGGTTTGATGTGCTTCATTCATTGACAAGAGTGGAACTCGGGAAGGAGATATGATTGTATATCTAACTTATGTAAAGCAAGAAGGGAACAAGATGGAGATGGCTAAGCATGCCCAGTCTCTACTGCACGAGTACTTCGTGGGCACTACAGATAGTAGGTAGCAGAACTAATGGTACAAGATGAACACTGTCGCCGCCCCGAAGACAAGCAGCATCTCTCAAGATGCCAGCCGAATGGCATGCAACACCGAGAGCGCCTAGGGTTTTAGGCTAGAAGTGATGTGTATTTTTGGCGAGGGGATGCTCGCTTGGTTTGATCACGTGCCATAGATGACGTTGCCACGCTGGCGGGAGGCTCGGAAGCGGATCATCCTTGGCTCCGAAAATGACAACCACCCTACCATGGAGTACAATTCTAGCCTCTACTTCCAGCAATTACGGGTTTGGAACATCGATATCCTTTCGCAACTACTTAGTCCTGAGAGACTTGTCTACGTGAAAAACACCTCGCCTGTCTCCTCTGATCTTCTCCATTTATATTGTATCCTTGCCATCGAAGGCCAGCGTCAGCTTTCGAACTTGACCACCATTCTGGTCCCACCTTCAGTCTCGGTCGATCTCAACATGTCGGACGCCTACGCCCGTGAAGAGTGAGTCTTCACCCATCCATTTATTCCCTCCTGCCTCTAGAGCATATAACCCATTCCCAACGGTTTGCTCCGACAACATGACTGACCTCTCTCCTCCTCATTCAGACAGAACAATGCGCTCCTGGCGTCCCTCTCGCAAAAGACCTCCGCGCTGAAGCACATCACGCTGGACATCTACGATAATGCACGAAGCCAAGACACGCTCGATAACACGAACGAAGTCTTCAGCAACATGAGCACGAGCATCAAGGGCAGCGCCGGCCGCCTGACCCGCATGGCCAAGCAGGGTGACAAAATCGCCGTCTTGAAACTCGCCGGTATCATCATTGTTGCCATGCTGCTCATCTACTATGTTGGTGGCTGGATTTGGGGGCTGTTGTTTGGCTGATAATTGAGTGGGGTGGGGTTTTTTTCCTGTTTTAGAAAGAGAAGGGCAAAGGGAAACGACTTAAAAAGCAGAGCTCTTCCGCGGTGGCTTGTGCCACTTTAGCATCGTGGATGGAAAGGGCTGAGGCCGTCAAAGAAGACGAAACTCGCAGTTGGGGGAGGAGATGGGTAGGTAGGAAGGGTCCGTACCTAGTACGAATGTGCTAAAATGGAGCCTCATGCGACCGGAAATTTTGACGAAGACGATATTGCGACAATACGAGCAGTCTCTCTCTCTGTGTGTGTGTGCAATGCAGGGCCTTGGGCTGAATGAACAGAAGAGCGACCGAAGCGTCTCTACTGCAGGTCAGCGAGTCCAGTTCCTTTGTTTTTGCAGGGATTCTCAACCTTGGGAAGGGAAGGACCGGTTCAATGCGGCATGGATGGGCATAGTTAGGTCGAGGTTATCTTTCAGTCTTTCTCTTGCGCAGAGTCCGATCGACCCAAGAACATGGAGGGAGACAGAACTTGGTTTCGGCATACCTTGGGATATTACCTCACGATAAGAGGGAGAGCACGAAGCGGCCAAGCGCGCACCCTCCCCCGGCGCGGGCCCAGGGAAGAGAGAAATCAGGATCACCAGGGCATGTGAAAGGCGGCGGCTATGCATTCTGTCATCCATCATTTGCAATTTCTTTGAACAAGCGAGAGCGTTCAGGCGTTTCGTTGGGGATGTACTCGCTACCTCGTACTGTACTTGAGCGTTCTTCGATAGGTGGCAATCAGATCAGGTATCCATGTCTACATACTGCTAGCCATCTATCTCGTGTCTCCATTACCTACTGTCTAGCCTCATGGCCGTTAATTGGAAGGTAATGCTGACCATGAAATAGCGTTAGCATAATCCGGGGTTCCGAGCAATCAAGTATGGTAGACAAGTCGGAAGTACGGTACCTGGCCATAGGGGAAGTAAAAAGGGTGAGATGCAAGCACCTGGGCTCAATCTGTCCACTCTTTGGTTGACGAAAATGCTTATTGACCACCTACAACAAGAAAGCGGCAACTTGTTTAGGCTATAAACCAGTCTAGTTTTATCTTCAGATGTATTCATTAGTACAAGGAGAGAAAAAGCATTAAGCCAGCCCATCCATTGGCATCCGTTACAACCCAATTCTTTTCGGGTTTCAATCATCCCAGCTGCCGCCGCTGGAGGAGTCATGGTATCCTGTTCCCACCCTGAGTTGCTCGTTCCAGACCTGAATCCCATCCCTTCGCCATATGCATGTCATTTTGGAGGGAATCAACCCATTTCTAGTAGACAGTAAGAGATACAATTCATTACAAGAGGTATGTAAGTAGGTCCCCACCGCCTGTTACATGAAATCAGGCTAGATCAGATAGCATCTTCGAAGTCCTCATCTTCATCTGAATCTGCATCACCTTCAGCTTTGATGCTTGCAGGTAAGTTCGTATGACCAAGCCCCTCGCTTTTAATGCTTGCACCTACGCTGCCAACGCCGGAGGGATTGATGCCGTTCTCAAATTTCACTCGTTTCGTATCTCGGTCTCTAACATCGAAGCTGGCCGGGGTGTTTGCGTCGCTAGAGTCATCTTCGAATTCGCGCTTGATGCCATTGCTAACTTGCATGGACGAAGTGGGCTGTGAGAAGCTTGAAGGTGTGCCGACCACGCTTGTGCCGACCACGTCTTCAAATTCAAAATCCTCATCGTCCTCTTCGTCTTCTTCCTTCGCACGTTTCTCTGCTTCTTCACGCTCGCGTTCCATCTCGGCCATGTATGCGGCAACCTCGTCCTGCATATTGGTCGTAGTCGCAGGGGCTGTCGCGGATGAGGAAGAGATATCGTTGAGCAGATCAGCTGGCTTCTTCTCATCGAGGTCTTCCTCCTTTTTGAGCAATCCATTTATGTCACTTGATTCGGCTTTGACCGAGTTTGACAAGCCATTGAGCCCAATTGCGCTCGATGTGTGCCAGGCTGGTAGCTGATTCTGTTTCGCCAGCAGACGTCGCCTCTCTTCTTTCTTCTCCGCTTCTTCACGGTCTTGCTCAGCGCCACTCGTCAAATTGACAGCCAAATTCTCAACCTTGACCATATCCGGTCCTCGTTTTGCGTTTTTGTCGTCTCGTTTCAGTTCCATATACTGATTAGGCTCTCTGCCACCACGTTCCCGGGGAACATCCTTCTTACGCTCCCAGGCTGAAATGAAGTCGTTCTCTGGGATGTCTTTATGGTCTATCTTGTGGACGATGTCGTCAAATTTCTTTAGCTGGGAGTTGAGTTTTAGGATTTTCTCGTGTGAGCCTTTCTCTTTCAGGGCCTGCATGTTCTGAACCAAGGTGGCGCCGCACCGGTCGCAGTAGAATCCTTCGTCGCCAATCTTATCCAGAATATCTAGTTCTTCGTATTCGGCTTTGCAGCGAGGACATCGCCAATCCTTCCGTTTCGTTTCGTCTTCTTTGTATAGGTCGTTGACTCTTTTGCGGAGCTTGGCGATGCGGAATTTGATGGCGTCGATGGCTGGGTGGAACGGGCAGTAATAGTAGTCTCTAGTGACACCTCGTTGAGTGCCGACACGGACTTCAACTCGAGAATGAGTAGTGAGTAGGCGAGCATTTCTGAGGGGATTGATGAGTGCGCGGATGTCCTTGGGCTGTGTCGAGAGAAGGACGGCGAGGTCTTCGATGTGCAAAACGGAATGCAACATGAGGGCATCGATGATCAGGATTTGCTTTGGGTGGGTGAAGAAGGTGCGGACAGTGGTCCTGATGAGGGTCTTTGCTTCCTCCATTGTGACGGAAATTCGATCGCAGAAAGGCTGAGAACTGTTTTTCGACCTTTGAGAACCAGCTCAAGGCTTGAAGTTGTGGGCGGAAGCCATACCAACCTTCGACAAGCGGTGAAGCCGTAGAAGGTAGTTGACAGGTGAAAGTAAGTGAGAATCAGGGCGTGGATGAGTTCAATTCGAGTGACAAGGACGAAGGCAAGTAAGTGTTGAAGCAACTGTATCAGGTACTTGGGAAGCGAAGTTGCAGGTCATCGTCAGTCTTGGCGATGCGCTTAGTGGGCCCTGCCGTTTGCGTCTCAGCCTTGTTGATTACGTCATCCGCAGCCTTACAACTATGGCACCATGAACAGGGATTAATGTGAGCTAAAGGCTCCACTACATACATGGCTCGAGGAAAATGGTTTTCTGGTTATGGCTCGCATTATGATTGAAACTATTTAGCTAACTCTCATCCTAGATAGTGTAGCCTGACATCATACTCCGATGGCAGATGGACAAAGCCCCGGTTTCTGCAATTCCTTGGAATTCGGCTACCTGACGAAGCTCAAGGCAACTCCAGTTTGATATTCCTGGGAAACGACATTGGCTCCAGGTTTTTGAAGCCATTCTTCTTGAACTTTTCAAAATGTGGCTTCCAGCCTTCATGGGTTTTGTCTCGTAAGGTGCGAGGTGATGGGCGCAGCTTTGGATCCACCAGTAAGCACAGTTCCACCAGCCTACACAAGGACTTGGTGTAAATACTGCTGGAATAACCCCCGAGAACGGAATATCCTTGCTCTCGCAGCCGAGCCTCACGGTTCTCAAACGCATCCACCTTCTTATTAATGGTCTCATTATGCTTCTCTACATTCATCAGCCCATAGACACAAGCCGCTATCTGCCAAACGACATGCTTCATGGTGAATGGAGCAGTGGGCGATCCAAAGACATTGCGCTTCCAATGACGACCATATTCACCGTATCTCCTTTGTTCCTGTTTATTATGCATGCCTTAGCGCCTTACTCCTTGGACTTTTGATTTCCATGAAAAGGGAAAACTTACGGGAGGCATCCAACAAAGGGTCCCATATCCTCTCCACTTATCGCTGTTCTCGGAGGACTCAATACTCGTGAACTCCGCCAAGCCCCAGTCGGCTACTCGTACGCTGGGGTAATGGAGACCATCCTCTCGGGAAGGTGGTTCGCCTAGTAAGACTGTAGCAGTATTAGTCAGGAGCATCTCCTGGGATGATGCAACATACCGTTGTCGTGCTTCAAATCCAAGTGTAGGACAAATGGGTTCTCTCCTTTAGGAGCAACAGATTTGTGAAATCTAGCGCAACTCATGTGCACTGCAACCTTCGCAAACTCGTTGAATGCTTGCCAGATGAACGCTTCTGGGAGGCGTAGACTGCAAGAAAGATTAGCAAATGAGGTTGCGCAATGTAGCTTGTATACCCTTTGTCCATGTAAGCTTCGATTAGGTCGGTCATCGTTCCAAATCGAGAGACTTCCATATAGAATCTCCATTGAACGGGCTTTTCGAGGGGGAAATATATAATTCTTCTTATTTGAACTATATTTGTGCAGCCTCGCTGCTGCAGCTCATTCATGATCAGTGCTTCCCATGGTAGGGTTGTCTCCCCCCTGGAGGTCCGCTCACGCCGTTCCGCATTAGTTTGCTTGATAGCTACTGCCTTTTATCTGTTAGCTCGCTCATCTCTATGGCTAGGACGTGATACTCGCATCGAGAACTCTGCCTTTCGCGTCAGATTTGACCCACAAACCGACCACCCCGAAAGCACCTTTACCGAGCAGATCCTTGCACTCCGTCAGTTAGCGACACGAACAACACATCTGAAAGGCTCGTCTTACCTCCCATTCGGCATCCTGATCCTCGTTTGTCTTCATCCTTGCTCTGGAGAGGCCAAACTCTCTGCAATATGAGTTGTACCATCGTTTCTCGCTCCATTTGGCCGTTCTGCTCTCCTTTTTCTTTCTATTTTGAGTCCAACGAGCTCTTTCGTTGATATCACCAGTCTCCTTGATCACTGATATTTCCAATCTTTCGTTGTCATCCATTATCACAATTACCACGATCACCCGCAGAGCGTTACTGTCTGTATCACAATCTTGGAGCACGAGCCGGTAACGACGAAAAGTCCTTATGAATCTCACATCCTTGTGATGGGGCAGATAATGATTCGCATTGTTCTTATTTCCAGATCAAAGGAATGTTTCTCACTTTTCCAACAGGAGCGTCGAATCTGCCAAATGCGGCCGCATGCTCGAGTGCAGCGCCGATTCACCCATTGCTTACCGATTCATTGTTTCCCCTGGACGACTCCTACTCCTCTCGTTGCGAACGCAAACGGAGTCATTCTCCTAGGAACATTTCATTTTGGGTCCTGCGCCATGACAAGGAAACCCATGGCTTGAAAGCAGTACGCCACAAGAGATAAAGGTTTCCTACCGTATCGCAGGGGATTTGAGCAAAGTTGGGTAGGTGAAAATAGAGTAACGGGTGACTATCTACTAATTTGATAGGGGACGCACCGACCACGGTCATACTTAAAGGGCCGCTACCTTAACGTAGAGCTAACCTAGGTACTGCGTGGTTACTATTAGTTAGTAAGTATTAGTGTAAGCCACTAGCGACAATGAGGGTACTAATACTGGCACTAAAACTCTCAACGAGCTCTAGGGTTCTAGCATTAAGTCTGGGCACCACGTAATGAAACACCCTGGTAATGAAACACGCATTTTTTTGCCACCAACAGTGCTACAATCATGATTTACTAATTATACAGACTCATTGGCACTAAATTGATGTATAAATGGTGCCAGGGTGTCATTTAACTACCCATTCCGCGTAGTATTTCTAGTATTCGGTCGTATAGAAGACCTCGTCGTCGCCTCCAATGCCTCCATTCCCTACCTAGCCTACCTAATCATCTCGATATTCGTAAAGACCTCATTGCAGTCGATTACGATACGCGGTTGTCTCCTAGCGACTAGCTCATCTAGTTGCGTACGTTGAAGAGTAAGTTATTGTAATTTTAGGGTAATATCCCACTGTAGTCGATCCAATACCTTACCGGTTTTTTGAAGTAGTAAACGGACTGATCGAGAAACGGTCTCACGCCGTGAAATTGAGTCCGTTTCCTATCGAATTTGGCGTTAATTAAGTGGCGTACGAATCTCTATCGATAGATATCGATTTTATCTACGTAATGGCGGCGTAGTTAGTGTTAATTGATTAATTTGGCTGTTTTATAGTACTTAGTGAGATCGAATAACTTTACGAGGGTCCTAGGGATAGATACTAGCCGTATTCCATTCCGTACGGATACGGAATGATAATAGACCCTCATTACTTACTTTTTCATAGGTTTTAAGAAACCTACTCTTCTTTACGGCCGAGGCGTCGTCGTACCTAGCTAGGTTAGCGATTTCGTCTCGATATCGACATTTAAGGAGCGAAAAGTAAGTAAGATTAAGTAGCTATAGAATATAACTTAAATAAGGTATTAAATAGACTAGAGTAATTCGATTTATATAATATTCCTATATAAACTCGTACGTCGCATAACTTTTATATCTCTCGAGTAGAAGTAGTCGATAGTCGTTCGTTACCGTTTATAGGATAAATATTTGACGTAGCTAGGCTAAACCGATCTTATTTAAGGTCTATCCATTAGGTGAAACCGTATAGGAGTAGTTAGGAGTATTAGGGTCGGTAAACTAGGTCGTTTAAAGCGCTTTTCCTTTAAATATAACGAGACATCGTAGTCGACGGCCATTTATAGAAATAGTCTCGATAATTGAGACCCATTCACGGTTTTCTAGTGTTACTTTATATAATTAAGTAGTATTAACTCTACTAATTACTCGTTAATTAGTATAGACATCTAGAGCGATGCCTATCTCGTCCATATTATAGATATTCTCCTAGGAAACTTAATATCGCTCTCGTACGGTATTAAAATGCTTAAACTAGCGATTTAGGGACTCGGGAGTAGTACTCTAGAGACGTAATCTATAAATCTTTTTACCTACTTTAGAGCGAATCTCTAGATGACGTTATATAAATCGTGATATCTAGTTTTAGCCGATACTTAAGGGCCCCGTAGAATTACCTTGAATAATTATAACGAGATCTCGTATTTAAGTAAAGCTAGGAGGGTGTCCTTACGCCTTAAGGTCGAGTATCCATCGTATAAGCATTTACTCTTGCTTATTTGACAATATCTGTTGTGGTTCACGAGCAATTACTCGTGAAACACCACCTCGTAGTCGACGACCGAGACTAACGTAATTTACATTATTTACCGCCGCGGTAGCGCGAATACTCGTGTATCGGCGATTTTAGTAGTCGGATATCGCTTGGAGCATCCTAGTCTCTCGATTTAATACCATTTTATTATGTAAATATATTAATTGGTGGAGTAGGATGATGTAGAGTAGGAGGGAGTAGGATTTGGAACGCGTAAAAACGCGTGTTTCATTACCAGGGTGTTTCATTACGTGGTGCCCAGACTTAGTCCTACCTACTCGTCCCTTATAAGTAAGCGCTTACACAACCACAGTTTCCTCTCCTTTGATAACTTACCCGTATACCCAATATGTCAGCTACGGGGCCTTCATCTCGATTTGCCTGCTCCATTTGTTCAAAAAGCTTTAAACGCAAGGAACATCAGCAGCGACATGTCCTCACACACACGGGCGGGAAGCCGTACTCTTGTCCACTCTGCTCGGGGACTTACAGTCGCCGAGACACCTTGCTGCGGCATGTTAGACTTCACGCTGTAGCAGATCCAGCTGATAACAGTCAGCTTCTGAAGACCGCAGTGGCATGCGAGAACTGCGTCGTCCTGAAAGTTCGTTGTAGCGATCAGAAGCCCTGCTCCTCATGTCGCGGCCTCGATCTCAACTGCACAGTGACACAGAAACCTCGGCAAGACACGCGTGTCGGAGAACGGCGAGAACCAGGTCACACTTAGCGTGGCTGATTGTGTCTTGTTCACTACGCCTTACTGAAGTCTTCACGGAGAGTGCCGAGTGGAAACCTACTTGAGATCAGACAACATTGCGCCATTCTCAACGTATTGCACGCAGTCCAGAGGGAGAATTGAATTCTCCCTCTCCTAAATCACGATGCATACCATCCTCGCCGCTATGTTTCATACCTACATCTCCGACCTTCCTTTTCGATAATCTATCCGGACATGTATATTTGTTTGCTTATTGAACCAAAAGTTGTCCGTCTTCCATTCCTTAGAAGGATCCACAAGTTGGATACTAAACCTTCTAAGCAGCTGTGGGATGAGCTTATGCATCTCTGCAAGGGATATCTACTGGTGTCAGTGCATTGAGTATCACAAAAATCCAAGGTGTGATCTCACATTTTTACCGATGCAAGTTCTCGCCCCTCCCCCAAAATGCAGCAGATGTCGCTCCATTACAGAGGCTGCGTCGCTGATCCACCTGTCTGGATTGAACTGTGCAGCATCATCTCCAAAGACCGACTGATCGTAGTGGACCACGGCCGCGTTCATGGAGACTCGGCTGCCTTCAGGGAAATAATGACCGGCAATTGTGGCTCCTCCTGGTGGTACGTTTCGTGGCATTCCAAGGCCAACGCTCGGGTGCAATCTCATACCTTCCTTGCAGCATGCAACCAGATAAGGCATTTTCATTGCCTCGGTATAGGTGATGTGTGTCCTCCCAAGTTTTCCGCGAGAGTCGAACTCGTCAATCTCTGCCACCAGCTTCTCCATGCATGTCATGTTCTTCATAAGATGGTACAGAATCGAACGGATCGCAATAGCCGTAGTGTCGCTACCCGCAAATCTATGTGTTGTCAGCTGCACGGCCCACTTGTACGAGGATTCAATTATTTACATGGCCACGCAGGCTTCGTTCTGAATTTCGGGGATACTAAAGCCCTCTTTACTCTCCTTGATCTTGAAGAACTTGTCTAGCAGGTCGACTCGTCCGGTCACAGTGCCCGCATTCATCTGGTTCTGCCGAACATTGGTCCAATGTCTTCCGGCCGCGCGAATCTCATCAAAGCCGCTGATTGATTTCCGGATTGCTGGGAAAAGAAGGCCTAAAGTCGAATGGAAGGGACGCAGGTAGGATGGAAGGACACAGGAGAGTGCAATTCCTGGCAAAAGGGTGTCCAGGCTCTCAATATAGTGACCATAATCGTGCTCGTCCCGCATAAAGCCAAATTGCTGCCCGAAGAAGAGCTCCCCAATTACGTCGAAGGTGTACCTGGACAGTGTGCCCATCAGCTTTTGTGGGTCGAGAATCACATCGGGCACATGACGAGCTCTTACCATTGGATCCATTCACCCATATCAATGTGGCTCCTCGTCTTCGCGAAGTGGGCCATCTTTTCCAGGAACACATCCGAGCATGCGTCAATATATTGCTCACTCTCCAATATTGTCGACATGGAGTAAACAGAATTCACGAACTTCCTCCTCTCGGCGTGCTTGGCCTCATCCAATTGAGTGAAATGGTCGCCGTGAGGACTGATGTTTGGTGCAAACGGTGGGTAAAAGTCTGTTTTGGTGAATCCAGACTTGATGTTGTATATAATCTTGACAGCTGAAGGATCGGATATGGCGACTTCGTTCGGGGCGATGCGCACTAGATGGCCATAACGTGCATGAAGGTCTCTTTGCGTATGTTCTGCTCGACCACCGGCGAGGGACGCTCCAATCCATAAGCGGGAGAAAGAGGCAAGGAATGGCCCGGGAATGGTTGAAAACGGGTGGAAGAACCGACAATGAAATATCCAGCCGACCTCGTAGAGTACGAGAGCCGCTACAATATAGTAGAGGAGTGTAAAGGACTGGTACTGTTCATGCGATAGAAGTGCACATAATGCTGTGGTAAAAGCCATGGCGTGCTGTGCCAGTGTGAGAGGATGAATGAGCGGCCGACTAGATGAGTACCCTCCTTGAGATGGACCCTCGTTAAGACTTGTTGAACTGGTCCCAGTGGAGCTCTGCAAGCTGTCTTCGATCTATCCTCGGTGACAACAACATCCTCACTTTATATTTCTATACCTCTTCAGTCTCCACCAAAGTTGCTTTCCAAATCTGGAGCGACAGCATGACCGCTCCCCACACGGCATGCTTAGACCTCAAGTTCCCCAGCCTGTGGACGGCATACCAAGCACACGGAGCCACAGGTCATGCATCGTATTGTCAGTGGAACGGGGTTATGTCCATGATCATTGGCTGCTGGTGACGATGTGGTCTAACCATCTCTCCGGATGTGTGGGGTTTTCGATCGATGGGGGTTCACCGAGCGCCACAGTCCAAAACTCAAAGAACTTGTTCTTACCTCATACTCAAGTGCTGACCCCCTTCCCCAGGAAACCAGGTGGGTTGGCTGGCTCGTCGACTGTGCTCTAATCAGCACTACGAGTACACACAAACTCCCTCGCGGAGACAAAGTTCCAAAGCTGGGGTGGTGCAGAGGAGCCTGGCACGATCTGTCCTGCTATGAGGGAGGGCAAGTTTCTTCCTACACCTCACGCATGCCCTACGGCCTTCCTTCAGTCTCAGTAGAAACGCCTGCAACATTTCGTGCAAACATCTAAATGTCATCAGCTACCAATGGCCACCTCCCCGGCGAGCCATTGCGAGCAGCTTCAGGAACAAAACAGACTGTTACGGGCACAGGTCAAGCTTCTCCAAGCAAACTGCCAATGGGTGTCATCTTACAATGAGATTTTGCTCGATCTGTGTTCAGATCGAGTATCCGTTCATTCCGAAAAGATCCCCTCGAGCAGTGACGCTGGCTCCCTTGAGGAATACTACCTGAGAGCTACGAACAATATTAGTGACCACGAGATGCTGGATCCAACCCTGAGTTGCGAAAGTTTTAATGTGAAGAACTTGGCTCTCCATAACCACCGATGGGTGGAACCATCTCACCCGAACATCTCAGGTGTTTGTGATATTCTTCCCCTTGATGGGGCAAGCACCTCTTACCAATCCGGATCCATTTGTCAAATGCCAGAGTTATCCCTACAATCACCTAGCTTCTGGCTTGAAACATTCTCCGATTCCTCGACCTCGCATCCGGTGGGCCAAGCAGCAATATCCTCATCGGATCCTAGCACCTCTGTGAATATACTCCCAACAGTGCCACAGGAATTCGTTGATAGTGGAACTAATCCCTACTCCTTATCCAGCAAGTCTTACACTTATCAAGATTTCCATTCCAGACAAGAAACCGACAACGCGTGGAGCCCCATTCTCGGCAATCAAACTCTCTACGATGCTGGAACAACTCCTTGTTCTATGCCAGAAGATGACAGACGGCCACTAGAGAGTGCCACATCCTCAGATACCTTCTCGGCGAATATCCTGAACACTGTGCCTGGTGAAGCCACGCAAGAATTCCCACGCCTCCCGGCTTTGGCTCACACGGATCTTCCGCCGTCACTATGGATGCCAGATGTCCAGCAATGTATGAATACGAGCACGCCACAGGGGCTGCTGGACCACTATATTTATGCTCTCCGAGATTTTGTGCACCGGCTCGACTCGTGTGGAGGTCTCGGTCCAAATCTCCGAGCCAGGCTTATGACCAAGGGAGTGCTATGGGTAGTTCACGAGGCATGGCCTCAGGCCGAACACTTCTGGAAAGCGACCGCTTCTTTTCAAGGCTTCCTCCAAGCCGAGTTGTGGCGTAATTTCCCGGACTCGTCCGTGTATCGCTCCATGCATCCAGCCTACAAGCCAACCGTTCTGCAACTGGCAGTGCCGCATTCTCCCATAATTGACTGGCTGCCCTGGCCCGATTTGAGAGACAAGCTAATCGCCAGCCAAGAGCAGATTGACGTGGATCTTGTCTGCAAGACAGCCATTCAGAACGTGGTAGCACATCGCCGGGCCATCCCCCAAACCCGCCCACAGAAGCGAGTGCGCCGAGATACGGAAGGCAATTCGCGCCCTGCCCAGAAGATGTCGTTCAGAGTTTGGGATCTTTGTATTTTGGAGGAGACAGCTGGAAGGAAGCCCAAGGGAAATACAGCGCTTACTTATCGACCAAAATCCGCACCGGTTCGGGCTCTTGAAAAGGCTTACGCGCTGGAATACAATGACTTCCAGACTCAGAAGTTACACCCTGACTTCTTCACCATGTTTCCGAAGTTGTTCTCACAAAGCGTGATTTCCGACTACACGGTCCAAGAGTTGCCGACAGTGCGCAATTTCTCACGTTGGGATGTACTGGGAAGTCCACTACCAATATCAACAGCCTCGTTGGCAAGGCTAGAAGCAATTAGCACTTGAGTCATGAGGATGGAATCGTGGGCCTCTACACCTTACTCAATCATCCACAAAATTCAAACTCCTTTACTCCTTTCCTCCAACAGACACGGATGTCGCCTTGTGCACCATGGTGACACAAAGCCGAGCCCCGCAAAGCACACTGCCGCTGCCCTCACTCGAGCAAACTCCTCCGACGAGGCACGGGGAGTCGCAGAGAACGCATACTCCATTCGGGGTTTGCAACCCCTTGCAATGGTCCAGTCCGTCATCGTTTGTCTCATCAATGTCCAGGCGTAAAGTCGGCTCTGGAGACGTGCTCATCCCGAGTCAGGCAAGCCTCTTCCAAGTGGATAGGCGTTGCAAAAGCGGGGTCTTCCAAAAATGGCCTTCCTTCCTCTTTAAGTAGAACCCAAGAAGTTTCCTCCCTTCGTTCGATCACCATTCACTCCTCTGCCCACCCTCTCAGACCTCCCCATATTGACCTTTCCGTTACGTGTGCAACGCGACAGTGGTTTTGCCCTCGGAATGGAATTCGTCCGTTCCCTGTCTAGACTTGCTCCATACTGGTTCGCACATGCCATTTCGGGAACCTGGGCTTCTCCGTGTTGCAACTTGCCCCATGTGGCCACGGAGCTCTGTACAGAAGAACTCACGACCTCCAGCGTTTCTCGCCATAGTGAAATGGGGTCAAATCAGCTGCGCCCGGAATGCACTTGCGATAATAATTGACTGCTCGGTGCCAACCGCATGTGAAGAGCGGTTACGGAGACAAATTGTATAAAGTCGCAACTTTCCCTCCCATGGTGACAAACGTCTCTCCCTCACTCTTAGCAAGTGTGTCAACTTTGTAATCTTCGCTTCAGAAGCATGCCTTCCTCAGACGAAATGGCTCCTATACGAGTTGGAGTCTTTTACGAAGAGACCCAAATGAGTGATCTCCTCGGAATTGATGTGAGTCACCCGTCTCATTGAAGCTAGACAGGTGAATTGAACCGTCCCCTGGCGCCAGATCATTGGAAATTGTCGCAGAGAACTCATTCAAGCGATCGCGCCCATGGGCTACGAGCGTCTCGTTCCGAAAGCCTATGATTTCGACTTTCTGTACATCTCTTCAAGTCTCGAACCCGCGCGCACGACTCCCAGCGTTCGTATCATCCCAACCCACACATATGAAACAGCTCCTCGCGATCTCGACATCCTCCTCATCGCTGGGCCGTCACCGTCGCACCGACCAGCCGGGTCGACAGAGTTCCTACGCGAGGCTTTCGACAAGACCAAGGTCATATTCACCGTATGCACTGGGTCGCTTTGGCTGGCCAGCTCTGGGGTGTTGAACGGCAGGAAAGCAACCACAAACCGCATGTTCATCCCCGTTGCCAAACAGCTTTACCCGGACGTTGAATGGCTGGACCAGCGCTGGACTGTGGACGAAGATGGCCCAGGCGCAAAACTCTGGATCGCTGGCGCTGCGTCGCATGGTAAGACACACCGAAACTGCTAAAATTCCGAGCCGCCCCTTTCCCAAACCCTTGAATCCCACTGTTTCTGAACGGTATCTGACATAATTTCCACTCGCCCTAGGCATGGAAATGATCGCAACCTACGTCTTGCAGCATTTCGACCCTGAGATCGCTGCGCTTGCGTGCGAAGCCATTGGGTTCCACCCCTCCGCCCCCTTCGAAAGAGGTCAACAATATGCAGGCCCGCCGTTAGAGGCCGGAAAGGTGCCTGCCTATCGATTGTAAAAAGATTTGCTCTCGACTCTGGCATTCCTAGTAAATGACCAGTCCGGGGAGAGGCCCCGCGGGGGGGGCGGAATACATACTCACACTCTCACGCTAAGAGGGATGGGATGGGGGCCCAAGGACTGAGAAAAGCCGCCGTGCTATTATGTATGGTGTCTGTCCGGTTGCTGCCTAGACATGCAAAATCCATTGCACGGTGCAGGAACACCCCGTAGACCAAAATATAAGACCTGCAGACGCATGGGTTTTAACACTACTACCTAACCATCCGAACCCACCCTGGGCGAGCGATCGATCAACCCATCATGCCGGCAAGTCCTCACAAGACGGGGGCTTGACTGTTTAGAGCTCATCACTCCTCTACTGCAATCAAATTGTTCAGATAGCTCTACGGGACCATACAAACACGCAGCCATAAAGCCATGCATCCAACCAACACAGCCACAAAGTCTAGCGGACCGCACGGGTGCGTCCATGACGACGCATGGTTTTCCAACGGTGCTGGAAACGTGCCTACCTTGACCGGGTAGATGGCCGGTAGCCAACAGCCTGACAGAGTCCAGTCCTGGGATATCGTCATATCCTATGTACAGTATGTACTTAGTCGTGACACGTCCGCGACATGGAAAGGGGGCCGCAACTAAGGTAGGTCACAACCTACGTCGTCTGGGCTTGAGGCTGAACAGGGTCGACATCCGCGGAGAAGGCAGGGGAGGGTTCCTGAGCGGTGCTCACTGCCAGTGCTCGGAGGTCGATTCCATCACATCACATCACATAGCGAACAGCGAACATCAAACATTGAATATCGAATCGATCGACTCGTGCATGATCATATATATGCCTTCTTCCTTTTTGTACGTGACCTCGCTCTCGCCCGATCGAGCACAGCGTTCCATCCACACAATCAATCAATAATCTCGTGCCAACAAAAAAGGTGGTATATGAATGCCGTCACAATTAGATCCAGGTCGTGTTCCTGGGGAAGTAGTCCATGTCCATTCGTCTTGGTATCTTCACTTGCTGCTTTTCCCAGTTTTGGTGTTTGCATCGCTCCACGCCGGGTGAATAGAAAAGAAAAAGTGGCAACGCGTACCGTGAGTTCCTCCCCGCTATAAAAGATGCTAAAGGAGCGATATCAAATGCTGTTGACTATAGTCGAAGTGAATGACAAAACTGCTGGTCCAACGCTGATTCTGGATGCGGACTGAAGTAAACTCCCACGTGGCCCAAATGCGTAATCCCATGAGACTCCCGAAAGATGGTTAAACAACGCTGTACTCCTGTTCATGCAGTTTGCAGCTTAGCCAAAAGCGCATCGAGTTCAAACCAGTTGGATTGGGTCATGGCGAACTTGCGATGCTTGCGTGAAATAATGTGCTAGAGCGAAGCGAATCAGTGATCAATGGTTTGAGCATACTCGTCATGGTCTCTTACCTCTTCGAAATCATCATATTTGTCACGGCAGTTCTCGCAATACCCTGGCTTAGGGTCTCTCTTCACCGCCTTCTTCCGTCGTTTAGATTGCGCGGAGCGTTCCGCAGCAGTATCATCCGCATATGGATGGGCTTCTTCTTCTTGAATTCCCCCGAGCTTCTCCTGTGCTTTACTCTTGGCTGCTCTTTGTGGGGCAGGTGCGCGAGCATGCTTCAGAGCTCCTGCAAGGTCATTCATCCTGTGCGAAGAAGGAATAGAGCCAACTGAGAGGCTGCCGGTACATCCTCGTTCCAGTACTTGGCGCTTTAAATGCCGTACCTCTTTGCTTGTTCCAGCTTTCACACCGGTGCCCGCAGTCGAAGAGATAACCTGGGATTGAATGGCGGACGTGAGATTGGACCTTTGTATTCCCGAGGCCGCAGGCTCTCGAGTGAGGCTCAGTTGATGTGGTCGAACAAATTCGAATGCCGGTGGCTGCGGCATGGGTGGGAAAGAGGACTGGCGCTCTGGAGCAGAGGGCAATGGCTTCTTAGGACCCTTTTGGGGTTCCACTGCCATCAACGAGTTGGCACCGTTAGATACGGTGTGGAGTGCCTTGCGTGGACTCACACGACGAGGTTGTTCCACCCTAGCCGGCTCTAAGGACACATTGGATCTCGTCCGTGGAATGTGTTGCTGTTGTTCATGCTGTTGCTGCATGGCCGCCATCTTAGCTTTTGTCCGGTCCTGCTCGATTTCTTTCCTCATGGCGGGGTCCTCCACGAATGGACACTTTCCAATGCTAGCGGAGCGAAACTGTGGCCATTCACCATCAGACCGTCTTAATACCTTGGGGTAGTCCCTGAACATGGTTGGACGGTACTTCTCATCCATATCATGAATGTAAATGAAAGGGCCCTTGAAGGCAACCATGGACAGGAATGGTTGTTCTCTTTCTGATATGGCTCCGATCTTTTCATTCTTGAGCACCTGGCCAAGATCCTCATGCTGCGTCCGATGGGTGTGAGTTGAACCACGAGGATGGTGGCCATGGTTTCCGGAGTCCTCGAGTATTGAGCCGAGGATCCTCTGGAGTTTCTCAGCCGCCCAAATCTTCATGCCCATTTCGCGACCTCTGACAAGTATATCCATGTGGTTGATAGTGTCACGCCTGGCATTATTCGCGACATGGCTGCGAGGGTGCTTCTCGAGGAGCGAAGGGTTGATGGTCTGAGGTTGGTCGTCGAGAGCAGGGTGAGCGGTATCGTCGTCAATCGCGTGGCTCCTTCCTTCGGGTGGAATCTGGCGCGTGGTGATAATGTGTGAGACCGCTTTAGAGAAGAACTTCTCCTCTTTCTACCAACAAGTTAGTAAGACAGACGAAGCAGTGAAGGGAGGGCGTTTCGTGGGCTGCAAACATACCGCACCCAAGCTTGAGATCTGGCGTAAGAAGCGTGACCGAGCTTCGTCGGACACTCCATCGAAGTAGAAACTGAAAGTTGGAAAGAGTTTGCGATAATGTTTCTGCCAGGTACGGATTGACTCTTCTTTGGTAGGGTTGTCAAGGTTCTTAGTCACTCGAAGTCCAGCATTTTTGTCTCGGACAGCGACGAGCTTTCTTTGGAAGGCATTAGCAGCGGATTCGCCGTGGCCTCGTTCGAACACGCGAGCCTCTGCCATGGCGGGCTGGGCTTGGTGGTCTCTGCGGGGGGTGGCCGTATTGGAGTCCCTGGCAGATTTGTCCACTGCCAGCCGCTTCTGAGGTGGCTCATTTTCCTGTTGAGAGACATTGGCTATACTTCGAGGCCGCTTGGAGCCGCTGTTGGTAAGAGGGCGATGTGGAGAATTTGTTGCATTTGAGAGACTGGCCAAAGGCATTCGCCGGGAGGGATTTGCCATTTTCGCGAGAGGATCATGAGGCGACTGCGGTACAAATACGGCAGCTGCCATTCATAAGGATATGGCGAGAGAAGTGGCCGGAGGTGGTTGTGTTGGAGGACGAGTGGGAGGGGTAGTGCGAGGGCGAGTTTTGTCAACGCGACGCGTGGTGTTGACCGACCTCCGAATTTGGCTAACAGTTGCACATCACGAGGAGGGTGAGGATATTGAACGGGCGTTCACAGGGGGCAAGGCAAAGAGTTAAAACATAGAGCTCCAAAGACGCACTCTCACATAAAGAGGGAGGATATCAGAGAGGTGAAGCTGTGTGTGGGTAGAGAATCGAGATGGACTGCTAAAGAAGCTGGAGCTGGCGTTCGGCAGAGCATTGAGGTACGAGGTACAAGCAACATCACCAGCAAGCGATGGTTGGTTGGCTGCGGGTGTGGATGCCTTTGTGTGCGTGTGGCCGTGTGTTGATGGAGCAGCAGCAGTCGCTACCGACCCAGGCTAAACTCTCTCCAGTACAGCGGCATGGGGCTCGGGCGTGCCTGCCTGGCAACCCAGCAGCGGCGTCCAAACAACCAATTACTCGTCACCAACAAACACACAACACCACAAGAACGGCAACCACAACCTCAATTTGGGAAGGGACCACGCACCAAGTAATCGGTCCTCGGGACCGATACATCTATGACTACGGTAATAACTTGCGGGACGCATTGTTACCTGCGGTATTATAGTAAGAACCAACACAATAACAATAGCCACCATAGTATCACTCAGCAGCCAATGTCTATCTCAGCAAACCACAAAACAATACGAGCACGCCCAGTCGATCTTGCTTGGCTGGCTGATTATTCTCTATGTATGTATCTCGTAAGGTGGGTACTTTCATGTCGCGTCTTCGTAGAATTACAGATTATCCTCCCCATACTCATACAAGCCAATGCAAATTCTCTTCACGCACCCCATTCTAAACTCAGACTCTTTTCACCACTGGGCAGAGAAAGAGGGAGCTCCAAGTCCCATGAAATGCAGATCTGTCTGACCGCACAACTCCTCTTCTTCATCGGTCTGCCCTCCGCACCTGGTGGTTCTTTTCTGGTGATGAACCATTTCCATTCTACCCAATGATGCGGTTAGTTCCCATGCTATCACCTCCAGATGATGCAAAGGCTGGTTTTTCCAGTCATTGCACAATCTTGAGCGCTGTGCGTTCAGTCGGCGTCATACCAGTGATCGCCAACAACTCGGCTTTGATCAGCCTTTTGCTTCGCTCCATTTCGCAGGAGCTGCGAGGCTGATTGCTGCCGTCTTCCTGTGCCGTTCGTCTCTCAGCTGAGGATGTGCCTTGCTCCGAGCTTGCCTAGGACACCCGCCTCTTTCGGCTTCGGACTTCGGTCTCTGCCCTTCTTCCGACTCAGGAATCCAAGCATGCTGCCACTTCCCCTGTCATACTTCCCACTGACATCCCCACTTTCCGGTGCCACCGTCGGTGTTTGATCGGCCAGATTCGACCAACTTCCGTGTTCATCCAACACCATCTGCACTCCTCCACCTTTGCTCAATTGTCGTGTTGCTGCCATTGGTCTTTGTGGTGGAATCGGACGGCTAAACGACTTGGAAGAAGACATCGGTCGGTTACCTTGTTGCGCGTGCCCTGCCGGCGTATGAAATTCTTCTGGTGCGGCATACTGCTCCGCCGGGCTTTGTGGTGGCGGCAGTGGAGCGAGCGACGGCGAAAGTGGTGGCGACCCTTCAGGGGACGTGGCATCCGATTGCGACTCGTTCTGTGTCGTGTGCAATTGAGGCTCTTCGTCCGGGACCGTTCCCTCTACTGCGGCCGCAGCACTCCTATACTCAGTTAGCCCTGGACAAACACCCATCGCGACCCGTTGTCAATACATACACATCGTAGGTGGCAAGCGTATAATCAAATGGCTCGAACATGGTCTCGATCATCCGATGCAATTCGTCTTCTCTGATTTCTTTTGTTGTTGCGTCATTCCGCAACTCTGCCCTCGGCTTCTGCTTCCTCGCACGTGCCTCGAGCGGTGCCTCTTCCAGAAGGAGTTCCTCAAGATCATAAGTGGCATCGAAATTCGTCTTTTCGCTTGATGGGATAAAGATGGGAGGGATTTGTTTTCTTTCCAGCGCCTCAAAATTGATGGGTTGGAAGAAGGCATGAGAGGTAAATGTATCGAATCCAGTTGCCCCGATTCGTTTCCGCCGGTCCTTCTCGATGAGAGATGTCATTGCGTGTAGACAGGGCATCGAAACGGGTGGTTTAGTGATGAAATAATGCGGGTTGGCAGCCCCAATAGCATCGGCCAATTCTTCGTGGGTCTTGCCTTCGAACGGTCGTTTGCCATAGATACACTCAAAGAACGTAACACCCAGTGACCACCAGTCCACTTCGCTGTAATATCCCGATCCTCTAAACACTTCTGGTGCAAGGTATGCCAATGTTCCCGATTTACTTGTGAGCGGCTTTCCTGGCTTGAAATCCGAGGCGACATTGAAATCGGCCAAATGTACATGTCCGTCGGAATCTAGCAATACATTATCCGGCTTGAGATCTCGGTGCACAATGCCTTGGCTGTGAATGTATCTCAAAGCACATGCAAGTTGGGCCATCCAGAACCGAACAGCATCCTCGGTGAAGGCCTTGCGTTGGATATGAAAGCGGAGATCGCCACCATTCATCAAATCGACGACCAGGTAGAGGTACTCGACATCTTGAAAGCTGTAACGCAGATTGCATAGAAAGGGGTGGTTGAGATGCTCCAACATCCGACGCTCCCGGATGATGTTCCGCACGCTTTCGGATCGAACCACTGCAAGCCGTCAATAAATCTCGCAGGTTCAGAGTCTTTCCCCAATCGCCCCGGAAGGAACATGAGACAGCAGGAGCGTGGTGACACACTTACCCTCATCTTTGCGAATATACTTGAGCGCAAATGTCAAACCGGAGTCCTTGCGTTCAACAATGCGAACCTTGCCAAAAGCTCCCTTGCCAACCACTCTGAGGAGACGGAAGTGGTTGAGATTCACTAGATGGTAGGTGAGCATTAGAAAGAAAAGAGGCAGTAGGGTTAGAAGCATTACCCTCGTCAGTCAAGACCACTGGCTTGCCTTGAGAATTCCCCATTAGTTTGTTTTCCGGATTAACAATTAAAACATTCAAATCCTCCGCGTCAAGAATAAGACGGGCGCCAACATGAAGCAAAGGCTGAGGAAAAGAACCGACTCAGAAGCCTCGTTGCAGGAATAGAAGGTGGGAAGCTGAAATGTACCAGGATCGTGATCTGCAATGGGCTCACGGGCGAAGCGAGGGTAGCGGTGAGGATTAGTTCGGGATTTGGGCGACCCAAGTTCTGACTCTCCTGGACGATTGCTGGTGTTTGTCACCGGCACCTGACAATAATCTCCGTGCAAGCGATGAGAGACGAACTGCCAAAAGGTCCCGAATTCGGCCACAGAGGTTCCAAGAGGATCCTGGCGACACAAGAGCGAGACTAGAGAAGTATATTGAACTCTCACAGGAGGGCAGAGTGGTGTTGAAATAAGGGTATGAAAGGATAGGATAAAGCCCGGAGAAGATCGAAGTCAACAGGCAAAGAATGACTAGATGAAGGTTGGAGGGGGGCAGGATGGTGTTGTTAGGGTGGTAATTGGAGAGAAAAAGACATTGTCGGCCAGGGTTCAACTTAGTACGAAGCTGAGGACGAGGGACGAGGTAGTCAAAGCCTCAGGTTTGGCGTTTTCACTTTTAGTCCCGGTAGGGCGGAGGCGAGTTGCAGGGGTGGGTGTGTGGTTGATCAGGCGGAGGGCGAGGTCGAGGGTGAGGTCGGAGTTGCCGGGTTGTTACTGGTCACGTTGTCACACTCTGCTGTTGTTCTTAAAAGGCCGATGGACGGGTGTTCTATCCATACAGGCATACCGAGTAGAGGGAATAGCAATGGTTTCAGCAGATCAATAGGGAATACCTGCTGTTCTACCGACTACGAGTACTTTCTATCAGTTACACACCGAGCGGAGGGGAGATGGCTTGGGGAATGGGAATGCTGGCGGACTGTTTTATGTATCAAACAGTGCCCACATGGCGGGCTGTAGCTTCTCACTATGGGACGACTGGGTTACTGTGGATGGGGTGCTAGGCCATGGGAATGGGAAAGTCCAGGATTGGGGAGAAGGCAAGGGCAGACTAACGAGGTATGGCCGACGAGTAGCTGGCTTTAGTGGGCGAATTACCCAGCTCAATGGGTGCGAGCTATGCCGCGAGCTGCCAACAAGAAAGCCACGATCCCTAAGCGACCACCATAGCGCCTTCTCGAAGGTCGCCCAGGAGCCTAGGGCCCTGGGGAAGGGCCCCTCAGGCGCTCGGCCCAGGGGGAGCCCACGAGTCCACGGCTTACACTGCACATGGCAAGGGGGTTAATCCCTTCCAGGCACTCGAACCCTTGCAAGGCGACTACACACAAGTTCAACCACGGTGCAAGGGCCACGGTTATTGATTGAGAGGGCGTCCTGCCTACTTTCTGCACTGCACATGCTTGTCGTTTAATTGATAAACCTCACGCTGCTGCTGTGCCGTGGTCAAGAACAACAGGCTGCTTCTTTTCCTTCCTGGGCTCGACGGACGGATGGAGAACCCACACCGTTTCGCTCTTCCCACCAGCCCAACCTTATAGGGTTAGTGGTCATGCACCTGCTGCATGGCTGACCACGTTTCACCTCCTGGTCCCCTCCCCCCTTTCCAACCTGGCCCGCCTAAAATGCATCCCATCTCGTAAAGGTTCCTCCCACTGTAAGACTGTCCTTCGCAGGGATTGCTGTAGGTACTCGTAGCTCCTGTTACCCCGGGTCGCCGCCACCTGATGCACCAGCACCTGCACCTCAGCCTGCAGCCGTGATTTCTGCACTACACGCTGCGAGTTCCAACAGACCCTGCCATGACCTGGCGGTCACCAGTCCCTATCGAGATATCGCCCATGTCAAAATCTCCGAGGTCGACTTTGCTTTGTGTCTGCCTTCCAGGATGTCTCTGCACATCCATTTTGCTGGGCTCGCTAGTTCCACAGAGAAGTGGCAGTACATAGAATTGGCTACTCGTGCATGATCTCAAGTCAATATTGTGGAGACTCCTGCTGATGGGGCACATGATCGGCCCAGAAGCTTTTGCACCACTTCTTCCTCGGACATACCCCTGCTAGGACTGTTCGTTGCCGTTGCTCCTACAGTATCAATTCTAGGGATTGGCTCACTGAGGAATTTCCAGAATGGTCTCTCCCCCTACAATTGCGTTCTTCAGACATGCCACGTTCCATGATTTGTGCTTTCCTTCCAGAACCCGAGACCCGCTATGTGGAATATGCAACGTCATTCCTAAGGCAAGCGGAAACGATTTCTGGATGGGGAATCAGCCAGACATCTGCAAGCCCAAATAATTTCAATGAAAACCCTGTCATGGGATTCTTGGGGCGTTCCAGTTGGAGAACAGGATTCAGGGGGGCCCATGGCCCCCTCCGGCGAACCGCGGGTTGTGGCTGCCACGTTTTTTGCCCCCACGCAGTCCATCTGCACATGCACAGGCTGGGTTCGAAATTCGATTCGAGGCACAAATGTTCTTCAGCCAAAGCGGGATTCTCAGCTCCCAGGCCGTCGCCGAAGAATCGAATCTCGTCACTATTGATTGTGTTTCAGCCTATCGACCTATGGTACAGTATGATTCCACCAGTCCAAGCCTCAGACGAATAGATTAGCTGTATTCCCTAGAACATAGACCCATCAAGAATTGAAATAATAATAATTGACTTTCGGCTGATGACATGCTCCATTGGCCCTGGTCAAACCCTGATCTCGTGTCCCGTCCACGTTCATGCTTGCCCTTCCACTTCTGGTGAACCCTCCGGAAGAAAGATCACCCGGTCCGGTGGCGACTCGCTCGCTGCCTTCCTGAGTCAACACCTCCTTGTCAACTTCATATTGTTGTTCCACCTTTACGTCCTTGTTCAAGCTTTGACTCTTGGACTTCAGCTTCGCAGAATGGAGCAAAACCAGAAACCCTTGTTCCGTCTCTCAACCTCGACGCCTTTGCCCAAGAATACGTTCCTTGGCTGCTACTCATCGCCGATTCGTTCTGCTCCCCAAAGCATCAACACCTACCTAGGTATCTAGATACCTGACTAGGGCAGAGCTTTCGCGCACAACCAAATCGGTGAGTAATCTTACCATTCCACTTAAGGATGGAACATCATGTAATATGAGGTAAGGTAGCCTCGGCAATGTTGGTGAGTAGATCCACTGGTTGTTTGCGTGACAGCGTCCATCACATTTTGCCTCCTACTGCTTCAGCCGAATGCTACTAAAGATCAAAGCTTGGTGTACTAGTGGAACGTATATGCCGTGAGCCTGGGCATCTGCTTGCCAGTAGTCCTGTGGCTCAGATTCCATAAGCATTATGTGGTGGTCATAGACCAGTTTCAACAAAACCTTGGAGGGCAACATTGAAAATGGCTGATTCCACCTTCTATGAAATAAGCCGGTCCCAGTTGCTGACTGACAAGAGTTCATGTTCCATCATGGTCTCACCTTTTACTTTGCCTGACACAAAAGTAGATATTGTCGATATATACACACTATGTTTAGTCAGACTTTATTTGTAACTATAACATTCTGTCCTTTAGGTTTACACCCTAGCAAAGGTTATGTGGAGAACTTGCCACTGAATTTGTCCGTCAGTGCCCCGTTTATGGGTGGTTCTCCCCCCTTATGATCGTCTACACTCTAGAATAACTTTGCCTTCGAGCACTACATAACTATACAACCTACACTGACTAACGTTGCCTAGGTCCGATTTTACCTGCATTCAATCGTGCTATATAGTTCTGAGGCGTTATCTTAGACAGTATGTTAAAGTGTATGCGGCAATCCAAAAGTGCCAAAAAAGAAAGTGCCTCCATTGAGAGTTGAACTCAAGACCTCGGCATCACTCGCAATGATACTAGTGCCGCGCTCTACCAACTGAGCTATAGAGGCTGGGTTGATTTGTTGGGGGTGGTTTTGGAACTTAATATTATGACTACTCAAAATCCAGAGTGGGTTCCATCTCCTTGAAAGGTCTAGCGCATCTTCCGAACGGCCCATGCTACCCCCATCAACTCTAGCTGGTTGAGGGCAAGGCAGGTGCTCGTCGTGCTACGAAAATTTGCGCAGAAGGTAACACATACGGAGTAGGCAGTGAAAACGACAATACATCCTCCCTTGATACCGGTTATTCACGCCTATGAGCTGAGAGGCAATATCATGGGTCAAGGGTTTACCAACACTCCAACACTCCAACACTCGGCTTCTGCGCACTTAGCTACTGCATGCGTCTCTGCCCGGCGTGCATTCTCAAATCTAACACATGTCTTCAACTGAGACAAAAATACCCCTCTATCCCATATTCTCGGTTGATGAAATACATACTGCAGGGATGAAACGGGAAACGCTCACTGTCGTTCTCGATCATCCGCTGATGAAACATCTTCTCTGTCTTGACGGAAGCTTGTGCCCTTTATGGCGAGGCCCGAGATATGGACTTTCGAGGAGGCTGCCTTCTCTATGCACTCAGTTCTGACTTGTTCAACCCACCGAGCTCGGAGGTCCTGATCCTCAATGCTAGCACATGTTTTGCGAAACGCCACAATTCCGTCTTGTTCAAGAGTGATGTCGTTTTCTGAAAAATGAATGGACACCGGTTTTGAAGACTTGGACACAATGGCCTGCAGTGGTCTCCCTCCCTTTAGTTCAAGACTCGGCCGTTCATTGGACAGAAAGGTTTTGAACGACCCTTTTCGGTCACCGAAACACACTGTTCATTCCAGATTTGCTTAAATTCATAACGGTAGCGTGATGCCGGTCCGTTCCGACCAGTCTGGACGGCACGGCGTTGAAACCATTCAACTGCTTCGTTGCACTGATCTTATCACCTACTACTTTGATAAGAGATTCTGCCAGGGAATCACCTCGACTTAAAACAACGAGAGGAGCTTTGGGCAAGTAACTCGAAGCCCAAGTCAAAAATGCAGTCTGATATTCGTGTTGTGCAAGCTTTCTGCCGAGATTTATCTCTCGCTTTCGATAACCATAAAGCTCTGCGGGGGGCACCGCACCAGGAACGCCTCGACGAATCGTCGACATTGTTGTTGTGAAAATACTCGACTTACTGTGCTCGTATTGAAGCCAGAGAATGATGTCAATGCTTGCATCCAGAACGACCCCGTACTTTGAGGATGATGACGGTTGGAAAAAGCCCGATGACGAATGAGGTACGAATATGCTATACGCTTAATTCCTTTTTCCTGAATGTCTAATTCTATTTGAAGATTGACTGTATCAGATAACGATACTGGAATTTGTTTGGCAAGAGGTGAGAGGGTCCGGCGGTAGCTATCTTTCGCGCAACCACCTCCGATAATGACCCATGGAAGGGGGAGAAGCTCAAGGAGCTCGCGTGAAAAAGCGTCGTGCACAGAGTGTTTCGCAAACGACCAGCGTTTAGTTGGGCAGGCTGTTTTATCAGGACGTCGCGCGGACTCTTCCGCACGCCAGTGCCAATCGAAACCGAAAATAAACTCGCGGCTAAGGCCTTTCGCACTGAGAAGCTGTATCGCCCTGCTCTCGAGATTCCAGAATTGCCCAACGTGGCCTTTCATGGTCTGACAGTGAAGTATAATACCAAGTTCTGCATCCTCCGGTCTTGAAGGATCTGCCAGTCTCTCTCGCGGCTCTCGGCTTATTGCGATTTCAAGGAAGGCGTCAAGCCTTGCGCGAATGAGTTTCCTTGATGGTCTTTGATCCACTCGGGGGGGCTTCTGTAAGAAATCCATAAGATATCCGACCTCATTCGCATCTAGGGCACGCGCAGCGGACTCGGCAAACCTGAAGGCAACTTCGTCCGGCGAGAATTGTACAGATGACGTCGCTAAGGATACTCGACTTTCTGTCTCCTCATCGTCGTAAGATAGTTCTGATTTGGGCAGAGCAATGGGAAGGATTGAATAGTGTCAGAGACGAGGAAGTCGCTTTGGCTTTGGCTTTGGCTTTGTGTCACTACTTTTGTAGCCGATTCGGGTTGGGGAACAGAAGATGGTAGTAAAGGCTTCCGCATCGTACGGTATTCCAACAAAGCGTGGTATATTTCACCGGTAGAAGAGTCCACATCAGAGTCATCTAGATTGAAGGCTCTCCTGATGAGGGTTCGTTTCCCGGTCTGCACAGTCGCGGGACTTGGATGGAGTCCTCTGAACGGCATCCGCCAAGTTATGAGTCCAATGCAACGAAGACTTGAAAAATGAGCAAGATACGTACGAAGAAGGGCCCCCTGCAGCTCCCATGCGGTGATTCTGACGTATTATTGTGCCAAAGCAGTCTCTGCTAGCATCTGACAGAGCTCACTTCGAGGCAAGGTGAGCCGGAAATCAACCCAAGAACACTCCAACTACGACCAGTTTTCGTGCTGGTGCACAGTAGGAAGTATAAACAAAAGATGGCCTTGCAGAAGAAACACGAAACGCGCGTGTACAAGCTTGGATCACATTGAACAGAGCTGAAGACTTGCAACAAAGATGTCTTCGGTCGCCAAGACAGGTAAATTCCTTTGTCACCGTGAAGAAGTGAAGCATTTCGTGGCTGGCTCAGTTGCAAACGTGCCAAAGGCTTCTACGCGTGCGAATTGACATGCCTGGGAAGCGGTGCGAGGGATGTCGATGCGAGAAGGGAGGAATGTCTTCACATTCGAAGGACGTCCGCCCCCATCTTTCCTGCTAAATCGTCTTAGCATCGATGTGCCTGGGATAACTTTTCATGTTGTAGAAGCTAAATCTGTTGATGGTGCACAGATGGAGTTTTAGTGTTGTTTGATGTTCACCTGCGAGTCGCTAAAACTATATTTTCACAGGAATGAGTTTCAAGTTCGACGCAGAAAACTGGTGCCTCAAGGAACCTACCTATTTTGCTTCACGATCCTCGTGCTCTCATCTAGCAACTGTAGTATATTGAGTTTCGTTTTACCTAGTATAATCGCTATAAGCATCCTTATTGAACGCAAAGGTAGAGTTGTAGCCACCTAGCACGGAACCCTCTGCTGGGTTAAATATGCTCGCTTTTGCCTGGCGTCTGCGTCCGATGGCAATGGCGCGGTGGCTGCTATCCAGTCGGCGTGGCAGTCTGTAGACCATGATAGATGCCACGAAGGGTTTTCAAGGATTGCTAAGCAATGTTGTATACTGCGCCGATAGATGTGATCGAAAATGCCATGTGTCAATCGAGTGATCAGCGATTCTAGGGAGCCCTCTCACTTGCCCTGTCCGAGCCGCCGATCAAAGTCGGTGAGGACAGGAGTAACATCGCCGGCATCGATCTCAAGAGCAGGAGTTCCCACCACGGGGAGCAGTTCACCTACGACTCCGTAGGCATTGGCTGTCTAGGAATTCAGGTGATGTTGAGAGCGCTATCCAGTAATTTTCGAGAAAGGGCGGTTCGTGCTCAGGGCAACCCGAGGCCCAGAACCGTTCAACTCCAAGCTTCCCCAAGTCTCCCCCAATACACCAATAAAACACAAGTAGCGAGCTAGGCTAGGCACGGCTATGAGACATCTCGTTGTTGGTATCGACCTGGATCTTCCACTTCGACAAAAACACCTTTATGCGACCGATGCCCACGTTATCCAGCGGGTGATACTGCATATCACCTATCCCGGTATCTCTGAGTGCACGCTTCGTCGCCATGAGTGCACAGATTCTTCCGCATTCACCAACCTCCTCGCTGGCGGCATCCGTCGCTGCAAAATCAGACACGCTCACTGACCGGTGCCAGCCATCGAGACCGGCACGAAGCAGGCAACCATTGAGCTGTTCTCATTGCAACCTCAAGTTTAGTCGTCCGAGTCACCTGACCAGACATATGCTTTCGCACCTTCCTGATGACCAACGTGACCACGTAACTTGCTATAAGTGTGGGAAGAGGTTCGCAAGAAATGATGTCCTTCTGCGCCATCTACGAATCTCCCACCAGATCACGTCTCACAGGCCCCGAAGTGCACCGAGATCATGTTATCGCTGCGCCGAGAAAAAACTCAAGTGCAACCGAAACGGTCCCTGCCACGGGTGCTTGAAATCACAGACAGCTTGCAGCTATCCGATCGTTACCGATTCGCAGGGGATAGGACTGTCACCTCCGAGTCTGCAAGAGCGCATATCGACGGACTCAAACTTCGAAATCCAAGGGCCACCCGTCGATTTCGCGAATGGAGAATGGCGGCAGGGGGGTGAGGCTGCCAGCAGAATACAGGTCCAGCAGGTTATCAGTGGACTAGATACCCAATTCGACGACAGTACTACCTCCATCCATCCTAAAGGCGCCATGCCGTCTTACACCACGGCAGAAACCCACGGGGCAATGGAGGTCCCTCTCTACCCACCGTCATCTGACATAAGTATGTCAATCGATGGGGTGTATAACGGTGTTTTGTCTTTTGGGAGCGATGGCAATCATCTAAGTGGAGATGTCACGTCCGGCCCATCCCAATTCTCTTTTAGTCCAATGCCATTCGGAGGCTCGACTCAGGATTGGCTCGATCTCGACCCATTCGGCATCATGGACGACCTCCATACTATTATACCCTCGAATATAGCCCCAAATATTGCCCCCCCACATCATGCTTCTTGGACGGTGGCCACCTCAAGTCAAGCTCTGCCTTCAATCTTGAGGGATCAACAACCTCATGAGGTTATCTCGAGTGGTATAGTGCCTACAGCGATACCCACAAGAGCAGGTTCCCCTAATGTCCAGACCCACGGCCAACCATGGCCATTCGAGCAGGCACATGATACCATGCCATCAACACTACGGCTACCGCCATTGCGTGACATGCTTCGAGGGAGCTGCAGAACACATAGGTTGGGGAAAACCACCATGGAAGCAGTCGCGCAGCTTCTCTCCGGACCTCTTCTACCCAACGTGGATGATCTATCAGACGACCCGAATGCCACGGCGGCTTTTCATCTACTGCGCCGTGCTGTCGACGCCTTCTTTGCCCATTTCTGTGCAGTCCTACCAATAGTTCATGTGCCGACCTGGGATATTCTCAGTACTTCCACAGCGCTCATTGCTGCAATGGCATGCATAGGTTCAATATTTGTGGACAGCTCCGATGCCTGGGAGAATTCCCTTCTACTCAGTGAGATATGTTCGTACGTGATTGTTTGGCAGGTACGTTTCCCCTAGTTACACCCTTCCACCTGCCCGGTTACCAAGTACAATTGCGTCTTGCAAGAATGAAAATCAGAGCCTGACTCCAGATATGAATAGGGAGAATCGGATGCTGCAAGCTACCAGGATGCCTCATATCTTAGTGCATGTTGCCTACATCAAATATACTCTCTTGGGTCTGGTAAAAGATCGCTTTACCAGAGCGCAGATCGAAAGCGAGGCTTACTGATAGGAAGTCTACGGGGTATAGGCCTCCTTCGATCCCGACTCTGCATCGAAAATGATGAACCTGACCAGCACCACATTGAGGAGGCAAGAGCAGAAGGCTTGCAAGCAAGATGGCTGCGTTGGCGTGACGTCCAACAGGGACGGCGTTTGGCATGGGCCTCGTTCGAGTACGATTGCAGTCTGTGCACTCTGACCAACCGTCGAGGTGCTGTTGATATGAGTGAGCTGCCTACGCATCTTCCATGTACAGATGCGTTATGGCAAGCATCCTCGGCAGCAGCTTGGAAAGCTCTATTCTCGCAGTCGTCTCAAACTGCAAGAGGTCCACCTCAGGCAAGTCTACTTCGAGAGTTGCTCTCTGCCGGGACCTTTCCCTGGGATCTTCCCTCCTGGTCAAAGCGCCTTTGCTCGCAGATTATAGGCCGGCTCCTCTGGGACATCAAACAGATGGAGTTGGTGTGGATTTATGATTACTTAGGTCTGTCCTCGCTGCGAGCTGCGCAGAAGCAGACTTCAGCGTCCCTTCTGAATGCTCTCAGTCACCTTGCCAGATCCATGACTCGTGCTTCGACCACGCCGGAACTGATTGACAACAAGTGAGTTTTGAGATTTGAGAACGCCAGTATTTCGGCTAACCTTGGACAGCATTTCGAGGCTTATATATCATTATTCGCATTTATACACTGCTGGAGACATCCTCGACCTTGTAATCTTCATAGTACGCAGCTCTGCGACCACCTCCACTCCCAACATAGCGAACAGGCAACTCCCCCAAAAGAACGCTGAATGTCATCTGGCCAAGAGCCAATTAACGTCCAAACTCGCCTATGACCGTTGCAAGACCAGGAAACTCGTTTGGCACGCCGCACAAATAATAGCAGTCGCAGACGAGTATGTCGTATCTGCCCCTTGCGAGATTCTGCGCGTGTCCATGGGCTATCTTTTCATCATGGCATTCGCACGTTTCGGCACACACACGCAGGAAACGGTCGACATGCAAGAAGTCGAATCAGTCAAACTTGATAATCTCAGGCCGACACCAACCCAGCAAGAAGCTATGTCGAGATGGATAGAACATGGAGGATCGGCGAGCCTGGCCTCCATTGACAACCTATGCTCTGATAGATGCATAGGTGCGCTGAATGAGCAAGCGCAGGCTCTATTATCGAAGCTGTGTAATTGGGGTCTGGTCGACAAGTTTTCAAAGATCCTTGATGCTTTCCAGTCCTGCGAGGATTAGATTTCATGTTAGAGGCTACAGGCACATTTCGATATAAAGCTCCCCGATATGCGAAGACCAACTGGCAGCCTGATGATCACAGCCATCTGTATCCTACCGCAGTATCCTGTTTCCCTTTCCTACCCAAGCATCGCAGGGCCATTGTCGCAGTCCCTGCCACAGTGCACATTCCGAGATTGCTGGTCTTCAGTCCAGTCAGTGTCAATTCGGACTGTATTCACCAAGTTCCCCACGGCGAATTATTGGTGCCCAGTTTGTGATCCTTGTATAACCCCGGGCGGTGCCACATCCAAGCAAGCCACTTGAAAACTCAAAACATCTGGCCACGCTGCATGCGGGCCACTATTTGGGTTCACCTGGGTCCTGCATGAATTCACCAGAAAATGCCGAAGCGCTACAAGCAAGAATTCCTCCCTATTGTTTGGTTGGGACAAACAGAACCAATTCCGAATTCATGTAATGTTGTTCATATTGATATGGAAGTGGAGTCCAATCGCCTGACGTGATCAGCATCGCACTTATGGTGTTTCTTGTTACTTACGCAGTCTTTGAAGTACCTCCCAACTATCTCCTTTAACGACTGAGGCTCAGTCGGTGCATTGTCACAATGATGGCTAGCCTTCCTGAGATCTAGAACCTAAAGTTGCCGAATCACTTCTAGGTTCAGCAACTACAAGCCAGCGTGATTGATATTATAACAAAGTGCTGCGCAGAACTCGACTATCATGAGAGAGTGCATGCGCAAGGGCGGGCCAACTGAAATAGACTACTTGAATGGCTACGTCGTCCGGCGTGGACAGGAAGGGGGCGTTGATAGCAAAGTCAATCAGGTCGTCGTACAACTCGTGCGTGCTCGGAACGCTCTGACTTGTTAGCATGAGAGCTATGGAGCTTTGCTCAACCCTACCACCATAACCAGTTGGCAGTATCAGGTCTAACGAATGTTATGCATAGAGGAACGCTTAGGTCAACGTTGAGTCGACCAACAAAGGATGGAGATTCGTTCGGGCGCTATTTTCACAAGTGTTATTCGAGTTCCGGTGCTTGAAATAATTCGAGCAGTTCAACGCGCAGATATGCTGGAGAAGGCATGAAGCTGTACCATGTTTCAGGTGTTCATGCAACGCTGTTTAGGTTGTTGCAATAGCTTGAATCTGGTACGCTATAGGAATATATGGGCCACTGGATGTATGTCCGTGACGCTGCCACCTCGCTTTGGAGCCTAGCCTACCGACTATCATACACACCGACCACCATCGACCTGTTCGTGCCAATTAGCAAGGGGATACGGTGCAGAAACATCAAAAATACCTCTAGGTTGACTCCCGTAATGAAATTGGCCTCTTCGCTTGCCAGATAACAACATGCGTTGGCGATGTCGGCTGGTTGTGATGGTCGGCCGATGGGGATGGTTGACACGAACGCGGCCCGGTTTTCTTCAGTATCTGGCTTTCCAAGGAATAGATGCGTCCTAGTTCATGATGCTTGCGTTAATGGACACATCAAAAACAGTCACGGTATAGGGGTGGTGTCCCCAAAGATATAAGTGATCTCCGATCGATATGAGATGTACTTACATGCCAGTAATTCCCACTACGGGACAAACAGTATTGAACCGAATATTCTTCGGTCCATATTCAACCGCCATAGTTTTGGTGGCAATGTTAACGGCGGCTTTGGAAGCATTGTACCATGTCAAGCCTGGTCTTGGGCGCAGCGCCGCTGTGCTTGAGATCTGAATAAAACAGCCCGGTCGTTTCTCCTTTAGAAAATACGGCACGATAACACTGGCTGAAAGGTAAATCGACTTGACATTGACGTTCATGACCAGGTCGAAGTCTTTGTCGACAACGTCGACCGTCGGTTTGTTGGCATACGTCGCGCCGGCGTTGTTGACGACGATATCAACTTGCCCATGTTTATCCAACGCTTGTTGGAGCACTCGTTCCCAGTCCTCGCGCAAAGTAACGTTTGCAATAGCGACGTCGCAGGACAGTTCCTCTGCCGCAGCCTTTGCAGCCTCCTCGGAAAGATCGCAGATGACTACTGTTGCGCCTTCCTCAGTGAATTTCTGAGCGATACCTTTGCCAAAGCCCGAGGCTGCGCCAGTGACTATGGCTACTTTGTTCGATAGTCTGCCCATGATGCCAGGAGTCAGTGTTGCTAGTTAGGTTTCCTAGTCGGAATCAGAGGGCTTTGGTGGAATAGACGTTTATTGACTTTGGTCGGAGTCATGGATACTATTCTCTTGGAGACTAATTCTGTAAGATGTGAACCCCATTCCACACAAAGACCACTTTTGTGCCACCACCTATGCTCCATCAGAAATGTGGTACACCCCGACGGCAGTGAAGCAACCCACAACTGCAAGGTCCACAAGTTCATATTGACTGCCACGCTGAATCCCGCAAGTAAGCGCTGTTTGTGCCTCAATGGCAGTAGCTTGCACTCCGCATGTTTCAAGGGACTCATACCCTGACTGAGAAAATCCATGGTGAAAATCTGCAGTGTCCTGGCCGGGTCTGGGTCGATTCTTGGAACTCCGACACAGCAGCTTTATTGAGGCCCTCGTTGCTTCTCAACCTGCAAGCTCTAGGCTGCGCAGAAGAAAAGTCCTGCTGAGTCACCATCATCACACATCATCAGCAAGACCACTCATGGCATCAACCAAGACATTCCGTCTCCTGGTGCTGCCAGGGGACCATGTAGGTCCAGAGATCGTACATGAAGCAATCAAAGTTCTCCGAACGATAGAAAGCTGCCGACCCGAGTTGCATTTCGAACTTACATTCGAACTTGCTGGTGGTTGCAGCATCGATAAGCACGGGGTTCCGATTACCCCCGAGGTGCTCGACAAGGCCAAAGCCAGCAACGCGACCCTGTTTGGCAGCGTGGGCGGTCCACGATGGGGACACGCAATACCAAATCCAGAATCTGCACTTCTATCCCTCCGTCAATATCTCAATGCATTCGCAAACATACGACCGTGCGAGTTTTTCGTTTCATCATTGATTGACTTATCGCCAATCAAACGAGAAATCGTGGCTGGCACCAAGTTTGTAGTGGTACGAGAGAATTGCGGCGGTGCCTACTTTGGCGAGAAGACAGAGCAGAAGGAGTATGCATCTGACCTCTGGGGTTACGGAGCGGCCGAAGTTGAGAGGCTGTGTCGTGTGAGCGCCGCCGTCGCGCGCATACTTGGCCGCGAAGGAGACGGGAAGGGGAGTGGTGGGCCAGCTGTTGTCTGGAGTTCGGATAAAGCAAATGTCCTCGCAAACAGCAGGCTCTGGAGGAGGGTGACGTCCGACGTATTTGCTTTGGAGTTCAAAGATATCGAACTACACCACCAACTCGCTGATAGCATGGCGATGCTCATGGTTCAGGATCCAAAACGCTTCAACGGCGTTATTCACACTGATAACACCTTTGGGGACATCTTGTCTGATATCTCAGGAGGCATCATCGGCACTCTGGGAGTCTTGCCTAGTGCTAGCGTCTCTGGTGTGCCAGGGGAGGGCGCCTGCAACGGCATTTATGAGCCTGTCCATGGTAGCGCACCCGATATTGCCGGGAAAGGAGTGGTAAATCCAGTTGCGCAGATCCTCAGTCTCGCAATGCTCTTAAGATACTCCCTAGGCCTGTTGGAGGAAGCAACTAAAATCGAAAAGGCAGTTGCGCAAGTGATGGATGAGAACGGGCTAGGAGGCCTCGAGATCAGAACTGCAGACCTAGGAGGAAAGGCGACCACGAGTAATGTTGGTGACGCAGTCTGTGATGTCCTGCGGTCAATCTTGTAGTCTTGAGCACTTTCACGCACTTTCCTTGATAGAGGTTAATTTACGTTCAGAACTCGTGGCGCCCTTGTCGTAACTGAGACAAAGTAGGACCATCGCAGGCTGTACCTAACACATGGGCTGTGATTCAAGTATGGGAGAACTACCGGTCAACACAAGTCCTGGAGGAAACTATTGATTCTTACTTGACAGACCTGATCCTGTGAAAATAACGTTGACTGGTCAATATGCAGCTTCCCACACCTTATTGCCGTATCCTTACCTCTTCTTTCCAGGCTCGACTGATGTATGCTGCCATTGTCAATTCTTGTCGCTCCCGTACAGATTGAGCCTTGAGCAGTACTGATATTTCGTTCAAGTAGTTCTCATCTGGAGCTGATACTAGATAGTTTACTCTATTGTGCATTGCTTGGATTGTCAAATATACTGAGCAGCACAAGATAGTCACAACGGCAATACATTGGGTACAACTATGGCTTGAACCGTTCAAGATTGTCGGTTCCTAGTATCAAATATCAGGCTTGATAATTTGTAATCTATCAGACGGACGCGGCACTCCCATGATTGTTGACCAGCAGGAGAATGAGGTAGTATAATCAATCATCTGATCTGCGACGCATACAGACATAGATAGGAGACAGACCGGAAGACCGCCACCTTACTATAGTGATCAGAGTCATCTATTCCTGTATATCTACAGCATCCCTGTGCTCGTAGTGACACCTAGCCTGGTTGACAACAAGTACAGCTAACTCAGGCCGCAGAACACCGTGCCATCAAGGCAGTACGTAGAGCCTCTTCATTACTGCACCTTCATTACTGCAATTGGATGTGGCCCCCACTTGCATCCTTTCGTGCCTAAGCGGAGGTTGGGAGCGTATCTAGGCCACCCTTTCAACGCTTTGGAGGCTCTTCTCATTCGACTGATCGAGTTCGGAGGCCTCAGCGTGAGCGACATCAGTGGTCCTCAGGAATTCATCGAGCTCTCTTCGTTGCTCGGCCGAGACATCGTGGACGTGGACGGCAACATCGTCGCCAAACTTTGCCGAAATTTCTTCCAAAGAGAGTTGAGCAGTCTCGGGCCAGAAAAAGTATATCATTGGGAGGAACACGATGCACCAACAAATGATGACCAGATAGTACTTCCACCCGATCGTGACAAAGCCAATAGGTGCGGTCTGCAGGAGAATAATCGTGGACGCAAATTGTCCAAAGAGTGAGAATCCCATTCCGATCGGTCGAATCTCTGTGGGGAAGATTTCAGAGACATACAAATACATTGTGGTATCGCAACCAGTCCTTCAGGACAAGGTGTCAGCAAAGGCATATTGAGCCACACATGGAAGGTCCAACACTTACCCTTGGAAAGCAAGGTACAAGAAGACAAAGAAGACACCAGCAGCATTGCCAGCCTTATTGGTTGTACCAGAGTATTGTGCGATACAGCCAGCCAATCCGCTCGTGGTGATGAGGCACCCAAAAGTACCCACCATGAACATCCATCGACGAGAATTGACGCGATCATGAAGCCAGGCCCCAAGTGGATTGTAAATAACGCCTGTCATGTCAGTGGTTAGTCTACTTCACTGTGGCGGTAAGAGGGAGGGAAAAATTGCCATACCTGCAGTTGTTAGCCAGATTGCAGAGAGAAGAAGCGGCATTGAGCCAGTCTGTCCAAGATTTGTATAGAGAATGACGGAGTAATTATTCTATATCTTGTCAGCAAGAGGCTTCCCACACAGTGTGTGATGACTTACAATGACCAATGGCCCCGAAAATTCGGCGCCCCACTGGGTTAGGAAGCCGATTATCATGCGCTTTCGATAGCTTTTGATTTTCAGGACGGCCTGCCATGGTGTGGTGTTAAGTTTGCGCAGTTTGGCCGCATCCAGGGCCAGTTGCTCCTTGGTCTGATATAGCTCTTCCTTGGCGACGAGGTTATCTGGATCATCTGGGGATTTTCTGAGTCGGAGAAGAGTTGTCCATGCCTCTTCTGTCAATCCTTTTTGTAGAAGCCATCTAGGTGACCTTGGGATGAAGAAAGATGTCGCAAGTAGAATGAGGGGAGCGAGGCATTGCATACAAAGGGGAAAGCGCCACGCAAATGATGGATTGGCTGCTGTGGCGAAGTAGGTGGCATAACCAAGCCAGGCTGACAACATGTAGCCGAAAACCAAAAAGATAGCATGATGGCCCACCAGCCAGCCACGCTTCTCAGGCGGTGCAAGCTCAGCCATATACATCGGACAGATCGTAACCAGAATACCTATGGCAAGGCCCGAAATGAAGCGGCCTGCCTGGAACATCCTGGGTGGTAACGGTCAGCAAAGGTTCTGGTACTTGCACTCGCGCTGTATTCTGAACCGACTCACCCAAGATTCGCAGCGCCGCCTTGGAAAGCCCCACCGAGCACTGCCAACAAGGCACCAAGCTGGATGTTACGCTTCCGGCCAAGAGCGGTAGCAGCCCACATGATCCAAAGGGATCCCACAGCACCACCGGCACTGTACAGCCCATTTGCGGTAGCGATGGTATTTGTTGTGGTGGTTGCGTAACCGGGGCCCTCTGTGGGCAGGTTGAAAAATTCATACCAGCCAGGTTGGCCGATAGTACTTCCGATGATAGCAGAACAGTACCCGTAAGTCTACAAGAATGAATAGGCTGCCAAGTAGGATCAAGGGGCGGAGCCTTACCAATGACCCAAACGCGACCGCGACCGTCACGAGGCGATTGAAAAGGTTGGAGTGGGCACGCTTTTCACCCATGGTTGTGAGGATTCTGTCAGAGTAAACACCCAGAACTGAGGAGGTCGAGGAAGTCACAGGGATGCGGATCTCGTGCATCATATACGCTGTACAGATCCGGCAAGCTGGTTGTGTCTAGATTGTGGGGGACTGACACTCCCTTTGGACATCATGAGATGTTGGGGATTCGCGGAGTCCCCGCACCTTGATGGCTAAAGTCGGCACTGCTGTTGACTGATCTCCGGAGTACTCAACTTTGGTCATATACTGCCCAACAGGGGGGGGGGGCTAACATTGGGCTCGTGCTCGGAGCGTACCACTTGGTGTGACCCACAGCATGCCTCCCGGTGGGTCAGCCGGAGTCTCCTGTCACCTGTGCCACACGAACAAGGCACGCACGCAGCAGAAAGGCGGTGCAGATCTGGTCCGTAAATGCTAAAGAACGTGCGAAAGTTGCGAGTCAGCACGGACGATATGGTGTCGCCCCATGGTCATGGAATTGGCCTCTGAGGATATCATTAGAGGCTCGGCCTCGCCAATAGTAGTGCCCTCTGCTTCAACCGAGCTACAGAATGAAACAGCAGGAACCCTCTTTGCAAGTAGACCTTGAGTGTCGCGAGAGCGACATCTACTGCAGCGACAACTTTATTGACGGCAAATGGTCTGCTTCCCAGTCGCAAAAGCGCTTCGATGTTGTTGACCCTGGGAGCGGCAAGATCTGGGCATCTCCTCCAGATTCGGTAGCTGCGGATGTGGAAACTGCGATACAATCTGCACACAAGGCGTTTCAAACCTACAGTCGCGAAGTGCCCAGGAAACGAGCCGAGCTGATCTTGGCATGGCATCAGCTTATTCTTGCCCACAAGGAAGACCTTGCTCGGATACTTGTGCATGAGACTGGAAAGCCTCTTTCCGAGGCATACGATGAAATCACCTACGCTACCACATTCACCTGGTGGTTTATGGGAGAGGCAGAGCGCATCCAAGGGTCGAATATTAAGAGTGCCACGCCCGGCAGACGAGCCTTCGTTATCAAGCAACCTATCGGCCCCGTTGCTGCTCTGGTGCCTTGGAATTTCCCCATAGCCCTCTGTCTCAGAAAAGCAAGTGCTGCGCTGGCGGCAGGGTGCACAATGGTTGTGAAACCGTCTCCAGAAACCCCAATTACGGCGTTATGCTTAGCCAGCCTAGCACTGAAAGCCGGATTCCCACCCGGAGTCTTGAACGTCGTGACGACCAGCCTGGAGAATACGCCACGTGTGTCAGAAGCAATGTGTACACATCCACTGATCAAAAAGGTCAGCTTCACAGGTAGCACACGTGTGGGAAAGCTCATTGCAGGCTTGTGTTCGAGATCCCTGAAGAAGTCAACCCTCGAGCTTGGGGGAAACTGCCCCTTCATCGTTTTCGAGGATGCGGACCTTGCCAGCGCGGCGAGTCAACTTTCTGCTTTGAAATGGCGACATGCCGGACAAGCCTGTATCACGGCAAACAGAGTATTTGTGCAACGGGCTATCTACAAAGAGTTTGTCGCCAAAGTGGTGGCAAAGGCCAGCGGTTTTGTCGTTGGCCACGGAATGAATAGAGAATCTACAATGGGGCCTGTGACCACCCGTCGCTCATTGATCAAGGCAGAGGAACTGGCGACGGATGCCGTGGCTAAAGGCGCGAAGATTATCCTGGGGAGCGGGAAGCCTGCTGGACGAGCAGGCTTTTTCATGGAACCAACAGTATTGACTGGTGTACAAGACAATATGTTGATGAGTGTCGAAGAAATCTTTGCACCAGTCCTCGGCATCTCGGTCTTTGACACTGAAGAGGAAGTGGTGAAGAGAGCCAACAACACGAGCTTGGGCCTAGCAAGTTATGTTTTCACCCAGGATGCCGACAGGCTATGGAGGACGCTCGAAAATCTGGAAGCCGGTATGATAGGATTGGTATGTACTGCTGACCGCGATTGCGAACAATGCTGACATCATTTCAGAATACCGGTGGAAGCTCTGCGGCCGAGGCACCGTTCGGTGGCATCAAGGAAAGTGGTTGGGGCAAAGAAAGTGGCAAAGACGTTGCACTGGATGAGTTCATGGTCACCAAGACGGGGACATTGACGGTCAAAGGGCATTGTTGACATAATATTTGGGGCATTTGAGTATATTTGCAGCAGTATTCCCTCGGCTTCAGTAAAGAGCCACTTGTCACGGCGAGTATCAAATTGAACCGCGTGGAATGGCATACCGATCTTCCCAGAAAGCTCCTCGTCTCCATAACGGCTTGTCTATCTCATCGTGATGCTTCACAGGCAGTGATCAGAGTCAAATTCTCACTGAAGCAAGGGACTAACTTGTCTTGAGTACGCTTCAAAATATTGCAACGCAGTTAGGTGGGCTGCTGACACCCCCCGGCAGTTTCAACGGGGCGCTAGCCAGGAAGAAATGCCATCTCTGTTCTTCCTCACAGATTCGACTCAACTCTTCAAGGTCAAAAAGCTCACCAATTGGCATACCCCACCCTGCCAATAGATATTCGTGCAAAAAAAGGCCCTCGGCGTCGTCTCCTCTATCACGCTTGTAGGATTGTTGTGGTGGATATGCTTCAAAGCTAATGGCGTCGCTAGCGACTGCTGCAAATCCTTCGTCCCAGATCCATCTCAACATTTCTTCCGTACCCTCGACTCCTGCATGCTGAGGATTCTTATCCAGCGCATATTTTAATTTGTCTTCTGGAGTCATGATGGTATCCCATTCTCGAGTCACCCCAATGCGTACGAGGAGGATGTCCCCTCTCCGGAAGCTGACCTTCTGCTCCGCTGCAATCTCGACAAGGGTTGCCAGTGGAATGGAATGATTCGAGAAAGTAGAATACTGAATACCATTCTTGGCTGCGTAGCGAACGTAGTCAAGAAGCACACCTCTGCCACAGATGCCTTCGCGAGCCCACTCCTGGATCCCTATACGGGTGCAGGAACGATCAGTGATCTCTGCGGCAGTCACCCCTCCATAAAATTGGTGTCCAGCTGTGCCAGCCTGTGGCGCAGAAAAATGACGTAGACCATCCCACTGAGACGACTGTTGCGGGTTGAAGATGATGACATCGTCAAATGCACGACCATCGAGTAGAGGCACTATATGGTGCTGGGTGGGCTGCCGGCCAAAATTGGCGATCTCGAGCTTGGTCAGATCCCATCCCAGCGTCGTGCGGCGACCAGTCTTGATGCAAGTGCTCGCAGCGTAGGCAACTACTTCGGGCGTCAGTAATACCAGACGACCAAGGCCTTCCTCGCGCGATCCAGGTGGAGTGTTCCAAACTTGTCGTGGATTGGGGAGTGCGTCGTATGTCAGGAAATGAAGAGCTAAAAGATCCGATGACATTGCAGAGATTCAGGCTCTTGATCCAAAAGGAAGGAAGTACAGCAAAACCATCGAACTTACTGCGATGAGTACATAGTAGCTGCAGAAGTAACCATTAGCCACAATGAAGGTCTTGAGCGGTAGGTTCCTCGGAATGATGGCCAAGTTCAGGTCACCCAGGAGAAACCCATATGCTAACACCAGAAAACCCCACTAAGCATTCCATCATTCGCGACAGGTGGGCATGCTTCGCCAACTGCATGAAAGACCTCCAATAGCACCATGATGGACCCGTACCTGGCGTGCAATCAAACTTCGTAATTTGCTGGACTCGAACCAAAGTCACATGAGGGGGAAAGTTGTGTGGTACGCTCCGGAAGATGCGAAGAATCCAAGGCTGTGGAAGAGGCTGATAGTGCAAGATTTCACCGACCTCTTGTGATTAGCGATGCCAAGCCATTGTAAAGACCGTGGCCTACTATATCGCTTCGACGCATCCGAACTAGCTCCGAGAGCTATTCGAACGCTATCCGAAGCGGACCCGGAGCGCCCAGGCGCTAGTCTAGTACGTACTTAGGATATTATATAGTCTGACGAGTCCCTCGGACCGTCTTAGGAATGATCATGTCCCCTTCCCATCACACGCTGAAGACAAGTTCGCGCAGGATTCCATACGCTTGTTTCATCAATGCAAAAGGACGTCCACTGTGAGGAATCGTTCCCAAAAGCTGTTGGCTTGTCGACCTCGTATTACGGCTGGGAAGCTTTGATTCTGAGCTCGTGTTATTGAAACCAGGTGCACACAGATGGACGATATGTATGAATCGTCCCCACACGCCTGAACCTTTCCCGTCTCCAGAATACAAGCCTCTGTGTCAGCTGCAGAGGCAAGAGAGATTCAGGAGGAGACGAGCAAGCTAGGGCGAAACGTAAGACGTCCTGTCATGGTGGGCATTCTCGGCCATTGAGAGCCCACGATGTCGGAGAATGAAATAAATATATAGTAGTAGCACCCAGCAGGCCACCTTACCACAACTTCGATGAAAGAGAATCCATTAGATAATCCCCTCCAGACGACTTCCAGCTAACTCCTGAGTCCTCGCCGAGGACCATCAGTCCAATCTCGTTTGAAAGAGGTTCTTCCCATCTCCATTCCCTCTCCCTTCTTCGAAATTGTAGAAAGCTAGATAGATAGACAGGGTCTTGCCAGGAACTGCGGTCGTCATTGTCAAAAGATATACCACTAGTAGCATATCAAACGTGTTCTAGTCCTGGTGAAGGCGTTGCTCATCCGCCACTGTCATGTTATGGTGGTAGAACAGGAAGTCCAGTCGTCTGTTCGGTCTGCCGCTTGTAATGTATGTACAGGCACAGGCAGCGCTGGAAACGAAACCAGAGAAAATCATGACAGTGGATTGTACAATAAACAATGTGTTGCCTCGTTCTCAGTACTTATCATAGAAATCTATCCAGAGAAGAAGCGGCAAGCTCCTAACGCTTATTTCATTATCACAAACAATGGATCTGGGGGAGCGGCATTGAATCTACTCCAAACATAAACCAGTTGGCCGCACCCCACATCTGAGCCTGCAAACCGATACTCGTCTCAGTGTCATCATCGTTGGTTGTTGATCAGAGGATTAGATCACCATCTCCGCCCATACATCTCGTATTCGTTTCGTAGAGGCTTCTTGTGCGCACCGTAACGCTCTTTGTCCCTCTCTCTGTCCCTCTCTCTATCCCTAGCTGGCAATGGAGCGTGAATAGACGAAGTGGTCGATGACACTGTTGAGGATCTGGACACTCCAGAGATATCAGCGGGAGAAGGCTGGCTTGCCCCAGAGCTGGGATCTAGCAATCCTCGTCCCCGTGGACCAGCGCCATCAGCATTTCCTCCAATTTCGTTAACATTGACAGGATGCTCTCGTTCGGCATCGCGCCCAAACAAGTTCATCATATCCTGCAGCGTCAGCTTCATGCCGCCCTTCTTGCCTTCGATCGTGGCGTTTGCTAGTTCACGCTTCTTTTCCTGAAGTTCCAAGATTCGCTCTTCAACTGTATCTTTGATTGTGAATTTGTACACCTTCACGTCTATGGTTTGATTCAGTCGATGCACCCGATCAATGGCCTGCTCTTCGACAAAGGGATTCCAGAACGGTTCAAGAATTACCACTCGACTGGCAGCGGTCAGATTCAAGCCTAAAGATCCCGCTCTCAGACTGCAGAGGAGCACACGTGTTGAAGGGTCGTTACGGAGCGAGTTAAGACTTGCTTCTCGGGCGTCATTGCGCATTTGTCCATCATATCGAACATATCGAATTCGGTTTGCTTTGAGAAATGGCTCAATCAGATTGAGCATGGAGGTGAAGAACGAAAAGACAATGTATTTGTGATTGTGCGCGTCTTCATTGAGAATCTGGATCAGGTGGCGGATCTTTGCAGATTGCATGATGCTGGGCTCGGGAGACGTGGTAGAGCCTTCAGAGGAGTAGTCGTCATCTGAGATTTCTTCCTCCCCAACCTTATCTTCTGGCTGGTCGCTATCCTCATCGTCACTGTCATTGATCACACGGCGAGCTTGTGTGCGCTGAGCCAGTATTGCCTTTCGCTCCTTTTTCACTCGTTTCTCTCGCTTTGTTCGCTTTTTGTCTTCGGCATTAATGTTCTGTTTCTCGAGATCTGTTTCACACTCGGTGCAGCGAATAGCCCCACCGGAAGCCTCTCTTGCGGATAGTTCAGTCTGGCACATGTCGCATCTCTTGGTCTGCACGGACAATCCGCCCAGCATGTTCGCGATAGAATCCATATCATCATCAGCGCTTGATTTCTGTCGGCTGGGTGTCTGGCTTCCCATAATGGCATCTCTCTCACTGGCCAGGTCGGAACCAGTCAACATGGGATGATTGCATGCTTGCCTCAATCGCATCAGCAAAACCAACGCCGAGGCGTAGCTCATCTTGTTCCCAGCCATCATAGCTTCAAGACTTCGGTCTGTTCTAGACTCTAATCTTGAGTAGAATTCACGCTCTTGCTCCGTAAATTGTGCTTCGACTTTTTCCACTGTACGAGCGACTATCTTGAAGCCCGGCCCCTTGCCAGTCGCTGTTTCTTTTCCTTTTCCAGATTTCAAAGCGCCATCTTGCTTCAAAATGTCTTTGGTTCTTCGCTTCATGAATGCCTTCAGATATACTTGCAACCGCCTAAGAGCAAGTCCACCCCTGCCATTGTTCATAGGCTTCGTGATCTGCTCGCGCCAGGTATTGAGGTCGTCATATGGTTTGATGCGTAAGAAATGAATAAGACTTTGCAGTTCGTCCAGGTTGTTCTGCATAGGTGTACCAGTTAAACACCAGCGGTATTCAGACTCCAGGGCACTTGCTGCTTTCGTGGCTTTTGCATTGCGGTTCTTGATCGAATGGGCTTCGTCGAGGATGACTCTATACCAATGGATTCCGAAGCATCCTACTTTAAGACTGCCTTCGGATCCGGCATGTTCTGACGAGAGAGTGTGATAAGTCGTTATCACCACATCGTATTTCTTCAAGTCCTTGTAACTCTTGGCTCTGCCAGGTCCGTGATGTACACAAACTTTGAGCGCGTGTTCTTCTTCGATCCGATCCTTGATCTCTCCTTCCCATTGCTTGATTAAAGCCAGGGGAGCCACAACAAGCGTTCCTTTCCCGATGTCTTCCGGAAGCTTGCGCTTGCTCTTCTCAAGCTCCTCTTTGCTAGGCTTTGGATTTGTTAACATCAATGCTATTGACTGAATCGTCTTTCCGAGACCCATGTCATCTGCGAGGATGCCGCCTTTTGGCAGGACTCCTCTGGTCTTCTTGGTACCGGTCTCTTTGTCCCGCATCCAGTTCACACCATCGATCTGATGAGGCAGTAACTTGACTTTCAAGCCATTGATTGTGCCATCCTCATCCTCGTCTTCATCCTCTTCTTCGACGTCTTCGTTCTTGTCTTCGCCGTTGACATCCATGCCCTTCACTTTGTCAGTCAATTTGTCAAGCTTGGCTTCTAGTGCTTTCTTTCGTCTTCTTGTTCGAGATTGATCTTCTTCATCTTCGAAGGCTCCTTCAAGAAGGGCTTTAATGTTCTCGTTTGCCTTGGCCGCATCCACATAGGTGTACGGGTCTGTGGACGAATAGAATTGCTCCTGGTCGTGCATGCCTCGGTTTGTAGCGAATCCGGTTTTCTCAAGTGTGAGGTCAATTAGGCTTTGAGGTTGATAGTAAGGATTCGTAGATGTCTGAGAGGAGAATGTTGGCTGGGAAATAGGTCTAGGTTGCCACGTAGGGAAGCTGCTCGGCCTGGGAATTTCAAAAACATCGTCATCATCGTTGGATGTAGGTGCGGACAAAGTAGGCTTGTGAGATTGGTGGCTACCGCTTTTGATGTCTCGGAATGCTTGTAACGGATTTGTGCCGTTGATTTGGGGTCTATGGAGTTCAGGGCGCTGTGTAGGCTTCTTCGCCGGGACGAAAAGGTTTGAGTACTTGTCATTTTGACTGCCACTGACCTGTCGAGGTGCTGATACATTGGCAGTCGGTCTGACCAGTGGCTGAGTACGTGAATAGAGTTGTGGTGAAGCCCCAAGAGCGGTTGGCTTGCCAAATTCTGGTTGTAGAGCGGCCGCAGAGTCCTGACCGATTGATTTGCCCTGGTCTTGGGGCTTCTGAGGTGGCGCAGTGTTCCCCATGGAGGGCGCGAGCGGGTTCCGAGGAGGTTCCTGTTCGCGGACCATGTCGCTTGAAAAGTTGAAGTTGAAGAATTGTAGGCTGTTCACGGGGGACCCAAAGATAGCATTGGAGGTATTGGGCGTGAATGACGGCTTTTTTAAAGTAAATAGAGGAGTTGGCGAAGCGCGAATTGGGTCTTTGGACTGGTCGAGTGACGCAGAGGAGGTGAAGGCTGCGATGTGGTGACTGCGCTAGCGTTGGCGGGACAACCACGATACCCTTGTCGACCACAAGATTTGTCGTGGGCAAGAGGAGGACGTTGAAGAACTGATACTGAGGGATAGCTGGTTGTAGTAGTCCTTTTTATGAGTTCCCCTAAGCTCAAGCCGTAGAGGCCATTTCTTTGCCGTTTAAGTTGGTTGTCTGAATTCACGTTGGTTAGCTTTAGGCACCTCCTAGTTGTGAGGACAAATGGCTACATACCTCCAGAACGGGATTTCTAGAGAATGATTCTTTGTGCGCGACAAGCCGTCAATCCGCCATTGTGCTGGAATGCTTTGAAGTTGGTTCGGCCGTTGTGCTGGGTTGGGGGCGGCATCGATGGATTTGGTAGATTTGGTGGACTTGGTGGAAGTCCTCACCGCTGACATCATCTGTTTATATGCAGTCTGGCCAAGGCCAACGTTGACATCCACAGCCTTGCCAAGCCTCGCGAGGCTATATACACCACGAGTTCTCGTTACCATATCAATGGTGGTAGTCGTCAGCAGCCCTGCCGCAAACGCAATTATCGGATGCTGAATACTTCATGGATCACATGGAACATCGTCAAAGGAGGTATGGCATCATCAAAGACTGTGCCAGCAGGAAAACACAACGGCGGCATCCCTGGAGCCAGCCCCATCTGTCCCCCTGAATAGCCTCACTCCGAGCAAGGTCAAGCACTAACCCTCTGATTGCACTCACCCGTTGACTCAAAGTCACACATGGTAACACACAGTAGTGTGCGTAGAACTCAACACCAGCTTTGTTGCAGGCTCATTTTCAGTACGTGGGGAGGTGTAGCTTGTGGGGTTGATCATAGGGGGCTATGTATTTGCCCGCTTTGGAGTTTGTTTATGTCGAGCTCTGTGTCCGCCCATTCTCAAATCTCTTCGACACAGTACTCGTTGGGATGCCTAGTATACCGTGACTTCTCTTCTTGCTGCTCATCATCGTTCTGCAGCGTCAGTGAGTGCCAACTCATCTCAGCCAACTCAGGAATACGAGTTGCTCAACAATTTCAATTCTCTCCACCAAAAGCCTTCAACCTTCGGAGCAGCTCAAAAGACTAGGCAATCATGCGAATTGCCCTTGAAAGAGGGATGATCCTTTGAGAATATCTCATGATGCTCCACGTCTTCTCCATTGATCTTCCCACCATGCGGACCCCTTTCAGGCAAAGAGCCCATTGCAAGAGAACAAAATGCTCTTGATCTTCCGACAGCTCCAGCAGACTACGAGGAAGGACATACGGAAAGAGGGTGAAGCCGAGTATTTGCCACAGCAATTCCTCGACGAGACCTAGAGCGCCCAGCTATACTACAACGAAGGGGCTTACTCTGTGGGCAGTTTGTTCTGAGCGAGAGCAGTATGACAGCCGCAACAATGATGTCGCTCTGATCAGCCGTTCTTCGCCATCCTCACCGGCAGATCCAGACGCTTGAGGGAATGTATTTGTTGTTGGTGGTGGTGACAGCATCCTGCATACTGCCAAAAGGGCCCTGAATATTTTGACATCCCACGGCGAACGAAGTGTATGGCCGGGCACCAATTCCATGGATTGAACGAGGATGACCGGTCTATTCCCGGCCTACTCTTGAATTGCCACGCCCGTACGAGTAAGTCCCAGTCTTGTCCTATTGAGGACGCCGATTCCTCCATCTCCTTAGCTACCGAGTTGATGTGGGTGGATGCCCCACAAGCCATCAAATTGCTACCGCCAATGTGGGGTCGACAACCAACGCCTCCTCTCCCATGTGTGGGGTTTTTCCAGACCTTGGAAGACCTAGATGGCCTCGGTGACAAACACCTCCCTCAACTCTGGTGCCGCTGGGGCTTTCTGGGTTTGCGTCCCAGGCGAGAATCACCCACTCAACCTATCAAAGCTCCAGAATTCCAGATTCATGATGACTCGCGGGTTGTGGCGGGGTCCCCAAAGTGGATTTTGTTCTTTTAGCATGCTGGGCTAAGCCTCTTAACTAATCCCCTAACTCTTTCAATATGTCGATTTCTTTTTTCGCACTCTTCTAAGACACGGTCAAAATGACCTCCTGGGTTTGCTCGGAAGCCAATTGCAACAAGACCTTCCGACGAAGATACCATTTACTCAGGCACAAGAGCAACGTGCACACCAGGTCACGCCCTCATACCTGTCCCACCTGTTGTCGGGCGTTCGCAAGAAAGTAAGCGCGACACCGTGAAACCAATGACTCCAGTGGTTTCGTTCGTAGTTTGGCGTAGTTTGAACACTGACTTTTGTGTTAGAGATGCTTTGCTTCGACACCAACGATTTCATGTTGAGAACCCACACTGGTCTGGTTCAAGATCAGCTCGCTTGAGCACGACATATGAATCAGATGAGGAAGAATTCAACAGCAATGCGTCATGTGAAGAAGACTCGACGCTGATCGACCACCCAATCCCACTCACCACAGATGCAGATTCGACGGCCCCCTTCGGCCGACTTCCGCACTCAAACAGTGACCAAATCTCAAATGCAAGCGTCCAGAGCAATGATCCCGAAAGCAGGTTTATTGCTCCATTATTGTTCCTGGAACCTCCAGTACGACCTCTTTGGGAATCCTTGACTCCTCTCACTACGGCTTCGACCTTGGAGCTAGGCTCGGATCATGGAGGCCTCGACATTTTTGCTCGTGAACGGAACAACGATATTAATTCCCTCTTGGACGACCGGATCAGCAGTGCCCCAGGGACCGCCGCAGCGTCTATCAATCCAGGGACTTTGGCAAATGGGAGCTACAGTCGTCCAGGAAATGAACGTGCTGCTGGTCGATGCTCGTATCCACTGGATGATGCCGACATATTACGGAGTGCTGAAGCCAACATCCCAATCGAGTATGCCGAAACTGTCCAAAAACTCTGTGCAGTCTCTTTTCTACAAAGTTATTTTACTAGTCTACACCACCAATGGTCCTTGATACACGAGGAATCTTTTTGGGTAAGGAAGTCCTCGTTGTTACTGAAATGTGCGGTGGGGCTTCTCGGACTGCTGGTCAGTCCCAACCATGACAGGACTGTGCTACGTTCGGTCAGTGGGCTGAACAGTCGACTGCGGAAGATCTTGCGGGAAAGAATCCAGGACGCCACCCCGGACCGTAAGGCACCGTCGATAGCAGCCTATCAAGCTTATTTATTGACCATCCTGTTTACCTTGTATCACAAGGACGCCTCAGAAATTGCCGAGGCTCGCTCACATATAATCACTTTAGTGGATCAAATCAGGAGGGCAGGCCTTCTGGACTTTGAGACGATTGTTGCCCAAGATGACCCGGCTGCCAGTCCTTTTTCACGCTGGGTGGTCCGAGAAGAAAAGCAAAGACTGGTGTTTTCTGCCTTTAGACTCGATTGCTACCTTCAAATTCTCGACGATTTGCCGCCCACCATGCGGTTTCAAGAGCTTTGTCTCCCATTCCCCTGCACAGATAAAGCTTGGAACAGCAGCCAAGAAAAATGGAAAGAGACCATCAGCCAGGAGCCATCGAACCGTACAAGCTCCACATATGGGATCCAGTGCTTCCTGGCCATGTCTCGATTGTCTCCATGTAGTAGACTAAACCTGCCGGGATTCAGGACGATCTCCGATTTCGAACTCGGCCTTGTTTCGATGCAAGCGAGATCCTGGGAGGAGACGCAGCATCCGGCGACGGCATTCGACGGCTTCGCCGCTGGCCAAGATGCACCCGACAACCTGAGTGCTGGTGGATTTGGTCAAAGCTGGCCAGTGTTGTGGGGAATCTGGCAGGTCACTATGGAGCAATTTCGATTGTCGCACAGGGAGTATTGTCCGCATCCAAGCGAAAAGGAAACCTACCTCAGCTCACTTCTGCTGTACCATGCCTCGCTGTTGAGAGTATACGTGGACATGAAAATCCTGCGACGATTGGCCATATCGCTTACTCGGGACAGCACTTCGAATCCTGCGAAACGGCAGATGGAAAGCCTGGTCCACGACTGGGCTCGGTCGGGCCGTGCAAAGGATGCTCTCTGGCACGCAGCGCAGATCCTGCGCCTGCACTCGGAGAACGCGCCAGACCTTCGCGCTCAGAACATCCCCGTCAATCCGATTGCGATGAATTGCATCTTCCGTGCGGGCCTCGTGGTCTGGGCCATCAGCCGATCGAGCCAAAATTGTGGGCTGTGCGCTCCCGGATCCACACCACTTGAGAAGGTCAAGCTGTCAAACAACAACAAAGTCCGTCCCAGGGCCGCCAGCAGCGGGAGCATGGAGCTGACAACGATCGACAATCTGACCAAGGACTATGAATTGTGGCTTGAAGAAGGCGACGGAGAGTTGCTCGTCGACGGCGTCATCGTCTGCGCCTGTCACATGGCCGCCCTGGTCGAGAAATTCCGTGTCCAGATCCATGACCCGGAGCTCGGCTCTAGCGAGATCCGATCCTATGCGGAAATGCTCAGCTACTTGAAAGATCATGGATAGCCGTGCCCGCATTGAGAGCGTCCCTAAATCTTGAAGATGTTCTATGATTTCGAGGACTGAACCGACCATACGCACAGGTCAGTTGGCAGACTCAAGCCAATGTGGTCGTGATGAGACTATTGGAAGAGTCGAGGGAGAGTCAAGTCTAGAAGGGTCTAGTCTATCAAGTTCATTGGCATCACGTAAACATTCCTTGGAACGTTTGTGGCCTTCCTTGACTGGCAGTTATTTGATTCCAATCAAGGAGACGCTACCAGAAAAGAAAGCACATTTTTTGCACTATCCGCTGTACTATTCACTGCTCGATCGCGCCCACCAGCCATCCACCTTCGGGGGACGCCCAAAAGGCTCGAATATCGGAGACTAGTTCTTTCGGATTCACATGTGCCGGGAAGTGACCACCGAGGACGCCCGGATCTTTGCGCACAAAGGATGTTACGTTGGCGGTACGTTCACACCAGTCGCGCGGCGCGCCATACGCCGCATCGGGGAAATATTGCAGCACGCCTGTAGGGACGGGGACGTAGGGGTATCGGAAGTCAAGTGTGCCCTCCTGTGGAAATCTGTAAGCACTTGATTCTTCCGATGAGGAGGGAACAGGATTGAAGGTAGGGGCTTACTCTTTTCAGCTCATGGTAGATCCTGACGCTGCCGTACGGACCTTGAATGTATAACATCATTGCCCAGGTAATCAAATCCTCGAATGACCATTCGTAGCCGGGCGCATATCCACGCATGCCCATGTATGGCCAGGCGAGATTACCTACTGGGCTATCGGTCAGGAGGATGCCCAGCTGCAGTGGGACCACGGCTTCTAGGTCCCAAAACGCCAGGGCGAAGGGCATCGTCGCGTCGAGAAAGTCGATGTAGGAATTCTCTTCTGCGGTCGTTTCGTTCGCCGCTTTCCGAGCGCGGTCTGTGTCGTTGGCGATGACCCCATACAAATTGCACAAGATGGAGACCACGGAGTCGGGGTATGCGGCGCCCATGTAGCGGGCTGTGTGAGAGCCGAAATCGCCGCCTTGAATTACGAAGCGCTCGTAGCCAAGCTGCAGCATAAGCTGGTGGAAAGCTGCACCGGCTTCGATCAATCCAAACCCAGGCTTCGTCGGCGCTGGAGAGAACCCAAACCCTGGTATCGATGGTGCGACCACGTGGAAGGCTGGATCAGATCGGTTCGATGGCTCCACCAAATCTGCCAAAATATTGCCCACTTCTAGAAACGAGCCTGGCCAGCCGTGGATAAAGAGAAGGGGTATGGCATCAGATCGTGATGAAATATGGTGTACGAAGTGCAGCGGCACCGGGTCTGGGAATGTTGCGTGGGAGTCGTTCAGAGGAGGGATTGTTGTGGTGAAATGCCGATAGTGGTGATTGAGGTCGCTTTGCACAGCGGGCCAGTCGTAGCTATTCGCCCAGAAATCGGTAATGGCGGAGATGTTGTTTGAAGGGACGCCTTCCGTGAACGGGGGGATTTCGATGTCAATGGCAGGACGGGTTAAGCTGGCTTTGAGCCGTGTCTGTTCGATGAATGTAGGATTGACGTCTATGATCAGCGGCGCGGGTGACTGCCCAAATACTGCTTTGAAGTTGAGCGGACCATACTGGCCATCAGAGCCTGCAGCCGCTATTGTAGCCCATGCGCTCAGGCACCATAGTGGAGTTGTAGTGAATCCCATCAGTGTAACGAAAGGGTGCCGAGGAATATGGGTTTTGTGAAGGCTCTTACTGAGCATTAACTGTGCAAGCGGCAATGGCTACTTTCAGGGCATCCTGATATATAGATGGAAGCCCACTGATAGGGCGGACAATGTATGGATAATTCAGGATTACCTTCCTCTCGTTGCATTAGTCAGGCTCATCTACCATATATGGTGGTTGAAGATTGGCACGGACGAATTTGAACTCTGATGGTTTTTGTCGGCGGCTTCAACGACATGGTGCCTGGCAAATGGGTCCTCAGTATCATACGTACTAGCAAAATTACAAACGATCGCTGATAACCAGTCATCCTGTCGGTGCCCGGAACGAATGGTGGAACTCCAGCTAATGGTATATATTCAGATTGGGAGCGTGCCCACAAGGTAGAGATACCTACTTTGAGGCACCCAGGCACTTTTGTTTGGCATAATTACCAAAGGAACGCGGTTGACATGCTTGGCGCGATTCGCCGAGCCTCCGAGTTCTGCCACGGACGAAATAATGTCCCTCCTGCTTAATTTTACGGACGAATCTATCAGTTGACCGACACAGCTATGAAAGTCGATCTTGGACAAGGCGATCCATACTTCTTCACTCACTGCGCTGGTAGGATGTCGGATATCATACTTTCCGGTGGTGGTGCATTTCGAAGTGACGCCTAGCTGCTCAGTGGACGGCAATGGCTGATCCTCGCCTCGGGCAAATTTAATCGAGTATTTGCCAAAGAAAACGTGGCAGCCGTCCTATGATGTGGCCTGCCAATTCGTCCTTCTCGATATACTGTAGTTCCAGAGGCACACGGCACAGCGAGTCGTACTTTCAGCCCCCTAGTCCTCACTGCTTCAGATGTTGGAGCGATTCAGAGCAGTGTAGTACGGCGGGTCACAGACCACGATAGTGCAAAGCTAGCCAGGCACTCAACACGGACTGCCTACGGTGGACTATTACAACCACCTTGTGACAAGGATCTATCCTCCATCGTGAATGGAGGTGAAAGGCTTTCTCTTATGAATGAGCTTATAGATGACCTCACCATGAAGAGCAGAACTTCGTCGACTAGGACACGCCCGAAAGAAACTGTGACCCTGCCTCGATGCCACGTTCTTTTGACGTTTGTTCAAACTGAGTCACGAACCATTGAGGTTGTTGATTGTTCCTTCCCTGAGGTAAGAAGATGGCCGAGAAGCAGGACCAGGCCACCCACCCCGGTCCTCCTTTCTCGATACCATCTCTATAATTCCCCTACAGACATTCTGTATCTCCCATATGGCATCTCTCCTCACCTTTTCATCGCCACTCAGCATCGGATCGTCTCCTCCATGGCCCCCGCCTTGCTGCTGGAGCTTGTGATACACGAACGTGACGTGACCGACCACTCTAGCTTCTCTTTGTCCAATGCTCATTAACCTTGCTACATACATCTGTGATATCGCCAAAATGCCTTTTGGAAGTCTTCGAAACAGAGTTGGTGGTAAAGCAAGCAATCCTCAATCTGGGGATAGCCCCACCAAATCTCACCAGAGAGGCCGCTCTATCACAATGCCCTCCATAACTCCTCGAAAGAGCTGGACATCTCTTTTCGATTCCTACAAAAGAGGGAGATTTACTGTGTAAGTGGCAAAAGCCGCCCAGCCGTTGTTGTGCTAAGTTTCTGCAGCATCAATGTGTCGCCAGTCAAGGTCTTACCAGACGCCCTCGAGGAAGACCTCTACCCACAGTATGATCCAACTAACCCTGACCATGACCCTGAGAGAGCGAACGCCACATCACCTCAGCAGAAAAGCCTGCGTGGAAGGAGAACTCCAAGCCCACACCCACAGAAACGCACAAGTGGTGCCCGCCCCCCGAAGCTTCACCGCCGTAATCGTTCTCAGACGTCCCTGAAAGAGGCAGAGGTACCAAAAACATTCCTCGAATCATTGGCAGATGCTATCAGAGCACCGGCATCCTTCTTTTACAAAGATACCAAGAAATCCCCAGTGATCAACGACGACACCGCAAAAGATGTCACAAGCAGCCTCGTTGCCACTCCCAAATCCGCTCGCACAAGTCCCAAAAAATCCGTCACATTCCAGCCGGGAGCATCTTTTATGGAGTCAGGACAGAGATCATCTCCAATTGATATCCCAAAACCAGCTCCATCCTTAGCTCCCGTTCAATTAGCATTCACCCCATTCGCACACGGCTTCGCCTCAGAATTGCGAGACTCGATTCTCACGGCGAGGCTACCAGAAACTCAAATTCTGAAGTCTTCGCCTGAACTCCATTATGCCCTCGGTGCAGCACAGCTTCGGGATCATTTTGTCGAAATTGAAACCCAGATCCAGCCTCAAGGCTCCCATGTAGATCTCCCAACTCCATCAGAGACAAATTCGAGCATTGAGGATCCATTTGCTGACCCTAGTGACGCCACGAAGCAAGGCAAGACACAAGAGATGCTCACAGGATATGACGATCGTTTCCAGAGTAGAAACTTGACGACAGTTACTTCTACAAATATAGCAATCGACAGGAACTTTGTCTCAAACGATGAGAAGGTCCAGGATCTGCCTCCAGATCTTACCGCAACCACGAGTTCTTCGCTAACTACCAACAGGCGCGGGGTAATTAATACTACCAAAGGATCAGCTCATCCTTCTGGCCATTGTGGGAGAGAATCGGAAGCATCTGAATCCATATCAAGTGACAGCGGGCTACTTGGTCCAACACCTTCGACGATGAAAGACTCAGGCACTAGCAAACACTGTGGTGAACGACAAAGTACTGTTTCGAAGCTCATGTCTGGCTCCAGAGCGTTAGATGCCCCGTTGGAGAGATACGATGCCGACCATGAGTTATCAGAGGAGCCGAAATCTCAAGCACATGACAGCCAACACCTAAGAAGTCCTGTGGGTAGTCAGAAATGGATTGATAACCCCACACATGAGGATATTCGGCAAAAATTCAAGGTTTACTCCGCACATAAAGGTCCACAGAGGAAACAAGAGACGGAAACTACAGCCATGGAAACGCCTCGACAAGGTTCTGTACAGAGTGCTCCTTGCAACGCGGCCATCGCTACATTACCTACCACTCTGTCTAACTCTCGCAGACTCAGCGTCGAAGACTTAGACCTGGTAGCAGATCTAGGTAAGGCAGGAACAGAAAATCCATCGAGTCAGGTGAGGGATATGAATATTCCTTCACCACCGAAGGTAATTGCACCAATAGTTTCGAGAAGGATCACTGAACGCATTGTAGAACCTCCTCTCGGACAGTAATAACTCTCAAACATTCCCATGGACTGCTGAGTTGACACTAAGAAGTGCAAAATCTCCATTAAAGAAGAAAATGTCACCTCCTGAATCAATCCTCGAGTGCACGGATAACTCTCTTGACTTATCGAGCTCGCAGGATATCGTGAAATTGCAAGGGAATGTGTGGTCCACACTTGAAGACACCTTCATCGAAGTGAGAAACATCTCACAGTTCAAGAGTCCGGCTGACCAGTATGAATTAGGGTTCTCTTGTCGGTAGCGAGGTTGATTGTCCCACGATTCGAGACCCCGGCTTATCTTCAAAATCCATCGCCATTCAAACTCCGTCCCCAGCTCGCATTCCACTGCCTGCATCATCCCATCCTGGTCTGGAGAGGGCCAAGAATTATGTGGATCAGTGTAACTGGTGCCCGTTCAAAGAATACAAATTCTCCTACGCGGCGACTGCGGCTATTGAGATGAACTCCTCCTCGTTTCGTCGCTTCCTGGGATTACAAGGTTGTTTCTACGCCTTCTGGGAGCTTTGTAAACTGCCTGACTCGACGAAACCGTCCAGGGACACTCGAGGGCTTGCGAGCTCGGAAATAGACACGCTTTTCGACGAGATCAAGCAAGCCACCCTTCTACCAGAACCAGGCAGATCTGCGCTACTGAAGGCTTTCAAAGCAATATTAGCCTCAGATGATCTCGAATTTTACGCCCTGGGAAACCGTCCAATGAGTTCCGAAAGCATTGAAACCATAGATGCTCCTTCAGGGCCTAGACATAGCGAGGAGGGTATTCTCCGCACTCAGCTAGACAATCTGCTGCTCCGCATGAAGGACGAAGGTGTTGCTGTCGAGTCAGATGCGGAACCGTGGCTTGAGAGACACGCAAATTCCAGCCATACGCGCAGAGCAGCATCCCATACACGAGATGAAGCTTTGAGTAGACCCGAGCAAATCGGATCCGCTTCAGAAGAAGAGAAATTTGAAAAGGTTAGCAAGGTTCTGGAGAATTCTAAGCTGAAGCTCAAGGGTGAGTTCAAGGGTTTCACATATGATAAATCTTATTCCCTGCGCGAGCAGTGGCTGCTGACATCACCATACCTGCGGTGTTATATGCGTACTGACCACATCTGTTTGACAGGTATTCAACGTCGGGAAACAACGGAAAGTCAGCGGTCCTTGTTACCAGGACGACGCAGATCGATGTGGTCCGATAAATCTCAGAGCGGTGCATCGACGTCTGCCACCTCAACCATGGATGCATTGGAAGAGGATGAGAAATTCTGCCAGGGTATCGTCTGATGCGCTCAGTTCTATGGGCCAAAAGGAGGGCTGCGGCTGGAGGCTTTGTCTGGCCTCAATCAACTATCTTATATTTGGTAATGATTGCATGATAGAGCTAGAGTGTCTCTTATCTCTTATCTCCGACTGGGCTAAGCATAGACGGTAAAGGACATGTCAAAGGTATCTGATATCGAGGACATCAAGTGTATCAGGCGAACCGCATATCAATCCTTCGAAGGTTAATGACGAGCATGGCTAAGGTGGACCGGTGCCCTCCAGTGCTGTCTTTTCAGCTGCTTCCCGATGTGCTTTGTGTTTTGCGACGTTCCCCTCGAGGCCAAACAAAATGTCAGGGTCACCGGGTACAATCATTTCAAATGTTTCGCGGACGACAGTATATTCGTAGTACCCGCAGCGAGCAATGGGTTGGGTTTTCCTGATGTCGATCTTGCCATCCGTCAAAACATCTTCACTAATATGGATTCCCACCACTTTCCCCACCACCACATCGACAGTTCCCATGGGAGGATTTCCCGGAAGCCTTAGAGTCGTGTAGTATTCGCACTCGAACCTAACCGGGCTTTGCTTCACCATCGGGACCGGGGTCTTCAACACTTCAGACCACGTTTTCTCGAGCCCGGCTCTCTCGAACTCGTCCACGCCGTAGGGAACCGCCTCGGCGGACTTGTTGACGGCTTCTCGCAGATCCCAAGTCGCGAGTTGCCAGCAGAAGACACCGGTTGCCTCGGCATTGCGAGTCGTGTCCTTTCGCTCACCAAACCCTGTCTGATTTGCGGAAAACATCACATACGGTGGATCGAAGGTCAGGTTGTTGAATTGGCTGTATGGTGCCAGGTTATGGGCGGGCGCCGCTGATCCATTGATGGTGGTGGTGGTGCCATTTTCCTGAGATGGTGCATTTGGTGGCGATACCGTGCTAATCCAGCCGATGGGCCTGGGAACCACGCATGCCTGTGTGAGAAGGAAGGACGTGGTGTCAGTCAATACTTTGCATGGTCGCTTCTTTTTTGCGAATGATATTACGTCGGGAGACATCAATAGGGTATTTACCTTGAAGGGATCTCGTGGGAGGTTATGATCCGTGTTCCCTGGTTGATAGAACACCATTTCTCTGGTTACGATGCAATCTGTTTCCTCGTAGACGCAGATTCAGGCAGCAGATGCTCGTCAGGCTCCGTTCGACCGGATTCTCTCGTCTCCTTTCTTCTATTCCCTCTCTCTGTATCGCCTGCCTTAGGCACAACGATGAAATTTCGGTCGCTGACGGTCTACTTATGTGGATCTGGTCGGGACGAGACCCGTCTTTGAAATGGACGAAGTGGTCACTTTGTAAATGGGCATGCCTCTTATTGGGCACGATTGGTCCCTGGATCTCTCCGCAAAACCGGATCTCGAACTCGGCATCTGGTGGGGCGGATTGCGATTGGAGTCTGCGGGTTTGGAGATGGTGGCCGAATAGCCGAGCTACCAGACTGGGTAATATCCATCTGTGTAATTATGAGAGCCTATTTTTACTAGAGCCCGGACCCAGGAGTGATTTGATGGGTTTGAATACGTGGCGGCATGGAATGGCATACTACTAGATCCAACAATCACATACGTACCCAGCCATCAAAATCAATGCACATATTCATACTCCTCGGTGTTACCACGTACAAATTTATGTGCTGAAGACCTGCCCTTCTTCCTCTCATGGTCCTGCTGCTTCTTTCCTTTCCGCCTCCCAGTCCCAGGACTCTGTGAAGATGGAGAATTAGCTTCATCGGAGTCAAGGGCCTCCTCCGCGTCAGCATCGTCGTGGCCAAAGCCAGCCAGATCCCGATGCCGGACTTCAATGTCCCAGCCACTAGAGGCTATCCGCCTCGAGAGCTCCTCTGCAAATGTCACACTCCGATGCTTGCCTTCTTCACACATGATCCCGACGAACAGGACGTGAGATCCATCAAGGCTTGCCATTTCTGACATCTTCGCCTCAACTCTCGCGCACATGCTCTCTAGTCGTGCAGCCGCAGCCTTGTTAGCCATGACTTCCTTGCGCAGCCGTGATGAGAGGCCGGTGTGCGTTCTCCTCAGTCTGGCCGGTGGGTTCGCTATGTCGCGCACAGAGAAGGTGAGTTGGTCGACGGCGCCACTTGGACCCGTGAGAGGACCGTTCGAACGGCCGTATGAGATGAGCTGAAGCTTTCCTTTCGACGGAGGTGACGCTTGGCCAGACACGTGTCTATTCTCGAGACTTTGCTCCGTACCCTGACTCATTGTGATGAAGGCTCATTGACGATGGTCTGATGTAACTGGATCAGATTGTCCATGTGCACTGTAGGCTGGAGCACAGGAACAAAAGGTTCCGGTCAGCGTATGAACAGGTGAACCATTCTGTTCCGCCGTCTCCGTCAGACCTGAGGGCTTTCCCTTCGAATGATTGATTTGTGGTAGAGGATCAAAATGCGTTTTAGTACGAATGCTTCAACATATTATATACAGTAATGCTCAAGCGCTCATCTGCATTGATTATATGTGCCAAACTTGGCCATCAAGTGGCTGTGAGGTCGTACGCATGATACAGAACGCATTGACATCTCCGAATCTACCCTTTTCAGGTAAGCAAAGCGCAGAGAACTTATCATACAATCTCTTATCATTTTAGGTGGCCTAGCCGATGGAACAAAGCTCGATATCAATTTAAGATCACCCAAAGCATCGATCATGGCGCTTGGACGCCAGGCTGCTCTAGTAGAGCTGTGTGAGCAGCTTGCATGGCTTGGAGCTGCTCTCCGAACCTCTCCGGTACCGGTTGGAATATGTCTTGCTACCCCATGTATCACAACTATTGAAGAGGTCAATTCCAATAGCGAAGTGCCATCTCTCGCAGTTCAACTAGGGTTCAACATTAGTCCACTTCCGGAACGTGGTCTATCTGCTGGCGTAGTCGGAACTTGTTGGCATGCTATGTTCCGCAATCCAATGGTTGTTAACGGCTTCCCGATACTTGCAAGGCATGAGAACGAGCAAGGTCTAGAAATATCACTTGGCATAATGAGCATCCTGGCCGAAGCACACTTTGCCACCCACTATAATACAACGCTGGTTCTAAAGGGACTCTGCACTATGCTTGTACCTACACGTCGGACCGACCGTTCTATCACTTGGCATTTTCTACTCAATGAGAATGGAATGCGCATCCCTTACTTTTCGTTTCGAGAGCGTTGTCCGGGTTAGATTGACACCGACAAGGTAAGTACTAACGTTCTAGAGGATGGAGACATCCGCCACTTTGTGGGATGGGTTTCGGACATCACCAGACATTTGGGTATGTTCTTTTTTCATCTAAACTGCTAGTCTGAAAGTTAATAATCGAAATTGGAACAGAGGAAGTGAAATATGACGAGATCAATTGGGCCGGAGCTAAAAAGTGCTCACCAGGACTGGCGATAGAACAGAAGCTAACAATCTCTATCAGTAAGATAGTTGGGGGAAGTGTGAACGCAGTCCGAGGCAGTAGGGAAACGCCGGAGTTCTCCAAACATTCTGGATATTCAGTACAGATTAAGAAAGCCCGCAACATTTACGTTGTGCTTTACGATGTTGGAGCCCAGCGAGGGTGGTTAGTCGATGGAGCAAAGCGCTTTGCTACATCTCGTGCGAACACAGGTCGTTCGAGAACCTTTACGGGCGCACAGGGTCACTTTTCAACGACCCGCGTTTCAATCGCTCGAGATTTGATCACCCCACAATCGATGGTGGCGCCAACGTAGCTGCAGATATCTTGGTGGAAGAGAGTAACATGAAGCACATCATCCTCAGGGAGTTCAGCGCATGGGCCGATGAAACAATTCCAGTACGTCGACACGAGGAAATGTCGACAATCGGCGAGGTGTCTGACAACGATTCGGACAAGACATCGAAGAAGGCGCGCAATCCAAGTGAAGACAGGAAAGAAATCTACTAGACAACATGCTTAAGAGAGTTGGTTTCACAGACGTGGAGTACTCTAGAGCAAATCTACGACCACCAAATCGATGTTGCGACGACCCACGCAACAACACAGCTGACAAATCCATTCCGGACAAAATTGGAAGGCTACGAGTTCATGGATATCGTATCAGCTAGACCCGTCTTGACAAGAAGGACTGTCGAGCTTCAGTCAAACGGAGAGGCCTGGACAGTCTTGACGAAGCAGATACACGCAATAGCGCTTTTCGGGCAACAATTTGGGCAGATATACAAGCCCGTCGAGACCACTAGGGAATATATCTGCGAAGACTGGAAGACCGTTCCGCGAGGCCATGAGTACCTTGCAGTCCCTATATCACTGCTGAAGGAGGTTAAGCGCCACAGCTGGGAAGAAGGCGAAGTTGACGCGGAGTCTCCCGAAATAGCGAAGGGTCTCCTGCGTCACTCGTCGAGAGACGTGGTTCAGAACCTGTGGGCCGAACTGCAAGCATAACTTTGGCCGTGTACAGCAGCTTCGTTCTTTTAAACCAACGGAAGTGCTGAGCAGGATTTCCTCAGGCGGAATGCGGACTAAGGATGTTGACACCTTCACCGAAATCAACGGTGCCCTATTATTCGGTAAGAATAGCAATCTGGACAGGACAAGGCTAGAGCATTCATTGCTACCAGCCGTACACAAGGAGACCAGCTTCCACGACAGCGGAATCGGTTCAAGCCTGCAAGCTTCTTCACTCGCTAGCTCATCATTTGCAAGCCCCATTGACATGAGTGTGATTTCACAGCCTTTGGGACCACCGGCGGACAGCACGGGAGTGCCACCATTCCCGTTCGATCAGCAAGGTGCCAAAAGTGCAAGTAGAGACGGTACTGAAGCCAGAGATACTGCGTCCTCGGCAGAACTCGCTTCATCAGCGAGTCGTGCAGGCGTCGAACCAGGATCTGTCGCGCCATACCAGATGACAACAATATGCTCAGGGGTAGCGGGCCGCTACATGAAGCTATGGTCTCTGCAGACATCCCGGACTTAGGCAACGGCCGGAGACGGACAAGAGACTTCATTACAGGTCTGAAAAACATATCTAAGATGAAGCCTTTTAGTGTGATGGGAGACAAGAACGAGCTGTGGTCGATCCGACAACGCCAGACTGACAAGTCGGAAACGAGGCCAAAAGTGCAGAATAAAGGCGCCCGTTGTCTTCGGAAAGTTAGAGAGATCCCTTTCCGTTCTGAAAGTAGGCTGTTTCTGGTCCCAGTTGATCGTTATGTGGTGCATATATCTAAGTTTGATTCTCGACGGCTCGGAGAAGGTCGCCCGAGGGGGTGGCCCAGGGGAGCGACCTTGAGTTTCTACACTTTATTTGCCCTACATTTAGAAACTGGCAAGAGCAATTCTGAGTTTTGAATGTTTCGGGCTTCGACTCTGCTGCTTCGGTACGGAGGTGAAGATTTCGAAACCGCACTGTAATGGTCTCAAATGTGTTCATCTGGGACAAATCTGGAGCATCTTCCCCAGGTAGGTAACTGGAAGGCATACCCGTCTGACGTAATCTGGACTATGTCTGTCACGTGATTCGCTGCTGACAGATTCTTACCAAAGCGACTTGGTGGATAACTGACCCCACCAACCCACCACAGCCTCTCACACTGACTGTTTACGAATCAGACGTCTTTTCTCCTTTGAAATTCCTGGCCACCATCGTGGCGTCATTGGATACAGCCAAGTGCGGCAGATGTTCCGTGGGGGATTTCCGACCTTGGCCAAAGCAGCATCTTCACCTTGAGCTGCCCGCTGGCTGCTTTGATAAGGTGGTGCTTGTCCTGACAAAGGTTAAGAAACGGTGTTTTCTCTCTTGCGACCGGGATCTTCTAGTTTGTTCGATTCACAATCGAGTTGATAGGTATAAGTTGTATCAATTTCTACAGATGAAGCATCCCGTTTCCATTTTCCTTTGCATCATCACAGCGCTACTCATCGCATACTACAACCGTGAAAACACCAGCAATCTGGCTTTGAAGAACACCATCTTCCAGAAAGTCAGGCCAATCTCAAACACTATAGCTCAGCAACAAACCAGAAGAAGCCTCTCAGCCATGACAACCGCATCCTCAAACATGACCACTCCACGAGCCATCAAATTCTCTTTCCTCGCCCGCGAGCAATCCGAGGGCGCGGGCGCAGTCGTACGCCGCTCAATCGGCACGCCTCGCCTTCGCCATCTAACACCTTTCCTGATGCTCGACCACTTCCGCATTCCACCGGGCGCCGGTTTTCCCGACCACCCGCACCGCGGACAAGAGACGATCACATACCTGCTGAAAGGCGGTGTTGACCATGAAGACTTTGCGGGCAACAAAGGCACAATCGGCCCGGGGGATCTTCAGTTCATGACGGCAGGCAAGGGAATCATGCACGCGGAAATGCCCGTGCAGACAGAAGACATCAACGTCGGAATGCAGCTATGGGTCGATCTGCCCGAGAACCTCAAGTCGTGCGAACCTCGATACCGAGACCTTCGCGCAGCGGAGATCCCCCGCGCAAATTCCGACGACGGCAAGGTCGAGGTGAAAGTCATCTCCGGTAAAGCTCTCGGAGTCGAATCACTCAAGGACCTCGCCTACACCCCCGTCTGGCTCCTCGACGTCACCGTCCAGCCCGGCGGCAAGCTGGCCCAGGAACTGCCACAGGGCTGGAACGCCTTCGCCTATACACTCGAGGGAGCCGTGACGTTCACCAACGGCGACAAGCCCCAAGGCGACACCATCACGCCATACCACAACGTAGTCTTCGAGCAGTCTGGCGATCTGGTGACCGCGCACGTCGAAGAAGGCGCCAACGAGCCCGCGCGTTTCATCATCTTCGCCGGCCAGCCACTGGAGCAGGATATCGTCCAGTATGGCCCTTTCGTCACCACCTCCAAGGAGGCCGTTTACCAGGCCATGATGGACTTCCAAACTTCCAGTAACGGCTTCGAACGGGGTGCCGACTGGCACAGTGAAATCGGGAAGACAATGGGCAGGGTCAGTTAGGTCCTGGCCAGGCTTTGAATGAAATAACATGGAATCCGTTGTACAATATCATGCATGACCCATTGGATGGCGTTGAAGGGCAGAATGTTAGACATCATGGGACATGGGTTCCTACGAGCGTGCACCGACTCAGGACGAGTCAAGCCTATTCTTATTTTAGCGTCTTTCATGACCTAGTACGGAGTAGTTGAGCGAATCAATGGATCATTTGAATTAGTTGACACTGTGACAATTTGCTTCTTTGTTGGGAGGGGTTTCCTTCTTCATGGATTCGATTCGTATTCTAATTTCGTCTTCGTAGCACGACGTTCCTAACGAGTAGTTCGCTCATGCCCAGCGAGCCTTGGCTGTACCGATCCACGAGCAGAAACGCCATTTGCGGAGTAAAGAACAAAGGTTGCTGCTACACGATTCTGGTGACAGCGCCGCAGCCGTCGGGGGCAATCTTTTCGAAAAGGTGAAGCCGAGTCTACTCATCATCACCATCTTGGTCACCACCAGTAGCCACGGTGCCGGCCATGCCGTCGTCATCATCGTCGTCAAAGGTGCTCAAGGGCACTTCATACAACCTGATCACCGGCTTGTTGGGATCCTTGACGAGGACATACTTCTTGTCGCCCTCCTGACCCGCGCTCATGCCGCGGACCAGGTCAACGATCGTCCGCACGATACCCCACCCGTTGCTGAATCCCAAGTTCATCTGGCTGGCGAACTCCCGGGGTTTGTACCCAACAACGCCCAGGATAACGTGGTTGGCGGCAGACCGGGGGTTCGCGCGCGACACGAAGCCCAGCTTCATCTGGTCGGCCTTGGCCAGGATGGCCTGCGTGGTCCACCGGGCGAGCTTGCATGAGTTATTCTTCATTTCGGTGGCTACGACTGCTCCCCGTTGAGAGATCAGCTTGGTGCGCCAGTCCAGTGCGCCGCCGGCACCCTGTGCCTTGTGGTCGAACTCGTTCAGTGCCTTGATCACGAGGTATTGGTCTTCGCCGGAGATGTTGTTCTTGACCGCTGCGTCGATTTCAGTGCGCACGATCAGGTGGAGTGGCTCATCGTCGCGCTCGAGAGAGAGGTCAAACCGTCGGTACTTGTACGCCTTGGAGGCTAGAGGTTCGGTCTCTTCGGAGGCGCTGTAGAATGGGTTCGGGTGTGGGAATTCGACCTTTGACGACGAGTTTTCTATCACCGTTTGGAGGGCGAAGTTGTGGTTGATCATGGTTGCTTCGTTGGCGAGGTTAGATGGTGTGTTGATGCTGTCGGGTTTGACCCCGGTTTGTTGCTGGGAGGGAGTTGCTGCAGAGTCCGCTTCGAGAGGAGCGTCGGCAGCGTTTTCGTTCACAGTGACGAGGTCGATGCTGCTGTCGGGCCGCTTGTCGAGGAAAATTTTGTTCCCATGTTTGAGAATTACAATATCCCAACTGTAGACACTGCGTGTGGCGCACATGAGCATGGAGAGAATGTCAGATGTGGCAAAGATGGATGCTTCGTCTTTCTCAGCAAGTTCTTGGATGACTGGGTCAGCGGATGTTGTGACGTTGTAAGCTGCTCGATCAAGAGAGAGTAATTTCCGTTCAGTGTTCTTGACTGGAGCCTTGTCGAAAGCGCGGTCATAGTAGTACAAGAAACCGTAGCTGTCAACATCTTCACCAGCGGAGGTCTCGAGGTTGAGTTTTGTGAGCCGGTTGAAGTCGATTTCCTCTTTCATGATCCAATCTGAGCGGATGTTGACTGAAGCATCACGATTTCGTTGTGGCTTATCATAATCTCTCCAGCCAAAGCGACGACCCCGTCCACCGCGGCCACCTCGATTATCGTAATTTTGATACTGCTGCTGACCCCCAGCTCTGCCTTGTCCTGCCCGTTGGAATGCCCCTCTGCCTCCTCGTTGAGTAGTGCCTCGTTGGCCCCGTCCACGGAAAACAGTGCCACCACCCCGTCCAAATCCTCGAGTTTTTGTAGTGGCTCGGGTGTTGTCAACGACCGAAAAGGACGATTCGTCTTCTGCAACCTGAACGGCAAAGAGCGAGGAAGTGCCGGCACCATAAATTTGTTGGTCTAGGTTACTCTTGTAAGCCTGCTGCTTAGTAGGTAAGGTCAAAGGGATTTACCTCTAAAGTTTCTACCGTATTGCCTGCCGCCTCTATCACGGCCTTCTTTGCCCTCTTGGGTCCAATCGGCCATGCGGCCTAGCTTGTCGCTTTTAGAATATGGTGCATACGGAACTCCATCGAGAGTAGTAACAGAAGAGACTTCGGGTCCCCATTCTTCGTTAACACTCAGTTGGCTGATGGTATCTGCAAGGCTAATTCCAGGCATGATGAATACCGGGATTGACGAATTCCTTGATCGGCTGGGTGTGCTATTCGCTGCAGCAATATGACTGCTCGTTGTCAAGGCAGTCTGCTGTCGCAGTTGATATGGGATAGTCCAGTGGGTGGTGTGGCGGGCAGCGCAGTGGGATGAATTATTTCCTCGAAATCTTGGCGAGCCTTCATCGTTAGTGTCAAGCCTAACCAGAATAAGCTAGCCTACTGTCGCTTCCGATGCCTCGACGGCAAGTGGCCCGAGAAAACTATCCACACGCTTTTCCACAAGCCCGGTGTGCACTCACTCGTACTTAACCTCTACTGTAAATCTTGACCGGGAGATAAGCGATATCGATAACCTTTGATAATTCTGAACCTAGTTGCAAGTAGAACAGTGAGAAAGCCTCCTGATCTATCCGTGGACATACGTGGAAATTTGTTTGATTCGCTTAATCCTTCTGAGCAGCCTTGCACCAGAGAGGGTGCCCGAGAATGAATCCAAGACATGACTGATATTAGATTAGGGGCTATCATGAGGCTGAACTGAGTTCGGAACATATGTCATCTCGCACACATAGCTTTTGGGGGGGTCATCATCATCATCAGTAAACAAAGAGTGGCAAGAATCGCATGACTTCCACGGAGCTCATCGCTTTAAATCATGAACACTCTCTTTTGGTCTGATACTCGAATCATTGTTGACAGTTCCACACATCCTCACGAATACATCTCATCGATTTCGGCTGTAAGATCGCTGCCAAACTGATCATAAGTTTCGGGTTTCGTCGCAAATATGCTGGAGAGCGCATCGCGAAGCTCGAAGTCTTCCATGACCGCGCCGAAACCGTAGCAGCGGACCTTACTCTTGATAGAGTCGATCATCCCTATGACATCGTCTCTGGTTAGAGTTGCGTAATTTCGATGGCCCTTGAGGGATTGAAGGGCCATGATGGGGGTGACCTGTCCACTTGGGATGGCGCTTCCCCTTAGTGATTGACTCAAGTTCAATAAGTTGTTCAGGATCTGCACCGATTCTGTATCGGGGACCTTATGATCGTAGGTAGGTATCAGACCTCCCTCCTGTGCTGGGACTCGCGCGATGTGGCTGGGAGGTGGACAAGAAGCCATCAAAGCATGCCCTGAGAACAGAGCCTCTTCTGGGTCGTCAGGCGAATCAACTGATCTCCGCACGAGGTATTCTTCATGGTCTCGACAGGTTTGCTCTAGCCTTCAGCTACGTTAGAACGAAAAAGTTGGATGCTTGAGATGAAGGGTAGACATACCGGAGGATAAAATCGATTCCAAGCTGAGGCTCCTTTTCGAAGATGCCAGGTAAATCTGGTACAACGCCAGGTTCCTGTTTGATTCCATATTCTTGGATGTCAGGCCCTTGCGGAGAGTGGCTGTAATGAGTAGCACCAGGAGAATGTCCAGAAAGACTCGCCGCTCCGCCGTTGAGATAAGTTTGTGGTGAGTATCCTGTTGTAGCCGAACTCGCCCCAGGGGCCACGGACTGGTATCCCAGTGAGCGTGCTCCCGCCGACGGTGGGCTTAGTGTGCTCATGGATGGCGGAGTCATGGAGGATTCTTCTCGCTTTGGACGCATCCCAATGACCGCCTTGCGGTTCTCAAGCTCATTCTCAAATTGAATGCCTCTGGACGCTAGAATCTCCCTCAGCGCTAAGATTTCTCGCTGCTGGCTTTCCAATACGAGCTTTTGTTGCTGGATAGTTGCATCACGGCCGTTCTGTTCGAGAACATATGATTCTCGCAGCCGTGCCAATTCCACCTCAAGAGCCTTGATGTAGTTCTCTTTACGCTCACGATGCGTTCTGTGCAAGAATTAAAGATCCATAAACATATGCCATAAGATGCGAGATTCCATACCTTTGCGCTTGACGGTTTAGCTCTTGTCTACGTGTCTGAGCTGGTTTACTATCGGGCTTGGGGCCCCTCCTTTTGGCGGGCTGCCCGTCTGATGATTCTTTAGCCACTGATCGTTGAGACCATCGGATTGGCCCTCACCTCTGGTAATTTTCTTTTGAACTCCCGTAAATCCTTTCAGGTAGCCCATGCTCATCAGAGGAGGATTTGCTAAGTCACCAGTCGCTCCATTATCTGCGTACGAATTAGCCTTCAAAGACATTAAAGTGCACATTGCATCGAGGCTAAAATAAGCGGATGCTTACGGTAAGTTGTGCCATAGTCTTGCCCTGACCACGTTGCTGAATCCATTTCTGGCGATGCTGGCTGCATATTGGGGTGCATATGATGGGAATGCGCCGACATGATAACAAATATGTCGAACCCGGCTTGGCACGAATGATCCTTCTTGTTTGACTCGAAATTGGTTGTAAAGAGTGCTCTGGTATGGACGATCGAAAGCTGCTGAATTCGGATAGCGCTGTTGACCAGTCGAGCTCGGCAGACGAGCAGCCGGTCGGGATCGAGCAGTTCTAGGAATGGACGATGCCTTTTTGTGGAGGTACGCGCAACTGCCCAGACCGAGTGGGGGGTGCAGAAAGGCTTATGGAGAGATCAGGATGGAAATCGCATCAGCTAGCACGCTCACATGAGACTAAACATGAGACAACGTGGAGATGGTGAGGTCGAGTTAGGCACAGTGGGATCTCTTTGTCTTTTGTGATGGGGACGTGCACGACACAGAATTTGAGAGCGGGACAAGATTGCTGATCGTGGTAGGGCGGCAGTTTGTGCAACAGGAATGTCGCAGATATGTCGGGCAGAGCCGCGAGGAATGCCGATGATGAGACGCGACCTAGGCGTTGAGACCCGACCTGTTCGAAAGGAATAGATGATCTTACACAGAGGTTGGAAGAGAGCGAGAAAGAGACGAAAGCCGGCCTTGGAGTTGAGTGCGACAGCAGTAGGTGCGCGATTGGGGTTTGGTGAGTAAGATGGCCGCCAATACAAGATGAATAAATGACAACGATAACTGCAGGGAGGCGTAGAAGATGGGGTAGAGGTGGTGGTGGTGGTGGTGGTAGTACTCGTAGTAATAGTGGTGGTGGAGGGCTAACTTGACGGTGTGAAGTTGAATACTGGAGATGAGCGCCTGGACCTCGCTCCCAATCCGTGAGTAGCACCACAGAGCCCTGGAGTCCTAGGTCCTGAGTTTTGGTGGGTGTTGGGAGGGGAGTAGGTGTTATTGACAGCAAATTCGGGGCCGCCTAAGTAGATAACCTAAGTTGACCGCTGGGCGGATGGTGTTGTAACATTATTCAACCCTGGTATTGGATGGTGCCAGATGATGCGGGTTGACGATGCTCAGGTGGGCTGATACCGTCAATGACAGAGGTGGCGGAGATGTCCAGGGTAACACAAGAGGGAGAAACAGAAGAGATGGCGACCTGTACGACTGTGGTCGAAGACGAGCGTGATTCCTGGATCCCTCCCGGTACGAAGGCTATACTATCGTTATGGAACAACAGCAGTGGCCTAACAGAGCGAAAAGACGTCAAGACTCCGGAGAGGGGTATTGGATGCTATGATATGGTATACTACGTCTGCTGTCCTGTTGTTGTTGGAGGCGTTGACAAGCGGCGTGGGAAACAACGACGAAAGTAAGTACGTAGCAGGGCCGAGGAACAGGCAGCAAAGCAGCAAACCCAGGTGCGCCAGTGAAGTCACTGCATTATTCGCAGATGCAGGTGCAAGTGTCCCTTGTACAACTGTGCGGTACGGGGTGCAGTCCAGGCGGGCCCCAGGCGAGCCCCAGGCGCAAAAGTGGGTGTGGGTACAGTCTGTATCGTCGTAGGTGTCACTGCGTCGTGCGCTTTTCGGGGAATATTTCTTGACCTGTGTGAAACACCAGGAAATTGTGTGCAAGAAAGACATCCGGCAATCCGAGGCACCGAGAGCGACCAGGCCTTGCAGAAAGTCCAGAAACGCCCACCTCGCACTTACAGTCGCAATTGCTGGTGCTCCGCCACCCGGAGAACTTTTGATCCAGGAAGACGGAGCCTTGTTGTTTTGCCTGCATAAAGGTCATCCCCTCGATAGAAGGTGTGATGCACCTGGTCAGATCTCGCTGTTCGCCGGAATTTGGGCTCTGGTCCCCGAAACGCTGAGGTCACTGCCACCCAACAGCCCGCCCTGCGTGCAGTTATGTCAGCCCTAAATTCCCATCGGGTCTAGGCGCTGCACCTCCCTAACTGACCACGGACGCTCTTCGGAGTACTGACTCGTAGCTCAAAAGCTTGAGCCTCTGCGAGTGGGCAGGCATGACTTACCTGAGGTTGATACAGGGTTACCTAAATTACCTCCCTAGGTACCTAGGCACTCGTACTCGGCACTAAGGTAAGCCACCCACAGTATTCCGTAACTTGGCAGCCAACTACGAGTACTCGTACCTGAGTTGGCAGACTTGCCCAGCCGCAGGCCAGGGAACTAAACCACGCCCTCCCTCCTCACATACCGAGGACTGTTCCTCACCCACGGGCGAACAGTCAGGAACTTGTGCTTACAAGCACCACTGTGAGCTTGCTGCAGTCTTCGCAGTCATCACTCACCAAGACTTGTCCACGAACACTCATTCTGTTTCGATGGCAAAGCATTAATCAAATCCCAGTACTCATTAGCGCAATTGAGGGAGTGGGAGCCACCCTCTACGCTAGATTATCCTCACCAGGATTGGAGTGGCGTGGATTCACTGGTTTCCTAGCCCGAAGCATGAGTTATAACTGATATAACTTATGCAACGAGTCCGCTCTTGGTGGTGAATTCAAATCCGCATTGGTGCCTGGAAGAGAGCACTTTGCCACAAATCCGGAGCTCGTCCTCGTTCAGAACTGCTCTCGTGATCAGCCAACGTGGACCTTCTAAGAACTTCGAAAGGAAGATGCTCAGCACTTGCAATCGTCACACATAAGTTGGTCGCCATCCCATCCGGTTTCAAGGTTCCTCCGTTGTCCTCCGTTGTGCCTACCGTTGCGTACCACATCTCTTCCCGCCTGCTTGAGCTGTTTGGGCTACATCTTCCACCCATCATAACTCCCTAGGTAGTTTCGAACCGAGTAGACCAGGCCGCTTTTGGTTCCATTTACTCCCGAGATGGTGCATCCAGCCCAGTCGGTTCTGGTTCATGAAGTTGGCAGTTCCGACAGCATGTTGCGAAATTGTTATGACTTTTCCCCTGGCTATTTGTGGCAGATCGCGCTCTCTGGTCCGAGTGCGTCGACAAGATCAATTGCTAATGGCATTCCAGCCACCAATGATGGTCCCGGACATGGAGCCGTCGAGGTTCGACAGACTGTACCCCATGTCTCGCAGAATCCTCCAATAGGTAGTTGTGGAATCGCCTCTTGTTTGGGGCCGCCTACCAAAAGTCCTATTAACCTGTTTCCACACCCTGAAGGAATTCTCAGGCTGGTCCAGGCTCGTGTTAGCAGCTCAATTATGGGTAAATCTAGTTGCTTGCAGCATTTAGACATCTGGAAGAATAATAAGATGGTTGAGAGAGTATTTTTGAAGAAGGGAGTGGAACGGGCTGTTATTATGATGACAGAAGCTCGAATTCCAGTCCACGCAAACAAGATCCCCGTTCCTTCTCGCATACAAGTCTGCATAACTAAATCCCCCATTCACCCAATGCAGTCTGTTTGCAGGAAACGATTGGTCAGAGCCCGATGGCTTTCTAAGGTTGACATGTTCGCTCAGTGCTAGGAGGATGATATTTGGAATTGCGAAGATTATGGCTTGGCCTGGCCCGATAAGGCTTCCCCCCTGTGGAACTGTTGCGAGACGTCTATCTGCCGAATGCCAACCACTGTGTACGCGAGTGCATACCTGCTCCGAAGTACTTCAGGCATCCTAGCCCTACACCTACCTTCTCGTACGTGTGGTTGCCTGATGGATATTACTGAGTATACAGATATACTAGGATACCTAAGCTGCACTAGAGTGACCCCCGATACAGCTTTTGCGGGCATGTCCACCATTGGTCAAGCTTCATTTGCACCGACAGAATATTCGTACGGAGTACTTACATCCAACCTAGAACTCCAGGTAGAAGAGACAACTTACAATCACCAAGCAAGGCCATAAGCAAACAGAAGCTGTTTAAAGCCGCGCACTCCACGTTCGAATTGCAAACACTGAGGAACATGTGGTACTATCTGGTATAGTACTACTAGGGTGTCTCGTTGCTCTACCAACCTCCCTGCTCACAGTGGTTGTCGTTGACGACTGCCCTGAGCTGCCAATCAGTGCGCGTCTTTGTACTGACTGATGACTGCCTTTCGGGAAGGTCCAGGCAGCAGAAAGGGGAAATCTCTGAGACCGCTTACCCAGGGAGAAACATCTCCTAGTCCTCCATGAACTTCAGCATGTCGACAGAGCTTATGCTCGGTTCATCATCAACAGCCCGCAGATGAGCATGGATAACTTTGCTTGTGATCTCCTTGTGCACATAACAGCATCCAGCAGGCTTGAAGACGACAATCGATATGCCACAATCGCCCAGTCAGTCCTTGATTTCCAGCCTTTGACCACGACCAGACTGATAGGTCGTGCTTCTCAGTCTCGATCGTCCAATGATACAGACGTACTGGACAGCATCGACACACAAGATACATGGCCTAACCCTGATGATGCTTCCTCAACATGGATCCAAGCCCACGATGACGCTCTCAAAGATGACCTACGAGATCGCGAAGGCGGTGCTGAACAGCAGACCTTTCTGACTGCTAGTGGGCCGTCTCTGTTCGAAGAAGCAGGTGGTCGCTCCTTCTCTGCCGTAAATCGCTCATCAGGGCAGCCAGATCTGCCACGTCCTCGGACAGCACCCGAAAACTCGTCACTCTCTTTGGAGTCTGATATACCTTTCAATGGCACAAGCCGTAGGCGCGCTTATTCTGAAGTTTCGTCCTTCAGTGATTCCTTCTTGACGGTGCCAAACTCGCATGCTACCTCGAGTCACCCTGACCTTCATGTTCCATCAGATGAGATGTCTCTTAATGCAGACCAATTTCGAGTTAGGGAGAGAATGCTTTCTCCACGAGGCGAACCACAACTAAAGAAACGGCGTCTGGATAATGATATAATCGCTGATGACAGTAGAATATCTCTTGAGCTGGCGCACCACATGGAGCCACCATTTGGTTTTATTCCAACGACGCCCGACCAGCCAAGCGCCGGTAAGAAGAATCCATCGCAGCCAAAGACAGAATCGAAATCAGCATCATCCACGTTATCTCCATCTCAGCCATTGAAGCTCGGAGGGGTCGGTTCCTTGACCCTGTCTCCGCATATTCCCTCCGTCGACTTGACTACGCCACCTCGCGAACAACAGATGTACCAACATGAGAAGATATTGGAACCGAACCTCGCGCAGCAGAAGCCTCCTGTTGACAATCGATTGCATGGCGACAACGCACGTCACACAGACATACCGCCATTTATGAGCAGAACACAAGAGTTAGCAGATGAGATCAATGGTCCGGACCCTGCTGGTGGCCAGCAACGTTTCACTACGCACATCACGAAGACATATGAGCTTCTCTCAGAACGAATATCGATGGCCAAGGTATTTCGACCCACTCATGTCGCGAGAGACGTGCTTGCACTAGAGCGAGGACATTGGTTATTCTCGATTAGAATAGGGGCAGATGATGACGTTGCCGAGTCGAGGAAAGCATTAAGCCAGGAAGAAAGACGTGCAAAACTACGCCGTGACCTTGAAGGAACTACATGCCTGGAGAGAGTTAGGAAATTTGATGGCAAACGAGCAGTCCATGAGGAGGAGTCCAGCGCGACGACGCCGAATAGCCCGCTCTGGACTGAGGCGGATTTTACCACCTTCTGGGGGAACATGAGTCAGTTTATCCGGGATGGCAAGGCAGGTTGGGGGAGTCGGCTTGTTAAAGAGGCGAACCAGGATAACACGTGGGACGTCAGGTTCTTTTGCTGGGGAGAGGTATTGGGTCATGCATGGTTAGCACTATGGATCCTGTCGGACAAGTTGGTGGGACGGATGCCTATGACTTGGGTGTCTGCGGATGGCCTCGCGGTTGTGAGGATGTCGGGAAAGAAGCATCGAAACGCTGAACTGGGTTCTTGGATCAGGAAGGCAGAAGGGCAATCTGGTTACTGGGGGGTTGGTGAAAAGTGAGTGTATTGGTGGATCTGGGGAGAAGGAGCAGAGCTCTTCGTTCTCTTGAGAGAACTCGAGAGGGACACGAGCAATGCTACCTAGGTCTCTGGATATCCTTCTCGGAGTCGATTGAGGAGGTGTCAGTTGAAAAGGTCCTCGTAATTGCCGAGTACGTTCCTTACCTAATCTATGCACGACTCTAACTCAGAGGCTGAGCAGTACCACTAAGATATCACTAGCCCTACACTAGTGTCTATTCAAAGCTTGGCGGACTCCGGCTGCACTTGCCCCTCCAGCCCCATTGATTGGCGATGGCGTTGGGGCTCCTGCTCTTCGGCGTCTGGAAAAACACTTTCAAGTCAGTTGAGCAGCATGTGGCATGTGAAAGAAGTACTATCCACGATCTTTCCTGTCTATACCATACATCACTTCTCCGCCATCTTCAGCTTCCACCTAGGACTCTAGGCTGAGCATTCTACTTCTCACTATCGCTGGCTTCTGCCTGTCGTTTCCGTACATTTCCCAGTCCTTCCGGCTTCTTAACCCTCACAGCTCCGCCAATTCCCACATCCCAACACTTCTCCTCGCACACGGTTGACACGCAACCACTCGACGAACCGTTCTCGCCTGTTACATTTACAGCTTTCTAGCATCCATCATTGCCTGTTGTCCATAACCCGCCGTTCTCTTCACGACCGCTGGACCCTGCACTCTCCCACTCCCGACTTCTCTTCATTTCGCTCCTCCCCACCACCCCATTCTAGCTACGCCGCTATCCGTCTCTGTAAACTCCCGTGCAGCTTGACATTGCATACAAGTGGTCGGGACTATTCCTGAGTAGCCTGGGTGCGGTGGAGGTGGAGCTTCGTGGATGTTGGCGACCCAAAGAATGTCGTCCCATGGCGGACAGCAAAGTTTCCCTTTTGGCTGTATGCCTCTCTTCTCTTCCACCCTGCCCAGCGGTACATTTGCTTACCTCGTTGTCACAGACCAACCAGAGAACATTCATGGGCTCGGCTTACCTGAGTTTATGACCCCAGGACCCCCGCCTGGCCAACCTCTCCTCAATGCCGACGAGAACCAAAACCTCGACAATTTCTTCCACGATTTTGATAGCAATGCGATTACTGCAAATAAGCAAGATCACCATGTGCAATACGGTTTCTCCCAAGGGCATCCTCAATACTATAACATGCCACCTATGTTTGTCGGTTCCGACACTGGCCTGGCCCACCGTGCTGGGATAGAGCCTCACCAAGCAGGCGGGTTTCCATATGCCGATGCCATGATGGCTCAGGATATGGCCCTCATGGGACATCCAAGCAACCTGAATGGTGCAATTCATCCTGCCCAGTACAATGACGGTTCATTTAACGGTCCACTTCTGGCTCAACTTCAGACAGCTGCCGCTATGCAACCGACCTACGATCAAGGGTGGCAGCAGCCCTTCACCCAACCAGGTGTCATGAATGTACTCCACCAAGGCCGGACTGGCGTTCATTATGGCACTGATTTTCGCTTTCAACCGACCGGATATGCTGCCCCTAACGTCCCGACAGATCCAGATATGATACATCCTATGCACCCCATGGACATCCTGGAGCCTACAAGTGGTTCCAGCACTCAGCCTAACACACAACCAAATACGCAACCTTCAAGTCCAGTATGGACTAAAAAGAGAACATTCGAGGATTTCCAGCAAGAAGAAGCACCAAGAAATGGTTTTGCGCCCCTGCTCAAGACCCAGCTGACCGGCCCCACTCAGCCATCCGTTTCCATTCCCAGTTCGCGGAAGCAACGCAAGTCGGTGGTCAAGACCGAACCTCATCGGCCATCCCAGCCTCCGACTCCTTTGTCTAATAGTAAGCCACGCACACTGGTAGACTCAGAGACTCGCGCCGGTGTCCAATCTGTCGATCATGAGGACGATGCTGAGGCAGAGGAAGACGACGATGCCACAAACGAACAAGCCAAATCTCCATCACCTGCTCCCTGGCCTTCATCCAAGGCTCGCCCCCCCCGCGTCCACGTACCACCACCGCCCAAGAAACCTCCTCGCAAGAAAAAGGCAAGCATGAGCTCATCTACCCCGGTGAAATCAAAACTAAAAGCTCAACGGACGGCGAGTGCTGCACAGTCTTCTCAATCAACAAGAGTACCGTTGAGTCTAGAACAAAAGAAAGCGAACCATACAAATTCAGAACAACGTCGTCGAGATGCCACTGCTCGCTCGTATGCTGAGCTGTACGACCTTGTACCGGAACTTGAGGACCAGGGAAAGCAGAGCACGATGAAGAAACTCGAGCTCGTGGTTGCCAAAGTTCGGACTGTGATGCAGAGAGTTGAAGAGTTGCGGGCCAAACTAGGTATTGATCCTGCTACAGGCAGGCAACTAGGCCCTCCGGGCGCATCCAGTTTAGCACACAGCGGCCTTGAAGCCTGGCAACGCTGACCATCGTTGTCTGAATAAGCCACGGACAACTCAAGAGCACGCCGAACAGAACCTGAATCCTGTCACCAATGAGAGTCACGAGAAACGAACTCCTGACGATCCTGGTTCGCATGCGGTGGCACAAGTCACCTCACCAGATCAGGAATCGTAACTGATGATGCGAACAACTCCGCTTCTACTTGAATGCGATATGACTAACAGAGAAAGAATTTCCCATTTCACCACCTTATTTAATGAGATACCCAACGTTCGGTTCATCTGCTGGAGCAGATAGGTATTACCCGCGATAGCCACGATACGACGGCTCGAATATGGCTATGATGAAAGCAAAGCCTACGGCTCGATTTTATCTTCGAGATGCAATTCTCGTCTTGCTCATTTGGAAATCAAAAATGAGACCATCAAGATGTTGAGCAATAATCGACCATTATACACTGCTCCCTCGCTCTTTGACCCCTCAGTATAAGGGATAAATATATGTGTCAACAAGAGCTTTCGAGGAATGGGGGAGAACGATGCAACGGAATTTGATGACAATGAGGATTTTCTTGCGCAAATGCGGCGCGTGATATCAAGGCCCCTTCAAGAGACGAGACTCACCCTTTAAATAGACGAATCCATCAAAGGGAACGTCTGTCACGCAGGCATAGACTCTTGATCATGAACCCCAGGCCTTCATCTCAGCTAGACAGACTGAGACCGAGAACAACGCAAAGTCTATGAGCTTCCATGATTTCTTGACCACGAATTCCCTCCTTTCCCCTATTGCCTAGGTGTCTTCTCCTCCCAAGGGCCCCTACACCGTCTCTTTCCTTCCTGACATCCGCGCAAGACAGAGCTTTAGTCAGTGAGCTCCCTCTGTCCCCTTCGCCTTTCCTCTGAGTCTTGATATCGATTTGTCATTGCTGCAGGAAACTGGTCCTTATTTTTTGGCCTCTTCCGTGGTAAGTCCATCCGCGTTTCCTTTCTCTATTCTACTTTTCTCTCCCACGACCAACGGCATATGCGAGACAGTGGATAACATCAAGCACTCAAGAGGTACGAATGGCTTGATGACAGGTTTAGAAATCCCACCCAAGCATTCGGCATCGTTCTCTGATTCCCCTAGCTAATGCACCGCCGTCGCCATATCGAACAGTAACGTTTTCTTCCCCCCCCTGCTGGTCTGCAAACGCTTCAACCGAGGCACGCACAGCACCCGGTGTAGGAGGTCGTTGGAGATCGTCTTCCCGCAAGCCGAGGTTCGTGTCCAGTAGATCAGCGAGTTGAAGGGCAAGCCTTGCCCACATCTGCGGAGAGGTGACGGCACCATCATCTTGATTCTCGCCAGGACTGGTATTAGTATTGTCGTTTCCTGGACCAGGGTGGACACTGTGGGAGGCTTTCCCTGCGACGGCGGTTCCTGCAGCCTTAGCGTCGGGAGCGGCCCCAGATTCGGTGTTGGTGCCCGAAATGGCGCTGGGCCAGATCTGGGATCTTGTATCAGTTGTCAAGCATGTGGAAGACAATTCAGTCCTCGGTCCGTTGCTGACATTCTTCGTAAAACCGTTAGTCGTCTGATCGGCATCCTCGTTACAGTAGAGAATGTCAATTGAAAGATTGAACAACGTCGATGCCAGCCACTCGATCTCTTCCGTTGGGTACACTGACATAAGATCTCGCGGGCTCGTGCTTGCACAGGGATTGATCGACTTTGCTAGGGCCAATGCTTGTTCCGTGATTGCTTTTACTGTTTGAAAGGCCAACTTTTGGTCAAGGTTCATCATTATTTTGCTTGCCGCGGCTTTGGTGGTATTGCCATACTGGTCAAGGATAAGCTGTACAACACAGCGGATCCAGCGTGAGGCGTCAGAAACAGTATAAGTTGGCTCATCCCGAATATTGAAGATTATTTTACTGAGCAGCTCAGTTGCACACATGGTTGAAAGCTTTCCTACAGACTTCGAATCTCGTGTGGAACCTTGCCCTTCACTCGTGAAACCCTTAGCGTCGATAATAATCGAGGAGAGAATCATATCCACTATCAGCGAGTAGACCTTTTCGGTCGCTTTCATTCTCACAACCTCGTCAATAAGTTCAATCATAGACGAAAAGTCCAATGGCTGGCCTGAGGCCTGGGCCTGAGTTGTCGGGAACAGCATTGATTCAAAGACGAACGGGAGAAGACCAACGAGTTTCTCTGTTGAGTCTTTCAAGATCTCGACGTCTAATGAGTTTTCGGACAAGTCGTCGAAAAGTCGTCGTGCATGTGAGTACTTTGCGATCACATTCCGATATAGTGTGCTTTGTATTTCTCCTGCAACTGGCGGCGCCCTGCTAGAGTAGGACGATTTTGGAATGTCTTCAAGAGTCGTTGACGAAGAGGAAGCTCTTGCCTCGACCAGATACAATATCGCCTGAACGCATGATGAATCGATCTCGTGAAGAATCTTCTCAGCCCGAGAAGTTGGCGAGCTCTTCTCGGGGTATTGTATCTGTCAATGTTAACACTGAGCGCAATTGTGCGTCTCTGGACTTACTTGAGAGGAGTAATGCAGCAGATCAATGATGTACTTGGCGGGCCATGTGTTGAGATTTTCTAAAGCTGCCTTGAAGCCCGTCCCCTCAAACCATCTGCAGTCGTCCAATGATAAGGTGATTGGCAACCCTTTTTGGGCTGATGGTGCCTGGGAGAAGGCGACAGCTGATTTGAATATCGCACAAAGCCTTGACAAAAGCTCCTCCAGCTTGATTCCTTCTTCCACTATGGCCGAAAGCAAGAGACGAGCTGAGCATCTGAGAAGTGAAGGTCTATCGAATACTGGAGATTCCATGTCGTTATACTTGTCGAGGATTCGCTGTAACAACTGTGCTCCCTGCCGCTTGGTACCATATTTCATCGCCTCGGATACCGCGGCGAACAACAAGCGGTTTTGTTCATCGTGAGCAGAGGCAAGTGCCCCGAGAGCAGATTGCACTATAGGCATCAGCAGTGATCATCGGTACCATGGTCAAACGCATACCGGAGCTGTCATCCTGACGGCGAAGCGCAAGACTGTACCAGAGGAATCTACTCAGTGGCTGGTTTCTCCTGCTTGCTGGCATGTGTTGAAAAATACCCAGTGCTGCGTCATTATCAGATATATCGATAAAACATTGAATCAACTTCCTGGTTAGTGTTAGCCCGCCGGGGACTATCAAGTGGCGTTCTGATACCTTTCGAGCTTTCCAATGTTGTGGTCACCTGCATCAGAGAACATCTGGTGCAAGGCGATACGGCACCAATAGATAGTATCTTGGTGTTGGCCGTGCTCAATAGCGCCACCTATTCTTTTCCAAAGGAGCTGTGCTGTTAGCATACTTCTGTGCGGTTCAGGGATGTCGAGACCTACAACCAAGGCACCCTGTGTTGCCTCAGGACTTAGACGCCTGTCCCAGACTTCGTATACTTCGTTCAAGGAGGATTCAAGTTGCAACAGCGCAGCCGACACTAGATCAGCAGTTCCAGTAGTCACCAGCCATATAAGTGTGAGTATTCCTGTCTCGACCCATTGGGGCTCGTCATGAACTGCTAGACGTAACACCAGATATGCCTTCAAAGCCTGGGCGGCATGGCGGACGCTAACAGGCTTTAAGTGGTGGATGTGATGAAGAATCCTGTTCATGTCAGATGCAGTAGCTTCCGCACCATTATCGCCACATACAACTTGTGGTTTGTCGGGATGATATGTACAGAACGAATAACGTCTATGAGCACTGTCTACATTAGATTTCTCAGGAAGAAGCCCACTGGAGGTGTATTCTCACCTGTATAGTAAACCTCCTGATGGATGTGCAGGTCTCGGGAATATACCTCGAGCTGGAGTATTTTGACAGGGAGCTTGTCCCCGAACTCCTAGAACCGTCAATCTAAAATCACCTGTACATGTGAGCTGCGGTCTCACAATGCGGAGCGCTTCAAGCGTCTCCAATGCGTTGTCGCCTGCTTCGGGACCATCACTTGCAAGAAGTGCTCTAACTGTTCGAAACATTCAGCGGGCAGAAATATCTCAACTGTGGGGTTCTAGAATCATTAAACCCACCGTGCATGTGCATCAAATTGAGCCGCAACTCACTCGTATCCACATCCAGCTGCTCTTGATTAGCACAAACACACCGGCCTCTCTAAAGCCATTGCTGTGCACTACTGTATTGACCCTGATTCATCTGAGCATTACTTATTTCATAGCACAAGTCACCAAGCTCTTGACGATCGCGTGGACTGAATATCGACTGACGATCTTCAAGCTGACTATAAAAATGCTCGGCAAGTTCTAGACGGTCTTGTTTCCACCCCTGCGAAAGTTAGTGTGTTGCAGTCTCAGTTGCGTTGTGCCATACCAGAAAGATGCGCAAGAGGAGGTACTGTGTGCGAAATTCGTTCGAGATTAGGTGGTCTGGTTCAGAAGGTAACTGGATCTCCAGCTTCGAGGCCATATGCTCGACAATCCTGCCACCGATGTCAATCAGGCCCTGGGCTGCAACTTTGATCAGAATGTTGCGATCATCAATCAAGACGGAGCTCCCACCGAGACAGTCCTTTGCGGCTTGCATCCCGCTGCCGAACAATCTGCGATTGCCTATGAGTAGTTAGATGGCTGTGAGAAGTCTCGAGGTTGCTTGCCACACCTTTATGTTGCGGTGGCGTAGCAGTTTCGAGGACAAGATAGGCAAAAGCACGCACTGCACCAGTTTCAGAATTTCAGAAAAGGTGGAGCAAGATTACTTTGCTGGCTACCTTTGGCCATGTCTGTGGGATTGTGGCATTCTTCAAGACTTTGACGCAGCCTACAACAACAATTCCAAATGGCAACACCGATGCGGTCGCACTCTAAGCGCTGGGCAGGTAGGATATCTCGCCGAGAGAGAGGTAAGACCTCGAGATACATCGCGACATCGGGGAAAGGGTGGGACAACGAGTGAGGATGCTCATCCAGGTATTTATGGAGGTGGGTCGCGAAATCTAGGTCCGGTCAGTTGTGTCTAGTGGTTGTGAGCTCAGAACTACCAAGTAAAGACTGCGATTTCTTAGTAGGCTCGCTCGAAGGCATTGGAGTTGAAGGTCGCTAACTTGCAGAGATGACTTTTCGGTCGCTTTTGAAGATCCACCATGGAGCTGAGGTCAAGGTGAGGTGCGGCTAGCAAGGAGCACGGAGCCCGTAGGAGGGGGGGGGGGGGAGCACAAGTATGGAAGGAGTATTCAAGGCAGAAAATGGAAGGTGGGATCAACTGCAATACACAAGTTCATATTAAACCCTCCTAAAATATCTTGCTTGACCCATAAATGACAGGAATAAGGATCCTTTATGTCTTTGCTGGGTTGATGGGCAAGAAATTGCCCACTATCAGTGATGGTCTGGAATGATTAGCTACAGTTAGCCGAAATGACACAAACTCACATATTGTGATTGTCTCTGCGGATGGTAAAAGAGAAGCAACACGGGATCTCGGCTATATTAGAGCCTGCTACCGGGCAACGAAGGGTGCAGCTTGTGAGCATCGCTTTTTGCTGTTGGTCGAAGCAAATCGCACAGAATTTCTCCCAGTAGCTAACCAATTGATCTTCAACAATGATCTCATGAATGGCCAACTTGCCCTGCCGTGTGTGTCAGCCGAAAAGCAGTCCAGAGTTGTGGCCAGAGTTGGGCATACTCACATCACGGAGTGATTCAATCGGGGCATGAATTAATTCAGCCATCTCTTTATTCCCTCGAAAGATCTCACCGGTTCTCCTCCAGCAGCAAGCAGGAATGGCCATGCTAGCAAAAATTCTATCATATTCCATGAGGCTTCTTTCAAACCACATCTCAACCAAGACAAGTTCAATATCAGTCAAGCTCTGCATACGCTCCCGAAACTTGGGTCTGAATTGGTCCAGCTGCATCAAGATTTTATGTCGAGATGAATGCTTCATGTTCTTTTCCATGTACTTGTTGAGCCTCGCATAGCCATTAACATAATTGAACGGTCTAAGCATGCCGGCATCATATTTGGCTTTGAGGAGCTTGTTCATTCGCTCCTCAGGAGGCTCTGTGCCGATTGGATCCGCCGCCATCATGTAGTACTTTTCTCTTGCTTTGTCCGATATGGGTTTGACACTGGAAGGTCTTGAAATGAGCGCGCCTTGAGCAGCATTGCTCTGGTTTGTGACGAGATTGGCAGGCTGCTGCTGACCGGCCAAAGGCTCGGAACCTGGTGCAGGAAGCCCAGCCTCGGCCATTGAACTCATAAACGACGGATCGTAATGGCCACCGAACTCGTCAGTAGAATACATGCCTGTTTCCTCAAATAAGCTGGTGCTGAGGAAATCGTTGAGCAGGTTGAATTCGTCCGTGACTTCATTGGCATTAAACATAAAATTGGGGTGAAAGGCATGCATGTCGTGAAAACGATTTTGGACGCCCAGCCATGGATCGTTATACCCGAAATCTGCGAGTGTCAGTCCTCAGCAATCACGATCAACGGGCTAACCTTACGGGATTGACTGTTACCATTGATGCCTCCAGTCTGCGCAGGGGCGCTAGGATTAGAAGATGCTATGGGGGCGTCGGTCGCGTGTCTCATCCCGGCATTGTCATCTTGCATCAAGTTATGTCCATTGTCGTCCATTAAGGCTGGAGGTCCCAGATTTGGTGTCGCGGTGGCGTATTCATCCCTGTTTGGAGATGTGTCGTCCGCACCGGTGGCATCAGAATCGGCTTTGGATTTCTTGTGATATCCGTGGCCCTCTCTTGGCTCGTCATGGCACAAATGCCCAATGTTTCTCTTGATGCAGCGCTTGCAAGGGCGATCCTGACGCATGGCCCCATGGAGGGTCAAGTTAGCCAGATGCCCTTCAGTACGGAAATGCGTTCGTCATATGAGGAGGGGGGAAGTCGTACAGAATCGCAGGTCATATGCTGTGCATCCCCAATGCTGTCGGTTAGCCCATCATGTCCACACGTATGCACTTCAATCTCGGTGCTCTTATTTTCATACTCGATAGATTGCTTACCGAACGGCGACAATACACACACGCTGCGTTTGAATGGGTAGTTAGTGCAAGTTATCTGGTGAAAGTGCAGGATTCACCCACCATGATTGACCTTGCGCTTCTTCTTGGGTTGATCGGTGGGCGAAGCTTGACCAGGTTTCCGCGAACCGGTAGGAGATGAGGCATCAACTGACATGGAAGTACGACCGTCAGTGATTCTCGCCGACCCGCTGCCTATGTGTTCGGGCTCATCCTGGAGATCTGACATTGGCGGCTGAGTTTTGAATCGAGTGCAGGCTTTTAGAGCCTAAAGCTAGAGATGCAAGCAGTGCTGCGTGCGACGCGACCACAGCTGCTCATCATCTAGAGATCGAACGAGGAGAAGGAGAAGGACGCACAGCGCTAAGGCGAGGTTCTTTAGGTGGGAGGAAGGGTCTCCATCTGCAACGGGAAAGACAAGGACGAGAGGCTGTGGGGAAGCGAAGCAGCCTCGAGGCGTACGAGTACGAGTAAGGCTCAAGTCAAGGACTCAAGGCGCAGCGAACAGCCAGAGCCAGCCGAGGTGGACTGAGGGGAGACTACCGAATTCATCATCCTCTACGGAGTAGTACGGAGCAAGGGTGGCGACTCGCGAGTGGCTGTCGAGCCAGCCGTGCTCCATGACCCGATGCCCAGACGCCCGCACACCCGCACAACCACTTGTTCTAGCTCCGAGAGACAGTCTTGGACCCTATTCTTCAGAATTTACTAGTTGGACACCTTGACTGATAGGAACTGGGTTCAAGAAGAAATGCAATCATGTCACATGACCTAATTATGGCTCCCGCTACCTGGTACTCACATTCATAAGGGGACGGCTACACAAACATGTGGCCATCTAGACACCTGAATATCTGGATGGATGTTGAAAGTTGCTAATAGTACATAATCCGTGTTTCACCTTATAGTACAGCCGTGGCTTCACTTGCCAAGTTCAGGGCTCCATAGGCTACAGCAGATACCGTTCAGGGCATGCCCATGATCGAAGATACAGTCCTGGAGGCCTTTATAGTGTTTGGGATATCACAAGACAGTATTTGTCCGACTCAAATATTGACACTTGGTCGCAAGCGCTTTCTGCCCTTGCCACCACCTGGTGTGCCATCTTCTTCACGGTCTCTTGCTCGCTTTTCCCTTTGGTCGAGAACTAAGCTGAGTACGTCGAAACCAAATTGGGGGAATTCGAGACACATGGCCTTGAATTCGGCCTCTGCTTCGTGTCGCAATACGTGAGAACGTGTAGCCCAGAATGCCGCAATGGGTTTTCGGATGATGTAGTCATTGGCCGGGGTATTTCCATAAACAAAGCGTGCGTATGCGATCTCTCCAACGGCAGTGGAATTGATGCGGTGGATTTTTGAGTGGGCCAAGGTCTTGAGTTCTGGAAGGCCGAGTTTTTCGGCGAGGGTATAGACGCGGGCATGCTTCAGCAATTGATCGCCAGTATCGTCGACTGTAGGGATCGAGGGATCGGGCTCAAGGCTGTCAGGAATATTCGCCATCCGCCGAGGGAAGTATTCCCCGGTGTATTGGTACTGTAGGAAACAACCCACTGCATCCAACGTTTCATCGGGAAGATACACCACAAGGTCATCGTCGTCTGTCTGGGACAAAAGTCGGTCGTTGAGAAAGGCGGACTGCTCAAGAATGGCTTTGTGAGCAGTCAAGGTGATCTCCTCTCCATCGTTACCAACAACGAGTCTAACGATGGGAGATCTTAGATACTCGATAAAGACAGTCTGCGGATTGGGCTTTGGCGCGCCATTGGGCTGGGTAGCATCTTCTGTTTGTTCTGCTCCATCATCGTCTTGTGGCATCTCTTGCGCCTCTTCCGCACCCTCCATTTCCGCGTCAACATCTGCCGAATCGGCGACTTGGGTGAGATCTTCGCTGTCGGCCATGGGGGGAGGTGGTTCGATCGAGGATTTAGCGGGAAGGCTGCCTGTAACTATTGTACTGAAATATTGCAAAGTGCAAACTCCTGTACTCCAAAGGAAATAGTCGGTGTCCTGTAAAGAAGGAAAGAAAGAAGTGAGCGAATTGAGGCACTCCGTAAGTAACCATTGAATAGCAGTACGAACGAAACTGTTTGGGCTCTGCGTTCCTGCTGCGCACCTGGGAGGTCGGGAGGATGGGGGGTAGCTCGAGTGGGTTAGACAAGAGCTAGCATCAACCCCGGGATTGGGATTCTCATCACGGGATCCGGCTCCAAAACTGGGGACATACCCACAGAGGGGAGAGTTCTACCAAGCATTCGGGGTGGGATACCGAGAACCGAGTATTCGTACTCCGTATGGTGAAGATAAGGATGCTTCATCCTGTATCCTTGAAATGAACCCATTCTTGAATCTTCTGTTCCTTCATAGTACGAGTCGTCGATATTGGCGATTACGTAGCGTTTAGGCGCGATTCCTCTTGCTCCAATTCATTCACTACTTGAGTCACATTTCCAACGCACGCTGTGCCACAAGAAACACCAGCGACAAGCATGAATGCGAGCTAGGATCCTGTGTGAGGGGAGTGTCTAGAAGGGTAACCAAGAGAAATACAAAACGTGGATGCCTGGCACCCTGCACCAACTTCAATTTGGCCGTCACGATATATATACGACAGCATCCATGAGTCTCTCTACGCAGTGCGAATAATCGTATGAGAATGTTGGCAACAGGGGCAGAAGAGTGGCGTGAGCTTGGACCTGGGGGATCATTCGTTCTCTCCATTGAACCCTCTCCCAGTGGCGGCACCCACCCGTACGGTCATTATCATGGCAAGGCTCAAACAAAGCAGCCTTGTCCTTTCCCCAGCGTCTCCCTCAGCCGGTGTGAAATTTAACTCTAGGAAGGATGCGCCGATGACGGAATTTGATATTGGAGGAGACGACATGCATCTAAGCTAGGCAAGGTGTGAAGCAAGGGTGCTGTGTACACAGCCGACGAGCAGCCAGCAACAGCGACCGATCATTGGAGAAAGACGGGTGGTCACAGCAAGGAGGGGCAAGAACAGGCAAGAACAGCGCCCAGGGGCTCCAGGGCTCCAGCTTTACCGGAAGTGACACTAACTAAGCGCCATTCGGAGCTGCAGGCACAGGCCTTCCGCAAATGCCGTGGCTCCCTTGCCCCAATTTAAATTCCTCACCGCCTGCCATTGTGGCAAGGTATGGCGTGCTTGCCTCCTGGGATGTTGCGATTGTGATCCAACTACCAACGAGCAATTGAGGGTGATAAAGGGGTCCCAAGTTGCACGATGGAACTATCAAGACGAACTGTCCACGTTTTCCCACAGTTGTCCTCTTTTGGCATCTTCGTTCCCCCCACAAACCGCGACTCCGATCTGAAATTGCATTGGGCACTGGCGAGCGAGGGTTTCGTGTTCGCGGCTCCCGTAAATTTCACGAGAATTCTGCCGGCAGGTGTAACAGCAGGTGCAAGTGCAAATCCTCCGAACGTTCCTTCCCTTTCGCTCTCCTCCCTCGTCGACTCTTCACGAACTTATCAATTGCCCCACATACGCCAAACCAGGAGCAGTAACATTTTGAACGCCTGCAGATAATTCAATCGCTGCTACGGTAGGAAGCCAGGCAGCAGAACTATGTGCCTCTCACCACTGCACGATGGGAGCGCTCTGTTCGTTTTCAAAGCGGGCACGCGGTCAGCATCTTTTTCTGTCTCCCTCTCCTCCCAATTCCCGCCTTATTTATTCTCCCTCCTGACCTTCCAATCTCTTTTTTCATTCTTCTTTCTTTTCCCAATTCTGGCTTTTAATCTTTCAAGACACGAACTAGCAAGTTACAGGCTTTTACATACATTGCTCTTCTTCGAATTGACATGGGTTCTTACGACCCTTTCCCTGCTTCTCCTCCCACCTCACCGCCCAATGGGTTGAATGGTCAACAGGATGGTTATTCCGCCCCCTTGTTTGTTCAACAGCCAAACATTCTATTCATCATGGCAGACCAATTGGCCGCGCCTCTGTTGAAAATGCATAACCCAAAATCCCAGATCAAGACACCAAATCTTGACAAGCTGGCAGAACGCTCTGTCGTTTTCGACTCGGCCTACTGCAATTCTCCGCTGTGTGCCCCCTCGCGGATGTGTCTCATGAGTGGTCAGCTCCCTTCGAAGATCAAGTCCTATGACAATGCCTCTTCAATTGGGTCTGACATCCCAACCTATGCTCACTATCTCAGGTCAGCAGGCTATGAGACCACGTTGGCTGGCAAGATGCACTTTATTGGTGACCAGCTTCATGGCTATGAGAATCGCTTGACTGCGGATATCTACCCAGGAGACTATGGTTGGGCTGTGAATTGGGATGAACCAGACCGGAGGTTGGAGTGGTACCACAACAGTAGTTCCATCTTGCAAGCAGGGCCTTGTGTGAGGACCAACCAGTTAGACTATGATGAGGAAGTTCTTTATAAGTCCAAACAGTACCTCTATGACTATGCCAGAGCAGGCCCCGAAAAGCGACCTTTTGCCCTGACCGTGTCATTCACACATCCACATGACCCCTATGCAATTGAGGACAAGTACTGGGACCTGTACGAGGGAGTTGACATCGACCTACCCGACGTCAACATCGATGAAGAGGACCAAGACCCTCACAGCAAGCGTCTCATGCATGTCTGCGACCTTAAGGGCTACAGATTCTCTGACGAGCAAATCAAGCGTGCCAGAAGAGCCTACTACGGAGCCGTTAGCTACGTGGATGACAACATTGGCCAATTGCTTTCAGTCTTGAAGAAATGCGGATTGGATGAAAATACAATCGTCATGTTCTCAGGAGATCACGGTGACATGCTGGGCGAGCGAGGCCTTTGGTACAAGATGTCCTACTTTGAGAATTCTGTCCGCGTGCCTATGCTCATCAGCCACCCCAAGCAATTCAACCCGCACCGAGTCTCCCAAAGCGTCTCGACTTTGGATTTGATGCCAACGCTAGTAGATCTCGTCGGCGCCAAGTTGATCCCCGGTTTACCTGTCGACGGTATCTCATTGATCCCTCATTTGTATGGTATTGGTGGTCACGACACCGTCTTCGCCGAATACATGGGCGAGGGAACAGCAGCGCCACTGATGATGATCAGACGAGGTGATTGGAAGTACATCACTTGCCCAGTCGACCCACCTCAGCTGTTCAATCTGCGGAATGACCCTAAGGAGCTCGAAAACATGGCCACGAGCCAGGACCCAGAGACCCAGGCGATCTTCAAAGCTTTCGAGGCCGAGGCGCACAAGAAATGGGACTTTGCAGGCATCACTGAAGACGTCCTGCAAACTCAGCGTCAACGCAGACTGGTGTGGAGCGCACTCAGCAAGGGTCGTTTCGAAAGCTGGGACTGGAAAGGTGACGCGGCAGACGATGGTCGCTACAAGTACATCCGGTCGCAAATGCCCCTGGATGATCTGGAAAGAAAAGCCAGATATCCCACCTACAGCTACGTCCCAGCCGACATGACCGTGAATGCGAAAGCTGAACTGGTCATCCGTCAACCTCAGCATCTGGTCGACATGGCCACCGCCCCCGCCCACTATCGCTGATGCGGGCGCCTGGTGATGTTGATCTTTGAACGAGATATCTTTGACGAATTTCCGGCTATTCAACGTTTCCGAGATGAGATCGAAGGCCATTTTTCCGAGCTTTTATTTTCCAAGTTAAGTGTGTAAATCTCGTCATCGTTGAGCCAGGCGTTTTCTGGAGTTTTGTTATTTATGATTTACTGGTCTCTCTTTCAACGGCTTTTGACCTGCTATTAGGCGAAACTGTGTACTTGTCTGCATTTTGATGGGTTGTTGAAATAAGACACCAGATCTGAATGAATGAATGAATGAATTTCATGAATACGAGAATCGTACTTCCTTTACCTGCCTACCGAACGTCTTTTGCGCGGCCCCCATTTAAACCAGAACCATGACCATTGTAGCAAGCATCGCAGAATCCAGCATCCAGCATCCAAGCGGGTGATCTCTCTCAATCGCCTGCCTGCCTGTCTGCTGTCTGCTGTCTGTCTGTCTATGCTAACACACCGCATCCGCAGCCGACCACCTACCACGTTTCCAACACATGACGAAGGCATTGTCCTGGCCGGTCGCGGGGTGCTCCAGATCTGAAAGCACGCACGACGCTCACGCCGTCTCCGTTCATAGCCGTGCTTATGCCTCGAGATACCCCGAGGCCATTGGCACTGCGACACTGCCCCCTCGGCCGGGCCTGCCGTCGGCGTCACCGTGGGGATTTTATTCTTCTTTGGGCAGTTACTGCTGTAGGTTACTTTACACCAGCTACGGTAGCTCTCTCTCTCTCTCTGTGCCTAATGGAGTGGTGTGTCATATATGTAGATGTGGTGCATGTAAGTCCTCTCGCCCATATCGACCTGTTTGAATGAAGGCCATGGAAAGGATGGCGAGAGATCTATCCCTCGGAAAGGCAAAGTTGAATGAAAATGGATGCACAGAGGGCGGGCGAACCTACAGAAGAAAAGGGCTGGGTTGATGTACTTCGAATTTGGTACGAATTAACCGTGCCCAACCGGATTGCACAACTGAACCAAGACCAAAACAATGAAAATGATTAATTGTATGAGGAGGCTAGGCCTGAAATGGGTAGATGATCCATTCATCCAATCATTTTGGCTCGCTTTGCTGGGACGAGCGTACGCAACCATACATAAGGCGGTGTGTAAATAGCATATCTTCGTTATCGGAGACACCCTGATGATCACACATATGATGGTCAGATGACCATTTGCCCCCCTCCTGGCCAGGCCTTGCCTGGGCCTTGTGTCGGAGTTACGTAATCCGTCAATTTTGGTAGTGTCAACTCCTCTTTGGCCACCTGAGCATCCATTGTCCTCGTGCTAGGCTCATCACACACTCTGTCCAGGATCCCTCTTCGGTGATTGTTGACTGGATTTGGGAAGGCCTCCTTACATCCTTGGCACCTGTGGTTTCCATGACCACTAGCAATGCTTGGGAGTAGTCCTCCCCTCACCGCCCTGCTAAGTCTCCGAAGCACTTCATTTGGCGAAGTGAAGATCATAGAAGAGCCATTTCCTGGCGTTTACCTGGTCAGGCGTCAAGCCTGGCCAACCATAGGTGAGGGGGAAGAAGAAATAGAAGCCATATAATACAGCGGTGATAACAACACCAGTGGCAATCCAAGTGGTCAACAGACTTTGGCCCTTGAGTCGCTCCTGCGCAGTCTGGAAGCTGCGTCTCGCCTTTTCGGGCACCTTACTGACAACCTTGTCCTTCTTGGAGTTGATAGTAGCAGACATGTCATCGTCAAGGACTGGATCAACATTGAAAATGAACTCGACCAGGGCACCTGTTACAAGGCACGAAGCCAGATGAGCTGGTAGGTAATGATGTAAGAATAATTGACGTCCCATCAAGTAGAAGGGGAAGTAATGTGCTGCCCAACAGAGGAAGAAGAAGCCAGTACTGTTATACAGACGAGAGCGGGTACCTAGGAAATGGTCAGTGAATGCGGGAAAATTTAAGCATTTAATCGTGACTTACGTCGGTCGAGTGCATCAACACCACGTCTCAAACTCAATTGATCTGCGCCCAAGATGCCTGCAAATACGGCAAGGAGGGCCGATGCAATCCAATAACCAATGGGGTTACCGAGGAAATAAATTTGCTGCTTGGTGCTGTCCTGAGTCCAGAAGCTGACACCACGAAGCAAGAAAGGCCACGAGTAAGGTTGGGTGGCATAAGGGTGGCTGGCGGTCAAGGCGTTATTGTGGTAAAACATTGCACGTTGAAGTTCGATATATTTGATGTAAAATGGGAGATGCTTGACCTTTTTCTGATCTTTGAGGAGACGTGGGGAATCTTCTGGGATACTGGGGATGTCATCAACATACCAGATATTGCTGGACTGTTGTGCATTCTTGTTTCCGTTGATTTCAGCTTGTTTGAAAGCCCATTCGGGAAGAGGGCTCGTGTGAGTCCACATCGCGACCTTTGATGGATAGTGAATCAATTTAAATTGACCGGATTTGGACTTGAAAGGAGTGGTCTTCTTTCCTTGCTCCAGCTTAATCTCGAACAGCGTATCGTTATGTCGATCTCCGGAAGCAGCATCTAATGCAACGGTGGTGAATTCCTGATTTGTGGGATAATAAGGCGATGCAACATCGTGAGTCAAAAGAAAGGTATCAGTGACTACATGTCTCAATTTGACAACATCGCCATTTAAAACAGGAGCGCCAACATGAGAGCCATCAGGGTGTTGGGTATTTGGCAGGATTTGCCAATGGTTGTTTGTGTCGTTGAATGGGTAGCCGGTCACCTGCTGACCCTGGCTGGAAATGCGACCATCATCATATCTGAGGGGATACTTGTCTGGATGACTGTGGAGATACGTTTTGGTGTCCTTGTGGCGTAAAACAATGGTATCGTAGTATTGGATGTCGATGGAAGCTTGATGCATGAGGTTATCGCTGAGAGTCTCTTGGAATTCGGGAGTCATGAAGTCGTCGCCCGGACCGGATCGAGTCAAGACTGCGAAATGAACCTGGAACCAAAAGAGATAGAAGAAGAAGGGAATTATGATGAGGCCCACAGCACGTGCGGCGAAGTGTTTCCCAAAGGTGAAGAGATCCAAAGCACCACCTTTGCGCTTGACGTCAAGAAGATCCCAGAGATCGATCAAAACGGCACAGCCAATGGTAAAGAATGAGAAAGCTCCGACATACTTGGTGGAGATGACGCAGCTCATGCAGAAGCCGGTCAATAGCAGCCACTTCCACCATTTGCGTCCAAATGGGTCATGTCTTTGCTTGTAGAACTTGACGTAGGCAAGGATACTGAGGGACATAAAGAAGACAAGGGTGGCGTCGAGTAGAATGAGACGTGTTTGACCAACATGGGAGTTGTCAAACAGAACGAGGGAAGCAGCCAGGACGCAGGCCGGTAGAGAGTAGCCGGATTCCCACATGATCAAAAAGACGACGACAACGGTAAGGGCACCGAGAAACGCGGGAACCGATCGAAATGCGACATAAGGAACGTTATTGGCAATGTAGGACTCCCCAATATTGTCGAAGAGGAAATGGCCATCGTATCCTACCACCCAGCCGATGAAGGCAAAGAGCAGCTTTCCGAAGGGAGGATGGACGTCGAAAAAGTAGGTGCGTTGGAGATAGTACGAGGCGAACTGGGGGCAATGTTAGAGGCTGGGTCCAATGTCCAATGATTTGGGGACTATGTATACCTTTCCAAAATGAACCTCGTCAAAGACGACCTCATTGGGATGACTGATGCCAAAGAATCGAGTGATGAACGCAAGCGTGGCGATGATGCCCAAGGCGAGCTTGTAGTCCCATTCATTGGGTTTGCTCTGTTGGGCTTGGATGAAAGCTTTGTTCAGAGCCTCGTCTGATGCCGTGTCTCCATTGGACAAGCCTTTATTCTTCTCTTTGCCAGCCCTTTGGCGTAGGGTAGAATTAGGAGTGGACATTGCGGGCAGGGAAGGAGAGGAAGACCGAGGGGCCTGCTCTTGACGGCAAACCCGTTGCTTGGGCCCAGAGCAGGGTAGTAAAGGAGCGGGGAGGAGAAGTGGACAAAATTAAAAGACAATGAAGGAAAGGAGAAAGAATTGTAGACGAGAGTGGTTGAATAAACGGTGGTGACGATGGTAAGGACAAGGTGGAGGTGGTCGTCAAGGAGTTGGCTGCGGGTGGTTGTAGTTCCAAATTCCAATTCGGCTGGACACGTTGACGTGTCTTCAACTTTTTCGGAGAAGCAAGGACGCGACTTTTTTTGGTGGCTTTTACGGAGGCGGCGTCAGCTCTCTCCAATTCAGGGGGGAACATCAACAACTGGAAAGCATGGGACTCAGTAGTACTAGGCTGATCAAGATCTCTCACCCCTGGTTTGACATTGAATTTTCGATGGTGCATACACAATCGCATGGGCTCGCACGAACGTCCTACTATTAGCTAGTGCCTTTGCTCATGCATGGTCATATATGCTCAATGTCTCCAGTTCTCTCTGCACAATGCTTTCAAACTCTTCGCGATCCATTCCCGCACTTTTGGCCAACCGATACATGCTCTTCAAACTACTTCCTATATGTTGTCTGATGCCAATGTCTGACAGCCCGTACCGTTCAGCATGTTCTTCCAGCCTTGCCACCGCCTCTGAGGACTTTGTTGACGGCGACGAGGGAACTGGTTGCGTCACTTCCAGTCCTTTCTCATCGCCATCACCACCACCGGCATTGAGGCCGAGGCCCAGGATACCGTGGTATGGCGGGGGGCTTCGCTCTCTCTGTACTTCAGAGTCTCGTGACAGATAGTTCTCCAACACATGCCCCTGCAACGTCGACTGTCCTGCATCCTCTATCATCTCGTCTGGGTCGTGGCTGTCCATTGCAGGCTGTACACTGCCATAACGTGCATAGTAATCATCCTCGGACGTGCCAGCCAGCTTTGGCTCCACAGACGCTATTCGTGCCGGTGTTCTGCCTGGTGTCTTATCGTACATGGCCCAGTAATCATCCTCATCCGCAGGCGGTACGGAGAGATTTCTTTGGGGAGGTAGGGCTGCTCTGTCTGCGTCCTGCAAGGCTTCCGTCACCAGCCTCTCGTTTGCGCTTTCATTGGCATGACTAATGGATGAGGACCAGGTACTGTCTTGTCGGAGATCTGGATCCAGCGGTAACACCTCGGCCACCTTCCAAGCATTTCCCTCATCACTACCTGTGCACCAAAGGTATATGATGGTAAATGGCCATTCTTGTAGTGATATCTGGGCCTTCAATGTTTCGTGATCGAATCGCTTGTATGTTATAGGCTCTGTGTCTCCAACCTCGATCTCCCCTGATGCGGGGTGAGGCTCGAAGGTGGCATTCTCGATGGTGTCCTTCAACGATTCTCCTTTGGCGGCGTCCCAAGTCAGCAAAGGTGACCAATTGTTTGTTGAGGCGCCCGAGGTGTGGATGTGTAGTCTCTGGCGAAGAATAGGCGACAACAGAGGAAGCAGTGCTGGCGGTGGCCTGGGAGAGGCAAATGAAGTGGGCAAGCAGGCGAGGAGAGGAGGAATCAATGAGTGAGGGTCGGGAGGAGAGATCAGCTCGACCATGGTAATATGTTATGGTGGTATTACAGACGAGTCCGGGAGAAGGTCTAGTCCAGTGAGTGAAGTCCCTGAGCAGCAAGAGGGAATTGCAGAGGTGAGCTTTGGAAATGCAGATTGCCGTGATGAGGGCTAGCAGGGTCACAAGATTAGTTCAGGATGAGGCTTGGGGTACACCAGTAGATATTTACAGCCCCCATAAGTACGAGATACATGTTTGTCGGTAGATCATGCATGGCAGCTCTCGCGTGGCTCATCAACGGCACGCTCTGGTGGCCGAAGGCAAAGAAGTGGCTGCGTGAGATGCAAAAGTTGCCGGTTCTAGACGAGTTTCCTTTGGGCCGGCCGATGATGCATCCCTGATCTCCGAGCGCCCGCCGTACACCTTGGGTGCCTTGCTTAGTCGGTAGCACACGGCCTACATACACGCAAAGGAGAGAACTGCAAACACAACTCTCTAGGCGCATTGCATACAATGATTCAGTCTCAGCTAGTATGTATGTAGTAGTATGGCTACCCAGGTGACGAAGTGGCCACGAAGATACCTTGCGGCAGTTTACTACCACAGTACTCAGTACGAGTACAGTACTTACGAGGCGCATCGTACAGAGCACAGAGCCAAGCGAGTGCCTCCACACGCATCTCAAATAATAATTGATGCACATGCCTGGATCTTCCTGAAGCTCCCCCAACAAGCTATCAGTGTGTCACATGCCAGAACGTGGGACGGTGCGTGGGTGCATTTGTTCCCTTCACATCCACCTTGCTGAGCCTCAACATCCAACCGTCGCAGACACAAACGAGGATATTTGCTGTGAGCGTTCTGTACCCAGATTGTCTATGCAACATGTCCATTCCCGGCTTACTGTCCACATTGCCTTGGTCTGATGCCTGTCTACCTAGGAGGGAACGACCTATCTCTGGACTTGCACTGGCAACTCGCATTGCCGACTGCACGTGCCCTGGGAAGTCCCCCGGAGAATGAAATGATGCCGATGCTCCCCCGCACCAATTCCCACGTCCCCCACCTAACTCGTAAATTGAGTCATCCACAGGCACTGCGTCTTGATTTGTACTCGTTCTTGGCTGTCGTTGCCATTGCTAAGTTCCAAGTCAAGTCAACTCATTAAAATGATGGTTGTAAGTTGTGCATCGGGAGCTTAGTCCTATGGCCATGGCTCTGCCAAGTGCAAAAGTCTCAATAAAGCAAGACCCAGGCAGCTCCTCTGACGACGATGGCGCCTTCGATCCAACAGCTTCCAGTGGACATCCTGCAACCCCGACAGCTGCCACAATCAACATTATTCCACAGGATGAGGACACTGGAGAGGATGAGAATCATGAGCATGATCGTTTCCAAACCCGCCTCGAGGCAGAAGTCCGCCTGGTTCGCAAAATAGATCTCCGTCTCTGCACCATTTCCGGCATTCTTTGCAGCTTGAACCTTCTCGATAGTGGCATCATATCCTCTGCCGCGGTAACCAGTATGCTCTCTGATCTCCAGCTCACGGGGAACCGCTATTCTGTGTCCATATTCATCTTCACTGTCGCTTCAGTCTGTTGCCAGCTCCCTGCCACAATCATGATGCGATTCGTGGGCCCCCGCATCTTCTTCGCGGCCGTTACCATATCATTTGGCGTCATTACGATCTGTACTGCTGCCATTACAACTTGGAAACAAATGATCGTCCTGCGTGTGCTTCTTGGAATTAGCATGAGTGGCATTTTCCCCGGTCTCTCATGGCTTGTCTCAGCCTGGTATACTCGAAAGGAACAGCAGCTACGCTTTGCACTGCTGCAATCTGGCGAAGTCATCATCCTTGCCACTGGTTCTATTGTCAACTATGGCCTCAACCATCTCGACCACTATCACTCACTGCGTGGTTGGCAATGGATGTACCTCGTTCAAGGTACCATTACAATATTTCTCGGCATCATTACTTATTTTTGGATGGTCGATTTTCCGGATCATGCGGAAGACTCCTTCCATTTCCTTTCGCTGGAAGAGAAAGCTCTTGCGATCTCCCGTATTAACTCAGATCGCCACGACGCCGGCAAGCCTGAGCCCTTTACTGTCTCTGCTATAGCCATTCATTTCCTCGATCTCAAGCTTTATGCTTTCTGCCTTCTCTTCTTCCTTCTCAACCTTGTCTCCACCGCATTGTCATATTTTCTCCCTATAATTCTGCAAAATGGCATGGGCTTCAGCGCGAACAAAGCCATTATTCTATCCTCCCCACCATACTACTACGCTGTTCTCCCGGTTCTCCTCTCATCCTACATTGGCGACAAATATCGCGTTCGGGCCCCAATTATCATCTTCAATGCCAGCAGTCTGATCGCGGGGTTCTGTATGCTTGGTTTTGTGTCACAGGTCACCGTAAGATATATCGGGACTTTTCTCGCCACGGGTGCCTATGTTTCGAACTGGGCAGCGCTGAATGCCTACCAAGCAAACAACGTGGTCGGACAGTGGAAAAGAGCAACAGTTGCGGCGGCAATCTCTGCTTGCAACGGTCTCGGAGGTATTGCTGGAAGCTATATCGTTCGCCAACCCGAAGCACCTAGGTATTTGACTGCAATATGGGTAAGCATCGGTAGTCATATCCTGATGATCTGTATTGTTTTGACTTGCACCATATGGTTCTGGGTCGCGAATCGGAGGGCAAGGAAAGGACGCTACTTGATTGAAGGTGTACCGGACTTTAGATACACTTATTAGTAAAAAGTGCGTTGATGGCGATCCTATGGGCTATTGATTGATCTTAATTGCAACAAGGGATTAGCAACCACGTACAAGATCATATTCACCATCATGAAAAGCAAGTGTTTGACGACTTGAAGATGCACAGAAGACCCACAAGGCTCCACTAAGCTGTTTGGGGCCTAATACATAAACAACTGCCCGAGAGGTCCCACCAACATCACCGAAACTATCTCCAGGTTCTCGCTCAAGCACGCGGTTTATACGTGTCATCACGCGTCGCAGGTGATCTTGACGCGATAACTATCGATTGTGACCCGACCAACAGTCCACGGATCCCATTAAACCATCCAACAGCATCATGGATGCCGCAGACGCATTGACATCGGCGCAACCGTTCGCGCATCTCACACCTCGTATACAACATATCTCTCAGAGCACGATCAGGAAGAAGTGGAAGCCGCTGCCTCAATCCTCGCAGGATAGAGTTCGTGCAATCCTGTTGTCCCTGAAAACGAAACGTGCCACATCAGGCAGAATACCAACCGTAGGCGCAAAAGGGAAGCCGAGGACGAAGAAGACGAAGAGCGAAGTCAGGGACCAGGACTATGAACGCGCGGTGGAGGAAGTGACTCACAAGTCAGTTCTTCGAGTACTCCTTCTTTACCCTATCTTTCGGTTTCATCAAGTGCGATACTGACGGAAGGACTGTGCAACTACAGGCTCCTGTCGCGCCTACCCCGAATGCCTTTCCCTTCTAGGGCGTCTTCTACATCAACGTCATCAGCAACAGACGACCAGTTTTCCTTCGAAGCAACGTTGAACCGTATCTCATCCTTACAGGCCACACTCACCATGCACCAGAGGTCGAGCCACCTGCTACGTAACCAGATTAAACGTGAGCAGCGGGCTTTGAAACATGACAAAGCGGAGCTCACAAGGCTTGAGGACGCCCTGAGGAGCAGTTGTGCGTTAAGAACAAAACAGGAGCGCGGTCTACATCCTCTAGCGAGGCTCATTGACCAACACGAGGACGAGGGTGACAACAGTGATAGTCACGCAAGCCCCGACAACCACATGACCGAAAGGGAGACCAATGACGAGATCAATCGCATTGCCGGTATTCCCGCTCACTCTATGCAGAGAGATCCAACAGAGGGCCCCATTTCTCTAGACCCGGGTCCAGATTCACATCCCGACCTCAAGTCCTTGCTCCAACAACTCCAGAACCACCTACATAGCATGGAGAACAATACAGCAAGCATTCGGCCTGTCCTGGCCGCCATGACAGAGGCGCAAGTTGCGTTGGATCACTTCGCCGCAGCGAGATTTGACGAGCAGACTATACGGAGGCTCCACGGCCTCGATCCTTGAGGCCAGAGCAGATTGTGATCGAAGTAAAATGCGGGCTTTGCCAAAGGACCACGTGCAAACCAGCGAGTTAGACTCGATGATCAGTATAGAAGAGCCATCCTTCAAACATGATGAGCAGAAATGCATCTCAACGGTTGAATTTCGGTCTACTTTGGAAATCGGCATCTGAGATAGTCATCGCTTTCAAGAATCTTCGTGGAACCGCGTAGCCTATCGGTTGGGGAGTCAACTGACCATCACAAAAGAGTCTACTTAGGCAGCGGCTTTCAGCACAGCACAGCACATTCCCGGAGCCCGAGAGAATAGACCAAAGTCGAGTCCGGCGGTATTTCTGCAGCCTTCAGGGGCAAAGCGGTATTACACTGCATTCCGTCCTTTTGATGGACATCAGAGTCGAAGAGACGAAGGATAAACAAACCTCCATTCACCAGTTACTACGAAGTACACCAGCGGATCGCCTCGATAGCCTACCACAGCAGGCTTTGCCTCCTCTTCCTTTCCCCTTCTCTTGAGACCTCATTCGATGCTCTATGACAGCTCTCTCAAAAGGACAACCGCGGCAAATTATTTGAATCCACAAAGCCAAAGCTGTTGGGACTTAGCAGTAGGGTCTTCTTCCCTGTGTTGGTTGAGAGATGAACTAGCGAGGATTCATCGTACTTTACAAACGCAGTCAATGATGCGCACTACATGAGATAACAGATAGATTCATAGACGTGTATGTATGTGTCCTTTTCCCAGGTACCGTTTTCGCCATTGCGTCTCTCTCGTAAGAGACTTCAGCGGCGCAAGGAAGAGATATTGAGATACGTAGCAAGTGACTTAGCAAGTAGATAGCGATTGTGGTATCTCGAAAAACAAAGAAATCATACGAAAGAATTGAACATACGCAGGCAGGCAGGAAAAGTAAAGTCATACCACCCCCATTTCACCTTTCCAGATTTACCAATTTTGATGATCACTTCCACCCTTCATTGTCTCGCAGTCGATAGAACGTATTTTGGCCTGTTATCCATTTATATTTCATCCCTCATGCTCCGCTACTGGAAGTTCAGATTGTCGTGACAGCAAATGGTGTGACTGTCATCACTTCTGGAGCACTTCGTGATACAATTTCTTGTCTTCATTGAGTGCAGGAGTCGGAGGATACTCGCCTGGTATGTGGAAATCGCTGATGGTGCTGTGGCTTTTAGTTCTTTCAGTGGGCTTCGACAAGTAGTCGGTTGGAGCAGAGGCCACTACCTTCGTTCCAACAAAGCCCCCGTTGCTGTTAAACATACTCTCATTTTGGCTGGGGTAACCTGTGCTGGTGGGGACTGTGGATAGGGTTGCAGTTTCCGTGTTTGATGATGTAGTGTTGCCAACGGCGGAGCTGGGAGCTGTGGTTGTGTCGCTCAGAGCACGTGGACCAGTTGGGGCATCGATCGGTGCAGCAGTGGCGACTGCAATTGGCGGTGATGAATGGCCGTATTCTGGGATAGCGCTCTCCGAGCCAGGTCTGGCGGACTCTACCACAGTAGGTTGCTGCTGGTGATGGTGATGCATCACACCAGCTCCAATCGCTGCCCCGGCGGCACCTGCGCCTATGGGTGCCATCCATTCGCCGTACTGGCTTCCACTGTCATGAGATGGGACAACACCGTGGGTTGTTTGGATAACGTTATGATGAACTCCGGGCGTGTATTGATTTGCCGAGTTGGAATCTGCTGTGTGATGATTTTGGGAATAGGAACCGCCAGTCATAGCAGAGGCTTCGCGAGAAGGGGGTTGGAGTTCTGTATGCCTTTCAGATGTATTTGCAAAAGGAAGTCCGCTTCCTGGCAGGGCGCCGGCTGCGGCTATGATGTCACGGTCTCGATCGGAGCTCTCTGCACTAGATGGCGAAAGGGGTGCTTGTAAGCCTCGTTGTACATTGACGTCTGAAGGAAATCGCCCACCTGGTGCAGGTCGTTGTTGAGGTGGACGCCATCCAGCTTCAGATCGATTGTCATCAAGATCGTGACCAGGAGCGGCTCCAAGACCATCGATTCCGCCAATAACGGCTCCTTCTGAAACCGAATTTCCACGGACGGATTGTTCCCCTGCAAAGGCAATGCGGTCGGCTTCATCCTCTTCCAAAGCTCCATCAGAACTGATAATACTGGCGGGCTTCATGCTGTTCCCTGAGAGAGATCGGGCGTGCTGTCGCCGGACAAACTCATTCCGCTCCTCACCTCTTTTTTCTGTCAATTCTTTGACGTCATTGAACCATGCCAGCATAGTTTCGTGGGTCTCGGCCCTGAAAACCCAAGCATGACCACGGTGCATAGAGCCGGTCTGTCTACCTTTGAGCATAAACTTGTGTGACGAAGAGCCTGGCTCAGAATGCGATCCTAGCTTTTGCTCGGGCAAGTATAGCGACATAACAGGCGCCTGGGCAGATATGCGATCGGCGGATTTAAACTCGTGGAGATGTGTAGGAGAGAGAATGTACCTGACCAACTGTTAGTGCGCCAAAAAGTACTGGGGATATTATATTGCAATACTCACCAACCCGGGGTATAGTTTTTGAGGTATTTACTCTTCCGTTCCAGCATACCGCTTCGAACTTCGATGGCTGCAGGATGGTCTTTGCCAGGATAAATGATATGAGATACCTGCCGGATGGGATTTCTGGGGTCTACCATGGCGGTGTTAGTGGTGACAAACTCGTCCCATTCATGATCTTTTGCCACAGCCACAGGACCGTCTTTTAGCTTTTCGGCGGTGTCATAAGCCTCGTCAGCCTCACGGCGAAGTATTCCGGCGATGACATTGTACGCTTTTTGAATTTCCCCAACAACTATTGACTCCAATTCGCGACCGGAGGCCTCGAGGTTTAGATAGGCCTAGTTCAATTAGCTGGCATGTTCGACATTAAAGATGGATTCTAAACAAACCCGGTGCAAATAGTTTTCTTCATCAATCTGGCGTTCAATCTGCTTGTCGACAGATAATTTCACTAGGAATGGATCTCCTTTCCCGCTGGTTGAGGCAGCATCATGGTCAACCATACCAAGAGCCTCCTGCAGGGAACGTACGGCCTTCTTGGATCCTTCTTGCTCCTTGTCTACTGAATTCTTAAAGTCACCAGACAAGCTTTTAATTTCCTTGATTTTCTGCTGCAGGTCGCTGCGAAGGCCTGTTAATTGCATGACGACTTCGTTGCAAAGATCGCGGGCCTTGTTGGCCTCGCTAATAGCTTGCTTGTGAAAGTCTTTCAAGATGTATGCAGCGTCACCTAATCCATTGGAACTGTATAAGTTGGGTGGCAAGGATGTATTGTTTATCACGGTGGAGGTTGCGAGTAATGATTTGGCTCGAGACTCGTAAGATTTGTGGAGATCTCGAAAATACGAGATCAGGTCCTTTAGAGCCTTGCGCCACGCTAGAGGATGGTTGGTCAGGGTTTAATGACACTGGAGAGAAAGAGACTGACCTTGAAAACGATTGGCGAGAAGCTCTGTCGGGTTGCCGCTGGTAGGGACAGGGCAGTAAAAGACGCTGTTCGTCTCCTCAGTCTCGCCATACTTCTCCTTCTCGCCCAGTTTCAAACTCCTTACAGAGCCAGCATAGCTACTCCGTTTACTAGCAGTTCTCTTCAAGCTGGTACTCTTATGTAACGAGGGCTTCTTCTTCAACGTGCCGCTCCTCGAGGGTAGTATGGATTGAGAAGTCGAGAGGTGCGAATTGGTCCGAGGAAGCTCTGGAGCTGCCTCCTGATTCGCCGACATGGGGGCATCCTCGTAAGAACCAGCTGCCTGCGAAAGCACAGATAATTGCTGAGGGGCGCCTACGCCATGAGTGTTATCCACGTGCGACACAACATCGGTATGTTGAGTACCAGCGTAAGAAACAGGTCTCGAGGAAGGGCGAGCGCTGGCCGGTCGCGCCGAGTGAATAGAGGGATCTGCAAGGGCAGAATTGCCAGCAGGAGCGGCAGAGCCAGGAGTAACAGGTCTCTCCATCATGATGAGTGTAGTCACCACTTGGTAGATGGCCGGATTAAGCTGGGGCGAGCAAGCAGAAGAACCAGGGCAGTATAGTCAGAGCCAGAGAGCAAAGTCAAGTAGCAACGATCATGTTGATGACATTGTTGGAGTTCGGGGATTGTAAGAAGATGGATTCCCGAGGCAATGGTGAAGTGAGTCTGGTCAAGATGAATTTGGTGGAGAGTAGATGTAGAGAAGGGAGAATGCGAAGGAGTCGAAAAAGAGTTAAAGGAAATGAGGTGCTACAGAATGCAGTGGATGACGTCGAGTGGAGGAAGGTGAGGTTGACAGACAATGAGGCGCAACCCGCTCTTTCTTCGACTCTGACAATCAAATGCCAATCTGCTTGAGCTTCTTGGTTTGCGGTTGTTCGGTGCAACAACGGGCAAACGACAAAGAAGAGGGGGGCGATGGGCGATGGTGGGCGGTGCGACTGGCCACTGCCACTACCAGGTATGGGGTACCAGGTTGATCATAGAAGGGCCGGCAGCACGAGTGGAGAGACTCGTCTGGAGCTCTGGGTCCTGGAAGGAACCATTTGGCACGGGTGCGGGCTGGGGTGGGGGGGAGGCGGGCTTGCAAGTGGGCCTTGGGCGACCACCTAACCACCAAAGGCAAATAACCTCAGGCGCTAGTTTTCTAGGTAAAGTAGCTTCTAGCTAGCCTCTAGGTATCGTAGCTGAGATAGACTGAGGCAGCTGGCCTTCATCTGGTGCAGGGCGACTGGAGCACTCACAATGCTACTCTGATGACCGGGCAAGCTGCGAGCTGAATAGACAGTGTGAGCTCATTGCTGAGAGCGATGAGGACTAACTCGGAAGGTGTGCGGCAATCATGCTCCTGGCTCCTGGCTCCTTGCTCTTGGCTCCTGGTGGCCCTAGCGAGTCAATTCACCATCCATCATCCCACTACACTTGGCTGAATCCAGAAAGGAGCTGTCCTCATCAAATCCAGCCGGAGGATGCGCGATGCACGAGGTACCAAGCAGATGCACGAGTTACTTGGTACGAAAATAGGTACAAAGGAGGTACACACGTGTCTACTGGGAGGAAATCCGAGTTGTACTGAGTACCTAGCCAGCTACCTAATAATCACGCACATTACTACTCCTTGCCCGAGCTCTTCCAAGACGTGACATCCACCTAGAACACCTAGTATCGTAGATGAGTTACGGCTATGTGTGCCTACATGATGCTTCGTAACCTTTGGTTAGTACGGAATACCTCGCCCTCGCCCTTGCCCTCCCTGCCGGGAGAATGTTCCTTAGCCACTTGACATTGCTTCTGTGTACAGGGTACGGAGGACCACGAGCCACATCTACTAGCTTCCGGAACCCGGATGCCATGCTGGTAGCAAGCTCGAAGATTCGTCCGAAGGGTGCTGGTATCTCGATTAGCATCGACTTCTATTGAATTTATGAGCTGTGATCGACTCCACTTCCCTCAGATAGCTCACAATGACTAAAATCGGGGAAGCTTTGGCTACACATTTGGCATCCCCAGCTAATCAATTACATACTTAACTACCTAGGCCCAGGTAAACAGGATTAACCGTACCGTCGACGGTAGCAGTCCCCGAGAGTAATTCTTACACGGCGGCCACACGCTTATTCAATCTGGTCGAGGAAGCCCATTGCAGGTGTACCTAGTAGCCAGCTGTACGAGTGATTCAATATTTCCTCCAAGTATCTGTACATAACCATGTCTGAGAAGGAACGTGGACAAAAGTCGGCGGGTATGTGCCACTTTTCGCAAAGTTGCGCAACAGGGGGGCCCTGGACCGAACGCAATGCCCTCCGCGTCATTGACTTTCAGAGCCACGAGCTCCTGCCAGAACCCCAAGACTGGGCACTGGCGTCATTATTACGAGGTACTACATTGTTTAGTGCTCGGTACGGAGGACAGAGGACACATCGGGCGCCGGGACAGATTATTATTGATGGCTATTTCAAGTCGTTCAAATACGATACTCCGTATTGGTAGGTGAGCTACACCAGTCCTTCTAAAGCTCAATTGTCCAACGTGTGAGTCAGGCAGCAAGGCTCAAATGGGGACATTCCCACTCTGTGATAACCAAAGTTGCCGAGGGAGACATCCAAGGTTCACGTCAATAATGCCACTGGCTTTGCTCCGCAACTATTCGGATATTGCGATGGGGTCACTGCATCTGCAGGTGCCATGATCATGTTAGCTGACTCTGCTGTTCGCCTCGTCAATGCCAATACCAATCATCTCCCACTCTCGACCATACCGATTGAGCTGGTGGCAATTTGTCCATGCAGAGACGGGGCCTTGGGTGCCGGGCACCTACTAATTAGGGGACGTCCCAGCGACATCAGTTGCTTTGCCTGGGGGTCTTGTAGCCTACATACTCCAACCTACAATTGCTGACCTGCGCGTAAAGTAGCACTGATGCACCATAACCTTGGCTTGGTTCCCAACTTCGGCTATGAAACACCGTCAACCTACTTAGCAAAATCTCAGTATTTCCATCACATAAAATTGTAAACCACCTCGGATAACCTCGAGTTTATATTGTTTCTTCCTGGGTCCTTTTCTCTGGCTCTGCCTGCTCTTCATCCGGCCCAGTATGTTTACAGAAATTCAGATTCAATATGTACAAGAGACTTCATTGATCGGCTTGTTGCATTGGCTTTTACCACCACACCTTGAGCTATGGCATGTGCAAGAGGAAGGGCGAATCTTCTCAGTATCGACGCTATGCAAGGATTTGAATGGCACCATGCACCATGTGCATGCTGACGCGATTTCTTTTACGATGTTGTAGACTTGTAGTATGGTTCGGGGATGTCCATGTCGTACTTCTCCTTCAGACGTTGTCTCCTTCTCTCGTCGTATCCGGGTCCATAGATACCTGTACGGCTGTCAGCATCCAATTGGCACTAGAAAGTCGGCAGAGCTACCTCTTCCTTCGCCCAACTCGTTTATAACCTCATTGACAGGTCGCCGGAAGCGACTTTTGGCTTCTGCCTTTTCTGCAATGCGGTCTATTCTGGGATCATCTCCCGCAGACGCAAAAACAGAGGATTGTGTGTAGCCGACCACGCCTGCAGCAGTTCCCAATAATAGCGAGTTGAGGACAACTGCGGAGGCTCGAAGTTCTGTCATCAGTCAGTGAAAAGATCGAGTTAACTGGGACAAAAATATGCGTACTGGCCGCGCCCAGCACTGCGCCGGCGATTGCACCACCAATTGCGTTGTTGATATGGTCATTTTTCTGGCGTAAATTGGCAGAGACACTGGCAGCAAACTGATAAGATCCGCCAGCAGCAGCTATGACATGTTAGGTATACTGAGTTTCAAAGCAGCCGAGCACCAGTGTCATACCAAAAATGCCCACGGTGCTGCCAAACCGCGAGATCACACCGAAAGCACCAACATTCTCCTTGGTTACAGTATTTTGAACGGCGGCGAGGAACAGTCCAGCCGTACCAGTTAAAGCAATGGCACGTGTCGCGGCGCCCAGGGCATCTTGAGGCTGGTAGAAGGGTGTTGGGGGAGGATCAACAGTCTTTGGATCAACAAGATCAGCCATTACTGCGACTGCTCAGGCGGGAACTCTCGGCGGAGGGTGACTACTTCATGGGACAGCTCAATATGCCCTGTAGAGTGTCGAACTCGAGTTCGGGAGGGAAGAAAGCGGGGGCAATGTGAGGTGGGAAAAGAATGCAGTTATGTGCAGTTCGTCCTCGAGACTGAGGTCCAAATTGACAAAAGGGCAGGTAGTGGAACATGCGATCTTGCGGCGGGAGAGCTCCGAGCAAGCAGCCAATGGTGTCGGCCGTGATCAAGGATTAACAGACACTAATACGCGCTAACGCCGGGCCTTCATCTGCCCGCCAGTGATGCTCGGGATTCCGACATAGAGGCCGATTAGTGACTTACTAGCATTTGAAATCCGTAATGTTGGCAAGCGCGCCCCATAGGCGGCTCCCAGGCGGAGCTGCAGGCTGAGGTGCACAGGTGTCGCTGCAGTGGCAGGCGCAGGCTCCATGGAAACTGTGACCACAGTTCAACTCTGCGTGAGACGCAATCTGTTATTTCTCCTCGCTGTGCCGAGGACTTTCCAGATATCTATATAACTGCCTTGCCATTGATACCAGCAATAAGCATTTTGGAGCCCTGTACAAAAAGCCTTACCCTTCCTCTTTGGCCGCGAGCCTGCGTTTCTTCCATCCACCGACCGAGTTTCTTGGATTCCCCTCTACATCTTACTTTGCCAATCTCCTACTTTGCGTTGGAGAAGAAGAAGAGTCCGTCGCGTACTGATCCTACACTCTCTCGTACCTGTTATAAATCTCCATCCTTAAAATCTCTGCTGTTCTCTCAATTCATCGGTTACCTACGGAATTCACTACCTTTCTGCTGGCTCCCCGGGCCGGCAGGTTACTACCGACCCGTTGTGTATGGCCGGCGTGCAAGGAAACATAAGGTCCTTCATTGCCCCGGTAAAAGGATCTGGTGTGTAGCTTTCATTTCAAAGGTGGAGTGAGGATTTTTACTAATGCTCATGCTCCAGGGCGGACTGCTCCAGCACTTCTTCAAGATCTCACCCTATACGAGCCATGGCAATCTGCCCTTCCCAATCTATTGGCGGACTCCCCCCTTCAATTCAGTCAATTCCAATACTTGGGTGAGGCTATCAACCTTGGGAGCTGCAGACACAGATTTTGCATCAAGCCTCGACAGTCGCAGCTACCCGTACAAGATGAGAGGCCCGGCCCCGACACTGTCTGGATTGCAGCAGCCTTCTGTCTAGTCTGTCGGGTGCATATTCATATCAAGGTTGACTATACCACCAGATTTGAGCATGCCCCTTGTCCTAATGCTGAACATCCCCTTCACCACTTGGTCAGGTCGGGATTTCAAGAGACATTGGAGCGCAACTTGTGGAGGCGACAGAACCCAAATTCAGAAGATGAAATATACACCTTCAAGTGTTCTTCCAGTACATGTTCTGCCACTGCCACCGTTCGTTTCAGTCCACCAGTCTTGCGTCCCAACGATGTCCGTACCCTGACCAATCCAGACTTGCTGAGCCAGCGTACTGGAGAGGCTTTTCGAAGACAGGAAGGTCAGACCGAAGGCATGAAAAACCCCACACCTACCGATGTCTTGTGTGACCTCCGTTCCTATCTCAAGAACTCCTGGAAAGCAATTTCCGATCCAAAGTTTAGCCTCATCAAGCTCACCAACAAGAGATTCATTGTCCGCTTCGGTCCCGATGGCATTGCCTGCCGTAATGTTCTTGAGCATCTGGGCTTTCAGCTCGAGCCTGGAAACGCTTGGAAGGTACCCGAGCCCATTTTTGAAGAGGCCCAGCCATTTCAAAGCGCGGTGAATGCCTTCCTCGACAATGCGGAGCACGAAATTGTCGCTCTTATCCTAGCCCGCCCATTCACCGAGCGAGAGCAAATCCAAGATCTTGCGCAACCCCAAAGTGCTGATAAAGAGTTCTCTCGCGTTTTAGGAAGTCAAGACTATGACAAACACCCCTCCAGTAGAACAGAGAAATTAGCCCCAGAGATGAGGACTGGTTCTTTCATAGCGCTAGGCTGCCCATCCGATTCTTCAGATGATCTTGTCATCAGAGCCTACCACTGGCAGGTGCAAACAGATCCTCAGAACACACCCACATACTTGAGCAATCTTCGTTACATTGCTAATCAACGACAGAGTGATGTTCTCGAGACTGAAGTCGTCATGGAAACTTCAAAGGGTCGCTTTGAGGTAGAAATGTTGAACAAGGCTTACAAGGCCTTCCAACTCACTGGACGTGAAGCCGCTGTCAATGATGATGATATTATCGGCTCTTTTATTGCTACGCTAGCAGATGCGCCTGCGCACGAGCTTGAACTTAGGGATTACCTGCGCATCATTGGTGTTCATCGCAACAGCAAAAAACTCTTAGATATGGCAGAAAATGGTAGGGCAGTCAAGATCCACTTGTACACTTCACTGACGCACTCCGATCTAGTCCTTGAAACATATGAGCAGGCCCTTCTCTTTTTAGACGCTAGTCCAACCAATGAAGATGAGCACATTCAAGCTTTGTTTGCTGTCAAGGTTTGTGTCACCTCGATTTCTTTTTACCTGACACTTCATACTGACCATTTGATGAAAGACCAACGACAACAAAAGCGCGGAAGACCAGGCAATCAAAGCTGTTTCGATAATTGCAAAACACCGTAGAAGTCAATTTCTGACATCTTGGATCGAATCTGGATTTTCCCCCGACGCCCCAATGGAGCCAGCAGAGGGTTACCAGGCACTTCAGATCCAAAATCGTGAGATTGACGATGATATCATCATTCTCCAATACAACATGGCTGTAGAAGAAAACCCAAACAGTGTCGAATTCTATACCAAGGCCCTTACCGCCATTGCAAATGGAAGAAATAGTTCGGTTTTGTTTGATCACCTGCATGCGAGAGCACCTCAAGCACCTCAAGGTACCTCTGAAGAGCCAGTCGGCCTTGAAAACATCGGCAATACTTGTTACCTAAACAGCCTCCTACAAGTGCTCTTCACCACGACCGAATTACGAAAAGTTGTTCTGAATTTTGACGATTACAGGATGGCTCTGGATGGAAGCAGCATCGAGCGGAAACGAGTTGGACAGCGACAGATTAGCCTGCAGGAGGTCCAGACTGCCCAAAAGTGTAAGTCCAGATCTCAAACTTGTGTGCACCGTTAACCTGTTCGTAGTCGTGACAAGCCTGGCTTCCTTGTTTCAAGGAATGATCCAAAGCCCGCATTCTTCAATCAGACCAGAGCAAGAACTTGCACGTCTTACCTTGGAAAGCCACAATCTAAAGGAAAGAATGCGACGCAGATCAACACTCAAGTCCACCGATCGCCCAAGTCTAGGTCAGACCGATGGCATGGCTTTCCTCGGTCCTCTCACCCTAGATGAATATGCAAGAAACAACAGCAGCGATGATATCGTACAGTCGCCGACTGAGAACGATGGAATTGATCTGCTTGATTTCGATGCATCGAAACCGGACGATTTGGATGGCCAAGATTCTAAAATGACTGATAATTCCAGCGAGGAAACACTTTTCTCCAAACCCGACTCCGAGCAATGTCTCCTTGATAGCAACGCAGCCGACCAACGAGCGATGCTTGATAACAAGGAGAACTTGTCCCCTGGCAAAGCTGTTGCCCCTCCCAAAAGTGGCCACTCCCAGGATCAGAATACCGCGCCCCTTGCACCCTCATCCCCATCAAAATTGAATTATCAGGCTGGACTGCTATCTTTTGGAACAGTATCTGAGGAGACAGAGACAAAGCAAGAGCCAGTAAAATATCTTCCTCCCCCAGGAAAACCGCCTCCAGTTCCACCACGAAAGCCTGTCGAAAATCCAACGACAACGCTAGAAGAATATGCCAGGCAACAAGATGTGACCGAGGTCATTTCACATGTTCTCACTTCGTTGTCTTCGGCGATTCGACCTACTGGCTTTGACAAAACTGGCGAGCAGCTTGATGAAGTGCACGACACCTTCTACGGGCAGCTCAACCGACATACTGAAGACGACAATGACCAGTCCAAGTCGGAGCAGTATCGAGACATTATCACTCGAGTGAGTAATCAACCAACAGATGTCTACGCGGCAATCGACAATGAGTACGACTTGCAAGTTGGCGGAGCAGAGAAGAAGGGCTACACTTCTCTTGAAACACTACCACCTGTTCTTTGTATTCAGCTCGATCGAGTGATTTGGAATAAGGAGTTCAATCGTCAAGAGAAAGTCAACCACCATGTGGACATCCCAGAAACAATCTATATGGACCGGTATCTCGAAAGTTCACCTGATTCCGAGCTTATGCAGCGCCGCCGACAGACATGGGATCTGAAAGCAGAGCTATCAATCCTGTCCGCGCGGAGGGCTGTCCTCGAAAAGAAACATGTAAGTTGTGTGGAATCAGAGATTGAGAAATCCAAGCTAACAGAGTCGGAAGGGACAATCCAGGGACATTCCAACCCTTTTGGAAGATGCGAAACTTGCTCTGGAGTATCTTGCAGAATTACCAGGCGAGACCATTGGTGGTGAACTTGATGTCAAGTCCAGTACTATTGCGACTCTCGGATCCTTGGCCGAGAATGCCAGGGTTGAACTAGATGGTCTGATGATATGAACAGCTTGTGCCGGACCACGGCTAACACTTCTACAGACCTCAAGGCTCGATCAGAGGCTGTCACACAACAAATCAAAGAAGCCTTTGTAGACATGCGCAAACATCCATACCGGTTGCACGCGGCCTTCTTCCACCGCGGAAGTGCCGGTGGCGGCCATTATTGGGTATATATCTACGACCACAAGAAGGAAATCTGGCGTAAGTACAATGATGATCGTGTCACAGTGGTCCAAAATAGGAACGAGATATTCGGAAAGCCAGTCCAAGATAATTGGGGACCGCCTCCTAACCCTTACCTTCTTGTTTATGTACGGTCCGAAAAGGTGAACGAAGTCGTGGAGACCGTCAAGCGGGACATTGTCTACCAACCTCCTGATGTGCCACCCCCGGTCCCAGCTCGCAACCAAATGAGCGCAATTCCACCTGTTCAAGGAGATTATGGAGAAGTGGAGATGAGGGAGTATGTCAACGGCGGTGAGCAGAACCCCTTTTTGGAGCATCTCAGCCTCGGAGAACCACAACAACCGATTGTGCAGAAGGAGGGCGAATGGGATGACAGCCAGCTGATGGCGGATAGGCCAGTCAAATGGTGAAGAAGACGCAATGATGCGTTTGCATCCCCTCCTGTGAGCCGAAACTGCCACGCAGGACTTTACAGTATCGATCTTACGATTTCTAATTCCCATGCATGTTTTTTTCAATGGTCCTCAAAAGCGAAGATTCAACGAAAGCAAGCAGCAACAGGCCGAGCCTCTAAATTCTCCTCATATTCTCCCGTTCACAGGACTTGTCTTAGTACAGTATTCAATTTCGTCATTTCCATGACAGCCAATGAAACAAGTTGGAAGGATGAGGACATCTCAAAGGATTGTTTCTCTACTTGATTTGTCTATAACAATCACCTTCACACGCTCTGTATCAGCCCGACACTCCTTGGAGCTTCCCACCTTCATCAACTCAGAATCTGCTCCGTCCTGGATGCGGAAGCAATTGATACCTTGGAGCAGGACAGCAGACAATTTTACTATTGGTAAGCGGAACTGTGCACTTGAGAATTGGTCCAGTGACGGCCCAATGATACCTCTCAAGAAGGGAAAGTTTCCCATGAGAAGGGCCAAAGAACCTCCGAGATGGATCAGGGCAGTCAACAGTGCTGCCCCGTTCTACACGATAATCAGTTAGCAAGCGTCTAAGAAGAGGCCGCGGCAAAACCGTCAATACATGAATGAAAGGCCCTTCAACCTATCTATATACAATCCTACTTTTCTTCCGAGTTGATCCCATCACATATCCAATGCCGCCGCTAGAATGAACAGAAGCTGAGGTTCCTGGGTTTGTTCATCTGCTAAGCGAGCGAGTGATCAGGGCTACTTCGAAAGAGGCATTGAGAAGGGCCTGACCGGCAGATAGATATCTACTCGACGAATTTCACCATGACCCTCTCTGCTTCTGCTGCTTCCTCAGATCTTCGAGTGGTTCCAGCGTACGTACCTCCTGAACAAGTCACTTAAATTACGATTTCGCCGTAGGCACAGAGATTGCCGCTTGTTCAGTAAATCTTGAGGCTCAGCAACGCCTTCCCGGCCCCCTCAAAGACGTATTTGATGATGGATGCAGCTGAATACCAACATGCTAGGGTATCCTTATTTCTCTTCGCCTCGTGATTGCTCAGAGCCCCTGATATCCGACTGGGTTACTCACAACTGCTGCTTGATGTTTCCACAACGGGCTGTTCGAGCTAGGAACTAGGTACGAGCTTTTCTCGCAGCGAATGCGGTGCGACCTTGAACGAAAGAAGACTTGGCAACGAAACTCGAGACCTGATATAGATGGCATAGATGGTCGTGTGTGCCATGTACTGCTGATTCGAATCATTACTGGTATTACATTGGTACAGTTGTACGTCATACATGAAAGGCCCTCTTCCAGTGCCTTCCTGAGAACTATAGCGAATCTCACCACAAGAGCGCGGTTTGCCTGTAATTGTATCGACTTGTTGTATCTGTAATGGTAGCGCCTGACTTGGTGTTGATACATTCGTAGTTGAACCCTCCCCTTATCCTCCTGATACATGCATGCTGCATTGTCATGATCAGTTAATTTGCAACAATACTTCCACACCGGCTCAGGTATGCCAGCCCTTCAGCTGACCCTCAATAGTGCTTAGCAAACAATGTTAAATGATGCAATATTAGCATCAACGTGCCCAATCTTCGTCCTCACTGTCGGATTGCAATGAAAGAGCCGGCCCATCCCGTAGTCCCCTTTCTGCCCGAGCCAAAGCATCATAATCGACTCCTACAAGCTCAACCTGTTGTGATCTTGTTGCGGCGTTTGTTCTCCCGACGGGACTACGTACTCTCTTGGCAAAAGCTTTTGATGGAATGATGTTCATTAGCATTTCTTCAGCCGCCTGCCTAGTGAGGGATCGATCTACCGGGTGCGACAAGTTCTGCAGTCGAGTTCTGACTTCAAGTCTCGCTTTCTTTTGGACTGATGGAAGAGCGTTGAAGAATGCCCACAACTCCTGGATGTGCGTCCCATTGACTAGAATCGATCGTTCATTGAAATCGGCGATGGCAGAGTCGATATAGTAGAACCTACTCATGAATCAGATCAAGGCTCTCTACGATTGTGTCAGTTGACCCACCTTCCTCCCCCACATCTCAGGAACACAGGTGCAATCCCCAGGTCAAATCGTGGCGCGTTGAAGAGGTCTAAATAGACGGCGAATTCAACCACATCCGGCGTTCTGCCTCCAGCTCGAGCTACACCCTTTCTGAGATTATCCAACGACCGTTTACCACGTGGCGTGAAGAATTGTTGTGGATCGAGCTTGGCTCGTTTGGCTGGCTCCCTGTTCTCGCCATCATGAAAGCCTTGACCGCTCACCTCAGCGTGCTTGATTCCATCCCCCACTGTCCCGTTTGAGTGTGAAAGAGATCCACCAACCATCGGGCCAAAGAGTTCGGCAAAGGCGCGATTTTCATTTGTCAGTCCAGCGACGGGGTCAGGCTTTTGGGAACGTGGCGATCTAGCAGCCGCGACCGATCCTTTTGGTTTCTTCATAAGTTCCCGATGTTTGAGTATCTCTTGTAGAGAAGTGTTCGACCACTGCATGATAAAGGTGGCGTTCTTCTCGTCTATTTTGAGGTGTCGCTGTCCAACGGGTCTGGAAAAGTCGAATAGGGTAAATTCGCCGAATCTGTAGCCGCAATGAGCATTAATATCAATTGTGGGATTTTCAATTGAGTTCTACCTTTTTTTGAGCTTCAGTTGACGATATCCTATATTATGTCGATGGACGTTCATAGCATCTACAAACTGTTGCAGAATGAATTTTGGAAGGAGGGGAAGTGAAAAGACACCGTCGACATCTATGTTCGCTATTGTTTTCGGTTGCGGTATTGTTTCGGCTGGGTCAGATTTGGATTCTTCATCACTAGAGAACACTTGTTAGCTTGATCAGGATGAAATAAATACCCGAACCATCCAAAGCTCACGCTTGATTAGATCTAGCGGTTGCCTTGGTCTGCTTTGACTTCTTCTTCATCGATGTGGGCAGGGGTGCACCTCTCGACATGCTGCCGCCTTGCCGAGATTGTTGGCCACCGTCAAAACCCCGATTATTGCCAGATTTCTGTGTCTCATTCCCGTTCGCATTGGTCGAGCCCTTTCTCACTGGCAAATTGATAGCAATATCATCCTTGGGGCGATTCTCTAACGGCTGCTGAGTGGAGTGCTTCGAGTTATCTCTACGATTTAGGATGTTGTTGGCTGAAGGAGCACGCACGCGGGGGCTGCGAGCGCGTATGTGATCAGCTCTAGAGCGATCGAATTCATAAGGAGATCGTGAGCGGCATCTAAAGGTTCCAGTATCATCAAGGTCACCTCTCCGGGACCGCAGCAGCCCTGGAGAAGGTGATCTCGATTTTCGCTGACCGAATGAGTCTGTTGAGTACCAATCGTTGCGAAGGCGCTGATTTCGGTGAGTTGACGGATTGTATCGATCGAAATTCGTATCCTCAGGCCAATTTGGACGTGGTGGAAAACGTTCTGGGGCCCGAAAACTGAAATTATGTCGTGCAGAATGAGTGCGCACACTAGTCTCAATCCTTGGTCTTATGAAATCGTTCTCGCTGCTGTCGTCGCTAACTGTTCCAGATTTGCCGGCGTGGTGCATGCCTGCTCTTCCCTTAATCGAGAGGCCCTTTGGTCGTAAGCCGCGACTTTCAGCCTCCCTCTCCAATCTCCTCATATTTGATTCGAGGCTGAGATTAATGATCTGAGTATAGTCAACAGACTTCATCGACCATCTCGGAGCAAAGTTTTGGTCCAGTTCTGGGCAATCTCCGACATAATGAGATTTGCTTGCGCAGTGACAGCAGGAGACCCATACTCTAGCTGGGCTGGAAGCGGCTTGATAAAAAGGAGGGAAAAACCGTTCAGGACATGAGTCTTCGATGTGCCCCAGAATACCGCAAAGATCACAGGGAACAGTAGTGACTTTGATTCCTGTAAGGCAGTGATCGGAAGTATGGCCTCGCTCGCGACACAGTGTACATCGGCTGACTAATGGGCAGAGACGAGCAGGGTGCTTGCTAACAATGCCACAATGATAGCATGCTCTTTCCGGACATGATGCTTGCGTATGACCTTCCTGCAAGCATCCGAGACAGACTGCAGAGCGGTCGAGGTCAACCTGTTCTCTCTCGAGATGAGAAAAGATATACCTGAATTGCAATTCTAACTCTGGTTGGCTAAGATCCGCTAATCGAAGTCGGCCATGCGGATCGCTTGTATCGGTCCGTTGATTGTGGCCGCGGAGGTCACTCTGAAGAGATCCTGTTTGCGAGGCGCTCTGAATCAACATGGACTCTGGAAGCACACTTCCCTTAGTCTCTGAGTTGCGTGGTTCGAGTCCCTCATCATCTCTGGTTTCGCCTTCCTCCATCTCACTTTCGTCGTCAACAGCCATGAGATCATGCGGGTGGAGGTTCGTGGCGTTTCCAACATTCAGAAGCATGCCTCCACTCTCTGAACTCGAATCTTCATCATCAGAAATCTCAATCGCATCATCAGCTGAGTTACCCGGACTAGAGGCAACACTCTGAGGAGCTTGTTGGGAAGTTGTGGAGGTCGCCGCGGTTTGTTCGGCTAAAATGGCACGAGTTTTATGGAATCCAGTCGCCAGGCGATTATTTCCAAATCCAGAAGAGGCCATATCTATCGCTACTGGTTGGTATCAATGCCAAGTGATGTGTAATGAGCCTCTAACAGGCGCTGGGAAATGATGGAAGGATTTGGTATAAGAGGCGCCCCAAGCGGAGACTGTTGGTTCCAAAGCTGTGATGGGGATGAAAGACAATTTGAAAACGAGCCAACTTCATGAGGGGGCTTGCTTGTAGGACTGACAGAATCAGCGCGCGACTAACGAGTTGAGTGCCCTCCACAACCAGCTAACTCGGGTGTCGAGAGGAGCGAGAAGGAGGGAAGGAATGAAAACCGTACGCAAGGCCAGGTTGTCTCGTCGTGCACATACCCGGAGGACCATCCTGATAATTAAAATCAGAGACTCGACTGGTTCCGGGAATGGGCAAAGTGGGATGAAGGCAGTCAGCAGTCACTGACCTTGGATTTGGTAAAGGACCGAAGGGAGTCACACTTTTGATAGCCAAGACCTTTCCGGATTGGTCTTAGCTGGATCTGGAGTGAATTAGTAGAAACTAGTCGGGCTAGCGGCTCTAGATCGTCAGGTGCAACCTATCCAAGATTTCACACATTACTACCACCAACGACACGCTACGTATGCTGCATCCACCAGCAGCCTACTCGTACAGGCAACCCACGACCCCCATCCGGTACATCGTCGTCCCTTCTCATCACAACTACTCCCTTCTCATCGTCGGACAACCCAGTTTGTCTACTGTGTTCTTTCGACTACATTCTTTGCCTTCGCTCTCCGATCTTGTGTACACTCTCCTCCATAAAGCAACGAGTCCGCCACCTCCCGTCTATCTCGCTTCCATCTACGGACTATCCTAAACCAAACCGTCCGATTTTGTTTCAGACGCCACTGACCGAACGCGAGCAATTCGCCTCTCCAAATCCTCTCGTTTTCTCTCGATCGTTCGTGTGCTTCCGTTGACGGTCCAGGTACACTGCTAATGCCGACCTACAGGTTCCTTCGTTTCAATCTATCACTCCTGCTTCATGACCTCCCAAACCGCTCTGCACCGGACCATCTCCTTCGAAGCCAATGCCAGACTTGCTCCCCCCGTCTCCTCCTACAATTCAGCCATGAGTTCCACAAAAGGTGGTCGAAGAAGGAGATCTAGCAGCATCATCTATCAAGAACCACCGGAATCTCTGGAGCAGATCAGTGACCAAGAAGCACTTCCCAACCTGAATTCACAATGGGTCAACGCCAAAGGTGCGCTTGTCTGACAGAAAAAAGCGCGAAGAATTGCTGATGCCTTGATAGGTGCCTGGACGATACACCCTGTCCTCATACTTGGACTAAAGATCCTTTTTGATATCATCCCCGGAGTAACCCAGGAGATCTCTTGGACCCTAACCAACATCACTTATATGGCCGGCTCCTACCTCATGTTCCATTATGTGCGAGGGGTTCCATTCGAGTTCAATGCTGGAGCCTACGACAATCTGAATATGTGGGAACAGATCGACAATGGCGACCAGTATACCCCGGCAAAGAAATTCCTCCTCACCGTCCCCATTGTACTGTTTCTCTTAAGTACTCACTATACCCACTACGACCTGACGTATTTCATTGTCAACTTTATGGCCTTGATGGCCGTTGTGATACCCAAACTTCCTCAATTTCATCGGGTTAGGATTGGCCTTTTCTCGGATCCTCCGGACGACTAGACTTGGAGAACGCGCAAGCCGGCTGGCACTGGAGGTGGCTTTATTCTGACCATGTTTTTTCTTTCTTTTTGGGAACAACTATCTGTAGTATTATGATACACAATACGAGGCTGTGATCCAAACACTGGGAAATAAACTACCACCACTTCGTGACGGAAAGGGACAAAATGAGAATGTGATGGCAAATGGACTTTCATCCTCTTATAATCTGGATGAGATTAGATGCGGGAATGCAGAGTTTGCTTCAATTGAGCCTCGTTATTTCCCATGCGCTTTGCTCCTCACGAATTGCGGTTCTCGTGCCAGCGAATGATCATGATAGCCTTTTCCGTCTCCTGTCGGTTCTAACCACGTCGGGCTGAAAAGTGCCTGTGCTCTTAAGTCTTACACTTTATCTTGAGCCGAAGGCAGCATCTGCGTCTCTCTAGTCCACAGTAGCAATGCGCGGTTCAGCCTACATCACCTTTGGCAGACCACAATAGAAGATAGCGGGGAGAAGAAGGGAGAGAAAAGGCGTCCTGCGCCCTCCCGCTACGCTACGCTACGTATGTACGAGTAATGTATCTCGTCCCGCTCAGTTTACTCATACTACGATGGGGGTTTTTTTCCCTCTTCCTTCCCAAGAAAGCCGGAGCTCCCGTGGGCCAACCAAGCTGCTTTTGGTCACGGATCTCGGGAAAAGGATGGGCTTGTGCAGTGCTTCGATAAGGCGGCGACGCACGAGTCACGAGTCACGACTGTGCACACCTCCTTCGAATATGGATGTACGTGTAGTAGCATGCGGAAAGACAGGGACCAGCTTACGTGTTATGTGATGAGCTTGTGCGAGACATGTCTCTCTAACGTGCTCGCTAAGCTTTGGAGGTAGAGCCTAGAACATGAATTTGTGGGTTTCAAGTTCCGTGATCCCTAATATCACCCCCTTGTGGGTCAGTGATGGATCTCCAGAATAATACAGTCCTTGTCTCCGCGGCTCATTCCGTCGTACGAGTAACTGTAGTGATGTGCCCAGTCGCTGCGTTTCGATTGATCCAATTATCTAGGGCAATCGCCACATATGGAGTACCCAACTTTCCCATTGCTGCTCTCAGCCTCGCCTGAGATGGCAGTGCATCATGCAATCTTTCCTCAATGATAGTCGTCCTGGATAGTTTCGCCTTGGGGGCAACCAACAATAGGACCTGTTCACAATTGAGCACATCCGTCACAACATATTGTTGTCAGCTTTCATGAGCAAGGCAAAAAGTCAGTGGTCTTCGATGAACCAAGAGCCCTTAACGTTCAATATCATCTTCAGTTTCTTCATCATCGCCCTCATACTCATCTTCGTCTTCATCTTCGTCTATATCATCGACGGCTTGTTCGAATTCTTGTTCTTCTCCCTCGTCCTCGTGCATATTGCCCACTTCTTCTTCTTCTTCTTCTTCTTCTTCTTCTTCTTCTTCTTCTTCTTCTTCTTCTTCTTCTTCTTCTTCTTCTTCTTCTTCTTCTTCTTCTTCATCGTCGTCGTCGCTGTCCACATCCATAGAGTCTTCGTCCTCAGCATACTCAGCGGGAATAGTAGCTCTCGGTTTCCAAATTGCCTTGACTCTTCTGTTCATACAGATAATGTTGCGAGCCACGACACCACATGGCAACTGCTTGCGGTCCTTGTTTGGGAGCAGACACTTCGGTCCATCAAACAGCACGCGTCGGGCGGGGTTTCCCTCGGTTGTTATCTCATTCAGTAGATCTGCAACTGCCCAAGTATCTGACCAATCTTGTGGTCGTCGTAGGATTGATGCACATAAGGCGTGCATGGCCGCGTTTTGGAGTGGTTGGATGCTAAGACTATGCGCTAAATGGGTGTACTGGATTATCACCAGCTTTTGTCCAACGGTAAGTGAAGTGTTGGTGCCAGGTAACAGGATGGAGAGGGCTTCGCCTTTGAGAAAGCGAAGAGCAGAGATGAGAACAGCCATGTCGACATGTGTCAGATGGATCGTGCCGAGTAGACGACGTGGTGCAGGCTTCGCACTGATTTCTCTAGTCATTTGCTGGATATTCAGAGAAAAGGCAAGGAGGAGGTCAAGTGGGACTTCGATGGCATCATTTCCATCACAAGCGCTCGCACATTTGAGCAGGAATCGGGGACAATTATCAAGGTCATCCGTGGCTCTGGGTTCACAACGTTAGCTATGATTTGAACCTGAGACACATTCGACATCCTGGGGGTGGCAGACGGGCTCTGGAAGAAGATTGAACAAAGAATTACTTACTCTGGGATCCAGCAGTCGTGCTTGTACTCAACAAACAACATCTCATCTGTCGTCACCGTGACCTGAGTGTCTTCAGAAGTCCAAATCCGCGCCGATCTCTGCAAACTATCCAAGTTGCTAACTGACATCGTGAGCTTAGCCTGCACAGATAAACTAGCACCCCAGGTTCCCGGGACAGGATTTCCAGGTTGCCTTGGAACTTCAGGAGTGATGGTGGGTGCAGTGCCAGCGGCGATTAATGAGCGAGCTCCTTGGTGAGGATGAAAGGGTTGCGCATCACTCTGCATTCTAGGTTTCCCAGAACGTGGGTGACGGGCAGTTTTCTTAATTGAGTCCTTGAATATCCAGCGCCCGCTGCGACGCAACCGCGCATCAACCATGGCCATGTCGATCTCTTGCTTCATGATCTCATCAGTGCTGTCGCCTTGGTCTGAAGTTCCAGCAATGGATCTTTGTTCCTTGATGAGATCGACCAGTTGATGCATCAGACAATTTGGACAGATCCATAGATCGAACTCATCCACAAGAAGCTGGTCTTTGTACGGCAGACAATCTTTGTGGTACCAACGAATCTGACAACCTGGAGCATCGCAGCGAACACTGACAGTTCCAAGATCACCCTGTTTGCAGTAGCACCATGGTGTTTCCTCATCTTCGTCTTCGTCTTCCGCAAATTCTGGGTACTTCTCCAGAAACTGATTCAATCGATCAACAAGGATCTCGTAACGGCGAGAACTTCCGAGTTCCTCATCCGAGGTCGATGATGTTTCAAGGTCCGTGTCCATGATGGACAAGTAGGAGGCAGTATGCACGTAGATGGGGAGGGCTAACAGGAAGGTGATACGATGGTTCGGCTGACTGTAGACGTTGGCTTCCGCAACTGGTACCTTTTGTGCTTTGAAACTTTGTTGGAAAAGGTATTGCCTACTCAGACAGACGAACAGAGTGCAGTCATGTCAAGATGAAGTTTGCTATGATGAGGGTGGAAGCTGGATGGCACTGGCCTGATCCCGTGACTTTGTGTCCACTGCCTTGTTGCCATTGCTTATTCCCCTACAGCCAGAGGTGAATGAGCGCTTGGCTAGCATTCACGACTTGCGCTAGTTAAATAAATACTCGTAGCAGGCATATATGCCGAGCATTCGATGTCTTGACATACCTCTTGCAAGGGAGATCATGTTTTGGGCACAGCTGCACAGATCACCATCGTGAAATAGGTTGGGCTCCTGCCAAACCCTGCTGTCTTGCATTCAGTCTTGGAGTTCAAGTGCTGTGTTGGTGCCAGAGAATCTTGCCTCTTCATATCCATCTGATCGAAGAAACGCCGAAAGTATCGCTCAGCCACAAGTATGTAGTTGAGCAGGGAGCTTGGGGCTGATGGAAAGCTAAACGAGCATAATGGAATGAATGAGCGTCCAATGCTTCATAGTCAAAAGCGATATTCGGCAGAACTCTTCTTTCCCCCTTGGCTGAGACCTGCTGGATAGCAAGTCTCCATGACACCATTTCTGATGTGATTGCCTTTGTCAGAGTAAGGATAATGAATCCCATGGACGGAAAGCCATTGCCCTTGCCAAACCTTATGCGTCATGGAAGAGGCGCTACCTCGCACCTGGCCGCATCCGACTGATGCTGAAACCGCCAGCCCAGTAAGTCGATACTCCTGATCCCAAAGTTCGAAGCCTGTATTATCGACCATAGTATCAGGATTTACCGGAATATAACTACTTCCTGCTCGAGATGCCCAGGAATGGTCATGTCGGCCCCTGAGATCAGCAGCAGCTGCTGAGTCTGACTGGCCTGGCATTGCTGCTAGCGCCTTGGCCATAACCTTAACTCATCTCACTTCCTTCACCTCTTTCCTTCTGCTACTATACAGTACATCAAAACTGACTTCTATTTCTCTGCCATTTCTTACTACATGCAATTCATTCCCAGCGAAAGTACATTTAGATCACGTTCTACACCATCAAATCCCAGAAAACGATGCAAGGTGTTAGATGGACGAGCCGAAAGGAGGGCGGCCATGCCCCTACGAAATGCTTTTCTTCTTCGACCCACATCAATATAGGCCACCATGATGGAAGTGCGCAAGGACCTCTGGCCCATGCTGTCTCGGTTAATCGTTGGCTTTTCGTGGACTGGTTCATTCACCCCAGGAGATGTCATCCCATCAGGGATACTAGATTTTAAGGCAATATTTTTGTGCTTTCCAAGTTGTGGCGTCCAAATAGGTACTATATATTTCGTGCGTCTTATGAGGACCATTATCTTCACTATTTCTCTATATGGTTGGCACGAAGTATCTCGCGTTAGCCTTCGTTGCTCAACTCCCAATGAGTAATGACTACTAGGGACATGTCCTTATACTCTAATGTTTCCTTATCGCCACACTTGAAAGCGAACACACGATCCATGGGTGGACGACACTGGTCGCTTCTGAGCGTGTGATGCAGTGAGCAAGAAATAGCATTGACGGAAGGTGTGCTTAGTGACACTTTGAGCAGCTTTATAGCAGGATGCCTTCACTGCAGGGATGCCTCCAGGGCTATCAGGCAACACGATGATAGCACGTCGATCATCGCCCAAGGCCAGCATTATAGAGAGCAAGAAATGGTGGTCCTTCGTCCGGTACAAGCATGGACGCGATTTTTCTGGGTAAGGCCCTGCATTCTTTGTTCGAGGAACATAGCTAACATTCCCAAGCGGCTCGGGGAATCCAGAAAGGGGACATTGGACCCGACTCGTGTGTGGCGAAGCAAGCAAGGGCGCCACCACCGAATACATGCCTCTTGCATTACTTCTTGCCGTCAGGGCCAATCTGAACCCGGTGGGGTAAATCTCTCACCCCGGCCCCAATAGCATCTGTGGCACCCTGTACACCAGGCATCTCGATGATGGTGTTCTCCAACGAGCCGTCAATTTCTTGCAGGGGAAACCGTTGTTCGTATACCTCAGAACCCTCGAGGCACCGCTCATGGACAAGGAAAGACGGTGGCTCATCCAGTCTACACATCTCGCGCACGTCCTCAAGATCGAGTACCTTCAGAGGGCTGCGATGCACGCCCTCTATACTTGGATTCTTCGACGCCCTGAAGACTGGTCTGATACCTCTGCGTCGCGACGACTCCTCGAAGGCCTCACGACCGAAGGCAACCCAGCCCGCCGAGTATAATTGGAAGGACCAGGCTGTTTGCTACCCAGTGTTACGGGCAGGAAGACTCTCCCTTGTGGTCGTGAACAAGTGGAGTCCATCTGTTCCAACAGAGTTTTAAGTTCAAAGAGTCGCTCCGGCTATCATATCAGTAGGTGGTGATGAAGTGTAACAGCAACCTGATAGAGAATGGAGGCTGTGGGAATCAGGAACGCGCTGTATATGAAGCAATCACTTGCATGTATTCGTTACGTCGCTTGCAAGCGCTTGCAAGACAATGGGGACTGCGAGTACTGGAAAGGACGCTGGATGTGAAACAGGAACCCAGCCGGGATTTAAGCTTGGGGAAAACACCTTTCTACCTTCTATGTGAAAGGGAGCTATTGTCGAGCAGTAAGTCTTGTATGCAGTCGACGAGGCTTGAATCAATCCATCAGTCAGTCAGTTGCAAAAGAGAGGAAAAACTAGCTCGATAGTGAAACAAGCGTCATCTCATTCGTAGTAATACTATTGTACACTGTTGAAGCCAGAACAAAACCCCGGTATAAACTTCCCACCATCAAATCCACTGTGGCGGCCGCACAGCCGTTGAATGCTTCGGCAGCGCAGGCAACGGGGCCGTAGCTGGATTGAAGCCAAATTCAAAAGATCTCGGGCTGGCAAGACTCCTCCGTTCGAGAGCCTCAAGGGTGGCGATCACGTTACCCATCTGTGGCGCATCTTCCCCTCGTTGGCTATCATTTTCCTCCGTTGTTGTTTTCTTCTTGATTGTCAGCTTGGCCTTCCACTTCCGCTTGCGCTTGAGGAGATAAGAGACGAGCAGGCCGACAAGCGCGAGTCCGGCCATGCTCCCGACGATACTTCCGGCGATGGTCGCTGCAGGTGGTGAAGATGAGCCGTGAGAAGCGTCGCTGCTCGGGCATTCGGACGCGCGAGGTGGAGCAGGCCTGCTGGCGCCGATGGGCGGTGTGGCGGAGACGAGACTCAGTGTTTTGGTCGTGCCCAGTGTGCTTGTCACGCTCACTGTCGCTTCTTGGGTGCTGTTGCTGCTGCTGCTGCTGCTGCCGCTAATAGTGGTGTGGGAGGAGGCAACTGTGGGTTGGGAGTCAAATGTGCTGTTGCCGCTAGGGCCCATGGCAGCATTAGCGCCGAAATTCGGTAGGGCTGTGGATGAAGTGTCGATGGGAGACAGAGCTGTGCTGGTACCGTCGATGAGATTGACGAGGGTGCTTGTTGCTGCATCTTGTAATACTGTCTCCGTCACGGTCACCGTATATTCAATTCCACAGGGAGAATCGGATTCGCCCCTGCGCCAAAGATAGAACATGCTGAAATAATTTGAAATGGAAATGGTGGGACTCAATATGTTTTGTTTGTACTGGAAATGGATGACTCTGTCACGGTCTTATGCCCAATCCAAGGCACTAGTACTGCCGACAATACTGTATTCGATAAGTGTACAGCGGAAGGCTTTGCCACATGAGGCCAGCCTTTCTCGTTGAGGAAGCCTTGACTAAAGTAGCTGACTACACATTTGCTAGACAATGCAACCGAGTCTTTGTGTGTGAAGGAGCTCGGAGCGCAGAACAAGATTAGAAATGAACAAAACAAGGTACAAAGGGCACCACCCGAAATAGCACATTGTGCGCGCAATTTTGATCACCTTTGTTGAGGGCACAACTTCATCCTGATGCTTGATTGAAAGGTTTTTCTAGGATATCGCAGCTAAGCTTCTGCTTGCTTGCGAATTTGGGGTGTTCGTCATTGCGATTTCTAGTAGGCAGAACCTTTAGAGATGTGGTAGCTACCGATCACGGTGGCTCGAGATTCTGAAGACTTGTCATGCCTCCTACTTTGGATGAATTCTCTGTAGATAGTGTTGGACCATGATCTTCCCGGATCTAATCTTGAGATCCTTTTGATGCCTCAGGAGCGGAGACACCTTACCTATGGGATAAAGATGCTATCGAAAAGGCGGCGGCGTGGAACAAGGGAAGCGAGAGGGTCACCTACTCGTCTATACATGGCATTTCGACAGAGTTTCCCAAAACGGTCTGATGTCGAGTTTGGCCGGATCCGAACCGAGGAATCAGCCGAGCTCTGTTGAGCATCACATCAGAGCCGAGTGGTGGTGCAACCTGATGAGGCTGACATGAAGTCGTATGGGATCGATGTGAGCTGGCAAGGGGGCGAACTCATCTCTTAGTATGTACTAATACCAGAATTCTCGGGGGGACTTACGAGTAGCATTGCATGTGAAGGGCTGAATCAGGTGTCGAAATTCGTTGAGTTTCTCAGAGACTGGTTCTGGAGGCTTGTGCTTGAGGCACTCCATACTTGGCCGTCAGTAGTTGGTTGTAGCTAGACTCGGACAGATTGGAAGTTTGTGAGTCGTGAGCAAAATAGCCGACACGAACGGACAACACGTGAGGAGTAGTAGTTTGAATGGTCCAGCAGCTGCTTCATAAAGACTACTTTGTACTCGTAGACTAGCAATCAGAGCGTGGAAGGTCCCGAGGAGAGGCAAAGATGATCAGTGGACTAAGCATGCAGAGCTGATCTCGATCGAGTAGAAAATCTCCTATTAGTGCGAGGGCCGGCCAGGGTGGTTGATGATCCGAGGAAGGAAGAGTTTAGCGAAAAGGGCCCACATTGCATTATCAATTTACTTTGCTGTTGAGTCGGCCGCGAGTTCTACGCGTGGAGGTTGAAGTTGGATGAACCTTGCGTGTCTGCGTGGTCCGCCAGGATTTTGAGGCTCTGATCTCGGGGGAAAACCTTGAACCACCGAGATCCCGCGCATTTCTTTATACGCCACCAATCTCGAAAAGACCAATGGCCACAATTGAAGATGGCGAGGTATTTGGCAAGAGGCAGTCCGTACTGGGAAGAGGCGTGTGCAGCCGTAAATACCGAAAAAGCATCATCACAGGTGTGGAGGCTTAAGAGGAGAACGGCTGTTCCTGGCTTCTGGGTGGTTGCTACCTAATTATTTAGTTAGGCACGACTCTTACGAATACGAGTAAGCCACAAAGAGGTGAACACACCAAGATCGTTGAGCACTAGTTAGTTTGTTAAGATCTCACCAAAGTTCAGCGGCTTGGACGGGAGTTGAAGGTTGGGTAGATTTGGTGGATCTGAAACCGTGGCTGCCAGGGCCAGGGGTGGTCACTGACAGTGATGATGCACCTGGTGGGGGATCGCGGAATGCCGCCTGTGTTGGCGTCAAATCGGTCGTGAGTTTGGCCTTTTTTCCTTCGGAGGCGATTTTATTTACGTACAGTACCAGGTAGAGCTGATCCAATCTTTCAACCAACAGACCAGGGGTTCCATTATCGTAGAATTGCTGTGCTTGGTACTAGGAGTGGTGAAAGTCAGAAGCCGAGGATGGTGGATGCACCTCCAGCGGCTTGCGTGAGGCAAAGACGTCATGAAAAAAGTCCATCAAGAACCGACAGCCATTCTATCTGCAGACCGAGGGAGGACTTCGGAAGAGATGATGTAATGTTGGGGCAATGCACTGGTAGGAGATACATAATGTAAGGCTATCCAGGTGGCTAATGCAAGTCAGAGGTCCGGGGGAGTGCAGATGGACAGCATCAGACATTTTCTGACAGCTCTGACATGGGAGAGCTGTGTTAAGCTGCCGACGGGGGAACGAGGAGGCAAGACAGCGTTCAACGGCGAGTCTGAATGGAGCATAAACGTCGCTGATCAAAACGTGACGGTCGCAGATAACAGACAGTTATGGGTCTGAATTTGTGGATTCGAAGGGAACGACTATTGCAATGGAGCAGTTGAATGGAAACGGATGTTGGAAGGGAATTTGGGTGTAGTGATGAAGAGCAATGCCACGAGTCCCTGGGTCCCTGGGTCCCCGAGTGTCTGGGTTCCATATCCGAGGACGAGCGTGGACCAACTGGATGTCTCGATCTCTATCTGCTGGTATCTACTCGTAATTAGATCTCTGGATCTCGGCAGCAAGCGGTGCCAAGCATCAACACGGAGTACGGAGGATCGTGGTTCTCTGTGAAAGGGCTTGATACGCCGTACAGTACGGAGTAGTTACTCGTAATTAGTCCCTAGTTAGTACTCGTACTGTGTACATGGATAGTAAATGGCACTTGGTTTGTGGGGACGATGGCCCATGGGTCAGGGACTAATGGGTGCCGAGGGTGGCCCTCGGGCGCCAACTCCTGGAGATGGTGCCTGGGACGAGTGGCCGAAGGCTCGGAAATCTCTGATCGACTTAGCCTCGCTCCCCCGGCGATTCGCGTATCTCCCCTGGCCAAAAGCTAATCCAGGGCTTGCACTAACAAACCGACTAGGATCGAGGACACAGCACCATGACGACAGGGGACGGCCTCCCAGCGTGAGCACAGGGCCCTGAGCTAGCTTACACCGCACAAGCAACACGCCCTTGAGCTGCGAGCATGGAGAAGGGCCAGTATTATGTACAACTTACAAGAAATGGCAAATTTCTGTCGCTAGTCGATTCCTTGCCTCGGATTGTGCAGTTGTGTTGTTCATGGAAGGGAAGAGGAGAGAAGTCATTATTGCATGCTCCCTTGAGCTCGCGATCTAGGGTAGTGGGGGGAATGATTCGGTCAACATGGACGCCATTGAAATGGGCTCACTCACTCTGGGTATGGGGCCGTGGGGCTGTCAGTGCTGTCACCTTCGCCAGTCACAAAGATTGCAAATGGGAGGGGAGGGAGTCACCAATTCAGAGTGCAGAGAATGCAAGCCACAACGAGGCAAGGAGGTGACAATACTGTACGAGTTCCTCAGTAGATACATCCACCACTGCACCGAGCACCGGCACTGGAACTGGCACCTCTAACGATCTCTTGATTATCTACTGCCCAGATCTGGAATGAATGAATTTCTCGCACTGTACGAAAAGCTGCAGTGATCATCGTCTGGTGTCAGGTTGACGGGAAGTGGTTGACGAGGTCGGACTCAATAATTGGACTGCATCGAATAGAGTTGAGACCAAGACGGGTAGAGAATCGAGACACGAGATACGAGCAATGACGCGGTGGAGCTGAGAATTCGATATTGCCAGCCGCTTTTGCTGCGACAGAACCGGGTCGATCGAGATGGGATTATGCGAGCTGCGCAATAGGTGACTCTGTACATACTCCGGTCTGTACGTGTCGTCTGTACGTGTCGTCTGTGGTGTGCCGCGTGCAATGGGCGTGCTGGTGGCGTCCGGCCGATGCCTGCCCTCTGCCCTCTGCCCCTCGGCTCCTCCGTACAAGTCCACTTTCATCCACTTTCATCCACTTTCCTCCTCGTTCTAGCATGAGCTTGTTCAGATGAGGCCGATCCGGACTTTGCAGCCTTTGCGGTTGTTGGAAATTCTCCTTAGTCCACTTCGCTCCTCATCCAGTGACAATCCAAAGAATCCATGCGCCCAGCTCCCTTGCTCCCTGGCTACAAGGATACCCATTCATGTTCCGCACCCTACCCCTACCTACCCTGAACCCAACCCGTCCCCTCCTTCTGAGCCATCACTTTACGTTTCTCGAGTCTTGACAGGCACACTGCATTGCATATCTACGGTTACCGTCTCCTGGCGCTTCGTTTGTCCGCTTGCCAACACGACTGAGTCCTGCACTCCTGGCACGGTTCTATTCTTGAACACCAACCGCAAACCCAATCCCACAGCCGTCGCCATTGCCATTGCCATTGCCATCGCCAACACCGACATCGACTGTCTTGTAGAACGCGTAAAACATAAACTCCTCTTGCTCCCTCCCGTGTTCATAGACCCTCGTGGCCTTTGCTTTCCCTGGAAGCTCATATACTTCGCACGTCCCACTCGCTTTTTCTATCCCTCGTTCCCACGTGCGCTGTGATAACTTGTTCCCTTTCCACCAGAGCACTTTCTCTTCTCTTACTAACATCCCTCACCTGCCCAAATGTCTGCATCCCTCAACTATCGCCGTCCTGTCTATGTCACTTCTTCCCGCCAGTCTCTTGACTCCGAAAAAGGTGGCCAGGCTGAATCTGTCACTTCCAGCTCCAGCTCACCATATGGCATCCCCGACGCTCTTTCTTTTGATAGAATCATCAGTGGCGGCACCTGTCCAGTAAGCTATCCCTCAATTGTTTCCCACCCCGAACCAAACCTCTGATCTTCTCTCCCAGCCCGTGAGTGTGCGCGAGTTCATGGATTTTCTCCGCTATATCGAATATGATGCCGAGAATCTCCAATTCTTCCTCTGGTACCGCGACTACTGCAAGCGCTTTGCCGAACTTCCACAAAATGAGCAGATGCTCGCCAAAGAATGGACTCCAGAGCATGCCCTAGCAGAGAAGACCAGTGCAGAGAAGGAGAAGCTTCCCAAGAAGATCGCCCCCGAAGCTGCAGCCGTCCTCAAAGGCACCGATTTCGACCCTCAGGCCAAGGCTGTAATGCCAGAAGCCGTTCCAAACCCATTCAACACACCGCCGCGCACCCCATCCGCCACGGATCGGGAAAGTGTCGCTCCATCCACAGCCCGTTGGAGCGAGGACGGTTCCACTCTGCCTGCCGGAAGTCTGCCCCTGGGGAAAAAGGCTCAGACCGCTTTTGACGAAGCTGGCGCCCTCCAACCATGTATGTTTGCTCAATGCCCTGCCCTTCCTCGGCTTCATTTCTCAGCTAACCGTGTGCTCAAGTTACCATCCAACCTTTCCGTGAAGAGATCTCTCGCATCATTGCAATTTACATTGCCGATGGCGGAGCACGCTTGCTCAATCTGTCCTCCAAAGAGAAGGCTGGTCTCCTGAAGGCTCTCTCCGTCACCACCCATCCTTCTGCGTTCCGTGGGGTCGTGGCCACCGTTGAATGGACCCTCCGCCACCAAGCACATCCCAATTTTATTCGCTGGACCATCTGCAACGGCAACCCACCTAGACAGACATTTGCTCGTGGCCTTGGTGTCGCCGGCATAGTCGCCGGAATCGTTTATGCCATCGTTATCACCCTCAGCTCCGCGCATCGCGGCTGGAGAGCTCTCGCTTTCCTCGGTCTCTTTATCGGTATCTCCACCCTGTTTGCCGCTTGGAAGGGCATGTGTGTGGTAAGTCCGTCTTTGAATGCCTGGTGATTTCCGCTGACACAACAGGTCTTGCACGGCATGCACCATCGCCATCTGCGCCCTTGGGAGCTATTCCAGGATTCCGAATCAGCTGCTTCCGAGTACGCCTTGGGCAAAGGTTCCTTCGACACCCTGGGATCGAGCAACAGCTACGAAGATGAACCCTGGGTCGCCCAGTATGAAAAACGCAATGTCATTCGCAAAATCTTTGACCGTGAAGTTTGGATTCAAGAACCTGCTCTTCGTCAAATCCAAGACACTATTTTCCTCCAAGCTCTTATCGTCGCCTTTATCATCGGGGCCATCACAACCGCCATCTTCTTGGCTGTGAGTCGTTCCTCTCTTTCCTGTTCCCACCTCGTACTGACCACGATCATCATCAGGTCCCTCGCGGTAATTTCTTTTAAGTGTAATTCCGGCCCGCTACGGAAGCGACAATGCGACACAACTGTTAATATGGGACTCTGAGATACCCTTTTTGCAACTAGTACGTGGCACATTTATGGAAATGTATTCCTCGCATCTGGACTTGTCCTGGGACCATGCACAAAAATATGAGTGCTATAGTACTTTTTTTAAGCGTAATGAAATCGGATGATGTCTGAGTCCGAATCTAAAAAGTGAATCTTTGAATTTGACTCATGGTTGAAGAAGGCCTCTTCATCATATTTCGCTGCCCTTGTCACTCGTCTTTACATATGATACTTGCTTGTCGCTGTTCGATCTAACTTTTAGGAAGAATCACGTGACAAGGCGCGTTTCCCCCCACTTCACGTAAAGTCACGTCGGCCGCGCTGCCTGCGCGCTTTCTAATGAACCCACCCATAACTTGAGGTCGCTCTACAGACGTTCAGCCTACCACATATCAACGACTCTATGGCTCTAATGACCGGTCGTCGGTCGAGGGCGCTAGACTCTGACGATAATGATGACTCCAGACCGAACACGCCATCATCCACCGCTCCGAATGACAGCAAGAGGATGCGCCGCCCACCTGGCTCCCAGGATGATGTAGGTGGTGCTTCAGCCGATACAGACTCTGCTCCACCGTCCTTGATTCTCTCAGGAGCGCCTGATAGCGCTGTTGTCCAGAGCAACGTACAAAATGAACCAAAATACCAGCCTGGTGCAATCGTCCGGGTTAAACTAACGAATTTCGTTACTTACACCTCTGCCGAATTCTTCCCCGGCCCAAATCTAAACATGGTCATCGGCCCTAACGGGACAGGTAAGAGCACGCTTGTCTGCGCCATATGTCTTGGGCTGGGCTGGCCGCCTTCGGTATGTACTTTGCCCATCGGAGGGTAGACCTTTCCTAATTTGCACCAGTATCTCGGAAGAGCCAAGGATCCCAGCGAATTCGTCAAGCATGGCTGTCGCGAAGCGACCATTGAGATTGAACTTCATGGGCCCCCTCGGACAAGAAGAAATCCCATCATAATGAGAACTATAAAGAAAGAGGGCAATAAATCCGTGTTTATGTTGAACGACAAAGCATCCTCCGCAAAAATGGTTCAAGCTATGGCAAATTCTTTTAACATCCAAATCGACAACTTGTGTCAATTTCTGCCCCAGGACAAGGTGGTAGAATTTGCTCAAATGAGTCCAGTCGAACTTTTAGCGAGCACCCAGCGTGCAGTCGCCGGCGCTGAGATGACAAAGATGCATGAAGATCTGAAGAAACTGCGAAGCTCCCAAACTCAATACATCAGCGAGAACAGGGGCCACCAAGAGCAACTTGTCAATCTCCAAAATCGTCAAGAGATGCAACGTTCAGAGGTCGATCGAATGAGAGAGCGAGCATCGGTGCAGAAAAGACTGACATGGTTCGAAAAGTGTCGCCCCATAGCAAGATATGCCGATGCGAAGACCAAGTACCGCGACGCAAGACATATGATCCCACCACTTGATCGCCAATTGACACGGCTTAAGGACGCCTCAGCCCCAACTTTGAAGAGGCTGGAGTCAAAACAGCGGTACAGCGAACAGGCGAAACAAGTCGTTTCTCATCGTGCGAGAACTTTGAAGGATAGTGAGCGCGAATGCGATCGATTGATGAAAGAGGTCGAGGAGAAGCAAGATAGAATCAAGGATCTCGACAACAAGGTCGAGGCTGAAAAGAAGAGCATCCCCAACACCAGGGGAGAGATCAAGCAGAACGAGTTAAAGCTAACCGAACTCAAACGGAAGAAAGCCGAGCCGCCTGAAGATTTTGATGTTCGGATCATCTCGGATGAGATTCAAAGCCTACGAAACAAAGAGAGACAGTTCAGCGGTTACGAGCAAGATTTGAAGCTACGTTACGACAATCTTAGAGAGCAAGGAAAAGAAAGAACTACGAAACTTACAGACCTAAATAATACTCTTCAAGGTCTAGAAACACAGGCGGGGCAACAAGAAAACAAGTTGAATAGTCTCTCGCGCGACACCTTTCAAGCCTGGAAGTGGGTACAAGAAAATCGAGATCAGTTCAAGGACGTCGTCTACGGACCACCAATCTTGGAATGCTCACTTCAGGATTCCCGAATGGCCGATGCCATCGAGTCACTTTTGCAAGAGAACGACTTCAAAATCATTACTGCCCAGAATCGGGAAGATTTTCTCAAGCTTCAACAGAAATTGCTAAAGGAGAAAAAGCTTCATGATGTGAGCCTGCGCACATGCTCCGCGAGCGACCTCTCACAACACCGGCCACCACTGTCTCAGACAGAGATGAACAATTTTGGCCTGGACAGCTGGGCGATTGACCATTTAGTCGGCCCGCCTACTGTACTTGCGATGTTGTGCAGTGAGAAGGCCTTACATCGGTCCGCTATCGCATCCAAGGAGCTGAGTCAGCAGCAGCATGATGATCTGGCGAATACTACGGTTCAGAGCTATGTTGCTGGCCGAAAAACCTATCAATTCATAAGGCGAGCGGAGTATGGCTCAGCAGGCAACACCGCACGAGTGCGAGACGTCAGGCCGGCCCAGAGATGGACTGATCAACCTGTCGACATGGGAAGGAAAGCGTCGATAGAGCGGTCAATCGCTGAAAATCACGGTGAGCTCGAGATCATCAGATCTGAAATTTTGAACCTCAAGAACGAAGCGAAAGAAAAGAAAGGCGAACATGAACAAGTGGGCGTGCAACTTGCAGCACTGTTGAGCCAGAGGGACGCCAAACAGACCGCTAGGAAAGTATGGTTGGGGCTTGACCAGAAGATACAGGACACAGAGACCAAGCTCGAAGGTCTACAAGATCAGATTGAAGGTTTTCGTGGCCGAGTCAATGCGCTTCGGGCAGAAAAGGACCATATGCTCTTGGAAAAGGCTCAAGCCATCTTGGATTTTGCAGCCGCAACGGGAGCACTGAAGGCGGCGGCGGCACGTTTTCTTGAAGCCCAGGTCATCGCCATCGAAGCTGCATCTGATGTTGAAGGGTTGGAGATACAGAACGAGCACATTGTTCAGACGATACAGGAGAAAGAGGTAGAGCTTGCAGAGGCAAGACGTGTTTGTGCCCAAGAGAAACAAGTTGCCGAACAGATCCTTAGAGAAGTGTACCAATTGAAGGTTGAGGCTCAACGACTGGAGGAGGAGGAAGAAGACTCTGGGCTAGCTAAGACGATGGAGCAAGTGGGTGCTCTGCAGACCGAAGAGAACCTCGACGCGGAGATTGACTCTCAGAATGCTCAGCTGGCATTGACTGAAGGTGGAAATGCCAGCATCATTAAAGAATTCGAGGACCGCGCCAAAATCATTGAGAAGCTCAAGGCCAAGGTTCAGGAAGCCGAGAGGCGACAAGAGGCTTTCGCGAACGGCATCAAGGAAATTCGAGGCAAATGGGAACCGAAGCTAGAGGGTTATGTGGAGAGAATCAGCGCCGCATTCTCCGACTCGTTCGATCGCATTGGCTGTGCGGGTCAGGTGACCGTGTTCAAGGCCTCATCTGACGATGCAACTGACTGTACTGAAGAAAATGGAGGGATGAGTAACGGGCTGGACTTCGGCAACTGGGCCATCCACATCAGCGTCAAATTCCGCGAACAAGAACCTCTCAGCCTTCTAGACAGCCATCGGCAGTCCGGCGGTGAAAGAGCGGTCAGCACCATCTTCTACCTCATGGCGCTGCAAAGTTTGAGCCAGGCACCATTCCGCGTGGTGGACGAGATCAATCAGGGCATGGACCCCCGCAACGAACGAATGGTCCATGGAAGAATGGTCGACATCGCTGCGGAAGACGGTGGTAGCCAATACTTCCTCATCACGCCCAAACTCCTGAACGGGCTGAAATACAGGAGAGGGATGACAGTTCTCTGTATTGTGAGCGGTGAGAACATGCCTGCTGCGCGCCAGGAGGACGGACGTGGGAACGTGGTTAGCAGCGGTCCCAAGATCGATTTCCGGGCTTTTGCGAAGAGGGCAAGGGAGTTGGGCATTGCCAGTGGTCACGACGCTAGAAGTGCCCTTGCGATGAACGACCGATCGTTCACGGTGACGAGCCAAGTGTCTGAAATCGGGGCCTTTTGATTGCGGGCTTGCTGGCACAATGTTCTATTCTAGATAGGTACACATTTCTATGTGCTGATGATGTTCGAACTATGATGGAATGATGAACGAGGTTGTAAACTGTCCTTCTTTGTCGCCGTGAGTTACCTTCCTGGGTACTACTACTGCTCCTAGTACCTGAGTCAGACCCGTCCGTCCTTTGGTCTCAATCGTTCCACTGGCAAACAATACAGCTGATCCATCTATATCCCGGAAAGGCAACCAAACTGCAAGGCCGAGGTAAAGCCAAACCTCGTGCCACCCAGGCCTCCCCACATTCTCCAACTTTTTCAACACACATCGTTCCTTGGGTAGTAGTTAGAGTGAGAGTGGTACCGAGTCCCTCTCAAAGGCCGATCTAGCCGATGAGCCCTTCTTTGAGCAGACACCATTTAATTAATTAGGGAGGGAAGAAAGACTGGGTTCCCCGTGTGTCTCAAAAGGTCGTCTCTTTTGAAAACAACGATGGTCTTGAGTCCCAGCCGACAATAACAGTCAGAAAACAAGCAAACAAAAGTAATTAAGCCATTGTTATGGTATTGTTCAAATCGCCACACCGGGATCTCGAAAGTGAGTTACTTTGGTGTGAGATGGATTCACTTTGGCCCTCTCATCTCTCGACGCAGCCTCGTCAAGCTCCTCGCTTAGCACTACAACGTTGGCCTCACAGTAAATCCATGGACGTAGTACTAATTCTTATCGCTAGTCCCAACCAACATCACAACGTGGGAATGGGCATTCGAGCCGGGCCCGTACTCACCACTGTACAATCAGCCCCAACCCCAGCAATCGTTGGCGGGATACGTCAACGCGGCCACGAAAGAGCGGCTCAACTGGGACCAGGTCAAGACCCAGGCGACGCAGCTGAGCACAGCGCTAGTGCACCAGTATGGCCTCCACGCGGGCGACACGGTCAGCTTGTTCAGTACAAACACCATCTGGTATCCCGTCGCGATGTGGGCTGTTGTTCGTGCAGGTATGTGTCGATAGTGCGACTGCATCGTGACCTCTAATCACCGAATTGCTTCAACAGGCGGGCGAGTCAACGGCGCATCACCAGCGTACACGGCGGAGGAAATGACGCACGCACTGAAAACAGCCAAGTCTAAGATCCTCATCACGCTCCCGAGCTCTCTGGCCGTAGCGCTGGAAGCTGCGCGCGAGGCTGGGATCCCGGATTCTCATGTCCTGCTGCTGGAGGGTAGCTCCGAGGGGTTCGTCAGTATTCAGACTCTCATGGAGGAGATCGGGCAGCGGTATGAGCCTGACCTGCCTTTTCGGATCCCAGAGGGCAAGACGAATGCCCAGGTTTGTGGGTATTTGAACTTTAGTAGTGGGACTACGGGGTTACCTAAAGCGGTATGTTTGAGAACAGAGGGTGTGTGCGCTGTGAGTGTGACGTTGGTTTTCTAATGTTCGAATGCTATGATAATAGGTCATGCTGTCCCATCAGAACATCATTGCTCAATGCCATCAGCTTCGGCAGTTGCAAGCAGGTCGAGATTATAAGATACTCGCGGTAATGCCGTTGTTTCACAGTATGGTCTGCTCTCGAACTTTTTGGAAGTTCAAGGCTTTTGACTCACAAGGGGCTGACTGACTGTCTTGCAATTTAGTCACTGGGCTTGTCCGATTCTGCACATACCCGGTCTTTATGAATGGCGATTCGGTAATGCTGCCTGCCTTTAGCATGAAGGCAATGTTGGACGCAATCGTCGAATTCCAGATCAAAGAACTCATTCTCGTCCCTCCCATAATCATCCGTCTGGTGCGGGATAAAATTGTCGACGACTATGCTCTGCGGCACGTCGAACGATGGTCGTCAGGGTCCGCTCCCATTTCGCCAGAGATCATTGAATTACTCAGGAGGAAATTCCCCTGGACCGGGTTCAGGCAAGGGTACGGTGCTACAGAATCGACGGCGTGCATTTCCTGCCATCCGCCAAGCCATTATGACTATAAATATGCGACGACTGGGGGAATGTTGGTGGCGAATACCGTGGCAAAGGTGCTGGATCTGACGACAGGGAAGGAGCTTGGCCCGGGAGAGACTGGAGAGATCCTCGCTCGTGGGCCACAGATTGCGATGGGATATCTGGGCAATCCGACAGCGTCGGCAGAAACGTTCGATGCGGAGGGATTCTTCCATACGGGCGATGTCGGGAACATCGACAATGAGGGCTTGATCCACATCGAAGATCGCATCAAAGAGATGATCAAGGTCAAGGGGTTGCAGGTGCCTCCTGCAGAGCTGGAGGACTTACTTTTAGGTCATCCACAGGTTGAAGATTGTGCCGTCCTCGGTATCCCCGACGATTACTCGGGCGAGAGGCCCAAGGCGTACGTGGTGTTGAAGAGGGGCATTGAACCGACGCCCGAGGTTGGGAGGCGACTGCTGAAATTTGTGAAGGAGAGAAAGGTCAGGTATAAATGGCTTCACGAGCTGGAATTCACGGACGAGGTTCCTAAGAGCCCCACCGGGAAGTTGCTGAGGAGAGTACTGAAGGTCAGAAATAAAGAGGAGGGTAGGAAGGGGGTTTGGGTAAGAGACGAGACGGAACGAGCTAGACTGTGATAGATCTTTGGTCGTTGAGCCGCTCATGGAGGGGGAGATTGTAAGTAGACTGCTGAAGACGACAGATAGATTGAGGCACTCTGATGTTCAAGTGAGCTGAGAGTCGGAGGCAAGACGAGGCCAGGCGTACGAATCCTTGATTTCTTGTACGTGAAGCGTCAGGCGTGAGGCGAAGGATTAAGCTCGGGTGGCACCAACGGTCGCGGCCTCCGTCGCGGGGCCAAGGGGCGACCCGTATTTTGCTGATCTTGGCGAATCATTCCTTCAAGTCAAGCTCCTCGCCGCTCGAGGTGCCCTTGTCAAGCTGTGAAACTCGGGTCGACCTTGGATTCTGGCAAGGAACCGGGACCGGGACAAGGCCAGGGCCAGGACCAGGACCAGGGCCAGGGAGATCGACAAAGCCAGGCTCAAAGACAACTTCAGGCTCATCACATTCGGATCTATCAGGTCTTCTTAAATCGTGCGTCACCTCGTACCTTTGTGGCCAGCACTCATCCTCGAAATGGTGTCTAGCAAAGATGGGGCCAAAAAAGTGCGACTCCGTGCCTATAGTCAAGAAGGAACTGGTTCCGCTCGAGTCCAAGAGCAAACTACTCTCGGTACCGCACAGGGCGGTTGAAGAGGCCCTTCCCAGGCTTGCGGTCGTCGATCGCAATCATGTCCAAGCTTCAAATACAGAGCAAAAGATCCTCGAGATCCTGCGAAGGAGTCTGCGGCCTTTCTCCGACCGCCTCGACCCTTTTGCGGCGCTGCCAATCAGTCTTGATCGATTTCAGGAACATCTGGTTTCCTTCTACCTGTTGTACTATCCCAAGGTCACATATGGATTTAGCCCACGACTACAGCCGCATCCAGTTGCCAGTAACTTTTCCATTGCATTGACCACTCCAGCTTGTTTTCAGGTTGCCCTGGCCCGGTCAGCCTCCTACCGGCTCTCCCTCAATAAATATGCCTCCGACCCAGAAAAGAAATCACTGGAGCTGGCAGTAGTGCGTCACAAAGGTGAGGCTTTGAAGCTGGTCCGATCTCTGAGCGTTAAGTCCAACCCGAAGCGGAAGGATGATTTGCTGGCATCCATGATCAGCTTGGGAACATTCGACAGGCGTACCGGGTCCAAAGAGGCATCTGGAATGCACTATGCAGCGGTTCGGAAGATCTTGAAGTCGACTGGGGGGCCGCTCGCTGTCAAGTCCGTACTGTTGTCGAGGGTGATGTGTTTCTTTGAATGCATCTATGGGACTAGCCCGGAGAGTTACATCTGGGATGAGACAGATCTCCCCAGGCTTTTGACGGATCTCAACCGGTTCTTGGGCAAGCTGAGGGAGCTCTGGCAATCCTTGTCAACGATCAGAGCATTGACGAATCGTCCATTGGTCTCTCACCAGTCGGCCCCTATCCATTCGTTCTGCCTGCAGCCAGACTCAACCCTTTTGTCCTTGGTGGGGAGGCAGCCACCTCCCGGGGCAGAGATTACACAACAGCGGCGGTTAGAGATGGTCTTCCAATTGACATGTCTGCTTACTCTAGCAATGATAACCTTGGACTATGCCGATGACTTTCGATCGCTACAACAGTACATGGACAATCTCCACCAAACCATGCACGATCTCCAGCTGGCAGGACAGAGCTGCAATAATGCAATGTGGCAGATTCAAGTCAACGATCATAGTGAACCTCACAGCCGACGGATCTGGCGTGCTGCAAGTTATGCTTGGGTTTTAAAGCACGTCTCCTATAACGTCCAAGTCACCTTGAAGGACTGGCTCTTGGGCTTTTTCACGGGAAAGCCCGTTGGGAAAGCGTACCGATTGGACAACTTTCACTTTAGCTATGCTAGTTGATCATGGGGAAGCCTATCTGACAGAATCTTCATTTCCAGCAGCATTGCCATCTGAGATCCGTTTCCAAGGCTCCGTGCGCGCCGAGTCACGTGACCGTCCTTGTCGTGCGTGTCACGCAGATCCAGCACCTGTCAAAGAGCGAGTCAACGTTTGGCGATGAAGATCTAACAAGCGTTGTGCACAAATTCATAGGGAACATTTTACGTTCTAAGAACGCTTGTGTGCGTTTCTCTGGGCATGGGAAGTACACTCCGTGTTTGGTACTCCGTACTTGTGGAGTTACGATTATCCGAGACGCCATCATTTATCGATTGAGGCGGACGCCTATCGAAGGGGATGCGGGTGTCCAATTGTGAGCGATATACTGGTACTCGTACGCGGAAGATGGCAGGGATCCAACGAAGGAGTCGAGGACTGACTGCCGGATGCTTTCTCGTACTGAGCGAGCGTGCCATGCGGACCCAAACCGAGAAAAAGGCTGCCCAGAACCACCAAGCCACGGACCAAAAGGATGGGTCGTTCCAATTAAAGAGCGCGCCTAAACCTTGATCGGTTAGGCGTGGATAAGCAGATTCGGTGGGTGCCATTCCCCTGTGAGGGCGTCTTTTGTGGGCACCTGTCATGCTCCACGAATGAAAGAGTCGTGGTACCTGTTGATCTCTACAGCAACTGCCCATTTGCATCACAGATTCACAGCAACCACCCTCAAGAATTACTTGTCGAGATGCACCTTTTCTCGATCATCCCATCCAACATCACTGCCGCTCTTTGAACTCAAACCCCGGACTGGTGGTCCAGACAGCATTTTGCCTTTGCCGCCTTTGTTCCCATGGCCAGTGCGTTGTGGGTGGCACGACGCGCCGACTCTAACGGACTAGTGCCTGAAAGGTGTCAGCGCGGTTGGTCGAATTCGGTGCCCTACACCCTTAATCTCTCGCACCCCGTCGGCCGCAGAAAGCCATTCATCCACCTCCATCCACTCACCTTACTTCTAAACTCGCGCTGTCCCTTGCTCTCCCTCGCAGCTGACCTCCTCTTCCTCACCCAGACTTGCTTGGAATGCTCTCCCTCCACGGCTCACGAGAGCACAGACGTCTTTGTGTCGCCTCACAAAGCATCCTATCCGTATGCCCTACGGAGCACGCCCACGAGGTCTAGTCGTTGCCATAATGGAATGACCTCCTTGCCTCCGTGCTTCTGATTTCAACTACAGTCACTCATTCCCACATTTGCCCATCGCCGGCGCCCCTCGTTTTCACCCTCGTTCGCTTTCCGTTCTATACACAATACTCAAAATAACACTCCTTTGAAAATATGGCCGCGCAAGGTATGATGACTGCTTCTCGCTCGGAATCACAGGTCACTGACCAGGACTCGCAGATGGCATTTCGACCATCTATGGCGTGCCCACCAAGTATATATCCTTAATGATCCTGGTCGTCCAGAACTCTACCCTGGTTCTGACCATGCGATATTCTCGAATCCTACCGGGTCCACGATACCTGAGCTCTACAGCAGTGGTGCTTTCCGAAGTCATCAAATGTATAATATGTCTCGCCATTCACCTACGCGACCAACAATCAGCGCACCGCTACTCACAATTGCCCACTCTGTCGGACGGAGCCTCTCCGTCCCACAGCTCATCACGCTATAGCATGCGTCAATTGGCCACCGATATCTTCTCCATCAAAAGCGGTTTCCCTAAACTACTTGTGCCCGCCATCCTCTACACTCTTCAGAACAATCTACAGTTTGTCGCAGCCTCAAATCTCGATGCGGCCACTTTCCAGGTTACTTATCAATGCAAGATTTTGACAACTGCGCTATTTGCAGTCTTAATGCTGGGTCAATCTTTGTCGCCTAAGAAGTGGCTGGCCCTCTTTATCCTTACCGCAGGAGTTGCTTGTGTGCAAATCCCCTCTTCAACCACCACAACCACTCCTGTTCACCAGGGCAACTATTCTTTAGGAATTATTGCTGTTGCTGTTGCCTGCGTTTGCTCTGGCTTTGCGGGTGTCTATTTCGAGCGGGTTCTCAAAGGTGGCCAGAGCACAACCATCTGGGTACGCAACATCCAACTGAGTGTTGGCTGCCTGGCCATCGCTCTTTTTGGAGCATTTGTTTGGGATGGCCAGGCCATCAGGACCAGTGGGTTTTTCCAAGGCTACAACCCCGTGGTTGCCTTCACCATCTGTGTTCAGGCTGCCGGAGGCTTGATCGTTGCCATGGTCATCAAATATGCCGACAACATCTTGAAAGGCTTTGCAACCTCACTCTCCATCATCCTTTCGACAGTTGCCTCAATTTTTCTTTTCAATTTCGTTCCTACCATCTACTTCTTACTCGGCTCGATTTTGGTATTCCTTGCAACCTATCTTTACAGTATGCCTGACAAAGCGACAGCCGTCGAGACCATCTCCAATGATACAGAGAAGGGCCCAATCCTCGTGGTCGATGACTACGATGCCGACAGCTCCATCGTCAATCAAGAGGTCAACAAACCTTTCCGAGACGAAAGTGACCGTGAGTCTGTCGACGACGATAGCCATGACGGCTCCAGCATATACGAGCCTGACGATGGTCACAAGAGTCGAAACTTTTCCCCTTCCCTGATTCAGCACCCCACCATGGAGAAACAAGTTTACTCGGAACTCGATCACGTGGCATGATGGTCCGAACCAAAACCTAGACATTCAATACGCGAAGTGGCAGAAGTGGAAAACAATCCTTTACCACGTATAACGAGGTTGTGTACCTGCCCATTTGGGAAATACTTACACAGGTGACACTTTCACGAAGGATGGCGTTGAAATTTGAAATGGTTGAATGAATTAAAGAGAGACTTCTCCTATCCAAAGGATTATTTCTCACGATATCCACCAATGTTTTGGCGTTTGATGGCCTTGGGCAAATATTGGGCAAATAGAAAAGATCTGGATTGGCCTGCAATAGAATTGAGCTTGACATGTCACCTGTTGAATTACACCTTGCAAAATCAGCCGATTTCCGTGTGTTTTTTTTTTTAATATACTGTACTCCTTGGTCCTGCTCAAGGTTGCCATTCAATCTTCCTTCGCGGTCCCAAAATACTGGTAGAAGTATGTCTACAAACGTGGTATTCAACTATTTAGCTCTACGGTCAATAAAAGGCTACCTACAGTAGGTACCTCTGGAGCACGATTTCGATATCAGCACACGAAAATACCGTCGGCACCAACATTCCTATGATATCACTCCACTAAGGTACAGCGTACTCCATACCTTGAAACCGGTCCTGCACAACACACCCAACGTATCGTTGTTGCATCATCGCGGAAGACCCCAGCAGAAAGGCCGATCCAGCCTCTCCCAATACCACCGACACATGATACACGTACGATACCCCGTATTATTTACAACATGGGTGGTGGTGAGACGTGTGGTGAAGCTTGACCTCAGATGTAAAACAGTAACTGCAGCATACCTACTCGACCCCAGGCAGCATGTATGGCCCAGCAAAGCTCCACGTCATGATATAAGTAATCCCATCGCAGGTACCAGACCGTACAGTGTGCTCAGCTAAGTGTGGGGCCGAGGGCTCTGTCGTGCGCCTTGAGACAATGGTTCGCTCGTTTCACTCTGGGCGATTCACCATCTCACCATGCAAACCTACTCGTACAGCCCCAGACGAGCAGGCAAGGGTTCGTAGTCTAGACGGGGCTCTCGCTTCCAGTCTGGTCTGCAAGTATAGCCTCGTCATTGCGTCCAGGTCAGATAGATTCCGAATTGCGAATATGATTGCAACTTGCGGATTTCCTGTGTCTTTCGGAATAGCATACGGATGAGGTGCGGTTCTTGTGCATGAGGATCACGTCAGGAGCTCTAAGAGTAGGGCTGTCTATCACCCATCTACGGCGCAGCACGAGGCTGACTAACGCCACTGCCACAAGGGCGACACCCAGTGACTTGCGCATGAGAATGGAGCTTTAAGCGGTTTGGTGCTTGGCAAGGCTCCTGAGGATAGTTTATCCGGGCGTTTACCCGAGCGCGTCACGCTGCAGCCGTGCTGAAATATCATGCATATGCATATGCATGATGAGGCTCACATACTCCCACAATGAACTCTTCTCCCCAAATAACACAGCTGCGAATTTCCTGGATCATAACCGCACCTCTCCATGACTCTCATATCAGAAACGAAATAGATCGCGATCGCTGGAACATCCATCACCGCTGGCCGCAAAGTCCTACAGGTATGGTTCTTCCTTTCATTTTCAGCCTCATTCTTCGACGTAGAAGCGCATCCTGAAGATATTGCTATTGAATTTGTGGCACGTGAGCTGCGATTCCATTCAGAGGGTCAATCCTCTCTACGGCAACTGGATAGCACGTCATCACCCTTGACGACCTAGTTGTCCAGGTCCTCTTGGCCTCAAGATCCATGTACATACCTACGCATGCCGAGTTGCTCATCCTGAAAATGCAGAGGATCGCCTCTTCCAAGAACGCCTTTACGCTATGTTTACTAGCATCCTCTAACTCTTCTCCCGATGACGCCGCGCGCCTTGTCGGGTATACTCAAGCCTACCCCGGATACGCGGCTTCACATGGCGTGTATCTTTTCGTTGTCTTTGACGCTGCACCTCATGCCGGCAAGATCAACGGCTCAACCAAAAGGGCACGGAGCTCCTGAGATCAAGAGATTTCCTTCCTCTCGCAAGCCGTTGGATGAGCGGTGAGAATGCCCCCTCATGCAATCTCATATCCAGGTAATTGTTGACAACGCACTTGGGAGGGTCTTTTGGCAATGTTTCATCTCTTGAAAAACCCTGAGGCACGACTTCCTCATGATAGCTATTCTTGGCTTTGCCTTACTACATGTCGCCGCGCCCATAGATGACGAGGATGAAGGAGAGATTGGAAGTGGCATTCATCCTTCAGGAATAAAATCCGTCGCCCAGGGGGCAAGTCGCTTCGGTGCTTGCTTTGATGATGCCTCTACCCGCACTGGCACGGCCACTACTAGTGCTGAGCACTGGAGTTTGGTTGCCTCGCGACCCTCTGCCTTCTACTATCAGAAGGCGCTGGAGGACCAGAATCAGGTGTCGTCGTCCTTTCACCCAGTTCTAAGCTGTATCACGCAAGACAACTGCCACGCCGTCTTGGGGTTCTCCATCATCATGGTTCTATCGGCACTTGGAGTGCCGCACCATTCCATGACGGGTCACATAGACTGCTTCAGCTCCAGCACATCGCACATGGAGTCTATCTTCACGATGGTCGAATTCTTGAGAGGCATAGAGTCCGTCTCAACTGTCGGACATGCCTGGCTCCGTGCCGGCCCATTCGGAGCATCCATCCTCGGATACGACGATTTCTGGGAGATGGGAGTCCTGCCCATAGAGCCTGAGGCTGCCGTATTCCAAATGCTAAGGTCGTTAAACGAGGAGCAATACGGCAGCGGCCAGTGTTTCACCGCCACCGCCAACGAGATAGACCTCGATCTCGACCTCGACCTCGACATCAACATCAGCGAAGATCACCATCATCACTCGACTCGGTACAAAACCAACCACAACGCCATCTCCCAGCTCGAGACCAGCTTCGCGAAAACCACACAGGGCAACCTCGACCCAGCACTGCTGTCCAAGGTCCCCATATCTGAGGAGATTTAGGGAGAGCAAGGCCCGATCCTGGCGTGGCTCAGCCTGGTGGGACCCTGTCCGTGCTGGTCTTTCTCCACTGGGGCGCCTCCCTCAACCAGCTGGGCGATCTGTGGTGGGCGAGGAACGCGGGGAGATCGCTGGTCGAGGACATCTCGACGATACTGCACGCAAGGGGGCAATGAGTGGTGCGAGCGTACGAGGTGGGCGATGGGGAGGGTCGCATTGTTTTGATACTTACACGGATACCCAGAATCAATCAATATCAGTAGCAGACCGTCTGATTCTTCGTTTATATATTGTATATACAACATCCCGGCTTCTCTCCTCGTCTCTGTAGATACACGTGTGGCTCCCCCCTAAGTCCTGGAAGGACCAACCACGTATGCACGGCTAGCGGGCCCCCGGCTTTCTTTTATTTGTCTCTGCGTCAATTGTCTTCTTGACTTCACTTCGAGAAGGGAAACATAAACAACCAATCAAGTACGAGCTGCAGAGTGAGGAACGTAATACATAGGCATAAAATATAACCTTTGTTTGGCGCAAGGCTGCCCCTCCTTCCATGAGCACATCTACCTAAATGGCCGAGCTACATACATACATACGTCCATAACAAGAGGGATATAGAGACAGGATGCGCGACGTCGCGACGTCCTTTCTTTCCTCAATAGAGTTGTAAACTAGGGAAAGTCTTTATTCCTTTTTTTTCGCCGTTTTCAAAAAGTGCTCATTTATCTGTCTGTGTTTACTACGATCTCTCTGTATCTTATCTCTATATTCTCCCTCTTCCTCTCGCCTCATCATGCTAACTTTCAGGTTCGATCAGCCGCTTTGCTGAAACAACAAATACTCCCAAAAATGCACAGGTGGTATCTTTCTATACGGTGGGTTGGTTTGTCGTGACAGGTTGGAGAGGCTGCGGGTGTGCATGTGTCTGTGAAAAGAAAGAGAGGTCGGGTTAAAAGCGACAACCATAAAAATAATACAAGAAGAGGATAATAATGAAGCCGAGTAAATGATGAAGCAAAGGGAGGTGAAATACAAGAACCCCAAGCCAAATACTTGCAACGATCCAAAAGATGGTTTTGGATCGTCTTGCAAGGTTTTGCTGGGTTACTTGTTCCCTTTCCCCAGCTTCCTCCTCCAAATTTGCTGAGGACGTTCTGCTGTTTGATTCCCCCGATCAATCAAGCACTCAATCATCCCATCCTTGAGATCCTGATTCAGTTGTGCTTGTGACACGAACTCAATGGGACCTTCCGCTTTTTGGCCCCACTCCTTTGCTGGGGCCATTGCCGCTGGGTCTTTCCGTTCGCAATGCAAATAATAAAAGGCAAAGAATAATATCGAGTTGCGGTGTGACTGTGCTCTCTCTCTTTCAAAGGTCAAGAGACAAGAAACGCAGTATTGTACAGCACCACCAGCGGCAACCGTGACGGGAGGGAAGAACAAGCAAGCTTATTCACCCGCTCACTTCCTCCTTACCGCTCGTTAAAGTGAAGCAAGCGAAAGGAAGGAAGGAATTTATTGTACAAAAAGGGGAAAGGTAGACAAAGTGTGGGACGCTATCGTGACATCGTCAAAAAGAACCTTGGATGTGGTCGAGACGAAAATCTCGATCCAAAGTCAATATCCTTTTTCTCTTGTTTAGAAATTCTCCTTGCCCCAGACGAAACTGAAGCCTTTGTCACCCTCAGAGTACATGTTACACTTGACATGGAGCTGAGAGCCAAGGCCTTTGGGACCGCAGAAGAAGACGCCAGCCTCACCAGGGGAATGCAGTTTGCGGATGGCACGGAAGACCATGTCCCAATTAGGACGACCAAAGTTGGTCGGTGTACGCAAGCCCGTGACAGCGTCCGTGTCGCTGCTGTTGAGCATGATGTTGCTTGCATCCGAGGCAGTAATCTTGGCTGTTAGGTACGTGTGGATCTCAATGTTGTGCGCTTTGTCTTGTGCCTCGATTGCCATTAGCAACGATTTGAACCACTCCAGACTGCCAAAGTCACGACAGATCCAGAAGAAGTAGACCTTGCGCAGTCTTGTCTTGCCCCCTGATCCCGTGCTCATACGGTACCAAATGCTCTTGAGAATACTAGCGAAGGGGGTGACACCGATACCGGCACCGACCAGTACTGCGGTCTCAAATTTGAAGACGTCTTCCGAGGCGGAGCCGAAAGGTCCATCTATGTAGATTCTCGGAAGCAGTTTCGTCAGGCCACCAGGCGCCATGGAGACCACTTCGGAGCGTTGCTTCTTCTCACCACCCCCTTTACCTCCCTTGCCCTCTTCACAGCCTAGAGCTTTGCCCAGTGCTTTGGTGAAGTTACCCACCATACGGACGTGCACCGAGATGTAGTCTTCTTCAGGGGCGGAAGTCAAGGTAAAGGGGTGATACTGCCAGATGGAAACTTCAGGACAGCACAGGAAGATATATTGACCGGCACGCGTCTTGGTTTTTTCCTTGTGCATTTGAATCTCCACAACATTGCTGGGATGCTGGATGACTTTTGTGACATAGGTTTTGTGGCGTCCACGAATCTCACGGAGGATTCTTTCCAGTAGATATGCGAAGCCACCAAACATCCAGTACTCCCAAAAGACACCGATACCACTGCAGAAGGGGGCGGTGTCGGGCTTGATCATGCAGAAAGCGCCATGGATCGACCACATGACGAAGAAGAGAACGAAGAGGTGGTGGGTGGACCAGAAGCGCTCGTAATTTGCTCTTCTGGGTTTTTCGATTGAAGTGAAAAACATGGCCATCAAGGCAATGAGCATCACCCAGCCGGTCCAGCCGGGTCCAGTGAGGAAGCCGAGTTTCAAAAAGCCAACGAAGCCGATCTTGGCGTTGATGGCAAGTTGTCCAACGTTCTTGATGTGAGCGATCGTATGGAGCCATGAGAAGAAAACGATGGAATAGGCGACCTGTTTGTGGAAGGTGATGTTTTTGTCAAATGGAACGATGCTGTTCAGTGGCGTTTGTCGTAACAGTGAAATGAGGGTGCGGCAAACGGGGAAGAGGATGAGGGCGATGTCGAAATGCAGGACGAGGGCGGACGATCTCGCAACGGCGAAAGTGAAGCCAAAGGTCCTCCGAGGGCCGGTGAGGTTGTCCTTCAGCTGATAGTTCAAGAAGCCGAACGTGAAGATGAACGCGTGAACCAGCACAAAAACGCCCACAACCATCCGCCTCGAACCCTCGTTCACCATCCATCGGTCGAGTCTTTCTCTTAGGTTGAGCGCTCTCGGGGCCTCACCACTGACTTCGCCCGAGAGGAGCATCCTCGAGAGAGGAGTTGATCGTGTTCGCTCCATTGATGAAGAAGTTGAAGAGGTGTTCGACCTAGCCAGTGGTTTCTCGATGTAGTACATGGGTGCATTATTATGTGTAGTGGTGTTGGACCGTCCCAGCGGTTGCTCGTAGAAGTGAACTTGTTGCGCGGCGTAGGAGTAGTCCATGGCGGCGATATGTAAATGAAGGGTCGCTGGTCCCGACACCTGAGACCTGAGACTGGTCGTGGGTGGTGCTGGGGAGGTTCCACAGTCGGTTGGGTTGCTGCGGCAGGTTGACCAAGTTCGAGACTGCCCACGAGGGTACTTGAAACGTGGACTTGACACAGTATCAGTCTCGACGAAACGTTCGCGTAGTGTTCCAATACTAAGACGTACAATACCTTGATACCGCGTAGCGAAAGGGTTCTTTAAGATTGCTCCAGGCAAGGCTGCTAGACGAGAGACAAGCGAAACAATGCCAGTACGATGGTGTTCTGGTCAACACCACGAAGTTGAAGGGAAGCTGCGCTCTACAAGAACGATCAACATGAGGGAAAGAGAGAAGATCATTCTTGACAAGGAAGTCTGGACTAATTAGCATAAGCTGTACGTTAATGGGAACCCCCCCTTCTGGCCTTTGTGGGCGCTTGGGAGCGACATGATGAGCGTGCGTGGGCATTGCGTGGTGCTCCAGGGCTGGCAATGCTGCGATGGGACCGAGGGGCTCATGTCATGCACAGAGAAAGGGGGGAGCCAACGAAGGCCACGGAGCCCTAGAAACAAACCCACATAATTGGGTCGTGAGCCGGAGTCCAGACGCCGGTCGAAGAAGCTTTGAATCTGTGCATTTTTGCCAACGAACAGAAATGATTTGTGGTGAGTGCGAAGTGGATGAGTGAGGACTCGAGGAGTGGGAGGCTGGTGAAACGCGCCAGGGGCTCTCGACCCAAACTTGGCCGCCCGGCCATACATTCCCAGGTTTCCAGGTTGCCACTCAGCCTCCTGGTTTCATCAATGCAAGGCTTTCGACAGGTACCAGGACCACCGATCCATACGGAGTACTTGTACGCCTAGCTCGTACAGTACTCCGTACATACCTTGTGGCCCAGTCACTCTCTGCATCAGCCCACCTGCCGGATTTACGTATGCGAGCCCAGAACCCGAAAGAGGTTCAACAAGCGCCTCCCGCACGTGATTGGTATCCTCTGGCCCTATCTGAGACCACGAGCAGAGTATCTTGCGTATTCATTTCAGCCAACACCGGACACCGGACTCTTCTCTCCGATTGCCCCTTCTAATTGGGCCATTTCTTCACGTGGAATCATCAGTAGATCAGGGTCCTCTCTTCTGCCGAGGCTGGGCAAGGCGCCTGGTGGTTCTCACGTTCGTCGGACCACCTGGTCGACTCGCGGTCTACTCGGTCATTGATTGTCCCAAGTGAAGGCATATCACCAGTCTCCAGTCTCCTTACTACGCATGATTCACCAAGAAGTCCCAGGGGCATATGAACCGAGTTCTGTGGGGGAAGTAAAAGCAAAGTGTTATCCCTATAACACGCCCATAGTGTAATGCATCATAAGAGGTCATCCCAGATCGTGCCGTTGGACTTGGACCGCCGTCCACAATGACTCTACGCCCGCTTCTCCCATTGCGCTCGTTGCTTCCGTATCGAAATGCTCGTCGCAAGCCCGTCTTCATCGACCCTCCACCCAATATGCCTCAACGCGCTTTGACTCTAACCGTACAGCTTATGCACGCGGGCAAGCTTCAGACCATTGCATCCTACCCATGCTTAGCAAGATTGCCGAGTACCGGCTTGGCCACCCCTCGATCTTCCATGCTGATTAGATTGCAAACTTTCTCGTCCATTCTCTAGCAGTTGCTTCGTAGCGGGCACGATCGGTTTTGTACACGTGGGCAATCTCTGGAACAAGAGGATCGTCGGGATTGGGATCGGTAAGCATGGAACAAATGGACAACAGCACTGAGAATCAAGATTAGTCTTTGCTTTGCCAACGTGAGCATAATCTCAGTGCAGCATACCTTTAGATATCGTCAGAGCAGGACTCCATTGGTCTCGAAGAATATCCAAACAAATGCTGCCATTGGAATTGATGTTGGGGTGATAGATTCGAGTAGTGAAGTTGACCTTTGGTGGCTTGAAGGGATAGTCTGTGGGAAAGTGGATCGCTAGGAAGAAGACACCACCCTGGAATGGACTGTCACCCTGGAAAAAGAGTCAGCAGAAGGTTTGAGGGAGAACTGAGCTGACTTACGGGACCCATGATGGTTGCTTGCCAGTGAAACTGATTTATCATGTTAGTTGATCGTTCTACCTCTCACATCGCCTGCCTAGCCATGGCCGGCCTCGGGCGGAATTCAACATACCAGGTCGTCTCCCATAGGACCAGCGGAGCATGATGAGGGGGGGTCACTACCAGAAAAACGATTAGTATATTTGTCAGGTCGAGGATTCCGGGTCTTATCAAGACGAAATCCAAATCGTATCGACGCATCAGGATATCCTAACTACAAAAAGGTGCTTACCGGCCGAGATCTGTAAGTTCTTTGTTGATTCGCTTCAAAGCCATGGCTGAAGGATTGTATTATGAGAGGTGTTGGAGAGGTTGATGTAGAGAGAGCAAAGCGGTGGTGGTGATCAAACCCTGATTCAACGTGGGGCTGCGGTCTGAGGCAACTTGAGAACTCGGTGGTATCGATGCGTCAACTAACTTGCTCTGAAGCAAGGATTGAGAAGAAAGTAGTGGTTTAAACAAGAGAACACGAGTTGATCTACAAGATCGCGTGAGAGGGTATGTGTATGGAGAGGTTGGCAGGTGATGGTAGTGGATGTGGGTGTGGGTGTGGCAGTGATGGTGATGGTGAAAAGGTTAAGAACCAAGTGACGCTTCAGGCGGACGCAGGCTGAGAAGATGGAAGGAACTTGAAAGGCAGCTGAACCCGTGCCAGGCTTGGCAAAAATTGGAACGGAAGTTGCGAGATGCACCTGCCACTTCGGCGCCACAGCCACCACTGACCACTGCCAACTGCCAAATGGGTGCTATGGGCGGTACCGTCCTAGTCGCTGCCTTACAGTAGCTAACAATTGTGAATCATTTTTTGCTCTCGCCCGCCTACCCCACATCCAATAGGAACGCCCGATGCGGCGCTTTGGGCTTCAAGATTTTTCCATTCTCGCCATGGTTCGCCACCACTCTCCTCATACATACAGTATGTCGGTTTTCTCACTATCTCCAAATGACAAAGCATTATATACATCAAGCTGCGGCAAATTTTCCTTTTCTTGATAAGCCCGCCATTACTCGCCCAACCACGCTTAAGTTGATCTCTTTCAATTTGTCTATCCTTACAAACCCTTCCGGAAGGCACAAGAACAAATGCTGAAATGCTGGTGCCAGTGCTAATGTTTATACAAATGCTTGCAGTCCAGTAATGGCACGTCCCAGTATCAGTGCATGGATGTCGCTTTGTCCCTCATAGGTTTGAGTGACGAATAAGTTTGACACGTGCCTCCCGATGTGATACTCGTCGCTGACTGCGTTGCCTCCGAAGATTTCTTGCAGGTGCCTTGCATTCACCAGTGCCCGGTCACAGTTTTGTCTCTTAATCATTGAGATCATCTCCGGTACAACCTTGCCTTCATCTTTGAGTCTACCCACCTGGTAAGCTGCAGCTACACCAAATGCCGCATCGGTTGTGGCATCCGCGAGCTTCTTCTGCACCAATTGGTACTTAGCAATGGGGTTGTTTTTGAACTGCCTCCTTTCCAGAGCATATTCACGGGCTCTCGTGATGCAGTCTTCAAGTGCGCCCATAGTGCCCCAGGCAATACCATACCGGGCCGAATTCAAGCAAGCGAATGGTCCCTTCAGCCCTTCAACATCAGGGAACATGTTTTCCTTAGGCACGGGGCACTCGTCCAACTGGATCATGCCCGTTATCGATGCTCGAAGCCCGTTCTTATTCTTCAAAGGTGGTGTTTCCAACGTGCCTGGGGGACATTTTTCTCGTTCAACTAAGAACCCCCTAATCTTGCCTGTCTCCTGTAGCTTTGCCCAGACCAGGAGAACGTCGGCAATAGGTGAATTTGTGATCCAGGTTTTGGCGCCCGAAAGAGAGTAGTAGCCTTCCTTTGACGGATGGGGTTTTGCAGTCGTCTCCATCGATCCTGGGTCCGACCCATGGTTGGGTTCTGTCAAGCCAAAACAGCCTACTAACTGACCGTTACCAAGCTTCTCTAGGAACTTGTCTTTCTGCTCTTGCGTGCCAAATTCATCTATGGGTCCCATGACAAGTGAGCTCTGGACAGACATCGCTGATCTATACCCAGAGTCTACTCGCTCAACCTCACGAGTGATAAGCCCTGCAGCAACATTGCTCACACCAGCACATCCGTAGCCTTTGATTGTAGAGCCTAGCAGACCTAATTCTCCCATCTCTTGCAAGATCGTCTTGTCAAAATCCTCCTTGCGATATGCTTCTAAAACCCTTGGGGACAGGCGCTCCTGACAGTATGACTGCGCCGTCTCTTGGATGGCACGCTCTTCTTCGGTAAGGAAGTTGTTTAAATTTAAAGGGTCTTCCCAGATGAAGGCTGTAGAACTTGAAGCATGTCTGCGCGACAGTGACCGAACCGTCGAGCTATGTCTCGTTCGCGCGAACTGGCGCCAGACAGAGCGAGCCAACATAGTGCTAAGAGGCGAGGAAGCAAGGAAATAAATCGAGAAGCAGACGGTCAAGGCACCAGCAAACAATCTTGCAAGGACAGAAGAAACCGTGATAGAAATTAGTGGAAATGTAGAGGTCAATGCTACTTGAACCGAGGCTGCGATTTCAAGGAATGGGTGGTACTTTAGTAGCAAAACTAGGCTGGGGCCAGATCTCCGGCTACCCCTCAAAAGCTCCGCGAACTCGCCGGGCTGTCAACTGACTATGGGCTATGACCGAAAAGAGTTTTGAGCTTTGAGAGTTTGAGTAACTGAGATACATGAACCAGGCACTTGAGCGGAAGACTTCGGTGATCAAGGTGGTAGGTTGTGTTTACCTAGGTACGAAAGATAGTCATGGGGTTGCGATCATGCAGTACCCCGAGCACTTCCAGTCTCCCCTTTCCTGCGAGTCAAGAGATATTCGCCAAGAACGACGTCACAACCCTGGAGCACGAAAGAGGCAGTTGAGAGAGGGAGGGTGGAGCTCCGAGCAACGCGCCTTTCCTCTGCACTTTACGCGACTAGTCAGGCGTGATTTCATGATCCCGACTTCAGCGTATCGCAGTCCCTTCCACTGCACTCGCCCTCCATCACCACCACCTCTACCGATCTCAGAGAAGCACGAAACTATTTCCCAAGATGGGTATCAAACGTACGCCTCTCCTCTTCAATTCACACGGTTTCGCATACTGATGCTCTGCCACAGAATTATACCATGTCATTGCCGAGGAGGCACCTGATGCCATCAAAACTGGTGAAATCAAGAATCACTTTGGTAGAAAGGTTGCAATTGTAAGCATGCTGCCATCGATTGCTAGGCTCGAGCTAACATATTTACTTTAGGATGCGTGCGAAACCAACTATCTACACGAAAACCATCCGCGGTGCTAACCTGCTGCAGTTCAATGAGTATCTACAGTTTCCTGATTGCAGTCCGATCAGATGGTCAGCAACTGATGTCCGACACTGGCGAGACCACCTCTCACTTGATGGGAATGTTCTACCGAACTTTGCGCATTGTCGACAATGGCATCAAGCCGCTCTACGTCTTCGATGGAGCTCCTCCTAAATTGAAGTCGGGTGAATTAGCGAAGCGTTTCGCTCGAAAGAATGAGGCAAACGAGCAACACGAGGAGGCGAAAGAGACAGGCACTGCAGAAGAAGTCGAGAAATTCTCCCGGCGTACTGTCAGAGTCACCAGAGAACACAATGAAGAATGTCGAAAACTACTCAAGTTGATGGGAGTTCCGTACATCATTGCACCCACAGAGGCCGAGGCTCAATGCGCGGTTCTGGCACGCGCTGGCAAAGTGTATGCTGCAGCCTCGGAGGACATGGATACCCTGTGCTTCAATGCGCCTATCCTGCTTCGCCATTTGACTTTCAGTGAACAGCGGAAAGAGCCTATTCAGGAAATCCACCTTGACAAGGCATTGGCAGGTCTTGACATGGACAGAAATCAGGTATGAGCCTCCCCAAGTCAATCGCCTGCCCTCCTTCGATGCCTGACCGTTTAGTTCATCGATATGTGTATCCTTCTAGGATGCGACTACGTAGATCCAGTGCCCAAGGTTGGCCCAAACACGGCATTGAAGCTCATCCGAGAACATGGCTCCCTGGAAAAGGTTGTGGAATTTATGGAAAATGACCCGAAGAAGCGCTATGTGATTCCCGAGGATTGGCCATACAAGGACGCGAGAGAGCTGTTCCTCAATCCAGATGTCCGAGCAGCGGACCATCCGGAATGTGATTTCAAATGGGAAGCGCCTGATGTGGAGGGTCTTGTTCAGTTCCTGGTGACCGAGAAAGGCTTCAGTGAAGACCGGGTCCGAAGTGCAGCCCAGAAGTTACAAAAGAACGTCAAGACGGCACAGCAGTCTAGACTGGAAGGATTTTTCAAAACGGTGCCCAAGACGGAAGCAGAAAAGAAAGACTTGAAGCGCAAACACGAGGAGAAGATTGCGGAGGCAAAGAAGAAAAAGAAAGAAGACGCAAAGTCCAAGAAGGAGACCAAGGCCAAGCCTCACGCCTAAGGCTGCAACTCGCCTTCTCATGAAGCTGGGTTATCATAGAACCAAAAGGGCGATGGTGGAGATGCGTGTATTCTGATAGCATGGCGTTGGGGCACGTATTGAACGAGGATTACGAGATAAATCCATCAGGCTTGGACTACTGGGGAATACCAGTCATCGACCCGGAACGCAAAACAGACACATTTGCTAAACATTTAACGACCAGCGCACTCCAAGAACTTTGTGTGACCAGGAAAAGAGGCCAGACTCAGATGTGGTTCCTGCTCCCTGCGCTGGCCAAACGGCGCAACCTTGCAAGTTGAGACAAGGTTATCACATGATCAATATTGTGAGGATGGCGCGGAAACCTAGGTTCCACTGGTAGACAAGCTACCGAGTAGCTGCATTCCCAATGGCCGTGGAGTAATCCTATCCACTAGGAAACAATCCACTATGCCCCAATAGGGCCACAGCATTAAGAGCAACGTACCCGTACAAGACACGTCAGGATTAGGATGCCGTGGCAAGGCAAGCTTGGACGAAGCTGATACCCAAGTTTCGCAGAGCACCAGGCAACAACAAGAATTGTACAAATGAGATGAATCATCAAAGTAACAGTAATGAATACGCGATGATGATGCTGCGAGTGTTTGAGCAGCAAGAATAAAGGCAGTGCATCAAGAATGAGACATGATATGCACCTACGAGATTAACGGGGGAGGGTGTTCTCCGTCCTCGGCAAGAAGATCCAGGTGCCGTGGGTAGTGGTTGGGTGGCATTGGCAGGAAGGAAGGGAAGGAAGGAAAGGAAGGGAAGGAGGGAGGGAGGGAGCTCAGGAAAGAAGGAAGGCAATGCCAGGTGGGAAAGTGGGAAAGAGGAAAGAGGGAAGGAGGGGAGGGAAGATGCATGAGCTGGAGCGCGTGATCTCCGCAGCAGCTTCACATGGGTAAGGAATAAATAAAATCCAGGCGAGCTGTGATTGGCTGGCGGGCGGAAGTCAGCTGTGATCTTGCCAACGGCAAGGAAGATCAACTCAACTCGTCACATGCGACTATAAACACCAGCGCTGTCCCCGCCGCCCGCGTCTCAAGACGCCCTCTGCCCACTGCTTCATTTACATTTCTCGACTCGCCTTCGCTCACTGACCAGCTCAAGTCAATCTATTCATCGTATTCCACCATCCGATCCATCCATTAACCACTCCAAACACTCTCCATCATCAACATGCCTCCAAAGAAAGCTACTGCCGCTGCCGCTCCGGCCAAGGAGACCAAAGAGAAGAAGCCCGCCGCCGCCCCCGCTCATGCCTCATACAAAGGTCAGTTTCACCCTAGGATGGCGATCGCGTCCGATCGCATATTCTATAATCTTGGTCGCCAGCCAATACTGACTGCATGTGTCTAGACATGATCAAAGAGGCCATCCTCAACGTAGGTCTATTCTGTTTGCGACAACGTCGATGCCCTCAAGTCACCTATCCTGCGATTCCCCATACCGTCCCGCGATAGGTGCAGCCTATCGCGCATTGTTATTCCAATCTCATCTCAAGCAAGAGCTAAGCTAACACAACTTGACCTATAGTTGAAGGAGCGCAATGGAAGCAGGTTAGTCACCCCGTGTGACCTCGTCGTCGCTACGCGATCGCGAGCCAAGCCAATTTCGATCACACCATACTAACATGTTCTTAGCCGACAAGCTATCAAGAAATACGTCAAGGCCAACAACAACATCACCGTCACTTCAGAGACCCAATTCGACTCTTTGTTCAACAAAGCCCTAAAGACCGCCGTCGAGAAGGGTGACTTCACTCAGCCAAAGGGTATGTGCCCCAATCATTGCTCGTATCCTATCTCGTCCCTCCCAACCTAACCTCGTATCTGAATAGGCCCATCTGGTCCCGTCAAGCTTGCAAAGAAAGAGGCTAAGCCCGCAGAGAAGAAGACGTCGGCAAAGGTACGTGTCGCTGACCTTCATCAGCTAAGTATACTGCTAACTCGACGACCAGAAGGAGAAGGCTCCCAAGGAGGCCAAAGAGGCTAAGCCAAAGGTCGCAAAGGCCAAAAGCAGTACAGCCAAACCCAAGACTGCCGCCACCAAAGTCAAGAAGGCTGCTGCTCCCAAGAAGACTACCGCCGCTAAGCCCAAGGCCAATACTGCAACTAAGCGTGCACCCAAGGCCAAAGCCGCTAAGACTGAGACACCCGTATGAACAAGTTGTACCTCGTGCTCATACACTTATACTAACATCGTCCCAGGCCCCTGCCGTCACCGATGTCCCAACTGTCCTAAAGAAGACAAAGTCTGGTAGAGTCACCAAACAAAAGGCACCCAGTGCCACCAAGAAGGCACCTGCAAAGAAGACCGCAGCGGCGAAGAAGCCCACACCCAAGAAAGCAACACCCAAGAAGGCTGAGGCAGCCGCATGAACAATTCTGAATAGGATGTCGTTGTTATGACTTGATGTATGTTGCTTGTGCTTTTCTTGTATCGGGTATTATAGGGTCATGTGGGTGATGGTTAGGTCAAAGGACGGCGTGTCTCGATGGGATCAAGAGCTTGAGCAGAAAGATGAGGGCGTTGACCGATATTGTCATCTCGGACTATGGGCCTTTCTCTTCCAGTCTCATGCCATGGGTGTGCTGTTTGTGCTTGTTTATCTCCAGGGAAATGGTTTTGGGTTCGGGCAAAGAAGGGGATATCTATATCTAGGTGTTCCGGGCACTTTCAGATGCAGTGTTTATTGAAATGCATATGGGCGATGGGACTATCAACACAACACGGACAAGAGGCAAAACCCAAAGAGGCATCAGACAACACTAGCACGCTTCATGCTTCTGACACATCGTTGGCGCAATGAGATATCCGATATTGAGCACTACTACCAGTCACAATATGAGCATCGGGTAATCCAGCGGCCGATGGAAAGGAAGAATACCAAATGTCTTGTACAGCACTGGTTTTTAATTTTCCATTACAATTTTGGAGTCTTGTGACATGTGAATTGTGCGGTTGGAGGACGAGTCTACTATGCCAGATGGTGAGATATACCTATACTGCATTAGTTGTTTGTTTACGCCGAATGCGACAGTGATGGTTGACTATCATCCGAACCCCAACATCTGTCACGTGATGATCGGCCTACCAGTGTTTCTCCAATGCCACCAGACTTTCTCCAACCAAACAAACCAACCCTCGTCCAGCCCAAAAGCCTAGGAGCAGGATATCCATTACTATCCAAAAGCTGATGAAATAGAACGTGAACGTGAACGCGAACGCGAACGCCATCACTTGTCGGCATGGTGGTATTAGACCCGCACAGCTCTTTCGTTCATTTCTGCCCCTCCAGGTCAATGTCATGTATTTATTTGCTGCCATGTGCGTAGATATGAATATTTTTACCCGAAGTAGGGAGAGAGTCTGCGCGGCCCGGCCAACGCTCAATGCCTACTGTTGCAATCACATTTGCCTACCTAGACACTTGACAGACAGATTTGTCGGAGGTTTTCCCTCGAACTCCAAACTACACGAACACGGGGAAATGGAATCAAGAATGCTTCAATATTTAAGATTTGGTGTGGTGTATTTTGGGCTTCATTGATATACATGCCAGGTCACCTAAGTAGGTCTAGGTTGGTATGTTGATTGTACGTTACAAACACACAGGAAAGTGACGTTTGGTGATGATATGTATGTGAAACAGAGAAGAAACATGCTCCTCTAGCCTACCCCGGCGCCTGTGCTCAGTCTCGGGGAGTGCTTGCGGCGCGCCGACCGGTACAACAAAGACAAGAATCAAAATGCTGGAGCAAAGTGTGAGATGCTGAAGGCCGTATGTTGCCATACTGCTGTCACGATGGAAAGTAGTCCGAGCGCTTGTACCGAATCCCTGTCTCCTCGTCGAGTTCTCCGAGCATTGGTGGCTCCTCACGAATCCCTCTAACGTGGACATATGGCGGCGGAGGGGTGATTGATTGTCTTGGTTCGCAATGAGTGGGTGTGGGAGTACCCGACCAAGAGGTTGGCCGCAACTGGAATGACCCTGCGAAGACATTCGAACGTCGAAATTGACGGGTCCCCGGCCGCAGGGGTGGGGACGGTGTGTGTCTTGCAAGAGACGGGTAGAAGATGAAGTTGGAAGTAAAGTTGAAGCTGAAGCTGAGGAACATGACGGCGAGTGTTTGATCACCGGTGGCTCGACTGTAATCTGTCATTCAAAACATCGGATAGCAGGAACGGTGTTGACGACGGCGCAAGCTCGGTCAATCTGCGTTGCTGTCGAGAGCTCTGCAGGACGGCCAATGTATTGAGAAGGGCAAGGAAAGATGCCGAATCCAGGGTTGATGATCGAGTGGGCTGAGACGCTGGAGTTGTCATGAATGTTGTACGGGGAGGAAGTGTGGTTTCTTGGTGGCATTGGCATGGAGTCTTTTGACATCGGATGGGATGGAACCAGAGGTGGCATTTACTACCACACTCTTACGTCCTAAGGGGGCAAGGTTTCTGTGATTGCAAGCAACAAAGTCTGGATTGGATGTATGAGTGTATTCGCGTGTCCACGAGAGGTGTAAGGATGATCACGATGCTTCCTGCTCAGGGCGAACTTAATAAATTGATATATTCCTACCTTGGGTGATTTTGTTTTCGATGCTGTTCTGAGGAGTTGGTCCTCATGCGTTCTCTCGACTTCGAGGCGATTGTTGGTGATGTAGGAGAGTAGGAGGAGAAGGTCCTTTTGAGATCCATGGGTTTTCTGTGGTTTAGGTTCTTCCGACTCCGAGCCGCCCGAAGTGTGGCTGAGAGGGGTGTCATCTGGGATTCTACCTATGTTCCTGAGGATGTGCTGCAGTAGTATGCCGATGCTGGCGACCGGCTTAAACATTAGAGCCGTTATCTGCTGCACAAAGTAGCTTATGTTCAAATGAGAATGAGTCTGCAAGTGGACTTTGTCCTACCTCTTGATGTATTTTCACACGAGAAGGGCAAGGTCCATGTCGACACGCTCAACTGCCTGATGCCGGGCATTGAAAGGCGTTGAATTCTGGGAACTCACCATCACCGAAGACCTCCCAACCTTGGGCATCTACAAGCCGCCGTTGAGAAAGCCTCAGGCTTCCGCAGTGACCATGTCCGTCACGAAAGAAGCATCACGGCCACCATGATATTTCTGACCAGCTTCTACTTCAAGCGGCTCGAACAAGGTGAAAAATGTCAGACCAGGATACCATGGTCTCGGACCTGCCGAATGGTTGGCGCAATCTCGATCAAGTCAAAGAGAATTCACCCTGTCATGCTGGAAGTTCTGATGGTTCTCGTGATTGATAGTCACTTATAGAGTCTTGCGATTGAAGAGTCTTGCGTCTAGCTTTGATGGTCTTGTCCAAGCGAATGGTCTACACCACAGTAAAGTATGCAAGCGATGCCTGCCAGACGCCGAACCAATGATATTTTCCACACGATAACGTGCAGAAAGAGTTCCCTCGTAGGATTATCCCAAGGATCCAGTGTCCTTCTTCCCCTATCTCTGAGCAAATCGCGCCTGTCTCATTTCTTGATCCATTTAACCTTCAAGTCCTTATTCCGCATCATCTGCAGCGTCAACTTCGGCTGGCTATGCTGCAGGACTTCCTCGAGGCGGGCCTCGACCTGGGCATCGGTTTCGTCGTCATGTATCCTCACGGGCTCGCAACGGTACTGACCGAAGATGGTCATGAATACGCTCACGAACTCGACCTGGCTCATCTTCATGCCGGGGCACGCTCGCGGCCCAGAAGCCCAGGCCAAGAACGTGCCGCGCGCGGGTGTCTTCACGTTCAAGATTGTCGCATTGCTATCGCCCGGCTGCACGGAGGCGTCGACCAGCCATCGAGATGGGCGGAATGCCTTTGCGTCCGACCCCCATGTTCGTGTGTCGAGACCCAGTGCGACCGTATTGATGTACACGATTGTGCCGCGGGGGAAGAAATGTGTCCTTGTGTCGCCGTTGCCGTTCTTGGACGTCGTTATCGTCACGTCGTGGTCTTTGCTCGTTTGTCGTGCGATGTGCGTCAGTGGTGGGAAGAGGCGCAGTGTTTCATACTATAGAGATTGAGGATCTGGTTGTTAGAAAGGTCTAGCGGACTTCTGGACGGTGCATAGCCCCTTATCGAGCCTTTGGAAAGGGGGAGGAGAAGCGGAGACATGGGAGAGTCTGGAAAAAACATACCATGAGGGCTAGACAGCGTGGGAGTTTGGGGTATACCTCACTGTATTCGAGGTTGTCTGGGTCCTTGTCGAGAAGCACGGTAGAGATCTCCTCATACAGCCAGTCCTGCCACTTGGGGTAAGTGGCTAGGAGTGTCAGGGCGTACGCCATGGTGTTGGCTGTGGTGTCGAATCCGGCCGAGGTGAAGATGAACAAGTTGCCTAGGACTTCCTCTTCGCTCAGCCGCAATACCCTTTTTTCTTTTTCGGACTCGTTGACGCGCCCCCCAGTCTTCTCCGTGTCCACGCTGGCGGTGGCACCATCCGCAATCTTGACGAGGATGCTCATCAGGTTACTCCTAGTCTCGGACGTCGTTCTCTGTAGTTCCCGCTCCCGTGCTAGCATTCTCTTTGTGTGGATGGGAAACTCGTTCTTCGCGTGGCCGATAGCCTGCCACGATGGCGCGAAGAGAGGCGTAGTGAGCAGTTTCGCGGGTATGACGGCCGCCTCGATGATGTTTTCAACCACTGTTCGCGTTGCTTCCATGTATGTATGTCGGAAGCCTTTTTCGGGCTTTTGCGCTTCGCCTTGCTTCCAGGGTTGGGAGATTCCGAAGCCTACTGTCCCGAGAACGTTGATGGCAATTGTCTTCATGCCTTGCAGTGTTTCGTCCGTCACGCCTTTCACCTCGCCCATGTATGAGGATAGCATCTGGCGTGCTTGGCTGACAGATTCGCCGAAGACGAGTTTGCTGATCTTCTCGTTGATATTGGGTGCGATCTTGAGAGGGAGAAGGCAAAGTTAGTTCTCAGAATACATTAATATCTCGAGGGGAGCGGGAAAGAAGATTGTTTGATAGAAGGGCGTTCCCTCCTTACAATGAATGGCTGATGGTTTGATAGCGCTCATTGAACCGCAGAGTGTCTGGAGACTCTGAGGAGACTCGAGTGTGAAAAGAGAATGTAACTTGATGAAATGGCCAACTTACCAGCTTTCTCTGTCGTGCCCAATCCTCGCCATTGGTACTGACCAGATTTGAACCAAAGACGTTCAGGATAACAGCGACTACATCGGTGACTGGAAAGTCCTTGAGCCGCTTTAAGATCTCGCTTGAGACTTCTGGATCCCTGACGGACACTTCCACAGGCCCGCTGGTGACAAGGACGACGGTATCGTTGCCCTCTTCCCCGAACATGTCTTCCTTGGATCGAAATTCGAAGCCGTAGGTGGCCAGATTGAGTCCTCTATACCACGATGCCGGAATATATTTCTCCAGAGGCACCACCAATGGTACGGCGGCGACCATCCACACTGGATTATAAATGTTGAACGGGATAATGAACATCGGAGCGCCAATCTTACGCGCCGATAGGTAGTTTCTGACCAGGCTGTAGAAGTTCGACGCTGTCCAGAGGCCGATAACGACGATGAGGATTGCTGCCCAAGCCATGGCTCGCCTTGTGCTCTCGAATACTTGGTCAGAGAGAGGGAGAAAGAGAGAGAGGGTGACCGAGTGTGACTGGTAGCTAGAGTGATCAACAGCTTATGTCGACCAGGTTATTGGACTATCTAATGATGCACCTATCGAAATTCGTGAGGCGACTTGCGGGTTTAGCATTGCTCTGCGAGCAGCGAGCAAAGAAACTGAAATGCTTTAACAAGAACTCCGTACTCCGTATAACTTGTTCATGAAGGCTGGCACGGATACTCGGTGGCTTGGCAGGGAACTTCCTAGAGAGCTGAACGAGAAAAGGAGATCGCTGGGAGTTACGTGGTCAACGTTCCCTGAACGAGGCAAGGAGGACAGGATATCTCGTACAAGGAACTCCGTCCTCCGTACCCGAGTATATGTCTCCCTTATTCCACGGGTTGTTTTACATCGCGCAGAAACGATTGGATGGCATTGACTCGACAATCAAAGGTCCTTGGAAAATAGGCGGACAACATTAACAGGGGGCCTTTGACTAAACAAGCCCACGTTCCTGCAGGAACAATCCTTGTGGGGTTTTGTATTTAAGTTCTTGGCAGCGCCAGCAGTCGAAACCGAAACCGAGATTTGGTTTGACAAACTCTCGAGATGTGGATGAACATTTTACATAGACAAGATTGTTGGAAAGCATTCTCTAGAGAAGTGATGATGCCACCCAGGATATACGCAGCAGACTAGCATTTCAAAACGAGAGCTCTTCCGTGCCAATGCGCGAGACAAAGGATCCATTTATCGATGGCCACGCGATGCAATTCGTTCCTCCGCCCGGTCGACTTGATTTCTCTATCTCGTGACTTCCACACTTCATGTCTACCGTGACAACGCGATATCATCAATCCGTAAGATCATCTTGACCGTTTCTGCTGCCAGTTCAATTGCACTGGTGCTGACAAGTAAGGGCTGCAGGACTTTCTCGTCCGCAATGTTGGTCTTGACGCCTCCACTGCGTATGCTAACACCGGCGTTCTTCTCTCCCTGATCATGTCGGTGCCTGAGCTCTGTCACCACCTTGATGCTGTTCAAGCCCGCATTCTCTGCCAAAGTGGTTGGAATCACTTCCATTGCATCAGCAAAGGCTTTCCAGCAGATGGCTTCTGTGCCTGTCAACTCTCGGGCCTTCTTAGCAAGCTGCTGGGCAACCTCAATTTCGGGGGCACCACCACCGGCAATCAGAGCCTTCTTCTTGACCAAACAGCGGATGACACATAGGGCGTCGTGAAGTGAACGCTCTGCCTCATCTAGCACGAGGGTATTGGCGCCTCTTGCGACGATAGATACCGTTTGGTTTTGGAGGGATGCTGTTCTGATACCAGTGATTTTGACGTATCTTGCACCGGATGAGGTGATTTCTTCAACCAAGTCCGCACTTCCGAGCTTGTCTTCAGTAAAGGTGTCAACATTGGCAATTGGCTTGCAACCGGTGCTCTTGCACAGGAACTCGACTTCGTCGCGCTCGATGTCCTTGATAGCCAGTATTTTTAATCTTGACAAGAAATGTAGCGACAGATCGTTGACTGCGTCCCTCAGAATGGACTTTTGAATTAGGAGGACATTGCATTTGGCCTTTTGGATTTTCTTGACCATATTGAGGAGATATGTTCGCTCTTCTTTAAGGATCTTGTCCATTTGTCTGTAGTCATTGACAACAATCTGGTTCTCCATATCAGGCTTGGGCGGACTCAGCTGGAACTGAATGAGGGCGATGCGGGCTTTTTCTATTCGAGTAGGACCGCCGCTGCTCTTGATCACAGGCTGATTGAGAACCAGACCATCGATCATTTCCGAATCGTCAATAGTACCTCCAACTTTCTTGACAATGCGGATATTTCTCAGGTCAACGTTCTCGGCAGTCTTCGGATCGATCGTCTTTAAAACCGCGTCCACGGCCATGGGACCTAGTAAACCCGAGTGTTGCGAGACAATTTTGGAAGACAGTGAAGTGGAAGCGGCTTGCAAAAGGGTTGTACGGTCGGTCAAAGAGATAGGTTGAGACATTTGCTGTAATATGTTGACGGCAGCCTTTGATGCACGTTGAAAGGCCTCGGAAATGATTGTGGGATGGATGCCTTTACTTAGTAACCGGTCTGCAGCACCAAGCAGACTTCCTGCGATAACGACGACAGATGTGGTCCCATCCCCAGCCTCAACATCCTGAGCCGCACTCAGATCAACCAGCATCTTTGCAGCAGGATGCAGGACGCTCATGCTCTTCAACATGGTATTGCCATCGTTGGTGATCAAGTTTTCGCCTTTGCCTGACTGGATCATTTTGTCCATACCCCGGGGGCCAAGGGACGTTCTGATAGCATCGGCTACAGCACGAGCAGCCATGATATTGGCCGTCCGCACAGCCATAGGCTTCTCTTTGTCCTGGGAAGGCGTTAGTTTGAGTCTCCGCCGCGCCTTCGCCTGCGCATGATGGTGGATTTCTTCCTCACCTTGAATGCGGCATTTCCAAAATTGCCCTGAATGCCTAGGGCGGCAGCCATGGTGTCTAAGTACTGCTCGCGTTTGCGAAAGGATTCAGAGGCTGCAAATTTGGGATTGTATTGAAAATGGTGGTGCAGGCCGGGTGTGATGGTGGGTGCAGGCGGTCGTAAATTCACATTTATTGTACATACGAGGGCCGAAGTCCACAGATTTCCGAAGGCTCTGTCGCTGTGCTGTGCGGGCGGCACCCGGCGGTTGCATTAGCCGCAGCCGCAGCCGCGCTAAGAAAAGTGGCGTCGTTCACTCGTTGCTGGTCGCGCCTACCTTTCAGGCACAGCTGCGATTACGATTACAGAATCCAGATGCAAACACCGTTCCATCACTACTCCATATTCGCAGCCTGTAATTCATCGACCACCACCCCTTCATCGTCCCTGACGCCTGAGCATTCTCCCTCAACTCCCGCTCACCTCCTGCGAATCACTACTCTCCTCATCCACTGAATCCGAGTCAAGCAATGCCTAGCGCAACCGGGTCCAGCTGGGAGAAATACCAGAAGAACTTCGCCGATGATGAGGAACCAGAGAAGAAGATAACCCCCCTGACAGACGAGTGAGTTTCCTCCCGTGAGTTGAGAAGGCCCCTCCTAAATGTCTACAGAGATATACAAGTCCTGAAAACTTACGGTGCTGCTCCGTACGCCGCTGCCCTCAAGAAGCTCGAGAAACAAATCAAAGAGAAACAACAGAGCGTCAACGAGAAGATTGGTGTCAAGGTAAGGTCCCTTGGTCTCAATACCATCTGCCGCCAGAATCAGTCCTGATGAACTTTACAGGAGTCTGACACCGGTCTCGCCCCTCCCCATCTCTGGGATGTCGCCGCTGATCGACAACGAATGTCCGAAGAACAGCCCTTACAAGTCGCCCGTTGCACCAAGATCATCCAGGATGAGAAGGACAGTGAGAAGAGCAAATATGTCATTAACGTGAAACAGATCGCCAAGTTTGTCGTCAATCTAGGCGAACGAGTCAGTCCCACCGATATCGAAGAGGGGATGCGTGTCGGTGTCGATCGACAGAAGTACTCAATCATGCTACCGTTACCACCCAAGATTGATCCCAGTGTGACCATGATGACAGTCGAAGACAAGCCGGATGTTACTTACGGCGATGTGGGTGGTTGTAAAGAGCAGATAGAGAAGCTTCGAGAAGTCGTGGAAATGCCCTTACTATCACCCGAGCGCTTCGTCAGTCTCGGAATCGACCCTCCCAAGGGCGCTCTACTCTACGGTCCACCCGGTACGGGTAAGACGCTCTGTGCCAGGGCTGTCGCCAACCGAACAGATGCTACCTTCATCCGAGTCATCGGCTCAGAATTGGTCCAGAAGTACGTAGGCGAGGGTGCGAGAATGGTTCGAGAACTGTTTGAGATGGCCCGCACCAAGAAAGCATGTATCATCTTCTTCGACGAAATCGATGCCATTGGCGGGGCCCGATTTGACGATGGCGCCGGCGGAGACAACGAGGTCCAGAGAACCATGCTGGAACTCATCACACAACTAGATGGCTTCGATTCAAGAGGAAATATCAAAGTCATGTTCGCCACCAATCGGCCGTCGACCCTCGATCCTGCTCTTATGCGACCTGGTCGTATTGATCGGAAGATTGAATTCTCCCTTCCTGATCTCGATGGCCGTGCAAATATTCTACGCATTGTGAGTGTTTCCACCCTACAAATCAACACAATATACTAATTCAATGGGATTCTAGCATGCAAAAAGCATGAGTGTTGAGCGTGACATCAGATGGGAATTGATATCCCGACTTTGTCCTAATGCAACAGGTGCCGAGTTGAGGAGTGTTGCGACAGAGGCAGGAATGTTTGCCATCCGTGCCCGCAGGAAGGTTGCAACTGAGAAAGACTTCCTTGCAGCAGTCGATAAAGTAATCAAGGGCAATCTCAAGTTCAACTCGACTGCCACATATATGCAATACAACTAGAAATAACTGGCACTCGTCAGAGTTGGCTTTTGAGATTAATTAGCGTCGCATCGGCTTGGAGTTCGCTGAGAAAGGACTACCAGCGAGGGAAGCTTGCGGGCTTCTGTGCTCTGTACCATAGATAAATCACCACATATAGGTGAATAGGTCATCCCAGGAATCAGCACACCGGAATCTTGCGTAAGCTCTTGGAGTTTCCGACATTGCTCACTGAGTCTTCGTGCCAAGACTATAGATGCCACGCTTGAATGAACTGAGGTTCTCCGCAGATGGGGGAAGATGTATTTTAAGTATTGACAGGAAGACAGTCTACTGGACAACAGGCGTAATTGATGAGAGCTGGACACTCACTACAAGTAGAGCACGTGTTCTTCAAAAGGCCACTAGATAGAGCATGCTCTTTGCGGCATGGACGAATACGTCTCTTGTTTACCGAATAATTACTCTTAGACTTGATGTGCCTAGGCAAAACCAATTCTACTAATCCGAGTCCCGTGATTCGCTAGACACTGGCAGCCACCCACAGCTTCAACGACGCATCGATTCTCGTTCCGGACCTTCTGCGTGCCACTTCCTCTCACTTTCTGTCTGTCTTTCTCTCCATCCCACGCTCTCCTCTCTCTCCTCTTTCTCAGCTTTGCATTCTCTGATGCTATCTAGCTGCGCAAGATGAGCTCTTCATCCATCTTGCGGAGCTTGACTCCTGCGGCGAAGGTATGCGCACTCATCCCACCTCAATGCACTCTTCCGATCCTGATCCGATTTCACAGTTCTCCCGATTCTTGACACGCGGTACTAGACATTTTTCTTCGACTCGGCCTGCTGGTATGTGTCCTCTGACCTCGAGCGATATTTCACGGATTGTCATGTAACACATCATAGCACGCATCTTCGGGACCCAACCTCTACGAGCGAAGGAAGCGGAAGGACCTATCGGTCGACAATATCCTGTTATCGTGAGGGATTTTTGAGCTTTGGCTTCACGACGATAGACTAATCAATCCAGGACCATGAATACGATGCGGTTGTCGTCGGTGCAGGTGGTGCAGGTCTAAGAGCAGCGTTCGGACTGGCTGAAGCCGGATTCAACACAGCTTGTATATCTAAATTGTTTCCTACTCGAAGCCACACTGTTGCCGCGCAGGGAGGAATCAATGCGGCACTCGGAAAGTAAGTTGTAATTGTTCTAACCAAGACTCGCCTGTCATCTAACTCGCTTCTTTAGTATGCATGAGGACGACTGGAGGTGGCAGTATGTTTCCCTACTCTCGAATCTGTCCATTCGTCCTGGCCACGAGCCAGATGTATGACCGATGCACTAATGTGACCGTTGTTTGCAGCATGTATGATACAGTAAAAGGATCTGACTGGCTTGGAGACCAAGACGCCATTCATTACATGACACGCGAAGCTCCTCGATCCGTCATTGAGCTCGAAGGATATGGCTGTCCATTTTCGAGAACGGAAGATGGTCGGATTTATCAAAGAGCATTTGGCGGTCAGTCACAGAAGTTTGGCAAAGGCGGACAGGCCTACCGTTGTTGTGCCGCTGCCGATAGAACTGGCCACGCCCTCCTCCACACTCTGTATGGTCAATCGTTAAACTACAACACCAACTACTTCATCGAGTTTTTTGCTCTCGACTTACTGATGGAGGATGGCGAATGCCGAGGAGTCCTCGCATATAACCAAGAGGATGGGACTTTGCATAGATTCCGCGCCGCTAACACCGTCCTAGCCACCGGAGGTTACGGACGAGCATATTTCAGCTGCACTTCAGCTCACACTTGTACGGGTGATGGCATGGCTATGGTCGCTCGTGCAGGATTGCCCAATCAGGATCTCGAATTCGTTCAGTTTCACCCAACTGGTATCTATGGTGCCGGATGCCTGATCACAGAAGGCTCACGTGGGGAGGGTGGTTATTTGTTGAATTCCGAGGGTGAACGATTCATGGAGCGATATGCGCCCACCGCCAAGGATTTGGCCTCTCGAGATGTTGTTTCGAGATCGATGACCATGGAAATCCGCGAAGGGCGTGGCGTTGGCCCTGAGAAGGATCATATTTATCTACAACTGAGCCATCTGCCTGCGGAGGTACTCCACGAACGTCTGCCCGGTATCTCCGAGACGGCATCGATCTTCTCCGGTGTCGACGTCACCAAACAGCCAATTCCTGTGCTTCCCACCGTTCACTACAACATGGGTGGTATCCCCACCAAATACACTGGCGAGGTTCTTCGAATCAATGATCAAGGCAAAGACGAGGTCGTCCCCGGTCTCTTCGCGTGTGGTGAAGCCGCATGTGTCAGTGTCCATGGCGCAAACCGACTTGGAGCCAATTCTTTACTAGATTTGATTGTGTTTGGCCGGGCAGTTTCCCACACCATTCGCGACAACTTCTCACCCGGAGCACCTCAAAAGGAGCTGTCATCGGACGCAGGCGCAGACTCGATCAACGTGCTTGACACTGTCCGAAATTCAAGCGGTCCAAGGAGCACCAACGACATCAGAGCAGCAATGCAAAAGACCATGCAGACTGATGTCAGCGTGTTCCGAACCCAAGAATCGCTGGATGAAGGCGTGCAGAAGATCACTGAGGTCGACCAGATGTTCGATCAAGTGGGCATCAAAGACCGCAGCATGATCTGGAACTCGGATCTGGTGGAGACTCTAGAACTGCGGAATCTACTGACTTGCGCGTAAGTACTCGTGGCTGACTAGTCCCTCTCTTCCCAATTGCTGACATTCGATGGCAGCACACAAACAGCGGCATCAGCGGCCAATCGTAAAGAATCCCGCGGCGCGCATGCTCGTGAAGATTTCCCGGAGCGCGATGACGAGAACTGGATGAAGCACACCCTCTCGTGGCAGAAGACTCCCCATGGTAAAGTTGAGCTTGGGTACAGGGCAGTGACTGGTACCACTCTGGATGAGAATGAATGCAAGGCTGTACCACCCTTCAAGAGAACATACTAGTGCTCTAGAGAGTGTGAGTTGGCGGAAGTGTAGGTGTAATTTGACACCTTTATGTGTATTTCCTCATTGCGCACGGACAATATTCAGCGGAGTGTACAAAATTAAATTACTCTATTACACATTTCACAAACACAATACCTGGGTACTAGTCATGAGTAGCCTGTGTTCACAACAAGCAGTCATGTCGTATTGGTCATTCGCCGATGACATACTCGCAGCCTGCATGGCATTTTCAGGTCAGTCACTCGCATCAACAGCGCCATCAGCTAGAGGGGAAGGGTGATACCTTCATCCCCCATCCAGACCTCATGCACCTTTCCAGCCGGGACATCTATTCTTGCACCAACCCCGAAAGTCTCCCTAGAGGGGTTTTCATCCTTTGGGTATGTGATAGTCAAGGAACCCTGGCGGATCATGTGCGTTGTGAGACCCGAGTGAGAGTGTGGCGGATAGTGGGCGTTGGGTCCATCAGTCCAAGTGAAAACGTGGGAGAAGCCCCAGCTTCTGACCGTCCGCTCGTCGTCCGCGCGTGACTGTTTCGGCGTTGACATTGGCGCTGACATTTCAGCGTTATGTTGCTACGGTGTTTCTTTAATTGGCGAGACGAGAGAAGATGGATAGCTCGAGATTCCTACAGTACTGATTCTCTTGTGCGTACTTCTACTCCGCAAGCTGTGCTTCTTGGGACTCGGGAGGTAGGCCCAAGGTGCCTAATTCTCAGGTAAGCTCTCTCCCTGGAGACGTACTTACGTAGGCCAAGATGCCGTTAAGCGCTCCCCTAAAGCTTCTGCCTATCCAAGTACCCAGGTGGTAATCCACAGGTTGTCTCAACTTTCTCAATCTCTGTAACCTCAACTCATCCTCTAGTCCTTAAAGGAGAGCAGTTAAAAGCTGTTTTCCCATGTCGGTATACGAGGCATCAGCGGGGGATTTCTACATGAAACTTCCAAGGAACCGAGGCTGTCCCTTGTCTCGTGGATCCATCCAGGTCCCACGTGAAGCTGACGCCAACGACAAGGGTGCCCCCCCCGGCCCCTAATTAAAGGGGAGGCAGGCCCTTGGCATACGCCATCAGAGACAGGATTTGGGCAGCTCGTCATCTAAGCTGCCAGCTTTTATCGTTGTGAACCCTTGGTATTCTTGATGCATGACCAGAGGCAGGCTGAACAAGTATGCGCTGGTGCCAATGCCAGTGCCAGCGCCAGCGCCAATTGATGCAAATCCAGCCATTTGGCCCCCACAGATCCCATCGCTATTGAAAACGTGGATGGCCTTGGAGCAATTTTGATAAACGGCAATGCTCACCTGTTTTGTTTGTGTTGGAAGGGCACTTGCCCTCAAGTGATGGTCGCTAGCATTCCTTCCACAGCCACTGTTACTTCGCTGTTCCTCCAGGCGTTTGGCTACAAACCATCCTGACTGCGATTGGCACTGCTGCGAATCCAAACTGCTTAGACCATATCTGCCCGCGATTCCTAACTTGCCTATTCAGCTGAATGCGTCTCCATTCGACACTCCCTTCATTCCCCTGTCTTTAGAAGTCGCTTCTCTGCTCGGTCCTGGCCTCAAGAACGTCTTCCAATCGTGTGACGGTGCTGAGACCACACAATGGCTTCCAATAGCCATGCTGAACCTTCTACCACGGCTAAAGAGCAGGAACTTCCTGCTCGCGCAGCAGGAGGTGGTCAGCCTTCAGCGAGAGCCGCCAGCTCTTCCCTGACTCCATTTTCAGTCGCAACCAAGAACCATCTACTTTCAGCATACAAGACCTTGCCTGCCCAGCAACGGGCTCAAGATGGCCATGGATTTCAAGACGAGCCATCCTTTTTGTCCTACATGGCATCTTCTGAGTCGTCTGCCATGTCGCCTTCGGTTCCCAATGATCTGACCTATCCTCTCTCCTCATACTACATCAGCTCAAGCCATAACACCTATCTGTCAGGCCATCAGCTTTATGGCGACGCTAGTGCTGAAGCATATACCAATGTCCTCAAACGAGGCTGTCGGTGTTTGGAAATCGACGTTTGGGATGGCAGCGACTCAGACACCAGTAGCTCTGATGAAGAGGATGAACAGGACTGGAGAGGGTCCAAGGCATCTCGTTGGGACAGAGTCAAGGCAAAGGCATCTCGCATGCGTTCTCGATCACGCTCTGGGTCTTTGCGCAACCCGACTCAGCCAGTCGCTCAATCCAACGAACCAGGAACTACACCTCAGTCACAGCCTCGAACCGAGCCCCATGGCTTGATCCGCCAATCTTCTGCCGCGTCCGCCATCAAGCCCACTTACCTTTCTCCACAACCTTCTCCTGCCATTCCCTTGAAATGCGAGCCTCGTGTGCTTCATGGCTATACACTGACTCAGCCCATTCCATTTCGCGCTGTTTGCAACGCCATCAGAGAGTCTGCTTTTGTAAGCACCGACCTCCCTCTCATTGTATCACTAGAGGTTCACGCCTCTCCTCCTCAACAAGAGATTATGGTTCAGATTATGAAGGAAGCTTGGTCCAACCTCCTCGTCAATATTACACCCGAATCTCAGGTAGCTGCATTGCCTTCTCCTGAATCACTGAAGAGGCGAATCCTTATCAAGGTCAAGTGGTCTCCTACCACCGAGGAGCCAAATGTCCCTATCGAGCGTGTGAAGTCTCATACAACGGAAGGAAGTCAGGAAGATGAAGGTACTTCGTCTCCTGAGAAGAGACCGAAGAAAGTTTTGGCTGCACTCTCTGAGCTTGGAATTTACACACGTGCCTACACCTTCAAGGCGTTTTCGCAACCCGAAGCCACAATTCCTACGCACGTATTCAGTTTGTCCGAAAACAAAGCCCACACCATGCACCCAGATCCTATCTCCGGTCCAGCATTGTTTGAACACAACAAAAAATACCTGATGCGAATCTTCCCCAAAGCTACTCGCATTAGGAGTTCAAATGTGGACCCGACCTTTCACTGGCGCCAAGGTGCACAAATGGTTGCTTTAAATTGGCAGAGACTGGACAGGGGCATGATGCTCAACGAGGGAATGTTTGCCGGCCTAGGAGGCTGGGTATTGAAGCCCGAGGGCTATCGCGCATCTCATCCGGACGATGAGCCTGAGAAGGGGAGCACGGACTCAAACACGACAATTCTTCCCACGAAGCATTCGCTCAATCTCGAAATCACGCTTCTTGCAGCTCAGAATTTACCTCTACCGTTCGACAAGGATGGCTCCAACGCGGCGTCAAAATTAAAACCCTATATTAAGCTACATTTACATGTTGATACCCATGGCCCTCCCGGCCGGGGTTACACAAATCCCGACACGGATGCACACAGCGGTGAAGAAATCGATGATAAAATTTATGAACGAAAATCTGCTACAGGCAGAACAGCGGATCCAGATTTTGGCGGCGAACAGGTGACCTGGACAAAGATTCCGGACATCGTGGAGGAACTGAGCTTTCTAAGGTATGTGCCCACTCTACGCATCATCCTTTCACTCTCCTTCCATCGCCTTGCGTTCTCGTGTCTTTGCGTTATGCGTGCCAAATATCCGCCAGCCCTGGTAAGGCGTTAGTGGAACCGTTGGATGCACACGTTCGAAAGCGACAATGTCCTTGACGCACGGTGGCCCCTATTACGCAGATATCATCGTCAATGTCTTCAGCCTTGGACACAATCTCCCGCTGTCAAGGCATGCAGTGGTTCCAATTGATACTCGTCAACCGATCATTCATCGTACTTTTGCCGGCTGAGAAAGGGAGGTTGCAGCGCCCTATGCAATGTCGCGCATCTGGACGGCTGTCTAAGATGCGACGGCCCAATCGCGAAGCTTTTCAGTAGGCGATGGCCATTCGCGAGCCCTGTCAACTCTGAACAACCTGGTGGTTCTAGGATCGATGGCAAATCGTGTGCGATGTTTGCCATGTTCGATCTATGCACGATCGTATTACACGAACCTATAATCTATCGCCTATCTTAAATTCGCCCAGCCCTAGGTACTCGGTCCTGGATGTATTTTATGTGACATATCACTTTGTGGCTTGACAGACCAGCCAAGTTTCCAGCGCTTACTGACTTTTTCGGGCACTAGGCTAAAAGTCAAGGACGACCGATCCATTGGCAAGGACAATATGCTTGCGTGGGCGTGTGTGCGCCTTGACCGCCTCAAGCCGGGCTATCGATTCATCCATCTTCTAAACCCGGCAGGTTTGTCCTCCTCCGCAGCCCTTCTCGTCCGTGTGTCGAAAATCGTGAGTTGAGTGGGCGGGGAACCCAATGTGGAGCTTGACTCGTGAGGTGTGAGCCTGTGAGATTGCCCCCAACTCCATCCCACCAGAGAGTCTGAGACGGAACGCCTCACCCTGAACACGACTACAACGTGGGTACGAAAACATCTGATCTTCTGGTCTCCTCATTCCGCGTGCGCAAGCAGGTCGTGTTCCTTACCCTGTGAGCATTTCACTGGGGTCATTCATGGTGGTGGAGCCATCCGGCAGAGCCTTGCCGTCTAATTGGCCATGGACAGCTTACGTTCCCGCGCCCGGGGAACCTTCATGCCGGAACCTTTTGCTCCTCCACGAAGCATAAGCTGCTCATACTTGCTATCGTCTTGAATACAGAATGGATCCCTGGCCCAATAGCATTTACCACCAAATCCCCAGACCCATGATTCCGGAATCGAACTAACAGGACGCTATCAGGAAGCGTCCTCGTTTCAGTCCCGCTTGCAGAGACTCTTCCATGTCTTTTCATGGCTGTCCGCATTAGTCTCTTTTCCATCATGCTTAGATCGACATGACTTGTCTGACTGTGACTATCCGCAAATGCTTGAGCAGGCACTCTTCGTCCCCCCCTGACATGCACGATCCGAAATGTCTGCGACTTCGACCCACCTGACTTTCGTCGATCTTATCACATCAAATCAGAATCTTCCTCCAGTCCGCTACCCAAGCCCAAGCCCAGAAAAACCTGAGTGCTCCATCCGCGAAGTTGCCCGTGGATCTGGACCTTAAGACAGGATTGTCCACACCTCTCCTCGTATGAGTTTGAGGCAAAGGCTACCGACTTGTCGGCTGCTTGCCATCACTCTCAGACCGGAACACGCACAATCACACGGCACCGTTTGGATGTGGGGGGCCTTCCTTGGACTTTCTTTTACTTATGCACCGAGACGGTTCGAGTCAGCATTAAAGCATTCTCCCAAGCGACTTTCGAAGTGTCACAAGTCCGATGTGTGGAATTGGAAACCGGCTCACCGACAAGCTCGTGAAACTTCAACCTTGATAGCTTCACTGCCGACTGCTAGATCGAGACCATGACGGAATCGGTGTCCTGAATATTACTGATTGAGCAGAGCCATAGAACCTTGATTCTTGAAACACACATACTTTCTATGAATGAGCATGCATGCCAGCTAGTTCAAAAGCTTGTTTGCCTCTCAACTTCTCCGCGTATAGGCAGATACTCCATCGCATGAACTCAAACTATGCTCGACTAACCTACGGTAACAAGAGTATAAAGAATGCGATGTCGCCGTGTCCATCCCCCCCCCAACTCAATCACTTTTGACGAAGTACTCGCGGTCAACGTACAATCTATTCTATCTGATCAACATGCCATTTTCAAATCTCTATGTCGAAGTTTCCCTGCTCCATGGTGGTGATGGAACGAAGCCACCACCATCACTTCGACCTGTTGTGGGAATACGCTCCCGACCAGTGAGTCACTTGCCGAATCATGATATATCAATCGTGGCTAACGCTCCAATCTTCGTACTGCGAAAGATGGACGGCGTACGCTGCCCTAAATGCAAGGGAAATGGACAAGAAGTCTGGGTCATCCCAGGCACACGTTGTCACAAATGTGGACACCCTTGTTGACCACAGTCCTTCAATGTTTCGCCTCGAGAGGGAAGTGGATGAAGGTACTGTCATTTCATTGGAAGAACGCCATAGCCAGAACAGGGCATAGCGCTGGCGGTTGAAATAGTGCATTGAAGTCAAATCAGGTGGTCGACCTGTCTGCATTTCATAGACTGAGAAGGGAAGACACAAAGCCTACGCTGACAGGTTGATCTGGCCCTGACACGAGTGGATACGTTAGTTCTGGTCGGGTCGGCCTCAGCGGAACTGTAAAGTTATTCTTCTGGTGGTTCTGCAGACATGCAGCTACTAGCCAGAATATCCAGGCACGGCTTATACCTTGTCCTAACTTGACGATCTTCCACCATAGAATGACTGACGGAGGTCATACGTTTCTGGGGCCTGTCACCATGCTCTCCACTTGACCCTGGTCGTGCAGATAAGTGGGGACATCATCGGCACATGTTCAGACGGCACCTCATATCTGAGGGGTTTTCTAAGCCGGTATGGTGAATATGCTGCTGCGACAGATCCGCATGAGCTATGTAGGTCATGCAGCGGCCGCTGACTTGAACTGCTCCTTCAACGGGTGGCGCTCGGGAACACTGCCGGTTCGATGCAAGATCTCACAGAGAGCACAGAAACTACCGAGGTACTCCGGACATAACATTCAAGTGAGAGACTTGCAATAATGATCAAGGCCAAAAGACCCTGGCCACCGATGGCGAGCTTGGCAACTACTCTGTTCGAATCCAGACCCATGGGGCAGTGGCTCCAGAAGTCGGGGAGAAGGTGCCGGCATCATAGCAACTTAGTGAAACGCTGGCGGAGACACTCTCAGTCAAACAGCACAAACTAGGTCATAGTCACTGGACGCAACGTTCAATGCAATCAGCAGCATGATGGCTAGAAGTAGTAGAGTTCGAACGACTAGGTACTGGCCTCTCGAAAATCAATTGAGTAATTCGACAGATTCCAGGTCACATCCTGGGGTAGTGATTTTCTTTTTGTGCATTTGGAAGTCCTACACACATCGGCCAGGATCAGATGTCAGGCTATACATATATATATCGAGCATTAGCCGATCCTCTTGTGTGAACTTGCAGGCTCTCTCCTGTGTGATGGCTCTCCCAGAGTTGATCGCCTTAAAACGGCAGCCTTATGGCTCGCGCCAGGTGAAACATAGATGTACTCGTAGACTTCAACACGGGTGTGGAAGTGGAGACGATACTTATGCACATTGGTCGTCAGCCCGTTCACCGTGAGTCAGGATGAGGTATGTACATTGCGCTGTTCCAAGCCCTTGGAATTCTGCTCATTGTCCTGCCTATCCCAATCTCGTTGGTTTGGACGAAAAATTCCCGGAGGAGCCTGTCCGGGTAGATACGTCTATCAATGCCCTGTTGCCTTTTCTTTGACCAAAGTAAACCAACATCCTGCATCGATAGAAACCTGCTGGGCCCCGACAGGAAGGAAGCTATCTGTGTCAACCTAGGCCGGGTATCCGTGCCGTCGTCATCGGCCCAGACACCGAAACCAACGCGAAGTTAAAGCGGCAACATCGGGTCTCCCCAATCGGAAACAAGCTTCCATAAGTGACGATAGGAAAGGCGCCTTGCGCGTGACTCGCGTTCTCGTCAATTCACTTTTCATCCATTTCCCACAAACCTGAATTATCGAGTGAGAATCGTATGTACAGACCTGCTAGCATTGAACTTGCGATGGTGGCAGCTGACACTTACTGGGTTTGAGCGAAGTTGGCATATATGATATGGTGCGCGAATTGCAAGGAGTAAAATCATCAACTGAAGAGTTTGTACGCGACCTGGCCGCAAAAACAAAACCCATTGTTAGTTACATGCGCTATGCATCGGCGACCCGGATGATCAAGGTTAATCAGCATCAGAGCTTTCGGTTTCTAGCTTCCAAAACAGCGCCAGAGAGCTGTCCGGCGCAACAGCTGGAGACTTGACACCGATCGCTGAAGACCGTTTCTGCTTGTGGCTATTCCCCATCGAGTTTTAACGACTTGTGGCAAATCGGTAGGGTGGTCATACGAGAGATGCCCAAACCAAAGATCCACCTATATGCAGAAGCTCTAATGCACATCCGCCAACTCACGCTACACGCATCCCTCGAGACTGACAAGAATGAGCACACTAAAATCTTCATTTCGTCCGACAAGCACATCATCACTGCAGTTCATGATGGTGAATCTTCCAGTATCTATCTGCCCACTCAGATCTCAGGGACCGCCAATGTGACCTTTCCGTTTGATAAAAAGACTGAGATCTCCGCGCGGGTCCAGATCGATGACTCAGAGCAATCGAACAGTGGATCAGATGACCTGGCCGGCATCGAAGTTCCATGGTGTGCCACTGATTTATCAGAAACTACCTCTGCTAGTTGCAGGAGTTGTACAAGCGAGATTTTGAAGGCTGGGACAATCACCGCCTGGAAGGATCTCCCAAGCGATCACTGGGCGGACTTGATGGACGTTTGGTTTTGTCACAAGCCTCACCATGACCACTCTCATGACCATCATGCCGCCGAAGCCAAAGGATTCTCTGCCAAGAGCAGGATTGCTGCTCAACCAGGAATTGGGCTGGTTGATGCTGTCTCATTCCTGATTCATCAAGATGACTGCTGGGGTATTCAGGTAAGCCATCATGCTTGGTGCAATCGGCCTCTAGCCGTCCTTCTCCGGCCTAAAGAAAGAGACCTGTCATTCTCGCTACTGAGATTATGTGGGCTTTGTCTCTGATACAATCGCCGTATATTAACTCTACTCTGGACGATCGCATGTGATTACAACCTCTTCTTTCTCAGAGATGGTCGTTTCCCTGCATATCGCCATAAGCCTCTATTTTCACCTTCTAGTCTCGGAATCATCGATATGAAGGGATTTTAAAGAGGTACAGCTTGGCTAATCTTGAATGTGCAGGAACAATCCTTTGCATCTGTAAAAGGTACTTCTCTCCATTGCCTAACATGCAGCGCCGCTGTGGGTTCGAGCCAAGGAGACGATGGCAACTTCAGATTGTATAAATCAAGAATAGCACTTGCGAACAGTCAGGACCAACAACCACACGAATATCCTCCATCTGTGTTTATCTGTAGCCAATTGCTATCTTTGATCGACAATACAGTCTCTCGCAAGATTGTTCTCCATAGTGAGACTCGAGGAGAGTCTGAAAATGGACGAGAAGGTCTCCTTCTTTGGATATTCAATCCAGACATTTACTACTCGAGCTCGAATCGAGGGCCTACCGTGCATCGGGCGATGAAGGTCTTTTACCAACCGCTTTTGGAAATTGGAAAATTCCTAGACGAACATAGCAATACGCACGAGGAACTAGTCGTACCACCAGAAGATCTGGAAGACTTTAGAAAGACGTTGCATGATAGCACAGCCATTCTACCACAATCTGCACGGTCGTTTCAGGATTGGGCCGTTGGGCTCATTGATCGCTGGGAAAGGAATGCGACTGGTGCTTCATGGATGGACCAAAACCCGCTTAACAAAAAAGTGGATCCAGGGTTCGAGACCTTCAAACTCCCTGAGGGAATGCAAGAACTCTACATGTGAGAAGCGGTGACTTTGACCATTTCTTGATGCAGATAAGAAACCTCTCGATTGGAGGCGCATACATTCTACCGTTTACGAGGTACGGAATACCTCGCACACTTCCTCAAGAGCCAAGACTCGCGGCTTTGGCCCTGCAAGCTCCTTGTGAATCGCCGTTCAGGGGTGCCATGTTTCATGCCCCCGGGGAACGAGAACGGCCGACAAGCCAATGGCCCGGATCGCTTCCCTACAGTGGAGCAAGACAAATGTGGTCCGACTACGAGCACATGACGGCGTTGCGTGCCGCAGCAATGGGGGTGTCTACGCTCGAATCACATGTCGCTCTCACCAGACGACTAAGACAGTTCAGGACTGGTTGTCTGCTCTGCTTTGTGATTGCAGCTGAGTTTGCTTTGCGGTTACCTAACTTGGAGAGAGGAGATGGTCAAGAAAGTTTCCTCTGGCCCTAAGCTAGCGCAACTTGTTGACCTCCCTAGATAACACACGTTGCGATTGCGCAGCGCCAACACCCTTTAACCTGTCATATGGGGACCTAGCTGAAAGTCTCACAGTTCATCCAATTCTGGTAAGCGTGGAGACGATGCCTGCAGCAAGGGGCGCAGAATATCGCGAGCTTGATGTGACGAAAATTCAGACCGCAGTGGGTATATTGTTTTGGCGTCAACTTTGTTATTTCACAGAAGCCCAATGCTTTAGTCTGTCACCCTTTCCAACACCACAGCGATGCAAGGACATGGTTTAGAGTGATGTTTTGGCTAGAGGAGACCGCTTCTAGTGAAGAGTATTTTCAAGCCATGGACGTTGCCAGTTGTCATTGAAGGCATTGTTGACAACCGCGATGGTACGAATAGAATGCGTTTCTTCTGATATCGCTGTTAGGTTTCACCATCAGCGGCGTAGCTTATGAGCTCCGCCGACCGACGAGACGATCGTCAATCCCTGGTGCGAATATATATCAACCTTGAGTACTATCGATCAACCAGTGATAAAATCCCAGGGCCGCCTTCCGATGGGTGATATGTGTGCCATGACCACACTAGCAAAGTTTTCCGGTCGACTCCACCTTGAAGCTATTCCTTCCATGGGTTCATCTGTATCATGACAAGTGAGCTATCATAGCCCCGTCATCGACAAAATGGAACTTAGTGCTCCCTGAGCTCCCTACATACATCCATCACCCATCACAGCATCATTGCACAAGTTTGGCGCTGCCCTATTCAGCTAGCGCGATATCAATGTGGGGGAAAATGGTCCCCTGGGGGCATCTGCCGCCATATGCACCGTAAATGACGGGCTGGGTGAGGCACTAGGGACTGATCGTATCTTTTCGAAATAGAGTGGTTGCTCAGCGCCAATCACATACAAACGCGAAAGCAGTACGTCAATATGAAATAATCAGCAAAGATAGGTGCCTTTGCTAACGGCATAACCTCGATTCTGTTCGCTCTCAAACTTTCTTGGGAACCACGCTGGGTGTTAAGTCCCCTCCAATGAGCTTCCGTTTCCTTTCAGTGTATATCCGCCGCGATCGCCCTCAATTAGCCACCGGGTAAATGAGTAACGTTTCCCCCTCCCAGTTGCAGACGAGGCGTTGACAAGAAGAGACTACTGAGCCCATGTCCATGGACCAGCACTGCCGTGCGTCCGATGCTCGTATTCGTATGTTCTGCTCCATCGCTTCGCATATCTCTCATGCATACATGATCAGATAATTGGCAGGGAGGCCTCTAATCCGTCGTCATGTCACTGCACTTTAGAGAACTTTCACACGTTCTTCGATTGACTCACCATGATCACGCGCGGTATGTAGTCCCCTGAAGAACCCAGTCAAGGTCGTCTAGACCCCTCAGCCATTGGCCTACTTTGCTCAAACCATTTTTGCCGACTGGCAGCATTATTCGTTGGCCAGACACCTACAAATGATCGCCGTCTGCAAACTTGAAGATAGCAAGTGTTCTAACAGAGCCCGCATATGTTTCAGTCGGCCGTTCTGCCCTTCCGACGAACCATCAGATCAATGATGATCATGCCAACAACAACATCGGCTGGGTCTGCAGGTTCATGTATGTTGGTATCTATCTCACGGGCTCAACTTTTCAGATTTACGTGAACGTCCCTTACTCCCTTCCACAACAAGGGAGTAAAGATAGGAATATGCAGACCCGCTACGCAAACCTTCCCTAACACTAGACGATTCGCCAGTCTTAGCGATCATCTCAATTCTGAGAAGGCGCCGTGTAGCGCCAGCCCTCCAAATTTATCCACCGTCCCTAAACGAGGTGAAATTGTTCGGCTAGTCATGCGCAGTCAGAACATTGTCCTTATGTCCTCGTCTACCTTGGGTCTAGATTGCTGTGGACTTGTGCCTTTTGTTGAATGTGATGGCATGTGTGGGAGTTATACGGAGTGGTCGGTTGACGAGGCTGTGTGTTGAAGCATTGCTCTCTTCTGACGAACGTCTCTATCAAACGGCAACGGCGTAGTCCGTGTGGATTACCGAGTACCCAAGCCCGCCACGCACGTTGCTTTTCGCTTCCCGTCTACAGTTTTCCTTTCTTCGTCTCGGGCACTTCAAGATTTCATGGGGCGTGCGTTCGACTTCGAAGCGAATGCTATTAGTGCGATTGAAAATCCCACCCATACGAGTACATGGAACTTGACGAAGATGCAGAATGCAGAGCTATTAAGCTAGATCTTCTCCAAGCGCCCCGAAAAAGCACCGCTATTCTCTTTCATTCTTTTGGCCGGGTATAATGGCGTAGGTTTAAACCCAACCGTATACAGGAGCTGCAGTACTTCCTTGTCCTTTCCGCACAATCGCTCGAGTTGCGCCGATACTCCTCACCCGAAGGAAGTCAGAAGCAAGTCTGTCAAGCTGATCCCATAGCGGCTTAGTGATCAGCGCCTACTCTTCGGCCATGCCATGAATCGGGTTCAGGATGGAGCATCTAGGGCTATTGCTCAGATGGCTCTAGCCTAGCATGAATTGGCTCTCTCCCCTTTGGCCACAAGGATCGCTCAAAGATGGTAGAGGGTGGGTGGGAGGAGATCTGGTGGAAGTTGTTCCAATACTTAGTCTTGGCATAGCGTTTCCCTCGAGCACAGGGGCGGGGTCAATTGATAGAGAGACGGAGCCATGGAAAGAGGCATGCCCTGTGCTCCGTATTCTACCTCGGGATTCCATTCTTCGCAATTTCTCAATTAGTCTGGAGTCTGCAAAGGCTTAGAGCAAGATACCTGAAGCTGAAATGGGAAGAAACGTGACCAGGCTGCGTCAGGCTGAGAGCTCGGCTGACTTGCCTCTCCTAGAGCCTCCTTCCATTGAGCTCCCGTTTAGTTTTGCTTGGCACTCGACTGCAGATGCTCAGACCGCAGTTTGAGCTTTGTTTGGGGGGAGCTTTTTCTAGGCTTATTTGACGAGTTGACAATCAACGACCACAACCATATCGACGCCTCCTGTTCACTATGAGCGCCCTTCGTCTGTCTCGTGCAGCTCTGCGCGCCGGTTCTGCCGCTGCTTTCAAGCCCGTTCAACGCAGAGGCTATGCTGATGCCGTCTCCGACAAAATAAAGCTTTCCCTGGCTCTGCCTCATCAGGTAATTACTTCTATCTTCCTTGGGATTAGAAAGCTGGCTGTGGTTCAGAACGTTGCTGATATGAGTGCTCACTAGGCTATCTACAAATCGACTGATGTGTACGTCCGCATACTGAACAGTATCCTCCCTTGCCGAATTGGTTCGGCGTTTTGGTACTTACTGACCTTCCAACTCCAGTGTCCAAGTCAACCTCGCTGCAGAAACCGGAGAGATGGGTATCCTTGCACAACACGTCCCTTCGATCGAACAGTTGAAGCCCGGTTTGGTCGAGATCATCGAGGAAAGTGGTGGCAGCAAACAATTCTTCTGTATGTTTTACACCCAAGGGGCGAAAGACGCTCCCGGTCTATGGCGGAACGCGCCTTTGGGAGATATTTCGGGCTATATTGGACTTCTGAAACGGGAGACAAGCTAACGGGAAAATATCTATGAAGTATCCGGAGGTTTCGCCGTCGTCCAGCCCAACTCGGTCCTGAGCATAAATGCGGTGGAAGGCTACCCCCTCGAGGAATTCAGCATCGAGGCCGTCAACTCGCAAATAGCCGAGGCTCAAAAGATTGCCAGTGGCAGTGGAAGTGAGCAGGACATCGCCGAGGCGAAGATTGAGATTGAGGTAAGGTTTGCGTCAGAAGAACGCGAGATCGAGGCTTTTTGTTCAATTTGTTGCCTTTGGTTGCTAACATATTCTACAGGTTCTCGAATCCCTCCAAGCCGCATTGAAATAAGGGGATGGAGGATGGTTGGCTGCTTCTCAATTTTGTTGCTTGTGTACATATAAAGAAAGAACTGGGAGCGGCAAAAAGAGAACGAGAGTATGCAAGTGTGAGGGCGATGGTGATTGCGGGCGATCTCAACTATGATCAAACTCGTCTCCCGTCGTAACTCACATTGACATTTGATTTCTATGGCTATTTCTCTTCTCACATCTTTCCAGTAGTTCCCCACCCATGTCTATAACTGTTTTTACTCAGTGTCCCTTATCAAGATCACCGAGGTAAGTCGCTGAGGTGATTGATGACTCCTGCTCCCTAGGGAGAGCACTCGCAGAACAGAGTCAATATGCATCGAGGCAGCTACCCGAATCTCCCAGCGCTCTTGCGGTTTGCTGTCAACGTTCCGACGCATGGAAAGAACCATTCTATCAGCGACTTCTTGAGCATCACCAACATCCTATTGATATTTCTTATCAACCATTATGCTGTGAGCACGGCCTCACTTCTTACCCTCTCTAAATCAACCATAGGAGCAGCATCGGGATAACTTTCTCCACTCGTCTCACAATATGAGTAGCTCACGAGGGTACGAGCACCCACCTCCCAGCGGTTGGTCCATTCAATTCGCTAACTTTGTGGCAGCCCACAGCCTGGTACCGTCGCTGATCGGATTCGTGCTTTTCAAGGCGGCCAATATTCTGAATCACCGCCACCGCCTCCCTCTGCTTCCACTATCACTACTGGAAATCAGATGATGCCCAAAAGTGCGGCTCTCCCGCCAAATGGTAGTGGTCAAAAGGACCCCAAGTGCCCTCGACCTATTCCACTGAACGCAGCCGTTGCGAAGAAGGATATTCAAGCCGTTGAAAAGCAGCCGTTCAGCTCACTTCGCAAAAAGGGTCAATTGGAACCTAGTCAGAATGATCACCTTCCTCGGAAGGTATCCGTTTTTAATCGGCCTTCGACGAGCAAGGAAAGGGACACAGAGGAGCAGCAGACAACACAAAAGCTTGGACAACCTCCAAGTCGACCGGTGAGTCGGAAGCATCAATCGATGGAGAACTTGGTGCGTGAGTATTCCGAACTTGCGCGTGCTCGTTCACGCCTTCGTTCGGTCATGGACGATAATGAAGAAAAATCCATTCCGCCACGCTCGCGAGCCTACACCCTGGCCGAGTTGAATCACATGCTTGATGATGCCATTGAAGGCAGCGTGGATCTCGATGATGTTCTCTCTGGCTCAACGACCGGCGAAGCTACATCAAAGCCTATTCCGGACCAAGACCAAGCACTTGTCTCTGTTTCTCAAGGCCAACCCTTCTCGGGAGAGCGAGCGCTTCGAGCTAGCATCGACTCAGTACATCCTCGGGGCAGTGATTCATCTGATCGGATTGTGTGTGACAATGAAAAAAGTGCCCTTTGTTGGCCCCATCTTATTACCAAAACCCCAACGAAACGGCCCCATACCAGCCATTCAATCGGACCAACAAGCATTGCCAAAGCACTTCCCAACCCGACCATTGAATCAATACAACCAAATTCTATACAATCAAGGACGCAATTTAGTCCTGTGCATCAAAGGGCTGCCATGTTTGAGAGTCTAGGTCCGATGGTACCAATTCATGGCAAAGATTGTGGTACTCTCCAAAATTCCGGCCCTGACGACATCAAGTCTAGGCAGAAGCAGGCGGCCACGACCAGAAAAGTCCACAAAATCAAATTTGGCGACAAAATTGATGAGAGACCTGGGACGCCGCTAATACCACTGACGTTGCCGCAGATAGTCAGTCCCTATGATTTCTCAGCTTTATCGCCGCAGCCGACGAGTCAGATGAAGGAGGAATCAACCGAGAAACCTCCAAAAGACAATCCTGCCAAACATGACAACCAACGCAGGTCGTCGATGGGCTGGCCTTTCAGATGGAACATTTTCAACAAACCGGGCATCTCACAACATGAGACGGAAGAAAAGGTAGCAACGGATATCAGTCCCACACCTGAAGAAAACCCCTCAAATGAACCTAATGTTGTAAAGAACAAAGTGCAAGATTTGCTTCTGGCGGCGAAGGAGAGGGATGAAAAGGAGAAGATGAGATGGGAACTCGAAAAGCAGCGTATGAGTCGAAGACGCAGCAGATTCCCTCCAGCACCTCCCAAGGAGCCTGCCGGAAATAAAGAAGATTCAGAGCCTCTTAAATCTCTCCAATCTCAGTTGCTCCCACCACTATTGTTGCCTCTAGAGGAGCGGGCCGAAGCCGCCCATCCTTTTCTCACCGTTGCAAATGAGGCTACCGAACCACTAACTCCACTTCAACGTGCGATGACAGAAAAGCAGGTTCTATCTCCAATGAGTCTGCCTGAAGGTATGACGCAAACAGAACTTAGTCCGAGAAAGTCTTCGCCGCATACGCCAATGAGAGGAAGATCCAAGAGAACAAGCCATCGCCTTTCTGTACACGACCAAGAGCGCAATGTTGAGCAACAATTTAATCTCAGCCCTGAGCCAAGTCGCAGTACATCTCGGGCCGGTGGAGCTGGTGGAGCTGGTGTCAAGGTCGAGGTCGAGGTTCGAGACAGCCCGGGACGAGAGGCAAGGGAAAGGGGTGAAAAGATTGTCATTATTCGCGCGAATGTCGAAGATTTGGTACGCGAGGAATGAATTTCGTTGTGGACGGAGCTTCAATTGGACTGGTCCGAGTGCTTGGAGTCCAGAAGGATTCGTCCTTGTTAAATCGGCATGACTCGGGAAGAAGGTATACAGATGATGTGTTACATTGGTTACTCACAAGGATGGCACGGGCACTCTTGCAGCAGAAACGAAGCGCACACCCCTAACTACTACATAGTAGATAGATGAGTATGATTTCGCCTAGCATTGAAACTAAGTATGAAGCAGCCAATGTTCAGGTCGCAATTATTATAGTCCACGGATGAAGTCGAACTTTTACGAGAGCAAAGCTGTCAAGTCATCCCTGCCCTCGACTTCGTCAAGCAAGTCTTTGAAGTCTTCATCGCCATGGTCATGTGCTTGGGATTTGAAATAAGGCATATTGTCTTTAAGCCAAGTGCCTTCTTCGCCAGCCTAAACCCAGTACTAGTATTAGTGACGCATGCAACAGACGAAAACAGGGGGATATTGCATATGCAACAAGACAGAAACAAGAAGACTCAGGGCAGGGTAGGAAAAGCTCACCCCCGGAATAGTCGTGCCGTTCTCTCTCGCGGCGAGCATCGGATACATGACGACGAAATGCAACTTCTTCGCTTTGCGATCAGCCTTGTCCGCGCCGCCGTTCTGGTTCTGGTTCTGAGTCTGAGTCTTCCCGTGTCTTCCCGTGGAATCATCACCATTCACGACGCCATACCAAGCGTCCTCGATCCTCTGGGCCAGACGGTCGAAATCCGCCTTCGTCCTGCTCGGGCCCTGGCGCACCATGCCCAGGATGCGGTTGGGGCCCGCCGTGTTGTGCGCCGTGGGCTTTCCTGCGAGGAAGTATGTCGTGGCACCGGTGCCGGTGCTGGGTTGCAGGTGTTGGAACACGACGTTCACGAAGAGTCGCGGCACAACGAATGTCGTGCTGTGTAGCTCCGTGATGGCTTCGGCGATTGCAAGTTGTTGCGCGGAGGTCAGGGGGTAGGTGTGTTGGACCTGCACAGTACGTCAAGTACATACTTATAAGGTACCGAGGTATTTGCTTGTGGAGTCTAGATGAGGTGGAGCGGGGTGAAGGGTTGCAGTGGGTGAGTGGGCAAGGCCGTGAAGCACCAACGGGGGGTTGGTGTTGGGTTAATGTCTCCTCTGTGCCTCGAATTCAACCAGGGCAGATCCAGGTGAGCTTTTGTTAGATTCGAATTCCTTCTCTTTCCACTGGCGTCATCTCGCCAGCTCATGAATGAATAAAAATCGGTGATGTGACCCCTCTGCATAGTACAGAACATAGTACTCATGCACCATTTGACCTCGGGAAGCCGGGCTTTTGACTTACTTCGTAGAAAGGCATTGTCTTGATGCTTACTTAGTATCTCGGATATATGGACCTTTTCTTTCCAGCAACAATTTCAAGTTCAATGTTGTTCTTTTGAATACCAAGCTGGATCTCTCAATGATCACGGGGTTATTTATCTTTTCGGGATTCTCTCCTTGTCGCGATGGACCTTTTCTGTTGTTTTTGGTGTCGGGCCGAACTCAGCGAAAGCGATATGTATACTATAAATATGCAGGCTTGTTCCAATGTCTCGGATGATGTCACACTCCGATTTACATAGATAGTCGACTCTATGTTACCGAATTTGGCGGATAGAGATGGCCCAGGTGATGTTCTGACAAGTTTGTTCAAAAGTTCTGACATGCCTCCGTCCAGGTCTCGATGGTCTGTCTCCATTTTATATAGTTGACATCACTAGCCGTACTTTATCCTTCGACTACTAATCAACTACTGTGTATTTAGGTATTTACTCCTATGGGGTGATACCTCCAACACCTCGGGGCGAGGAGAGCGAGCCTAGCGAGGTGCGGGGAGGGGAAAGCAAGCTGGGGAAACCCAACCCCAATGATGAATGCACCAAGAGATAGGGATCTACACTTTGTTTAGAGAGCAGTCGCACTGCAGTGCGTACGGAGTAAAGAGGAACGAGCCTGTATTCCGCATTTGCTTGGGGACGTTTATTGACCCATGTCCTATCAGAGCAATGTGTCGCTGATATCTCGGCGGTGAGATAGATGGAGTATGTACATATGAGTTCCAAGACCGGTACTACATGGTACTTATGTACATAGTTTCCATGCATGCATGCTCTGCGCCTTAATCCCATGCTGTGCTTACTATGTACTATGTAATTTACTCTGGGATCAGACTTCCGAATTACTATGTACATAGTAGATAATCGACATTACATACGCTCCCCTTGGCCTCGCCCTTGCTCAGTCCCACGCTCTGCTCTTGTCTACTTAGGATTTATCAAGACGACGTACAAAGCAACTTCTTACGATAGCATCTTGAATACCCCTAGTAGGCTGTTTCGGGCTCTCGTCGAGCTAGGATCTCTGAGACAATCTCTCCGAGTGTGTAGGTAGCCTTGACAGGTCTAACTAAAGCCCCCCGTCCTCCAGCGTGCCTGTCTGTTTTTGCGTAGCCAGGCGCTAACCGCGGGAGTGGCCCAAGTGAATCAATCAAAGGGGCCATTCGTTTCGGCGGGTCTCGTAAACCTGACAGGATCAAGGGAAAAGACCCTTCGTGCCAACGCAGTTGGCTTTTAAATCTGCCGAACCTAGCTAGAATCAGTGATTCATGGGTGACGCCGCACGCGAGTCACGCGATGGATGGTAGGGCAGGTGACGGTGGGGGTTGGCTACATATAGCTAAGCCCGTGCCCATGTCCCTTTCTTGACTTACGAACTACCATCTATCTACCTAAACGAAAGGCCCCTCGAGGTCATCCGTCGTCGAATCCCTAAAGCACCGATAGTTGCACTGGTCAGCCCCAGGCTGCTAGCGCAAGGCTGGCCTGATTCCAAGCTTCGTACACTATATCACGCGAGAAAGATGGACCTTACCTCGCGAAAAGAATACGAACATGCTTCCCTCCTCGTAAAGCAATTGATTACTGTAATGCGTCTGCCTTAATTCTAGGTACGTATTAAGTACTAGTAATACTAGCCCCAATTGGGTGGGAAGTATCCGGTCTCAATCCTAGACACACAGGAGGAGCTCGGGCTTCTGACTTCGTTGAAACGCTCTTACACAATTAATTACTGTGTAGTTCTCTCTTTCTGCTTGCTGGGCCTTAAAATAGCGACTGATATTTAAATCGCCAAAGATCTGTCAGAGACAAAGAACACTCATATGATCCCATCCACGAAATCAACCAACTACGTAGTACCCAAGTTATACATCGCTTACACAATAATCATGACAAGCACATTCTCACTCCTCCGCAGCATTGTACTACAACCACTCATCCCCGCGGCTCTCCTGGCCGCCAGCCTGGGATACCCGCAAGCACCACAGCAGGCATTCCTCTCGCAACTCACCAAAGGAATTGTCAGCACCAACCTCAACACCTCCACGATCCACGCCGCATTGAAAGTGCTGCTCGCCGTCGGCTTACTCTACCGCGCCAATAAGTACCTCGAACACCTGGCGCTCAACAACTATGTGACCGACAAGACCTGGGACTGGAGCCGGGAGATCGTCCTCGTCACCGGAGGCAGCAGCGGCATCGGGGCGGCGATTGTGCGGCAGTTCGCAAAGCGCGGTGTCACGGTGGTGGTTCTGGACATGGCGCCGCCATTGCCTGATTCCAAGACGGGAGGGGCGTCGCCGGCAAATACGCATTTCTACCACCTCGACGTGACCTCCAGCACAGCCATCAAGACCGTCGCGGCGCAGATCCGCTCAGAAATCGGGTCCCCGACAGTCGTGATCAACAACGCGGGGATCGGGTCGGGCCAGCTGATCCTGGACGAGGGCGACGAGATCCTCGAGCGCACCATCGCAATCAATCTGCTAGCGCCCTTCAGGGTGACCAAGGAGTTCCTGCCGGACATGGTGGAGAAGAACCACGGCCACGTCGTAAATGTCGCCAGCATGGCGAGTTTCTTGGCCATAGCGGGCAATGCGAGCTACGCCGCTACGAAAGTCGGGCTGCTCGCGTTCCACGAAAGCCTGGCCAGTGAGTTGAAAAGTCGCTATGGTGCGCCGAAAGTGAGAGCGACGTGAGTGTTCCTTGACCTGTTCTTTCCCCGCTGCTGCTATTCCACGGACATCCACAAACATCCGTTTGGCCCCCTTCCCCTACTGAAGCCATTGACCGACCAACCAACTAACCCTTCCCTCCGTCCCAATCCACAGCATCGTCCACCCAATGTGGACACGCACACCCCTCACCGCGCCACTCCTAGCGAGTCCGCAGTGGAAGGCATCGCCACAGATCCTGCTGGAGCCGGAGGACGTGGCGTCCGCGGTAGTGGGACAGGTGTTAAAGGGGGAGAGCGCACAGTTGATCCTCCCGCCGAACCTGAGCTTCGCCTCGACCATCCGTGGTTGGCCCCATTGGCTGCAGAATAAGGCCAGAGAGCAATCCGCGGGTCTGTTGGCGAATCTCAAGCCACAGGAGAAATAGCACGGGCGAGAATTGGGTTTATTGGGTGGAAGAGATGTGGGTTGCGTGGTTGATGAGAGAGATGGATATTCAGTTCCTACCATCTCAAAACATAGAAATTTGACTCTCACAGAGTTATCATTTTGCTGAGATATTCCTACATAACACGTGTTGAGGACATAATCGGCGTGAGAACCTTGGCCTACACTAGACGTCTTGACAATTGACCCTCCTCGCTGTGCATCACATGTTTGTCGGATAGGACGAGAATGCAGAGCAAGGAATGAGCTGCTACTCCTTCTTGAATCTGCTGCTCAGTGGGATCCAAAGAAGAGCAAGTGCTGCAAAAAGGACCATCACAGGCACAGTTGCGTTTTGAAGGTCCCCTGGATGAGTGCTCAGCCACACCGGAGCGAAGATGAAGGTTCCTAGGAGGATAAAAACCATCCATCCGATCATCGGATAATCGATGCGGCAGGACGGAACTGGGCGTCCAAACCCCACATGAATTCTCGGCCATTCACGTGGATTTCAATTTGGTGGCGTACCGTACGCAGAGGCAGTCGGGTGAGTGCCTCTCTCCGCCTATTTGTCCGTTTACCATAGTAGATCCGTTCAATCCATTCATCCTGGCAAGTGGGAGGAGCTTGATAGGGTTGGATTGCAGGCCTGGGTTCGAATTCATACTCGTCAAGCATGGCATCGGGCATTCCATTGCAGCAATTTCCCAGACAATCCTCTGCCCATCGCTCAAACTTCGACGCATGGCAGAACATGAACTGTCTAGGGTCTAACCAATACTGCCAAAATCCACGTAGCTGCCGGTAAGTGAGCTTGAACTTCGTGAAAAAATCGTCGTCGCTATCCAGTGCGGCTATCAGGATTTGCCTGCTCCTTTTCCGGCCCAATCTCTCTGTGCAAAGCAGTAAGAACCGGTCTGAACGGTCAAGCGGGGGTCCTTGGGTCTGGGAAGATGTGTACACACATGGTGGAACTGATGTCGATCCGCTTGAAGTTTGTGCGGTCGCCGAATTGGAGAAGGATGTGATCGACGTAAGCAAACGCCCTTGGGATGGAGCAAGAGTACTGGCCACCGAGCCAGCGTTACGGGCAGACACTTGGGAGGTGGGAGCGCTGGTATTGTGTCTCGACTTCTCGAGGAAAGATGCCCCAAGGTGCCAACTGTCGGGATGCGAGCCGTCCAAAAGATCTTGGACAGGATGCACAAGTGTCCGAGATATGTCGAGCCAGTGTTCACAGTGCAATTCCTATAGACTCTCAGCATGGGCTCAAGACTTTGCTCCACTGTGGCTGCAGAACCACTGTGCGAGGCTGAGGAATATCAGACCATCAAGAATGGCCCATCCTATATGCCTAGTCAAAGATGGCTATGCCCAGGGCGACTCACATCTACCCATTCAAGGCGAACTTTGCCCTGCTCCAATGCAGGCCTTGGAGCTCTGAAAGGCCACCACAACCATGGCTCTCCAGTGTATGCTTCTAAAGCAACCTTGGCACGGTCTGCCGTCGAAGGCAAACTCAGTCGAGTGATCTTGCAAGCCACTGAGAGACTTTGGATGCTTGCGGGGAATGGCGCATTCGTTTTGGCATGCCATGCACGCCGTACCCCGTCGAGAATGGATATGTATCGCGCCTCGGGTGGCTTGTCAAGTGAGGCTTCTTCACTACCTGATGTAGACTCACGTCCTTCTACTTCAAGTTCTCCCCTTGGTCTAGCTGAATTAGAGATATTTGGTGTCTGTTCGTTGTCATCATTCAGTGACTGGCCTTGATCGTGGATATCATTAGTTGACTGCCTCTCGGTTCTACCTGTGAGGTCTCGCTGCGTGAACTCTTCAGCAGTAGGTTTTGTGGGCGGCTGTGGTCACCCATATCCAAGTCAGCTACAGACACGTGGGTCGAGGAACGGGATAAAACTGACCAGTATCACATCAAGTGTCTTCGAAATGGGGTCCTGTTTTAAATAAATGTATTTGCATCTGGGATCGTCTCTGCGTGTGTCGCAAAGAGGGCAAAAAACGTCAATTTCCAAGATGTTCACCTCTCCACATTGGCACCTCCATGCGTTCGCTTCTCGCTTTGTCCCACAGATCTTTCTCGTCGACATCCTAAACTGGCCAACCGGCAAATCAATCAGGAAGCAGCAAGTGTCCTGATGATACTCTTTCCGAAGGGAGAGCTTGACTGATATCTCATCAACCGACAGGGTTACTCTGTGGCCCTGCGTGGCATAGACATCAATTGCATGGGAGAAATCGGCTGAGTCTGCTATCTGGGAGTGTGCTCAAGATCTCCCTTTGTTCACCTGTCCAATTTCCAAACGAGGGCTGTGATTAATGGAGTCATGTCGGAACAGTCTCTCGTTCAGCCTGATGGCATCCCGGTCGAGCAACTTGATCCAGGCATGGCATGATCGCCGATTGGACGAGACGAGCCCGCTGCATGACACAGCCTTCATCGAGAACGCCAGAAGAAAGACGCGAGTAGCCTAGTATTTAGAGCCGTCGGTCGTGCATATGAGGATGAAAGAACCGTGGGTACAGTAAGACGTTCCAGTAAGTACGGAAGGTACGGTCTAAAATAGATATCAAACATTCGGCGGGCGGAAATGTGGTATAGTATGCTGATATAGAGTGAAATATTTAAACAGGGCTCCAGTCCGCTCCGCTCGCTCGCTCCCAAGTCTCCAAGCGTCTCATTCTTTCAAACGCGCTGAATATCGCCCAACCCAAACAATTCAGTTCTAGTAATTAGCTTGCTTCCTTCCTGGCAACACAGCCCACAATGCGTCTATCTATCGTCTAACAGCAGTAACCTTACTCCTCCGACTCGCCCGACTATCCACACTGATCTGACTCACGCTATCCTCGGGCCTAACCTCTGTATCCGTGACCTGCAACTTCGCAACATCCTTGTGCTTCCCGATCACACTCTCGGTACCCCCATTTTCCGCGAAATCTTGGTACACAGTATTGTTTTTCAGGTTTCGAGGCGTCAATTTACCGATGACCGTTCTCGCCGCGGCGCTGTTTCTGGTCGGTCCGATTCCGGATCGGGCTGAGACAAACGAGCCGTTCTCGGACCCGGCCCAGGTTGCGGCGCGGGAGGGTGGGAGCGGGTAGTCCTGTGGCCCTTTTTCGTTTTCGTTCTCGTTATCGCTGCCCTTGTGACGGTGATGGCGATGATGAGAGTGTTTGGAACCGGATCGACTTGGCGCTTTCGAGCCAGCATGGCTGTGACTGTGGTGCTCGGAAGACTTGTGGTAGCTTTTCGTGCGATGGACCGACTCGGTGACGTGGAGGACGGTCTGGGCCTCTTCATCGTCGAAATCATCTTTTCTACTGCGTCTTGAATGCCGAGAGTGAGATCTGGGCCTGGTGGCTGATGCGGCCTGCGAGTGCTTCTCACCATCGCTGTCTCGTCCGCGTGCGAGACTCATCACACGGCTCAGACTGCCTGATCTACTCTTCGAGCCAGCCCTTGACTTTGCCTTCGAGACCTGCGTTTCCGCTGTTGTAAGAACTGTGGGGGCACGGTAGCTTGTCGGAGGCGCTTCGAGCGCCTTCGTGCTCTTTTTCGACTGTCGGCTTGCTTTCGAAGTGGCAGTAGAGACAAGTTCAAGATCTCGTGGTCCTGGTCCAAAGCCAGAGTCGATACTTGTTCGTCTCGAAACATTTGTCACCGCTTGGTTGGCGGCTTTGATTGTGGACGCGTACTCGGATTTCGCTGGGTCTTTGTCATACATAGTGATCATTTTTGGGCCTTCGTAGTGGCTTTTAGTGTTGTATGTATAGGCTGACGGCGCTGGTTCGATGGCACGATAGACTCTATCTCCTTCGTAATAGGTCGCTGAGGCACCACTGGCAGCGGAATACTCAGGCCCTCTCATATTTGGCTCGGTCACACTCCGACCCACCACGCTAGGTCGCTGAGCTTCTGGCTTCACTTCATCAGCTGCAGCACTCTCCTTGGATCGATTGCTGAACGCATAATGTAGAGCAGCGCCGGCAGCGACGCCGAGCAGTGTACCGACAATAGCATCACCGGCGCCCAAACCAGTAGAATTACCGTTCGACCCCGTATTGGCCGCTGGTGGCGAGGAATTCGAAGACACTAGACTCGGCCGGACGGTGTTGACAAGGTTCCGAGCAACACTTGCGGCATTGCGCGCTTCGTTTATCAAGGTGTCCAGCACGTCGCCCTGAGGCTTGGACTTGGGCTCCGTGGCCGGAGGGATTTGTGCTGGAGGGACAGCTGAAACGTGAGAAGGAGCCACGACGCTTCTGGCTTGAGATGGAGCATTACTCCTGGCCTGGGAGACAACAGTGGGTTCTCTGGCAGACACGACCGTCTTAGGGCGTCCCACGGCGGAAGGAGCTTTGACGACGCTCTGAGCAGCAGTTCTGCGAGAGACTGTACTCCTCACATCTTCATTTTCCTTATTGTCATCCGCAAGGCCCGGACGATAGACGGCCTCGATGGAATTACCATCAAAGTCGATCACAGCAGCAGAGTAGTATCCCGAGGCATCCCTTTGAGCAGGTTCGCCGTGAATCTTGCCACCAGCCTTGAGCGCGGCGAGAAAGAAGGCCTGGACGTGGGAGCGAGATAAAGCTGGAAAGGCGACGTGTGCTGCTCCTGCAGGTACACCGGGGATTTCTTGGGTAATCCAGAAGTCGGGAGGGGTATTAGGTGGGGATTCGGGCCCAAAGCCGATGGTGTTTTCTTGTCGGCCTCGGAAGACGTAGTTGAGAGGTTGAAGGGCTGACAGGAAGAAGGAGGTCGAAGTGGGGAGGTGGCTGACGGTGAGGGTGATTGAAGAGGGCATTGAATGATAGATAGAAGGATGATGGAATGGAGACCGACAAGGACGCGATGGACGAGAAAGGGGGAGTGAGGGAGAGTGTTTTTATACACGTGCTCCCTCTCTAAGTAGCTCGACAGTGTCGTGAGAAAATGAAAACAAAGAGATCTCGTGCCACGCTCTGATTGCGAGGAAGATTGGATGAGCTCTGCAGCCTAGTCGGATGCAGGCAGGAGAACGGAGTGTAGCCTTAGAACGAGACTGGTGGCTCGCTTTTTGATATGTTGTATGCACTGGTGCAGTGACATCGACCACAGCCTGTTCCTGTGGTGGTGACAAGTCGTTTTGAGTGTCTCCAACAAGAAAGAAAAGGTAGAGAGAGTGAAATCGTGGCCGTCGATATGTAGACAGATGCTGTGGTGGAGGCAACCAGCGGAAGCTAGCCTCATGCAGGAGAGAGACAAGGAGAGAGACACAAACGGCGTCTCAGACCACGACAGCAAGACCGGCACTGTATATAAGAAGCAACTAGTTCCTCTCGAAGCCCCGTTTGCCTTAGAAGGAATCCAGAGGGGAGGAAGGGCAACGAAGCAGAAGGCAGACGAGATCAGCGGATCAGATTGGATAACCGATTCGAAGGGCGGATCTTTGGTCGGAATAAAGTCGTCCAATCCAAAACGCACCTGACAATCTTACGATGGATTGAGGAAGTGATTTGCAATGAGATCGGGGACTGACCACGGGGTTGGAAGAGGGAATCCCTAGATAGCGTGCGAATTGAATCCGAGGATTGAAGTAAAGCGACGCAATCAGAACCAAAGGGAGGGGAAGGGCAAGAATGAGAGAAATTGGGCAGGTGTACAGGACGAGTGCTGGTACTCGCACCTACCTGAGGCTGCCATGAATACTACGAGTCTGCGACACCAGGACGAAGCGACGGGCGAACAAGAGTCGAGACAGGGCGGCAGTAGAAGATAGGGAGAAGGCAGGTAGAGAGGGCAACAGTAGGCGCCTGATCTGCCACCAAGAGGCAAAGGTACGGAGCACGCAGCAGTCAGACGTGGATTGCAGTGATGGTTGCAGAAGGACGCGCCCTCTCCCCGGACCTGACTTGGCCTTGACTGCATCGGTGAGGGTGAGGCGTGAAGGTGCTCCAGATGTTGTTGGTGGCGACGAGTAGAAAGAAAGGCCAGGTCATGCGGGTTGGTGGAAGAATGCCGACACGACCAAAGAATGCCACGTCGTCGAGAAATGGATATTGATATTACATAGTTGGTGGGCCGCAGGAATACTCGGGAGAGGAGAGGGAGGGAGCGTAGGGGTGCCGGCGTGCCGGGGAGGCCTACTCGTCAGTGGTAAGGGTCCTCTCGTACGGGCCCCAAAGGCTCACGCTAACGGGGATGTGGATGGTTACTCCAGGCTTGATAAAGGTCGATTGGGTTCAATGGTGCCCGGGCACCCCCTGGAGCCTAGCCACTTACTGGTCAAGTCCAGTTGAAATTTAGTTGAAAGGCCAACATGCTGGAGCAGAGGCAAGGCAAGGGCCCGTGGTCAACCGTCATCGATCCATGGATCTCCCGTGGTTGGACCTCCCCGCGGGCCGTCGCGAATCGTATCGTCGGTCGGGCGCCAATGCATCTGCCCGCTTGCCATAATTCGTCCCGTCTCACCACTCACCACCCGTCAATCCTACTCCCTTTGCAAGCTCAGTGAGCCTTTATTGCCGTCATGGTGCAGATTCAGATCTTCACTGAAGGAAAACATGAGCATTCTTTCGGTCGTATGCCGACGTTGTAATGCAGGCACGCAGCTAGAGCTGGGTGTTCAACGTTGGTTCATGCATCACCATCGCTTCCCCCTGTCCGACAGGTGGTGGATGGTTGTACAAGCTAACTAATCTACTTTTCGTTTCTCTCCAGATCTGACATCTTCAATGCTCACTCCCCAAATGACAACACCATCTGGTTGGGTAGCTGATCATGGCACGCTGGGGTTCCGTGCCCAACAGATGTAGCACCCTATCCCGTGCCATTCCAGATCTCCCTCAAGACATCCACTCCATCATCATGCTCCAACGTTAGTCACAGTCACTGTGAGTCGAAATACCTTTCCAACCAAGTCTGGACTACTGTTCTGGATTTTCGTACTTGCCCTCCACCATGGAGCATTTTCTTTCCTCTCATAACATATCATCGCAGACAGCCGGAAGAGGATTCCATGCCATCCCGTTTTCCGGCGCGTCGCGCCATCTCTTTTTTTTTCGGATGTAGGGTAGGTTGACTACCACCACCAAAGTTGTTTGGAGACGAAACTAGATATCTCGCCTTGAGGTTTTGTTGAACCATATGTTATGTCTTGTTGTGAAAACAAACGCCAGATCCAACCTCCCCCAACGCTTTCGGCACACACGGTTCGACTGCAAGAGGGCGTGGATGTTATGATCCAGCCATTGGCAGACAAAAAGTGCAGCCCAATATCAAGGAGAGAAAGAGACAGAAACTGTTCTCTAACAATATGTAGAAGGAAAGTATTAGTTAGGCATACCTAGACAATGTTCCACGAATCTTCGCAGGCGTGGCAGAACTTGCTGCAGGTCACGCTGGCACTCAGACTGTAGTTGCTGATGCTGATGGATTCATCCTTGAAAGCATCAGCGAAGTCGTCCTTTCCTTTGGCCATGGCTCCAACAAAGACACAGATGCTCTCGTTGGACGCCAGGGTGTCGACATAATCCCGCACGCGCACCACGTCGGCGTCGAAACTGAGGGTGACCTTCCGGCAATTCGGCGGCAGGTGGTCGGTAATGGGGTTCTTGATCACTTTCAACAGCTTTTCCTGCGAATTCACCGATCGGATGGAGAGGCGATGGAGCAGCTGCACCATCAGCCCGGCGAACCGCTTGAAGGTTCGGGGAATCCGGACCGTCGGGCTGACCTCGATCAACACGCCCTTTGCGGTGTGGATGAAGATCTGCAGTTTCCCGGCCTTGTTGATCGGTGAGTCGAGCAGAGTGAGGAGACACTGTACGTTGAAGTCAGTCTGTCGCTGCACGAGCCATTCAAGTGGGAGATGTAGCCACCTGATGGGTGATGTCGGGTCGGGCATCGCTGATGTCGCGGCCCATCTTGCGCATGACACCAATGTGCTCATCACTGTTCAACAGCGAGTATTTTTCTTCTTTGCCGCCCGGCTTCCCGCCGCTATAGGCTGCGCGGTATGTCTCGAGCGAGGCATTCGAAAGGACGACGATCAGTCGTTTCGTGTCTTTGTCACTAGCGGGGATGGGCACGTGCTGCTCGGCAATAAGCCTGGGGAGCTCGGGAGGAGGAAGTGACTGCGTTCCTGCTGATTGTGAGCGCAACCGAGGTATGGATCACCGACACTGTTGAAGTGCAGGACACTATAATATGACAAGACGGAGTGTTGAACGTACTTGTACGCTTCCTTTTGTTGACTGTGTTAGCAGACATCTCGGGATCCCGAGACAGCGACACGATCGAAGGATGGAATTCTGCACTTGAAGAACCAAGACGGATTCAGGGCGTTTGGTGAATCTAGATATGGGCGGAATCTAGAAGTTTAGTGAAAGCCGCGTGGTAGATCAGAAGACGGACGCATCGGCCTTGAATGAGGGAGAGGAGGGAAGAAGAGGAGTCAAATAGAACTACTACCCCGTGGCGACTAGTAAAAGAATCAAGAGGTGGTCAATGTTGAAAAGAGATACACATGTCGGGGCAAGTCTCGAGAGTGTGAGTGTAAGATGTAGATGTAGAAAGAATTACAAAGTTAATGATGGCTTGGGCGCGCTAAAACCAAGGATTGAGGAGTCTACACTGTAAAAAAAGTCACCGAGTAGCGCAGAGGAAAAAAAAGAAGGCTGCGTTGCCAAGACTCGATTGCGGACAAGTCGGCGCCGGGCAGTGAACTACGGAGTACTGGTACTGGTACTGTCACTACTCGGTACGGCACCCACTACGGGCACGGGGCGCATCTGGATAGGTTCAGGTCCCCCCCGTCGCCCGCCTTCAATGCATAAGCCCTACTCGGACATCACGTGCCATACGACTCCCTCGCTCAACGCCCTGAGACCCAGTTTCAGATTCTCAATAAATAGACGATCGATTCAACTAATACACACCGCGGTAGATAGGACGAGTGTGTCTGGGAATATGAGTACTCGTGATACACAGGCGACCCTGCAAGGATTGGTATGGACTCAGGCACGGGGGGAGAGCAAAGGATGACAGACATCCCCGGTATAGCTAACTTGTACATGTTCTCCAGTACGGAGTACCGAGTGCTACGAGTAGTAAGCCTTGGTCTCAGTCACTCCGCCACATAACCCTTAGATGACCCGTAGGCCGTGGAAGAAGGAGGTACCTAGGTAGGCAGGTAGGCAGCCATGTAGAACCAGGGTTTGTTCGTTGCTCGTCCTACACCTCAAGCTCCTCGTCTGACACAAACAACCCAAATTCTCTATTCTCTCACCGGGAGTAGTGATGCCTTTTATTCCCTCCTCCCGGAAGTTACCAAGTAGTACTTTGTTTCAAGAACTTTTCACCTTCTCCAGAAAGAAAACGAGAAAGATTAAGAGAAAGCGCTAACACCGCCTACCGGCTCGGTCCTTTTGGAAAAACACACAAATGAAATCGACATTGTACTGCAAGGAAAATTCTTGGTTGCCTTCATAGTGCCGCTGCGTTAAAAAAAAGTCGTGACGCCGATTAAACGTTGTCCCATTGCTCCTCGACGAGATAAGAATCAGAAGCCACTCAGAGTAAGACAATCCGCCGCAATGGACGGTTCCTCACTACTGACTCTTGTCAACGCTGAAAGGGTTCAAGGCCCCCTGCCTACATCTTGTCACCTGCCTGTCTGGATATACTCGTCTACCGATTTAAACACCGTATCACCGAGAGGTGATTGCGGTTGGAGGAGATCGCTGCCAATCCGAGGTGGTTTTTCGTATTCTCGGTCCAACACATGGTCGGGTCTCGTTTCATGATCGTGATATCCATGCAAATACGGCTCGAAATCGATCTCCTGAGGACTCGAAACGCTCGTATCGTCTCCAAAATCGGTGGCCGTACCCACTGTGGATGGTGAGACTTTTCGTAAGCCAGGTATAGAAGACATGCGCGTCACCGAAGCCGGAGCAGTATGATCGTTGCTCCCTTCATGCTTTTCTCCCTCGGTCGACAATTGCCTATCACTTGGCTCCCCTCCCTCTCCTGCTTCTTGAACCACGGGGAGGAGTGTACTACTCCTCACTTCTTCCGTCGTTCTCAACGTTCTATCAGGCTTTTCTTCTTCGCTTCCACTCCGACCCTTGTCGGACGGCGTGGCTTTGTCCGTCTGTTTTTGTGCCTTTCTCATCGTCTTCTCCACCTCCGGGCTCAGGGTGGGCGAGAGTGCTGATTCGTCTTGACCATCGTGTGCAGTTCCGATGCCACCAGTTGAAGTGCGACCTGTATTGTCCAAGGACATTGACGCTGTTTGTCCACCAGTACGTTGACTTTCCCCAGTCCTCCGTCGGCCGGCCTCTTCCTGCGTCATGGTCACTCCTGTGATGAAATTGAGGAACCGATCTCCATATGCCACAGGCGGAATCGGTGATATCTGCGTTCGTGGCGCTGAAAGTCCTTTCCAGAAATGCTCGATACGTTTAATCAGACCGTACTGCCCCCCCGTTAGCTTCCTCTGCTGCGTAAGACACGATTTTCACCTACATGAGTAAGACAGTCAATCAGGCCGAGATAGTATACTGTTTCACCACCTCGGCCATCTTCGTGGGTAGCTCTAATACCGCCGTCAAAGCTGTAAAACACTCGATCTCGTCTTTCATCTGCCGATGACAGCTCCGAGGGCATTTTAGCACCCCCCATCCCCATCGGCATCGGCTTTTCCTTTTTGAGGGTCAGCCGCAATTCTCGGGCTTTCTTTGCCGTCTCAAGCCTTGACGGAGTCCTAGTCAACATCGACGGGCCATAGTCGTCTTCGTCTCGTTCTCCACCAGGCTGAAAGATCTTTAGTGTGGTCTCTCGGAGATTCTCTTCGTTGCCTTTCTCCAGATCATGCATGCCCACAAGAAGCGAATAATCCATGATATGTAAACGTTGTAGCAACGCAACGTCACGTTTCAATTGATCAAGAAAAATTTGTCGAATGTGTGCCTCGAATTCAAGGTGAAGATCTCGTCGCAACCAGTTCAGGTCCTTCAATGTGGCCCTAGGATTGGTGGCCAAGTCATCTTCCTTGAAATCCCGGCCAATGGTCGAGCCTTTAAGATCAAAAGTCTGGTGGATGTCTCGGTGAGGAGGGAAGAGATTGTTCATGACCACGAAATGAATTTTCCTCCCATATGGTATCTTCACCCGGTGCAGGCCATAGAACTGTGATATGAGTGTGTTCGGATTCTCCGTGACATGCTGGTGGTAGTCCCTGAGTATTTTCCTCAGCAGCTTGTGCTCAGCATGGTGGATCGTCTTGATAATATATTTGTAGTCGCGCGAAAAGTAAAAGAATGATCCTGATTTGCCGGGGCTGCCCAACTCTGATAATATGTACTTGCTGGTCAAGCTCATCAAGTAGTCTGCGGGGTCCAAGCCAAAGGTTGCTCGTAGCTGTCGGAAGACCCAGGGGCTGTAGTCCTTGAATTTGAAGTCGTACTTCGCGCTCGGGGTTAATTCATTACCGGTGATATCGAAACTGAATTTGTGTTTGGCGTCGAAGTCAGCATCAGTCAAATCCCTCATCATCTTCGCATTCGTCCTCGAGACAGTGAACCGAATTCCCGTCAGCATATTGTAGGCAGTCACCCAATTGACATGACCTTCTTCGACCTTCTTGCCAACGATAACGCGATCCTCATCCTCTTCCTCCCTCCTCTTTCTTCGGCTTGCTCGCTTCTGCTTTATGAGTTCCGTCCATCTTGCAGCATCCTCGTCAGGAGGGACCTCATCCAAGTGAGCATCAGATTGCATTGATCGGGTCGTTCTCCGGACAAGTCCGAGTGATGCTCTCCGGTGCCTTGTACCCGTGCTATCGAACTGATCTCGAGTAGGTGAAAAGCGCCCAGTCGCTGACAAGGCTTCTTCCGATGGGCCACCTGAGAATGAGAAGTCGCGCGAGTTGCGGGTCACAGAAAGGTTCGATTTTGGGACTTGCAGGGTGTGACGGTGAGTGAGTTTGGGGGGATCTGTAGGTGGCGCCAACTCGGGGTACTTATCCTGTATCGATGCGCTAGGTGCCATTTGGGAGGGCGAAGCAGAAAAGCGAGAAGGTGACTGTAGCGAGGCACGACCGTGGCAAGGCGTTAATGAGTTGGGATCCGTTTGTGCCGTATCTGGGAGGGTTGATGCGGTGTAGGCATGGGCTGTGTCAAGTTCCTGTCTGATGGGTGAGATGTTTGTCTTCAACTTTCCGAGCTCGGGAGTCTGTCCACCCTGAGGTTGTCCTCCAGGGATGGTATGGGTGTGTTCGGGTGAGGCGCTTTCCACACTTGAGAGTTTGCTCAAGCCGTCGAACGAGTTGGGGCTCCTAGACAGGTTCTCAACATATTTGGCCGGCCCGCTCGAGGCCGAATGAGTACTGCCTGCTTTCGAATGTGCTCGGTCCCGCGAGGACTTCCCAGTAGTGCCATTTGGCATGCCATTCGTCAAGGAACCATGGCTGTTGTTCCTCAAATTCTTGAATGTGTCCAGCCTGTGGTCAGGGCGTCCGGTGTCGACGTCAGTGCCATTGGTATAGGTGAAAACACCGCTTATGGTCTTGTCATGGGATTTTCGGGGCGGGCCATCGAAAGAGGAATTTGTGCTGTTCGAAACGAGGGAGAGAGGCGGTTCGGTCGCTATGGGCGGCATCTCAGGGAAAGCAGGACGCTGTGTATGGGAGCGACCTGAAGGAGGGCATTGGCCGCAGGAGTCACCGAGGAAGCGAGCAGACTGAGGGCATTGCTCGGGTCAAGAGGTGTTGATTGAGGAACTCGGTAAGACTCTCGTGTAATTGTTAGGCCGCGATAGGATTGAGCGGTTGGTGACTGCAGATTAGTATGCGTGAGGAAGGGTGCAGGGCCAGATGAGTAAGTCAAACGGTATTGAATTATTGGATCAAGTGGTTGTTGATGTTGGCGTTGGTGTAAAACATGCTGGCCGTGGTTATGGTTAGAATCAGATGTCGAGGTTGCAACCACAGTTGGACGCTGGAAGCTGGTGCTCAGAAAGTTGTCAACCAACGGCGGCCCCGGGGTGTAACTTGGTTAGGAGCGAAGTTCCAGTTGCGGTTGCCCGTTGCCAGCACAAGTTGGTTAAGTTACCTACGAGTCGGTACTATGTAGCTACTCGTAAGCTATTAGGCTGTTAGACTCCCTAGACGGTGCCTAGACTGACGCCTAAGATACTAACTAACCCCCCCCAACTATCCAGTTAGGGGCCCGGAGGCCCTTGTCCCAATCTCGTGCCAAGCTATTTCGGGACCCAATTTCGGTGTCAGAATAAAAGATGGACCTTCTGGAGTACTCGGTATCTGACTCGCCTGTGGCCTGCAACCCGCCCGAAGTATTCGTCAGCCTCTAGTAACAATAGTACTCCGTACTGCCTACTTATGTAGTGCCTACACAACTCAGCTAAGCGACCAAGATGATTGCTCGTAGTTGGTAGCCTCCTCGACCCGGAGGGATGCCCGTGTGTCGCTTGTAAGTAGTTGTTGGAATGTTGGAATGTTTCTCATGCTTTCCATACTTCTCATCACCCAGACCATGTACATCCCATAACCATCCCATATTTATGATTTGTTTTATGCATTAAAAGAACGGATGCTTCGTATTGATTGACCCAAGCCTTCCGAGGACCGCTGTTTCTGCGGGGCGTCAATTACGGAGTGCCCCTACTCCGTAGTTAGGGTTTGGTAGCAGTGAATCCATTATCTCTACTTTTGGCATCTAGTTAAAGCACCTCCACTGCTAAGCCACTGAGGCTATTGGCTTTGGAATCAACAGATTAGGACATCCCCGTTTCTCGTCGAGCCGTGCCTCCTAAGGAACACGAAAAATGGGAACCGGGAACTGGGAACTTGGGACAACGTCGATTCCGTCATCTCAGCCTTGCTTACCTTTGGCGGTAGGAATAATGAAAAGTTGGCCGACCTGTTGACAGGAGGATAACCGTTTAGCGTCCGTCCCGGTCTTCATACGAGTAGTCAGTGGAACTTGGACAGCCTCGCTTTATGGAGTACCTGTAACTAGATAGTGCCCAGAGTTACCCAAGCCAGCGTGACGTATACCTAGGCCCCAATCAAGAAAATGCTAGGCAGAGCTACAGTAGGTCTTAGTAAGTCATTCCTGGCAGGATTCATACGAGTCTGTTCAAGCACTTGGTTATTGACACTGATCCTTCATGTGCAATATGATGACCGTGGAGAGCTAGGCGTAGTAAATCAGCTACCTATGTGCTCACCAGTCGATTCAACGAGTGATCGATCAGATACCTGCCGTCCCAAAAGCACCCATGCTGAGCCTGCAAGCGCCAAAGAACAGATCGGTCGGTATTACCGCGTTATGCTAAAACCGTACGCCATGCTACGACAACACACATTAATGAGAAATCATGTCTCCAAATGGAATTCACGCACGGTAGCAGCAGCAGCATTTTATGCATGCTTGTACAGCCACTTCCTTCCTCAGCGCATCAACATCCTAATCGCGTGCTCCACGGTCTGAGCCCCTTCAGTAGGGGTACGACCATTCGAGGTGGTTAACTCTGAATTGGGATAGTACCAGGCGGTCACTGCGATGATGATGTAGACAATCTAGATAAGTCACGTTAGCTTTGGCCGTGTGTATGATCCTCCATCAAGTTGCACTTACGACGAGCAGAGCGCCTTCGAGATAGTTGGAGGATCCATCTCTCAAGAAGTTGCCGACCACCAAGATGGAGAGGACAAGCAGGACAACCATAAAGATCTCAAAATTCAAGTCCATTGGTTTGTGTAGACCCCATCCGACGATGACGACGAGTGGAGCGTTGAACAGGGCTGTCATTAATGAGGGGCCCAGGCAATGGAAAAGAGCGAAATTCTAGTTTGAACAGATTAGCGCCGCTGGCAGATCATGGCATTCTTCAATACTTACAATTTGGTTGTCACGTGCTTCATCGATGGTGGTGATGTGCTCGGCAGCTTTCTCGACCAGCGGGACAAGGATTAAACCCAGGAAGTTGTCCGGAACACCATGCTCCACGACATATTCGATCTCCTCCACCAAGAAGACAGCAATAAGCGAGATAAAGGCAAGTGACACGAGAATTGCGATGACGCACTCCGTCATGGTGAGTTTAGCCTTGGTGAGATCCTTGTGCCTGTCTCTATCAGCCAACTCATCGGCTTCCAGGACTTCTTCGAAGATGTTATCATGAGAGACGCAGTTGTAAAGAAGGTAAAGAAGGAACGAGACAATGAGGATGATGGAAACGCCGTGACTGATGCTGTTTGTGTCTCTCCGAAGGGACTCCTCGGTATAGCCTTCGTCGCCAGCGGGGACCGTGCTTCCACTTAGCGAGGAGAAGAAGGCACTTGGGATCAACAGAGCAAATCCAGCGACCAAAAGCAAGCCCGATCCCACCTCGCTGATCGCTGGGTGGAACTTCTGCTCCTTGTGCTTCATGCCGCCCACCAAGAAACAGAATCCCAGGCAGAGCAGCAAGTTGGTGAGGATGGATCCAAGAATAGCGGCCTGGATCACGGCGATCTTATTCCCATGACCGGGCTCGCCACTTCCATTGTCTTTGGCAATCAAGACCATGAACAGGACAATCTCAACCACACCGCCAAGCATGGTCTCAATGATGATACCCGCGACTCTAGGCATCTTTCTGGCGAGCTCCTGACCAGAAAACCCCAAAAGGTTGGCCGCGGGGATCATGGCGATATAGTTGATGGCAAATGTCCACAGATGGTGGTCGCCATTGATGAAGTGCAGGGCAATCGCGGCGGGGACGAAGGGCCACAGGACATTGACGATGCGAGACGCACCACATGACGATCTCCAGGCAATCCTTGCAAAATGGGTTGGATTGAGCCCGCGGCGTCCGCTCTCGCCATCGGGATTGATCCCTCGTGTGACTCGGTGGCCGTTATGGTTGAATTGGGGGAGGCCTCCGTTGGAGGTGGCAGGATGGGGAGGAGCTTCACCCGAGCCATTGGTGCCGTTGGCCTTCTCTGCGGCATCGATTCTCGCCGTGCTTTTTTCTTTTGCGGGAGCCTTGGATTTCCGGTTGAAGAGACCCATTTCCGGCAATCAGTCAAGGGACGTCAGGATCTGGACGAGAATTGTAGCTGTGGCGTTTGCTAGGATGGGAGATAGGCCGGCGAGAATGTTGGAGAGCGAGTTCCCGAACCAGGAGGGTGGGTAGTCTAGATGAACCGCTCACAAATGCATAATCAAGGACTTCCAAAGACAAGAAATAGAGAAGTGAGAGTGAGAGTAGTTCGAAAGAGCAGAGCAGCGGGGAGCTGAAACGAGCGAGAAACTTCAGGTACTAGTTAATTGTTAACCACCCAACCTGTGGGTGCTTGGGGACTCCGTAGAGATGGGAGTGGAAGGGGAATGGCAATGGCAATGGGAATGACAATGGGAATGGGAATGGGAAAGCACGCTAAGCAATGACAAGAGTATTCAAGGAGCGCGAAGGTGAAGCAAGCAACGCGAGCCAAGGCGAACCATGACAGCACATTGCATTGCCAAACCTCGACCAAGAGGATGAGGATCCAATGCTTAGCCGCACACGTAGACAAGCCACAATTTCTTGTTTTGCGCGGTGGGAATCGTGTTTCAGTCGGTGCCAACTGTGCCACTCACTTGTCACCGGCAAGTTGGTAACTTGTACAGTATGTTGGTAACTTTGCAGGGGGGCGCTGAAGATCAGTGATCAGGGACCAGTGGCATTTATGCGGAGCGGAGGATCTGTTTAGGCCCGGCGCGTCACGTCTCGTCTCATTCCCAAGGCCACGGCTCATCGCTCTTCCAGGTCTGGTACTGTACGTGTAGTAGCGGGCACCTAATAAAGCCCCCCCTCGACCCCCCAAATTCACCTTTCGACGGAGGGCGAATTGTCCATCAGGCACCTGGGTGCTGGAACCAAACAATACGATCGTCCCTCCCTGGATAAACAACCACCACCTCAGTCTCAAAAGCCGACACGATACAACCTGCAAGCCAGACCCCTCTGGAGCAAAGTCACGATCTGAATATCTAGAATCCCATCAACCGCGATGGCCTTTGCTCACCCGGGATTTCTGGCGTCGTTGCGCATTTGTCGTGTCTTGGCTCTTGACTACCGAGGACTCGGGACTCAGGACTCCTCGACAGCTTGAAGGCGAAAAGCCTGTTCCTCCGGTATCCTACAGGATACAGTACTCCATAATAATTACACACCCATCTCGCGAAACCTGTGGCTAGGGTCTCTATGGCTGATCGATCATTCGCAACTCCCGAGTCCGGAGCACCAACTCGTAACCGTAGGTATGTATGTTACATGTATGATTTCATGGAGGAGAGTCCGATCGTCTACGGCGCGTTGTTGGTTGGCCATCTAATCATCAACACCAGCCCAATATTCCAGCCGACAATAATTGCCTTCACTTTACCAACTACATACCTCAACAGAGGCTTCATAGGCAAGCGTTTCGTTGGCGTGTACCTCCTCTTCCAATTCCCAACCTCCCGGCCTTTTGTGCGTCTCATTCCGACTGCCGCTACTATATCGTTACATAATCCAATTCCAATCCCTTCGTGGTATTCGACGTTCCCTTTGCTTTCATTCATAGCTGCCAAAACTTCAAGCACCTCAACTCCTTTTCTGATCACTCATCACCGTCCATTTCCAATTTGGGATCCCCCCCGGTTGCGGTGTCTGTACTCCCATGAACACCTCCCCGGCGCTGTTGTCATTTCCTCCCGTCGAAGTGGTAGCACTCAGGTCGGGCATCTGCTGCCCATCAGTCTTCGAAATATCCACCGGGCCACCCATCATCGATCCAATACTTTGGGAATACATCCCCGATCCTTGCACTCCCATTGAGCTGTCTCCTGTCCCATCTGATGGTGACGTCTGCGAGAAAAAATTGCTGTTGGGCGAATTGTTGGACCACAATGTTGACGCAGGGTCCAAGGACAAATTCGTTGGTTGCATGTATTGATCCCATGCCTCCTGCACAAATTGTTAGCCACGAATCATTCTCAAGTATCACTCATCAAGGCAACTCACCCAATCAAGGTTCATGCCTTGCCCAATATCAGGCAGGGCACTGTTGAACAGTCCAGTCGGGAATGGGCTCGGTGCATTGCTCATTCCTGTCCCAAAAAGCGAAGAACCAAAGTCACCACCAGCGATCGCATTGACACCGCCTCCGCCCCATTGTGTGCCCGGCGAAGCAATTTGTGCAGCACTGCCGAGACCACCACTGTCCACTCTGCCCGCTTGGAGCATTTCTAACGTCTTTGCTGCTGTCTGTTCATCATTGCTCGAGCCCTGAGCCTGTCGACCTGCTGCCGAGATCTGCGTGTTTTGCGGATTGCTTGGCGATAACGGCAATCTGACATGATGAAGGAGCACATTTAGTAACTCACTTGCCTTGTACGCTTCTATACTGAAGTCGCGATTTATCATCCAGATTTCTCGGCTGTCTTCAAGAGCCTTGATGAGGTCCTCGCGGCAATAGCTGAGACCCGGAGCGTATACACCTTCTGAGGCATTGCTGCCCTGACTGATGCTTCCACCACTCACTGATGTACTTGGAGTACTGACATCCACCTCTATTCTCTCTTTGTGATGATAGAGATCCATCATTACCACCGTAGCAGCCAAAAGATAGTCATGAGCCGTCAGCGAGTTGACATGATTGCGCAAACTTCGTAACCGGCCACGCTCACGGCTTTGCTGGTGTTGAATCGACTGGAAGCTCAACAATTGCATGGCCGAATCAAGCGATGTCCGCCTGGAATGCATATATCGGTTCCCATTTCTAGCTAGACGCATGAATCGACGGTGAAGCACACACTGAGACTTGTGATAGACCGTTGCCAGACTGAATCGTGCCATGATCAATGAAATCGGCGCCAGCGTTTGTTCCGCCATCGGTCTGAGCTTCAAATGTTCTGGAATACTGTCGTAGATATCGCGCAGCCCCTTGTCAATCTTCAGCACTTCTTCATATCCTTTCTTGTTGACCCCGTTGATCTCTTCGAGAACGCGGCCAAAACCAAAAGACAGTCTTCCTTTCGCTATCATATATGAGATAGGTGTCGCTTCCGATGATGGCCGCGCAGGTGGGAGCGTGGCCGAGTCTTCGTCGAACTCATCATCGTAGATGTTCCTCGGAAGTTCGGTATCCGAGTCACCGATACGGATCATCGGAGGAAGAGCGACTTGAGCAGAGAATAAAAGATCCGCACTCCGCACAAACGTCCAGACTCGACGGCGCATTTCACCTTGAAAGGGGCTCAGGTTAGGAAACAATTTAGCGTCTCGATGATAGCCCATTCGCATGGCCAGCCGCGCAATCATGCCAACAAGCACCCACACACTGGCTTCGGCATCCCGGTTTGAGGTGTATTCCGCATGTAGATGGAAGATCAAGGCCTCGATGATATGGTTGTGAGGTTTGGTGTAGTCTGCTGTGATGAGACAATGCGCCATCTGGGTTCGAAAATTCGCCGCCAAATCCTGGCATTTGCCTCGGAACTCTGGCGGTTCATCTCCTTCTCTTCCATAAGACAACATTGCCAGCCGCATCATCGCAAAAAGCATCGCAACCCACACAATCGAGCTCTTGGACGGATCGTTCCAATGCTGGTTGTAGTGCCGTTGGAACGTCGGACCATGCAGGATGTGCGTAGCAGGATCAAAAGTGTTGAAATACCGTCCAATCAAGATATCGGACATGTATCGAGAGGGAATTTGTGCCAGAATCTCGGGCCGACTGGGAGGGATAGTTGACCCAAATAATAACGCAGGCCCAGCACCGACATCTGTACCCATGGATTTCCTTGCTTGCTCAACCTTTTCTATCTGCGCCTCATACTCCTTCTTGTGGGCGACAAAATAGTTCTTCACTTCTCCAATTTCATTCAACAACGCCGCCCAGTGGGCTTCGCCAACATAGAAGGTCTTTTGCGAGTCCGCATCGACCTTGAGGATTCCAAAGCTTTTCGTGACGCCGTCAGTCTCACTCTCGTCTTCCTGGATATCGCCAGTGTCGTCCCCGTCCATCATAGTAGATTCATCCATGTCATTATCGCCATTTGCTGCCATCGACTGGTCCTCGCCAGTGCCAGGACCGGTGGCTGACAAAGCCTGTGCCGCGGCTGCTGGGCCGACTGCTTGCGATCCAGTTGTCATTAGCGACAAGACAAGCCCTTCCAAGCGGTCGATCCGATTCTGCATATCATCGGGAGTCGTGCTATTGGAGTTTTGGCTGTGCCCGCCTTTCTTTCTCGCTGCCGGGGCAGCGTAAGTACACGATGCACTGTCACCTCTTTTTGTACAGTTATCGCATGGCGATTGTCGATTGCACTTCAATTTCCTGTGTCTGCACGGGGCGCATGATAAAGGAATTCGGTTCCGTTTCCGGACCACTCTGAAGTCAGGAGATGCGCCAGAATGACTCGATGCGGCGCTGGGAGGAGTCGGAGACATTGTATATATCGGCTGTCAGGCAGTAGGTTGTTATCTGAAGGGCATCCGGTGCCAAAGGGAAGCGGCGCAGCGGCTTCGTCCGGAGCCTGTCGTGAAACCTGTTTCTCGAGGCAATTCCGGGATCGAATGTTGGCCGGAGCAAATAGGTCGCGTCGATGTCCTCTGACGGGCAGAAGGCGTCACCAAGAAACTGTCCCGTCTCTCGTGAAGGGAATGCGCAGTGCGTGAGAATGGCAGCCTGCGAATGGGAATTGGCACGGACTTAACAGAGATTTATCAGCGGCGGGCCGACAGATTGGCTTAACAAGATCGATATGGCAATATACCAGAGGACTTTGACTCCAACCACCGTCGAAAGGAAGTGTTCAAACTATGTGCGATAGAAGATAGTGAGGAACAGAGGAATTGAGGCAGAAATTAGGGCCACGCAATTGAGAATTGAGAGGAGCAGAAGTTGGAGGGCCCTAGTAGCGTAGGAGAAGGTGCAGGTGCAGGTGCAAAGTGCAGGTGCAGCTGCCAAAACCGGCTACTGCTCAACGGAATCATCACTACCAAGTCGAGATTCGAGATTCAAGCCTTAACGCTCAGGCCTCAAGTATCTCGTATGAGGTCGCTTTTCTCGCTGCTGTTGTACTAGGACTAGCACTCCTCCCATCCACACGCGCAGACATGTCAGCAGTGGGCACTCGGCAATCACCCACCAGCCATGGCCACAATTGGACACGCCTCTTCATGTGGCTGCCAAGCCGAGTCGATGTCGATTCAATCAATCGTGAATCTTCTGCTAGTCGGCTCCGACGGCTTGGGGATAGACAAGACCCTCGGCCCATATGCGTCGACGAGCTGACTGGGCCCCCAAAAGCTGGTTTTCAAAAAGACACGGTAGCGGTGAGCCATGATTGACCAGATCCTTGTGTATTAGAGAAGAGGACTTAGCGATGACTCACAGGATGGCGGCCAAAGAGTTACTAGCGTTTGTGGTTTGCGTCAGTGGATGAATATTCCAATGTTGGCCCGTCTCCCATAAAGGCATTTTTAAAGAGCGATGGGTGGCCTTATCTCCGAACCACATCACATCACGATTCACGACCTTGTGAAAGTTCTCATTCTTCACGGGGCTCCTGACTACCGAGTACGGCAATCCAATGAGAGACAAGCGTGAAGGAAGATCAGCCCACTTACAAGCACCACGGACCTCGTAGTGCTCCGTTTGTGGCTGAGGAGGAAGGACTCGAGGACAGTTGCCAGGCAGTGGTCGAACCAAAATGATGGTCCATGAAGTCAAGTGGAGAGTCAGACATGACAAAGCATGTGCGCGAGGTATGCTGTTGTGTGGCCGTCTGGGAATATACATACTCGCAAGTTCGCAACACAGGATTCCTTTATACAAAGGATTGACACTAGTTGTCCTAGTGCACTTCAGCATGTACGTGTATGCACGAGTACAGTGGTTCGACCACTAGCCACACAGGTAGGCACGCATTCTCACTTAGCAGACACTACCAGTAATATCATTATCTACCGTCCAGCATTGAGAGTTCATACTATTCATAATCGATATAGCCACCGAGACAAAAATCGTGGCCAGTGACTTGACCATGTGCATCCGACAAGCACCTCAGCCTCCCATACGCCTCTCCCTAAGACATCACAAACATACATGAATCTTGGTGCCATCCTCTCAGAAGTCCCAGAAATTCTTTTTGTGATTCTTGTCGTTGGCTTTGACGTTGACCGACTCGTCGCCGCCCATTTGCCAATGACTCTCGAGGCCCTTCTTCAGATGTGACGGTCTACCTGGCGCCTTGAGAGGCTCCGGGGACTCGTCTGGATTATCCCATTGAGAATTCATCATTTTCACAGCCCTCGCATGGTCGCCACCAGGGAGCTTGTTTTCATTGCTGACTTTTTCCGCGGCCGGTGGTTGGTCTGTCATCGTCCAGTGGCTGTCAAAGTCATTTTTACGGCCTTTGTTGTTTGTGATGGTTGCCAATGGTGCCTTTTCTTGCTGTCGCGGGGTGTCGTCCTCGTCATACAGATTATTGGTGTATAGTCCCATTCGGTCACTTGCTGAGCTGGTTGGGCGCCCTGTGCGGCTGGCGGCTGGGGTGTCAGTATCTTTGAACTGGAAATGTGTCTCAGCATCCTTCCGCGGCTTGTGAACGGGGTGTCGTTCAATAGGCGTACCATCGTCTCGAAGCTCAAAGTGAGTCTCGTTATCTCGGCGCGGCTTAGCCCCTCGAGCGGCAGGAGTCTCTGGGTTATTGCCTGCGTTGTCTAGACTGAAATGAACCACGTCATGATCTCGAACCTTTTGCCCTACTTTGGCTGGGGTGTAGAAGTCCTGGAATTCCCACTGAGGCCCATGCTTTGCAGATTTGCCTCTGAATGGTACTGCAGGCTTTGGCTTTGGGGGACTTTCATGATACTGCATGGGGTCGTTCTCGTTGACTTCTCCTATGTCAAAATGATTGTACTTGGCTGGATTCGATTTGTAGGGTACCGCGGCAGGCTCATCTGGGTCATCGCCAAACAATCGAGATGGTGCAAACTTCTGCTGGCTGCGCCCTTTGGGAGCGGTGACGGGAACGTTGACTGGTGCTTTCTTGGGCGATCCAGGCTCGTGATCTTCATGGCCGGCTGCAAAGAGTTCGCTCATTTCTCGAGGAGCGGGTTTTGCTGAGGCCCGGGGTGCCACTGCATTGGGACCACTAAGCGGCGTGTTCTCATCCACCGCCCTCGGTGAGAAAAGATCGAGACTGGCATGTGGGTCTTTGATGTATTTCTTGCTGGGAGATGTGCTCCGCGAAGTTTCAATACTGGGATTCACCGATCGACCACGAGGGCTAGTGCCATCGGAATCCTCAGGCAGACCCGAGCTGATCAGTCGGATCTGGTCCTTGCCATCGAAGACAGGCCAGTTCCTGCCTCTGGATCCGATTACTTCTGCTTGTTTCAACAAAGAACCCTGATCCCACGTGATGCGGACATGTGAAATTTTGCTCTCAGCGTCAAAATACACCATATGAGTCTAGAGCAAGCCTTCCGTGTCAGTGACGATTCAACCAAAAGCTTGCTAGGAATGTAAACTGACCGTTGGAATGATGGCAATCTTGTCTACAATATAGTTCTCCAAGCCAGGGAGGTATGCACCTCCGCCCGAAATAAATTCTAGCACTGTCTCTACTTCCAGCGCAAGAGAATGGTGCCCCTCGATGGCTGAAATCACCTTGGCACACTTTGTCTGCACAATCTTTTTGTTCTGTGTCTCGAGGTGGCGAACGATAGCCGCAGGACTCGAGAAAGAGGTCAGGGTGGTGATATAGTGGAAAGTGGCATCGTCAGACAGGCTGATGGGATTGGGGGCCTCGAGAAACCGTTGATAGATAGATTTGAGGCTCATCTTGACAGACCTGCCTCGCGACAGTGTGATCGCGTCAATGGGAGATTGTCAATTTAGAGCGGGCAATGTCAAGGGAATCCAGTTGAGTCTGGGATACAGAGAGGAGAAAAAGCGATGCAGCGCAGACTGTGTATGAGGTTGGTCGTCCGAAGAAGGATCGCTGTTGTTGTGTTGCCAAGAGGGTGGAAGTGGAAAGAACAAAACAAAGAGAAATGTGTGGGTGGGCTTCAATTGTAGTCAGATCAGCGGGACTTTGGGTTCAGGATCAAAGATGAATCCTGAGCCACTGCAGCACAAGTGAAGGAAATGCTTGTTTTATCTAGAAGCAGTCTACGGAGAGTAATGTGTGTTGTGGTCTGGCGATGTGTCCCTGGAAGCACATTTGAGCGGAAGCAATCAGAAGACGCGTTGCCCCACCAAACCGCGTCCTTGGTGTTTCATGTGATGAGCAGGTGGGCCTTGATTTGGGGAAATTCGGGGGCCACGTTGGGCATAGAGGCCCCTGCAGGCCGACGGCTCGAGAGTTGGGAGTCGAGAGTCGAGGATTCGAGGCTCACAGAAAGAGAACAGACAGTTAGCCTAGGTCTGTTTCATCAAGACCAGTCTGGCAAGGCTGTTTCATCCATCCTCGCCTGCGTGTTACCCTTCCATTCCAAGTAACAAGCCCCCGCTTGCGCAATCATACCTGATCCTCCACTGAACAGGATATTATAGATGTGGCTCAACTCGGGCTCAGGCAGGCGTACGGTGCCCAAGTAGTTTACCTGCTGCCACCATGCGATCATTGCAACTCACCATGGAGGGACGAAGGCATCATTTGCAAACGATAATCCCTCTCTGGTGATGCAGCGACAGGCACTCAACGTTTCCAACACGCAACGATCGAAACCTGCCCGGCAAGTACATTGGCCTGCGAATAGGCTGCTCACGTTGCACTGCTGCCGTCAGAACCCGGACCAGACAAGCAGAACGTATCTAGCAAGCAACTCACCCAAACCATGCAGACGACATTTTTCCAATAGCGTACATGTTACCCACATCGCTACGCAGGCCGATGAGTTGCACTCTCACTGCGGAACCCTTTTCAATAACATCGCCCGACCCATTCGAGTATTGGGGAGGGGTCGCGTCTGGGTTGTGTCGCATGTCTTGAGGAAGATGCTGTGTGCTTTCAATATAGGGCACCTGCAAATTCGGTCAGACAAAACCTACCAGTTTAGAGACGAAAACAGTCAGCGGCCCAGCTTCACAGAAGACGCCTTGCGGTTTAATGGATGACACAGCACAATCGATCTGTAGTGCCAGTTAGAAAGTGTGGTGAATCGTGGGTAGGAAAGTCTTCTCACGGTCTCGCCCTTGAACGGCTTCCACAGAATCGCACGGTAGAGGATGGTAAAGTGCGCCTCGCCCGACCCTGGCCTCACTCTGCCCGGAGAGATATTGTAGATGTCCATGATGCAGACAATGTAATATTCTCCATTGCAGCTACCCTCGAGATCTGCGTAAAGCTGATCTTTGAGCCTCTCATTCACATTGTTACCAAAGAAGGAAGGATGGATACTGATTTCACGTTCTAGATAGCGGAGGAAGAACATGGCTGGGGCTGCTGCTCGGGTCCCGGGCCCATGCAAAGAGGTATGATATTTTATGAGGCTCTAAATCATTCTCTTCGACGGATTGTGCCCTGCCGCTCGTCCTCGCACAGGGAAAGAGGCTGTGCAGGCAGAGGGCAGACGGGGGATCAAGGCGTGGCGCGCGGTTTGGTCGATGGTACTAGTTCGTGGTCGAGAGGGAAGCAATCGCGAGGCCGTCGACAAAATGAGCTTCTGATACTGCTGCTGCTGGTGTTGGTGGTGGTGCTTGTCGTTGCTGGCAGTGTAGGCTGGCTGCCGTTGTATGTGTGAAAGAATGTCGCACTGGCAAGACCCAAAGACTAGCGCAGAGTGTTGCTTACATAACTCATCTGTCACCCATACTGCACCTCCTGTTCTATGCTGTGCCGTTGAGATCGATGCCTGGAGGCCTGAGAGGTCCCCGGATGTGTGACCTTCTGAGGATCCCTCGGGCCAGGCCTTCAGTACCCGGAGCCGGGGTGCACCCAGTAAATCACAGGCTCCTGCAGCATCACATGGCATGAACTGACATGATTGCGAATTTATCCGTGTGCGCCGTTTCCATTGATTGATGACTTCAAACAACTGATTCTCGCCTGACGTCGCTTCCTCTGCTACATACCCACCTACTACTTCTGCGCCTTCTCTCCCTCCACCATTTTTGGTATCTGCGTTGCTTCCTCTCTTTTGTCTCCATGATTTGAGCAAGTCAATTTTGATGTGTGTCCCACACGGTGTATTATCAGTAAACTATGGCTCTCAATCTTGAGAAACAACTTCGTTTCGTAAGTGGCTTCTTCGAGTCTCACCTAGCCTCGACCTGACTTGCTGACTGGGATTTTTCGCAGTATGGCGCTTACCACCATAATCCGGTTGAGTGCCCTACCTAGCAGTCCTCTCACATCAGTCGATTGACAAGAGACCAGGCCAACATCGCCATACACCTCGTTGGGGTCCCCGTGATCCTCTGGACTACTTTTCTCCTAGTACGTGATGGGTCAGAATTTACCCACAGACCACTCCCACTCACATATACCAAGGGTACAAACACTCCGACCTTAATTCCCATACCTGACGCCATCACCGTCCCATGCCTCGACTTGAATGCCGGTACGCTGTTGTGCCTGTCATACTGTAGTCTGTACATACTGCTCGAACCGGTGGCTGGATCCGCCTTATCTGTCCTGTTACTCGCCGGCACGGCATATGGAAAATACCTGACTTCAGTGCATGGAATGACCGCGAATTATTTGGCTGCTGGCGGCTTTGTTACCGCATGGATTGCCCAATTCCTTGGTCACGGTTTATTTGAAGGGCGAGCCCCAGCCCTCCTCGATAATCTCTTCCAAGCTCTTTTCCTGGCCCCTTTGTTCGTTTGGCTGGAGCTTTTGTTCGCTCTTGGGTACAGGCCCGAGTTAAGAGGCCGTGTCGAAAAGATGGTCCTTCAGGACATCACCAAATATCGCGAGTCTCTCACACAAAAGCCCAACGGTTCAACCACCAATGGCCACGCCAAACAGTCTTAGGTTTCAGCCTTCCATATTCTCATATAGGCCAAGGTGTCGGTCATTCACAGAAAAGCCAATATTCCAAACCAGCAGCCAGAATCCTGCAGTTATCATTCTTCTCGACATAAGACAGACACTAAAGTTGGACAATGGGTCCGATTAGATGGCTAACACGACACGACCGATGTGGCCACTGATTTAGTTATCGCGGCGGGCTCGACGGTTCTTGGAATTTTCTCTATCACTAATCATGTGACGAAAATACTCCATCAATCATTCGCTTCAATGGGGTCAAGAACCACCGCAACTGCGGTACCGTTCGAGGGTGATTTAAGAAAGGCATGTACTCCTTGTGCTCATTACTTTTCAATCTCGGATCTCGGATCTCGGATCCCTGCTCTAAGGCGTATTGTCGAAGGCTTCTACCGGATGCTCGGGTGGACTAAGACATTCGTGACATGATGTTACGGAAGTCTTTATGAACTGTTTCACGACTAGAAAACTAAACTTAAGTTCAAGTTCATTCTATCTCCTACAATCTGTTTTTCATCGACTGTCTTGGTCTTTAACCCCGCTCACTTGATGATGTCCTCCTTGTGGTGACCGACTCTGGGCGACAGGATCAATTTTGCCATTGTCCCAGTGCGTAGCTCTATTGGTTTAGCCCTTGACTGTGTCAAACTAATCTTTGACAGTCCTAATTCCAAATATCACGCCAGCATCCCTACCTAGGTAGACGCCCTCTTAGAACCAAGTTAAATTCCACGTCAGGAGTGATGTAATACGATCTTCCAGCAGACCCGCGTCGCTGCCTGTTAAATCTCCAAGCTCCTGTGTCGAGAACCGCGTGTCTATGCTGATGACTTCGATTGTGTCAAAATTGTAATACGACTATAGTGCTCGAGCGCCTGCCTACCTAGCTAGGTATCGACCGTTTAGGCCAAGCTTTCAGCCTTGCCGTGTCACAAGGCTGCCAATCCGCCAGGAACATGTGCGATGATTTCGATCCTTTCCTCTTTTGACATTCTTACTTGATCCATGATCCGCGTAAGAGACAGACCTCAACTTTCCAACGAAGCGGATCACCTCAACGCATCGCAGTCGAGATGGACTGAATTCTTGGTCTTCAAAGTTGCCCTTGGCTGCCCGAGTCGGAAACGCTTCGGGCTCTCCAATGAGCAAACGACATTGTGCGAACATTAAATCAGGCTCCACACTAATCATATGCAGATGAACAAGAACATGAGGTAGTCTGACCAGCGGCACAGTGGTATCATTTCACAGTCAGGCCATGGATATCCCTTCCACCGATGAGGAGTTTCGCAGTGCCATCCAAGCTCTGCAGGCTTCGACAAAGGCGATCGAGCATCAAACTCGAATCATCAACTCTCAAGCAGCTTATTTGAAAAATTGGAAAACAAGTGACGACGCGGCCGACCACCGCAGATCCTCTCACGCGTCTTATCTCAGCCAGCGAGAGGCGGCTGAAATTCAGCATGTCACGTTTGTGGTAGAACTCTCCTTCATTGACCATTTCAGTTCGTGTGCTAAATGCGAGGGCCAGAACGAACAGCTTTTAGATGATCTACGTGCCGACCTCCAGTCTGAGAGCGAAAGCATCGCGAAGGATGTCAAGTCTGTCCATTCAGTCGTATCCCAGGTGCTGAACGCGGATGACCGTGCCCTGGCTAAGCTGAACGACCGCACGACCCGGCATCCAAACCCAACAATTGATACTGGTGATAAGGTGCAAAGGGTCACCCAATTAGCATCCGCTCTACAATATTTTCGAGTCCAAGTGGTCAAGGATCGTCTGGACTACACTTATTTGCGAAGACTGAATGAACTTTCGTCACCAGAAGGCGAGGAATCTATGCGGGATCCTGCTGTTTCATCCACGACAGTCAAAGAAATCCAACAGGATCTTGGTTCGCTCTATGATGAGATCGACGATATCGTGACCATGGCTGTCCGCCACGAGCACACAGGTCCGATCGGAGCTACGTTGCATCAAATAGATGCGGCTTGGGAAAGGCAGGGGAAGGCGATGGCCGAACAAGTATGTATATTCGTTGTGACATGGCTTCTTTGCTCTTACTATAGCCAGCTACCCATGGCATTATCCTCGACGACAGCTGACTTCTGTGTGGAATACAGGTACACAGCCGACTGTCGACTCTGACCGAATCGCTCGAGCAGCTCTCGTCCAGGCTCGAAACCATCCATAGCCAGCGTACGATACTACGGAATCTCGCCTTGAGGACTGAATCCCTACAACAGCAACCAAACCCGCCAGCACGTCGCCTCGCCAGAGCGACTCGAGCAGGAGGGGCCTCAGCGGCAGAGACAGGACCCACCGACACCAAAGCACAACCCGCCCTCTCCAAGCTCCTACAGCACCTCTCCCTCCACGACACCACTAACCCAGCACCCAGCCAAATCCCACACCCACACCCACTGCCCACCGCCATCCAAAAACAGACGATCAGGCTGCAAACCGAATCCACCCAGCACGTATCAGAGATCCTGACGGCATCGGAGAAGGCGGCCACACGCCGTCGCGAGATCCTCGACGCCGTCGCTAAATGTATTGTCGGCGAGACGTCCGAGAAGAACGCGCGGGATCTCGGAGATCTAGAGGCTGTGGTCAACGGCGCCAGGCTGCGGATGGAGAGAAGGGCGTGATCCATGGCGATTGGTTTTGCAGATATACCTGTTAAGGCGGATAGGAGAGCTTGAAAGGCTAAACTAGTCAATGGAAAGGCGAACGTTCACATGTGAGCAGCACAATGGAACGAGGAAAAGATGGTTATTCGGGCCCAATAGCACCCAGCTGGCATGGCACGACACAGCCAGACATACATAGAGATCTTCTTTCATTTGTATTTGGCATTTTTATGGCACTGCTCGGACCAGCTCCAGGCGGTTTGAAATCAGGGAGCATGATGGAGGAATGGATTCTGTATCTGTATGTGTTGGCAAGCGCGAGCTATAAATCCCGGTGCTTTTCGCACGGCATTGCGCACACACTTGGCAGGCTTGCGGATGGGTAGTATTACCATACTACCAGTAGCCTGGGAGATACCGATGGCGTGAATCCGCTCATGCAGTGATGGTCGACCTCGCTTTCCGCTTTCGTGGATCCACCAGTGGCCCTGAAGCTGACGGTGGGCTTTTCACGCCATTCGCTCCCGGAGCCCCCTTCATGTGATTCTCGGTCTTGGAGGCAATCGCAGGTTCCTCTTTCTTCCCTTCGGTGTTCTTCTCCAGGAACCCTGGCCTCCACTTGGTGAGGACTTTCACCGTGGCACTCTTCGCCTGTGCGTCGCCCTCATGCCAAATCGTCTCTATCGTGTCCAACACCATATCCCGTGTCGGAGGCCGCATCATCAACAGGTACTGCATCGATAAAATGCACATGCTGATACGCTCTGGATCTCGCGATAGCGTCTTGATCCTATCCAGAATCTCACGGTCGATAGATGGAATTTCGGATAGAAATCGGATCAGGAGGTTTTTGTCTCGCGCGTCGAGGTAGGGGAGTAGTCGGTCGATGACGCGGTTGACCCAGCGAGAATAGTTGGGTAAGTGTTTGAGCTCAGGCCGTACTTTTGCCGTCAGCTTATCTGCATACCACTCCTCGGTCAACCAAGATATAGCGAGATTCAGCCGTTGTCGGAAGTCATCAAGAATGTACATGAAGAGTGTCTGCCGAATGCGGTTTGCAGTATTTGGCTCTTCAACATTGTGGTTTTCTGATTTGATCACCTTGTTGCTGTCCGGATCATCCAATAAGCTGTTTGCGAGATCGTCCAGGCCGGAGGGGGCACGGGTTGCGAGGCGGATTAGAATGGTTGCCCAGGAATCCCTGTCATTTCCGCTTGCAGCCAGTCGATTGAAGCCTGGCTTCTGCCTGACTTGTAGCTGCTCCCTATTGTCGAGAGATGCAATGAGCTGGACAACATGAGCAATGCTCTGATCTGATACGACCGCAACTTCATCAGTAGTCAAAGGAGGGGGTTTGGGCAACTCGAATGGACCCAGATCGATGGCAGGTTGGATTAATTCATCAATGGCCTTTCCAGATGCGGCATCCATCCCCGAGTCCGCGCTAGCGACAAATTCAGGGTCATAGTCGTCTTCGTCATCAATGCCCGTAGGTCCAGCCATAGGGATTTCTGGAACGGGAGTTGGTTGAGTGACCTTTTGAAGGTGTGCATATCTTGCGCGAATTGCTTCAATGGCGAGATCCAACGAAGTTGAATCAACATGCTGCAAGAATACTGCTGTAACGTCACTAACGATATCAGCCGGAAGTAGTGTTACATCAAATTGTTTGAGATTGGGATCCTCAGTCAGGGTGAAAAGTTGAGCAAATGAGTTCGGGGGCGGTGGCATAGCGGGATAATTGCGTTGGCCGTCCATGAGTCTTTGCCTCTTGGCATCATCAAAACCGTCTGTTGGCTCAGCAGGACGCTTCTGGGCAGTACTGTCGGAGAAAACTGCGGTGCGTGATTGTTGAAGTCGCATTAAGTACTGCTGGATCTTTTGCTCCATTGGGTGATTTGGTACGGCGCGTAGTACCCATCTTAACAGAGCCCTAGTTGTCCTCTCCATGGATCTAATCATGACCAGGATTTTGGGAGTCATGGGTGAGTTTGCTTGCTTCAGAGGGTTGAAGTTTAAAATCGCTGAGATGATCTTTGTAGCAATCGGGGGCCGAGTTCGGATGAGAAGCGCCAGGCAATTCAGCGTTGCGTCAACAATAATGGGGTCCCTGAGTACGTTAGTCTCCAAACCGGCGGTGGCTTTCATTGCGTACGTTGAATTCTCTTGAAATACACTAAGCAATCTATCCAACAGGCCAGACGCTTCGGCCTCCAAATTAGGTAATTGTAGCAAAGGGTGATTTCGAGGGACGAGGGCAATAGACGTTTCGTTCTGGTCGGGACGCTGAAGAGGTGTCAGCATCACATTGAAGCAACCAAATGACTGGATGAGGAACTCACTCTAGGATCAGCGATTAGGCCTGGGGTTTCTACTTGGACGACTTTTTGAACAAATTTGATAGAGCATATTCTGATAGCGGGAGGGGCTGAATCCATGCGTTGCAGAATGTTGAGTTTGATGGAGCTTAAATCCTGCCACAGAGAGGCCTCATTGGGGCGGGAGATGCTAAAGAGATAGTGTTAGAGACAGGGCTCAGCCCAGAGGCCTAGCTGAGGCCTAAGGCATGAATCACGTACATTCGTCTGAAGACCAGTGGATATAAACTAGCTGCAGCTTGAACAGCGCTTCTGACCACGGACACATCCTCATGCTGATTTTCTAAAATGCCTCGCAAGGTTGGTATAACTTCGATGGATAATTGCTCCTTTTGATGAGGGGGCACGGAGGGACTGGCAAAGGCTTCGGCCAGGAAGTCTGCGCCCCATCTTCTCACTTCAAGGTGGGCATTTGGACCGATGATGGGTAGAATGCCCGGGAGGACTTGGTTGTACACCTGAGGATCCCCAAGAGCGAGTTTACGCGCCGCCTCTAATTGGGGGATCATGTCGGCAGCAGGAGTGGCTGCGGCGGCCATGTTGGATACGCGGTCGGTGGTTCAATGGACAGAGAGCACTATCAGATGGCAGATGCAATGATCGATCACGGATCTACAAGAGAAGGGTAGAGCTGGCTGGTGATGTGCTTGAAGGAGTCGTTGGTGGTCGGCATTGGTTGACTTGAATGGAACGAATGGTGGTGTCGTGTGTTGCGCAGTGGCTGAGAGGGTGGACTATTAAGACACACGCGAGAGACGCGTGAGAAGAGCGAGAGAGTATAAAGTAGTATACAGAATCAACTGAATAAAAAACTAAAATGAAGAAGTGAGGCAGTGTGAAGATGAAGAATGCGATCCTTTGCAAGTGCCAGCATTGACGTCGAGATCCGAGCGCAGTCCGCAGATCACGGGCCTCTGCCCAGTTTCTAATGACAGTCATTTCATTGCTTGGCATCAATCTGGTCCCTCGCCTCATGATCGCAGTCTCTCGTCCCGCCAGGCTGAGTCCACGACACCACCGATCCCTGAAACTCTCCTATAAGACGAATCTTTCTCAAAGCCCGATCTACTCCTCCACTTTCTCATCATCCAGGCGCCGAAATGCATCCCTCTCGCCGGGCATACGTGGAGGAGGAGCCTCAGGTAAGCCCCAACTGCCACACCCACCCGAGTCTGCATTGATATTCACAATCTACAACAAGGCCCGAATATTCATGAGGAGCAAGAGTGACAAGCGAGTATCGAACACTGACGGATATGGCTGAATAACAGGATGTCGAAATGGGCGTCGACCTCACAAACATTCGTATGCCTCTCTCTCCCCGGCCCTGCCCCTGCTTGCTGACTGACTTGCCTCTAGCAATTGATCGCAACTATGACATGCCTTCAGGAGCAACTGGGCTTGCTCCCGGAAATGCATCTGCCATCCTATCACAATTCGACCGAAAACGCCGTTTGGCCCAGACTGCAGTCCCTACCGACGATGGAAAGGTTAGAGCGAGCCTTCGTGAACGTGGCCAGCCTGTCACTCTTTTCGGAGAAGGCCCTGCTGATCGGAGGGACCGTCTGCGTGAAATGCTTCTTGAGGAGGCCGAGGGGCTTGATGGGGCCACTACCGATGTTCAGATGCAAGAGGCAGATGACCAAGCCGATCAAGAGGAGGAGTTTTATACCGAAGGACTGCCTGAACTTCTCCAGATCAGGAGAGATATTGCAAAATACTCCCTCCCGAGGGCAAGGGACAGAACTGCAAGACAGAGAGAAGATTCCACCATCCCCCTCCGCACACATATCAAGCATCGCAAAACAATAAAAGAGAAACTGCATGGCTTTGAGCTTTTCGGTACTCAAATTGCAGGGGAACGCCCGGTTAGCATTACTCGCTTTGCTCCCAATGGCGAAATCATCGCCGCTGGCAACTGGGGTGGTGGCATTAAGTTGCTGGATGTGCCAAACTTGAACGAAAAAGCCACGTTGAGAGGTCATAGTGGAATTGTTGGTGGTCTCGCTTGGTATCCTGGCTCAACTTTGCCCTCTTCCACTGTGTCATCAGATTCTCTGAACATCGCTAGTGGTGCTGGTGGCCAAGGTGGCTCAAGTGAAATTCATTTCTGGAATTTGAACAAAGATACTCCAATCTCCACGCTTCAAGGCCACACAGATCGTGTCTGTCGAGTGGAATTTCATCCCTCTGGCAAATACCTGGCCTCGGCATCCTTTGATACAACCTGGCGACTGTGGGACGTCGAAACGACCACAGAGCTGCTTCTGCAAGAGGGCCACTCTAGGCAGGTCTTCACAGTGAGTTTCAATACCGATGGCTCATTATTGGCCAGTGGAGGTTTTGACAGCATTGGCCGTATTTGGGATCTGAGGTCAGGGCGTACAGTCATGATTCTAGACGGTCACATCAAGGAAATATACTCCCTTGACTGGGGTATTGACGGACATCGCGTACTCTCGGGATCTGGAGACGGCTTCGCCAAATGTTGGGATATTCGACAAGTACGCGCCGTTGCTTCAATTGGTGCTCATCATGGCAACGTCTCAGACCTAAGATGGTTCAAAGGAACCGACGCCAATGTGTCATCTTTGGTAGAATCAGATGGGGTCAGACAAGAACACAGTCCACGGAAGGCGGGGACCTTCTTCGTTTCCAGTGGTTTTGACAAGAATGTCAACATCTACTCAGCCGACGACTGGGCACTCGCGAAGCAGTTAAGTGGTCACTCTGGGAACGTCCTCAGCGTCGATGTCACGAATGATGCCAAATGGATCGCGAGTAGCGGTCATGATAGGACTGTGAAATTATGGGGCCGTGAGGATGGACAGGGCATTTGAAAGACTACCTGCTCGTCACAGCCTGTCTCATACGCCTCTACCAGCGTTTGAATCCACCTCACCTTGTGGAGGCTTTAACCCCTCGCTGAAAGAAACACGAGCAAACGCAACTTGATCACCACTATTCGGAGCTGTCAATGACACTCAGTACGATAGCTAAGGTCACGCTTCAGATGAGAGCAGCAATAGCTGACTCTGCTATCTGCACCGTGAGTAATAAACTTGTCATATCCTGTCTACCACTGCTTGATTCGGAACTCTCAACACCTGTTCTTGCGCCACATCTTTGCCTCCAAATTGCAAGCCTCTCAAGCACAAATATTGGACAGTATGGCCCATCACATTGCACACCTGCTCTGCAAAGAGTTCGAACCCAACGCAGACTAGCAAAGTGGTTTGAGTCTATTCACAAACGCCCGTGACCCTCAACGATATGTCACTACGTCTCCCTTCGTCAGTGGACGAACACTCTTGCTCAGTCATCGCCATAATTGCTACTTGCAGCTTCAGAGACTATTAAAGGCTCGACAATCTGCCTTCTCTCTGATTAAGTCTTTTATTTTATGCGCACTTAATTCCCTTGGAAACTTTGTCAAGCAGAAAAGCCCGCACAATTTCCTGAATTGACTGATTTATCGGAAGCATAAAGCCGTTTCGGCAAGGTCAAATATCTCCTTCGTATTACACCCTGATAGTTCAGGCCAAACCTCGACCCATCATCAGCAACAATGTGCAGAAAGACCATCATCAGATGGGCATGTAAACATACACGCGATTACCTAGAGGGATGCGACGAACCCAACCATCAATCCATCGAAGATTATCCGCCGCGGAGCAAGAAAAATGCTTATACTGCAAGTCAAGGAAGCCCCAACCACAGGCTGGTTGGGTTTGAGCTAGCTGGAACTTCGCCTGCCACTCTGGTGTATAAAAGCGCGAGAGTGTGTACTACCTGATTTTGGCCAAAAGTGCTTGATGTCTGACCAGGTACCCGACGGTTCATGCCTATGTATTGGCAAATTTTCACAAGACACCATTTGGAAGATTTCTCTCGAAATTCACGTTGTGTTCGGCTTTTGGCGTGGTTGGAACGAGTTGCGGGACTGGTGGCGGATAGCCCTGTATAGCACTTCTGCCTCTTCGGACAGAGGCACATGAGTCCTGCTGGTTGTATATGTTGGCCGGAAATCGCAGCCCAGGTCGATTTCACTTCTACTCTTAGAACAGCGTTCACACCCTGTCACCGTCCTTTCCTAGTGCATGTTGACAAGTCGGTGTTTAGGTGTCGCATTTGAACCGTGAGCCAACTTGGCTTTTTATCTTTTACCACTCTATCCTGCTCAAACTCGATCCTTCCTTCCTTTCATTTACTGAAGAACCCATCGAACCACGAGTTTCCTCCAAGATTCGCAGAAAAACACTGCACTTCAACGAACCGATCTGATCCATACCCGTTTATTTCACAGAAACCTTGAAAAGCCATAACTTTCCCACTGGGGGAGTCGCTCGAATCTCGCCCGGTTCACTGCTCAGAAACCGCGAAAATCCTACATCCTCAGATACAATCGCAAGATCCAGTTTTATCGAACTAGTGCTCATGTACAATGTGTGTCGACTTTTACTGTACACACTCCTGCGGTCATTCTTGTTGGACGGGCAGAACCATATGTTGGACTTCGGAGCCACATGGCATCTCAAGGTCCGACTATAACACCCCGGGGCCTTGCTACCAATGTCACCAACTCAGAGGCAAGCTCTGAAATCCGAGAGATGGGTACCCACTGCACGAATACCTTCTCGTTCTTGCCTTGAGTGAGGGAAGGCTCTCTACTTTGACACTTTTCGTACTGGGGTATGAGTGAGATATGCATAATAGCAAGTCGAAAGTGCTTTTTTTGCCAGATCGGCTGCAGCCTGCAGACATTGATGTTCAATATCCGACCCATCAAACTCAAGAGAACATCACATGATTAATCGTTGAAGTACAGTACTTAGACTGAGGACGCTGATCGAGAACAACGAGACTGCAAGTACTGGGTGATTTCAAGCTTCTACCATGACAGGTTGGTGATCTACATGATCCTATCGGATTTGAAGAGGCAAATGTCCAATACTATGGGTGCAATGATGAATTCAAGGCTTGATGTGGCTCAATGTCCAAAGAACCAACAGCTTGAGTTGTGTCGAACCTTATGATCGTCTCAATCCGGGACAGTTCTCCTCTTCCATTAGATGATGCCCCCAAGGAAGAGAAACTATTGTCCACATCCGTTTGCCAGACTGTGCAAGGTCGAAGTGACCAACGACTGTCACCACTCCAGGCCAGAATGATTTAACGGCACTCGTCAGTCGCCCTTGGTATCCTGACACTTCGAGCGATACCATCAACCTGTGAGTCAATCATAAAGAGGTCATACTCCGATCTCAATTGTCCTTGCTACCATCACCATATTTCTCGAGGATCTCCCTAACTAATTCCATACTTTAAGTCGCATGAATACCTCGTACAGATGATCGCCACGCCCATCGGTCCGCCACTTCGCATCTATTCTCTGGGTTCTCCACTGCGGTCAATCTCCACCAAGGCTACCCACGGCAATGTGTGAGCAAAGAACATGCCATTACTACTGCGGGTGCACCAAAACCTTTATAACAAAGTGTCAAAATGCTGGAGAGTGCAAAGTTTCTAAGACCTGGTCTGACTTGAATTACGAGTGCAATAGCAAGGGATGTCCACAGAAAATTGCTAAGAACACCCCAAAATCCAAATGAAACAAGCTTGACAGTGAATTGCCTGATACATATCGTTTTCCGCGAGGCTGGGTGGGGCTGTCTGTCGTGGCACAGAGAGCCTGACGCCAAGTCGAGTATAGAGAGTTGGACGGAGATTTGCCGAACGCGCCTGTCAAAAATGCAGAGTCTAAGCCATCATTGCAGCATCAGAAGTTTTTCACAATGCTAGAAGCGTCACGAAGCCATTTCGACAACTTACTTATTTTCGGAGGTCAAGCTAAGCTGACACCATGGCGGGCACTACCCGTAGATGCAAGCAGCAAAAATTCGAGAAATTGGCTGTCCGGATTCTTCAAGGGAGGGCAAAGGCGGACCTGTACACAGTCGACTGGTCAATTAGTCAGTGGGGCTGTGAATTCTTAGCTACTGTTATTCCAGAAATACAGAAATCCAAACAAAATGGCCCCCAACATCAGTGTCTGTTGCTTCCCCGCATCCCCCGCCCCCTGACTCTCACAGCCTTGCCTCCACACAAGCATTTCACTGTGTAGCTCTGAGCGTCGTCACCATCAGCATCTCGAGAGCACCGCACTCTATAATCAAACAGACAAGTTACATGCATTGTAAACTTCCCCTTTAAAAGCAACTTCGACAATGCGATCATATTTAGAGCCCGTGCCAATGACTGATTGCGCTACATACCTTTTTTTTCTGTTTCATGACACATCTTTCGAGACTCCTGTCAAAATAGACCAAGGCAGGTATTGATATCATGGCAAAGGTAATTTCTTCCAAGTCAACCAATATAGTTGTCAGTCTAATTCCAGTATCTTTTCGCACGTGTATCATCACACAAATATATATAAGCCCTTATGCTCTCTGTTCTCTCAGATCTTGCGACTAATCCAATACGCATCACCACTTATCAGTATCTATCTCAAAATAATCATCGATGATCACTCTCATATTACCACCGTCCAACCTGCATTTATCTGCCCGCGCAATCACCACCAACAACTGGTTGGAAAGAAGCTTGAGTTTTGATGTGTTTCTTCCAGCACTACAAATATCCGGGGTGTGGGTGAAGTTGGGGGCGAAGTTGTGGTGACCACACACCAAGATGACATTCAAAGGAAAATACCATTTTCTGAGCAACTCGCCACCATTGGAAGGAGCTCTAGTCAGTTACGTGGGAGATATGGTAGACAGTAACTGTATCACTTCTTTTACCATCAAACTGTCTGGGCTAGGCCTTACTTTCGCATGTGCTTCACGACTAAAAGACACAGACACAATCATGCTCTAATCCCATATCAATATCCATGATTTCTATCTACAGTGGCCCAATCATCATCCAAGTCCCAGTCAGGCCGTATCCCACCAACATGAGTTGGAAATAAATTTAGAACAACTGGGCGCCGCAAGTCCAACACCAAGCTCATCTCTTATACTCGAGAGCACGTGAACAACCCTTATCACTATGCATGGGATCATGTTGACCGTCCGGTACAAATAAGTATTTGAGACATTCGAAGCTCTATATTGATTGGAAAGTCACCCTGTAGAAATTCCAGGGCACCGAGTGACACGAGACTGTACTACATGCTTCACACTTCACACCATCTCGACTCCACCGATACATCACGGCGATTCTTCCTGTTCTTCATGGCATGATGAGAATTCGAGTGTCATCAGCAGCCACATCGGCCACAGAAAAGAACAATGATATCTTTAAATTCCCCAACTGCTCTTAAATGCTCTTTTGATCTACTTCTCATATCATATCCGAGAACTCTCAATTTCTTGAAACACTACAATCCCATTACTGCGAATTCGACTACCCTCGTTCAAACGACTACAAATTTTCTAGGAATTCTGAAGCCGGGCCTACCTTGGGAATTTGAAGAACGCCTAGCGTGGTCTATCTACAAGACATGTGCAAAAAAGTTGCTGTACTGTATCCAGGGTGCGGGTGTGAGGTACGCTTGGATACAGCCTCATGTGGAAAATACCCAAAATGCACGATCAATTTTTCCACTGAGAGAGTAAGTACCATTTGCCCAAAATGTGGACCGCCCAAACCACTGGCTCCAATTCCAAACATGCCCAAGAAGGTGCGGAAGAGGAGTCACAAGTAGTATGGTTGGTCTGGAGGGCCGAGAAGCTTCCATGCTCCAAGGCCGGCGAGGCAGGCTTGGTGGACGGAATTACACCCGACTCCACATAAGGAACTCATGCATAGCCTTGATCGATGGAAATACATGAACTTTGGTGGCTGGGTTTCAAGGCACATATTTTGTCTCATAGATCTGAGAATCTTGGACCAGCATATTTGAGCACTCTTAAATTTAGCCAGTGATCTGTTGATGTTGGGCCCCTTTTGTTTAGATTAGTCTACAAGGGCATCGCCCTGACCTCAGAACCAAAGTCTTTTAGTCTAAACAACTTGCTTCAGGCCGTGTTGGACTTCTTATAATTTCAGGCGTCCCCAGCCTCTCTTGTTTAGATGTATATGGCACTCTAAGCTAGGGGCAGCTAATCTATTCAACCTGTCTAATAGGGCGTGTCTTGAGCTCCCGTTGTGACAGTAATAGTGATAAGATTATACATTTGAATCGCATATCCAATTATGTGCCATCTTGTTCTGTTCTCTTCGAATCAGGGTTCTTTGTCGCTCCGCCTCAACGCCCCAACAGGTCGTACAACACGAATATATGAGTAATCCCATGAAGTCGGTGATTAGTTGGTGACTCTGATGGCTTGCCAATCATTTCAAAGTACATGCAAAGTATAACTTCCAACTTTTCAATGCTTCTCTATTCTTTTCTGTCACATGACGACGCCAAGGCGCTCTGCACCTGCAACCCACTCATTACCACCCCTCACTTAACCCTCACCACACACACTCTCTCTCTTCCTTTTTAGCTAGACAACATAGAAGATGACACAGTCATAATACTTGTTACTCATTGAGAGTGGCTCTTTCACCTATTCTTGCTCTGTCCTATTACATTTTCCAATTTCCCACCCGCTACTGGTCAATTTTTCCACGAAAGGGTTCATCCAGAGGCGTCGTGTCAGCAACTCAAGACTCGATTTCAAGCCCCATCTGATCATACAGATAAATTTTCGTATTCACTCCTGGACTCCCGAAGGAGTTGAGATAAAATTTGCATAAGACACAAGGCAACCTATCGATGCCGTCATGAAAAGGTTTCCGTTAACTTCTGCAGAGACCGACACCGGCCGGGCCATGCCATAAGATCCACTAGCTCCGTGTCACCTGTGAGGTGCTACGAGTGTGAAAGAAGATAGTAGCGAATCATTTCCGACAGGAAATATTGCGACGATTTTGATATCAACTCCAGAGGTGTGAGATTATGCGCTGTATCGGGATGGGGATGACAAATGCAAACAATAGCGACAGGTTGCCCTTGGCCCTTGGGTTCTGATGCTCGAAACCATATGATAGATTGAGTTCCATACTTTGGCATTATTCTGATCTGTTTTCAACTCAAAGCATTGCATTTTCTTGTCGTTCTGAAGACCTGAGATATCTGCCTCAATCAACTAGCTCACCGTTATTCTCCGTCTCGCTCATCCCTTCTCATAGGTGACATTAGTACTATTCTGTATCATATGAGTATATCGCCCCTTTTATGGAATCAGCTGTAAATGGTAGTCACGCTTTCTCAAGCTGAGATTCGGTGATTGTCTTTTCGTTTGCGTGAGGTGATATTGATGCTTCGCTCACTCTCCGGATCCTCTCGTCGCCAGGAGAGCGGACGGCAGCCATTTCCCTGTCTAGTGCTTCCCTCGCTTCAGGGGTGAGATTCCTTATATCCAGCGCAACATCATCGCCAAAAAGACCTGCTATCTCCTCCAGAGATAACAGCTTTGTCTCAGGGAAGAATTTCCACATCAACCATGCACCGAGTATGGGGAGGATGATAAAAAGGATGTAGAACTTCCAGCCCACCTCCGCAAACGCCACAGGTGCTGACTGGGTGTAAATTAGAGTTGCGGTGAACAGTCCACCGACACTAAAGCCTGTTCCCTGAGCTCTCAGGGGTGTGGGAAACAATTCCGAACAGTATACATACGAGGTAGCTTCCATGCAACCGCCATAGAATACGACGAAGAGGAACAAGAAGAATACGCCAAAGCCGGTTGCCGGTCCGGCTGTCTGTGTCGCCGAATGTGGCTACCATGGCCGTGAAACAAATCAAAGAACACGCACAGCCAGTCTGTCCATGATTAGACTCTGAAAGATACATTGAAAGGGCTGTAGCTTACCAGTCCAATCAGCATTATGCGGACTCTGCCAAGACGATCGAGGACAATGGAGTTAATGTAATTCATGAAAGCCGCGATAGAGTTGTATATAGCATTTAAGAGAAGAGGTAGCGATCCAGTTATCCCGAGAGACCTGTAAAGCAGTATTTGGTAATTGTTCACGACTAGCACACCTGTGCTCTGAGCTATGAACTGGGTTCCAAAGCCGAGAAGAAGCCTTTTTCGATAACTCGGCTTCTTGAAAAGGTGTCCCCAGCCCTTGTTGATGTTTTCGGCGCGTTCAAGTTCGATCTGCCTCTGGATTTGGATGAACTCTTCCTTTGCTGTGGTCTCGTTCGGATCTTCAGGACGATTGTGCAGCTTGCGAAGGACCGCGAAACCTTCTTGCGAGCGATTCTTGTCAATCAACCATCGAGGAGATTCAGGCACCCTAAAAATGAGAAGAGTGTAAGTTAGAATGGCACAAGTGGGTTGGGGCCCAGAACCTACCAAGGAGAACCAAGGAACAAGAAGAGAGGGGCAATGATCTGCAAACTGAGACAGAGTCTCCAGCTTACAGTGGGTGATGCATAATACGTTCCAAATCCAGAGAAGCCAGCCATGCTGTAGCCGATAACAATGAGTACACCGTGTGCACCAACCATACGGCCTCTTTGATGGGCGGGAGAGATTTCAGATTGGAAGACCGGGATAGATACATCCAGCATGCCAACCGCAAGGCCATTGAGAAAGCGAGCGATCAAGAACATGACAATATGAACACTCCCGGACTGTAGACCAGCCGAGAGAATGGCTAGCGCAGCGCTGATTTGGATTGTTCGACGACGGTCGAGACGGTCAAGCAGCCATGGAACAAGAGCACATCCTATAATGCCCCCTCCAGAGTAGAGACCATTGGTGGCTCCAGCAATCTGGTTGCCGCTAGTATCTTCTAAGCTGATGTTGAAGTATTGGAAAAATGCTGGAAGGCCGATGACGAGGCCCATAATTCAATACCGGTCAGCTTTACAGCAACGAGCACGACAACATATCTAGGGAACACACGCAGAGTTGAAGCCATATGTGAAACTGCCCAAGGCCACGAAAAAGACGACCAGAAAGTTGTATCTAGTTCCTCCGGCCATCCTGAAGAGAAGCTTCTGGGGATCAACCCCGGTTGCAACGAGCAGTGAGAACTGAGAGAGCACGCAGTGCTTACTACTTTGTTCCTTGCAGATACTAGGTATCAGGCGGTGTCTCCCATGTTAAAGTACCTTTTCCTTGTACCGCAATCTCCCCCAAATCTAGGTTTGATAAAGATCGTGATTTTACCCCAATGCCCTCCTGGTTGCCTAAGCCCGGGGATGCTATCATATCCACCGGAGAGTACCTAATTCGGCGAAGTCCTCGAGTGGAAATTGCAGCGAATGATGATCATCCGAGGAATAAAAGCCCAACGCTGTATTGACCGTGCTTTTCACATCCATTGCCGCCCCTCGTCCGAGACTAGATGCTGGTGTCGCCAAATGAATACTCTGGTGTTACGGGAATCCTCGCCGAGGGAATGACAAAGCCTCCGGTGTGTTGTCATAGGCTATGACCCCAGACATGCCCCATTTGAGTTCCTCGGCCAGTAAAGAGACACTGAAAGCGATCTAAGTTGGAGCCTTTCATGGGGTATCTACCTGAATTCTAGTAACACGCGACTTAAGGTTCAAATTATGGTGCAAATCCTCGGAGAATTGGGGTTTCGGCTAGTCCTCATCACAGGCGAGATGAGCCGTCGGATCGCTCAAGTCATAATGAGAGGACCAAGAATAAATGGCTTCTGGTTATCTAGGAAGGCGACATGTTTCAGTGCTGTCCCTCATACGCAGGACATTGTCTCCATTTGCAGAAGAGTATTGGTAACTTCTTTCTTGCTTCATCCACTGTGACAGCTTAGAACTATGCAAGTTCTCTTCGGGATTTTGGACCAGGGTCAGTTTTGTGGATTGATTCACAGGGACAGGGTGTATCGTCTTCATGGAGTGGGCCAGAAATACTGACGCTCGGGAAGACTCGTGGTCTGGTGACAGCCCAGAAGAAATATCCGACCACTTGACCCGAAGGGTTTCCATCTCTTCTGAAATTCCGGGCTCAGTGATCTAGATTCTGGCCTTGTTACTCGCTGGCGCTCCAGCATAGTATCCTACTTCGCGCCCAAGAGCCTTGTTTAATGTACTTAGCAGACCTATAACCATCTCTTCTGAAAACCCAAAGGCGCATAACCTGGAGACAGATTGAGGCATGTTTGTACTTGTTCATGGGACTTACATTTCGACCGCATCTTAGTATCACCGTCCGACATGGTTACAATATTTTACTCAGGCTTGATGCCATGGAGAACAGGATCAATAAAACTGACCGGAATTGTCGCACATGTCCAGTCCAAAAGGTTTGACAGAGCTTCTGTGGATATTAATCGAAGATCCCGTGCGGGGAGCCGATTCACCTCCCGTGGGCAGGATGAATACGTCAACTGGTCTACCACTGGGTGTGAGCGTGCTCGTTGACCTCCATTTATCCAGGTACTTCTGCCTCATTGTGCTAGTTTCTCTGCTGGCTCCAAGATTCGACCCTCAAAGGGCGTCCTCTGGCCGCACTGACATGATCTCCTCAATCAGTGGCTCTTTTGATTGCGAGACAATGTTGTTTGCAGCTTCTCCACCAGATTTGAATAACTTCATACTCGTCTCCAACGTCCTCATGCTCAAAGAAAGGAATTTCCACAACATCATACCCGGCTACACGAAGAGCTTCGATTGTCTGCCTGAGGCCTCTTTGGATGGGTGGATGATGTGTCACGGCTCTATTATCGTTTTCTTGATGCTATTTCTCCCAGTTCTCACTCCAAAAAATCCCCATTTTGTTCTGATAGCAAACTAGAGTGCCCCGTAATTCTAGCGGTCGCAATTCAACGTTCACCAATTATCGACGACGGAACTTTTCCTCCCCCAGACAAATATCAACCAACAATTCACCATAGTGCCAATGCTACTAATTGCTGTTGTCTTCACTTGAACTTAAGTACTTAGACTCACATGAATCCTCATTTAACTCCTTGATCGCCGGGGCCTCAATGCTTATGCCTGACAACTTATTGGTTCTCAAAGGTTAGAGCCTGGACAAGAAATTGCCACGCATGGAAGAGCTTCCTAATAGCATGCCTGTTTTCTAGATAGTACTATAGTAGCACATCCACCGCTTTAGGGAACTCCTACTATTTGAATTTTGGGTATTCCTATCCCTGGACTGCGTCCATCTAAACATTGATATAGACGTACTTTTGCATCGATGGCGTTGTCGGGGAAGACCGGAAAGAGTCAGGTTCAGCATTTTCGCAGCCTAGTTTGAGACTGCTGTAAGTACTTCTCTCTTGTCAGCGATGGTTTTTCCTGTAGTCCTAACACTGACGGGTAGTTGAGATGTCTGAGTCGGCCCGTTTCTTCCAAAGACACATTCCCTGTGTAGCAGTGGTGGTCTTCTCGACTGGTTGCTTGGGCGCCCATGGACACATCATGGACATTTCCTCGACAGCGTTACTAGTACGTAGAGAGGATTTTGACCTCTGATCTGTCGGTCTGAAAGCCGTGGGAAACCATCCACCGACGTCTCTGCCAAAAACATGCTGGCAACAGCTTCACCTGCCAGCCAAGCAATAGCTTATGCTGTAGCCGTTGAACCCGGCCGTGATCCATTCCCTGTCAACTCTCCTATTCGTGAAAGTATGGGACAGTCATCCAACCAGCGGCAGGCTGGTTGCAGTGAAGCCCATGGTACCACTCCATGCACTCACCAAGCGAAACCTGCTCTCCTGCTCTCCGGTAAATATCTTCACTAGCCGGCTTTGTAAGTACTACTTCAAACCCTGGCATCAGCTGGCAATTGTTTTCTGTCAACGCCTGACGGGCGGATGCTCGGTCACTACCGTAATAAAAGAATCCAGGTCTCGCCTCTTGACATATATAGCACAGTCCATCCGTCAGTGTACCGTCTTTCTCATCAAACATCATAGAGTCAATGGTTGACCATGAAACTCCGTGACCAAAGGTCTTAACCCCTTTGAGCTCCTGGACAGTCATTGCGCCGCACAGCGGATCAGAGCTCCTCGAAGCGGCTGATTCAACGGGCTCAGCCATTAGTGCAATGAATTACCTTAGGTGTGGATATGGTTCCCCTTGAGGTCGCACATATTTAGGGGTGAGAAGCATGGTTGTAGTGGGCACTGTGCGAGATGGACAAGACCGGTGTATGTGTTTCGACCGGCAATCGACGCTGATGTTTTTTCAACAGCTCTTCATGTATCAGAGCAATCAGCCGATATGGTCATAAAGGCCCTGTTGGTAAGAGGGGGGCCCCCACCTCCCCGAATGAACCACAACGCTGTCAGGAAATAGTAATTTCTAGCAGTGGGGTAGTCCTCCAATTGAGCGACGCTTTCTTTTAGCCTGTTGAAGGCGAGCTGGTCACAATACATGCACACCTCTTCGCCTCGGAACAGCGTGGACGGGTGCTGCTCAAGCTGGCAGATCTGGTGGAAAGGGACGCTGAAACTTTGGCAACACCTGAGACCTGAGACAATGGTAAGATATACACGGCGGCGCTAGAGGAAGGCATGGCCGACACGATAAATCTCTTCCAGGGCTATTCTTGCCCTTCGGATAAGCTTACTGTAAGCACGATGTACAACTCTGGTTACTAACAGAAAGCAGCCGATCGTGTGTGCGCGTAGATTATCGGGGAGTTATCCCTTGGGCAAATTGGCTCTCCTGGCTTTGTCCTGGATCTCTCATAGCAGGACTCCGAGGTATGCAGTGTTTGGCAGCTTACCCCTTCGCAGAAATGGCATCGTGGAAAATAGGGCCGGTTATTGCATGCGGAATACTGTTATGCTTAAACCGGCCGAAAAAAAGACTCTCGCAAGCCTTGTACTTTGCGACGCTAGTGGTCAAGGCTGGCTTCCCCCTGGTGTGATCAGCATTGTTAATGGTCATGGTCGAGAAGTAGGTCAAGCCTTGGTGTCACATCTAGGTAGAAGCAAGGTTGCTTTCATAGGTAGTAGTAGCCGTAGTACATCGGTTGCCAAACAGATTATCATGCGCGCTGCGTTAGTCAACTTGACCCTAGTCACACTCGAAACTGGTGGCAAGTCTCCATTGTTGGTATTCGAGGATGTAGACCTGGATCAGGCGGCCAAGTGGGCATATATCGGTATCATTCCCCCCCAAAAGTCAGATTTGCACCTCGACCAGCAGGCACATTGTACACAAGAAGGTGGAACAGAATTTTCTCAGCACATTCAAGCAGGTGATCGGAAGAAGTAACGTTGTTGGTAACCCCTTCACCTAGGGAGCGACGTGAGGACCACAGGTCTCGAAAGACCAGTGCAGGAAGATCGTCAGCTTCTTCGAAATCGGCAAGGAGCAAGGTGCTAACATCGTCATTGGTGGCAGCAAGTATGAATCCGGGGGTCTTTCTTCTTCGTTCAGCCGACAGTATTTTTCAACGTCAAGAGCGACATGCCAATTTTCCAACAGGAGATCTTCGGGCCTGTAGCTGCGGTCTAGACATTTTAGACCGACGAAGGGGCAATTACTCTGGCCAATAAATCTGCGTATGGCTTGGGGTCTGCTGTGTTCTCATCAATGTCGAAACGATCCACCGTGGCGCAGAAAGGTTAGAAGCGAAAATGGTTTGGATCAGCAGCAGCCAGGACTCCGACGGCCGGATTCCGTTTAGTGGAGTAAAACAGGGTGGAATTGAGAGAGCGCTTAGAGAGGCTGCCTTGTCAGACTATATGGAAGAGAAGTCTATCCATGTTAGTCTAGGGCTTGGAGCTCCTTGATGAATTTCGACTCTGGCAAGTCATGTTTTCTACCACGGATATACCGTCATAGGTAGACTAGAGGCCAAAGTCCGAAAATCAAACTGTTATTCAGCCGGAACTTGTATTTCTACTACCAATTACTTGCATTCGGAAGAGTGTGGTATTACTACATAGTAATGTGTATTATATCGGGCATTACTCGCATGGAACGTTTGTCATTGCCAGCATAGCAATTAACTCTTTTTTTAATTCTAGCTAGGGCTTCTCGTACTGCTAAAGCAGCCAGCTAGCTTTGCAGCTTGGAAGCCAGGACCTAATAAATTATCCTTCGTCGCCTAAAGATACTTAATTCGAGATAAGTAGTGCTCCGTTCTCCGTACGTTATGGACGGAGTGGCGCCAGACATGTATTATCTTGACTCTTCATTCCTTCGTGTTGTACTTCTAGTACGCAGCACCTCGTACTTTGTAGTATCAAACCACGAATTCTGGCACTTTGGTCGCACATTCACGTGGCCTTAGATGCTCCCCTTTTTTCCGGCAGCCGATCCAATCTGCAACGACAGAGAGATTCTCCCAGTTTGCAATTCAGGAACTTATTCGAGGTCCTGTGTGAGGCTACACATCGCAGTGAGTGGTGCAGACAATACTATATGGACTACGGAGTACTGTGCAAGGTACTCACCATCCCCAATGTTACACAGCCTGATCGGGCGAAAGCCCCTTTTCGCATCTCCAATCCAAACACATGGGGTCTCAGGTTACTCTAGTCAAACACCGAGCCACCGATGCCGCTCTGGGCACAATCGCCAGCCCAATCGCGCCCTTAGTCGCGTTGTAATTAGAATAGTAACAGTCTCCACCGCCAGGCGCCCAGTCCAGCCCCTACTGAGGGCCTTATTTTCACAACACATGAGGCTCTTCTCCCGATGCAGATTTACAACCTGCATACCCCTTACCGAGTGCTCCGTACTTTTTTTCGGATGACCAACAACTTATTGATGTCTATTTTGTTCTTTTGGAGTTCCGTGTACAGTAGATACATATTACATACATGGGCTGGAAATGTACCATATTTTCAACCTTTTTGCGCAACTACGAGCAGGGAGCTGAACAACTGATTTCTGCTGTCTGTCATCTGTGTGGAATCTATGCTGTCTTGGCAAAAGGGGCTTCAATCTGGTTGCTTGCTGCAGCAGCCACGGACCATAACTGACGACTTGTACAGTAGCCGGCTCAAGGGTAGGGACTTTTCCTCACATGCCAACTCGTCCAATTGCTATACGTGATGACGCGGTATCAATGGACAAAATGGTTGCCAAACTTGAGAGTTCAATCACCAACAAATAGGGAGAAGAAGCTGTTGCGCACGCATGAAGAGAGGCAAGAAAAGCTTATACCCGACAGAAGTGCTCTCTGGCTACCTCTATCGTTGACTCGAGTGAGCTTGTTAGTCTTCGTTATCGTCCTAATCAGTCTCCTGATTGCACTAGGGGTCCTCAAATATCGGGCGGACCAAGACCGTGGGCTCACAATCATCACATCGAATCATTATACTTGGACCTATGGACCAACAGCTATCTTGGTATTGGTGACTGCCTACTGGCGTCTAGTGGACTATAATTGCAAGGCTCTAACGCCATGGGCTGAGCTTGCGAAAGGTCCAGCTAATGCGGACCGCAGCTTGTTACTAGACTACGTATCCCCCTTCCTGGGCCTTACCGTTGTCACCTCGGCGAGACGAGGCCACTTTTCAGTTTCCTCAACGGGCTTAGGCTTCCTGCTGTCTAAACTTGTCACGATTGCATCTACCGGCTTGTTTTTCCCTGCCGAAGTTCCATCCGATCCGGTCCAAGTCCAATTATCGCAAGCAACCCGGTTCAATAACATCACAAATTTTACCGGATTCCACGACCCAGGCGTCTGGCCTTTCTATACAGCATATGCGATACTTGAAAAGGGCTATCCACTTTCAGAGGGGGCAGACAACGCCCATGTCTACGAGACGTTCCGCCCGATGAACGACACCTCGGCCTCGAACGCGGCTTACCAAGTGGAGGCCTCGGCACTCGTGCCTCACGTCGCCTGCGATCCAGTCGAGGTTGATAGAATACTGGATGACAGCGGGACGACCATGGTGTGGCGCCTTCAAGTGAGAAATGGATCTGGCTGGGTGTGCCCCGTATCGGGAGCTACCAACGATGGAATAAGTATCGTCTCTCTGAACATTCGAGATAAATATTGCCCTCCAAGGCAACTGTGGCCATCATTCGCCGAACTTCGATGCACACGTGATACCCCCCAGAGCGGCTCCGAAGGCTATCCTTTGTTTGTTGGTCTCTCAGACCTACGGTATACGCAAAACTACAATTTTTCCCTGGATGGACATATCTATGGAGACTTAATCACCCCCGAAACCTATGATCTCGAAGTTCTGAAGACAACAGCAATGCTCTGCACCGTTTCTCATACCGAACAGCTTACGCGTCTCACATACAACATGTCATCTATCCAGAATCCGGTGCAATCAGCTGAATTGCTACCTACAACTGCCAACATTTCTTTGCAGAATGTTCCTATCGATTATCTATCATCGGCCCTCAATTTCGCATCCCAGTCAGCTGGGTCAACCTCAGCGGGTAATTTGTTTGGCCCAACCGATCCGTATACAGCATTCACCGAACAACCAATAAACACATTGCTTACAATGGTAGCAGAGTATGCAGCCAGCAACTATGCCTTCATGCTAGACCATCCAACGGATATGGCCGGGGCCGTTCAAGACGTTCTGCATCAAATGACCATTCAAGTTATGAAGTCCACCCTTGTTTCTCCCACAAACGAGACATTTCGAGGTGCTGAGGTCGCTGGGCAAAAGATCCAGTTGGGGTCAAGACTGCAAGTGCAAAAATTGTCAATGATAACGATGATTGTTGGTGTCTTCTGCATGGCGATTTCGATCATTCTTGTCATGTTTTTCAGACCTATGACGACTCACACCATAAACCCAACGACGCTGGCAGCAGCCGCACATGCTCTGCAAAACAGCCCTAATGTCCAAGCGCAACTGTCCGGTATGGTGTTTAGTCCCCCGCAGCATTCACACTCCGAAATCCGGAAGTCACAATGGTTGGGTCAAGGGTCTCTCCCAACAATGGTACTACATAGCATATCAAGCGCTGAAGAAAGTAGAGAGCTGAAGGAGATATCTTTAACCACGCCAATCCGCTACTACAGACCATTCACACTGAGAAAACCATTTCTCTGGTCAACATTTCTGGTTCCTCTTCTCCTGATTGGGATTTTGGAGTATCTGCAGCACTTGTCTGATAATAGGTCTGATCTAGGCATTGTCTCGCTGTCTGCTAATTCCATTACGCAGAGCTTAGTAGCAAGATACATTCCTGCTGTGGTGGCGCTGTTGGTTGCAACTATGTTCAATTGCCTTGATGCCAACACTGCTATACTATCACCATTCAGTACAATGGTCGATCGGGAAGTTTCCAACGATGATTTGTCTCATACGTGGCTCGACAGAACACCACCAATGATGATTTACCAAGCGATAAGGCGCCATCAATGGGGCTATAGCCTGACAACATTGGCATCCGTGGTTGGCAGCGCACTTACCATTGTTATATCTGGTTTATATACCGTCGAAAACATTCCACGGTCAGATTCAGTTAGTCTCATCACTCAAGATTCATGGAATATGTCCTTCCATCAAGGTCTCTCAACCGACAACGGAACGGCGCTAGTGTCGAGTCTCATTGAAAGCGCCAACCTTTCATACCCGGCTTTCACTTTTGATGAGCTGGTATTCCCGAACATGGCTTTAAACAGCTCAAATAATGCGCTCAAACGGGGTGGTTCTGGTCTTGTGGGTGCTAAAGTTCCCGCGCTCAGAGCGGAACTCGACTGTACAGACATACCATTCAACCTGATGAACTACTCTTTCTCATGGAACTCCCACTACGGATTTAGCCAGATTTCGTTTAGCGGTCACATACCTCTACCAGATAACTGTCAATTGGGCTCTGCCTATGGAAACGAGTCGTTCGTGTCGATGTCCATGGCAGGTGGCGGTTGGTGGTCTAAGGATGATTCAAATGTCAGCTACGTGGGACAGGTTTTAGACCTACATGTCGGAGCTTGGCCAGGCGAAGACAATCATATTATATACGAAGAGACAGGGGATTCAGCAGCACCTAATCAGCCAGATAACCCACCAGGATGCCCATCCGTGCTAATATTCTACGGCTTTTTGGACGGCACAAATTCGACCAACAATGTGTGGAGATCAATGTTATGCGATCAAAAAGTCCAGAAGCTGATCACCGATATAACTTTGAGTCTGCCGGAACTCAAGATCTCAACCGAACATCCACCGGTTGTGGACGAATCAACGATGGAATACTTATCCAGTGGTCCAAATGGTGAGACATCGTTCTGGTGGAGAACAGAACCAGGCATTTCTTCGAGCTTCCGAATCCTGAACAATAGCGTTGTCGACCCACTTCTGTTGGAATACGATGATGTTGTTCCTTCGTCGACTGTTGTTTCGAGCTTCTTTCGAGGTGCCATGTATGGGATGACGCCCTTTCCTCTTGAAACTCTGCAACAAGATGATGAGAAAACAAAAGACAGAATCTTTGACCATCTACACATGTTCTACCGGCGATACATGGCGCAGTACATCTCGGCTAACATGCGCACAACTGAAGATCCTTCAGAGAACACTTCTCGGAAACGGGATGGTGGGACTGTCAATACCCCAACAGTGGACGGAGCGTACATGCCAGATACGGGGACTCCACGGTTAATGCAAGCTAGGACGCCTAAGATTGTCCTACAAGCCATGTTAGCGTTCATGATCGTCTGTGCTGGTTTGGCACTTTGCGTTGGGACGTATCATGACCTCGTCCCCTGGAATCCTTGCACGATTGCCGGACTTTTGATCCTTTTCGTCGGTAGCAGGATGTGCGCACCGCGGCTTTCGTCTCTCGACTGCCCTAATCAGCTGATTCCGAAGAAAGATATCTACACTTTTGATAGCCCTACGAAGAATGTTGGAGGCCAGAACGCCACAACATATGAACTATCGTATTTCCCGGACCAAGGTCCTCTGCGACCCCGCTATCAGGACAGCACTAACAGTATTCAGCCCTCACTCCAAAATGTGAGGAGCACCCAGACGGATATCTCCATGACGACAAGCATGGACTGGAAGGATCCGCGCGCCCGTTTTCGCCTGGGTTGGTGGAATAAAGGTAGATTTGTTGGCTCGAGGCGCCCGGCCCGACAAGGCCGTGGACGGCTGAGAGGCGGGCAGTACGATCGCATAATTACACGTGAGGATAGCCAGGATTATAACTGGAGGTATGGCATTGACATGCTCTAAATAGATTAAAATTATCGATTATTTTCACTTTGTATCTAAGCATCCTTCGGCACATAATTCTGATCATCCTAATTAGTACCATCAAATGTAACCTCCATACTGCTAGTCTACTAGGAGTGATCGAGGACGGATCAGACGGCCCTCGACGCTAGGCCACGTTCATGCCGAGATCTTGTCAAAGTCTCATTAGCTCACCGAATTAGTACGAGGTATACAGAGTTATGGGATTACTGTTCCGATTATCGACGGCAGGTAGGGCTTAATATACTTGGATCCATACATTATTTCGGCATGTGAAACGACTACGGTACCGCGTACTCTTATATCTTCAGGATGGGGCTAAGCTCTTCTCGATATCTGCGTCGCGGTGCTTGAGGCGCCTAAACTGGCTCTGGCTAAGGGCCCCCTGGGCAAGCTTTGCGCTTCCCTGCTGCTTTTGATGTCTTGAAAGGCTTCCTTTCCCCTCTGCGGCGCTCTTCCACCGGCATTGTTTTGTACTGTCTGCTAGAAAAAGCCCCTATAGATGAACCCATGTTTCAATTTATAACATCGTTCTCCCTGACCAGGGGCCATTAACAACATTCGTGTCTCAGTTCCAGGCCGGACTGAGCATGGCCCTGGCATCTATCCAGATTAGGCATGCTTACCGCCTTCTAATTACATTCTTCAGTCTGACCTGCAACCTCACGTAGCTCTTCGAGCTGCATCCTCGTCTTCCTGCCAGGCCTTCCCATCGTTCACAGACTGTTCGTATATATCTCAGATAATCATAGAGTCCTTACTGCATTGGAAACAACCCCCCTTCCCTGACAGAACCATTCAGAGCCCCATCCTTGCTTTAGCCTCCCTTTGACATAATACCGCCAGTCATGGCCACCTTGTACTTCGACTTTCGGTCCAACAATGAATGGACAGTGATACCGCACAGGTCAGGGCACTGGGGTTCAATACACGAATCAGGGCGGCCGAAGGCGGCCAAGTCATGATCAACAGGGAAATGGGCTCGTCTCGCCTGATGCACGAGCGGCCTTAGTGACTTGGAAGTCCAACATGTAATTGATACGACTTCCCAGCTCACCCAGAGCTAGCAATTTGGTGTTTGGGATCTATCTATCCATCTATCACCCCCAAAACCACGAGGTTGGTAAGTGATATGACAAAAAGCCTTTGAGGAAGTCTATTGTTAACCTGCCTTTGTTTGTGATATTGACTTGCGGCTTGTCTTTTAGTAACTACCTGGATGAGGTGCTCTACCCGCGAAAGGTTACGCTATCAGGTAGAGTAATGGAGTAGGCCGCATTACAACTATCTCTGTTCTAATCTCTGGTGAGGAGAAGGGAACCGCCTGCACACCTCTTTATAACAGCATTGGGTACCGAGCCTTCGAGGCATCGACCATCCTCGGCTCCTCTCTCGCATACTCAATGCGCCCCTTACAACCTGGTTGTTGAATGCCTCTTATATAGCTACTCGGTCCTTGACATATTGGATTCCACTGATAGCCCTGGTAAGGCTCATGACAGACTGGCCATGCTGGCTTCGAGCGAGTGGAGAGTGGCATATTCTCTACCGTCCGGATTTGAAAGGGTTCGTCACTGGAAAAAATAAAAGAATACTAATCAGGAGGCCACGACGCAGCACTAACACAGAGTCTCGGCAGCTCCCTAGTGGAGCTGGTGTTTCCAGTATGCCTAGATCCAGATTAGGTCGCCTTCATTTTCATATTTTGATTGTGCTAGTCATTTCCAAGGCTGTTTGGATTTCCTAAATTAGCCTAAGGAAATAGCTCCGTCAGTTGCTGCGCCGGATATAATTCATTCCGAGCGGAAAATGTCACGCCATTCTCAAATCTGCACCGAGATATAAAGGCCATTCAACTGTTTACCAGGATAGAGTGACCGATCAAGTAACTGCCGCCTTTGGAAGATTTTGACAGCAAGTAGGTGGTATCAGAATTGGTTAACCATAAGTGGACAATGATGGCTGTGGAAAAGGCCGAACATGAGTTCGGTGGCCCGTATGAGGTTCAAGGCAACTTCAAGTACTCTTCGCTGACAACCGACTAGCCTCGGAGCCGCTGGCATTGTCTTCGGTCTGCCAATCTTCATGAACGTCCTCTTTCTAGCCTGCAACGATATTAGCGGATGTCCTGCCCCGGCCTTGCTGAGGCCCCGCTCGCTTACCTGGGGCAGCCTCAAGCCGCAGATCCCCTGGCCAGAAGACGGGATCCGGGGCTTTGCGAGCTGGTCAGCTACAGGATGGGTGCTGGCTTACTATCTGGTCAGCCTGGTGCTGTTTCGCGTGCTGCCAGCGAAGGAAGTGCTGGGGACTAAGCTAAGGGAATCGGGGAAGCAGCTGCGATACAGGTTTAATGGTGAGCTGCCATGCCTTTTTCATACTGGTATTGTGTGGTGGTTCTAACTAGGGAGCCTTCCTGTCCAGTGTCGCTCAGCTTGTGCTCTGTGTTTTCGGCACGTATATTCACGGTGCCGACTTTTTCCTCTGGACATGGATTGTGGAAAACTATTTGCAGCTGCTTACCGCCAACCTCATCCTCGCTCTGTTTATCTCCGTTGCTGTCTACGCCCGTAGCTTCTCCGTGAAGCCCGGTAACCCGCAACTGCGCGAACTGGCGCGCGGGGGCCAGACCGGTAATTTTATCTACGACTTCTTCATCGGGCGAGAGCTTAACCCCCGCGTACATGTCCCCCTGATCGGCGAAGTCGACCTTAAGACGTGGCTGGGGATGCGGCCGGGGCTGACGGGGTGGGTGCTGCTGAACGGCGCCTTTGCAGCCAAGCAATACCGTGTGTACGGGTTCTTATCGGACAGTATGGTGTTCCTGATGGCGGTGCAGGCAACCTATGTCTTGGAGGGGCAGTATGCAGAGCAGGGGATCGTGGGGATGATGGATTTTAAGACAGACGGGCTGGGGTTTATGCTAACTTTTGGGGATATTGTGTGGGTGCCGTTCCTTTACTCAACGCAGTGCCGGTATCTGGCGACTTATCCGGTCCACATGGGACCGTATGGCCTCACCGCCATGGGCATCATCTTCGCCGTCGGGCTGTACATCTTCCGGGCCAGCAACGCGCAGAAGATACTGTTCCGCGAGAACCCCCACGACCTGGCTTTCAAGAACATGTCGTATATCAAGACAAGACGTGGGCCGCGACTTCTCACAGGTGGCTGGTGGGGCCAGGCTCGCCACATTAACTACCTGGGCGACTGGCTACAATCTCTGCCGTTCTGTCTACCCACGGGCATAGCCGGCTACGTGATCCTCCCGGCCGGGTCTGCCATAGGAGTTAGAGCGGTAACGATGCTGGACGGCAGGCAGGTGGTTCCAGGGGATGCAGCGGGCTGGGGTTTACTGGTGACGTACTTTTACTCGGCATGGTTTGGCTTACTGCTGATACACCGGGAGAGGAGGGATGATAGGGTATGTGCAGAGAAGTATGGAGACGACTGGGTAGAGTATAAGAAGACAGTGAGGTGGAGGATCTTGCCAGGGATGTACTAGAATGGATGTGTGAGGACGTTGACTGGGACTTTGAAGTTGAGTTATTGGGATTAATTGGCCTAATCATTATGGGGTGTCCCATTGGACAGGTGTAAAAAAGGCGACCGCTTACATTTTTGGTGAACTGCTTGTAGAGTTGGAACGGCACCGCGGACACATCTTCATTTAACTCGTTTGTGAAGGTGATGAAAAAGAAAGTAGCTGTAATACCCTAAAAACCATCAACGGCGCAAGGTGTGCTAAACTGCTATAGAGTTTAGCTCAACTCGGTCAAGGACATAGAGCAGCATTGTAACATTGTCCATACGCTGTACCGTTTACCGAAGGGCGAGTAATAGTTTGATTATATAGTGGTACAGTGCGGAGTTTCCAGTTCGAAGGTGTTGTGAACCCTATACCATGACTTGCCAAGGAGTGGACAAACTGCTCACGACTCACGCCGTGAAGGTTGATGCCGCCCTGTACTTACCCCGGCTCCACCCCAGCTTGTGCAAGTCAGGTGAGATAATTGCCTAGTCTCTCGCTTGAAGAGGCGGCGGCAAGCAATATACAGTTTGTCGTTAAACGGGCTATTATGCAGTAAAGTATTGGAGATTTCAGCTGCTAGCGTAATAGCGACTATATTATCTCTCATAAGATTAACCCACCTTTCCCTCACTTGGAACCGCGTGGAGCAGAAATAACTGTAGCCAATCGATTCATTAGTAATCCATTTCCTGAAACTGAGGATGTTAGAGCTAATCAGGTGACTTTGCCAAAGTAAGGAAAAGCTGCCCCAGCTCTACCCCATTCGGGCCAAGGGACCGCCCTATGCTCATCCCTGGCTCGCGCGAGCCAGGTAAGGCGTACCCGTAACTCACCCGTCGTAAAGGTCAAATTCCTTCGCGCCGTGGCGCCGATGGTGTACGCCCACCCTGCTGAGCCCGGTATAGTCCAGACCGAAGACCGAAGGAACGAAGTGGACTTATTATTCTATAATTCGTATTAAGATGTCAATGATTTCAGTTCATCTATGGGTCACTCTGGTAAATCTCGGTCCCAGCTCTTGATCCTCTGCCAATACCATATCCACCTAATCAGCTCTATTCGAACAACAAAAAGTGAACCTTTCGCCGAAAGTGGTGACTTTCCCTCCACAGTTACCTCCCACGGCCCTGGAGATTCGAATTTACGCAGATGTTTGGTCCAACTGATGAACCACCCCAGGTACTCCCTTCTCCCCATTCAAGCTATTCACGCCATTGCTCGATGGGGTCTTGGGCATATCAGACTCATCTCTGCCCAAGGCATCAACCTCGTCCAGTAGACGACGCTCAGCAACAGAGACTTGGCCGCCGGCTTCCGCAAGCCTCTTGAGGTACTCGGCTTCGTTCGCGCGAACGAGAATGGAAGAGGAAGTAAACAACAAGTTGACTTCTTCCAATGATCTTCCACGGACTTCGGGATAGATGAAATAGACTGCTGGGATAGCGACTGGTGAGAATGTTAGTATATGGCACTTTGAATCGAGTACTATGGGCGGGCGCCACAACTTACTGAGATTGAAAGAGCCGAAAAGTAAAAAGGTACCGTAGCCGATATTTGCCAACATGATGGGAATAAGTAGTGTGGTCAAGCCGCTGCCAGTTGCCCTAACGGAAAAGGTCAGGACCAGATTGAGAATGTCAGCAAAGGTTCACTGGGACTCACCAGCCAAAGACAGTGAATGCATAACCTTGAGCTCGAACTTCCTGAGGCCAGATCTCGGACGGGTACAAGAAACATGGAACGATGATGAACATACAAAAGCACCACAAAAAGACAAAAAAGAATGAGGATGCTGTGATACCCAATTGACGAGCTTTTGTCGGATTGTCCGTGGTATCCTCGGCGATTTTGAGGCACGCAGCCACGATATAGAGAGATATGCCCTCGGTAGTGAAACCGACAAGCAAACACTTGATGCGTCCCCAGCGGTCAATCACAAGTGCCTGGAAGCGAGAACATCGTCAGCCAATTTTGGACCGGTAGGAGTATATCTGTGGGCAAGAGAGATATAGAGGAAAGGGCTCGGAAACTTACAGCTGCAGCTGTTCCTACCACACCACCCAGAGAATTGCAGAAGCCTCCCATCCAAGCTGATTTAGAGGCAGTGAAACCTGCAACCTTGAACAATTCACCTGAGTAAGTGGTAATGGCCATGATCCCACTCCACATCAGCATCTGCATCAGAAAAAATCCCATCCATGCACGCCGGCCCAGGTGCAAGGCACCGGAGTGACGGCCAATTGCAATATTCCAGAGACGATTTCGCGAATGGCGTGTCTTTTCGACAATGGCCTCCAGCTCTTCGAGTTCGGCGACCAGGGCGGGGTCGGTCGGTTGAACGTCACCACGGATCTTTGCCAGCACTTGAACGGCTTGATCGCGACGGCCGTTGGCGATCAGCCATCGTGGAGAATCTGGCAGAAATGCGATGGTAACTGCGACAATAATGACTGGCCTGAGAAGGATTTTAGACGTGGAAATCCTGGCGACCGGGAAATGGGGACTTACACTGTCATGAAAGCCAAGGGGAATCTCCAGACAAATTCGGGCCGGCCAGTGAAGCTCACGCCGTAGTTGATCCAGTACGCCAGGATGATGCCAATGTCTGCAGGTTGTCAATTTCAGAGCTCTTTTTCGAAATCTGCATTCGACCAGCTTCGCTACTTGAGCGCAAGACTTACAATTAGAGATAAAGACAAAGGTGAAGTTGACACCTCTAGTCTCGGACTTGGCAAGTTCGCTCACCCACGGCGGAATGAGGGTATTGATGAAGCCAATGCCGATGCCAGTGATGACTCGGGAGCAGATAAACATATCTGCGTTCTGTGAGGCCGACATGAGAGCACCGCCCAGAATGCACCAGAGAGACCCGAACCAGACGCCCTTCTTTCGACCATAGGTATCACCGAACCATCCGGCGACGAAACAGGCGCACATAGCTCCAAAATAGTAGGCGGCAACAATTCCACTGTAACAGCCAGCCGGCTTCGTGTTAGTAAAATGTAAGTGGGCAGTTCCGCCGAATGTGCAAAGGGGCTGAGAGCCTCGTTATTCTTACCCTTGTCTGGTCGAGTCCGTGATGACCCCATCAGAGCCGATCTTTGTGAGGCGAATGAAGTCTGCAGTACCGGAGACACCTCCCATTACGCCTAAGACAGTGTCAGACCCATGATCGAGAGATTCAGACACCAAGGTTCGTCAGTATGTGAGCTCTTCTTCATACCTTGGTTATAGCCTTCAAAGACTAGTGCAACTGCGGTGAAGACATTGAGGAGGATGAGAAGCGTGTTACCTGGCAGACGTTGCCACACTTCGCCCATGTTTGCTAGTTGCTATTTATTTTGCTATAACTTGAATGTGTTCTGTGGTGAGGCCTCCGGGAGGATACTGGGAAATTTGGGTTGAGCCGTTTGATCAGACCATGACTACCATGTAGATCTTTATATCACGCCTCGTATAGAGGCCAACCCCACATCCAGCCTGAAAGTGGCGGCGACAATTGATGGAGCAAGAGGTTAAAGGGACATCCTTCGGATGATGCAACGGGCAAATAGTGCCAGTTGAACCGTCCATCTTGAGCGGCTAAACGGCTAAACGGCTTTACGCCCCACAAATATAGCACTGGGTTCTGGGTTTCCCGGGGATCTGGGGTCCCATGGTCGGCCAAGCCTCATTCACGAGGACTTGTCCGGCCAGAAACCTCCCTGGAGTTTGATCTCCGGGAGAAAGTACGAACGAATAGATTTTTTTTGCTCGTTGACGCCCACCTGGCCAGATTCAGTGCGAAAAGTCAAAATGGTGTGTCGAGCTTGATCCCGCCATCCTCGGGGTAACGGCACAGTCTCCAAAGACAATATCGCAACGAACATGCCGAGTGAGGGTTGCCCAGAGCGAGAATGACAGAGGAATCTTATGCCAAACGTGGTTGCAAAAGGGCTACTTCACGGCGTCAGCCCAGTTTAATGATGCTCCAGCGTTCGTCAGATAGAAGAAGATAAATCAATCGTGACAATTCTGCTACAATCTTTCAACAGCGCGCATATTGATTAATGGTAGTTCCTCTTAATATATTGTCTGTTCTCAAGACACGCGAATTTTAGCAAGGCTAGATTATTACTGAAGGGCGCCTGTAGAGTGCTAACAGGGACACATCGGCTCTCAAACGCGGTGTTTTGCGCTCATGTGTAGTTAGCAAGATCTCCGATCCTTTCGTAACTAATTGATACGTAATTGCACAGTTCACCTTCCCCCCCTCCCCCCGGCCCTCCATCAGAGGAACTAGTGACGCTCCAGTAAAGAGTAATTAAGACGTTCGATTTCGCCACCTGTCACACTGGGCTTTCGAGTGAATACTTATTGCGGCCAATTCTCCAGGTTGAGACAACTAGACATCTTCTCTCGCATGGGCAGGCACATTCGTTCGAGTCTGTGACATAGTCTGGGCAGCAAACTTGAATCAAGCAAGATGACCACCTCAGCTCAGATATTCAACCGTGCTGTCTACCTTTCAAAAGAGAATCCAGAGATACGCATGCACTATGTGGACTCAATTCCATCCAGCCCACTGCAAGAAAAAGGCACCATCCTTCTGATCCACGGTTTCCCGGAAACGTCCTACCAATTTCGTCATGTTATACCACTCCTAACCCGAGCAGGCTACAGGGTCATCGCGCCTGATAAGACGGGTCATGGCTTCAGCAGTAAACCCCTCAGCAAAACTCATCAACAAGACCTATTCACCAAGAAATCACTTGCAAACGATATCCACAAACTTATCACCGAACATATCGGAATCAAGGACAAAGTACACCTGGTCGGGCACGACATCGGTGGATTAGTCGCGCATGCCTACGTATGTCAGTTTCCTGACGATGTCGCTTCAGTGAGCTGGGGTGAATGCCCGCTTCCAGGTTCGACGCTGTATGAGACCGAGAAACACTCGCGCCTGCTGTGGCACTTCGACTTTCAGAGCCATAATCCAGATATTGCTGTCGCCCTAGTTCAGGGCAAAGAGCGGATGTACTTTAAACATTTCTTCGACCGTCTCACACAGAACTCGGCGGTCTTCACGCCTGACGTGCTCGACTTTTACGTCATGCAGTTTCGCCAGCCCGATGCTTTGCGCTGTGCATTCTTGACGTACCGCGCCTTCGAGGCCGATGCTGAACACAACCATAGATGGCGAGAGGAGAAGGGGAAAGTCAGGGTCAAGAACATGGTGTTGTCGGGCGAGAAGAGTTTCTTGGCCCCAGATGCCGAGAAGATGGCAAATGAGTTCTATGAGAATGTCAGGGTCGGCCTGGTACCTGATTCAGGCCATTATTTGAGTGAAGAGAACCCCGAAGGATTTGTAACCGAGGTAATAAACTTCATCGAGTCCTGAAATCTGGTGGCACTCTGGGGATCGGGTCGAGAACCAGTACAATAGGCGTGCAGGAGACGCTGATGGAAACGTCAATAGCAGACCAAAACATCTTGGTCCAGACTTCTCACCAGAGAAGGGTTGTTTCTAAGAGGCATCCTGCGGCTGCAGCAGCATAGAAAGATTTTAGATATCCTAGGACTTGTGATGAATCGCTTCCGTCGAGTTGGTCACGAGATGAGGTGTGGTACATCCGTTGGAATGACCTTTGCAGACCAGCGCCCTCTTTCGTGCCACTTGACTTCCGCCTCCTCGACTGCACCTAGTCAACACCGTTGCTTCCCGAATAGCGCCATTTCAAATGCATCTTCTATAATATCTACCGCATTTCTCTGTGGGCCAGATCATTGTCAAAGGCAGTGATACTGATGACGCCATGTAGGGTGGCGTTTTTGTACCGGACAATCTGTGGGCGTGACTGGAGAGACGGCGAGTGCGAATCCCCCCGTGGCGGATGTCCTAGGGCTAGGGAAAGTCTATGTGATCAATTCCACACCAGTCTACTCCGTACTCCGGACGCTACCTTACTCTTTACCCACATGCTGATAGCCCGGCAATATTGAATAATGGAGACCACCCAGCGAGGATGGCCAGAAGAAACGCCTACGGCACAGTCGCATCGACGTGTCAAACGGCCGTGCATCACCACGGCGTGCACGCCATGTAGAAAGCGAAAGACTAAGGTCGTTTACGAACCCCTTGTTGCTCGAATCGCGCTGTACACTTCCCTGCTGACACTCCACTCCAGTGCGATGGCACTTTGCCCGTCTGCTTCACCTGTCGGTCCTACAAGACAGAATGCGCCTATGATTTCAACACCGACCGCAGGAGGCGTCCGTCCACCGCATATGTCGATGCCTTGGAAAAGCGTGTACAACATTTGGAGGTCTTCATTCGAGAAATATCTCGGGGTACGGGAGTTGACTACAATTCAGTCCTTGTGGACGATGTAAGAGCTTCTCCCCAGGTGACCGACATTTCCTTTGCCGCGCCCGTGGTGAATCACGACCAGTTTCGGCACCGCACCGACCGATCTTCATCAGAGAGATCGCAGGCTGTTGGTGCGCTGTCTTTAACATTGGCACCGCCACTACATCCTCCCATGTCGCGGGAAGGGCCTTCAAACGAGTGCGACAATATGACCTCTTTAGTCGAAGAGCTTTCGCAGGTCATGAGTCACTTGAGAGTCGACGTCGGTGGTGAGGTCGGGTTTTTCGGCCCAAGTAGCAATCTCAACCTCGTCGAGGACCTCCCACGAGCGCCGTCTTCGCATCACATGGTCAATTCGCAGCACGGCGCCGTCAGATTGCCGACAAAGAACGAATCGCTTTCTGCGGGTAATCCCAGCCTGGAAAGCGTACATTCATTATTCGACGATTCATTTCGCGGCGATATCGATAGTCCAGCTTATCCAGACTCGGACGACCTTGAACTGGAATCACACCTCTTGTCCTTGTACTGGACCTGGAAACATCCTTTCTTTTTTCTTATTCCCAAAGCGCTGTTCCTGCGTGACATGGCTCAATATCGACGAACCCGCGGTAGGGAAGGCACGAAATACTACTCGGACCTCCTCCTGAATGCCATATTGGCCCACGCCGCACCTTTTTCCCGGAGACCAGATGTCCGGGCGGACCCGAACGATCCGGCCAGCGCGGGAGACGCCTTCTTTGCAAGAGCACGCTCGCACCTCGATGCAGAATGTCAGACTCCACATTTGACGACCGTCCAAGCCCTTGCCCTGCTGGGGTCGCGAGAGGCAGGTTGCGGCAGAGACAAGGGAATTGGCTGGCTTTATAGCGGTAAGTCTAGAAGGCGAGCTTTTACTACACGATAGCATCCTCGCAATTGCATTCGCCTAACGTCCCCCAGGGATGAGCTTTCGCATAGCTTTGGGCCTGGGCCTGCACCTCAGCTGCGAGGAGCTAGTCAAAAAGGGTCAAATGTTGCAAGAGGAGGCTGACGCTCGGGCAATGACCTTTTGGGGGATATATGGTTATGACAAGTGAGTCTTGCCCCCCACGTTCGAACTTCGAGCTGCCCTTGACGACTTACCGCTTGATAGGGCATGGAGCGCCTACCTTGGAAAACCCGAGTCCATTCCCGCGAATCTTCACATGAACATCCACTGGCCTGAAGTACGGCTGGAGACAGAGTATGAGCCGTGGACTCCTTATTACGAAAACACCATCTGTGCAGCCTCCCAACAATCTTCACCAGCTCATTCCATAACCACGGCCAAACATATCACAGCTATCCAAGAAAATCTTGGGTCTGTGGTCCATACCCTGTGCGACAGTTCCGTTGACCCGGTGCGATCTGGGTCCACGCTGACCGTCGCTTAGGTATCATGGCAAATCGCAGACATTGCCATCCGATTACGAGCACTTGGTCTCCCAGCATTATTGTCGACTACTTTCGTGGCAACGCAACCTACCAAGTTTTTTGCGAATCTCCAATTACAATTTGTCCACGGCGCCATCTCCTCCGTCAGTCCTTCTCATGCAGTAGGTATACTCCCTTTGTCGGTACCTTGCTTCAGCTGACACAATAACACAGCATGCTCTACTATGCCGCTATGATACTTTTGTTTCGACCGTTTATTGCCAAATCGAGGTCAAAGCTGCTCACAGACTTGTCCAAGCCTCGGGCTCTGTGCATCTCCTCTTCGAACAAAATTTTGATGCTTACAAAAGTCTACAAGAACAACTATTCGCTTCAAAACTCACTCAATTTGGGCGTCTATTCGCTGTTTATCGCTTCGACGATTCATTTGATGGATGCTGCGACGACCAGTCCACCTTTCGCGCATCCTTCTCATGCCCACGCGAAGCTTAACAGTGCTATATGCTTCTTGAAAGAAATAAGTGAAACTTGGCCCAGCGCTCTCCGTTGTTTGCATGTCATTCATTCACTGATCGACAAGCATGCTGTTCCACTGAATGGACCAGATCCTAGGTCGAAACTTGTGCAGGGCCATAATTCCAAGGCGTTCACGGATGCAACTAGTGAGTTCAGGAGCGATGGCAGTCAGCCAAATCTCCCTCAGACGATGTCTGCGCCACCAGACTCTAGCTTTGGCTCCCTCCCTCACACGGCATTGCAACCTTCAACCGCCGATCCGCAAACCTTATTGGGGTCGTTCCCTTCTGGACTCAATACCACAACTATTGCAAATCCGTTTGAGGCCCAGCTTACATTCGAATTCCCTGACATCGATATCCCCGATTTATCGGACATCTTCCTAGAGAAAAGCGACTTCGGGTTGGGCTTTGACGAAGCTAATTTCAGGATCTAGAAAGTCTCATATTAGGCCTAGTAAACGAAGAGAGAACGAAAAGTAGTATTCGAAGACTAAAAAGGCGTGAAAGAGAGAATCCGTTGACTACGCCGCTAATTTTCAATCGTCTCTTTGGCGCTATATACGGTAAAAAAGTCCAGAATGAAGTGTTAGTGCGAAGGTGGTGAGTGGGAATGTGTGAGAGGGAGAGCAACGTAAGTACGTACGTAAGGAATAGGGAAGATGGAGTGTATTTAAACGCGGCACGGTCCTGAGTGAGTCGCACGTGAGCTCGGGGCAATTTGTACTCGTCTTTAGACACCAAGCCATGCAAGAACCTGGAGAGGCTGTAATGAGCGTCAGCAGGGCTGCCAGTGACATCCAACATGTCAAGGACCGAGTAGCTATACAGGAAGCATTCAACAGCCTGGTATTTATTTATTGAAAGACAAGCCGCAAATCACTATCACAAGTACTGTGTGTAACGCCTATAGCGAGAATGAAGCCAAAGTGAGATCCAGAAGGGTATAGGCGAGATGCTAGCATGCTGCCGTAGCTTTTTCGAGATGCGCGGAGGTCTTATGCTCTCTGAACTCCGGTAAAGAGCGGGAGGGGCAGCTAAATAGGTAGAAAATAGTATCCTCATTGTCAGCATTCATTTCATGTTTTCGATATTTACAGTGGACATTGGGTGTGCTTTGGCCAAATGTGCCCGTAGTTCTAAGCTTTATTCACTGTCCAGAAGTACGAAGACCTTGGGGTTCTCGTTCAGTGCATGAATGAGCACTTTCGCGAAACTCGAGCGGAAATTGCAGCAAGGCTGCCAAAACAATTTCTGCACTCCACGCAAGATCACATTCTAAGATCCATGGATCTTGCAATCTGGCATTGGATGACACTGCATATTAGGTCAGGTGATGCTCCCAATTGGACCATCATTGTCAGATGTGACGCTTGTGGAATGGAAACATAAACAATCGTTCCACAATTTAGTCGCTGGGACATTCCCCAGACGTCGGAAGAGTCTGCCCTCACCAGTCTATTGTCGAAGTCATATCGAACCTGGCTTTGGCATCATAAATCTGCGCAAAATCTGCGGCATGCAAGTTCAGTGGACGCCGAATTGGAAGGACCATCTCAGGGTTGACCACTCGACCAGATTGCTATACGTATAACCCCCACAAAGTATGCCCATTGAATCATCTCGAGTGGCCGAATGCATTTCCCAAAGACTTCCTTCTTGAGACAATACGAACTCTTGACCTCGTCTTCCGCTTTGGAGACAGAAGCACGGAGCTGTGGTTGGAAGAGAGAAACCAGTCGTTTCACAGGACCTCGTCATCTTACATGCAAGCTCGCGCCGGCAAGTTTGAGGAGTCCTGGTATCCGAGGCCACAACTTCTTTAGTTTTACCACGTTTACTAGCAACCACGTGTCAGCATTTTGCAGATGTGGCACGATCGTCGATATCCAATGCAGGTACACATTCTGGCTAGGTGCTCTCATTGCCATTCGGGTCATTGTAATTGGCTTCAAACAGATCGAGCTTACCGAAAGGAGAGCTGAAATCGCGCTCGTACAAGGTCAACCCTCCACTCATTAGAGACATTTGAGGGATATAGACTCCCTCCACGTTGAGACGAGACATATCCTGATAAGGTAACTCAAACTAACGAGGAAGAAAACAATATCATCATTGTTTCATCATACTACATACATAGTGTTTATTGACATACTATGCAAATCCATGGATATGTACTTCGTAGTAAGTATCTTACTTAACTTCTGGTTTTTAGACTGGCTCGCAAATAACACCTTGGTGAACCACCCCTCCTGTAGCTTGGACGTTTGTACATCGAAGTCTACCCGAAATCTCAGCTTATTCATTTTCGTGTGATCTTAAGCACGCCTTGGTACATAGTATTTAGTACTAAGTACAGAGTACATATGTAGTCGTATGCAGTACTACATATTATTGACTGCTCAGTGGCGTTGAAGGATTGTACCTCCCTTTCCTTCATACCATGAAGCCGCTTGATCACGGCCGAGGTCCGCCGGGGCTCTCTTCTCCATTATTTGCTCGCTTAGGGGGATACTATGTACTAAATACTATTTATTCCAATATATTCATAGTATTAACCTACTGTATATTTTGAGCACCTAGAAGCATATACATCGTAGTAGTACTAAATATATATGTACTACTAAGCTAAGACTATATACTAGTATTTAAATCTTCCTCATACCTTCCTTATAGTTACTTATCTCTAGTATGACCTTGTGTGATTCAGTTAAACAAATCACGAAATGCACTCAAACTAGCTTAGTCTAATTGCAAAGGCCTTTTTGGACCAGCCAAGGACCTTAGAAGTGAGGAGATCCTATCATTCCCTAGCGTGCGGGGTCCACGTAGAACAAGGATGGCTCATTACATAATTATGTTGGCCTGTCGGAACATTTGTGAACTGCCGCCTCGCTCAGCTGTTGCGATTACGGTATATACATTCCTATGCTATTAGTAAGTATCTATCCGTAGCTAGCTCTAGGTGGGGATATAGTATATATACTAGTATGTATTTGCAGGATTCGTGAATGTTGCGAGCAGTGAAAGCGAGAGCGTAGTAAGTAACCTTTATGTGGTTAAGGATAGATAGTGCTTGACATCGTGGTTTATATCTCATGCTGTGATAGACTGTCCCGGGCTCACCCCAACCCTGTCTGTTGATGATCACAGGTACTACGTAGTACATAGTATCGATACGAAGTACATACATAGGAGTAAACTCCGCAGCCTGTCGAGTACAGTGTACCTCCGGAGCACTCCGTACATATATAGTATGGAGCTTCATCACAGCTCAAAAAATCTCCCGTGAAGGTTGTTTGTCAAGAAGCCGGTCATATGGGTGGCAGGAGCCGTCCTTCAATGTACTTGCTATATTAGGTAGTTAGTCCTAGTCGCACCGTTGGGGTGGCGGTTTGCGTCTTACAAGAGCCGTTTTGGCTGGTTGAGTTGCACCAAACTGGCGAATCACACTCTACGCTGACTAAGGCTTCTCCGGCGGGACAACCTATGTGGGGACGAGAATGATGAAGCGTGCAGAAATTGACGGGACGTCGATATCACAACAGGCCATTGGAGTTTGCGTTCCAGATACTATGTATCGCAGTAGTCGACGATGAACCGTGTTCGCGCCTTGGGGACGTTGATGGAACAGCCGCAATCAGAATCCTGAAGCTGCCTCACATGAGTAGAAAGATGGACATCTGCGATGCATTTCCTTCTCGCGCGTCCCAAAAGGATGGCCAATACTTCTTCATTAATAAAAGCAGAAAGTCGGTCCATCTCTCGCGAAGCTCCCTGGCTGAAAAGGCTGCTATCCAAAGTCATGTACAAACTGGGACCAAACGCAACCGACCGGCCAAATCTAGGCTCTCCGTCGTGGTGAGTGGTCATTTCAGATCCGACAAAGGGCGGAATTTTGTTTCGTCAAATTCTGCATCTAGCGCCGCAACGCAAGATTCGAAAATGCTAAGCCAGCGGTCCCCAAAATCGTTCGCTCTGTCCAAACAAGAGGAGCGCTCACAGAAGCCGGAACGGCCGCTACCAGAAGCCACAAAATTGGGCACCGCTGGCAGCACTATCCAGTTCACGCAATCGAGGGGGCCAACTATGAGACTTTTATTCGTTGATTCTCGTGCCAAAGGCTCGCAAAGGGAACGGGAACTCGAGGATGCTCAGCGAAAGGCCCATGCTGCTATCGAAACACACCGAAAGAAGAAAATGCGCTCGAGGCAAGGAGTTCTCCAGAGCACAGGGAATCGAAGTCCGGATCAAGTGTGGATTGAAAGCCCAGAAAGCACCTCCACATCGAGCGGTACTTCGGGGGAACTGGAACAGCCAAGTCAAATTTTGCGTGGCACATCTCCTACCGATCAAATGATTCTATCCAAGATAGATCCATTTGGAACTGGGTCCATCAAGTTCGACAAAACTGTAGCTAATTTGCTCCACTATTACGTTTACTTCTATCATCCGACAATATGGCCTAACGAAATGGCTGTCCTCCGTCATGGCTGTTACGTATTCGAAGGCGCCGTGAACAACATCATGAGCACCGTCATGGAGGACAAACTTGTCATGTACTGTCTTCTAAGCGCCGCGGCTTCTCGATTTCAGTTTGTTGATCGTCTGCCTTCTGCCGAGGTGATGGGGAAAGAGGGCTACTACGTACAAAATGCTCTGCAGCTTCTACGCTGTCACGTTGCCTCCACCCCTTTGCAAGGGTCCGAACAGTTAAGACGACTACTGATATGCATTATGTTCCTGACATCTGCTGAAGCATACAGGGATGAGGTTTCGGCAGCAAAAACACACCTAAAGGCTGCGGTCGTTCTCTTGAAAGAGAAAGGTGGCCTTAAATATATGCAGGATGAAAACTTAAGAGGACAGCTTGCTATGGCTGATCTATATCTAGCCTGCATCAAGTTGGAACCATGTTTGTTTGATTGCGCCTATGACCCAGGTTCTGCCAGTGCCCTTAACCTAGAGGAGAGTGAACTAGACCAGTTGGAATGCAAGGTCCTAGGGACGTCCTTTCTGGACAGGGATACCGACTTGATTCCCTTGGAGCTAGGGACATTGATCGGCCAGGTATGCGAGACTTACAGCATCAGGTCTCAGCTCCGGACGTCTTCCATGGTGGCATCACGAGTGATGCAAGCCACTCATTGGATTACCACGCGTAACATGGCTATCAGGCACAGACTTCTTGCATTGAAAACAGATGACTCAAGAGTTCACGCGCTACGCGTAGCAATAATCATGTGGACTTTACTTTCCATGAATGTAACTGGACGAACCAAGACGGTCAAGCATATGGCGCTAACGTTAAGATTGATTCTGGCTGAAATATCAGATCTTGACTGGATTGATAGCGAGGACATTGGCTTGTGGATTCTTCTGGTTGGGTTCGCTTGTTCTGCCGAGGGAAGTGAGGTATCGGTGTGGTATGCAGAACAGTGCTATTGCTTTGGAAGTGGTTTGATACCCGTCAGTCTAGACCAGGATCGTGAGGATGGTCTTGCAATGCAATTGGAGAGCTTCCAGCTTGGGTACTTTTTCGATCTCCAGGTTCAGAGATCTCGAACACGGAGACTCGCCCAGCACTGGCTTCAGCTGCAAGATGTGCAAGGATGATATTGAGATACTCTTCCAAGTATGATGTGTAGGAGCTCTATGGTGACAAGTCATGCGTATAATGGAGCCATTCTCCCTCCAAACCTCTATCCTACTAGATCATTTACTACCCTCAAAACGCTGCCGGCACGACTGTTCATGAGGATAGCCGGATGGATGCCGGATGAGCGCTCCGTTGATGACAAAGCGCTCCATCGGTCTCAAATTCAAGCCGAGACCACTACCCGTTTGGGCAAGTGTTTTGCCAACTTGGCCTTAGCCGCCCTTACAGCGGACCCACGTCTTGAATATGCGCTGCTGAGCCATGCACTTTAGAGGCTGCTAGACCTTATTGAGTTTTATACCAAGATTCGGAGGGAATTAAGTCAACCAAGACACATCAAGTTGGATCTATAGCAGCTCCTGTTTGATGAGAACAGCATCCTCCGGTCCCCGAAACCCCTGTGTCATCCCCAGCCGAGAGTGCTGCCTAGACATAAAACCGGGCGGGCTCGGTCGTCAGTTGGTTATTCAGCAACGAGACTATTACCCAATGCTGAAGCCTTAACTTTTTCTACAATCCTCTGGACGCCGTCTGGCGCGCCTTTCCTACTAGTGGAACAGGTAATCGTGACACCATTTGCATGCATCATGAATAGACTTCAATGAAAGCGAACTTACAATTCCAAGGTGCCGCGCTCTTCCATGCCAATCTATATAAGCAGGTTTGACAACACCAGTGCAGCCCTACCTGTTTCTTTATATGCGTAGTATAAGCATACCGAAGTAAGAAAATCTGCCCCTGCCCACAACGTCGCGTCATTTATTCCATCTCGACAAGAGGACGACTTTATGATCTTCCGGCACACCAAAATGGCATATGATCAATTGCCAAAGGCAATGCGGGCCCTCGTCCACAACCAGACACTTCAGACCCTAAAGCTTGCCGACTCATGGCCAGTCCCAATACCAAGCCAAGGCGAGCATCTGTTGAGAGTCGATTCGGTCGCCGTCACCAATGGAGAGCTGCTGTGGCCTCGTGGGCCTGATCTCAACGAAAGCCACCCTGGAGTCGAGATGGCTGGCGAGGTCGTGACTGCACCCCCAACATCCAAGTTCCGCGCTGGCTCCAAGGTCTACATGCGCACGACATTTCCAAACCCTGGTTCCGCCAGAGAGTACTCGATCGGCCTGGAGAATGAGATGGCCCGCCGGCCAGACAGTATCAAAGCCGCCGAGGCAGCCTGTGTACCCGTTTCAAGCCTCACTGCTTGGCAGGCACTTTTTGTTCATGGCGGATGTTCTCCTCAGTTTGACCATGCTGAAAATCCCTCGCCAGAGAACAGAAAGAGAGTCCTAGTCAACGGGGCGGCGGGCGGGGTTGGGCTCTGGATGACCCAACTTGCTCATGCCGCCGGATTTTGGGTCGCTGGGACCTGCAACACCCGCAATGCTGGCCTGGTGCGGGAATTGGGAGCTAGCGAGATCATCGATTACACAAAGACATCGATCTCGGAGTGGGCTAGGAACAATCCCCAGAGCAAGGTTGACTTAGTCCTGGACTGTGTTGGAGGAGATAGCCTGAACCAAACTTGGCATGCTGTACGTGAGCACGGCTTGGTCCTCAGTATTGCACCGCCAAAGGATATGGTCTGGAGGTTCGTTCTAGACCGACCTGACGGTATCAGTGACACCATTGAAGGCAAGTTCTTCATCATGGAGCCGAACGGTGAACATCTCCAGAAGATCACTGAGCTCATCGAGGCTGGAAAAGCGAGACCGGTGGTCGATAGCGTGTTCAAGTTCGAGGATTATCAAAAAGCATTCGATCGGGTGGGCAGCGGGCGGACTACAGGGAAAGTTGTCATTCAAATTAGGGAACAGGGTGGTGCGAATTGATTTTGACTGCCTGGAGGGTATATATTATCTGTCCTTTGAATAAGTTGGAGTCTACGTCAGCTCTAGCTTAATGTTTCAACGGGTCTCCTTCTTTCGGACTTTCCTAGAAGTGTGACAACCGACGAGTTTCATACCCCTATTTACCATGCAGAGGAAATATAGCAATTCTACAACAACATCCTTCATTCTCTGTACAACCATGAATATCATTCCTCTACGATTGGAGGGTTAGAGAGCATCTTCGCATGGTGGCCTGTACCATGGCATAGGCACATGAACCTTCTGAATTCGCATTGTTTTATGCGAGAGCAGAGATATCTAACTTAGACTATGCAGTATTATTCTTCAATTTCAACTTCTCCTCCTCCTCAGCATCGATTATGAATATACCAGCAACAGGATTCTCTGCAGCCTCCAGCCTGGAGCTATCTATGACCAGATTGGCAACAAACTGTGCTTCCTCTTCGCCCACATTCTCGGATCTGACATGATGGCAGCCAGGCATTTCGTACCAAGACTCGCCAGGTCCATAGACTTTCGGGCCTGGGGGTAGTAGTAATCGTCAGTGGACGTAATTTCAACGGACCAGGCTGAGGCTTGCCTTTAACTGTAGCACAACCGTCCTTCGTATCTGCGGTACCACTGGAAAGCTCTGGGTGTACCATCTGATTCAACATGTGTCCTTTGATCATGGTTGCGATCACAGCTGCATTGTTGTGGGTGTGAGGTGGGGTGCTGCGATTGGGCACAAATTAGTTGACGGGGACAGGTCTGGCGTCTGGGCCGACGAAACTAACGCTGCTCCTGGCGGTGCCGTCACTACAAGTGTTATCCACGTTTTACCGGCCATGTTTGGAGGATTTTGAAGTTGCGAGACTTCTATATCGACAGTCGGGCGTCTGGTATTTGATTTTGCATGAGAATTCAAGTTTGTAGCAAGATAGGTATGAGGGAATACAGTGGGATGATCCTCACCAAGAGGAAGGAAGGAAGGAGTAGTACTCACCCATCCACTGTCCATTGGTTGTCCTGTTTGATAACCCTCTGGTGCTGCCAGAATGTCTCGCTCATGTTAACCTCCATCGGGGCCATATTTTGGGCAAGGATAAATTTCACAGGGACTGCGGTTGGGTTGGAGTGTCCTGAATCAAATATTCGTTCACCTGACGAAGCCCAGAAAGCCGTGAGGTCAGTTATATATATCTACCCCGTACTGATATGGTGGGCCCAATAGCCATGCTCGTGTGGTGACATGACGGGAGGCCTCAGAGGGTATGCTCATCCATGTCGACTAAACCAGCAGAAGTATGAAAGTACCGGGCTCTGGGCATCAACTCTAGTGGATGAAGTTTCCATCGAGGGTGAAGTCCCCATCGAGGGTACAGGCTACCAGCGATGCATGGTTGCAATGGTCCACAGTTGAAGCTGTCAAGTACGAGATTGGTCATCCCGAAACCACTACCGGATAGGGTATCGCTTGGTATGCCAGGGCTCTAGATTTCTGCCGACCTAGGGCAAAAGATATCCACGTAAATGAGTCTTCGTAAGTCGAATGAGGAGCAGAATGAAGCCCGCGTTGTAAGGCAGATTAAGTGGCAGGAACGAGATGCGCATGTGTAAAATCCCACTATGGAGGATTGACGATAATGGCGTCACCCTGCCGCGAGCACGGATATGACATAGCCAGTACGTAGCAGTGAATATGGCTAATTTTCTAGATAATCAGCTGGAAAGGCCCCGAATCTCGAGTCTCAAGTAGGGAACCACCCCAAGGGCATGAGCGAGCTAGCGGCGTGTGGAGTGAAGCCATGAACTCGAATACCACCATGGAAGATATATACCAGGTCCTCGCATGTCGGGTCTTTCGCGGTCCTTCGAAGAAGGAGTCATAACTTTGGACCGCTGATCCCCACTGCCTTGCGGCATCCAGCCGAGAACAGATGTAGGGATAAGGAAACATTCTACTACTTTTGGTAGTTTCTGGTGATGCAGATATAATCACGCTGGGGAAAAATGGGGTTGCGTGATGATCTCTGTCTTAATTCTTTCTAGGCACGAAGCACTGCGATCTGAGAGAATGACTGGTCTCTGACTAAGCATCTGCTCAGTAGAAACGGGCGTTGAACCTGCCAATGAGCGGATTGTCAATATTGTCGGCTGGATACCGAGACCGGAGCTCCTGGTATGTCAGATCCAGCCTCGCTCGGCATCCCATCCCACACGCCCACGAGCTCGGCCGAAACCTCGCGCAACGTCATCTCTTGTACAGACATACGTACACCGCGGCTGATGAGTTTGTATGGGCCTCAACCCACTCACAGGGGAGTATAAAAACCGATACTTGGAATTCAATCACTCAATCACTCTTTCTCCTGGCCGTTTCTTTTCTCCTCCCATCTCCGCGAATTATAACCCAACAGCCTTCTCCCAAGCACCCCCGAATCCGAACCAGTCAGTTCACAATGCCGAAACGAGCAACGGCCACATTTGTAAGTTTTCGTCAATCAATGCCTGGTACCTGTTCCGGCAGATTTCTACCGGGTCTAGCAGTTGCATACCAGCAGCACACCGAGCCAGACAAGTTGAATCAACACAGTTCTTGAAAGGTCACTGTTCCTCGTACTCACCAATCCACTTTCCCAATTCTAGTTCAACGACGGACGCGAACAAGAGCTACACGAATATATCCTCTCCCGACCAGACCTCGAGACAGGCCTCCGCAACAACCCAAAGGCCATCGTGCACGCCATCGAAGAATTCACACGCCAACAGCGGATGATAATCTACTCAGAGACCAAGCTCGAGAAGTCGCGCTCGATCCTCGCAGAGATGGACCCCCCACCGAAAGTCCTCCTCGAGGCCGGCACGTACGTGGGCAACTCGGCCATCGCGTGGGGCGACATGCTGAGGACAATCAACGGAGGGAATGCTGAGGGCGTCAAGGTGTATACCTTCGAGCTGGACGAGGAGTTCGTCAAGATCGCGCGCGAGCTGGTGGAGTTGGCGGGCCTTTCTGACATCGTCACTGTGATCCAGGGAAAGTCGACGGATTCGATCCGGACCCTGAAAGAGGAGTCTGGGCTTGACCAGATCGATGTCCTTTTTCTCGACCACTGGGAGGAGGCGTATTTGCCTGACCTGCAACTCTGCGAGGATTTGGCATTGTTCCACAAGGGTTCGGTTGTTCTTGCGGATAACACTGACTACCCCGGTGCGCCGGAGTATGTCAAGTACGTCAAAGCAGGTGGCCGCGGGGAGCAGGGCCATGTCAAGTATGAGAGCGTGAGCTATGCCACGGCATCTAAAGCGGGAGCGCCGGTGAGTATCTCTCTCTCCAGTGGCTGCGTTGCAGTGGAAGTGACTGACTTATTGTGATAGTCGATAGTCGAAGCCAGTCTTGTTGTTGAAGTCCCTTGAGGAAATATTCATCCTGCTATGGAAGAACGTTCGTCGGAGGATTCCGAGAAACGAAATGGAGCGCAAAATAGTGGATTTCTCAGAAGACAGATAATTCTTGTCGACTGAGATCTGTTTATCGAGCATGAAGGAAGATTGAGCTGAAAAGACATTCATCCCTCATCTCCGTGAGTGTCCCTGACGCCCTCATCGGCATCACTGCCCTCTCCATCGCCATCCCCATCTCCCAACGCGGCCTCTAAGCCTGTCATGTCCTTGTTCCCGCCGACCTTGATGGGCACCTTGGTCGCCTCGATGCCTCCACTAGTGACGAACAAGAACGTCTCGCATGGAAAGTTGTCTACGTGATTGAAGAAATTTCCAAAAACATTCTCCTTCTCTTCGTCTCGGTACATTCGCTCGTAGATCTGCTCCTGCTTGAACTGGTCCATTTCTTTCTTGAACTTGTCGTAATTGATCGGATCCTTACTCAGTTCGTTCTGGGCCCGTTTGTTGTATGAGTCAAAGACGGGACGTTCCAGAAGCAAACCTAAACTTGGAGCCTTGGGGATTGAAATACTTTCTGGCCCTAAGCTTTGTGTAAGTCGCTTTGGGTCGCAGCCACAGCGTACAATTAAAGCCACCATGCCAACCATCTTACGGATCTGATGCATCATGAAACTCTGACCATGTACTTTCATGCTAAGCCATTCCGTGCCATCGATCAGAATTGGTTCGGGGTTGAGGTTGAAGGACTTGATCACTCGTTTGGCGGACGGGTCTTTGTAAGTTTTCTGGATGGTGAAATTGTGGTAGTTGCGGGTTCCGATAAAAAGATTGAGTGTTTCTTGAATACGTCGAAGCCGAGTTTCGGGAATGCGATATGAGCGTTTCGCGGTGACGTACGCTTGACGAAGGCGTTTGGAGGCCTCGGAGATGATGATTGCTTGAGATGGAGGGCGTTTCACTCCTTCGGGCTGGTCCGAGGTTCCTTCTGGTACGTTTTCTTGAGGGATCGAAATCTCCTTGTCCGACCCATTCTCATTTTGAGAGGGTTGTACGTCATCCTTGATTTCGGATGAGGCTTGCTGCTCGGGTTCTCCCTTACTTTCAACCTCCACTGGCTCCCCTTTCAGCCATAATGCCTTCTCGAGGATAGCCTTGATCTCAGGGTCATATTCTTCCAGTATCGGCTTGATAAGTTCCTCATCGACCTTCTCCCAATACCCCTGGACTTCCTTCTGTCTCTCCCGGTAGGCCTCAAGATCATCTTTCTTGGCTGCCCACTCTTCAAGCTGCCTTCCAAGAAAACTGCTCGGGTGAGGTGGAAGGAAACTGTGTGTAGGGATGAGGTATTCGTATATTCTCGAGTCGACCGTCTGATATGCACTGAAGCTGTTGTTCGTTCTCTCGAAACCCCACACTCGAATTTGTGGAACCAGATTCTCGTTGATTTTCTTGACGATGTCCTCATCCTCAACGATCAGCTTGAGCGATATTAGATTGCCGGCTGCATGTACACCCTTGTCGGTCCGAGCACACCTGACAAAGGAAGACTTCTTCGGATCATCCGCATTGGCTTTGGAGATTGCACCAGCTGCGACAAAAGCCTGGAATAGATCTCCTTCAATTGTTTTGTGGTCGTTGGTACTATGTTGTGTGTCAGCCCCTGTGCTACCATCACGCCTGGGAGCACCTTGTACTCACAACTGCATGCCTTTGTACCCTGTCCCAGCATATCCAATAAGTACTGCGACCTTTTTCTTTGGCTTTCTCTCTTCGCCGGCAAGTACTTCGTCGCTAAACTTGGTGGCATAGATGGGCAATTCGGCTGGCCCCTGGTCTACCCGCTGTCTCTTAGATGCTTTCTCATCCTCGTTCCGCTGCCTCTTATCTACTTTATTTTTGCTTAGCAAAAGTCAGCCTTCGGCTCGGGAGTCGGCTCTCCAGGATCGCGTCTGGAAGGGACTCGTATGTGTGACTTACGCCCACTCCTTACGCCCAAGATCTCTGTTTTTGCCTGCACGACTGCCTCGACCACCTCTGGATTTGCCCCTGGAAGCATGAGTCGAGTTTGATCCTCGATTCTCGCGATTTGTTGATCTAGAGTCAGAAAGAGGGTTGGACTGCGCTTGCGCTCGCCCTGGATCGGGCGTCGTGGTCTGCCCTTCCATCCTTGGTAGTTTCGCTTTTGGAGGAGGGAGAGTGGCCGATCCAGGTAGCGGCGAAGCATGCAGAGAGTCTCCAGTGAGGATGGGACTCAGTTCTACGGACAATAGAAAGCGGTCAATTAATCTCGAGAAACGCCTGTATGTATTTTTCCATCCAGCTTTGAGATTCTCCAACTTGATTGCAGCGTCCGCTTCCCCTCATAAGACTTGCCAAGCTTCCTGGCTACGTCTAATACGGCAGAGCATAAAGCATCTCATTGCTAAGCATTGTCAAGCCAAGAATCGCGTTTCAAGCACCACATTCATCTACTACAGTACTTGGTGAAGGATTTCGAATCTTAAGGTCTCATACTACTAAGGGGAACACAAGTTACTGGCGAGGGTACATCTCAAAATGAGCCGGGTTAGTATGCTGGTGCACCATCTGCCCCAGCCATCGGCTTGACCTCCACCTGCACAGGCTCAGCGCCGATGCCCCTACTCTTTGCTTCAGAGATGATACTTGCAGTCGCAGTAGCCCCTATCCTCGTGACACCCAGGGACATAACATAAAGCAGATCATCAAGTGTCCTCACGCCTCCAGCGGCTTTGATTTGCACGCTCGGCTTTGAGTGCTTCCGCATCAGCTTCAGATGCGGTACGGTCGCTCCCTTGTAGGTGTAAAGCCCACTACTTGCCTGCTTGACGAACCCGTACCCCGTCGAGGTCTTGACGAAGGCGACGTCCAGTGACGAGCAGATCTCGCACAATTTGACAATGTGCTCGTCCTGCAGGAAATCATTCTCGAAAATGACCTTCAAAATCGCGCCTTTGCTCGTCACTGCGCTGTTGATCGTGCGTATCTCCTCCCACACGTAGTCCCAGTCGCCGCTGAGCACTTTGCCGATGTTGACCACCATGTCGATCTCGTCTCCGCCGGCCTCGATGGCCTTCTCGGCTTCAAACACTTTCACCTCCACCGTGCTATTGCCTGCTGGGAACCCGATGACAGGACACACAAGGACGCCCGAACCGGCTAGGGCGGCTTTTGCTTGAGGGATCGCGTATGGCTTGACGCACGCCGTTGCGGTACCATACTCCTTTGCGATCTCGAGTCCGCTCTGGATTTCTGCATCCGTCATGGTCGGGTGAAGAAGAGAGTGGTCGATCATCTTCGCTATTTGCTGAAGAGTGACCTTGATTTTCTGTGGTTGAGACATCTTGCGCGAGCTCTGGTTTCTTGTTGTTGGACCAATGGGGATAGAAAATCAAATAATTTGATACAGGTTTGTATACGATCTTAAAGCCTGTGCGAGATGAATGGCTATGTCCCGGGTGCTAGGAGACCACTGTAGAGTGACCGAAACAGGCCTTGAAGTCAAAAAGCCAGCGAGAAGTTGTGAAGGATATCCTCGATTCCTCTAAGGAAAGGCGGGCTATTTTTAAAGAACCCAACTCACACATAGAGCAGGATATTCCCAACCTTTTCCAGCGTCTGTGACCGCCGCCTCAACCAGCAAAAACACAGAAGAGACGAGCTGGTAGATCAAATTTTCTTGCGTTGTAGGTTAGTCGTATGACTGCGTGAGTCAAATGTAACCAACCAAGGTGACCACATTCATATGATAGATAGCCTTTTCGGTGATCGAATCCGTGTCAGGAGGCTGGAGCGGGAACGCTACCTGTATCGATCGTACCCCCGCTCACAAGCGGGAAGACTCCTTCTTCTGCTGTCGGCCGGAGAAAAAGATTACGATCGATACTAGGCTGTCATGTTGGGATGATCTAGCATGGTGACGACTTCCACATATCTACAGTTCTCAAAGAGGGAAATCCTACTTCACTCGAAATCAGTGTTCATTATCTGTTCTATGGCAATGCCTTGCGCTCGGTTTTGTTGAGCATAGATTTTAGCTCTTAGTGTACAGTCAACTTGAAATGTTCATCTGGAGACCCGGCATTCACTCTTCGGGATGATGCAATAGCTCTTAATCGTACAGTAAGACCGGTCATGTAAGTAGGCCCATTAACCTCATCAGGAGGATCTCATAATCAGCCTCCATACTGCGCGTTTTTGATCTCTCTGGACGCCATCATAACTGCCATGCAATTGCCGTGTAGGGACTCGCTCCGCCATTGTATATCCTTGCCAGATGGGTTTACTCAGGATCAATGACATAGCATTCAGCGATATCTCGAGAACGATGAACCTATTTGGCGTTGAACAGATAGAGCACGTTGAAGTAGCCACGACGCACCAAGCGATCGAAAGCTGGGGCGATCGCGGTGTCAGGACTCCAAGTATACTCATCCATCTCGTGCTCTTTGGCGTGTTTGATCGTATTCAATAAGCTATCAGACCAATGAGTGGTACGATAATCAGGGTTGGTGCCATTTGCTGGTGCATAGAACCATGCGCGACCATCATGGTTCTTATGGTATGTAGCGGATATGTCTGCGATGAGGGGCTGAAGAATTTCCACGATGTCCTTGCATACTTTGCGGTGGATGGGGTTTCCGGAGCTCATCATGAACTCAAGGAAGGTAATGGTGACCAGTGTCCAGCAATGAGTTTCGAGGGGATTGAAAGGCTTCGGATCTGCCGTATCTCTGGCTTTTGAAACCAGGATATCTGCTAGAAGGTGAGTGGCCATGAAGATTGCCTCTGCATTCATGTCCTTCTTGTTGCGAACAACAAGTAACCCCAAGAAGGCAGAAAGTTGACGAACTATTGGGCTTTGTTCGACTAGAGGAGGGTAGTGGACGAGATTGAATGAGAGAGACCCTTTCATGAATTCGCCTGCATAGAGTCCCAATGACTCATGTGCCCACTGCAAGGAGGGTAGGGTCATTTCCACATTGTTTGCAAACATGCAGACATAGGCCGCTTCGGGACTGATGTACGGAACCTTGTTGACAATGGAGAGCTTGTGACCAGGCTTGAGATAGGGCACCAAACCACTGCCTAAAGAGTGCAAGGTCGCCAACAGGTAGCTGACATTGTGAGCAGTTCTTACGACACCCAAGAACTCTTCGTTGTCCGCAATGAACGAGTCTGCTGGAGTTGGAGTAACGGGACCCAGGTAAGCAACCACTTCGAAGGTCTGACTGAGCAACTCGGCAGATGTGTAGGGGTCGGAAATGATTCCTGCAAAATCATTCTCAAGAGACAGTCCGATCAAGATACAGGTCCAAACGAGCGCCAAATTGTCATCATCAGAGCGGTCTGCAGGGTGGTCCTTAAGTTGGTCGAGCATCCACTTGGAAAGCTCTTCAAAGGAAGAGAAGACGCTAGACTTGAATGATGTCTTGGTCGCTGTGGCCTCTGTTTGAGGGGCGGAAGTAGACTCTGAATTGTGGTCACCATTCACTGCCGATTCAGATGGGATACCAGGTAACAATTCCAAGGCAGTGGCAAAGGCATGAGAGACTTTGGCGGTTGCATTTTCGATCACACCGATGACAGTTCCAGCTTCGGGAAGCAATCCAACAAACGGGTGAACATGGCTGTAGTATTTTCCCAAGTGGGTTTCGTTCAACTTGAAGGATTCCATGGTGTCAGATGGTTGATCAATCTTTTGGCGCTTAGCCGGATGAGCTTGATCAAGATCGGACCAGAAAGGCTTTGCGGTTGTGGATGAGAGATCTTTGGAAGGATCAGAATCAGGGATGTTGGGAGTAGGGAGAGTCTGATCTGGCGCAATTGCAACACTGCCCTGATCACGCGAGCGAAGGTCAGGTAGATTGCTCCCCCATGCCCCAGTACTCGGGATTCGATCGCGTTGGAATTCGGCCTGAGCAAAGGGTGCGTGTGTGAGAGAAAAGGACATTCGCGATCTACCGGTGGGTGCGTCTTCGGGTGAGAAGGCAACTTGGTCGAAGGGGGCGGAGGCTGAGCCAATGTCGAGGGATTGTCGTAATGCCGCCGCCTGCAACTGTTCCACGCTGTGAACGCGATCGGCAAGATCCTTGATATAGCTGAGTGAGTCACCAGTTAGTGAGTGGTTAAGGCGCAGCAACGCAAGGTAGAAAGACAGTTCAGTGAGAACTTACCCTTTGGAAGGGCCTCGCTTCATGGGCTTTCTCTCAAAACCACAAGTCAAGCCAGATTTTTCGCAGTTGGTGCAAGTCTTGGGGATCCCGTTCTCGTTCTCGCTGTCCTCCGAGGGAGGATTGATGCAACGAACCTGCGCAATGTGAGGATGAGGACAAGTGAGAGGATAGGTGAAGGTTACCTTCTTGCGGCGACATTCATCGCAGGCGCGTGAAACCTTTGAGCGCTTTCTCTTGTCGCCGGTCATTGGAGTTTGGGACAGGTCAGACGGGTCGTCGACATTAGAACGTGACGCCGGCGCGACAAAAGATTGTTGATTGGGGGTTTGTGGAGGAGCCATTGCTGGATCAGTCGCGACCCCATTGCCTGCACCGTTCGTGTTGATGGCGAAATTATTTTGAGATGGGCTGGTGGGCATCTTGCTTGGGTTCGCAGCATCGTGCAATTGTTGAGTGTAGGTCTGGGGAAGAGCTGGGTAATTCGAGGACATTGTCAGCTCCGCGTCGATAGGGAACGGGTATTGAGACTGGGTGAACTGTGACGAGGTCGCAGAAGAGAAATTGACGTCCGGTCGATCGCCTGACTGATCATGCGCGTTCAAATTACGGTCCATGGTTGACCGAGTGTAGCGGGCACGCTGGCTGTCGCAACCGCGCTTCCGAAAGGTGAGGATTTGATGGAAAGGCGACGATGAGGATGCAGGTGTAAGTCAGACTTGGGGAAGTCGCAGTTGAGCGTCAGGTGAAATGTATGTCCGACGGCCGGGTCGCTAGCGTGAACACCCAGGATTTAGTCACCAGTTACGGCCCCCTAGCTGCCTCTGTCCCGCCAACCATAAGTCGGGATATTGGCTGCCAAGATACATTAGACCTGCTAGCGCTTGCCACTATTCCGTCGTGACTTTCGGGCACTGGCTGCCAGCTTCGTTGCATCGGCCTCTGACAGTTCCAATCGCGAGGTCGCAACCTCTGTTACCGAGTTTGATCAATCTGGGGAGAGCTTCAGGCTATTCGAGGGGAAGAGCGGGAGTGCTGAAGCACTCCATGGGTTTCGGCCATGTCCATCTGCTCTGTTCCCCGCCGCTAACGATGGATTAATGCTTCTACTCATGAGTCCTCGTCGACCCCTACCTGCGTCTGGGCCTTGCCTGTCTAATCTCTAATGGTATTATTTAATCGTCGTCGCAAGCAGCTTTCCTGAATCCTTGCCTGCTCCCACTGTGCCCCGTTTCATTGTGACGTCAGATTGATGCATACAGTGTACAGTACGTTGTATTTGGAGACACAATAGAACATGGACATCACACAAGTCGCTTAAAAGTACTGCCGGAACCCAAGTAATGATAGAAACCAAGTACAAAGTCCTGGGCACGATGCACACATAATAGGATTCCCGGGTACGGAACATATCACCAGATCTAGATGACTCCACGACGGATAGAGGGAACCGTTTACTCACACTCAAAAAATGCAGAGAAGGACAGTGTTGGAATTTTCTCGCAAAGACATGTGTACCTCCACCCGTGTGATAACAACCTGTTACATATTTACATCTAATGGCTCTTGCATGGACGGCGACAAACGCGATCTAGATTCTTGATCTACCACCGACCATGGTCATGGATGGCCATGAACGTGCAGCAACGACTGTCAGAGTAGAAGGAAGACACGGGCGGATGCCGACGCGCCGCATGAACCCTCTCCAGAAGACCGGAAATTCGTATCTTCTTTCTCTCTCTCTCTCTCCAAGACTTTCAACACACCTTCTGCGTGGTCCATCTTAACAAGCCACTAGAGTGCCCTTGAGAGCGAGGGCGGCATCGAGGGTAACGAGTAGATAACCCCTCAAGTCTACCTACACGTAAAAATACGTGGAGAACGAGAGCGGGTTTCACCAGGACTACAGTAACTTGGCCATCACTGGGGTGTGTGGCCTGTGCAGCATGATTCTTTTTGTCTTATCCATCGGCGACCAGGGACCTCGTCTCAAATCCTGTTTTGGTGGTTGTTATTTGCTTTTTCCTTTCATCTCCTCCTCACTCAGCGAGCTGAATGTTTATACATAAGGTTGGCCTGGCCAAGCCAAGCCACCAACCGCCTGCAATGTGCAACGCGAACGCATGGCCTACGAGTACAGACATACAGTACATGGCGTGGCGTGGCGAACATCATGCATCCCCAAGAATATTCGTCGCGTCTTGAGCTGCTGATCGTGATCGGCGTGCGAGTTCAACCCTGATCTCCATGAGGTCAGTGACTCGGCCAATGTCTCCATATGTCTCCATGTGGCGTTGTAGTGGAGTCCGTGCCGCGGACAACAGCCCCGCCCCAGCTACTAAGCCTGCTAGTTCTTTGAAATGAACGGGGGTGTTGGAAGATTGAACAGAGGAGAAAGGGAAAAACCCCTCGGAACCCAGGAAGTCAAGGGGAACTTTAGGAGACCCTCGAGAGGAGGTGTTCGTTTTCCCATCCAATCCCGATTGAGTTCCCTTCCTTTTTCCCACACGTTTTTTCTTGCGCGTCCAAGCGATTGGCTCAAACCTAGTCTTCCACTACGTCTACGACCAGGACCCCCGGCACGGTGGACAAGATCACTTTCTGTTTCTTCCTCACTCTCGCAACCGCTCCCCGATTTCCTTACTACGACCCTTACTTACACTTGTAGAACGGTTGTCGCTTGTTATTTCTACCAGTGTCTGTGCGCTCCTGCAGGGCGCAATTCGGTACAGAATGTTATCTTCGACTATGACTCTTTCGAGAGCCCTGCATTTCCTCGCCGGATTGCTCCGCGCGAAGTTATTTGCTTTTCGTCGTTGCAGTCGCGTCCGGTTGGCTCGGCGCGGGCGGAGTCTGCGGTAATTTTACGGCTGACACAATAATGTCTCAGTCATACATCGGTTTTGGGGCAGTCCTATGTCCTGTCTAGGACTTCCGCGAACCGTGAGGATTTAGTAGAGGGGGCTAGGGTTCCCCCTACCTGATCTAGTAACCTACTGTGGTGTCGCGTAGTGGGTGTTATCGAAAATCCAGTTGGAATCGCTTCCACTTCCCGCCCCTGGTCACAAAATGAGCGGCACACTCCCAAAATTCAAGGAATGGAAAGGGCAATACATACATCACTCCGCAGCGGGGGCAACCGCGGCGCATCGGGGCGAATCCTGGTTGGCCGGTGACGACAGGACTGCTGATGATCTGTCCAACGCAGTCGCTGCAGACGCCACAGATACATTCGGTGCAGGCAAATGCATTTCTGAGCAGCCAGGGCCGACCACACGATGCACAGTAGATTTCCAAGACTTCCGATTTGCTGCCAAACGAGGATGACTGAGAGTGCTGATAAGGGTGCGAGTGATGTTGCAGCGGACTAGTGTTGTCGTTGGACGATGCAGACGTGGGTAGGCCAGATCCTGAGATGTGGAAATTCTGCCCTGATCCCCCGCTGTCCATTGACTCGACCGATGGGAAGGGCTCGGGATCGTTCGGGCCCATGTGGTCTGGTGGCGGTGGCGTCAGTGCGCGTTGGAGCGGAGAGGCATTATATTGCCCGTGGCCATGGCTGTGGTGCTGTCCAAGGTAAGAGCCGAGAGGTCGGAAGCCTGGCGGTAGGGATGATCGCTTGTTCGCCCCTCCACTTGCTACAATGCTGTCCGCGGCGGACAACCTGCGGGTGGTGGGATGGCCAGCAGCTAGGGTGTTGTTGGTGTTGGTGGTAGCTGCAGCGTTGGCAGCGCCCACGCCCACCGTGCCAGTGCTGGTGGAGGGCGGAAAGTTTGGAGATTGCGGCATCTGTGGTCGAGCGCCAAGGGCATGTTAGCAAGGTTGATTATCATGGTCTAACGCACAAAAATTGAGGAGGTTGGTGTACACATTAATTAACTTGAGGGTGCATAAACTTTTTTCGTGACAGACCCCCTGCTCTGACCCGGCCGCCCCAGATCTTGTTGCGAACGCGAAGCGGGTTATGTGGTCTGACCTGATGAAAATCAAAAATGGCTTTTTTTCGCAATTCCCGCCGGGCAAGCCATAGGTCTCCAGTCCACTGCCCACGGTCGTCGTCGTGGTCCTCAGCAGGTTTTTCCAAACCAGCGATCGTGATTCGACCGGGACGCGCGAGTTCTGACCGTGGTGAGAATTATGACCAAGGGAGAGAATTCCTCCTGCCCGGACCGAGGTTGCTCTTGGCCTTTTCTCCTTTCGTGCGGTAGCCCAGGACATAACGGTCGTCGTCGCTTGGTTCGTTTTGGTAATAACAGTAGTAGTAGTGACAGGTAAAAGTAGTACAAGACAGTATTCCCTCTGGGTGGCTTCTCCTCCGGGGGGTACATCTACAGAATCTCGATCTCTTGACAGCAGCAAGTAAACAGAGGACAATCGAAAAATGTCGTCTGACTTACGGGAGTGAGATCACGATCGTCATCAGCTTCTGTTGCGCTCGTCGCAGCCTCGATCAGATCTTCCCATCTCTTTCCTTGGACCCAGGCGGCCGTTGGTGGTTCGGCAGACATGGCTTTGCGACCTTCGACGCTTAGCCGTCGGGTAAAATCCTTGGCTGAAAATTCCCTAGATTTTCCGCGTTCGTGCTTTCCCTTGCGCGCATTTTGCCCCATCGAGGGTTTTCTGGGTCGCTGCAACTTCTCCCGCCGTTGTATTGGCGGCAATGAGGAGTATCGGCTGCTTGGGGACTGGAGTATGGATGGTAATAGTTCTCTAGTGCGAGAGGGTTGGAATGGTGGTAATGTATCTTCGTGGAAGGCGGCGCGAAGTGATGGTAATTCAATACCCGAGTCGCGTTTGTATTCTGGGTCTGGGAACACATCCTGAGATGTGAATGAGCGTAGTCCTAGCGGTGACCCTATCTTTTGCCCAGCAAATACTTACAAAATCTGAATCCCAATTGTGGAGTTGTGCCAGGGCCACTGCAGCGTTGGCGGTGGGCGGTTGTGCAGGAAGTCCACCAGATTGCCCTGCATTCCCGGCGATTGCGGGATAACGAGCGTGATCACTCGCGTCCGCTGCTGTGTCTTAGCCAAAAGGATTACCTCAATGGTCCATTTCAACAAACATACATTTCCTTGCAGGGGGAGTCGCGCCAGGAGGAGGCTGCGGTCGTTGCGAGGGAGGAGTGGAAATCATCAACTGAAAACTCTCCTCCGTGGCAGGTAATTTGGGAATATAATAGTCGGGATGTGCACGTCGGATGTGTTCTTGCATAGACCGATACCGCTTCTCCTGTTATGTAGGGTTAGTACCTCGTGTAAATCGTGGGATTGGAACGCGGTGGAAGGATCGGGAGTCATGACTTACCCCAATGCACCTCTTGCGGCACTGAGAGCCATCTTGGTTGGTAAGAGGACATACAACCTCGTTTTCTGCATCTGTAGACACGAGAAAAGAGCTGGTAAGGGCTGGTTTGGGCGGCATGGCCTACTGCGCTGACCGCAGGAGGAAATTAGGAGGAAGTGACGAAGGTCGACGGCATCGATCGGACAGTCCGCACAAGCTTGGCTGAATTTGCTTGAGCGAAAGGAAAATCCCGGCGACGTCACGGGAGCCCTTTCACATGATTCGACAAGGCTCGTTTATAGAAGTCTTGAAGAAATGATGAATTATATTGAGGGTGATGGATGAGGGGAGAGGCTTGCTGGTGGTGTAAGAGGGGGCGGTGGTGGGAATGAGGTGTGTGCGTGTGTGTATTGTGTTGTTGGTGGTGGTGGTAAATGGTGATGGTTGGCAGGAATAGTTAGGGATGATGTGTGTGTTGGGCGGCTCAGGGAAAGAACAATGGAAACGAGCTTGAAGGACCTACCAAGTACAGCAGCTACCGCAGCTACCCTAACCAGGACTATGAGGGGCAAGCACCACCAGTGGCACTGGCCAGTGACCACCCAAGTCAAAGGCAAGCAGGGGGGAGCTTAGGGCTCGGCTTAGCTGTTGGGGTAGCTAAACTGTAGTGGGTAAAGGAGCTTAAACACACCCAGAAACTCTGCTCTGGCAGCTACCCATTGGCAAAGTGTTGACAGCGCAAGCTACGGAGCACTGATTCTCGGCACTCCCACGCCCTCAACCTTCTTTCTTTCTTAACGAAGTTAACTGTTACTCGTACATTGGTCATCCTGCACCGACTCATGCAGCCTGCAGCCTACTTGCTTAGCGTCCAAGTGACAGCCCGTCAGGAACCAAACAGAATGTCTTTTCTTCTCATCCATCAAGCCATAATTTGTACAATCATCATCCCGTTGTGGTTTGCCCTGCTTCTCACTGGAGATCTCAGCTCTACCATTCAGGTACTCGGTATTCTTGCCAATCACTCCACCTCCAGCTGTCCGTGTATCCACTCTCACCTCATCTTTTGCTCGCGAAACCCTGCTGTGATTGACTCGTCCCCCAAACAGCCTGCCCGTCTCCAGCGTCAACACACCGATCATCAAGACCTCTCTGCAATCCAAGGTTGGAGCTCCAGCATTACCAAGGAGCTTTGACCCACGAATTAGCATGTGCGTTGTTGACAGCTCGTCAATTTGACTTGAACTTTGAATTGCTGATCTTGACCTTAGGTCTGTAATTCCGAGGTGTGGTACGATCACAGCTTCAGCTCAGGCCCACAGAAGCTATCTGAGGGAGCTTTCGAACGTTGTACACCAGTCAGAGCTCCTTGTGCTCCCATCGCCTAGCGTATTCTCAAAACAGCTCTTTGCCCGGATTGAGCTCTGTCGGAGCTCTCGGTTATCCTTCAGCACAACCAAGTACCGGCTAATGCAATCTGATGTAACAGATATCCTACCATCCTGGCGATCCAAGAACTAAGCGTCGCTCGCCAGAGACCAGTTACATCATATCTATAACAATATTGTGGACTGCACCGTCGTCAGGATGGCCGACCAGTCTTAGAAGTACTCGTAAAGCTACAACCGGATTAGCAAAGCCTCCATAACAATCCGTGCGCTGCAAGTGCCAAAGTCATACAATATATTGGCGCAATGATGCTTACGCTTGAGTTGGTCTTGAAAATCAGGCAACACAAAGCCAAAGCCCGGTCCTTTTAAGGATCATAGAAAGGACCACTGCTTCGATAAATACGAACAAGTTTGATGAGGAGCTTTCATTACAAGGAGCCAGAACTAACTAGAACGAAGACAACTGACACCTCCCCAAGGGACTTGCACGATGTTAGTCCGAAGGCGCTGTTAATACCGGCTGCATCAAGTCCCTATGCGCGAGGCGAACCCATCATTCAAGGTAAGCTCAAGGCCATACGGGTCTTGATGAAAAGCTCGACAATGCTGCATACTCACCGACACTTTGCCGTTCCAGTCTTGAGATTCATACGCCTTTCAAGCTGAAAGAGCTGCGAGTCTGATGCATTAAACGCTATGCCTTAAATACTACAATCATTAGGCGAAGTGCAATAACCAGGCTCAACCCTGGATTCAAGCACTCTCAGAAACCTTTCATGTATCTATGTGCCTTGGTAATTGCGGTGACCTCAAACCGCATGCCGACTTCCACGTGCCCTTCGTTTCTCGGACAGCAAAGCATTCCAAAGCACGGCTTAAATTTAATACCTTCATCGATCCTTCGATAGCTAACGAGCAAATCCCAAGGCTGCCTCGGATGTTTCTCTGCTGTGTCCGGATTCACATTAGGGACCTGGCAACGTGCACACCGGGCGACCACATCTAGATCCATCGCATCCCGGTTTCCGCCCGTTAGAGTTGTGAACAATGAAGAGTCTCCGTTAACGCGAACAGTTTTCCACTCATCCTCAGACCAAGGTTCTGCTCCCTTGATAATGATATTGGGCCGAAATCGTTCATACGTGATTTCCTGGTGACCTTGCTCTGTCAACCGAGAGTTCAGTTCGGCAAGGGAAGACTCGGACGCGATCAAAATGGGCAGAACATCCGGAAAATTGACACTCTCGGTTCTGCCCAAACTCTCAGGCTTTCCGTTTCCACCCACGATTCTCGGCGTCGGCCCTTTCATCACCAAGCTGACCTCCTCACCAAAGAACTCAGTGAAGATTGTTTTGATTTTTGGGTCTCTGTATGCGTATGCATCCGTGATATATTCCCAAACGTCGACGTCAATCACATCCGCATGCTCCTCCAACCAAGCATGCGATGGCCACAGCGGGACTCGGACTTGTTTGCTAGTGTCGTCTCGGATGGTGATGACGAGGTCACCCTCGACATCATCCACCGCGGTGTTGATCAGCGTCATCTTAGGATTCGAGCGAATGGTTAAGAATTTCTTCTTTTCATTAACAAACTAAACCACGGCAAGATCTGTCAGCTAATCTATCGCTCCGTGTTATGCACTCTCCCTAGATCTTACGCAGGATGAAATGAGACTTTGCACTCACCATCCAGCGCCTATCAAGTTCCAGCCCCTGCCTGGTAAGGTTTGCTGACCGAAGTGATATGCCTCGACATGACTTGATGGGATATATCCGCAAGTCCGTGATCTCTGACACTGTGTGCGCCATGGTGATGGAATTCCTTGATATATATTGCGGCTCAGGTCTACAGTTGTGCCAGAAAAGCAAGATCGAACCCTTTCTGAAAAAGCCCGTGTGAAGCTCCCAAGTTGTCGGTGATGTGACGGCTACATGGAATAAATCTCGTTTCAATAATGATGCGAAATAATCTGACCAGCCTGTGCTGCCCCGGCTGCTTCCAAAAAGATGGTTTCCTTAACCGGACAAACAAAGAGAGGTAGGCGCTTTATGAGTTCTTGCTTGCAGAAGATATCTATGTTTCTAAGATGACAAAATTCTCGATATAAAGTTCCATCCATTTACATGGTTCATGGCAAAGACGGCGGGGTGAAGTAGGAGTGGAGACCAACAAGCGTCATCCCCTCTGCGCTTTAGTCAATCCACTTTGTGACGACCGCTCGTCACAGCGAAAAATACAATTTAGTTGAGCCACTCGGAGCATGTCTGACCGTTAAACTCCAAGACAACCGCACCGCATCCCATCAAGTCAGACAGATTGCATTCGCGGCATCTTTCCGTCATACTGTCTCATTTTTCATCCTTACGGTCCAATTCGTTGCCGCTCTTCCGCCTAAGAGGTGTAATCATAAACCAGCAATGAGATTTCTCCCAGCACGGCAATATCGGCACTTTGCGCTATCCCGTTTTCATAGTATCGGCACCGAGCAGGACTTCGAGTCAGATTCTGACAAAGGCTTAGTACTGAGCCGTGAGTCCGTCACCATCACCACTACTACCTGGGCCCTAGGGATGTTGTTGGACAGTCTGAGCCCCTGATATGTAGGTGTAGTTCCACGGAGCCATTCGGGAGTCGCTAAAGTATTCAGAAAGACTTGCGGTCGAGGGAAGTACTTCTGACCTTAGTCAGTGGGCATAGCGAGGAATGCTTCAGAGGCAGGCGAGACTCATTGACGAGCCCGCTCGAACAGCAGAGTGACTGCGCACTAGTCCATTACTCTCCTCGCGCAGTGGAGTCCCAGTAGAGCTGATGATACGTATCTTGAACGATGCATGCTTGCGTGGAGCGAAGAGCCCTTTCAGTAGTAGGGTTAGCGAATGCCATGATTCCGACATTGCAGCTATATAAACGATGAGGCTGATTGGAATGAGAGCCCGGTATCAAGGAATCTTTGTAGAGAACATGCATCATGAAAGTCTCGATAGCGTAGCGTTTCCAACAAGGCAAGACCATGTATGACAAATGCTCGAAAACGACCAGCCCGCCAATTGGCCGGATCATTCGACCCTACCCACGCCTGTGATGGTCTGTTTCGCTACCGCTTTCTCTCCGTTACCGCTCTCGTTTCTAGATCCCGCAACTTCCACGTCGCTACCAGTACTTTGGCCCTCGAGGACCTGCACTTGACCCTCCTCCTCGGGGCGGATATAGTTCTTCGGCTCCATCCAGCCCTTATTGTACATAATAGCCGGAGGATACAGTTTGCACAGAGACCAGTAAACGGCACCGCTCACGAAAATGCCCACCCAGTACGCAAAGTAGTAGAACCTCGTGACACCCACCGGCGCATCAACGCCCATGTTATTCAAGAAGCCGTAGAAATTGGGGACCACGCCGATCACATACGCGACGTACGCGCGGATGTTCCAGCCTTTGGTATAGTGGTAAGCGCCGGCTTTGTCAGACGTGAAGAGGTCCGGGATGTGCAGGTAGCCGCGGGAAATCACGTAGTAGTGGCATAGTAGGACGCCGGTAATCGACGAGAGAAAGATCTGGTAAGACGCCAGGAACGAGACGAAGATGGACGCCGAGCCCAGTAGGTACCACGGGTTGATGGCGAAGGAAACCACGGCGCAGATGTAGAAGCCCTTGCGGATGCTGATGTATTTCGGGAACAGCGCCGCGAGGTCGTTGCCCGCGGGGAGCGAATTCTCGAATATGGACGAGAACATCGCGCTGTACACAAACATGAGTGCGATGAAGAAGCAGCCCGCGCGGTTGGCGGCGGTGTAGTTCGTGGTTTGCAACATGTCTAGCAGTTCAACTGGGTTCCAGACCAGTTCGCCGAAGATCACCTGGCTGGTTGCGCAGACGATGTTGCCGACGAGGGAGACAAGCAGATTCGCGAGTGGGAATCCGACAATGTTGCCGAGGATGGGGTCCTTGGATCGGCTGCCGTATCGCTGGAAGTCTTACTCTGGTGTTAGCGATTGACTAGGTTCATGGTTGGTAGAGGGGAGGAGTTTCATACCCGGAGCGTTGCTTGCGAAGGTCGCACAGTTGGCCGCACCGAGCATGAAGAATCTAAGAATCTATCACATGTTACCGTTAGCAAGGCTCTGCTCTGCCTGCCGACAGGACAGGGCATAACACGATACGTACCAGCCAACTCTTGTCACTGCCATGGACCGTCGAACCCTGGCGTGCTACCGGGCCCAAGCCACCAGCTTTGCCGACCGTCCAGCCCAGCATCGCCATAGCTGAAACGACGAACACGACCAGCTTGACATAGACGAGCTTTCGCATCTTGGGAACAGGAATTGCCAGGAAGAAGCAGGACACTAGCCAGAACACGGCAAAGCCAATCATGCCAGCGCTTGTCAGTGCGGAACCTGGGCCCATACTGTTCTTGATGCGTGCAATGCTGGGGAATATCGCGTGCAGCATTACGTAAACGCATTGTCCTCCTTGGACGGCGTTGACACCATTCCATACCTGAAAGAAAGGTTAGTTAGTGTGAGACGCCAATTGGGGATTTCGAGTCTCACAATAGCCATGACAGCCCTGTTGAATGTGGGCCACCAAGCGCCATAGACACCAAAGGCCGCGCGGTTCATGATGGGAAATCCCACATGGTAGACGGCTCCTGAACGGCCGTTTAAGGTGATGACGACGGCGATGAGGCACTGACCCCCAAATGAACACGCAAGAGATTCCCACATTGACAGACCCAGCGCTTGGGCAGCAGAGGCGCCATACCTATCTTTGCTGTTAGGAGGGCCCTATTCTTGCCAGGGAGTTGGGGGTTGAGGTTGAGACGAACCAATTGCTCACTGTCGCAGCTGCCGAGAACCAGAAAGTGAAATATGTGACCTGTGTCCACGTGCGATCCTTCAGTTTGAGTGGTCGCAGATCGTCATTGTCCAGCCAAACATCCTTGCCTTTCACCTCTTCTGCGCCTTTGGCGACGAGGTTAAAGCGAGAGAGGACACCCATCGCAGCAGCACAATATCGAAGAACAACAGGTGGTCAGATTCGGTAAGGATCGGGGTACAGGCTTACCTTGATAAACGACCTTTGGTTCTCGTTGATATAGTCCTTACCTACCACTGTCGGCCATTGAGCATACCTGGACCCAGCCGGCAGGAGGTTTTCCAAGATAGCGTCCGTTCATGATAAGGGAGACCCAACTGTGTTTGACAGAGTGCACCACTGCTACCCACTTGACCTGTGCCGGACGCAATAAGTCGTCAGCATCGTAGGCAGGTCGTACCATAACCTAGCGGTGATAGGCATAGATTGATGGAGATGAGCGCATGTTACCCAGTATTGATAGATGAAGAGAACAGAGATACATCGAATTCCTTAGGTTGGGGGTTAGATATGGTGACGCTATCTGATTCGCCTACGAAGTGCAAAGTCCTGTTTGTGGATCTCCTCATTAGAAGCCTCCCCACAATCTTCGAGAAGGGGCTTCCTTCTCACCACATGGCTGTTCGCCTGAAGAGCTGCTCTGCTGGATCCAAGTTGTCTTTAGGTTTGTAAGTTATATGTATGATTTGGGGGCAAGACAGCCAACGATTCGGGGCTCGCCGCCAACCGATAGCAGATGCAAATCCTCAGGTGCTCGCTGGGGTCATTGGGGGTTCGAAACCTTGTTACCTGAGTTGAACTGCGGAGTTCCAACTCTCTTGAACCTAGTATATCAGCGTTAGCCGCTTGGAGAGATTCATAATCTGAACCCTGAGAGTCAGATCAACAGATCCGGCAAAATCGAGATACCATGGCCACGATAACCGAAGTCGTAGCAGAACAACCATCGTTTGTAAAACTCGAACTGCGCACTGCATACGGGCCGGTATATCGCGATGTGTCGACTCAACCGCCGAGAGAATGTCGAGGTGACGAGATACCATTGATCGACATCTCCGGCATATATGGGGATCTGGACGCTCGGAAGAAGTTGGCCCAAGAGATCAAGACTGCTGCTGAGAACACTGGGTTCTTCTACATTCAAAACCATGGTATCCCAGAAGCAGCAATTCAGGGGGCGCTTAACGCGTCCAAAAACTTCTTCGCACAGTCTGAGGAGAAAAAGATGCTGGTGTCAAAGGACAAGGGGAAATGGTACAATGGCTACTCAGGGAAATACACGGCGATGGCTAGTCCGACAGAAGGCTGTGAGTACTTGGCTCATTGACAAGATATTTGGCTGGCGGCCGACTGATGCGATCTAGTGGATTATCGTGAAGCCTTCTCCTGGCGTTATGAGCCTCAATATGACCCTGACCCCAAGGATTCGAATGCTGTTCCGCCCGAGGTGCAGCCGTTCATCCGTGGTGAGGGTTACGTATGGGAAGGCACCAAGGATATACCCGGGTTCAAGGATGGTTGTATCACCTACTGGCAGGAATGTGTCAAGCTTGCCCGAAGGCTGGTAAGAATCTTTGCATTGTGTCTTGACCTACCTGAGAATTATTTCGACTCTGTCACCACGTACCCCGGGAGCGATGGAGTGTTCAACTATTATCCGGCCATGTCAGCAGAACAGGCAGCCATGAGCCGAGACATTGGACTGGGATCTCACACTGATCTCCAATGCTTCACCTTGTTGTGGCAAGACATGAGTGGTGGACTGCAGGTATTGGATAAAGATGGGCAATGGATCAAGGCCAGTCCAATCGAGGGCACATTCGTGGTCAATATTGGAGACTACTTGATGCGTCTGACCAATGATCGATTGAAGTCTACCGTTCATCGGGTATACAATCGCTCGACTGTCGACAGGTAAGGACTCGACTTGTGGCACAATTTGAGCAATGTGCAATACTGACACGTCACAGGTACTCAATGCCATTCTTCTTTGGGTTCAATTTCAATGAAACCTGTGGGGTACTTCCCTCGTGCACGGATGAAAGTAACCCACCAAAGTATGAGCCGATTTCCTGTGGCGACTGGTGTCAGTTGAGATTTGCCCAGACAGATCAATCATCGAACGTGGTGGCCTATTAGTAGGTAGAAGCCGCTCTTCAAGTTTATCGTTGGAGTAAGTACTTGATGTTGCTGTCGATATGCGCCAATTGCTGCTTACATGGGTGACCGGCGCCGCATTCGAGTGCTAAGGCTATCAATGGGTGGATCCTGACCATCGAAGTGGAGGCCCAGATTTAATTGTAGTCAACGGTCAATCCCAAACCGGATTGGTATGTCAACAGAGCAATATGTATTAAACGGCTGTGGCATTATGATCATCGCCTGATTTGGGGTAGCTACACTCGCTCAGAAGTGAAGTCAACCTAGACCGGTTTATGTAGCCAACATGCAAGTGCCGTAGCTATTGTTCAATTTGTTCCAATGACAAATTCGGGTCTTGGACCCCTTGTTAGCAGACTTGATCACTTTTTGGCCCACTCGGGAACTTTGTCGTTCTGCTCGCCCACATCCAAAGCCACCAAGAATCGGCTAACCAGATTGTAACTCGCAACAGTGGCGGTCAATTCGACCATTTGCTGCTCAGAGAGACCTGATGCTTTCACCTCGTCGAACAAGGACTGGGGAACTTTGATGTCTCTCGTCATGGCATCCGCGAATCGCAGCACCGCCCACTGCCGGTCATCCAGTGCACCCTTGGAAGCCGGGTGCAGTTGCTGGACGACAGCCAACTTCTCTTCTGTAAAACCTGCTGACTTAAGCAGAATTGGCGCATGAGCGTTCCATTCGAACCAAGCCTCGTTGAACAATGCAGGCCGGCAGATAGCGATTTCGCGTATATCATCGGGTAATGAATTCTTGGTGCGTACGGCCCCGAGGAGGGCGTTCCAACCTATTCAATGAGAACCCATGGCGGATCAGAGATTGTGGAGAAGGACACTTACCATCTGCAATTTTGGGGGCATGAAGCAGAGTTAGATCGAGAGGGATCAAGCCCATAGCTCCCCGACGAGCCTTGACCCTTTCAAGGACTCCTTGGTCCTCGGGTGACAAGTCTGTCGGTGGATTAGGCACGTAGTTGAGACGCATGATGCTGGTCTGGGATGGTAGAGTCTGAGATGTTGACAGTTAAGCGAGAAAGGTGTAGACGAGATCGCCGACCAAATCTCAATTTCGAGGTTGTACTTGTGGTTCAACAGTGGCAGATGGTGAATTGGTGACAGGTACCTCTAATGCTGGTTCAGATGTGCGGGGAAAGCCGGGATATTTGGGGTACCCTCAAAAAACGTACGACTGGTGGTTCTTTAGTAGCCGAGGCTTTATAGATCTATGGTTCAGTCTCTGCAAATATCACATAGCGGTGGAAGTTTCAAGATGAATTGGGGAATTGGGCGTGAGGGGCCGTGAGTGACCGTGGGTGAGTGATAGGAGTGCTCCGTACTGGCACACTCGCTTCAGGCTTGTTGTGCCAGATGCGGAATCAACGCCGATCCAGGCCGTCGCACCTTCCGCTTTCCGCATCCCAAGAAAGTTCCCTCAGAATATCCGGATTATCTTTACTCCAGACAGACTCATGACTCGGATCGAAGGCTTCCACGTGAGGGGTTTGAATCATTATGGGGCTTCTCTGATCGTAGGAGTCCCAAGTTCCCAACACGACATGAGACAAGGAAAATGTAGCAAATTAGCATTGTATAATTGCAGGGCTGTGTCCAGATCTTTGTGGCTGATGGTCCCCATAGCAATAATATCCATCCTCGCACCACGTACGAGTAACCCCAAGGACTCCGTGTCAATGTCAGGCTGTTGGACTTTGAAACAGGTAGAGATGATGCTTTCGATGGTTTGAGGCGGTGTTTCAAATGTGATTGAAACCCTGATGTGATCCCGGACATGGGAAAGGGCTCTACAAGGGACATACTCGTACTCCGTACTCCGTAATTAATTACAGCATACTCGTAGAGCCTTGGTTCCTTGAACCCACCGGTTGGCGCATGCTTGTCTTATCGCTCTCCAAAAACATGTTTTGGTATTTCTTGCGAGTGTGCATGTGATCCGCCATTCCCCATCGTTGGCATTCCGTAAAACATGCTGTTGCCCAAGGGTTACGGGGTCGACGGCGAGATGCATCGTGTTTCATTGGCACGTCCGGAAATCAAACCGAACCACTTCCATGTCACTAACGACAGCCAATTCACTAGATTACTGTACGATCAATTCCAGTTGATGGATGAGGCACCTTCCTTGCCCCCCTGGTGCCCTGCGCCTTCCCCGTTCATCCCTTTGGCCCATCGTGATCTCCATCCTCCGCAGTTGCCCGCCCTCCTCTATCTCATCCCATCCTTTCTATCCTATCCCATCCTCCCCCAGCCCATCACCAAGTCAGTCACGAGACACTCGGCCATCTGCATTCTCATTGCTGCATCTCCCCATTCTCCGGAGTCTCCTCCTTGAAAAGGCCATCTTGCCCTCTTGCCCTCTTGCTCTCGACTTGTGCGTCACACGCACCCTCTTCACTGGTCATATCATCCCGTCCGTTGCCTATCACGCATCCGACTGTGTGTGTGCCTACATCTGCTTACGCCTCGCCTCTGACGCAACACCCTATCTTACGTATTTAAGCTCTCTCCTACCCTCGAACGAAGTCGTCCACATGCCTGGAATCCGTACGTCTTGATTTCTCCCTTGCATATCCATCTCCATCTCCACCTTTGCCACCTCGTCCGCTACAAGCACCCTGCCTATCTCTGTGTCCCTCTACGCCCCTTTCAACTAGTCTCTCTTCTCCTAACCATATTCCATCGCATCACTAGCCCCCGACGCAATGGATAAGCTCAAGGCTCTCTTCAGAAGAAAGAAGGATAAGGGCACCGCTGGCACAAAGACCGAGGCTCCCACAGCCGCGGCCGCGCCTCAGCCCACTCCTACCGACACGGCTGCAGCACCCTCAACTAGTGATCCTGCCACTGCTCCTGCTGGTAAGTGATCAAAGTACTAGTCGGGGACCAGCTACTCATTGTTCAGCCGCTGCTCCCGTCGAGCCCGCTGCAGCCGACAAACCCGCCGATCCTGTTCCGGCCGAGCCTGCAAAGTAGAGACTCATACAACTTCAATTGTGTGATGCCATCTACCCTGGTATGATGGAACACGTACAAAGCACACAGCCCATCCCAGGAGCCGAACACATTGCTTAGCCGGCACAAACCAAATGTTACCCATCACTTTCCTTCCCGTCAATTCGGCAGCGCGTCTAATCAGATTATATCCCCTTTGGCGCCTGTTTAGTTCAACAGTCTTGCACTCATACCCCTTTCAGCACGATACCCGATTCTTTTCTCAACAAAGCGAGGTCATTCAATTATACCCGGTCATTCCTTGGGCTAACGAGGGCTGGAATGGGACAAAAACTTGCCCTTCTGAGACAGCAATCAACATAAGATACCCCCCTCCTTCCGTCCAGCAACACATTTCAAGCGGCGTGCCTGACACTTTCACAATGATACCCCAGCAAAGCCAGGTGGACAGGCTTCGGATAGCAGAACTCGTTTCTTCAAAATAGCATAGGAAATTCAAATGGATTCATCCTCCAATACATCCAACCCCGCTCCCAACCTATCACTTTCCTTTAGCCTAACTAACTCTCCATACTGAATGCAGCCTCGTTCAAATTTCACATACTCTTACTCATATTGCCATCTCCATTCTTCGAGTTGACAATTCTCAGGCATAGACTGTACATAAAATAGCGCCTCGTATCAATCAAATGGTCTCATGTCCCGTAGCCACAATTCTAGTATTAGTCGTCATGGCCGATGATCTGAAACTGCTCCTTCATTCTCACAATCCCAAAAAAATCCAGGCACAACCCATAATACCCGCTATAAAACTAATAGTACACAAAGTAAACGCTGACATAGGAACTGTTCAAATGAAATGGATTCGGCACATGCCACAATGTCGACAGAAGGGGACAGAGATCTGTCTTTTCTTGTAGTTGAATTCCCATTTGGCTGTAATAAATTACTCAGCGATGGCGTCCTCCCCGCTCGACGGTTATGGATTTGGTCGTTGAAGATGCATGGAAGATGGTCCTATTAGAGTTGAGTCGAGGGCCAAGACCCTTGACATCACCTTGAGGGGTGGATCTTATGGGTGTTGGTTCCCTTCTTTTGGCGAGTCCGCCTAGGGAGGAATATCCTCTAGCAATAAAGGGCTCACAACAAGGTTCTCGGACGCTATGTGTGATCGCGACGGTCGTTCGGCGTAAGGTGGGAAGGGAGGGCGAGAAGGACCACCCCCCATGATCGGCTGTCGAACTGGTCTGGCACGTGTTGTGTAACGACGGGCAAGTTCTCTTGGATGAAAGCAATGTCTCTGCCGGCAGGTTGAATTCGCCTCATGGTAGATTGACGTCCAACTTGACAAGGACGCCAGTGTCCTTGAGCGCGCCGTTATTGCCGTTCAACCCGGCGAAGGAGCCTTTGCTGCGAAGCGACTGCGCGTCCTTTGACGTCGGTCGTGACGCTGAGTAGATTCGGATTGATCGCTTCGACTTGTCGCCGGGGATCAATGAGAGGAGAATGTCGTGGTGCGTCGAGTTCGATGTGCCGTTCTCGACATTTCCATTCATCTGCGACACCGACATCGCGAGCCCTCGGTGCTGGTACGGGAAGATTTCAACGATTTGACTGCGGAAAGTTAGACACCATGTCTCCCAGGGCGGGTGACCATCGTACTCGCTCGCCCACCTTGTAATGCCATCTAACGCCTCTTGCTCGCGCTGAGCCTCCTCGGGGCTGAGGACCGTTTGAGATGGCACGTTTCCTGCGTTCCAAGTCCCATAGCCGTGAACGCCCGTGCCGTATTCGTCGTACATGAGGCGATGGCGCTCGACCTGCAGATTTGCATGTTAACAGACACAGAGATATGGCGCGTATGGGGGATTTTTGGAAGGTTAAGGCATACATCGTCATCGTTATGGCCGCGCAGGCCCAGACAGGAGAGACAAGCCCCCATCTTTGAGAGCGCTGCCCGAGGCCGACCCCGTAGAAGCAGTGTGGTCTTGCAGGTGTACGGCCCTTGGAGAGCGTTTGCTTCAAAGTGACGGATCGAGATTTCGAAGCATGCTTGAACTTCCAGTTCTGCAAGCAGGTAAGGGAGAGAGTGTGATGCAATGACACAATCTGAAGAAGCAAGAAAGCAAGAAAGGTGCTCACCAAGCCCGTTCCCCTGGTGGAGGTGGCTTGGGCATAATGGTGCGGATTAACAATCTGCCGCTCCGGTGTGGACTAACCACTTTTCCGACCAAAGCCATCGGCCATCGGCATGATAACACCATCGTTCTTTCATCCTTCAAGTACCTTCGTAATCATTATCACTCATGTTCTTGAGTATGTACCTCGAACTCAATTATCTCCGTGTTCAAACCAGTATGTAAATCGCAGCTTGAGCTCGATTTACCGAGCTGTGTGGTTCGCGGTATCGTTGTTGCGATTCCTGAATGGTCACCGTTGGCAGAGGAACCAACGGTGTCCATAGTGCACAACCTCACAACCAGGTCTCATCTGATATTCACCCGTCCTTCCTCATGTAGATTCACACTCACTGTTGCTAACTGATGCTGATGCCAGCCCCCTTGCATCAATCCAAGAATAGCTGTCAACGGCGAAATGCGCTAGGAGAAGAAGGAAAACTTCAATAAACTCCCATTCGGTTATTCAGGCTGTAAAACCAATCTCGAAATGATAGTCACTTCTCAAGATGAAACAACCCTTGACTCTTGATATGGCATTCAGAGACACTTACAGGGCAGTTGCTGTCTTTCAGGATGCCCTTGCGTCGGACATCCGTGTGCCAAGTCTATCCGTGTTGACTGCATCCATGAGGCTGACCGTCCCTCGACCTCATCAATCTCGAGTTCTTTACACAAGGATAGGCGAAACATTCTACAGGACCGGGCCGGTGCCAAAATTAATCTGAATCAATCCCTCCTTTTCATAATGCTATCCTTGGTCTATATATTCCTCGTGTTTGAACATCGAATGTCCAGTGACCAGACCCGTCCATTCCTTTATTCCCTTCATTCATTCGCTTACCTAGTCATTCTTTTGAATCAAGTGTTCTGTTGTCATTTCGCGGAGAGAATGCATTCGACACTCATCCCCTCGGCCCTATGGGTGGGCCTGATCTTGCTGACCACAAGTAACGCGCAGATCACAACATCTACCGTCACAGTCACTACTGTCCAACCTGCTGTCTATGCTGCACTATGGGCAGATTGGTTCCATGTTAGAGGGAAGAAGGTGATCAAGGCGACCACCAGTACTCGACCTGGGAGGACTACTACCACGAGTAGCACCCACTCTTCTGCCACCCCGACTTCAGCCTCGGCTTCGAGCTCGTCCACTTCTGGAACGTCCACCACGCTCGTTCCAAGTGCGACAACCACCCTTGTGACTTCCATATCGACCTCCAAGTCGACCCCTGAATTGATTTCCACGACATCCCCGGCTACCACAGCTAGTACTAGCCTACTTGCCACCACTCCGACATCCTCGACTCCGACCGGTCCTGTGACTTCAAACACGACTTCAGCTACCAGCAGCACACCTGACGTTACGGCTACTACTAGCACATCTGAACTTGCGTCAGAAACAACCTCGAGCTCCTTATTCACTACGACGGCTCAGCCTGATATTCCTGGTAAGTGGGTCTCAAGCACTTGGAGTGGCCACACCTGGACTGGAACCTGGAGTGACTGGCTGTGGACAAGCTCAGCTTCCTCCATCACGACTACCTCAATTAGTGTAATAACCGATTCTTTATCTTCGACTACTCTAATCGGGCCTGTCACGACCTCTTCGTCTTCGACAAGAGGCATATTATGGACTGATGACTGGAGTACAACTTCTACCACAGCTGTCTCCACCTCTATTAGCACCGGGACAGTCACGACCTCTTCGTCTTCGACAAGAGGCATATTGTGGACTGATGACTGGAATCCGACTAGCACAGCTTTCTCCACATCCATTATCATTGGGACGGATAGCACTTCGGTTTCAACGACTAGGTCTTGGCCAGGGAGATGGGCTTCTGGAACTGGATGGTCCACAAGACGACCGACCATGAGCACCCCGACTTCATCTGTCATCTTAAGTCCTCGTACTCCAACAACCTCTTTAAACACTACATCTCTATCGTCGACAACCAAAAACCCCGCTGTCTCTACGGCATCTGCTCCTACTACCTCAACCACAAGCATCACATTGACTATGGCTTCGACATCGAGCGCGAGTACTAGCTCTAGGGTGATTGCGACCAAAACATCTAGTATTAGTTCCAGTGCCGGCTCCATAACCTCCGCCTCGACCTCGACCTCGACCAGCAGCTGTCCGGCAGGAACTGGCGCCACCGTGACTGTGACTGAGAGTGTTCCTTCGACTTGTCCGACAGGCTCCGCAACCTCTACTACGACTATCGTTTACACCCTACCTGGTTCTACAGTCACGATCCCTGGCGAAACTATTACCGCTCGTGCTACCACAGTTACCACCACCAAGACAAAGTACACTAACGGTGCCACCAGAACGAAGACTATAACAGAGACAGAAGTTGATGTATCTACCATCACCGCTACTGCTACTAGCACGATTACCGCCACTGCACCCGGCGGTAATTATTATCACCGATGGGGTGGTAGATTCGGCGGTGGCTGGATGTAGAGGCTAGGTGCGAACGTGAGACGAGGTCTTCACATGTCTGACGCAAGTAAATTCAAATCTCGGTTTTCCTCTTCTCGTTTTTTGAAAAGGTATGCGCATTAGGTTGCATTGTCTTCCTATTAAAAGGATGGATTGAAAGCACTGGCGAAAACACCGTCTCTGGGGCAGGGCGGTTGGAATGAATTGCTAGAATAGGTTTCCTTTATATTTAGATAGACTTCTCTAACTGCTTTCTACATTATGAACTTAAATCTTCCCGTAAACTAGGACAACTTCTTATATCATATCTACACTCTACAAATGCAACTGGCATCGGGACCTCATAACTTGGATCCCCGACTAACGCGCTTACCGCGCCAGACCTGAACGTCCTTATCCTCAACGTAATTAGGAGGAAAGTATTGTGGACCAAGAGTCTTCTTGACGACTTTCCCAGTGCCGCTCTTGGGCAGCTCGCCAGTGATGATTCGCAGTAGCGTCGGCAACTTGTAACCCGCCAGTCGGCTTCTCACGTCTGCACGCAAATCATCCAGGTCTAGAGCCGTAACACTTCGGTTGTTCTTTCGGTAGAATTCTTGAGCGATCTCATCATTCCGTAGTGAGACAACCGCTCCCACCCGCTGGCCAAATTCATCGTCAGGGACGCCGACCACCATCGCCTCGCCCAGGTATGGTAGTGCCAGCAATTCTCTCTCGATGTCCAGCGCGGAAATTTTGTAGCCTCCTGATTTGATAATGTCCACGGACTCGCGGCCGACGATAAAATAGTACTTTCCTTCCTGTCTGGCAACATCCCCAGAACGAAAGTAGCCATCCGGGTCGTGGGCATCGGCAGTTGCTTGCGGGTCATGTATATACTTCGAAAACATGGCGAAGGAACGCACGAGCACTTCTCCATGGTCGCCCTCGGACAGCTTCATATCCACGCCTAGTGTCAACTCACCAACGGAGCCATCAGGAATTTCCACCGAGGGATCGGCAGACATATTGAATACAACCCCTAACTCAGTAGAACCGTACCGCTGTACAATACGCCTACCGTTCATCATCTTGGTCCAGAAGTCGCTGATTGGTTTGGGCAAGGCAGATGTCCCACACAAACAGACTTCGAATGCACTAGCTGCGGTCTCGTACCGCTGTGTCTCGTGGCGCGGAAGCTTGGCTATGTGCTCGAGGTAGTACCTCATCATCCTCATGTAGATTGTGGGCACACCGGTGAAATGCGTGAGACCGCCCTGCTGCCAGCGATTCCAGGTCCACTCTGGGTCAAAGCTCCCGGACTTGAACTCGATGCACGCCCCGGTTTGAATGAACGGGAAGAACGAGACCCAAATCCCTGTAGCATGGTGGACCGGTAATAGGTGGAGGAGTACATCGGTTTCCTTGATGCCAATTTGCTGTGCGAAACATAGTGAACTGTCCGTCACGGCGGCTCTTTTCAGCACCGCGCCCTTCGGCGGTCCAGTCGTCCCTGATGTGAAGATGATAATTCCTGGACCGTTGGGGTCGAGATATCGGTTGGAGGAGATCTTGATATCACTGAGTGATATCAAGAGCTCTTCCTCGAATAGTCTGATAGGTATGAGCGCGAACTCTGGATTGGTGGTGCTCCGTATTTCCCTGGTAAGGGACTCGGCCATTTCAAGAGCCGGAGTCGCTGTCACAACCGCGACCGACCTCGCCTTGTTGACATAGTAGGTCGCCTCTTTCACAGGCTGAGCACTGCTAAATGGACTTGCCGCCGCCCCCAGAGCAAGAATAGCCAGGACCCCGATGGCAAATTCATATCCACCAGGAGCAAGGATGCTGATGTAGACTTCGCGTCCTCTATGCAGATCATCGAGAGTTTGTTGACTGAGGGAGCGCTTCAATACTCTTCGAAGTCTGAGAATGTCGACCAGTAGCTCAGCGGCTGTCTTCTCGACACCTGCATTGAGGTCGCGTATTGCAGGTCTAGGCTTCCGGCGATGTGCCAGGCTCAACAGGCGAGTGAACAACGGGTCGGCGGGCAGTACACTGTCGCCAGCATGGCTAGGCACAAAGTCTGTCCGGTCGAAAGTGGTCTGAGGCTTCATTTCGTCGCCTGACTTGGTGCCATCAGCGTTTCCCGCTCGGCATCTCTCGGAGACAGCCCTTGATATGTACGCGGTGCGTTGACCATCTACATACGATCGATCTCTCAGATCGAGTCTCCAAATGGGGGGAGGTCTCCCTCCAGCCAATCACGGCGATATGTACTCTGGCCTCGGCAACTGTCTATTTCGGTAGAATTGACAGCCGGCGGATGCTTTCTATGCGGGGGAGCATTATCGATCGCCACTATATCGCCGTCTATCATGTAACTGAAGTACGGAAGGCCTCAGTTGGCCGAGAAGGAGCTTCAAATTGGTAGATGAGATCCCGCAACATTGCTCCTTTGAGAATTCCAGCTTCTTTTCACATTCCAGGTCTCAGCAGAGTCGCATACAAGTAATCATGACCGACTTCACTGATAAATTGCGGCCAGCTGATCCACAAGGACCTAGCATCCTTGCCCAGGAAAGATCTGGTTCTAACGTCAACACTGATCAATTAGCAAAGCATCTACTTTCTAGAAATGGCTTTCTCAACCGGCAGCAGAAGGTTTTGGCCATCTTGGAGCCAATTCCAATCTTCTGCAAAAAGAATCAGTTGAATATGGCCCGTCCAGATCGATACCACCTCTCCCTTGCCCGAAGCAAAGCGCTCAGACGACTGTCCATCAAACATGGCTGGGAGCGTGATGATTATTTGATGGCTGATTACCTTATGGATGAGATGAGCCCGTATGCGCTTCAGTCGACCATGTTCTTGACTTCTGTTCGAGAACAGTGCAACGAGGAGCAAAAAGCCTACTGGTTACCGAAGGCAGAGAACTTTGATATCATAGGCTGCTACGGACAGACTGAACTCGGTCACGGCAGCAACGTCAAGGGTATCGAGTGCCAGGCAAAATGGGATCCGAAGTTGAAGGAGTTCATCATTCATAGTCCCACCATCACGGCGAGCAAGTGGTGGAACGGTGCGCTTGGTAGGACAGCAAATCACGCCATTGTCGTCGCACAGCTGCTTTTGCCGAACGTGACCGATGGGAAATTAAAGTCCTATGGTCCTCATCAGTTCATTGTGCAGATCAGAGACATGAAGACGAACAAGCCCTTGGAAGGTATCGTGATCGGCGACATCGGACCAAAGTATGGCTACCCTGGCATGGACAATGGCTACATGCTGTTTGAAAATTTCAGGGTGCCTCATTCTGCTCTTCTATCAAGATACTCAGGTGTGAATCCAGACACCGGTGCATACATTCGACCCGAAAACCCTGCCGTAGTGTATGGTTCTCTGACGTACGTTCGTGCTCAAATCATTATGCATGCACGGCTTGTTCTAGCTCGGGCAGTCACTGTTGCAGTCCGCTATTTGTCTATTCGAAGGCAGTTTGTGGATAGAGACACAAAAGATCCTGGTGCTCCCGAACAAGCGGTTCTCAATTATCCGACCGTGCAGGTTCGAATTCTACCGCTAATTGCTACTACGTTCGCCCTCCACTATACGGGGGAGGCAATGTACAAGCTGTACTATGGCACACGACAAGAGATCGAAGAAAGCGGTGATTTTTCTAGATTGGCTGAAATGCACGCTGCATCATCTGGTCTCAAATCATTGTGCACGACTCTTGCTGCGGATGGCATTGAGACTTGCCGTCGAGCAATGGGTGGTCACGGCTTTGGTGGAGGGAGCGGAATGATAGCTCTCAACAATGAATACCTCTCTAAGCCAACGGTGGAAGGAGATAATTGGATGATCACACAGCAGACTGCAGCGTATCTTATCAAGCGGATGACCGAAGTTTTCAACAACTCTGAGCTGAAAGCAACCGATTCGGTGGATGCACAATTCCAAGATTTCGTTCGATCTCACCAAGTGCAACAGAACTTCAGCATTAACTCTGACATTGATCTTGTGCGAGCGTTCCGACATCGAGCATCCTATTTGACCTATCAACTCTATCAGGCTCGCGTGGTGCAGAAACTGCCGTGGACCGATTTGATGCTTTCCTTGCACCGATTGAGTCGAGCTTACTCGGAGAGCCTCCTGGTAACCAATTTCTACAATGCTGTTTTTGAGTCTCAGTTGAACCCTCCCGTCGATGATGCCACTGTGAACGTCATGAAGAACCTGTACAGGCTGTTTGCTATATACACGTTGGACAATTCATCATCGGAGTTCCTGCTCTCTAAGGCATTACAGACGGAACGGCTGCAATACCTGACGCCCAGACTCCAGGAACTGATGAAAGAGAACCGGCCCCACGCGGTCAGATTGGTTGATGCGTGGTCGATACCGGATTACGTGCTTGAAAGTGCGCTCGGCAGCTACGATGGTGATGTATACAATCGATTATTCCACAAAGCCCACAAGGAGAACCCTTTGAATTTGCAGACATTCAATCCTGATTGGAGGAGTGAGGAGATCGTCATGGGTGAAGGCGAGGAAAGTGCAAGAAAGCGCCTTGAAGCTTTAGCGCTGGGTGTGACGGGGCATGAGCAGGCAATGAACCCCAGATCCAAATTGTAGATACCTTTGGTCGCATTGAATATCTGTTTATGTCATGGAGAAACTCGCTTTACGAGGATATATGTTCATTCATCATATCTATATCTTAGCCTTAGGCGCGGTTCCCACCCTCTTGCGGTGGACATAGCTTATGGCCTTGAACTTATCCAAAGCCTCGCCCCATAGCTCCGAGCGCAGCAACCCATACACACCCATGCTTGCGCGAGGCGCGATCGTCTTTGCAAATTCGATGGCTCGCTCTCTCATCTTCTCCGGTTCGACGATCTCATCGACAATCCCGTCCTTGAGAGCTTCCTTGCTGGTCCACTTGTGCGCCTCAAGCAGCATTTTCCTTGCAATCTGCGGATGTAACTTCAGCCTCGGCAGGGCGCCAATACCATCGAAATGCAGTCCCAGATTCACGGGCGGCATGCTGATGAAGCCACGCTTGCTATTCATGATTCTGTAGTCACACGATAAACTGAATGGACAGGCCCCGCCGAATGTATGGCCAGTGATCAAGGCAATGGTCGGGTAGGGATAGTCGACAAGCGTGGCCAGCAAGGGGTAAAACCCGTCCGCGTTGGCGTAGACATTGTTGTCGGACTCGTCCAGCTCCAGCCCTGTACACCAGAACTTGTCCGAGAAGCTGGAGATGATCACGGCCCCGGGCGAGTCTGGTTTCATCAGCTTCGTCTCGATGTAGCGGAGCGCAGAAATGATGGTCTGCGCGAAGGCTACATTCAGGCGGTTCTCGGCTGGTTTGTTCAACACGATGACGTGGACTCCTGGTGCTGTTGCTGGGGATTCGATGGTTAGATTTGGGAACCTGGGTAATGGTTCCCCCATTTTAGAAGTTGTTTGATCAGTCTCCTAGTGCCTGTGGTGGCCCGAGACAGAGAAACGAATAATGTGGATTGATCGAAGGCTGCTTGATTTACGAGTAGGAAAAGGTACGGCGTGTTCCAGGAATTGTTTCTGGAGAATTCTTAATTGTTTGTGAGTTCTAGCTTCCCGCAGCTCAACTTGACCTCGGCGATGCCAGCCTTGCGAAACGCCATTATTCGGCGTTCGGCGCATATGCGGGGAAATTCCAAATCCGGAAAATGACCTTTGGAGGGTTTGCCGGTACCCCGCACGGAAGTATAAAAACTCGGCTTTTGGGAACCTCGGTTCTGGAAGAATATTAATCCTGCCGCCGGCGCTAGTCACAGATGGTTTAGTCGACTCTTAGTGAGCTGGACCTCCCCCCTGTCCCGTGGCCTCAGGGGTGTTCCTGCTTGCTGTGTCGAATTCCCCTTTGGTCAATCTCAACGACACTTGAACAACATGATACCATAGCGCTACATCGGGCAGTACTCAGAGGCTATTATAATATATATATATATGTATATATATATGAGCAATGTCATGTCTGCTAAACTTACAATTACCATTTCAAAATTGGCTTCGACACCTGAATTGCTTAACCCCATTATCCCCCAACTTAAAACTCCACGCCTATGCAGGTTCGGCGCCTACAGATGCTGGCACTGACCTCCTGCATGAGACCGGCTCAGCTTAAGGGTGGAAAAATCATCAAAGCGCCTTCATAACATTTTGCCGTGGAACACCTCACCCCGTGACTGCCTGCCAGACGACAGTGTCCCCGGGAGATCAATCAAAGCCCCAGGGTCAGCCGATATCTCCAAAGCTCCCTCTTCTGGATCACTGGGAATATGGACTCCGCCATGTTTTTTGTGTCACCCAGATCCTGAGCCGATAAACCAAATGACTTTCTGAGCTTGCCGGTCAAAACTCTTTCCAAAGGCTTGCTCGAAAGCGCCACTACCTGTTGTAGTGTGCATTCGAGTAGCCGCCGTGGTAGGACCCTGTACCAGGATAGGCCGACGGATGCATAGAAGAGCTTGTTAGGTTTCTGTTGACATCACCTGAATGAGTTGTTCAGCATCAGTACTCCCTTGGCTTCTTCGACTTGTCGGCAAGAGACTAACCGTTACTGCTGTAACCGCCATATGCTGGGCTAGCATATGTCGTGGTCGAGTATGGGTCGGCGCTCAGGCTTCCAGACAAAGGAGCGCTCACCGGCCCTCCTCGAGCCAGATAGTTGTTGCTTGCGGTAATCGATGGCCGTCGGCCTATCATCTCTGCAATCGTGTCCTCGAGGTCTTTGGCGTCACGCTGAGCCTTCTCGATGAGGCTTGAAAACCTAGTCCCTTCCCGGCTCCACCGTTTGATGTTGTCCTTCTCTTTCTGCAGCCGTCTCTGCTTAACTTTGATCTCCTGGCAAAGCCTACACTCATCACCGATTTTTGTCACATTTTCTGTGTCAACAAGTTTGGCACCACATGTCTCGCCAATTCGAGGTTGTCTCTGACAGCGGACTTTCATATTGCCCCATTTCCAGTCCCCGCATCGATAATCAGTTCTTGCAAAGTAGCACATCTCAACTAGTCATACTAGGACAACTCAAACAGGGCCACTGGAACTGTGGTTGGTTCGCCTTCCAGACTATGGAAAACCTTCGACTGGCCGATGATTGTCAGTCAAGTACCCTCTCAATCCAGGAAAGACTCCCCGGACATGAAACATTCCAAGCAGCTTTATGTGGGTTGCTCACTATTTGGTGGTACAACAAGACTTTTCCCTACGAGAATGATATTGACTCACAGTAGGAGGCGGTTGCCCTTTAATGCTCTGGAGTTTGCACCTTCACGGCGCCCTTTCTGTGAATAAGCGCTCGGACGATTTCAGCTTATGAACCTTTGTCTTCGGTTCGACCTCAGAGATATCTGGAACAGAACGTACTTTCACCAGTGCTCCCTAGGTGTAGTGTACCTTTAATCGACCACCGGCTCTTGGATCAAAAGTGACCAATTCAACCTCCATGTACTAGCAGCATTGCCACCACTAATCCTCTGCGACCCTAGACTTATCCTTCATGGCTTCATTGGCTGCGAATGTCTATACGGTAGCCGATGTTTCAATTCAGTCTGCACCCGGTGAAGCGGTCAATTCCGGTCTCTGTGCTGCATGATGTCGTTCTTCCTCTGTTTGCTGTCACGGTGGCGAATGAGATGGGGGAGAGTCTAGCCTTTCTCTGACAAGCACGAGACCGAGAGCTACACTTGACATACCTCGCCGCCTCGATGTCACCTGCTTGACCCATTCTGTGTACAAACTGTCCCTGAGTGGACAACCGGACAAGTTTCCCCATGCTGCGTGGTTGCTCACTTGAGGAAATCGTCGAGTGGATGATATGTGTCAATTCACGAATGGATGAAGAGGTCCGAGGAAGCGGGACTCTCCCACTCATTGATACCATGGAAAGATGTATCGGTAAGAAGCCATGTATATGGACCTGCAGCTCTAACTATACTAGTCACACCTTACAGACTGGCTGCATATTGGGTAGTCCTGCAGGTCAATACAGTGTGTAAATCGATGCAGGACTATGGCCAAAGCCAGGCACTTCGCTATGCACGGGACAGGCCTGGCCATTGTTTTCGTGTATCACCTGGGTTGCATAAAAGCTTTGAAATAGCACTAGCAGGTCGAAACTTATGTCATGTCTCAGGAATTGCAGCAGTATGAAAAATGGCCTAACATCCACTTTCCAACACAACACACCTTATAGTCAGCAATTGCTCTGGACGTTCGAGGGAGAGGGGCACTGCACTTACAGGCAGCAAGCTTCCCTGGCTTCAGTGTTGGCCCTTTCTGGGGGCATGCCCGTGCATGTGAGCATGCGATGCCTGGTCTCTTCGCCACACACCAGTCCTCCAGAGCACGTAAGATCGTCTCGATCGGAGACGTGGCCAAATGAGAAGCTCACACGAGCGAACAACTATGATGGTAAGGCCAAACACCGGTGCCAGCCTTTCGCTGATGCCAGGGCTATTACGAACCCTGCTCCAAGACGAGAGGATCTAGTCCTTGCATCACGCCAGCTCAGCCGGTGGCTGACCTTCTGTCGTCACTAGTCGAATGTCCCGGGCTGAACCATGTTCCGCCAGCACATTACTGCAAACCCGCATCTTGAGATTCCAGTCACTCTCTCAGAAGCAAAGCAGCAGTGGTCAGCGAAGACCATAACCCGTTGTGACATCGATCCAGGATTGATGCCCTGCATAGTCCAGTTGAGTTGGACTGGCCTCACTGGTGGACAGACTGCTATTGAGTTGTACTGCCAACACCATCACGCTGTTAAAAAAAAGGCAATGCAATTTTCAGGTGGAGAGCGCTAGTGGCTGCATGGGTCAAGATTTCTTACAGTTTTGCCTTTGGAAGGTTCGACAGAGACGGAATCACCTGGGCACCCTGCAGGCGAAAGGTAATACCATGCCATAATGGAGCCTGGCACCAATCCTTGACATCAGCCTGTCTCTGAAGAAACGCCTTCGGTGGCACCAAGGCCTTGACACTTTTGGAGAAATGTACAACCAGGTAGACCCACTAGAAGAGGCCTTGACGCTCGCTTTGCTCCATAATATTGGACCTTCTCAGCCTTTACAGCAAGATAACCGGCAACTTTTTCCCGTTGATACGGATCTAGTGTCTGCCTCGCCGATGAGAGCCACCCTCCTTCTGATATAAACACAGAGGCCGTCAAGTTCCATTGCATAAATTTGGCTAGTGGGCTTGGTGAAGCTTGCAGCAAAAGCTATATCTTTGTGGGGCAGTACATGGCAACGGGCTGAATCCATGACCCATTGCCATGAACAAAAGTTCCAAGGTGACTGTTCTGAGAAAGGCTGATCTGAAAGGATATTCGGCTACTCGATCGAACTTTTGCCATGAAAGGATGTATCCTGCTTGTTGCGTGGCTATTACGATGGCCGAACTGGCTGGCTCCACCTTTTGGGGGGCGTTCCCAGTGCGAGTCTTGTGTTGTTAACTCTGTTCGTCTGGGTGGGCCGTCGACTGGGTTACTGGAGACACCCTCCCACTGAGCTTCTGCAGGAGAGACGGGAGCTAGACTACAGTGACCGATATTTTCTAGCTTTGCACCTACAGCAGTCTGCCACATCACAAAAGGCGAATATCTCGGGCCGGTCCATTGCGTGGGAGTGGGAGAAATCACCCTGCTACCGAGAATGTCATTCCAAGGGTATCGTTGCGATTTTGTGTCCTTTGCACCTCGCCGATCGTCAAGCGAGGCTCTACGGTAAACTCTGATTCCGCACCAGGTTTAGACATGTTGACACACAAGTTGCCTGGCACGAGTCGAGGCTCGAGGGGAACGAGTGATTGTCGAGTTTGAAACAAACATTGCCGATCTCGACCGGGACTTCCAGAGTCCCCCATCGCCTTTTCTTCCGAACAAGGTTGAACATGTCAGCACTGGTGAAACTCCTCAAATGGTCTTCACTGATTAAATTTGGCGAGAATTGGGGACCATTTAGCCAGCACTGAACCATAGCTCTGATAATCTTTTTGATGTATCCTTAGCCTTTCGTAGTAGTATGCCATTGCCACTCGCAATCAGGTAGGTCGTTGATCTCGAGTCATTGACATTGTGAATTTCCGGCCTTAGATAACTGTGCACCAAAGCTTTTGGTCCTGGCCATGGTAACGCAATGCATGTTCTGACAAGTAGAATTGCGACACTAGAGAGGACATGGTCTCCGATCAAATCCACTCAACTTAGTCTAGATGTTATCCATCTGTTAGTATCTTAAGCAGCAAGAAATAGAATGTGGACGGGAATGTGTGGTCTGGATGCCCACCCAACAATTGGAGAACCCACGGATCCGTGATGATATTTTGCATCTGTGCCTCCTGTAACATTAGAAGGATTGCCATGTTCAGTGGATCAATTGAACAGCTATCAGTGCTGTGCAACCGGTGAGAACGCTACACCGGTGAGCTTCATTCCAGAAGAACGGGAAACTCCCAGGGTGTGGAAGAAATCAAGAACAGACCTTGTTCAAGTAAAGGCCGTCGTATTTCCGCTCAGCTTAGTTGGTTTGTCAATACCGTTGCTAGACAAACGTCTGGGCAATGAAGGTATTTTCCAACATATCAAAGCAACGAATGAAGAAGCAGTTGGGAATTAGCAAGGACACCTCACTGACGGGTATGTCCCAGAGGAATATGAAAAGATACCGAGGATGACTATAAATGCGTGCAACCCCTTGTCCCTATCTATCTGCTCTATATCAAGTCTAGAATATTGCAATGCACCAAGTCCCGTGAGGAGGTATTCTCTTATCTCCCAAATTCCAAAAGGAATAATATTTGCCAAACCAATCCCGCCTTTTCTTTCATTTTGTATTCGTTTGATCTCCAGGAACAAAGGCCCCAAGCCGCCGTTTCCCAGGTTGGTAGCCTATTTCCTGGCGAGATTTTTGTGCAGATGATGCTCCTTCATAGCCAGGGCGACGAGCAACGCCAGCAACGCCAACGCCAGACCAGAGAAGAAGGAACCCCGCAAAGCATGCATATAAATGTCCATGACAACGCCCCGATCCCAGCCGCTCGGCAGATGATTGACACTGTCGAGGCTGTCCGTAATGCGTTTGATCACCTTGTCACTCCCGGGCAAGCCACCATAGGTAGCGCGCAGCTCATTCGTCAGGATGTTCTGGAACGCAGCGCTCGCGACGGTGATGCCGATGGTGGAACCGGTGGAGCGGAAGGCGTAGCTGGCGGCGGTGATGACGGCCTGGTGCTCGTGGTCGACGGCAGAGATCATGGCGACCAGCGTGATGGTCAGCATCGACCCGTACGCCAACCCCAGCGGCACCGGGTACACGTACGTTTGCCAGATGGGCGAGTCGAGCGTGAAGCTGCAGATCAGCGCGGAGCCAAGCACGAACAGTCCCATGGACGCCGCGCTCTGCCAGTAGTAGACACCCGTCACGCGCATCAGGATCCCTGACCCCAGGGAGCCCACGGACATCGCGGCGGCCATGGGCACGAGGCGGAGGCCTGCGGCGGTGCTCGATTCACCGCGCACTTGGAGGTAGAGTGGCACGTAGTACAGCGCCAGGAAGGAAGCCATGGTGCCGAACCAGTTCGTCAAGTACGCGGCGAGCACGGTGCGTGAGCGCACGATCACGGGTACCGGGATCATGGGCTCGGGGATCCAGTGCGGCGAGGACTCGAGGTACAGGAAGAGGGCGAGGGTCGCGCCACTGAGGACCAGTGAGGTGACGATCAGCGGGTGCGACCAGGGCAGCTGGTTCCCACCTGTGTTCAGGCCCAGGAGGAGGAGCAGCAGGCTCGTGACGAGCAGGGTGGCGCCGAGGAAGTCGATGCGCCGCAGCGCGGAGCCCTTGGATGATGAGGCGGGATTCAAGGGGATGTCGAGCAGGAACACGACCAGCACGGCCGAGAGCACGATGAACGGCACCTGCAGCAGGAAGGCCCAGCGCCACGACAGGCGGTCCGCCAGCACGCCGCCCACGACGCCGCCGCAGCCCATGCCCAGCCCGTAGACCAGGTTGCCGTAGCCCTGCCAGACGCCGCGCCTGCGCAGTGGGACGAGGTCCGAGGTCACGAAAGTCGAGATGCAGGTGAGTCCGCCGCCGCCGATGCCTGCGATCACGCGCCCCGCCACGATCGTCTCGGCGTTGGGCGCGAGCCCGCAGATCAACGTCCCCACGCCGAAGAAGATGTTGCTGAAGATCAGGCCGGTGCGCCGCGAGAAGATGTCGGTCAGTTTGCCCGAGAGCGGTTGGCACGCCGCGTTCGCGATCAGGTAGCCGCTCGCGAGCCACGATAGGAGCGAGAGCGAGTCGAATGAGGACGAGATTGGCGCCGTCAAGGTCGCGACGATTGTCCCGTCTGTGCAGTTGGTTTCCCCCGAGGGGGAAGTGTTAGCTGTGTGGTTCTATTGATGTAGGGGCTTTGGATGGGTTTGAGGCCGTTCACGTTGGAACTTCCGGGGGATTCAGTTCAAATGGGAGGGCAGGAGGAAAGGGATAGTGTGTCTTTTGGGCTGAGTGGGAAAAGGTGTAAACAAACGTACCCAGTGCAGCGAAGAAAACCCCGAGCCAGAGGGCGCCCATGATGGCGAGGAGCTTCTTGGTCGATGGCTCGTTGGCGAGTGCTGGTTCCTGTTCGCCAACACCGCCAGCTCCATCCGAGACTGGCTGGGCGTTCTCGGGCTCGACGACAATGGCGCCGTTGCTGTTCACCGTCTCATTCAGACGTCCAAGCAGAGGGCTTCTCTCGGTTGAAGCGTGGCCCTCATCCTCGTGAGGCTGAGCCGGAGTGGAAGTTGGCATCTTGAAGTTGACGCCTGGTGTGATTGGGGTTCCTTGATGTGTGGGCTAGAACGAATTGTACTACGAGTAGTAAGGAACGGTGGAATAGGCTTTTGGAGATTTTCTCTTGTGTCCAGACAGAGTTTCAGTCTGTGCGAAAGATGCTGTAAAGATGGTCGATGGATGGTGAGACTGCTAATGGTTTGCTCAATCCTGAGCTGCTCAAGACATGGTTTTGAACTTTCAATCTCGAGTGATGGAACCACGGATTGGCTGAATGGAGATAATGGAATGAGTCAAGTCAAGCCAGAAAGATGGAGGCACCAAAGTTACGCCGTTGGGCCAATTAGTGATCTCGGCTTGTAGAGATCTCGGCTTCTCCCAGGATTATGTCGACAGCTCCGACGCCCTTGGCAGAAAAGATCACATCATTTCCGGTTCGGGCGAGATTATGGAGATAATTAGTTATGTAGCATACACCAAGACTTAGTGTGATTTCAGGGCCATGTTAAATCGGCGGGGATTCAAGGGGGGGAGAGATGTTCAACTACTGTACTTCGTATGTATATCGTATATTACACATTCCAAGCCAATGGCTACAACACTAGGCTCGCAAGGCTTCAATATCAACCACTTCCTTGACAGCTTCCGTTGTCAATACAAACGGGCTGTCCTCCTGTATGCTTACACTATCTTCAATACGCACTCCCATGTTTCGGAAATGCTTGGGCCATCGCTCATCGTCGGGTACATAGACCCCAGGCTCAATAGTAATACAGTGTCCTTCTTGCAAAATAACTTTTCTTGTGTAGCCGACCGTGTCATGTACATCCATGCCGATGTAATGGCTCAAATGATGTGGAAAGAGGCTTTCGACTTGCTTGGCAGACAAGTCAAACCCGATTTGTCGTAAGTCGTCGCGCATCTGTTCTTCAGCAATGCTGTGAAGCTTGTCCAGTGACATGTTGGCACTTGCTCGGCACAATGAGATCAACGTTCTCTGTACGCTGAGCACTGCTTGGTAGAGGTCTCGCTGGGCGTCGCTGAACTTGCCCCCCACTGGCCATGTTCGAGTGATGTCGGCGATATACCCTCCGTATTTGCCGCCGCCATCGACCAAAACCATTTCATCGTCCTGGAGGATGTCGTCGTTGCGCACGTAATGAATACCCAGAGCATTCTTCCCACCAGCCACCACTGGCTCGAATGCGATTGAATCGCATCCGTTTGCCGTAAATCGGTAACGAAGATATGCATCAAGCTGCTTTTCCCTCGTCCAGGCTTGCCTCATTGCCTCTGTATGTGCTCGGCCAGAAGCCTTGCCCGCCTTTCGCATCACTTCAACTTCGGCAGGGCTTTTGAACGCTCTTAATTCGTTCATGATAGGTCGCAGACGATTGACTTTGTTGGACTTGATGAGCTCGGCAAACTCGGTGGTCTTTCGGGGCTGTCCATACAGCAGGCGCCGTAGTGCGGATTGATTGGAATCGGGAGTGGCGATATCTGTGTAAACCTGTGATGCTTCACCCACCAGGTCTGACAGCACCTTTTTCACTTTACTGATATCACCCGTCTCGTCTGCGTTGAAAACATCTCCTGCAGCGTGTGTTCCTGATCTTGCTCCATCCCAGATCTCCGCCTTGGGATCCTTCTCTCGGACGAAGAGGTGGAAGGTATGATCGGTGCCGGTTGAATCCCGACCAATGACAGCCAGTGCCTCGGGTTCATTGAAGCCGGTCAAGTAGAGGAAATCAGGATCTTGGTGGAATTCGTAGAAGACACTTCCTGTACGAAACTGAATGTCTGAAGCTGCAATGATGGCAATGGCCTTGTCGGGCAGCTTGGCCGCCAGCCTGGTGCGTCGATCCGCATATTCTTGAGCGGTGATTCCTGGAGTCAACTCCCCTGGCTGAAGCAGGTGAGGATGTGTCTCATGGACTGGCTGGCCGAACGAGAGATCAGCAGCGTGGACCGTGAGGGTATTGTACTTTCGAGGGAAGGGAAGTTGGATGTGCCTTGTTGATGGTTGGAGGACATCACTGGCAAGGGTGATATTGTGCCATAACTTCCTCCGCATAGACATGCTCCTGCAATGCCTTTTGCGTGGGGTAAGAGGCCGAGAGAGTCGATATAGAGACAAAGTACCTCGGCATCAATATTAAACTGGTTGCACAAAGTAAAATCTCGAAGAACAGACCGCGAACCCTCGAACGATCAACCTCGAAATGGTGACGCTCTTCTCCACGCGGGTCACGTGCCTCGGATGGAACTTCCTGAAATGGACGGACATGGATCTGCCCACTGACGCCCTTTGCATTGAATAGCATTTACGCCATTGGAGTGACTCATGTTGCGGTTTTATTTAATTGAGTCGAAAGGCATCAAGACTGGATATAGATCCACTCGAGAGAAATCCACAACTCCATCTGCAAAATCGTGGCAAAAATGGTGCGCAATCTGGAGTATCCCAAGAAAGCGCAAAACACGTTGAAGCGATACAACAACAGAGGTATGTCGAAGAGTATGGCTCATGAACATCGAAAGGAACACTATGCACTGACTGTTTCAGGGACATATGACCTGGAGGCGATCCATTCCATAATCAATACAACCTCAGTTCTCCATGTCTCATTTCCACCAGGCCCCGACCAGCCATTCCCTGCAATTCTTCCAATGATAGGAGTTATGGGCTCTTTTGACTACCCTTCTGCCAGTCTGGACGAGCCGCTTGACTGCTACCTGCACGGCTATGTTAGTTCGAGACTCATGCGTATCGCGCGTGATTCGGCCGAGGGGTTGCCCGTCTCCCTGGCAGCCACCAAAGTGGACGGGCTGGTGTTGGCTCTGACTCCTAACTCGCACAGCTATAACTACCGGTCGGCTGTTCTCCAAGGCTATGCGAAGCCAGTCGACACAGACGAGGAAAAGCTGTACGCCATGGAGCTGATCACCAATAAAGTAGTCGCGAATCGATGGGAGAACACCAGGGTGCCACCTGATAATGTGGAAATGACGTCTACCACCATCCTCCGGGTCAAGATCGAGACTGGCAGTGGCAAGATCCGACAAGGTGGCCCACATGACGAGGCAAAGGATGAGAACCGCGATGAAATCACGGAGAAGGTCTGGACGGGGGTCGTTCCCGTGTATGAGGCATTTGAAGCCCCGGTTCCGAGTGAGACCAACAAAATCAAGGAGGTGCCTGCATATCTTACCTCTTATGTTGCCGAGACAAATAAAGGGAATAGGGATAAGGCGTTGAACGCGGTGAACGAACCGTGAAGCGTGGTTGCTTAGGCACGTGAGGTGGTTACTGGTTGGCAACCAAGGTAAAGGTGATACCATTTGTGGCTGGCAATGGTACCAGGGGGCGGCCAAGGTGCTTCTACCATATCATTACCGAGCACAGAATGCGATACTCGTGCAACTTACAGATTAACCATTTAACGATCCGTCCTGGGCTAAAAGTAGCGGTCACTAGTCACATTCGTCTATCTTACGCGAAGTTGGAGGCGGCGATCTGGTTGCTGGGCAACGACAAAGTGGGACAGAGATTGGCTCCCAAGGAACTCCAAGACCACGAAATCAAGGAACACGTATGTAGCACCGGGCCACTGCATCCACTTGATTGCCGCCAGAACACAGTGCAAACATACAATAAACGCACCTTGAGACTGCTGAACACCACAAACCTGGAGATCTACCTTACAACCAAGAAAACCTCACCCGGATGATGTGAGGATACCCGTCTCAGCAAACAGAGACTTGCATGCCGAAGCCTCGTCGCGAGTCCACGGCGAGGGCCGATACACGCCCTGCATTTAACAGGCCGCCTGGTGTCCGAGGCGCACCTAATCCTCAAGATGAACCACGAACACCAAGAAGGGCTCCCAACAAGGAGAAAGCCAAATCATCACCTGTACCTTCACCCTCACCCGAGAAAAAGCCCCGAAGACAAAGCGACAGGCACAGATCAGTCAGTGGGGCCGGCGCAGGAAAGCCGAGTCACAGGAAAACGGAACGTGAGAGAGAACGAGACCGCGAGAAACACAGCTCAGGCACCTCCACAGACAGTGCGAGTCATCTGTTGAGTTCTGGGGCCCTTGCCAAACTCAACTCATACAACAACAAGGCCGAGTTCGAGGAGAAATACGAGGCCCAGAAGCAGCAGAAGAAACAGTACAAGAATTTGAAGGCTGCCGAGGTGTCGCAGCGGAAGAAGAGGAAGAAGAGTAGGAATGTCAGCGGGGCCATTTTGGAGGAGGGGAGAGCGGAGAAGCGGGTTCACAGACGAGGAGGAGGAGGCGGTGGGAAGTATGAAGATGATGAGCGTCGACGCCAAGGCGGTAGTGGAGGAGGTCTGTCAAAAAAGAAGTTCTGGTGGTTGCTGGTTCTCCTGGTTGTGTTGCTGGCCATCTTCATCCCCGTCGGCGTGGTCGTGGCCAACAACAGCAGCAAGAAATCCAACACTGCTGATGGCTCATCTTCATCGTCCTCATCAGGAGGATCTTCCTCTTCGGGTTCTGCATCCACCCCCAGCAACGAATGCGACTCTGGTTCTGTGCCTGCGACCGCAAAGGGAACATACACGGACATCTCGACGTGGCTCGACACGGCCGACTTCAACTGCACGTATACCGAGGAGACGGTCGGCGGGCTGTCCGTGATGGGCCTGTACTCGGAGTGGGACGACTCCAAGAGGGCGAACGACAACGTGCCACCGCTGGATGAGAAATGGGAGTACGGCAAGATGCCGATCCGGGGCGTCAACGTGGGCGGCTGGTTCTCGCTTGAACCATTCATCACGCCGTCGATGTTCAACTACCCGGCCTCGGCCAAGATCGTCGACGAATACACGCTAACCGCAAAACTCGGCTCATCCGCGTCCCGAGTCCTAGAAACGCACTACGCGAGCTTCATCACAAAGCAAAGCTTCACCGACATCAAGAACGCCGGGCTCGACCATGTGCGCATTCCCTTCCCTTACTGGGCCGTCACAACGTACGACGGCGACCCGTACGTCGCCAAAATCGCATGGCGCTACCTGCTCCGCGCGATCGAATACTGCCGCCAGAACGGGCTGCGTGTGAACCTCGACCTGCACGCCGTGCCCGGCAGCCAGAACGGGTGGGCGCACAGCGGCCGACAAGGCGATATCGGCTGGATCCTGGGCCCGAACGGCGCGACCAATGCACAGCGCTCTCTCGACATCCACAACCAACTCTCCCAATTCTTCGCCCAGGACCGCTACAAGAACGTCATCACGATCTACGGGCTGGTCAACGAGCCGAAAATGCTGGTCATCCCGCCGGACTCGGTGCTGGACTGGAACAAGAAGGCCATCACCGTGATCCGCGGCAACGGCATCACGCAGCACCTGGTCTTCGGCGACGGGTTTCTGTCTCTCACGCAGTGGGACGACATGTTCGGCGGCGTCGACGACAAGCTCGTCATGGACACGCACCAGTACCAGATCTTCAACGTGGGCCAGTTGAAGCTCAAGCACCAAGACAAGATCAACCTCGCCTGCTCCGGCTGGACGGGCATCATGGTGACCGCGAACAACCCGGACACAGGGTGGGGTCCGACCCTCGACGGCGAGTGGTCCCAGGCCGACACAGACTGCACGCCCAACCTCAACGACGTGGGACAAGGCTCCCGCTGGGCTGGCACACTCGACACGGGCGACCCGGAGACGTCAGTCCTCACGCCGACCTGTGCGCAGCCGCCGTGCTCATGCGCCATGGCGAACGCCGATCCCAAGGATTACTCGAATGACTACAAGACGTTTCTACAGATGTATGCCGAGGCCCAGATGCACAGCTTCGAGCAGGCATGGGGCTGGTTCTACTGGACCTGGAAGACCGAGAGCGCCACTCAGTGGAGCTGGATGTTGGGCCGCCAGGCGGGCATTCTGCCCGACAAGGCGTATGCCCCGGACTTCAAGTGTGATAAGGATGTGCCCGATTTTACGGGCTTGGGTGATAGTTATTGATCGCTTTTGAGGGACTGGATGATTTTGGTTGTCCTCGGTGGTTACATGCTGCCGAAGCTTACGCACTGGGCCTGGCCTGGCCTGGAGCTGGGACTGGAATTGGAAATGGCTAGCTAGGTAGGCTACACCTACCTACCCGATGAATGTTTATCTCTACAACAACAAAAAGACGAGATATGTGAAACCCTCGCGGTCATGCCATCCATCAAGCCAAGACTTTGGGGACGAAATGATGAAACCGTGTTTTGCATTGACTTGGTCACCAGGAGTTTTTGGTTCCATCTCCGCCGGCGCTCACCGAATTCCTTTTTTTCCAAACTGATGGAGCATCGTCGCACATGGGAGCGCTGGCGACAAGTCCACGGGGAGACGTGAAGGGAGGGTTCTCTTGTACATAGATAGAACGATCACACAACGAACGGGCTGGGTGGGTGGACGGGCAGGCTGGGGGACGTATCTTAGCGTGAACTGTGTACTGTATGCAATAATCAATGAACACGTAGGCTCAGTAACCGAGCCGGGAAAAAGACGTTATGACACACGAAAGGAGAAGAGGAATATTATTCACTGTTGCGAGGATTGATTGGGTTTGGGACTGAGCATCGAGGCCAGACTCGTAAGACAGACGGTTTGATGGAAATGGATACGGGATAGATATCCTCATTGATTCCGTTCGATTGAATAAATATTCGATTCCCTTCTGTCCCCTTGTTGTCGTTCTCGTCGTTCTTGCTCTCACACACCCTTTCACTCATGAATCTTGTCTTGTCCTCATGGACACAGTATACATATGCTCCTCCCCTTTCAATGTCAATGTGGACGTCAACCAGCAGCCGCGGCCCTAATGACACCCTCCCAGAACCGCTTGAGACCCAGGACATGCGCACGGGTTGGCTGCGGGCAAACGCTGCAACAATAGGGATGATCGACACCCTCACCAATACCACCACCACCACCACCACCACCGGCATCCGCACGACCGCCGTCATTGCCACCGGCGCCAGGATGATCATGATTATGGTCGTGATCATGGCGCAACCTCTCCCTCCTCTCCCGATCCTTCGCCTTCGCCATCTCGGCTTCGCGGCCCCAGCAGCGCTGCCGCGATTCCGGCGGGAGCGCACATTGCTTCTGCGAAACAGAAGTTCCAACTCCAGATCCAGAAGCAGCCGCGGCGGCACGCCTTCTTCTCCTCTCGCGCACCCAATCCAGCTCAGCGTCAGCGGCGAGCTTGCGGGCGGCGAAGCGGCGCACAAGGGTCTTGACGTTGGCGCGCTCGGCGGCGTCGAGTTCGTCTGCCTTGCGCTTCTGGGCTTGCAGGCCGCGTCCCTCGACCCAAGCGCGCAGCCCGTCTTTGAGCGTCTCACGGATTACATTGCGGCGCGTGAGGACGATTGCGGGCGAAACTATGACGGAGGTTGATTGGGGATGGGGGTGGTGGGGTTGGGATCCTGAGTGCAGGGTTGTACAGGGAGACGAAGGCGAAGAAGAAGTGGTGCAGCAGTTGGTGCACTTGGCTGCCGTGGAGTAGGATGTTGTCGACCTGGATGAATTGGTCGTTGCGCGCACACACTCCGCGGGGATGATATTGAGGTCGACGAGGCTAGCAACACTGGGCCGACGCTGGAGTTTGCGGGCGAGGCGATCGCGGAGGCTTCTCCGCTGAACAGCCTGATGGGACTGAATGAGCGCGGGCGAGACAGGGCTGGAGTAACTGCTTCCACAGACAGGCAGCAAGATGGCGCGTTCGACCAGCTCAGCGGGACTCGGGCGGTGCTCCAGGTTGTGGGAGAGGCGGATGCGAATCAGGGATTTCGAAATCTGCCGCGACAGCACGTTCGTCTTGCTTAGGCAGATCCATGACGATGGTGGGCTGATAGATGATTTGGAGGCGCGGCGGGCCAGGAGGTAGGATAGTGTTTGTGAGGCTGAGTGTAGGCGGGTCAGGTGCAGTAATGGGTCGCATGCCAGCGTGCGTAGTTGGTGGCACGTCCGGCTGGTTTGGAGGAGGTCGGGGACTTCTAGGTATGCGAAGATGTTGAGGAGGACTTCTGGTGGGAGGGTCGTGAGGGTGGTTAATTCTGGTGATGCTTGTTGCGGTTGGGCCATGACGGGATCAATTGCAGTACGAGGGCGTGAGGAGCTCAAATTGCTTCAGGTGAGTGACTCTGGCCGTGAGGCCGATCAACAGCACGAGGGGGAGAAGATCAATTGAGATAGATAGGGAGGGAGCAAGTGGGATGGACGAGGGGAACCGTTTTCAGGAGTACGGAGGATCTCAGCAAGATGAATGATGGGGGCCGCCTGGTGTTTCAGGATTGAGAGATGCCTGTCGTGAGTCGTGAGTCGTAACTCGTGAGTATGGGGAAGTGTCCCAGATGACGAATAACTAGCTATCATACAAAGAAGTTCAGATGGGTAACGAGCGACCGAACAGACGGTAACGACGAACGAGTGTTTGGGAATGACGTGGTAATTCGTAGGGTATGGAGTACACGTGGTACATACGAGTCACTACAGTAGGATGTCACGAGGTTGCGTAAGTCTACGGTATGGAGCTGAGTTGGACCGTATCGTCGTATTGATAGCTAGGCGAGAGTGGATCAAGCCGATCACTAGACTTCCTCCGTGTCCTCCGTGTCCTCCGTGACCATGAAATGTCGCATTTCGCACCCGCTTATTATCAGTATCAGACTTAGCATTACGAGTGCCGAGCACTGCTTGATGGTCAAGTGCAGTGGCCAGAGCATTCGATACCGCGCACGATAAGATAAAGAGACCCTGACCACAGCACACTCATTCTCCACTCCCCATTCCACTCATGTTCACTCAAAATCATCTCATAGTAGTAGGTATGTAACGGTGAATATCAGATTGAGAGGCGAGCCAGAGCACCGAGGCCTAGAATCTACCCGTACGCTCAGCAATCATATCTACTCATATGAGATAGGAAAGGGAAGACTTGCGTCTGCTGTGTGCACAACCAAAATATCAAAGATGGAAACCCCGTTGGTCCCTGGCGCCTGGTCCCTGGTCCATGATTCTTGATCCGTGATTCCTGATGCTCCTTGTTGAACCCATTGCACTCCTCCAGCGCCTTCCCAGTCAACTCATCAAAAGCGGTGAATTCAGATAAGACCGATCGAATATCTTTGGCTCCTTGGCTCCTTGACTCCAGGCTCAAACATCTTCCAGTTTTCCAGCGGGTTCGTCTTCTCCATCGCTGTTGAAGTCTTCCACCTCGCTGAGTTCGCCGTCTGTCTCGCCTTCTTCCTCGTCCGCATCATCGTGGATGTTGGTTGCGTACTGGTTGACGTACTCTAGAACATTTCAATTTAGTTCCATATCCCTGCAAATAGCAAACGATTCCAGGACTTTCTTACCCTTGACTCGAGCATCGTAACTCCTAGGCTCCCTCATCAACAGAGCGGCCGCTTCACCATTCAAGGGATCGGTGGGATTGGGATATCGTAACAGTTGTGGTAGAAATACTTCAAAGATGTTGATCATGTCAAACATAGGGGACCAAGTCTGATTGATGACATCCAAGCAGACTGATCCTGACCTGCAAGGCCCCATTAGCACAGCCTTCTCATGCACCGTTCTCGTTTTGGGTAGACCAACAATTCATCAATATTGGGGTGGAAGATGCGGTTGACGAAGCCAATGGAAGGCGATTTGTAAGGATATTGGTCTGGCAACTCGACGTGGACTTTCCATTTGCCATCTGAAAAGGGTGCTGCAGCAGTCACAAAAGCCCATCAGTCAGTCACCGTTGTCATTGATTGACCAAGACACCGTGCTCTTACTTTCTGTAGGTCCTTTGAAGATGACATAGAATTCTTGCATGTTGTCATTGACCAGAGTCACCTCATAGTCGCTCATCATGAGCTTCATCACATCCGTCTCTATCCTCCGCTTAGGACTACTCATGTTGATTGTGTCTCTCGTCTCCTCTTGACTGCGTTGGTCCCGCGGGCCCAACCAAAAGGCTGAATGCGTGCCTCTCGACCAGTGGTGAATTCAAGGATGAACGGGACTAGATGGACTTACGGTGTCCCAAGGCAAGTGTGGTAAGGGTGTGTGGTGGTGGTGGTGGTGGCAACAGAACAGCGAGGTCGGACTCGGAAGTAGATGGGGCACGATACAGGGATGGGGATGTGATTTTGGCTCCCGCAGAGACAGGTGAGGCAGGTGACACTCCTTCTCGGAATCCCTTCGGAGGTTCTTTGTCTGGGAAGCGGGAAGACGACACGAAGTAGGTGAAGGAAGAAGGTAATTGTTGATGGTTCTAGGTAAGCGGGCGTGTGGGTTTGCTTCAAGAGGCTTGGGCAAGTGAAACAAAGAAAATGGTGGAAACAAACAGAGGAAATGAGGTGAACTGAGGTGATTGTTGGTGGTGATGGTGACTGATGATGATGATCGGGGTGGGAATGGAGGAGGGCACGACAAGAGACAAGCAAGACGTAGTGACCCAAAACCACTCGCAACGTGGGGCAGCCATTGCGCTTTCCCGCTTTCCCTCAACTGTGACACTGGGCGGACCCAAGCGCCTAAGCCAGTTGTGCCCATCGCCCAAAGTCTAGCCGAAGGGAGCCACTGGTGACCACGAAACACCCACTTGGTCTGTATTCCATTGAGTTATGTGTTGACGAGAGCGGAGTACATACCTTGCGAGTAGGCGAATGATCACCGGATTGCAAAATAAAGTAATGGAGTACCAGACGATCCTCATTTATTTTAAGCATGACGAGAGTCCTACTTGATGAGAGAGCGGAGTCAGCCGACCAACTACTTATGTCACAGCAGAGAGGACCAGGCTGGACGGCAGCCTTGCACCGCCAGACCGCCTGATCCAGACTTTGCGCCTCGGGCCATGGCTGGGAGTGGCAATAGGACTGGCAGATACGGGCACCACTGGCACCTGACTTGTACTCACGGGGAGTGGCAGGGCCTACCGAGTTCTTTAGGTAACCGAACGGGGACCACCTGGACCCTCGGTGCCCCGGAATACACCAAATACGGGCAGCTAGGCACCTAACCTCAATTGACTTAGTTATGACCTTAAGTGGCGCTGCCTACCCTTAACTCTTAGGTGTTAGCCGACTCTGGCCCCCGAAGCCAAACCGAAAACCGAAACACCGAGGCTCATCGTCCGATGCACCATAACAATTCTCATCTCATCCTTGTTGTTGCCCTTCCTCAGATTTACGCTTAAAGAATCCAGCACGACGACAATCATCAATTTCTCCTTCTTTTCTCCCTCACCCACCGCCTCTCGCTCCTTCCTTCGAAGAAATGACTCACGCATCTTTCAACGTGCCACCTGGTCTCCTTCCATCTCCTTTTTTCCTGCGTTCGAACAGCAATCCTGGGTGAAGACGAAGAACCTGAAGCATTGATCAGAAGGCATGGCTTCCGTCGTCTGCATGTCTCGAGCCTCCTCCTTGAACCTCACGAGACCACTGCTTAGACAGTCCTGTCACACCCTACCATCTACTCCCACCCGACCATGGCAACAGCTGCGTTGGAGCTCACATGCCCCTGCAGCCCCATCTCTCGCTGCCCGAGGCCAGAAACCTGTCACCATTCAAACCTTACAAAAGATGCACGCGGACAAGACTCCAATCACAATGTTGACCGCCCACAACTTCCCCTCAGCCCTCATGGCACAAGAAGCTGGAATGGACATGATTTTGGTCGGTGATTCTCTGGCTATGGTTTCACTAGGAATGCCCGACACCTCAGAAGTCACGCTAGACGAAATGATCATGTCAGCTCGCGCCGTCAGCCGAGCTGTCAACAGATCTTTCACCGTCGGTGACCTTCCAATGGGTTCCTACGAGATCAGTCCCGAACAGGCCCTGGCCAGTGCCATTCAGATGGTCAAGCAAGGCCGCATGCAGAGCGTCAAGCTGGAGGGCGGTGCTGAGATGGCTCCCGCCATCAAGAAGATCACCACCGCTGGTATTCCCCTGGTTGCGCATATCGGCCTCACTCCACAACGACAACACGCTCTTGGTGGCTTTCGCGTTCAGGGAAATACACTGGATAAGGCCATGGCCTTGCTGAAAGATGCAAAGGCCGTGGAGGATGCCGGTGCTTTTGCTGTGGTCCTAGAATGTGTCCCATCCGACATTGCTGCCGAAGTAACCAATGCTCTGAAAATCCCAACTATTGGTATTGGCGCTGGCAACCAGACAAGTGGACAAGTCTTGGTTCAGATCGACATGATCGGAATTCGTCCACCAGATTCATTCATGCCCAAGTTTGTCAAGAAGTACGGCTCCATGTGGGAAATGGGCCTTGCTGCAATCCAACAGTACAAAGATGAAGTCACCGACCGAAGCTATCCCGGTCCTCAGCATGTTTATAAGAGCGATGCCAAGGTCACCGAGGCATTCAAGGCTGCCATTCAGTCTGGATAGTCGTAGCTGATTTGCGGTTTGGCTGAGGGCGTTTAATGGGTACATTTTCGGGTCGAGGAATACCAATAAGCGTTTGATACGTTTTGTCCGTCATCCAAAGGCAGGCGTTCTCGAGTAACTCACGATCAACTGATCATCCACCTTGAAGCACTAGATATCATGATAATAACAATCAAATATTAGCATAATTCTTCCTCTCCTCGTCTCGTCTGAACTAGTTTTCCAAATTCAGCCTCCAGAAAAGACATACCCTGAACAAATTCCCCACCCCCTCATCAAGCCCAGGTGCAAAGACGCTGTTCACATAGAGGAAAAGCCCATCGCCCTCACGCACCCCAACCTTCTTCCGCAGGAAATTCAGCACCACGCTGAACCGCGACGACGCACTGATCTTGAACACCTTCTGCTTCAGGATCGGCGCCGACCCGATCGGTTGGAAGCGTACCGAGACTATACAGCAGCAAGAGGCACAGAAGGAGTCAGTACCGGGAGGATGGAATGGGGTTGTCCAGTAGAGAGCGGACGATCCATCACGTACAGGTGTCAAGGGATTCCAATGTAAAAGGAAGAAATAATATGACAAGGCAAGAAAAAGGCTTACTCACCTTTGAAATCATCCAATTCGTCGACCAGCGCCAGCGCGTGGCTGGCGTCCTTGGGCAGGTTCGTCAGGAGCACGCTCGCGCTCATGCTCATTGGCAGATCGCCTGTGTCTGTGTCTGCTGCTGTCGCACCTTCGGCCGCAGAAGTGGCGTCGTTGTCGCTGTTGTTCTCATTTGGTGCGCTTGTACTATCTGCACCGTCGTCTGCCTCCTGCTCGTCCAAGACAGGCTGAGGTTTGGGGTGGGGTTGATCTGGTGCGGATTGCGAGGACATCGTGCTTGGCGTTTGATGTTTTTGATGTACTGCGCGAATAACGTTCCCTTGAAGCAAATTTCCCTGTTTGCTGTTTGCTCTTTGTCTTACCTGTGGATTCGGTGCCTGTTCGGAGTTTGGACCGTTGGTGATGGAGGATGGAGAGGGAGAAACAAATCTGGGCCCCCGATGTTTCGAATCCGCCAATGAGGTTGCGCTCCAGTTTGGCGGCTGGAGCGGGTGAACCGGCGGAATTCTTTTCCGAATGCTAATGATTTATTTAACTTCACTTGCTTATCGAGGGTTGTATTTTGCCCCCTATTTAGTAGAGAGTATATACTATTAGAGATTATTCTTATTCACTATACTTCGAAATCCTTCTTCTTAAAAATCGGTTTTAGGTTCGTAAACTCTTTAGTAAGATAACGCACTGATCGCTGATCGTTATGCGTAATGTCGAATACTTCGTAGTTATCCCTTGTTTACGATGCTGAAGACCTTTATATACACGAGAACTAGCTAGCCAACGACGCCGCGCGCGGTGGAGTATACCCCTGCGAGTATAGAAGAAGAAGAATTTCCCTCGCGCTTCTAGTCACGGCTCTACAAGTCTTAGCAGCCACTTTATATTCATAGATACTGCCTAACGGTAGACTTAGATTGTATTGTATAGTTGAGTGTGCGAGCTCTGAACGCATACAGGGAAAGAGAAGACCCTCTGCAGTCTCAGGATCTGGTTCTGAATCCACTCCACCTGCCCCTGACGAATAGTGATACAGGACGACGAACCAGTATGCTCATTTTCAATTAGTCTAAGCACATTGGTCAATGTCCCATGAATCATCCACATTCCAGACGATACGATATGGCGTGAATTCTCGGTTTCTGACTCAGGAAATCTTCGATACTCCGGGTCGGTTTGAAAGGAAACACATGCTTGAGGGAAACAGATCTTGGGCTTGTTGCCTAGCATTGGGAAGGTTCGCTGCATAATATTACCGGCATGGAATGGGAGGCTTGCGCATATTTCGTCCACAATGATTTGTGCACCCTCCCTGGTGCTGTTAGCCAGTACTCGTCGAAGGGTGTAATCGATGTCCAGGCTCCCATTAAGGCATTGCGAAATAATCTGCAAGACTCCAAGCTTAACCGTACGGTGCCAGTTCCGGATATTGGCTATTGAGAGGTTGATGTACACGTCACACTTCGTGTCGTAAATGCCAGGTATTTTGACAGACGCTTCAATACCATCTATGGAGACTGATGTTGGACGCCAGGAATCAGGAAGGGCATCGAGCCACTGCATACACCTAGTCCTGAGAGCAATTGCTTGGGCAAGTATAGATGGGTAATCAGCTCTTGTTCCTGTATGCAACTGAGCTTTTAGTTGAACGTATTGAAATGCCAACCTGTCCGCTTCGATTGCAGGACTATGCTCCACGGGGCTGTCTTCTTGCCAGATGTCAACAATTTTAAGTTGCTCAATACTGGTAATGTCCTTCAACGCAAGGCGAACTAGCTTACTTTGAACAGCGATGGCGATCCGGTGAAAAAGCTTGTCCCGGTGGTTTAACGCCGCTCTGTGCTTGATTAATGCAATCGAGCCAGCTGCATGCAGCGCTTTGCCGCGTATTTGCTGAAAAGATGAGTTGAGGTCATCGTAGGCCTCTAGAATGAGGTTGTCATTAGCAAGTCGTCTGAACTAGTTTGTATTGGATCGACTATGTCGTCCTTAGCCTTCATCACCGCCTTGAAGTATAGTTTGCTAGCCGTGGAAGCATCACGGTCGCAAAGACCCCACAAGCAGTATATGTTGACAGCGAATGCAGTTGTGGCGATGACCAATGCAGATGAATGACTGGATCGAGAATACAAGAAAGGTAGAAGGTCCAGAAACCCATATGTAGCCTGGCTGTTTGGGGTCATGCTATAATTGAGGAAAAAGAAGTTCAAAGCTGAATATTCGATGTCAGGTGGGATCGATGGTGGAATAGGCATTGATAGAAATCCAATTATATCCATGGATGCTGGCGCAGTAGTTCCACTACCGTCTTTCGCGGCTGAAAAGGGGTTTAATTGGTGAACAAGCGCAAGGGTTTGCATGCGCTTAGATACTTTGAGGGTCTTATCTCGATGTGTATGCTCAAATACATGATAATACCCTAAACAAGTGCGTTGTGTTGAGGTACAATTGCTGCAATATGGTCTTCCTAAATCACACTGTTGAAGCTTATTCGTCTTTCATAAGGTATGGCTCAGAACTCGAGCTACCTTGATATGGCGAGCTCGACATATATTACACCCTTTGCTAGGACCCCTGTATACCATAATTACTCTACTCTCCAAAGGAAAGGGTGTGTCAGTCGCAGTTGTAGTCGCAAATTTAGCGTCTAGTCGATGTGAGAACCAAGATCCAACACAGCATGTGCTACGCACTTAACATGTACAGGGGATTCCAAGTTTTCTGTCTGGTATTCTCTGTCTCGAGATCATGGGGCATGAAATATCAGTTAGGGAACAGTTCAAGCTCATCCTATAAGAATATAGGGTCAACAAGCAAGAGAAGGAGATTTAGATTGACCGCCTGGTGCCAAGCTCAATTAGTCCTGTGAGCTTAGTATTGAAACACTCGGGAAGACCACTTGGATACTGTAGCCTTATTGGCCGGAACGACCCCCTGGATCAAGTTTAGCGGACGATTATCTTTGAACAGTGGAACTGCAGATTCCCGTCTGCCTGCTGTACTTGATCATGTTTGTGATTTACGTAATCAGTATGATTGAGGCCAAACCCGGAAGACACATCATCTTAAAATGGGTGTCTCCTTGCGAATACCTGTTTGTTGAAGCTAGTAGGGTTAAGTTCACAGCCACTTTCGGTATGGAGAGCTTACCTTAAGCCCAGCTAAGCCAAAGTCGGGGGTACTTTGAGACATACACGATGTACACACGTCTCTATCGGGAGAGTGGCTACTCAAGTCTGAGGACCAGCGATGACTGGGGGAGTAAACCTGAGCTTCTGGAGTATAAAGCTTTGCTCAATCCAAGTTCCAGTTCTACAATGACTTTCATTAACCCGATACTGGATATTCACCTTTCGGTCTCTCTTATTCTCACCTACCACACTTCTTCAACCACGAGTCAAAGATGTACCTGCTCTGGTCATTTGCGTCTTTCATTTCTATTATATCCGGCCTGCTGGCATTGCCACACACTGGGACTAAATGCACGAGCCACCAGACTCTGGCTGGCGAATATGTCAATGGGACGAGCGACATGGGTGGTGACCCTTTGACGCATTTCGACTATCCTATGGTTTCAAATTTCAACTTGACTGCTACCGAAGATTGGTCCTTTGATGGCGTTTCCACAGATGGGACGATGGGAATATCAATTTTCTTCAGCCGAGGCACAGTTGCCGGCCATACAGCCGCTCAGCGCCTGCTTATTGCAGCCAGGGCACCTGGCCAAACGGAACGCGGTATTTGGAGAATGCGTTTGCGCACGAATCCATTGTGCTGCAGTGCAAAAATAGTACAACAGGGACATGGGCTAATAGCACTTCTGGTCTGAACTGGACTTTCGAGGTGTCGAACGACTACAAGTACACTGTCATGACCATTGACTCAAAGACAGTAAAGGGCACATACACTCTAGAGTCAATTTCTCCTGCAGTCTACCCTAACGGGCGGATCTATCCCGATCGCAAAGGCAATCCACTCTTCGCTCCTTTTCTTTACTGGGTAGAGAACGTCCCAGTCGGCCTTGTTCAGACAAATCTTACCATCCTGGGGACGCTATTCAATCTGAATGGCATTGGGGGACGGGAGCATAATTGGAACTCTGATTCCTGGGGAGCAATCAGTGCTCGTTGGGACATGGTACGAGGAGCGGTCGGTCCTTACAACTTCATTGCATGGACATACGAATCGCGATTCGATGGTCAGACCTACTTCAGTATTGTCTTGATGAAGGGTCAAGACGTGATTTTCCGAACCCAGCAGCCAGAATTAGCAGTTACGGATACTTATGGATCCATCAAACATAAAATGGATGGTCCAGTGCACCTGTCTTCTGACCCAAAATCTCCTCTTCAGCTCCCTGAATCAAGTTTCACAGGCTACATTTTAGACCTTGTGTCTCCGACAACCAAGGAGTCCTGGAGATTTGAGGTCGACTTTAACAAACCAGTGTATTGGTTCGCAGCGACGAAGATGCGAAAATTGGCGGATTCGTAGGAATAGCCACTGGCGGGTTGATCGGTGCCGAACGGTATACTGGACTTGCCTCTGGTTCCGCTCAAGAGCTTGTTCAGGCTTGAATGATATCCTTGTATCATAGCATCATAGTATCATAGACAAGTAGCTAATGGTACGGTACATGGTTTCCCCTGCCAATACGCCTCGAGCCTGGCCAATCTTTGTTCTGACCGTGAGCAATCCTTCCCAAATGTTTTGCCCACAGAAATCGTCATGCTACTCTGGGTAGATCTATCCCTTTCCCCTTATCGAACTAGCATTGCCTATGTCTCGGACAGGCACCATTCGTTGTCTTCTTCGTCATCGTCTGTGCCTTTGTGATCTCCTCCTTCTTTGTCATCATCATCATCATCATCTTCTTCTTCTTCTTCTTCGTCTTCGAATCTCCGTAGAATCGCTCCATCCCGTCTAATCTCCAGCAGCCTCGCTTTCAATACAGCCTTCTCCCGCGCAGCATCCCCGTCATCATTGCCCATCTTATCCTCAATCTTCCTATTCAGCAGCTCCAGTCCCAACCATTGAATGGCCATCTTCTTGATTTTCTTGGGAAAGCGAGGTACTTCCGTAGTGCTAGGATCCTCTGGCCCAACCTCAAGTCTCCAGCGCCTCAGCGCCGCCGTGTCCTCTTCGTAGGGCTTGGCGTTCCTTTTGCCCAGCGAGGATCGATCCTCCGTCGTCGATTAGTGCGTGCTCCAGGGCGCGCTCGAGGTCTTTGCGGTCGAAGTTTTGGTTTGTGAGTGCCACCACATTGCCAACGACGACGTCTGGGTCTGATCCGGGATCTGCGCCGTGTGCGATAGGGCCGATTATAAGGAGGATGAATTCTTCGAGTGTGGAGATGTGCTTTTCAGGTTGTGTTCTAGGTATGAGTTTCTCAAAGTCGTTGCGGAGCTCGAAGGCGATTGACCGGCTTGGGATGCCTTGAATGGCGAACCAGAGGATCTTGGTGTGCTGCATGATAGCGATGATCTCGTAGATTGGTTCGATGGAGATGTTCGCGGTTGTGTTTTTGTAGCGTTCATTGAACGCATTAATCTTTTCCATTTTGCCTAGGCGGCGTTCGTGTCGGTGGTGCGGCCAAAGGGGCGGGGTGAGCGCTTCCACTGCCGTTGCCGGGGGCAGCACCATTGATCGCAGTGTCCATGGCTGTTCAGAGCAAAAGAGGCGTATCTTTCGAGTGGATACAGAGGCTCAACTTTTTGGGGGGGAATGCCCTCCTAAGAGAGCAGACAAAATCCAGATCTACAAGGTAACTGCTCCTGCTCGCCGCACAGGGCAGTGGACTCGTGTGACGCTCCATTCCCCAAGAGTTCATGAGTAACTCATCTCTACGCGATCAAACCAATCATCTATCGCGATTCACATACGCGAGAAGATGTCCCATCCATGCCCGGCCAAAACGCCAGCACAACACTAAATACTAGTACCAACTTGCGGCGCAAGCGACGCGACGTTGATGAATCCGCGAGCGAACGCAACATCAAATGGATTACGCGAACAAGATTGCGACACAGAATGATGAGAAAACAAGGCGGAAAGAACTTGTATGTCGCATATCAGGTCTGTGTTGAGCCTATCAGAATACCGCGAGGCTGAGTCTGTCCAGGGGGCCACCAGGCCGCGCACGTGACTATGACCCTTTTGCACCGGGCATGCAAGAAGCGGGACCAAAAATAATGGAAAATAGGCTGTCTTTCTTTCGGCTCACGCCCTTTATCTTCACACCTGTTCACTCTTTGTCTGGGCTTGGGTGTCCGTCCAGCGTGAACTGACATAAGTACGCGGCGTTCATCTTTCAGCCAACTTGTAGGAACATTGTCATGGAAGAATAGCCTGTCATTTCCGACATTCTGTTTAAAAACCCTTCTTGATTGTCCTGTTTCTTATCCCCGGGTGCTCGCCATCGATCATACGTACCCTTCAGGCCAATTTCACCGGCATTTTGCTAGGTGGCAAGGCATGGATGATGTCGAGCATTTGGCGTATCAAGTATCGCTTAGAGAACAATCACCACCCGTCCAGCGTCGCTCTGTGCTTCTCGGTCTCTTCGATGCTTTAACCAAACTCGCGTCGTCTCGATCGCACATGCGGGACAGCCGCTAGGATGGCGCACAAAAACAGCAAATTCTGCACTCTCCACTATACGTAAGTACCTGTCGGCATATAATATTGCCATCCATCTGCTCCATTTCTCACCCGCTGAGAGAATAATGAGGATACTATCGTTGGGCTGTTGGTGTAGTCTCTCTAGTTCCATTGAGCTGAGAGGAAAAGCATGTGTCTCACAATTTTCGGAGTCCTCATACGGACTTCCCAACATAGCATCTTCTAGGTGTTGGCATGATGAAAGGGGCTGACACGTTTGGCATTTCTCTCCAAGTCTACAATGCCCATCACAAATTCGACAGCTGTCAATTCTGTTGACGTCAGATTCGTGCGGGTGTCAGGGAGTCGAGCTACACTGATATCCGGGGGAAGGGGGTGGTTAAGGTGGAAATGGATACCAACTTCACACGCATTTTCATTCGCACCAACGTACCAACCAGTTCTGGCGGCTGAGGTGAGTGAGATCAGCCTCCGAGGTGTTGAGACCATTGGCGAGGATTTTGCGAAGAGATTTGAATATCCGTCCAAGTTACAAATGAATCTTTTCTGCTCCCCTGCCTTCGTTGGCACACCCGGCTGCACTCGGAACATACCTCTTCTAAAATGCACAGGATCTGGTAGACTGAACAAGGGGGTCACCACGCTCCAACCAGCAGTACTGAAAAGGCAACACTGATCTATATGGCTGTAGTAGATCTCGTTGCCTAAGACCAGGCCTGCCATCAGAAAGAAAGGGTATCGATGGGTGGAAGTTCCTTCCGCGCAGCAGAACTGTGGATAGGCAAAAGAAAGTCCGCTTCGTGAGACTTTTACATCTCGTAGCATTTCTATGTCTTCTACAAACGCGAAGGCAGTCGCTATTCATGTGATGTCTCTAGTCGACAAATTCTTTGCCCAAATCACCGGGCAAAGATTCAATTATTTTCTGGAGCTTTGTTTCTAGATCAATCGCGTCAAGTAATGTGGCGAAGACAGGTACGGCTGCGTTGTAGGCACGCGCCCGGTAGTCTTGATGACCGTACAACAGTAGCCAATATGTAGCAGACACACCGGCAGAGCGAAGGAGCTCATCAAAATCAAGATATTCAAGCACCTCTGATTTCTCGCTCTTATCAATGAAGTGTTTCGCGCAGCCAACTGCTGGAACATATCCATGACCTCGGATCACTGGTGCTCGGCGATCGCAAGCAGGATGTAGTACCTCCTCATCGTGCTGATCAAAAAGATAAATGCACTCACCGAGTGCTGGGATTGTACAATGAAGAAGGAGTTGTATTCTGCCCGTTCCAAAACTTGTACGCCTATCAGGGTCAGGCAAGCGTACTTGGACTGACAGACCTAAGAGGTGATGTGCCCAGACTACCATCAGGTAGATAGCCAACTTTCTCCGGCGAAGCAGGTTGACTACGACAAGATGATCTTCTGGAAAGTATTGAAGGGTTGGTAGGAAGTCTAGCAGGCCTTGGAGAATCGCGACTGGTAAGGGCTGGGTATATTCGTCGGCATTGTGAACGATGCCAGGGTCATCTCCGAAGGTCGATGAAACGGCATGGAATAAAAGCGCCCAATTGAAATTATAGGTCGGTTCTGTGAGGGTTTCAATAGGAGCTTGTTCAACTACTATAGGACCTGTCTAACAAGGACGTTAAGCTAAAGGGAAGAGAGAAAGAAGTCCTGCCGCTGTCCACCGGGAGATATAATCTCCTGGGGTGGGTCGCCCGGTTTCCTAAGTAACCATTAGTGTTACGTGGTATCGTCCGGCTGTATAGCTATACGGTCGAGTCTAGGTATCGCTGGTTCAGTCTAGGCGTCACTCGCTAAGACACGTTACTCGCTAAGATACCCATTAATATTACGTAACATTATTCGGCTATATAACTATACGGTCGAATCTAGACATCACTAGTTCTTACTAAGACATCCTATATTAAGATTAAATCGGTATATATTCTCGCCTATCCTATAGGTCGAATAAAGAGACAGGGCTACGTTACTAGGGGTTCTCTCTCTTCTAGGACCGTAGAATAAGAACTAATCGACGCTAAAACGAATACTATAGTAGCTATAACTAAAATAATACTCTTTACTTACCTATATTAGCGAAGGAATAGTAATACTATCGATTTCTATAGTCTTAAGCCCGCTAAAGGACTATACTTTTAAGACTTCTCGTAATAGATATATATAAAGCTATAATAGCTTTCTTCGTAAAGGTTACTACTACTAAAACTTAGACTATATAGTTATATAGTCGAACTCGTAGAAGGAAAAATATTCTTGTCCGGGGGATAAGTTTTAGGATCTATAGTAGAAGTAGCCGAAGACCGTAGAAAGAAGGAGTAGAATCTATAGTCGCTTTCTATCTTATTAAATAACTTAAGATCTATCTAAGTAAAGGAGTAT